AAAAGGTATTAGTTAAAATTATCGAATAAAAACTCGAGAAAGGATATATATAAAAATCAGATTTATTAATAAGGAGCTTAATCTTTTTAATATTTAAAAAAAATAGAAATGGAACATTAAGATTAGATAAAAATAAAAATATAATATATTAAGATATATACAATTATTAATATCTCAATTTTATTACTAAATAAAATGGTTATTCCTTACCTAATATTAATGATTTGATAAAAATAATAAGAAATGTTAAATGGTTTATAATATTAGATTTTAAAGAAGTTTTTTATTTAATTTAAATAGTTAAAGGAAATAAATGGAAAATAGTAATACGAATTTCTTTCGGATATTATGAATGTTTGGTTATATTATTTGGACTTATAAATGCATTAGTAACATTTTAAGGAATGATCGAAATCGTATTATGGAAGTTTTTAAGAAAAATAGTATTTATTTACTTAAATAATATTTTAATTTTTTCTAAAACCTTTAACTAATACGAAAAATATATGGATAAAGTATTAAAAGTTTTAAATAAAGTTAATTTATTAATAGACTTAAAAAAAAGCGAGTTTTATATATAAAAGATCAATTATTTGGAATATATAATAACTTTTAAATAAATTAAAATATAGGATTTAAAAATTGCAGTAATACAAGATTAACTAATATTAAATAATATTATTACCGTACAATAATTCCACAACTTTATTAATTATAATAAATGGTTAATAAAAAACTTTAATAAAATCATAGACCTTATAATAATTACTATATAAGGAAAAAAAGGAATATTTTAATGGATGTTAAAGGCGAACTAAGTTTTTAAAGAAATATAAAGAGCTATTATTAATAATTTAATAATAAGATTACCTTAATTAAATTAGCTAAAACAAATCTATATAAATAAATTAAATATAATTATAAGTATAATCTTAAAATAACTTAAAGATAATAAGGTATGGCATTTAATGGTATATTTATTTAAAACCTTTAAAGGAGCTTAAATAAAATATTAAATTTACGATAAGGAATTATTTATTATTGTAATAATATTTAAGGAATGGAAATATTGGTTTAATAGAACGAAAGAATTAGTTATAGTTTTCTTTAATTATAATAATTTTAGAACGTTAATAATTATTTAAAAGTTGAGATTTAGGGTTTAAAGATAAGTAAAATACCTTAGTAACTTTAATTTTAAGATAGTTTATGTTATAAGAAAAGCAAATATGTAAGTAAACGTATTTAGTAGATTAAATGGCGTTAATATTAAAGATATAATAAAGGAAAAGGTAATATTTATATTAAATGGATAAAGAGCGCTTGTTCTTTTAATATTATATCTTATAGAAAAAGATAATATTTGAATGGTATATATTAAAGAAATTATATTTAATAAAGAATTACCTTAAGAAACCAAAATGAAAAACGGCATAATTACCTACTTAAAAAAAGTATATGTATTTATAAGCTTATAGCACGAGTTTGTTAAAAAATATTATAAATATTTATTATATAGATATTAAGGTATTTTTTAAATTATATAATAAATTATAAGGGATTATAATTTTTTTAATTTATTAATAATAGTTAAAAAAGTAATTAACAAATGTAATATGTATAATAAAACGAAATTAATTAAATATAAGTTATATGGGTTTATATAGTTAATAAAGATTTTGAATAAGGTATGAAAAACCATAATATAAGATTTTATTATTAAGTTATTATTATTAAAAGAACTTATGATTAATATTTTATATTATATAAGGAATTTAATATAGTAAAAAATCTAACTTATACTTTTTTTAAATATATAGTTAATAAATATGGATTATTAAAGTGTATTATATTAAATAAAGATAAGTTATTTATATTTAAATTTTGGATTAGCTTAATAATAAAAATAGGTGTAAAATAGAAATTATTTACGGTATATTATCCATAATTAAATGGACAAACGGAGCGTTTAAATTAAATGTTAAAATAATATTTTTATATATATATTAATAAAATGTAAAATAATTGGATAAAATTATTATCCCAAGTAGAAATTATATATAATAATTTTATTAATGAAGATATAAAGATATTTTTATTTAAAGCAAATACCGGTTATAATTTTATTATTATAGAATTAATTGATATAAAAGAAATATTTGTACTTAAGGTAAAAGCTATAGTAAAATAAGTTATTATTATATAAAAATATTTAATAAATAAGCTTAAATTCTTATAAGTAAAAATAAAAAAATATAATAATTAATATAAGATTAAGGGATTAATCTTTAAGAAAGGAAATAAGGTTTATTTATTATAACAAAATATTAAAATTAAAAGATTAAATAATAAATTAAATTATAAAAAATTTAAACCTTTTAAAATTAAAAAAGTTATTTTAAAAATTAATTATAAATTATTATTATTAATAAAAACGAAATTATATTTAATATTTTATATTTTTTTATTAGAAAAAATACTTAAAAATATATTAATATAAATTATTTTAAACGTTAAAGCCAATTAAAAATATAAAATTAAAAAGGTATTAGACTTTAAGAAATTTAAGAGTTAAATTAGATATTTAATTAAATAAAAGGATTATTTACTAAAAGAAAATATGTAAGAATTAATTAAATATTTTAAAAATACTTAAGAACTTATGGAAATATTTTATTAAGAAAATCTTAATTACCTACGAATAATGACGGATTTATCCCTAAATTAAAACCATTTTAAAAAGCGGCGGCTCCACTGGGGTTATCCTTAAAAGAATTAGGCAATACAAACGAACTAGCTTAATTAAAGACGTTTTAACTTTTACCCTTTTCTTCTTCCTCCTTTTCACAATTTAACTCCTTTTTACGTTAAAAGATACAAAGGGCTTTACTTTTAGCCTCTGCCTTTTTAGTACGAATTTCCTTAAAATAAAAAACCAGCTGCAACAACTCCTTTTAATATTGAAATAATTTTACAGCTTTATTAAATATTTTATCCTTAATCTTTTAATATTTATTTTTATAGGACTTAATTTTTCCTTTTAATTTATTAAAAAAGTTTATTTTTAAAATATTATAATTAAAATAGTTATATTTGTAAATATAAATATTGCAATTAGATAAATTAAAAATAAAAATATAAAAAAATTTATTAAAATATTTATAATTAAAATAAAAAATAAAAGCAATATTAATTAATTTAATATAAAAAATACAAAATTCTTTACTTTTTTATTAATTAACACAGCTTTTTTATTTTAAAATAGATTTAAATATATAATTTAATATCTTAATAAATTAATATAAAAAAGGTATAAAAAAGGGAAAAGAAGTTATATTAAGAACGCACTTACTAATAAATCTTTAAAGGTAAAGAATTTAAGAAAAGGAGAATAATATTACGAATTAACGGCATAGGAACTATACCTTATATAGAAACGGGGATCTTAAAATGTACGATCTTAAGAACAAGTAAACTACGGATAAAACGTATTAAAGGGAAATGATCCTGATGATCCTAATAATCTTGCAGGATTATCAGAATTAACGGGATCATTAAGATCCATAATAACCTTAAAGACAATAAAAGGCCTACGGATATTTAAAACCATTATATATCTAATTATTTATTTATATTTTCTTAATTATTAATCTAAACTTTATATTTGTATAAGGGGAAGGACTTTAAGCTTTTTTAACAAATATTTTTAACGATATTTTAATACTTAACTTATATTGTTACTATTTATTTAAAATCAAGCCCCCAGTTATTACACTCTTACGGACCTAAGTGTAAGTTCGTCACATTTATTATTTCTTTAAAAATATAAATATATAATATATTTATGTTAATAATTTTTAAATTTATTAATATAAAAAATGCTTAAATTGCTTTTTATTTAAAAGTAATTATTTAAAAATTAATTAATTTTTATTTTATAATTATATAGTTAAAATATTAAATAAAAGTTATTTATTTAAGTATATAATTTATTAAAGCTTATAATTTATTTATATTTTTTATTTTAATTAAGTTAATTATTATAATATAAATTTATACTTATATTAAAGTTTTTAATTAAAATATTATAAAGTATTTATAATAAATAATAAATATTAATTTATTTAATAATATTAATAATAAGTTAAAATTATAATAAATAATAAAAAATTTAAAAAAGTTAAATAATAAAGTAAATTAATAATTTATTATAAACTTTAAATATATTTATAAGTAAAAAAAAAAATATGTTAATATTACGTGTATTATTATAATAATAATTTTTTTAATTTTATTAATTTATATTATTAAATTTTTAATAATATTAATTAATATTAATAAATATATATATATAATATAAAGTAATAAATAAGTAAATTAAATAATAATAAAAATGAAATTAATATATTAATAATATTTAAAAAAAGAAAAATTTATTTAAGGTTAATTAATAATATAATGTTTTTTTATATAATAATAATAAATGTACTATTCCTTTTTTAATATTAGCGATAAAGCACTTTATCCTTAATAAAGTATTTACGCGTTAATATTATATAATTATTACTTAATTTACTTAATATTATAAAAATATTTAAATTATTTTATTAATTTATAATAATAATTTAAATTAATTATTAAATATATTTAACCATTAATTTAAAAAATACTTTATATTATAATTTTAATTTAAAATTAATTAAATTATTTTTAACTTTTTTTATTTTATAAAAAATAATAATTATAATAATTAATTTTAAAATACCTTTAAAATATTTAATTTTTAAATACGTTTTTTTAATTTTAATTAATTTTCGCTTTTTTATTTTAAATTTAAAAAATATTTTAAAACAGGAATAACTTAATAAAATAAAAAGGTAATATAATGTTTTACAATAAAATAACTTAAATTAAAGAGTGGGCTTGTCCAAAGACTTCTTAGACCCGATTTGTACATAAATATTGTACCAAGTACAAGGTACTATGTCCTTGACCCCTCATTTACAACCCTCACCCCACAGAAGATGAGTTATGATTTTGATACAACTCGTAGAATCAATATTAAGTACCTCCTACCGTAGGTAATCTAGATCAGATACGTATATTAGGTAGGTGTGTACCTAAATTTGGACCGTAGAAAAATGTGTGAGTGGATATGACAATATAAAGTCTCTCAAGTTAGCAATAAATACCTGGTTTCCGAAATACTTTATATCTACCTAGGTGGAGGCTGTTGGTATTAAAAACTACCTACCTCCTAACCTACCTAACCTAACCTAATCTTCGTCCAATTTACCTATTCTTCAAGAAGAAGAAGCTAGAATCAACACAATCATGAGAGGTACTCAACATGTTCGAGGAAAAACAACCAAGCTCTTGGTCTTAAATCCCAACTCCTCCAAGGCCATGACCGATGGCATGAACGTCGTCATCAATTCTGTAGACCTACCATACGTGCGTTAACACACGGCCCAAGCATTTCTCTCCTAACTTACCCCCAACATGAACTACATACAGTCAACCGAAATCCACACGTACACGGGCCCAGAGGGGGCACCCCCCAGTATAAACGACGGGAAGGACCTCGACGAGAGCACCGAGGCCGTGCTCGAGGACTTGGAGACCTCTTTCCCCAACGGCGTGAAATATGACGGCATCGTAGTCGCCTGTTACAGCGTGCACCCTCTTGTGCCCGCCATGCAGCAGGACCGTGCGAAATACCCCAAAGCTGTCACCGGTATTTTCGAGGCGAGTATTCTAGCCGCTTTATCTGTGCTCGCATACGGCGAGGCCTGGGGTATCGTCACCACGGGTAAATTCTGGGAGAAACACTTAGCTGCGGGCGTACGGAATTTCCTCGGTGCAGAAACAAGGAGCCCTGGTACCGATAATTCAAAATTTGTCGGAGTTGAATCCACCGGTCTGAATGCCTCCGACTTCCATCATGGCGTTGATCCCGCTGTTGTGAGGCAAAAGCTGAAAGAAGCAACTAAGAGACTTCTTTCTAAAGGCCGTGTCCGTTGTGTCGTCATGGGATGTGCGGGTATGGCCGGGTTGGAAGACATTATCCGAGAGGCAGCCAGCGAAGAAAATGGAGAGGACTTTGCACATTCTCAACTGCATGTTGTTGACGGCGTTAGAGCCGCAATAATGCAGCTCGAGCATACAATTAGATACCAGAGATTACTACCCGGGAGAACATGATAATGATGAATAGAAATTTATATTTGCCAATTTACCGTGTAATTACTCTAGTCAAATGCTTGCTTCTCCTACGTTAGATATGTCATTAAGCTTCTGGTACCGCGTATTAATCAAGTCGCCGCGTCCGGCCCCAGACTTCGTCCGCATCTTTCTTCCCCTTAGTTTCTGGCACGCGCCAGAGCACAAATAACCCACATAAAATAGCTAAGGCAGTAAATATGAAGTAAACCCACCCGGCACCTCCGAATCGCTCGTTCAGAGCAACGTTGATAATTGGGAAGAACTGGGCCACTAGGAACGTGGCAATATAATTTGCGCCCAAACAACAAGACTGAGTCGCGCCAACTGCTTCTTGTCCGACTAGCTCAGACGCAAGAATGAAGGGCACGGGACCAAGTCCGACGGCGAAAAAAGCGACGAAGAAAAGAACCGTAATTGCCGAGAGAACCTTGGTCTCGAACAAGATAGACAAGGCTAGTACGAGAGCGCTGGCGCCTTGCCCGAAGATAGAAAGGAGGAGGCAGGTTTTCCTGCCAAGCTTGTCCGGTAGCGGCGAACAGGCAACAGTTGTGATAAGATTAATAGCTGATATTACGATCGTCAATAGTGCCGAGTTAATCGGGAGGAGATCTCGGAGGAGCGACACCGAGTACATGATAATAGAGTTGATACCGCATAATTGTTGTGCGCACATGACACCGACAGCCGCAACGAGGGCGGGTCGGTATAAGGGGTCTCTTACTACCTCCATGAAGCCAAGATGACCATTATTCTTAGCACTAGCTTTACTCGAGGTTGATCCTCTCCTAGGACCATCAGAAGGATCGTTGAGAAGTCCCTCTTCCTCTGGTGTTAGTGCAGAATCCGCCCATGTGGAAGTCTCTTCACTGATATCGTAATGGCGTCCTCGGATTCTCTGTAATATATGCCTGGCTTGAGAAGCGCTCTTGTTCGCCGCCAGCCAAACCGGACTCTCCGGTATCAGGAACAAGCCGAAGCCGTGGGCAGCGCTGATGATGATCCCGGCACCGAGGATCCATCGCCAGGCAGAACCATAACTCAAAAAGTACCCCATGGTCTGTGTAACCAGTATGCCAACATTGATGCTTACCTGTGTCATGGCGCCGAAAGTACCACGTTCGCGGGGTGGTGCTACCTCACTAATATAAATGGGCACGATGACGGTGGCAGCACCGGCGCCAACGCCAGAGAAGATACGTCCGATAGCTAGCATAGCAATGGAAGCCCCAAGAGCTTCGATGATGGAGCCAATGATATAGAACAAGCTGGTCAACTTCATAGCCACAAGACGACCCTTAGCAGAGGCGATGGGACCACTTCCGAGTGCACCAACTAGGCCGCCGAGCGTAAACATACTTGATACGACAGCGAACTGAGCATCGTCCATCGGTATGCAATCGGGTAGCGCAGAGGATGCAGTGGGTTGATCCTTTATGAAGGATAGGGCGGCGGAGAATCGAGAGACGGACTGCTGCCTGACCCGACAAGAGATGACATCTTGAGGTGCATTGAGCTCGGCCTATAGAGGTTGAGGACGGATCAAAGATTAGAGACGTAGGTTTCAAGTAGGTCTAAGTTCTAAGTGACGACCAGGTCGACGAGACTTACAAGATGGAAACCGAACTGCAGCGGGCCGAGGGTACTAACGGCGACTAGGAGGAGGAGATAGGGAGAGACATCTCTGATGCACTGTCGTATCCCGGAGGACGACGCCATTTTTTCGGTATCAAAATATCAGATATAAAAACCTAGTGCAATTTCAAGAGTCTAACTAAACTAGGAGTAGATGTAGAACCGAAGAAAAGAAGTTTTTTTGATTGATTTCATGTTCGATGAAGAGATGAAGATAGGTATCCGAAGTTCCAAGTCGATAGAAGATGGGAGGTACAAATACAGGTACCTTAGGTACATGCAGGTACACGTAGGGCGGGTGTCTAATGCTAGTGTACCTAATATTAGCCTGGTTAAGCCAGTTATGTATTGTGTTGTATTGTACAGTACCTTAGGTAAGGTTCCGTAAATAACCCAGCCTACCCTTATCCCTTTAGGACCCAAACATGGGTCCGGCTACTAGCGTAACTTTTTAACTAGGAAAGCAATCTCGCTACCAAGCTATTGTCCCCCTGTATGTATCTTTTTTAAACATAGCGTGTTTTTACGTATGTTTAAACGCGTCTATACTTAATTCTAGACATTTTTAAGTATTCGGGTTTTAATCGTAAGTAGGTTTTGATGATATTGTAATATTACGTTCAAATGACTTACAATAAGTAATGTAATGCTTTGTAATACTAGGGAATGATAGAACGCGTGGCATAAGATAAACGATTAAATGATGTACTAGCCTTACGATATTTAATACAATGGCTAACTTTAATGAAAACACCAGTATTCAAATTATACTCATTGAAAAGTCAGTATAAAATAGCCTCAACAGCATATTTGTTTAATTGTTTACAAGCATGTAATTCGATACATTGACCAGATAAGGCCTCATATTGATTTAGTAGGGATGTGTCTAAACGTTGAATTTTGATACGTCAGGGCCAGCTACCTAGCAATACGCTACTGCATACTAGTCCTGGACCCATGTTTGGGTCCTAAGGAGATAAGGTTTAGTAAAGAGCAAAAGGTATTGTACCTGGTGAACTTATGCATCCATAAAGACATCTATTATGTAGATGATTTAATTCTATAAGAACATCCAAAGGTCTTTGCCAAATAAATACCCCACAATGTCTCTATTATGGCAACCCGTAATCAGGCACGCAAAACCCATGGCAAGGAACCATCAAGTTATGACCATCCTTAACATCCCTCAGTCGCTGAAGCCATAGGAGAATATCTACTTGTATGCCTTCGTAATACCAGAACTTGCATTGAAATAAAGTTAGTACGAAAGGATAAAGGATAAAAGGATAACTACCTAAGGTAGGCACCTTAGGTAGACCTAAGGTAATCTGTACGTACGTGTTTATTCCCGAAGCGGTCCGGGATGAATACCTTCGATCCTTGTTGGTAGGCCCAGTCCAACGAGAGCGACGAGCCTTCGTCTTTTGGCTTTCCTGGTTGAAGTATTTCGTAGACGGAGAACCGAGTGTCCAGCCGCGTCTTGGGCGATAGAGGCTTTTGAGCAGGCGAGTAGCCTTTTGTGAGGGTCTCGTTGACGAGAGGATGCAAACCTTGTACGGGGTCGTCCGGGCTGGTTCTATACAGAAGGCAAGTCGGATATTGCGATAGGATATCATCTACATCTTTCCACTCCTCGAACTTCTCCAGGAAGAATATGCTAGGACCGGGTGGGCTTCTCGCCAGTCGGAATCGCGAATCCAATTTACCGGAGCGAAATTCGACGTTGACGCCAATGGTTAGCGTCTCGAGTTGCTGGTCTTGATCTAGAACTGCTAGGGCTAGAGTCTCCAGCTGCGTATGCATCGCGAGGTCGTATTCTAAGCTGACATGTCTCACTGATAAACACGCAGCTAAGAAGATTGGATATGGTAACTCCCGAGTACCAGTAGTCCAACGTCGTGGTTCTCCCCATTCGAGTACGTCGCTCTCTACGTTAAACCGCGTGATTTTAGAGCTGCTACACATAATACCGAGAGCTACCTCATCCACCGATTGGGTTCCTAAGGATCGCTTTACGGCATCTCTACTAATCTGAAGCGGCTTATAGCTCTTTATAATCTCATGCCGTGCCTCGTGATTAACGAGAGCTAAACGCGGAAGGGGTGGCGCCCGGCCGTCGGGGATGATGCGATAGTGAATTTGCACCCAATCCGATTCTGTCGCGGCATTCCACGCATCTAGGTCCAACTTCAACCTCGCTGGGACGATGCGATGTGGTATAGCAAGACGCCATATCTTATGACGAAGCTCGGGGGGAAGGAATTGAAACTGAGGGAACGAAGAGTCCATTATGATGAATATCTATATCTACCTAGGTACCTAGGCAATGGTAGATATTGCCTTAGGAGGTAGGTTAGGTAGAGTAACAGGTATCTTAGGGGGTCGTAATTATGCGACGCAATATATCTCACCTTAAATCTCATCTCACCTTGGAGGGGTTGCCTCTAGTATCTAATCTCAATCCTCTTGATTTCGCTATTGGCCAATCAACATTAACCCCCTAATAACTTGGGTGAACTACGATTATCACCAACCTTTTTTATACATATATTTCATATAAAAGAGATCTTACACTTAGCAGAACTCTTCACTATTTCCAGACATTATTGGTTTTGAAAAATGAGCGGCTGTAACTGGTATACTGAATGATGTATGTTGACTACCTAAAAATAGGATAGTTTGATAGATGAGCAAAAATACCACACGCTGAAAACTTGGTATCGGTCGAAAAGAAAACCTTTCAAGATTTAGACTTCAACGTTGGCCACAGTTTAATCTTGACCGTGTCCACGCGGTTCTTGTCAAGTTCTAACTCATATCGATATTTGCCGCACTTTTAATCATCTTTCAATCAGCCAGCCCCTAGTTACGCCAATATTCGCCTACTCCCAAAACGTCTGAGAAAGATAATACATGTATGGTTTTATAGTTCACCTATTCTGTATCACTTCCTGGATGACTCGCTACCCACTGAACAGGAGCACGCTGAGTCTCGTTGTCTTCCGTTTCATTCACGCCGAATTTAGTCATGCTGAATTCAGGCATGCGTTTCTGCTCTTTCCGCAATACGCCACCATGCTTTAACCTGCGTCGTCTTAGAACCTCCATCTCTTCGGCTGTCTTAGCCTTCTCTTCTTCGTCGGCCAACATAGTACCTTCGATACTTAGGTATCCGTAATCGCCACTGACTCCAACCTCGTAATGCTTGATCCGGAAGTAGAGTTTAGCTCCTCCTCGTATTCTCTGTCCGGTCTCATTTACCCAGTAACCCGTAGTGTGCATCTGGGTGGTGTCGTCTTCTTGGTCTTCAACGGGTTCTGGGGTCGGAAGCTTGGCTTCCTCAGCCGTCTTCTCCCTGTCCGTTCTCTTGCCCTTGCCTCTGTCCTTCCCCTTATCTTTATCATTAGATAGCAAGTCAACCCAGCGCCAGCCGTGGGGTAATCGCGATGCTTCAATAGAAGCGTTGAACATGTTCCAGCAGACAACTCCGATATGTCCCTCGCCCTGCAGGTTCACTATACCTTCCATCGACGCACCTCGAGACGGACGGAATAGGTCCACATCGACCGTCAACCATCCAAAAGCTACGGCGTACTCGTTGACGGACTCAAGTAGAACAGTCTCCTTGGCCTTACTTTTTTCAGTCAGCGACCCCCTGCCTGGCGCCTCTCCAATGCGGGGGTTCCGATAAGCCAGCAGAACGCCGCGAAAGCTAGGAACGTAGCGATTGAGCAGAGGTCTGAGATGCTGGTCCGCAAAGCCTTCTATCGGCTCAATTAAACCCGACGGAAATAGGGGCAGGTACTGCGAAACAGTCTGGGTAAAGAAGGGATATTCGCTGGGCGCGGGCTTTTGACCAAATTCGTCGGAATTGGAAGTATCAGTATCAACAGGCATGGAATCGATATCCATAGCATCCACTTCGGCATTTTCTCTCTCTTGGTTATGCGCTGCAGGCTTATCATGCTTCTTCTTATGTTCCTTTGACTTCTTCTCCTTTTTAGGACTGCTCTCGTCTGCTGCGCCATTCTGCGCTATTTGGTGCTCTTCTGCAATTTGTATAGTTTGGTCCCTATCCTTATGTCTTGGTCTCCTCTTCTTCTTCTCTGCTTTGCTGTCGTTGCCATTTGCTTTTGTCTCCGGTATATGCGCATCTGGCAAGTTGGCCACTATTTGGACTTGGACTTCTTCTTCGGTAACCGGAGTATTGGCGCTACTTTTTGATTTCTTGTGCTTTCGCTCGGTACCTTCGGTGTTATCGGCTTCACGGTGTCGCTTATGCTTCTTATGAGACTTAGATTTCTTGTCGGGCGTCGACGTGGGTGCTGAAGGTGTAGCATCTGCCATTGTGCAAAGAGGGAAGTTGGCGCAAGTAGAAAAAAAAGAAGAAGTTGAGATTAGAATCTATCGTGATTTAGCATTTAGGTGGTTTAGATATCATAATATGATTCTGATTAAGGTACCTAATGTTAAAAAAAATAAATAAAAAATAGTAGAGTCGGATTGAGCTAACAGGTGATGCGCCGGCGTAGAATTGTTAAGGACTTTGAACCGTAAATTTTTTTTTATTTTTTATTGCTTAACGGCTTTCGGTGTTATCGATAAGCTGGTCGCATTTCTTTTCTTCCCAGTCCGCCCCCGAATTTTTATCTGTACAGTTTCCTCAACTAACAACATTATTTCTGATATACCTGCTATGTAGAATACCATTATTATTCATTTCAATCATATATTGTTTTCTACTCGTTCCCAATATTTTACATGTTATTAGGTACGATTATGTATAACAGGTACTTAGGTACCCACGATGCCTCTTATATAAAGGTAACCTGTCATAAGGTCGATCAGGTGTATGAAAATCATTAATTGTTCATTTTCTCATGTCGTGTTTGGTAGATAGGTAAGGTACCTAAGGTAACCCGGTATTAGATACCTGATATTGGGTACATATCGGAACTCTTTTGGCAAATATAAGAACGATGTAACCTAGGTCGATAGCCAAACAGACCTTCAATATCCTTTCCCGCCGATAGCTCTCTCGACGGCAGCGCTTAACGGTTCCATGTCTTCCGGCCTGAGGCCCAATATCTCATTATCGGTCTTGTCGTATAGCGTACCACCTTCGGCCCAGATGCGTTTCAGCGTGTACAGCGTCGCAATCGGGTCGTTCGCATTCCACTTCTCATTCTCGATCTCGCGAAGTTTCTGAATTGGTGTGTGCTCGACCGTCCACTTCGACCCAGTCTGCTTCTCAAATTCTGCCACGATATCGTTCGGCGTCGTAACGAACGACTGGACTTTGAGGGCCTTGTCTATCGATACCTCGGGGTGCCGGAGTGCTGCAACCACCAGCTTACCCACGCTGCACGACGTCCAATTGTGTTAGCAAGCTGAGTTGAACAGTTGCTTTTGACTGCTACTAGGTTGCTAGGTAATACATATGCGCGAAATGAGAAGAAGACAAAAACTAAGGCTTACTCGGGCATGGTTGTGAATCCAACCCTATCATCTCCGCTTCCAATGACTACAGCCTTCTTCGACTTTACGTCGTAGCCCCCAGCCTCCTTGGCTACTGGCGCAAGTGTCAAGTACATATCGATATACGGACCGGTTACGACGTAAGTGCACTTGACCTTTTTCAAATTCTCACGGATATATTCCCGTACTCGGAGCTTGTTCTGGTGCGGCTTTTCATCCTTACTGGAAGCGTCGTATTCTATATCCGTGCCGTATTCGCTAGGGAAAAACCACTGTACGCCGCTCTCTTCTGCAAGCTTGAGTAGTTCGATTTGACTCGCGAGTGCATTTCTCCCCAAGCACGAGATGACCGTATCTATACCATTGTAGGCATTTCGAATATCGTCGGCGTTGCTAAGATCGCCTGTGATGACTGATAATCCCCGAGACTTCCATGACGATAATATGGCCTGCTTATCTGGGCTGGATGCCGTGGCGGGAGACGTGAAGATAGAGACGTGACGGCCAACGTTAGGCTCAGCTGAAATTATAGCACCAGTAATGTATTTGCCAATATTACCCGTCGCCCCAAAGATAAGTATATTAGACGGAAGTTGGCTTGCCATAGCTAGGTACTATTCAAATCGTAGAAAGTATTATGATGATTCATGCACTTTGGCGCTAGCCGTATGGAAGAGGGATACATATCATGACCTCGCATTGCGGGGTTAGTGATAATTTTTTTTATTTTTCTTTTCTTTCTTTTTCCGATGTTACCCGATCATCTATCATATCCTACGAACCATCAAAATTTTAGGCTGGTTAAGCAGTTTGGTCTCATAGCTACCCGGGTAAGCCATTGCATCAATGCTAGCTACATTGTATATTGACATCATCCATAATTGTCGGCATGCTTTCCGAAGATCTTCTAAAATACTAGAGAAATAACGCTCATAAGCGACTACATATACCTAGGTATGGTATATACCTTGTGTACTTGCCGTACTGCGCACACCCAAGACAGCCAATCCATACAACTTAAGATATAAAGCGGGAGGTATCAGCTTTAGGTAACAAACACATCGGATCCGCCCGATAATTGGTAGGACTAGACGCGATAGTCGGAATAGGATGTCCGTTGAACTGGCCACGGGGGTAGTCCTGGAACACCATACGTGGATATGGCTCATAGGAACTTACGGTGGCCCCAGGCGATGAAGTCACGGCATTACACATTTTTCGATGGGTTCTATGGGATCAATTTCTGGGGTAAGACTGGGGTAAAATCATGGGGATACCATGTTGTACTCGTAAGATCAAGAACTGATCTCCCGTCTCCATATCTAATCTCCATATGTGTTAAGGAGATAGGCTGCGTAACGCGTAATGTATAGACCGCTTCGTTGGTGATCAAATGCATACATACATACCTACCTACGTTAGGTACACATTGTATTGACATACAACCCGGACAACCTGCCAATTTGTCTCTTTTCCAAGTCTGACTGTGTAGTACTACTAACTGCGAACGTAGATCGACGTAGGTAGAAAGTTCTGCAGGTACTGCCGAGCTGATTCCAACCTCTTGGAACAGAGCCCTTGCATTTGGAGAATAACTACCTAGACAGGATTACATAGACTGGGGGGGCGGCACACATTGACGACATGTTATTCCATGGGTTATGCCGATCATTGCGGTTTAATCACTCAGCTGTCTAATCAATGCCGACTGGTGCTCTGATAATGCGGGTAGATCAACGACCAACGACCTTTCGGAGCTCCTAGTCCGCCGGATGTGGGCAGAACTGCGTGATAGAACGATCCAGAGAGGGCATGTCGCTTCTGTATAACTCGTAGATTAATGTACTATATACTATCAGTACAGAGGGAATATAATCCTATCTTAAATGTTCCGATAGAATCTGCCGGCATGGTAAAGGACCAAGAAGGCCAAATGCCGGCGAGGTAGGTAGATATCTCATGTCAGGCTATCATCTAGCCCAACGAGCGGGAGTCTGCAAGCGCTGTAAAATATCTTACTAGGAGAGAGTAGTATATCGAACATGCGCATTCCTCCTGTATGAATGACAGGTAAAGACGATCGGATGGAGGCGACGAATGACCTGTAAATGTTCCGATAAGACTTTCTTAGGAGCTCTAAAAACTAGCACACCCAGACATCCGCTCCATGGATCCCCGATTCCCGACCTCGAAACGACATTGAACTATCATCAAATCGACTTTCTGCTTCAGAAGATTCGTCCCATGTGGTTGCCGGTCCATATCTATTACACAATTCAAACTGCTTTTCCGACTAGCCCCAACTCTGGTAGCGTGACAGTCTCGCCAGTAGGGTAGCGTGTGCGTAGGTTCTGGTGTTCTGGACTTCTTGGTGCTGAATGGGGATTAGGCTATGCGAATGCTACGGGTTGGCAGGTTGGGCTGATATTGGCTTCGGATACTTCCAGGCCAAGCGGACACAGTAGAGAAACTGTGCTAGGAAAAGATTGGCGGCGTGCCATAAGTATCTAGGTACCTAATTACTCAGTTACTTGGCTATTTTAGAGCATGTCCTATTTTAAACCTCCCCGTAGACGTCATTCCTTCATCATCATTATCATGTTCGTCATTGAGTAGCAATCCTTCGTTTTGTAAATATGTCAAGCTTTGTTACTGGTATAAATTAGCTAGGTACCTACCAGTAATTTATGGGAACTAGAAAGGATATTTAAAGCATCTTCGAAGGAACTGAAAGGGGGAGGGGGGGACTCCTAATTATTACCTAGTAGAAACTTAAGGAGCTTCTATTCTCATGTAAGTGGTTTAGCAATCTCGGACTCGGTTAGTAAGAATGTTACTTTAGATATGTATGTAATTAAGGAACCTTGTATAATACAATCATCTTATGGTGCTATTGGACCGTGTTGAAGCAGATTGGGAATAAGTGGCACGCATATTTAGGTACAATACAATACACTACAATACTCTTTCTTAGGTACCTAACATAACCTACCTACCTGGTATTCTTTAAGCTACACTGTGTGAGATACACTTGCCATTACAGATCCTCCTCCTAGGTATCATCTCTCTCTTTTTCTCTGTCTCTACCAAGGTAATATGTAGGAATGTAAGTATGATAGGCATGATATGTATGTACATGGCAGGTATTGTACATAGGTATCTGGATTACAGGGTAGTATCCTTGCTTATAATAACTTCTCCACACCTTCTTCTCCAGAGATTAGGTAGGTAGGTACAAGCAAGGCAAGGCAAGGCACCGTACCACCTGCACCTCCTGGGTTCTGATCAATGATGAGAGAAGAAACAATTAGCTACCTGCTTCATATGCAATACCGGAGCTCTTCATACGGCAACGAGATGTATAGCTTGTAGATACCGAACGAAACGCGCCACCGTCAGGTGTTGTATTGCTATCAGAGAACCGCAAGCCCAGTACGCTTAGCATCATATATCCTCGGCAAACTCGCTGATAAAAGGAGCTCAAAGGCACCTCTACTTGCTCAGTTTTTGGAAGCGTTTTGAGTAGCAATACAAGTGACAAGTCACCACTACATCCTTTCACACATAACATAGCCACCTACCTCACATACAAACAAAAGCATACCTGCTTATCCTACCCTGCTGGTTGCACCGCACCGCTTTAACAGCTGTCTGCGTTGTATAATATTGACATCAACCTTAGAAATCTTGACGCCATCGTTTGGTTCGTTCGTTCGGTTTTTGGACGCCCAACCAAGCTTTGAAGTCCGGTCTCGACCTAATAGGCCCCAATAATTTACCTACAATCACGTCGTCGAGTCCCTACCATTTGCAAACGGGGAGGAGGGGGAACTCCAGCTTTTTTGTCCACTTTGCCGCAGTAGTAGTATAGACTTGCTACAAACACGGCCGGGTCTAGTCCAGCAACGGGAAGACCAACGAGTTTCTAAACTGAACACCGTCTTTTCCCCTTCCACCCTCTAGCCTCCACAACCTCTTAACGTCCAACCAGCCGTACCTACCAAAATTGAAAACAATTTTTATTAATCGCTATATTGGCGACCTTGGTGCGCTTCCCACCCAATCGGTTACGCCACCCATCTATGTGAATTCCACTTCTCGACGAGTCCATAATAAGAAGTTCACGTGCTTCTGTCAATAGTGTTTTATTTATTTTTTTTCCCTTTCTATTACGTCTTAACTATCTGCAAGCCCGTCTTCCTCTTTTAGCTTTGGAGCCTTCGAACTAGTTCTTCACCCATAACCCCCCTTTTTTTCTGGTTTTCCAAGAGCTACAACATAAGTAGTCTGGTGCTATCTTGAATACACGCACTACGCTACATAATACTACACTACCTTCTCACTACATAAAATCGCAGCTTTTTGGACTCCACACCCATCCACACCCATCCACACCTCCGCCCATCCATACAACTTTGTTCCATACCTCTTAGTTAGGCAGTACATTTGACACATCCACACCTAACATAAGGTATTCATTCACCATTACGAAACCGGGTGTTCCCGACACAAGCGAATCGTCTCTTTCAAGGTTCCACCGGACGACACGAATATTTGAACGATCTGATCTATAGCAATTCTAAATTGCCTAACAGTCAAGCCAGCGACAAGATCGGTAAACTCAAACTTAATTCATCGGCTATATTTTTGGCGGCGCCAACCTTGGTGTGTCTGAGGACCACTTCATCATTTCCTGATATCTGCACGGAAGTTTCTGGTGTGCCACCCTGGTCCAAAGCCAGACTCTCAGAAATTGCATCGAACCCAGGAAATATAATAATCAAAGGGCCTTTACCCCCTGTCCTGGTTTATAAAACCCGACAATATATCAGCCCAATTGTCCCCTACATTTCAACCTCGTTTTGGAACCTTGTATTTCATGCCAATTATCCCGCATTCTCTTCCCAAGAAACTACTCAAGAAAACCACTTGTATTGTCGTCTGTAAAAGGAGACGACGTTACGATTGTGATCGTCGGATCGACAGGACGAGTGTGCACTTAGACGGAAGTTGGCCCCGTTGTTCACGCTCCGAGACGAAAATTCGCAGCTTCTGAAAGCCCACTTACACCCGGTACCATCCCACCGCCGATCAATTGGTTACTCTACAGCTCGACTTGTGTTCCATTCCTCTCCTCCTCCTCTCTACTTGGACACACTCCTTTAGTTCAATGCAGCTCGCCGTCAGATACATAGCGCGAATTGAACATGTTCTACCACAACGTCAACATGCATTACACAGATGAGCTGATGGAATCGGGTCCCGATTCAATTGCATATCACAACATCGACTTCGCCATGCATAAGTATCTCTTATTGCAGAACCAACACGAAGAGCTTCGGCAACATATGCACGATCTCTGCCCTTCCTATACGACGTCTTCTACTGCGGTGACTTCGCCTTCAGTCTCACCAACACGGTCGCTCAGCGGTAGCCCATCGCTTAAGCTTTCACCTTCCCCTTCGCGGAATCACCGAAGATCATCACTTTCGTCCGTTAGGAGCTCGGGATACCGAAGCTCGCAGACTCAGCTGGAACCGGTCCTGGACGAATCATTGATTGAAGAAATGGCGGCAGAAGAGCAAAAGCTCTTCGACGTCAACGAGAGCATCAAGAGAGCCCTAACAGAGCTTCTTAACTGCGACACGGTACGGAAGGACCAGGAAATGCGAACTTGGGTGCAGACCCGGTTAATGAACACGGAAAGGGAGCTGCGCAGCGGACGAAGACGGCGAAGCCATGGTGGATTTGACTAAATGGAAAAGAAAAAAGAAAAAGAAAAAGAAAAGAAGTAATTGGTTTCTAGGTTGGAGCGATGTGTCGAAAATTGGTTGATCTTCAGAGGGAAGGAAAAGAAAAGGGACTTAGACGGATCATGGTGGATTAAGGGGCTAAAGGGATATTGGGTTTAGGTTTGGAAAACTCGATACCTATTTGGATTCTGGCGGCGTTAGGGAACCTGGCAGCTAGTTCTGTGTGGGACATCACCAATTTTTCATCTGAAGTTACCTATTTAGCTTATTTAGGGTGATTGGCGACGGAACCTTTCTTGGCTGCTTGGTGAGAGGGTGAACGTGGCAGATTTTTATTTTTATTTTTATTTTTCGTCTGGGAAAGGCGCTAGGTACAAGCGGGTCGAGTACTACCTTAGGTACCTGGTAATTTTCATTCGAGGTTTTCTATGTATATAGAAAGCAACTTCGAGATTTATGGGATATAGGTTAGGAACCTACTTACTTAGGAGGTACATATCACAGTTTACATATTAAGCAAAAGACTTAGGAAATGTAAATAAGAATGGGACTGCTGCTGTTTGAAATTGGGGATAGTTTGCATTAATATTGTTCATCTACCTAGGTACTTATGATTACCTGTTACGTATTAAAGCTTATTAATAAATTGGGTATCCGAGTATGAAACGACTTAAGTTGTGATAGCTTCAATATCGAAAGTGTTATGATGTACTAAGTGGTAGGTACCTACCTTGATGGATTCCACGGATGAGGTACCTAAATGTACCGCTCGTCTGCGCAGCCACCAGCCACATAGCCATACAGCCACAGATGGTTTCGTCACAGATGTACCTAGGTACATAAGGTACCACGTAAGGTCAGGACCCACTTATGCTCATGAGGTACCTTTCTTACGTACCTTTTTGCTTCTTTGCCTTTCGCGTCTCATCATCGACTCTATTATTTCATCCCTCATATGTACAGATACAGTCGCCCGAATGCCTACCTCTTAAGCCCGACCGCTCTCCACTCGACCGTCTACCACTACATCCTTTGACTATCGGGGAACCCTGACGAAAAGAAAAAGAAAAAAAAAACCCAACGTAAAGGATGTCGGTTCTACTCGAGACGAGTGCCGGCGACATAGTGATAGACCTATTAGTTGATTACGCGCCAAAAGAATGTGAGAACTTCATAAAACTCTGCAAGGTCAAATACTACAACTTCTCGCCCGTTCACTCGATCCAACAAAACTTCTCATTTCAAACTGGCGACCCTCTCGGCCCTATCTCTGCCGCTTCCGATGGCGGTTCCTCGATATGGGGTCTTATATCCGGGCCCTCTAAGAAGACGTTCAATGCTACATTTCATCCAAAGTTGAGACACCTTGAAAGAGGTACTGTCTCAATGGCTACTGCCCCCCACCCGTCCGACCCCGATGTCCGTGTTGCCGGTAGCCAATTCATCGTCACCCTCGGCGACAACACTGATTATTTAGACGGGAAAGCAGCTATCTTTGGAAAGGTGGTCGAAGGATTTGATGTACTCGAGAAAGTTAATAACGCCATCACCGATAAAGACGGCCACCCACTCGTTGATATTCGCATAAAACACACCATCATCCTCGATGATCCCTATCCCGACCCATCTGGGTTACGAGAGCCTAGTCAATCGCCGCCGCCGTCCAAGGAGCAGCTTGCTACAGTCAGGATCGCCGACGATGCGCCCTTAACAGAAGAGGTAGACGAGGAGGCGGCGGAAAAAACGCGGCGTGAAAGGGAGGCCCGCGCGCAGGCTCTCACACTTGAGATGATGGGCGACCTTCCATTCGCCGAAGTTAAACCTCCAGAGAATGTACTTTTTGTCTGCAAACTGAACCCTGTAACGACCGATTCCGATCTCGAACTTATATTCAGTCGTTTCGGGAAGATTCTGTCATGCGAAGTGATACGCGACAAGAAGACGGGGGATAGTCTGCAATATGCCTTCGTCGAATTTGAAGACAAGGCAGCGTGCGAGTCGGCTTACTTCAAGATGCAAGGTGTGCTCATCGACGACCGAAGGATACACGTCGACTTCAGTCAGAGCGTGAGCAAGTTGGCCGAGGTCTGGAGGGGCGGCGAAAACGCCAAGAGAAAACGCAGGCGCGAGGGTGGCGGATGGGGTGGCGTCAAAGGGCTGGAGAAATGGAGAAAATACAGAGAAGACGACGGCCGGGACGACACCGAGGATCATTACAGCATGGTTTACGGAGAGGAAGAAATGCGAGGCCGGCATGAACGACAGAGAGACAGCCGAGATCAAGATGACCGGCGGAACCGAGATCCTGAACGCTTCAGAGATAGAGATAAGGATAAGATCCGTGACGATGCGGATCAAAGCAGACCTCGGGATGGTGGATATGGGCGCGACCGGGATGGTAGACCGCAGTCGCGAAGTCGAAGTCCAGCGAGAGATAAGCCTCGAGATAGAAACCGGTACGATAATCACCGAAGGAACGATCGCTTTAGGCACCGAGATGAAGACCGGCGTGGGAATAATCAAGAAAGAGACCGGCCCCGTGGCGATTATAGGCGGAGATGACAGCCTGTTTCATTCAGTATCTTTCATATGAGCCGACTATCATATCGTGTAGGGTGGGTTTAGTTAACGACCGCCTCCGGCCACGTAAATCAAATTTTACGAAGCCGTGTTCTAATTCTAAATCTGGCTACCCAAGCAGCTACTTAGACCACGCGGCCATATGCGGTCGTGATAATTTAATTCTGCGTATAGCTTGGGTATAGGGATATACCTTCTTACGTTATAAGTACCTAACCTAACCTCAGGTACCTAACCCATTAGGTACGCTTCAACTCATTCATATCCCTTAAATTCCTCATACGTTCGGTAGCGATCACCGGCACAAACGGATTTATCTTTATACCTCACATAAGCACATTTATGTCTACCACCGACTTTTGTTAGAGGTCTAAGTCATGCTATATTAAGTCTGGAATGGACAAATATCGGCTTGACAGAGTGCAGTGAGGCATAGATTCGACGACTTGATAGTGGCCATCTTTTGGGTCTTCATGTTCGTCCTGCGCCTGGTAAGAAAGAAGAAGAGTCGATTCAAGAGTTTTCGATGCCACTATGACAAATTCTCAAGTCAGAGCAAAGTTTAGGCACTCAACTAGCCATTCTGATCAGCAATGAAGAGGTTGGTCGATCTAGGTTAGGTTAGGTTAGGTCAGGTAGGTACGCGGGATATAGACAATCTATTCGAAATTGTAACTACTCGATAAAACTTACCTGGTTCAAAGTCTTGTTGCTGTCTTGTTCAACGTGTGACATATACTATAACCTTTCCTCCCGGTAACACCGATGCCGCTGTCACCCGATAGCCCTCTACAAGGCGTCGAAAAAGGAAGAAGTGGCACCTCCAAGGACACATACATACTACCGGCGAGGTTGATATTAATGGCATTGCTATAATGAGTCACCACTGCTTGTGGTGGTAAATAGAGAGCGCCTAAGCCATCGTGAAAGCTTGGGATCGGATCTACGTAAAATACGAGGACATGTATTAGATGCTAATATACGTTTGCTGATCAGAGCAAACGGCTATGATAGCTATCCGAAGCGTTACTCCACCCACCGACATATCAAGATTTATGTCTATTGCTTCGCTTCAGTTAGCATGGGCTATCCACATCTATAGATCAGGGGTGTGTTGCGAGTATATACCTGAACCCAGCCGGCTCCCTTAGGTACGGGCTTCGATTGCTCGCAGACTAGAAGCTCAATGGAACAATGGAAGGCGGCTCGACGATGCAAGTGGCTCGTGGCTTGCCGCTGGTCGCCATCATGCAGATTTGAAAGTATTCAAGTATCCGCTTCATAATTCCAGGTTCTACCTTAGGGACCTACCTAGGGACCTAGAAACCGCACGCACTACCTACCAGGTAGGTGAAAAAGGTGTACTATCTATCACCTTCGAAATCTTATATCAAGGTGAGGCCTTGGCACGGGGCAAGGATAGCCTAGCATGGTAAAGAGATTGGATACTTTCATGTACTCCTTCTGTTGTTCACCTCCCTAAATATGGATATTTTAGTGTTCATTTTGAATTACCGGGTTCCTATGCTGTGGCAAAAGTCTCGGACCGGGATTGACGGAGCTCTACATACATAGGTAGGTAGGTACCTTAGAGGTAGGTACGTAGGTAAAAGAGACAGACTTATGTCGGACGACATGGGATAATCATGAGCTTGCAATAGGCCGTCTTTCCCGAGGTGGGGGGTAAAGCCATCAACCTGCTAGACTGCGAGGTTCGCGAGTTGAATATCTCCTTTGTCGTGCTACGAGTCGTTCCTGAATTCTAACCCGAGGTGAAGGATATTGATATTACTCAACGCTAGTCTTAAGAGCGCCTAGGACCGATCAAGGCTTTCTCTTTATCAAGAATGCGTTATCGTCCGGAATTAGAATACAGGTTTCCTCCTTATTGCCTCTTGAAGTTGGTCACCTCGAGACCGTTTTCTGCAAGGTCCCCAAGTCCGTGTGACAATATCTTGATGGCACTTTCTGGGCGTCCAGCTGAACCTGATCCTAGAGTCTGTTCACTACCTAGACTTCGAGCTTCGAATATACGTCTCCGCTCTCCTGTCTTAGCCTGATATTGGCTGTCGCTCCCGTAGGGGATCGTTGTTATAGCCAGAAGACACATCATAAATACCCAGCCGGGAGTTGACGTACTTTCCCGCCCTTGTCAATTTGAGGTTATCCATTAAGTTGGATCGGAACTCCGACTTTGTTCTACGAAACGAATGAGCAGTTTTGAAAGAGCTCCGAGGGTCACACAGAGGGGATATATACCATCCTCCACAGCAATTCCTGGGGACGATCGATCGGTCAATGTTACTGTAAATCCAAATCTTCGGTGTGTAGAGCAGATCTTTCGCGAATGGCACCGTTCTAGTGAGCAATAAGGGTTATCTTCTATTTTGATGCACTCTGGCGTTAACGCCTCTGTGATCTTCCTCCCACCTTCGACGGGACAGGACAGGTAGGTAATATTGATGAAACGTTTAGTTGTTGCCAATGTTCATTTCTAAGTCTAGTTCAAGAATACATCTATTTAATTAGAGCACCTTAAAGAACTAGAATGGGATCAAAACTTCCGTAGACCATCAACATAGTTCGCAAATAGGCCTTACCCCAGGTACGGCACTCATTTTCGACCCTGGCCACTAAGTCTCGCCTATGCACTAAACTTACCTACCAGGTAGGTACTTACTCCAAAGACTACTATTATCGACTTGTATCATGGCAATATGAACCCCCAAAATGTCTCGCATACTGACGGACACGTTTCAGCCAATGATATAGCGGCCGGTGGCACGAATAACGGCTACCTGCAGCTTCTTATAGATGACTGACAGCGGGGACATGCACGTAGCCGCGTAGCTGGAAGGAAAAATTTCCGTTGTTAAGTTCTGGCACCTATTATCTCCCAGCTGCGAAGACCATGTGCCTTGATAGTGACATGTGTGCTCTTCTTGCCCGCGTTTCCACTGTGTTCGGAAGCTTGATGAGAGACAGTAGCACTTTCCAATGGCTTGACTTATTCCGTATGTATGATACAAGCTTGCACTTGCAAGCTCACTGGAACTGCCACGGGGATGGAGAAGTCTTCCTTTGTCATAGATTGAACGAGTCTCCAGGGCCCAAAGAGATTCACTCGATACGAGTTACCCTCGCTGAGAGACGTTACGTCCCGTCTCCATGCCCCCATACCTCCATGCCTTCCATGCTTTCGTCCTTGTTAAACTATCTTAGGTACCTACGGTAGGTACCTAGTGAACCCAACCTTCTAGGTACAAGATGGGCGACCATCCCTTATAGAAAAGTCCATATCATACTTATTTAGGAAATGACCCCCTTTCAGCCCTATTATATATGATCGAAAGAGGATACTTAACTCGCTTACCATATACCATGACGGATTAGCTTATCATTGACGCCTCTTGGAAACGGCTTGCCATAAAAGGATTAAATGACATTCTGGCTAGGCAATCCTCCTATAGGTCGATAAATCTGGACGGGGATCTCAGTTCTGATCAAACAAGGATTAGCATCGCGTATCTATAATCTACATGGCGCATCCCGCAGGCGTAGGTACGGCGTGCTGCTCACTTATTATGCAGCTGAGCTATACATACATCTAGCAATCTGTGCGAGACATCATTTTCCTCTGCATATAGGTGGTTTGCCCACCAACCGAGTGAATATTACTGGATGAGACTGCCAAATCGGATCTCTGACCAGCCTCATACGCTTATTGATCTAGTGTAGACCCTGCTGATCTAAACGATTCATACAAGTAAAAAAATGATAGGTCACCGGCAGAGCCGTTGGAATCGACTAAGGCACTTATCGTCAGTTGCTGCAGGAGTAATCTCTTTGTAGAATATCCTCTCATCCCCGATGTTGCTAGTCTTGAATTTCCCTGCCGTCTTCGGATGCCTCAAGGTGACTGTTCGCATGGGAACAGTACGAAAATTACCCAAGTATATCAAGCAGACTAGGCTTCGTCGAAGTACGTAACTAGAGTAATAGATTCTACCAATTTGGGAGAGTACAGAATAGGCGGTGCTAAAACCGAGAAAACTCCAAAGTACTACTGGGGGAAGGATGCTGGTGTGACAGTGTCTGGATCTACAATACTGGGAGGGGGTTTCGTTTGTGTTGTGCTAGGCTTAGAATATGTGAGAGGACCTGTCATGTACACTACATCTCACCCATGATCTCCAATAGTAACTATAGGCAAACACCGCATGAGTATTGACAAGTCTATCAACTAAGTACTCTAAACCTACATCCGAGTTTGCTGTTGCTTATCTACCCCTTTCGTAGACCATGCCATGCGTTAGAGAAAGGGCAAATACATCTAACTCCTGAATAATTTGTTGCGGAAGTGGTCTTTGCGCCTCTTTAGACCGGATGGAGCGGCTGTGGCTTCATGTAGGCTTGGCTAGCCGGCGTGGAAGAAACAAGACCTTTCTGTCATGTTTTTTTTTCTCTTCTCATTTGAGACCTTCGCCATCTACCCCGCTAAACGTTTTGAAGTGATAGAATACAGCGGTCTTCTGAATCGAGAACGTTAAGGTGGACCAACCAAAGACCTCATTTCTCGTTTTCGCTCTCCTTGGTACCTACTTTCCCCCCTTTCCACCGTCGTCACACAAAGTGCAAATACACGTATGCAATAAGGTGACGAATAACTGCGTCACGTAGGTAGGCGCTTATTCTTGAGTGTCTCGACGTTGGGCAGCACTGAAGACTCTCTCTCTCACTCTCTATGGCGAGCAAAGTCATCCCATTGTCTTACCCGACGTTTGCGTCCTCAGTAGGACGAGAGCCGTTGGTCAAAGTAACCCCCATGGTGTTTGCTCTGGCGATCTTCCGCAATACCCAATGATCAACTACTCGTTACCTGATCCGTCTCCCCCCCCCCCCCCCCCCCCCTCCACTTCACGCAGAAGACAGGTTACTTGGACACGGGGATGGCTTTGTCGTAATTACACATATCGTTGTCCGCTGATAGATCGTGCGTTAAAGCTTTCTGATATCTTCTTAGCCTTATACTTTATGGCTTGAGCTGCTTATTATCTACCTATCACGACGTCTTAAAAGTGAAGATCAAAAGCCGGGACTGGAATCGTAGAGTATCAGCAAAATACCGACCCCCGTTTCTCCTCACGGGTGACGTGACCTGTAGACCTCGCCATCGTAGCTGAGGATGTGAAATGCATCCTGGGGTAGGTAGCCTGGTCTGGTACGAATAAAATATGCCGGTCTCAGTGTATGAGGCCCACCTGGTTCGCTACATCATCTATATAGATTGCATCGAGATTGGCCACTCACCAAGCCCCAACTCCAGATGGCCTTGACCCTCCCGGGAGGATCGCCCTGACATTTTACGTAGCCTCCCCGCCGGCCTTATAGGGGTACTAGCTGGTTGTGTAGGTCCTCCCCTTTTCAGAGTGAGACGAAGCGCGCGTTGGACTACGATGGAAATACAATTCGACATATAGTATACATGGCTAACCTAGAGTTTTGCTCATCATGCAGTGGCCATGCACCTAACCGCTCCTCTCATGTACTTGTACCCTTGAGTCCGTGTAACAAGGCTAGACTAATCGACCTTATAGTCATGGATGGACATCTCGATGTGACACCTGTCGTGTTATGAACCAAGGGCAGAATGACAAGTACTCAGCAAATATCTACCCTGAGGAGCTTCGCAACCCGGTTGCAAACAGTAATATTAAAGCAGGCCTGCTGGGAAAGTTGTACGGGATTATAACAGTCACAGAACTTGCAGTTTTCTCAATTCCCATCCCTGCTGCTTTTCGGTCGTGATTTACACGAGTCGTTTCCTCTCGCCTCTGAAAACTGCCAGGTTTGATCAATTCTCTAATGAAACATCAGAGTCTGACAAGACGTGAGGGACCCATCAAAGTTCTAACCTCTCATCACGTTGAGATCTTGGAGCTGAAATAAGTTAGCGAAAGTCAGCTGTCGGACAGCCTGGCCCCCCCCTGTTCCTCTCTCCGTAGAAAGGGCTCACTGTTTCTCTCATCAATCTCTCTCTCTCCTGCAGTCGCAAAGCAAAACAAGAGCCCGTCTCTCTCCGTTTATACAATCCGATAGGACGGGGACGGACTGAACACCGTCCTTGTCTCTCACGCACCCGGCCGCGCGAATTCGACTGGTGGCGAAAGTACAATGGTGACCCCGGCTTGTTATCCACCCAGCGACGTTGGCAGGCGATATAGTCGTGCCTGTCCTCCATATCCGAGCGCATACTCGGATCGACGCTACCACTCGTCACAAGACGTAAGATCAACCGCTATGACAGATCGCGAAATAGATTCGGAGTCATCTCAGCCTCGAAAGAGGATTGCAGTGGCAGTAAGTCAGATAGATGTTTCTAATCCCGCCTTGCCATAGCTGGCTAACTAAACACCTACGCACAAAGTGTGGTCGATGCCGCAAGCGCAAGATCCGATGTAGTGGCGACCCCGGGAATGGGCAACCATGTAGCAATTGCAAGAACGCAGGCCATGAGCCTTGCCTTTTCTTAAGGGTAATCTTCCGCCGATCACACCAAGAAGATAAAAGAAGACACGATATTAGCATGGAGAAACGTTTCTAACCTTTTTGTCGATTCTCTAGGTTTCTTCAACTGAGACTCAACTTAGGAATGACGGCAACGAATTTGGGTACAACATTGAGGTGGCGAGGACATACAGCAACCAGACAAGGGTGGCTGTATCTCAGCTCAGTGCGGTCCCCCAATATTCTGGCGAAGATGTTATAGCATCGTACCGCCAGGGTCACCAATACACCTCTTACGGGGGAAAATACCCTTACTCGACCGTTCCGGGGTGGACGAGTACATACTCAGATGAAGGCGTCGAATACAACGGTCTTAATTACCCCTACCAAATAATAAGCCAGGAGCCTGCTCATATAGTGCAAGGATATGGGCGATACGGCTCAGGGAAACCGGTTTATGTCGATCCGGAGAGCTCGCAGTATTCTTTTGGGAGCTTAGCTCACCGCCCAGTTACAAGCAGCGAATCTCCCACCGGGTTTTCGCTTTCTGGAATGGCAGCATCTCTCCCCAACGCTTCAGATCGGATTGTCCCTTCTGATCGGCTACTTCCCCAGGTCAATAGAACATTAACGAGCTCGTCTAGCTATCGGCCGGATGGGATCACAAGCTACGCCGGTTCGAAGACGTCTCCGGGTAGCTCGATGTCTGAAGTCAGCTACAGTAACTTGAACTCTACCTCGTTCGAACCTCCGTACTCTACCGGTACTCCCAATCCGCTCCCATCACAGCGGTCAGGTAGCCATAGCGACGCGACCACGTACGAACCAAATACGGCTCCAACGACAGACGCTTTATATACATCAGGTGCTGACCAGTCACTTCGGCCCACCGAGGATTCAAACTCCAGTTTCAGTTACATCTACAGCGACAAGCTTGAAAGTTCTCGACGCAATTCTCAATCGAGTTGCGGGGCAAGCGGCGGATCCGTGTTGCCTAACGGGCACATCTACGTCCCTGATTCGCATCATACGCACGCCGGTTCATCTCAGGCGTACGTCTCTCCCCAGGATAGCGCAGTAGATGGAGCCACTACGTCGTCTAGTCGAGGAGGTAGCGGCAACGGCCCCTCGCATATGCATATGGACGGCCACCGACGATCGGCGGGAAACCTCCGTGGGGGATAATATCTATCGTTCTGTGTATTGAGCATGCCCGGTTGGCTGAAGAGCCGGGTGATGGCGGTATGCGGTGCGACGTTCTCAGGGGAGGAGCGGGACCAATAAGTCCCAGCCAGCTCAGTCTGCGAGTATTGTACGAATTCTTTGGTTTTGTCGAAAAAAAAAAAAGAAAAAGAAAAAAAAATTACAATTCATACTGTTAGGAATACGGCGAAGCCTAACAATTTTTACCTTTGCTCGCGAATCCGATTCTTCTTTTTGTTTGCCCGAGTCGACGGCACGAGGGTTTCTACCTGAAAGACAGCTCTCCGTCCCTCACTCTTTAATATCTCATCACCACCACCACCACTTCATTATTCAGTGCCTCACAGAAGAAAAAGAAGAGAAAAAAAAAAGAAAAAAAAAAAAAAAGAAAACTCCTAAGCATTCCTGCCCCTCCCCCTCCCCCGGCAATACATGCCATTTTATCTTGCATGCATCGGCTGTTGCGGTAGACGAACGCCTTTACGGCGCCTCCTAACACCCATCCACCCATCCACCCATCCACCCACCCCATCTCCCTCATAGGACTTCTCTGGACAAAAATGGGGGTTACAGCAATCCGGAATTTCTCCAACTCAAGATTTTTTTTTCCTGAACCCGGCGATATTCCAACCTGGACGCTACCTACCTACTCTTGAGTTCCTAGTGCCCGGGTGCTGGGTATTATTCCTAGTGGACGGAGTAGAACCCAAGAGATAATCCCGATCGATGTATGGCGCTTCGTGTTCCGGGGCTGGTGGGTTGCGCGAAGATGTATGTCTAGGTATGTATGTGAGTTGAGGTACGGGATGCGTTCCCATTTTTTGGAGCGCTACCTTAACCTACCTCTCACCTTACCTACCTACCAGCTACCTACCAGGTATCTACCACACATACATATGGACATGTATGGCGGCTCGGCTACATCCCCCCGTCGCACTCACTGCCGCCTTTTCTTCGTCAATCCTTATCCGCGTGGCAAAGCAGGTGCTGCGTTCTTCGTCCAACCAGCCCAACCTACCTACCTTACATAAACCCCCATCTCGGAGAGGCTTGTTTTTCCAATACGCTAGGAGTTGGAATAACTAATTCTTTGTACGCGACCCACGATCGATGTTTGTGTGTGTGTGTGTGTGTGCGTCTTTATGCCGGTCTGTCTGTCTGCAGCTGTCCCACGTTCGTCTTGTTAATTATTTTATTCTTTTTCTTTTTTTTTTCTCCCTAAACCCAACGGCTCCCGGGTTATCTTTACTTGGCTTATATGCCATGCATACTAGGCGTGGTCTTCTTTTCATCTTGTTGGATCCCCTTACCTAGATGCCTCTCCCCTTGCCAAATTTGACGGCCAAAAGAAAGGATAGGGCGTGTAGGAAAACGAGACTGAGCTGGTAAAAAAAAAAAAAGCAAGACAGAAGCAATGGAGAAAAAAAGAAAAGGCCGGTACCCTCCTATTATTTCAGCCATCACATCCAGCAAGTTATAAAACTAGTCCACGACAGGAAGGCTCAGCATTGGCTTTTTATTGACATCATTGTTAGGTTCGGGGGCAACCCTCAGTGTGTACTATTTATTTTGGTCTTGGCTTCGATTTTTTTTTCTTTTTTTTCTTTCCTTTCATATTTGCTTTTACAGGAATACCCAAGAGTATCTAATTATGGCCTTACTTCTAATAGCAACGGCCAAGCCAGCACAGCATGTTAAAACAGAAAACAAAAGCACCCATCGTAAAGGGAAAAAAAAAAAAAAAAAAAAAAAAAAAAGAAATGATGTGAATCAGCGATAAGAGATTGTCATAGGTCACCCTAACATGTTTAAGCAAGCCAGATAAGAGAGAAACTGTGGTTTTGTGCTGTCCCGCTTTCTGAGGTCTGAAGCGGGACGAAAGTTTATGACATATTAGATCCCATAGAGCATCTTAAGAACATAGTCTTATATTCTTTTAATCAAACTTGACAACATTAGAATGCAAGTCCGGAGAACAGATAACTTAGGTACGTAACATAGTTAAGACATATAAACGTTCTGTGTTCTAAATAGTTACTACCTACCTCCTACAGGTAGGTACCTGGTAGAGATAGCTTGGCTCTCAGTTCGATGGCGGAAATGATCATGGCGTCTTATTAACTTTGAGGATCTGCTGATTTGATGCTTGGCATCTCTGACCGAGAAGTAAAGACGCTGGAACGTTTTATTCAGAAGATGAAAACTTGCTATGTCTAAGTACGTAGTCGCTGCGGTTTTTATGCTTCTTAATGAAGGACCAAAGTGGCCCTAAAGTTACGCCTTGCGCAACTTGGTACCTTGTCTTGCACTACAGTCAACACTAAAGATAGATTGATATTGATATATCTGAGGTTTAGGTTTCAAATATGGTGTACCTATAGAGGTAGCTAGGTACCTCAACCGAGATTAAAGAACGGATGTGAGACAGGGCTCGAGCAATGAAGCTACAAGAATATTAAATGATTAATTCATGTTAGGCAATTATTCGAAAGTATGGTGCTCACTTTTGACCTTTTGATCGTAAAGCCATTCGTGATACCTGCGACTGATAATATAAACCCGAGCTACAATTAGAAAGATACAACAACTGCGTTATCTCCTCTTCATGTAGAAGTCATTGGTCCAGTTTGCGATTTGAGAGATAATATCTGCTTGGGCCTTCTTAATATCTGAATTGACCGCGTTTTGAACTCGAAGGTCGTTACAATGGCGCGAACCGGGTATCAAAATGCTAGGTACGTCAGGGGTGGACGCCAAGGGGCCGCCGGGCCTGAATTCACTAGCAACGGAAGCTGACCTCCATGGATCGAACTCGCCATTTACCCAGAGGAGCCGGGACTCGGCGTCCAAGTATTCAGGTATGTGCCATCCTTTGGTATAAGCGTTGATATCTGACGCTGTTCTACCCAGGGCGCTCCCGTAGGTGAACTTTCCCTCCTCAGGGAAAAATAATTCACATTGACGCTGCCAATAATTTGCGCTGGCGAGGCGTGTGAAGACGGTGGAACGGTTTACCGGCGCGCCACTGATTGTAAGTGTTAGGCGGCGGCGACTGACCAGTAGTTGAGATAGAAGAAGTTCTTACGTCTGGTAATAGAAAAAAGGTTCATTACAAGTCATCCATACCCATGTACGTCCAAACGTATTCGCTTGAGTTTGATCCGTGAACATGGGACTGGAGGCATTATACGTGTCGAAACATGCGACATTGTAGTTATTCTTCCACTCTTCATAGCCATAAGAGGCGCAATCTATACGGTTAGACTGCGAATTGTGAATGGTTCAGTGTGCAAACTCACATCCTGGTAGATATTGCTCTGTGAACCACTTAGCGAAGTTAGGGAGGGCAATTTCGAGGCCGACACCACGAGGGCTACTGCTGTTGAGGGGTACGGTCGAGTTCTCAATGGCATCACACCTACATAGGCTAGATGAGTATATCTGGGAAAATCTGCAACTGTAAACTTGTCATGTTTGAATAACCTACATCTGGTAGAATTGAGAATACCCGGAGGTGAATTGAATGCTCTGCCAGGCCCAGATTGGAGATGATATTGCCCTGGAGAATAGCGTCAGGACGACAGTACTGGATATAAGGGGGTGGCTCATATACGTACGCAGCTACATCATCTAAATGCGCGAGATCTTGGAGGCCGAATAACTGCTTCAAGGTGGCCGTCTCATTTTGAGATCCGTTGACAAACACCTTGTCGACGTAATTAATAATGGCGGCGTAATCTTCTGAGCAATTTTTGGGCATCCCCCGTTGAATAGGATAGAAATATTGCCAGTAATTAAAAACTGCCTCGACGGGGCCACTGCTGGAATGAGTTGCCCAGAACGTCCCAGGGGCAAGACTCTCGACCCAAGCACCTAATGCACCCGAATACGAACCGCCAGTCCATATCCAGGGAGAGTTGGGTGCATTCGATGTACCGTCTATGTCAAACGGGAGCTTAGCGGTTTGGGCAAAACGCACAAAGTCCGCAACCGATTGATCCAAGTTTAAGAACTGAAGATTCTTAGTTGTTTGAATTTCGTACGGCGTGCTGTTTCCCCAATATCGATGCTCGACCAGTACAATTGCACCGCCAACTTCTTTCGCGATCAGGCCGGCGAGGGTTTGGTCAGTCAAGTACGACATGTATCTCGTAGCAGCAACTTCGCCAGGAGTGAATAAGATGACGGGTGACCCCGGACCACCCCAGAAGGTGGCATTATACCAATAGGTTTGATTAAATACACCGAAGTCTGGATTGCTATGATCGATATATTGCTCGAAATATGCGATGCCCGTAACATTCTGCGCAGGATCGGCGAGCGCAGCTAAAACATCGTCGCTAACGCTGTCGGACGGAGGGTAGGGAATAGGAGGCGTTAGGGCGAGTACAACCGGCAAGAAAACGAAGAAGACAAAGACGAATACGAAGGAGCAGAAGGCATATTGAGCGATAAAACATCTCATTGCGATTATAATACCAAGCAAAAGGAGAGAAAGAGAAAGAAAGGGTTGAAGGTCAACTGAACCTCGAAGGTAAAAATAATACAAGAACAGGCTTGCTACTCGGAGTGACCATTGCGACGAGTGAGACAGATATTTACCTTTTACTTATTATTATTCACTAGAATGTCATTTACTAGGTCGATGGATAAACACATCGACTTGGCGATGGCAAGGACACACAACCTTTGGATGATTAGCTACCTACCTAGCCAATAATTCAGTTGCCTCCACCATTTAAAAGAGACGAGGTAACTGCACGATGTAGCGAATGGAAAGTAAAGTATTAATGATAATAAGAATAAGAATAATGCTGTATGATGCAACGGTTCAACATATTGGAGGATAAAACAGTACGATGAAAATCAATCTAGATTGATTGCTTATTTGCTTATTAGCACGTGGTAGAAGAACTTCCGGTGTGCATATCGAACGCCATGTATGATGAGTGAAACTGGTGGAAATTCATGGTTTACGTATACGTACGGATGTAATGTAAATAAGACTGATGTTGGAGTTGGTAACAAGTAAAGTTTCTATTTTCAAGCGGAATCCATACCTTTACCTGACTAATAAAAGAGGTACCTAACCTAAGGTACCTCTACAGGCTACATGGAGTCTGGACGTATTGTACGTCAGCGTGCCACATTTCGAGAAGCTCAAGCCACAACAAGAGGAAAACGGAGAGAACATGGAAGGCTTTAACTTGTAAATTCATATCCACCAATCATCTATCACCTATCACCTATCGCCCATCATCAATCCATCAATCAATCAAACAGCAATTCATCTGCTAGGGATTGGACCTATTTTCGAACCTTACCAACCCCAACTCACCTCGCGATCCTTTCCTTTACTTAATCAATTGACAATTGACACACTTGACCGCTCCTCCTACGCTTGACGCACTTCCCAAGATGGGTCTCCTAAGCGGTTCATCCGAGGCTCCTCCAAGTAAACATTCACCCCCCATCTCATTCTCACCCACATCATGCGCATGGCAATTCATCACACGTTACTGATCGGAACATGTCCATATTTCTAGAAGCCACGCGGGAGGAGATGCGAGATGCCAAAGTCCCCCTACCCTACCGAGACAGCTGCGCGAACCTCCTCATCCCTCTCAACAGATGCCGTTTCGATACATACTACCTCCCGTGGAAGTGTAACGTACGTTCCCTCTCTCTCTCCATCCATATTACTCAACCTAGGAGGTACCTTAGGTCAGGTCTAGGTACCTTGGGTAGGTAGTTACCTATGCGCCTAGAGTGGGCTAACAACGTCTTTCGCCGCTTCGCCACCCACAGGATGAGCGACATAGTTACGAGAAGTGCCAGTACGACGAATTCAAGAAGCGCGTAGCGAGGATGAACGAGCTGAGGGAGGCCAAAGGCGGGGCGCGAAGCAATTAGATTCCATCTGGATACCTACCCAGTACCTAGGGGCCTATATTTATTTCCCCGGTATTGATACAGCCAACGCGGTAGAAATAAAGTCGTTACACGGCCAACTAAATAAATAGTAGGAGGTACCTAGAAAATATCCTCCGAGGCTTGAATTATGGATCGTGGTTAAACTCCCCCTCTTGATTCTGGACACAAGTTTCTATTGTGGGTTTCTGCAATATATTTTCTGTTGCACCAGCTATTTTAAAAAAAAAACTGAAGCGCAACTATTAACCTGACAGCTAAGAGGTATACAATATGATACAAGTAGGCTAGTTCCTACCTACCAACCTAAGCTACCCAACATACCATCACTTAAACCAGCCCTGTGTCTTAAGAAAGCCAACTAGAACCTCGAGCTCGTTTTTCTGCGAGGTTTAATCGGACTGAATGGCAGAGACCGAGGCGGAGGAGGAAGTCGACATAGGACCCTGCGACGAGGATATGAATCTCTTCCGTTTTGGCGGCTGGGGTCTGATAGGTGCAGTTACACTTCTCGCGTTGCGACCTTTCGTATCGGCCTTATGCACCCATCCGCTGCCCCTAGGCAAACTGTCAGGATCAGGAGAATAAGTCTCATCAACCTCGTCGTCAGCATAATTCTCGGCGTAGACCGGCTCGGAATCTGAAGATAATTCGATCACCTGCGTTCCAGGAGGAAGTGTGAACTGGGATGACTCTTTCGGCAATTTCCGTCTTCTTGCTGGCGGTGGGGAGATTTTGATTGGTGGAGACGTTGAAAGACGTTTAAAAATCCTAAAATCCTTAACATCCTCAAGAACTCTTCCTTGGCTCCTCCGCTCGAAGCTATCTGGAACTTTGGAAGAGCTCGCTTGATCATCTGAAGTATTATCTAGCTTCCGAATTGTCTCCTCGAAGTCCTGATCGTCCTGCGCCTGAGCCTGTTGTGATCCGTTGGTAGGAAGGGACTGCGACTGAGACTTGGATGGACTTTGTGTGTTTAGTGAAGTTTGCGCTGTGCACCATATAGTATTGATCGACGTCAACGAGCTGGGAGTTGATATATTTGCTGGCGATGATGCTTCCGCCTTTTGTGGACTTCTCTCTTGCTCGACAGTTAATTCATCATGGAGAAAGGGTGTAGGTGTAGGTGTAGGGGTTGAGACTTCCTCATCCGACTCTAGATCCTGTTGGTATTCGTTATCTAGAGACGTCGAGAGACCGTCGTCTGTGATTTTAAGAGAATCCGGCTCTGTGACTTCCATATCTAAACTGTAATCCAGCTGCCGCCCACTACGGGCGCTGCTCGCTGACGAAGGGGGAACAATAGCCTTAGATTTTACGACCTTGGGTGTCCCAATAACGACTTCATCCTCGTGGCTGTCAAATAGAGGAGCTGACGAATGTCTTATACTGGGAAGTTCCGATCCTGGTACTTCGATATCTGGCTTCGAGAGGGGTTCATTCAAATCACTATTGCGGTGAGAAACATCTTGAACTGGTAGGTGATTTGGTTGTATACCTACGGATTGGCTGGCGTTCTCACGTAGCTGTTGCGAGGGACTATTGATTTGCGAATCATCGGACGTTAATATGCTGCTGTGCTGGTGTTCATGATTCGGTGAGGAATTTTCGATTGGTACAACTCTAGACTCATTTTCTTCAGTGGGCTCTTTTGTGCTAGACGGTTCTTGTTCTGAGTGCGCGTTGGCTTTTGCGTCTTCATCGGTAGCGGGAGGCTTGCTCCCTGTATTTGTGCTAGCTTTGGGAAGTAGGCCAACTGCATCGGGATTTTCATTAGTTACCATGGCAGAGAGTGGTTGTTGAAGAATTCTAGGCTGCTGCATTTCGGCAAAGCCGATAATCCGAAATCCTTCGTCTTCCCCATCATCGTCATCTTCGTCATCGAGATCCGGGGCTTCAAATTTGTCATATATCCGTTGACCGGTATTCTCGTCATATTTCTTCTGATTTCGATCAAGATATCGGTCTCTCTTAGCAAGACAGACTTCTAACCCAGTAGCGTCGTCGTCAATTCCAACAACAACGCCTGTTACGTTAGACAGCTGTGGCTGCCAACTAGTTGCAGACGAGCATGACCATTGCTGCCATGTTATCACCATTCCAACTTTGACTTCCCCGGGACGCAGAGGGGGGAGGGTTGATAAATCTGATGGCAAGGACGGAAGGTCGTCAAAGTCTGTAAATTGACTTGCATTATTTGTGGGCTCATTGGTCCCTTGAGGTTTATAACTCTCAGTATCATCATAGTTGAGTTCGATGTCGGCATCGTTAGTGTAATCGTTTACACCGTTGAATGTATCATCGTACCCGTCTTCGTCCCACATATCAGATTCATCGTGCTTCTGCTTCTTGCCGGGACGTGTATCCTGGTAGAAATGTGCTTGGTTGCGCTGTGCTCGCTTACTTTGACCACCACGTTTGTTTTTCTTCTGAGACCACGAGCCTTGCTGCTGAGGATCCCAGCGCTGAACGAACGGAAACGGCGGCTCGCTGAGCTGTACCCCTTCGTGGCAACACTCTACAGCTCGGTAGATAATTTTGTCTTTCCAGGATTCGGAACTTTCCTCTACTATGGAGGTATCCTCGTTCACTTCAGTGTTTTCTATGCTTTGATCAAGCCTCGGGTTATCCAGCGGTCGAAGATCTTTCATTAGTTTTGCTCGCAGCTCATTCTCATCTGCCTTCGTTCTAGGGTTACGAAGACCCAAGGCACCAAAAACAAGTCTCCGACCGGCACCTATATCTAGACGAGCCTTCTTTTGAACAGAGCCCGAGGAATTCGCGCTTTCGTCCATAGGCGTCGTTACCAATGTGTCTTCGTCGTGCTCATCCAGCTTCCTTTTCACTGACGTGGACGTCTTCGACGGCTCGTCGAACCGTGTAGGAGGGCCAACTTCTACTCCGCCATTAGCGATCGCTTTTAGTAGTTCCTGTCGCTTAGCTTCAATAAGAGCCTTTTCGTCTGTGATAGGCGACCGAGTTTCTTCGCCCGTAGGCGTCACACTCAGAATTGATCCCTGCTGCGCTAGCTTTTTTGCCTTGTTCGCGGCCCTTCGACGAGCATTTCGCTTTCTTGTCCTTTCGCTACCAGCTCCGGGAGGCACTGGTTGAGCCTCAGGAATGGCTCCGGGGATTGGTTTCGAAGGCTGAATTTGCGGGCCCCCGGTGTATGTAGTACGACCGGCCGCTTTCGTCGCTTTAATGTCATTAGAAATAGTTTCTACCTCTTCGCTTCCTGACGTTGAACTTGATCCTTCCTCATCAGAATCCTCCTCTGAAGACATATCACTATCGTCTGAAGTCTCGCTACTGCTTTTAGTCTGGTTCATGTCGTTTTCATAGCCGAGTCCTCTTTTTTGTTTCGGTTTTTGATTCTTGGTATGCTGTGGCTTGATGGAGATTTCTTCTGGGCCATCATCACTATCGTCGTCATCCTCACTGTTGTTATCGTCTTCATTATCTGAATCATTTGATCTATCACCACGGAAATCCCCAGGAGAGCTATTTCCCTGATGCATACTACTATCGTCGCTATCGCTCTTATCGCTTTCGTTGTCCCTATCATCGCTACCATTTGAAGACGTATCTCCGTCGTCGCTGTCGTTGTTGTTGGAGTCATCATCATCGGAATCACTATCGCTAGTAACTTCAAGTTCTTCACTCTCAGAGCTGGAACTTGTAGCGTCGCTTGATGTATCGTCTTCCTCGGCCATTTTTCCGGGACTGGTCTTATGGCCATTTGAAGCCACGGATATAGGTTTGCGTTCGCTATTCACCTTATCACCATTGACCGAACTAGATATAGCAGCCATCTGAACCAGTCCCCTACCAGAAGTGATTGATCCGGGCGGAAGGCCTCGATGGTCGAATTGTCGTACAAAGGAAGATATTTGTTCTCCCTCTTCCTCCTCTCCTTCCTCTTCGGACACACTCTCGTCATCGTCCATGATGTCGTCGACACGCTCCTCTGCTAAGGATGTGGTAGGAAATTTATTTTTTAAGCCCTTCTTTTGTGACTTTGGCTTCCGCGTTGTTCCCGTGGACATCGACCCTGCCAGCAAGGCGGATTCTGACAGCTGCGGCGCAAATCCATCAATTAGAACATCGTACGCTGATTTCAGGTCATTGCCTGATGTCGCTAAAACTTGCTCGCAGATACTTGCAGGCGCTGAAGGAAATGCAGCTTGTAGCTTCGATACTTTATTGTGACCTTCCCCGGCTAATGTCTGCACCTCAGAAGGCTCTTTTCCTTCTACAGCAGCATTATCTTCCGCTAGATCCCGAAGCTCTTGTTCAAGATCATCTTCATCGCTTGGCAATTCTGCATCCTGCTGGTCAGAATCTTCAGATTCAGAACCACCACTGGAATCTTCCTGCCCCGTGCCATCATCAAAGTCACCGTCTTCTGCTTCGGCATCGATGGTGTCCACTTTCGGGCTAAACTTGACGCTCGGAAAGCTCGATTTATGCGACGGGCGCTCGCCATTCGTGAGAAGTAGCATTGGTGTGTCTTCTTCTTCGTCGTCGTTTACATCATCTTCTAGGTTGTCATAAGGGTGCAAAAGTTTGCGGCGCTTCCGTGGAGGGTCAATTGGAGGTCGGCTAATTGGGGCCCTCAGGAGACGACGCCCGAATGGGATGCCATCAACAAGGTGTCTGCCATCGGACGAGATTTGGTGTCGGCCGCTGATTCGACGTCGTCTATTATCGTCTCGATCGAGGGGTCGAATGAAAACTCGATCATCGGGCTTAAGAACTGTTCGCACGGGCTGAAAATGGAGACATTCGAAACTCGCGCCGTCTTGATCACGTAACTCAACGACGTAGTCTTCCAATCCTCTCCGGCCAATCTCTAAGGGAAAGGTCTCGTTCACTTTCTCGACGAGTTTCGAAATAGTTGGATCGTCTTCGAGAGACACATTCCACATAAGTCGTTCTTCTGGTAAACCATCCCTACGCACGACCAGGCGTAGGCGCATACCTTCGGCCATAACCGCGAGTATGTGTGTGCGTGTACTAGAAACTAGCAGTTGATGTGCAGCGGATGCGGGTATTGAAAATGATTAAAAGGTATAATTGTTAGGACATGAGGTTAATTTGCCTTATTGATCGGTCTGTGACGTTAGACAACGTGGTACTGACCCTTAGAGAGCGACTTTTAATTTAGAGAGAAAAAAGTGGTAGAGTTCATTACTTGGGTACGATATAGGATGGACCTCGCGATTATTACACGATAGGAAATCTTCAGTACTTAGAAAACTGCTAGAAAACGCGTTTGCGAGACGGGAGCTCTTACCTACCTCCTAGGTACCCTGTACCTTGGTACCACTAGAAAATCGTTTTTAAGGGTCTAAGCTTTTGAAGCTAAGGTGACAGGGATCGTGGGGTACATGGTCATATGCAAGTACCTAATGTACCGTCCGATAAGACCTATTATCTTATTACCTTACCTATCCGTTGCTCTCCACAGCCTACAGCCCGTAGAGGAGGTAAGAGGTAATCTTTACATGTCTGGTTGTCCAGTCCGTGTAGGTACGGTCCTGTTTTTATGACCTTCTTTTTCATTTACAAGACTGAGCTAGAGCGTATATATGATATATAGGTATGTACATTATCCATATCACATCAAGGCTATAGGCCGCCCATATCCAACATATGTCCCATCTTCTCGATCTACAGAGCGATTACGCGGTCAGCCATTGGATACTACTACGTCTTGGGAAATTGTTTAAAAAGAAAATCGAGGAGGAAACATAAATAAATCAGAAGAAACATACCTTGGTCTTTAGATAGCCCTCTACCTCTCGACTCCTGAATCCCCCTTTACCCTTCCAACTTAGAGGCACCATCGCAACGCGCTCCGTTACTCTGATTTCCCTATTCGGACCTTCGACAGCTCTAATCTTGTCCGGGTTGTTGGTCAACAACCGTATTTCCTTCTGTCCCAGATCGAGGAGCATTGCTGTCGCCAACCCGTAGCTTCGCGCATCTGCCGGATGCCGTAGTAACAGATTTGCCTCTACTGTGTCGGATCCTAGGTCTTGTAGGTTATACGCCTTCAACTTCTCGCCTAAGCCAATTCCGCGCCCCTCTTGTCGTAAGTAGATGATAATGCCGCCGTTCACGGCAGTGGGTAGCGACATAAGTCGCGCCGCCTCGTCTAGTTGCTCGCCGCAATCACAACGTGCGGACCACGCTGTCTCCCCAGTATAGCATTCTGAATGTATCCGAACAAGCGGCGGCCCACTAGGGGCTGGGATCTCCTCTACTGGGTCACCCGCAGTAGAAGATGAGGCTCCCACCATCCCGCTTTTCGTCCTGCCCGGATAAAGACGACCGGTATATGCGCCCCTCACCATGCGGTCCATCTCAGTCTCTCCATCCCTCGGCGCATCCAGGGATTTACTTCGGATATGCGGGCCAAAAACTATCGCGAGATGCTCCTTGTTATCGACATTATTAGTGTACAGATGCAGAAACATCTCCGTTCCAGAGACCGTCGGGATACGAGCGCGCACGATGCATTGAACCTCAGGCAGCGTATCGAGGAGCTTTGGTCGCTTAATACCGCACCCTCCAGACGGAATAGAAGAATCGACGGGGACACCGCGAGGCTGTCCTTCGGCTAGGAGCGTAGGTGTCGTGGTACCGGGAGTCACGGGGGGTGTAAAGGCGGGAGAAAGGAGCGAAGGCGGCGGCGGCGGTAGGTTAACATCGTCGGTCGAGGTTAAAGCCGAATTGGAAATGGATTGGGGTGTTATAGACGAGAGACATAACTCGTCACGATCTAATCTAAGCGAGGTAGCGATTCCGTCGTCTTCCCGAAGCGGCCGCGACCGCGGGGAATAAAATGAGGGAAGATCTGTCGCATTCTCTTGCGTTTGGCGATCTAGTACGCTACGTGGATTACCCGCAGAGGACGAATTGGGGCTCGGCATGGCCTTCATATAAGTTAGGTATAAGTAAATTTGAGCCTTATTCTAATTTATAATAGAGGTATGTTTTAAAGTATTAATCTTTTTTTCTTTGTCTTTTTTTGCCAAAAAAAAGTATGTAGCGAAAAGAAGTAAAGAATGGCGCTTACATATGATCTTGCAGAAAGGCGTCGAAAAGAAGTGGCGCACTGTCTAATGTATGGTATTTCCCATTAAAGCTTCAAAAATAAATGAAAACCAATATTATACAATTCGTACCTAAGTATAATATTTCAATGAAACAATTAAGCCTGATTCATAAGAAGTGGACTTTTTTTAGTAATTGATTTATTTTTATTTTTATTATTAGTTGTAAAAAGTATCGTTAAAAGATATATTGTACATGGCAATGGCATAATGGCGGGATGTGTAATCGGAACCTACTTAGTATTAATAATTAATACGTAATGCTGCAGTGAGCGGAATATTCAAAGGTGAGCGATTGAAATACCGAGGTGTACTTCGTACATGCACCTGGCTTAAGGAACCTGGACCTAGCAGCAAGTCAAGTGTAAGTGGTTTGTTTATATCATTATAACAATAACGCCTAACCCTCTCATCTCAGCTCTTTAAGGTAATTCAACTTATTAATAAGTTTACAGCTAACTAACCATTATAATCCTATTTTATCAATATCCTTAAACATGAAACCACCCCTCAGCTCTTAGCCATACCAACCGAACAGCTGCCAGGCCTACGGCTTACCGAACAGCCGCTTATAACGTATAGCTATAAGGCTAGCTAGGTACCTATATGAAAGATTTATCTTTCGAAACGAGGTGTGCAATACGTATTTTTTTTTAAAAAAAAAAGCTGTAAAAATAGGAGAAATCTCTTAGATCTACAACCTTTAAAATACCTTATACAATGAAACATTTCTTCCTTGACAATACATCTAATAACAACGCTTAAAGTGTTGCGCAAGCTCACAGCTAACTAGCTATTGAACAGGAGGAAAGTAACCTCCTGGGGGTAGATATCCTCTACTCAAGACTACTCCATATCCTGATCAGATAAGGAGGTAGGTGCCTAAGGTAGTTCTTCCCTCTACTTTGTGCGGACTTGTTTGCTTTATTTCTACCTAAGGTCAGGTACCTTACTCTTCATCTTCTCAACTTCCTTCCCATACCAACCCAAACCAACCCAATTGGCAGTGGAATTCCCAAAACTAATAAACCACACCTTTATCGATCACAAAATGCTACCACCAAATCTTGTTAGCACATATCAGCAGTATAAGAATGATACCGATTCTGTTGCTGGCTGGCTCGCATCTACGGCAAAGGCAGTTGGCTATCTACCCAGTTCCTTAGCTCAACAACTGGCAAAGGGGACAAGTGCACGCCTAAAAGGTAAAGCGAGGGCTGAGGCCAAGAAGCAAGCTTCTTCGTCTACCGAACCGGCACCGGGCAACAGGTATATCATTAAGATCAGTGATTTCGTACCCCTAGCAGAATTCATAGCGTCCAAGCCCGACATATCTATACCAAACTCCCTTCTCGCTACACTGCGTCGAGTTATTGTTGCCCGTGGAGGCTTCAATGAAAAGCTTGCCAACGAAGGAGCATCCGCGGATGAGAGATCAGATGCAAAGCACGGCTATTTTCTCAGCGTCCTTAGGAAGGTGCATGAAATTTTAATACCCAAAACAAGCACCACAGCTTCTTCCCTTGCAATTTTGACAGATAAGCTATACGCAGACGCGGAGGCGGAGGCGGAGACTACCGGCGATGACTTTTCCAACCGATTTGCAGGCTTAAAGCTTTACGAACCATCGGAAGATTTCCTCAATGCCCCTGACATTGAGAGACCGAAAGTCCACGAAGGCGATAGTGGAACGTACGAGTCAGAGCCGCCTTCATCTCTCGAGGATCTTTACATCGCTTTGACAATGTTAATGAATGATCTCAACAAGATACGATCTCGCACCGAATGGATATGGACTAATTATCGAGATGGGTTTTTCGATTTGGCTGCATGTGCGGTTACAACTAACACCGCCATTGATTTGGCACGGAAGCTCAGTAAGTTATAATTATATCTTTCCATATTTCATGAAACTTTCATCACATATCTGACCCTGATGATCTACTATAGTGGAAGATGTAGTGCCAATGTTTGACAGCCATGGTGGGTTATGGGAAGTCATGAATAGATACCATATCATCCAGGTGATGATGAAGGGATACCAGCCTTTTGGTCTCTCGTCTGACGTTAAGGACAACTTCAACTACGACACGTACGACATTGCGAGTAACACTTACATTTTAACCTATAGACTCCTGGAAGCGTTTACAAGGGTCGTGCAACCTCGGGTCGTCCCATTGTACAAGGAGGGGATGTATGGTTACTACGACCCCCAAAGCGACCGTGACTCTAAGTCTGGCTACCAGAAATTCGAAGAGGATAGAGTGCTACATATGCAGTTCTTCACAGAGCTCATGGCTGTGGAACGTGCAGTTCGCGACTACCCGGTTGAAGACGAATTCTTGCGTGGGATCAAGGAGCTAGCCAGTACTAAAGAAGTGCCATTTTATCTTGTCTTTGCCGCCCAGATCTTCCCTGATATTCATTATATTCTTCGAGAAAACGTCGATCGTGGATTCGACACACTCGAAATGAACCTTCGCTTTTTGGACCGGGAAATCGAGGAACACTTTAAATTCCATAAGGACCTGAAAATCGGCAACTGGGGAGCCGGCAACGACAAAATAGTACGGCACCTTCAAGCGAGAATACAATGGATGCTGGCAGATCCCGTGTCCAAAGTTAAGGCCTAGGCGTACCAAAGATATCGCGAGCCCGTTCCAACCTCCATGGAACCGCATTTATTGTTAAAGATGTCACCGGTTCTTAGCGGCCTTGTACTCTACCATTTTCGATCATCCATGTGGGAGATGGGTATCGCACTCGCAGACGCATGGGGCTCTATTACTTACTCATCACATCTGTACAACGCCCTACAGAGTCAGAGACTCATGTCAGACCGCTGGTCGGATATGGACATGGTAAGAACGTTGATAGGAGATTCCAGATTCTTCGTTGGAGATACTCCAGATACTCTGGATGAGTGCTTCAAGAAGTTCTGCCTCCCAGTGGGCACAACAGCAGCAGCATTTACTAAGAAACGGCGGCAAAACTTGCCGCTGACTTCTCGATCGGGTCCTCGAGGGATCAAGGATGGCGCACCAGTTTCGTCCATATTTGCAAACAGATACCGACACGGAACCGGATAAGTCGACTGGACAGCTGAGCATATCGCTAAGGTCGTCGACCTTAGCCTGTGGGAGACGGAGGGTTCAGAGGAAGAGGGCACTTTGATACTAGGACAAGCCGATCCCGAGAAGTTGAAATCAAAGCCGAAGTCCAGAAAGGCTAACAAGTCCTTGGTATTGCCGCCAGAAGAACTCATCAGGGCCCTGATGTTCGCGTTGCAAGGTGAATCGCTCGAGTTAACGCTCCCTTATACCGCAATGCACCGTGAATGCTGGGAACTCTTACGAGCCGTACGGAAGCATTGTGACCCTTTACTTCGACAGATATTCACACCCGCGTATATGGAGCGAGAAACAGAGCTACCTTTCGTAGTAGGTTACATATTATCTACCCCTGTGGAGAGAAAGGATATGCGACTTCTAGTGGAAGCTGCTATTGCTGTTACCGAGTTTGTGCGTTCGGATGGCAGTACGGTCTCGAACTTACTAGAGAGCATCGGAGTGCCTGTGATATTTAAAAGAGAAGAGGAAGCATAGGTCGTGGCACAGTTTACACTCATTAGCGTATGTCATATGACACGAAGATCTGTGATGAGCTATTAAATACAAATGAATGTTGCTACATTGGTGTTTTACGCATAGCCCATTTCAAATAGTATCTTAAGTGCCTTAGGTACCTAAGGTTAGGTACCCACCTAAGTATAGTAATTAGGAGGTACCTACATGCAGCAATCAAGATGAATGAGAAAATGTTGGCATGTAAAATCATGACTAGGAGGCAGCTTGATCAAGAGCTTGCCGCTGTCCTTGGATACTGGTGATTCTGGACAGGTATCTTATCATTGGTACCATAATGTACCTATCTATTACAAAGTTAGGTACCTCTACCTGCCTTACCACCATAGCCTTAGCCACTATCAGGGGGTTGAGTTATACGGCCGTTATGGTAGGTATTCGTTTGACAAGGCCTGCTAATATACCCAGTACGCATTACTTCTGCTGTCTCTTTCTTTCTATATTTGACCTGGGTATGGAGAGAGAAATGCTTAGTTAATATATTTAGCTCAATTCATTGAGCGTGAGAGCATATCGGGATTATGAATTACAACTCTAGCAGTATGCTATATTAGTTTTTCCAATCTCCTGGCCTTCCCGTATAGTATGCCGTATAACTGTTTGTATGCGTGGCATTAGCTGTGCCTTCACTTTGATACGTTGGCGTAAGCTCCGTTCCATCGGCGATGACAAGGTTTCCCAATACACGTCTAAAGAGCTCTAGAGCAGCTTTAGGCTGATAATAGGGCACTTCATGTCCGGCTTCGTAAACTCGGGTGAAGCTGAAGTTACCGTACTGCCTGCTCTCTCCGTATTCAACGCCGTCGACAATGAATGGGGCATAGCCTGCCTCTCTGAATTCCTTCTGGTGGGTGTAGTTTACCGCTAGCGACACGGCTTCACCGCCCATCCAGTTGCATACATAATCCTATCATGCTGACATCAGTAACTGGCTTTATGAAGACATATCCTATGAAAAGGGACGCATATGGACTTAAAAAGGGTCGATGGGGGTCTTACAGCGTCACCGTATACCATTGCGATCCGGACGTCGTAGGAAAGAAGGGCCTCGAGATCCTCTAGCAGATTGGGATAGACAAAGTCGCCAGTATAATCAAAACCCGTGTAGATCTGGGTGCTGCTTATAGATGTGTAGTTGATATCAACTCCTATGGCGTTCTGAATCTTGGCTTGGTTGAGATACTTTACCCAATACCCAGGAGGGATATGAGCATCACTCTGGGCACGGATATCATAGGCATTCCGCCCGCTGACCGCGCTGCACGCTGTTAGAATCTCGTCACTCTTAAAATTGGGATCTCTGGAAATATTAAGTTAGGTACTCACTAATATGGCCCTTCCACCAAATTTCTGCAAATCGCTGTTGCCTGTGAACACACGGCCTTGCCATCTGGTGTAGAGCGATCTTGTTGGAAGCAGTAGTCAATTGAGTCACGGCAACCACCAAGGAAATAGTAATTCATCTTCATGTAGTCGTAGATGGTTTGGTTCACGGTCTCGATCCCATAGGTGTTCCGGAAGGCCATTTCTGGGTAATAAGGTGCTTGGATCCTCTCTGATATCAATCCATTGATGATACCGAGTGTATGCATGCTGAGCTCAACGCCAGGGATACTCCCATCCTGGATCAACTTGTTCTGGTCATAGAAATACTTAAAGAAGGCCGGACCGTAATGACCTCCGTAACTCTCGGTCCAAAGATTGAAACTGCGAGACTTGACTGTCTCGTCCAGAACTGGGAGTTCCTGAATGAAAGCCTGCAAGACTTCCCAGGTACCCTTCGCAGCTAGATCCGTAGTGTCGAAACGGTACGGGTCAACATCGCTATATCGGCCATCGGGGTTGGACGAGTTGACAGGTAGCCCCGTTGTTTGGTTGATCACTCCCACAACCGCATCGTCGTATGAGAAGCCGACTCCAATAGGTTGGGAGAGGAAGAGAAGATTGCTCACTTCATTCCAAGCGTAAGGGTTCACGACTGAAGTACCATTATGAGTGACGTTGCACGGTCCAAGTTCTGTTGACAGCAATCAGCATACACGCTCTTGGTCAGGTTACCTCTCACGCAAACAACGAGAGAAAGATGGAGATTACCTTCGAAAAGCCCAACTAGCGAATCGCTACCGGGTCCTCCGTTGAGCCACAAGGTAATAGGTGCCTCATCGGGGTTGGTCCTGGCTTCGAAGAACCAGAAAAACATATGCGTATCCTCATCGAGGTCGACATAGCCCGAGTACGAATTAACTCCAGGAGTGGTCTCGCATACGCCTTCGAGCTCTGGTTCCTTGTAGCGGATTGTGACGCCGCCTGGAGATATAATGGTCTTGACGCCCGTGGGCTCGGCAGGGACTTGTTTCCTTATCAACTTCTCGACATGGCTGGGCAGCGAGCTTGCTGATGCAAGGGAGGTGCAGAGAGAAAAGAGCTGCAGAGCTGCCGCAGCAGTTCCTCTCGTGATGCCGTGCATGTTTTTTAATCCCGATTCCTCGACGAACTTGGAACTTGAGGAAGGAAACGAGGGAGGGTGAGAAATGCGAAGAAATCGTACCGGTTTTATACTGAGTTCATATTTACTATACAGGGATTATTCGGCTCGCCTGGAAAGGTGATCCTCGAATCGATATCGTCCACGAGGTTAGACAAGTTCCTAACTGCTCCACTCGTCTTTTGTTTACATGCTGATAATAATATAATACAGTCTATACTACCTAGGTGACGTGCTTGAATATACCCTAGGTATCTTATATAAGGTATATACTTACCTAATGTATAGGGCAATGCGTACCTAGAGTATGCATAGGCAGGGTTTACCTGATCCTTCGCGTTCCGTTGTTGATTAATTAACGGTCTAGAATATAACGCTTTTTCGAATTGGGATGTAAATGTACTTTTGCCTACGACTACGGAATACCGGTACCTAACCTGCTACAGTTAACCTAAGCAAGCTACAGAAAAATATTGGGGACCGTTTATACCCTTTTAGGTACTTCCTTACCTGTATGTAAGCAGGTAAGGTGCTAAATACAAGGGATTTTCGGGGACATTCCGAGGTGGGGTGGTGGCCTGATACCTTAGCCTTAGGTGGTATGTTATCATTCCTTATCGATGTCTCATTGAAATGAATATATTCATGTTTGTCCTTTTTTTTCTCTTTTTTTTTTTCTTTTTTTTCTCTCTATAAGGTGATTTCCAAGACAAAGATAGGAAGTAGGTTACTACATAAGTAAAGTAAGTTAGAAATCTTATAGCGAACACTTTCCTATATCTATCTCCAGCTATTTCGTTATTATTTTGGGAGGCTAGTAGAACTTATACGAGGTTCGGTTTACGCATAATCAATGGCTGGCGACAGGGCCGTACCCGTCGTACCCGTCGTACCCGTCTTATGTCTTACCTCATGCCATCGACTTGTCCCGATAAGGTTTTAGTTTCTATTCAATGTCGCTGGGTGGCTTTGCATGTTTGGGTAAGCATGTTATTTCTTAGGTGCCTGGGCTGTCGTCTTCTATTCGTTGCTACTACTTAATTTCATAATAATGCACTTCGAAAGCGTCACCTTGAAGCGTTTATAGCTATTTTCTTAGTTGCCTTTTCAGGTGGCTATAGAGATGTCAGATTTTAATCCATCCCAGGTTCACGCCACCAGCGATGTCGATAGCATACCACATGCGGTACAAGTCCCTCGAGCCGACTAATCCATTCTAAAGATATGTTACCATATATCTGGACGAGGCGAAGCTTCTTCAGAGTTTTGATCCTGCTGAAGAACTCATTCTCCTTCTTCGCGTTCACGCGACCAGTCCATCCTACGGAGCTGACAGGTCTAGGCGCCCAATCGATCATCAAAACTTGGAGGTTTTCGGTATTCTTAATCACCTCGCTAAAGAACGACAGCCAGCTATTCCAGTTGGGGTGCTCAGTTGCTATTAGAAGGCAAAGCTTTTCTAGTCGTTCAAATCTAAGGTTCCCATGGGTAGCGAATCCAATCCGTCTGTCGTTCCAGCCGTGTACTTCGACGCGCAAGACGGCTTGTTTGTGGACTATGGGAGATAGATTGCGGTATAAATCCTTTGAAGCTAGCATTAAGGTGGGTAGCGGACGGGAGTATTCTGTTTCACCCATATAAAGCAGGTAGGGACGTAGTGTATCCTCGAAGTCATCGTGGTCAAAGGCGAGATAGAAATCGATGATACGGTCAAGCACTTCTCGAGGGAGGGATAATAGTGGTGAGTAGGCTTTCATCATGCTTGGTGCGTATAACTTCTAGAAAAAAAAATGAATAACCTCCTTATTCTCTTCCCTCTTCCATATTAACTTATTGATTTCGAGGAAATTGGAAGTTGGAAGTTAAAAGAGGTACCTAACCCCAGAAGTTGTATCCGCCAAGTTGCCAAGGCGAGTTGCGGGGTGTAGGGCTGCAGCCTGCAGGTACCTAAGGTACTAGACCTAAAGTCAGACTAGATGTCACATGATAGCATGTACTTATACTTCTACTATCAGTGGACCATGTACATTAGGTACCTTTACGACAACAACTAGGTACCTCCTATTACAATGATTCTTCTTCTATGATCACCCCAAGGGCTGACAAAATGCCTTAAATTAAAGCTTGATAAAACTTAGGGCTTATTAAATCCGAGGGATTACTGGAATTTATAAGGACAATTTCCAGATTTTATTTGATATTAGGTAGGTACCTAGTCTATATATCCATTGCCTGGTATTTTGTATAAAAGGTAATAACCCCTTTTCAATATACTCTCTCTCCTACAAGTTATAATTGGAATTTGCTTCCTTATAGTGTAGATAGTATGGGCCATGGCGGCCGTTATGGTTCAGCCCTTGATGCAAGTTCTTTATGTTAGACTTGGCTTATTTATTTCAGAAGAGTTCAACGCGGCCAGGCCGTGCAATGAAAAAAATGGAAAAGTTGATTGCCAAAATCAAGCTTGATACACGCTCAACACCATCTTCTTACCCATCTTTGTCAAGTTATTACGCTTAGCTAATAACATCCGGTCTGACTGTAAGGCCGTAACACCACCTACGTCGCAACTCCCAACCTCATCCCGTACAACGAGCTACAGTGGCTTAGAAGATCTACCGCCAGAGATAAGACGCAATATTCTGTCTTTTCTGGACATACGGAGCCTGAACTCTTTAGTGCACTCATCATCCGTTTTCCACGAGCAGTATTTCGAAGATCATCGGTATTTGCTCTGCTCATCATTGGAGACGACCTTGGGCACCGTTTCTCCCGATGTTTGTTAGGTCCTTTTCGCGTTCATAGTCAGCCTCTTCACGCAAGAATCAAAGAAGGAATTGGATCTCTGTCCCGTCGAGATTCTTCGTCTATTTTTCTGCCTATTTGAGCCATGGGAGGTTGAGGAAATACTGTGCATCAATACTTTCGCACAGGATAAGTACGACAAAATATTTCGTGAAATATATTGGGATTTGAACAAAAGTAGCCCAAAATTCGACGGCCAACGCCCGCCTACACCTGATGGAGCTTCCGACTTTGATCATGGTTGTACGTTCTCAATTTATCATTCATTACGTACCTCCTACAGCTTTTCAGTAAGTTTTGGTTGTCAGTTTAACTACTAACAGGATTAGGGGCACGAAAGGAACTGCCGACTGAAACCGTGTCTCGTGGCCTCGAATTGCTCCACAGAGTCTCTTACAAAATTAAGGACCATTCGCAACTGGTCCAGACGATGCAAGAAAACATTACTTGGCCTTTAGGTAATTTCCTTATAGACCTAGCTTTAGGCGAAACGGCACAATGGGCGCGGCGGCAGAAAGCTTACTCTAACAGAGATGAGAAGCAAAACCGCCGCGACCCGCTACCTTTCACCCAAGACGCGGAATCGCATCCCCCGCTGGCTTCGACGTTGATATGGGGTGGCACCTATAGTAACTTGTATGGATGGTACGTGCATGATGATATTCGTCGGCTCGGTTACGTTTTCCTTGATGCCATGAAGATCGAGTCGTTAGGCGCGAAAGATATTATACTTCAAAAGTGTCAAGGGGATTGGGGCGATAGCGATCCTCGAGATAATTCTTTTTGAGAATCCTCATTCAAAAGACAGTTTGCATCCAAGTATCATATACAAAAGTAACGCAACCATGACATATGTTCATTACTCACTACCTAGATAAGAATCTTTGGGGCCGTATCATTAACACCAGGCCCTTTAGGATATGAGAGATATTCATAAGCAGAAAGTTTGTTACCACCTAAGCGCCCCTTATACCTACCCGCTTACCCCCCTCGTCTTTTAGAAAGATCCAGCTTGACCAGTAATGACTTGATTCTTGCACCCACATCTGTCTTCAAATGTTGGAGGGCAAGCTTCAATAAAGTGCCTTGCGCGCATGCCTCATCAAGGGATAAGGGGTCAACGACACCTAGTAACTGCCGATAGAATTCGTACAAGGCTATTCTCTCCCCTGTGTCAGCCAGCGAAGAGATTCCATAAAACTTTGCTGCATCCTTTAGCTCTGGTATAGAGTCAATGGCATTGACTTCGCCAATTGCTATATAGTGTAGTAGCCTCCAAACGTGTGGGCGCTTCTCTGGTTTACAAGACAGGAAATCTCTTAAATTTTGATCCATCACATGGCCGTATCCATATTTATCAAAGACGGAAGGCAAGCTGAGCGAACTATAGGCTGTCCAAAACTCGTCGAACGGGCATATTGGTGGATCTGGAGGGCCGTCGTATGGAATCCCAAGACTTTTACAGTAGGCCCTTCTATGCTTGTGCCCAGAGAGTAACGTAGCATACGAGCCACCAAGTCCGCCCTCAGCGTGCCGAATTCCTTGGTGTGTTGTATCACGACTAACACAAGTAGCGAATCCGAATTGATACCACAGATCAAACGGGGCGTGTTCAAAAGGCGAAGGGTTAGCATTTTCGAGCGCTAAGGCGAAAAAAACAAAACAACGCTTCTTATCAAACGGCTCCAATTGTTCTAAGGTCTTTCCGCTATCTTCGCCCCCGAGGTATGACGCCGCTTGTCCTAAGATTCTCTCTAGGTCGATTTCAGGAGGTGCTTGGACTGGGTTGACTGTCTTGCCTGGGCTTAATATGTGGGCATTGCGAAGGAGCCAAGGGAAATATTTCCCACGGGATACCTCTGGTATCTTGTTATATTCCTCCGTAATCTGACTCATGAGCGCACCACCTTTCCTCCAAGCATCAACTGTTTCACTGGAAATATCTCGGTAGACGAACAGACCGATATAGACTCCGAGAAGATGCGACTGCTCATCTCGAGTCTTGCAGCGGTTGAATCCAAAGTCTTCTAACACATCGGGGTCTTCCGGCATCTCATCGGATAGGCAGTTTCGACATAAGTAATCCGCTGTGGTGAGAGGTCGAGCGTTGCAGTAGAAGATATGGTGAATTCCCATTTGGTTCTGGCAATGCAAACTACAATACCAGTCTCTACCGCAGAGGGAACAGCGACGCGACGTCATTTCCTCGCAATTATCACACTCGCCTTCAATCTCGCGCTCTACAGAAGGTCGGAGTTGAGAAGAGGTCTCGTCTAAAGTATCTCCGTTTGGTGGTGAGATCGGCCTAAAACGTATGAAGCTTGGTCAACAAGTAATCAAAAAATACGTCCGAGCATGCTTTTCTTACCTCGCCATGGGCCTATTCGATATAGAATGTTCTCTGTTTGTTTGCAGATGGTTCCTTATCAGCGTCGCCAGATGTTGATTGTCTGTATGTGGTATAGCAGTTGCAATAGAAGAACCGCCAACAGTTGACTCCTTGACGTGCGATCTAGGCTTTACACCATGCCGAAGCAACTTTGCGACCTGGCTCTGTAGCTCCTTAACTGCCCTAGATATTAGTTCTAGAGAGGTGTCACTAAGTCCATCAGACTCGGGTATAGTCCACATCTCATAGACTTTTCCGTGGCAACCCCGACAAGCGAACCCGATCGTTGATATGAACCCAAAGCAGAGAAGGCAGGACCGCTTACTGCAACCAATGTATTTGAATACAGGGTCTAACAACATATATCTCTTAGATACGTCAAAAATAAGCTGTACTTCGGCGTGAACATTATCCTCAGTTGTCCTGAGCTTACTGAACTTGTTAACCAATTTGTCCCTCGTCCACGTTGAGGATTTTCCCGCCTCTGAATTCATCAAGGTTTTTGTTTCCGTGTCAGTAAACTTGATACCTAGGGCCTTGAAAGTTTGGCCCACGGTCCATGGAGTAGTTGTGGGCTTGTTGGCGTGAGTTGTCTTTTTGACAAGAGAAGACAGCTCAACCCATCTTATGCGCAATTTGTCAAACCCTTCAATTCTCTCTATAGCTCGGATAAAGGTAAGAAAGGCTACGTGAGGTCGAGCCAGCAGGTAAATCAACTCGCCAATTTTTATGCCGACTGAAGGCTTTTCCGGCTGAATGCGCTCAAACGCGGAGACATTATTGAGGACTCGTACGTGATATGCCGCGAGAACAATGTTGCTTATATCGTGCGGCACTCGATTCAAGGCTTGAGATAGCGTTTCGATTCGTCCTGCAAGGCTTCTTGTAGTTTCTGAGTCGGAGCGCTCCATTAGCTGGATCTGACCTTGAGTCAAAGAACCCTGGAGGTCTGATATGTATCCTCTTATCCTGGGTGCGTATTGGTTTAGTAGTAACTCCCACATCTCAGACGTGTCCCGAGGAGAAACTAGAGATTTTGATAAGCGTTAGGGCAAACCTACACTCTATGACTGAGAACATACTTGGATCGCCCGCCAGGCGTCTCAGGACCTTTTCCAAAGCCGTTACAAAGTCTTTATCTGTTTGCTTCAACCCAGAGTTCTTGGCGACAGTTACTTCAGGGGCTTCTATGTTCTCTACCATTAGTGCAGCAGCTACGTGATAACCGCCTCTTGTTTGAGATAAAATCTCGGACAATCTGTCAAGGAATGCGCGCTTGAGCTTATCATTATCGAAGTTGGTCAATGGTTGTCCTGTAACGGAATCGCTGTCCTCTGCTGATTCTATTGCATCGGGGCCTGCTTCGCAAGCGTCGAATATGATAGCATCATCTACCTGTCCTCCATTGCGAAGGCTCAATAGCTTAGTATAAGCCTCAAAGCGAGACTTATCTAGGCCGTCTAATCCCCAGTGAAATGTGTGGCTCATTATGGCGATAAAGAATGAATGTCAACAATACTTGATTGAAGCGGGGAAAGCATGGTCTTATTTCACAACGCGAAGCGGTAGGCTGCATCCTGCTGCGCATGGCAAATGAGGTAACCAATATCATTTCTCATATTACTACCTACTCCGGTACATATGCGACCGGAGAGTTGGATGCACCCAATATCGCACTCAACAGCGCAACCAATAGATAATAGAGGTCTGAAGAAAACCATAGCTCTCTGCGACCCCAATCCTAAAACCTTTTCTTCCTCAAGATCGTATACACATTTACTTCAATAGATTAGAAGGTATGCTAAGTGCCTACTCTCATTCGGTAAGACACCTACCTTTTGATCTTTTCTTGGTAGGAAGTTGAGTGAGGAAGGGCATTCCTTTCGTATTTCTAGATAACTTTACATAAGACGCTATCTCTTGGACACTCATTCCAACACACGCGGTATCATATCTCTGGGTAATACGGCTTATAAGAGAAGTACCTAACCTACCTAGGTAGGTAGGGAGCCTCTTTGGCTATCGGGTAGAAAATTCATTATAGAATGCTGTGGTTTGAACAAAGCTTGTTAAGTACTAGATATGAGACTTGAAAGAAGGAGATGTTGTTACGTAGAGCTGGGAGGTACCTTAAAGTAACAACTTTGCTGTTTCGTTACATCTTGTTCCGCCTCGTGATAGTTAATGGTATCGGTGGGACTTTTGATGCCTAACAAGTAGTTTACTTTATGCTTGGTCCTTTAGGCGTATGGGCTTTAATAAATAATCTCGCGATGCCCTCGGCAAACCAGTTCCGTTAAACCATAGTTCGTTGTCGCTCAGGCCAATACTTCGCGCCGGCGTCGTATGACGTGGATATCAGAAGTTGGTTGGGTCTTGGTTACGGGTAAAGTCGGTGAACCAAGGTATATGCCAAGATGAAGACTCACATTCCCTGGCACGTGCTGTCGTAACACGGTACTGCCGCCCGGTGGTGCAATGCGCGGTTGCGCGTTTACCCCAGGCGGATACATACGTAGCGACTCGTTCGCGACGGCATCAAGAAAACCAAGATCTTTCACGCTCGAAAAATCAACCGATTCTTTATCGGTGAAGAGACTACACAGCTCACTGGCCAGCTTCGACAAGGCCTCAGGGTTTGTAGCAAAGGAGGTATGTCACTCCGGTCAATGCTATAGTCGTTGTCTCGGAACCCGCCGCAATCAGGACAAAATGCGTTGTTGTTGATTTCTTCTCTTGTAGGAGACTTTTACAGAGTATGCTAGTATAATCTCGCGTTTATGACGCAATAGAATTCAAGCGCCGGGGTTTCAATCTTATGAAACTTTACCATGCCTCTCGTACCGGATGACATCGCCTCCACGAAGTTAGGGACCAATTCAGAACCCCACTAACTGCGGCGGCCTGAAGACTAGGAACGATCACATCGATCCACGGGTGCATAGCGGAATCCTGCGGGCAGTGAAAGGACTCTCCAAACGACAGGCCGCCAATTATGTCGAACAAGCAAAAGTTGAACCATTGTCTAACATCAATACTAGCTGTAGCCTCATCCACAGAAATCTCAAGCAAGCGGTTCATAAACATGTTGACATAGCTAAGGAGGAGCTTTTCCTGATGAACCAAGGCACTCCCGGAGAAGGCCGGAGAAGGGTCCGTCTCATACGTAAGTGATCCTCGTACGGCGCAGCAGCGATGTGTTTGTCCTGTGGGGAGCAATACCAAGGGGCTTTCGGATTTTCAGCAAGTCCTGTTTTTCGACGGCCCATAATATCGGCCCACGCGCTCGGCTCGATATATGGAAGTGCATTTGGCCATAATAACCATGGAGTTCAAGTGGGCGTTGATGAGCATTCCAGAGCAGAACAGCACCGTCCATGGTATCTGGGACACAGCCCAAAGTGGTGGCCTAAGATATTTTGATAAAGGATGAAGCCATAGATTATATAACGGAACGGCTAGCAAGTAGCATGCCATGACCTACCAGGATTCAGTGCTAGATTCCTATTGATTTTGCTACTCGTGATCGAGGGGAACCTCTGATGCAGTAAGCCACCACCTCTCCTAATATCACCAAGGCATTGATGATAATCCACAAGATCGTACCTTTCAATGTGGATTGACTCGCACGCTCTCTCACCTCTTTCACGTCCCACTGAGTACATAGCTCTTTAAACCGTAAAGGGTCATCGGTAATCACACCGTCAGCGTGGTTACGTATGCTCAGTGACATCAGTTCATCTGAATTATCCGACCACGAGAATACAAGCCGGTGGTTCTCTTTGGCGGATACTATGAAGCGAGATCCTCTTGAAGTGGCGAAAGAGTAATTGTAGAGATTGAAATTCAGATTGGGGACCGGCAGCATAGCCGAGGCGTAGTCGGGCGAGAAGGCAATTAAAGCGACCGGGAAACCGGGGACAAGCCTCAAACATTTCGCAAACCAATCCGCCTGCTAACGAATTAGCCAACTTAATTCATGATATGACTTCCATTCGACTCTCAACTTACATCCCAGGGCCCAAGCATGATCCTCTCGGTCCATGGGCGCTTACTTGTAGGTACCGAGGCTATTGCCGCAGCTATGGCAGTTAATAGCTCACCGGTGTCATCGTCTGTCTGTGCAGAGGTGTACGATATCAGCACTCAAAACAAACGGCGGTCTTCTCATCACCGTTCAGGGTCGCGAATGAGATGCTCACTTTGATGTCGAGGAGGAGCCAGACATGCTCCGCGACAGGTTCATTGAGGTATCCAAGGAAATCAACAAACCGGGGCATCGGTTGGCTAGGCTCGCGTAAGGTACGAAGAGTACTCAAGTCATCCCAGCTACAGTCGGAGCTTGGGTAAGACACATGTGATATCACAACAACACCATCCCGCGAGAGGTGAAGGTTGGCCTCAAGTGCAGTGGCTCCCACCTCAATCGCCCCTCGAAAAGCAGCCATGGTGTTCTCCGGGAAGGCCGCACTATACCCCCGGTGGCCGATAGCCTGTGGTAGCCGTTTCGGCTTGACATGTCTGGCGGCGGCCCATGGTGCTTCTTTACAACATTAACTTATGACATATTCCAAAAGAGAAGCAAGAAACTAACCTGGGAGCGTATACTCCATGCTATTTCCCTTGCAACTTGCCTTTCCATCAGTTATGGCGAGTTCGATCTCTAACTGGAAAAGACGAGAAATATGTAGAAAATATAGCCCCTAAATAAGTTGGTTGAAGACCAGTTGCGTAAGGAATATGCGTTAAGAGCAAGGCAATCTTGATTAAGTAGTAGGAACAGTAGAGAAGTACCTATGCACGCCCATTACCCACGTATCTTATAACAAATAATAGAAAGCTGTCTACGTCATGTAACGCAAGATATGCAGGCTGCGATAGATACAGGTGCAGGAGGTACTTCTAGGTTAATATTCTTGACTTCTACTTTGCATGCTGGTACCTGGCTGGGATGGAGATGGTACCTACTTAACGCCAATCAATATAATAGCCTGCATCCTATATTGTATTAAGACCAACATCAGAGCGCCACACGGCCATATTGATAGTAGCAGCATTGAGTGACTCTTACCTACCCCTTGCCTGCTACTGTATGAGGTACCTAAGGTAAGAGACAAACACCAACAACCTGCCTCTCGTTTGGTGAGACTTTCAAGTCCTTGTAGCAGGGGGCGAAATGTCTAATTTTATATGTTCAGCCTACTTCATCGCGCCGTAATGCTACCTCTTTAGACTTGGAGATGATCTCGGCTGCTCTACATCTTCATTATCATTTGCTCCCCAGGGCCCAATAAGCATTTTGGTGACTGCTCTTCGATTCATTGCCACCGTGAAGTCTCAAAGAAAATTTACTTCGTACTATTAGGCCTCGTCTTCTTCCTCGCATTTAACAGCCTAACAATAGCCAGTGAGTACCCTAATGTATTCAAAGAACCCCGTATACCTTTCTCCTTGTACACGCTAATGGCTTATTAACACTGATTGCAGCACTGGCCATTCAGAACGGGGAACACGCCCTTGTAACCATTGCACATCTGTCTCCTACTACCATTAAACTGATTTTTAAAGGTGAGTACAGTAGTGATTGCCAGGTAGTGAGATGAGTTTTTAAACTAATACCACGTGAAGATCGGCTATGCCTTAGACTTTTTCTTTCCAATGAATCAGACAACGGTGAAGCTAAGTCTTTTAATCCTCTATCACCACATATTTTCTGTTCGCCAGGCATTTCGATACTGGATATACGGTGTTGGCGCAGCCCAGATTGCTTAAGGTGTTGCCATTCTTTTTACCCGTATTTTCCCTTGCATGCCCATACATACCCAAAGTTCTGGGATCGAGAAGTACCAGGCACCCGTGCCTCGGCGAAGATGCTAGGTAGCTGAAGAGTAGCAGTGCTGGCATTTTATAAGAAAGCTTCCCCATCGGGGTCTTTTCAGGTCTTTCTTACTCCCGCGTTAGCTCTACTCATCTCCGGTAACAAAGAGCGCAAATTCCGGGGTTGGAGCTTGTCTCTCCGGCAATAAGGCGCAGCAAATAATCGTACTACGTAGCTCTGCTAGGTTACCACGGACCGATTAACAGCCTTGGTGGCTGCCTAAATGTAGTTTATCCTTCCCTTCCGTCACTAAAAGCCACGGATCACACTAACATCATTTTTTGAATGTCTACACACACTCTGTAACATTTGTCCTCTGCATATAACTTACTAGCTTACTAAATCTAAATACTACTAACAGCTAAACTAGCCTATCTTAGCCCCTAAGATGGCCCCCAACAAGAGCTTTTCCTGGACTCAGTTCTTCCCACCCAAGCCCCGATTCTCTGCCCAAGATATGCCAAATCTTCAGGGAAAAGTTTATGTTGTCACAGGTGGCAATAGTGGCATGGGAAAGGAACTCGCGCAAGCACTCTACGCGAAGAATGCCAAGGTCTACTTAACTTACCGTATAGAAGAAAAGGGATCGGAGGCTATCAAGGATATCAAGCGGAAGGTTCCCGCTTCGAAAAGAAAGTTGGTCTTTCTTCATTTGGAACTCGCAAATCTTAAGAACGTACGAGCAGCAGCCAAGACGCTTCTCTCGCGTGAATCTAATAACAAGCTCCACGGCTTATTCAACAACGTAAAGATGATAGTGGGCCCGGCAGAGCCCCCTACCAAGACAGCACAGGGCTACGAGGAAGCCATCGGGGTCAACTGCATCGGCACATTCCTCTTCACGAAACTACTCACCCCTGCGTTGATTGCGGCAGCTAGGTCTGAGCCTGCAGATACCGTACGTGTTGTCTGGCTATCCTCATTTGGGTTGGAACAGTTCGCACCGGAGGGGGGTGCTATCGACATGAGCAACCTGGACTTCCACAATCCCAAGCCCGGCATCGAGCGTTATGGTCTAAGTAAGGTTGGGACCTGGCTGTTAGCGGTGGAATACGCCTGACGATATTCGCCTGGTGGTATCGTCAGTGTGGCTATCAACCCTGGTAACATCCGGACCGCCTTAGCCAGGCACCAGGGGGCTGCACTCAAGCTGATCGCTGGGGCGATCGTGTATCCTGTAAAGAACGGGGTATCTGCACAGCTATTTACCGGCTTCTCCAAGGAGATTACTACCAAGTTTGATTGGAAAACCGAGTGGGGTGAGTAGTATTCTGCACCTGATGAATCATTTTGCTCTCTGTTCTCGAAGCTAGGGCTGATATGAGGCGTTTGACAATCCTAGTCATTCCTTTTGGACGTATCGCCCGTCTTCGGCCAGACCTTACTCAGGCGACTCTGCCGACTACAGATGGTGGGAATGGCAGTGCGCAGGTGTTCTGGGAGTGGAACGAGCAACAGGTCAAGGACTATTTGGAATAAGACAAGGACTTGCGAGTTGACAAGATGATTCGATTTCTTCATATTACAGGTCCCAAGGATGATACAGGTAGGTAGCGCCTCGCTAGGCTCTGTGCTATGTACGCGCGTGGGTTTCCTTTTGGTCGGTAAATTCATTGGTTAATACCTGCACGGAGACATGACGCCATCCTTCGGGTAGCATAAGAGCCCGAACTTGAAGTTTTTCAAGTTTATAGCTCCTAACCACCGAACGCTTACCAAACCTACAGCTTGCAACCACCGAACTGCTGCTAGGCCTACGGCTCCTCTAGCTACGATACCGAATGGCTCCCTATGGCTTGTAGCTATTAGGCTAGTTAAAGAGGAGATGGCTATCGAAACAAAGTGGCTTTCAAAACGAGATGTACAGTACTTTTTTTTTTTTTTTTTAAAAAAAAAAAAAAAAAAAAAAAAAAAAACAAAAAAGCTGTAGAAACAAGGAAAATCTTTTAAACGCACAACCTTAAGAATACATCCTAATAAAAATGCTTTAGAGTATTGCGCCACGTCCGTGGCCCATGAGTGGCACACTCACAGTTTGTTTACAACCTGGTTACTTCCTATCGTTTCCCCATTAAAAACATATGAGGTACTTGGGTACCTAAATACTACGTATCTTCACATGGATCTGGCCAGCAAGCCCTGTTAGATCTTAATTATTTTCGTGTGCATTAGGCTAGATACTTGCATACATATGATAAGAGCATATACTGCTTAACGCAAATAAGCATGAATGGTTTTTTTCTTCCTATTCTTTTTTTGGACAACTTTCCCTTAGGCCGACTTGCCTCGTACACAAGTCTTACACTCCGTGACGTGTAAAGGACTAAGACAAGAAGCGACGAATCAGTTAGTTTCTAACGATGAAATTGATATTTTGATTTTTGGTGCTGTATATTATATAATTTAGGTACCTACGAATTAGGAGGGTAGTATTAGGTGTGGTGCTACTTGGGCTTGTAGACACCTAAGTTCGTCAAGTCGCCATTCTGAACGGCAGGCTATTTCTATAGGCTAGTTAGGATGGCGGTCAAGAGAACTGCCAGGCTAGTATGAAGTGGAAGCCTATCTCACTGTTGGCATTTCTAATTTATGTAAGGCTTACTGTAATTCTACTACGTAAGTGATAAACTAGTTTGCTTGGGTATCTGATACGACATTTCATCTCCTTTTTTATGTGCCTTTATGAGGGAGAAGAAAAAAAGAGGAATACAACGATAACGCGCAGAGCAATCGGGTATGGATTGGAAAAGGAGAGATGAACGGGGGTTTTTTTTTTTTTTTCTTTTTTTTTTTTCTCATTACCCGACCATTTGAATTTTCATGTGTTTATCTTAATAACCAGGAGTAGTGGAACAGGAGGTAATAGTATATCCACTTCCTTTTTTTTTATCTGATCTTTATTGGTTAACATTCTCGTCCGCATGTTTCCTAAGACAGTGTAACAGGGTTCGCAGTCTTAAGACCCCTGAAACCTAAAAGGAAAAATTATTTAGATTAGGACTAGTCTTGATGACTTTAACCTATTTGCGAACCGTGCAAACTGGGAACCAGATTTAAATGTTAAGCTTAGAAGCTTAGACCCGCTCCTAAGATCCAAAACCCCAGGACCCTTATTCGGTATGAAGCGGAACCAGAACAGTGTTGAGGCTCATCTCAATGAAGATCTGCGTTCCAGACCGCCACGTGTAAGCTGTAAGAGGCTTAGTGGAATATTGTTCGAATGGCAAGCGACCCCTTTTCCCGTAACCCTAACTTTGATAATGGGGTTGAAGAGTAATACCACTAACAATAAGTCTCCCCCTAACGAAAAATTTGCAATCATTCAAAATGCGAGCATAAGACCCTGAAAATCCTCCTCTTCCTTCAGCCATACTCTCTCCCGAGACCCTTGAATAACAGGTCTTCAAGAGTTTTTCAGCTGAAATCTTTCAAGCCTGCTCAAGCTGGTCCGTACTACTGTTAGTACAGGCTAGATCTATAATGGCGACAGTTACCCAGGTCGAAGCGCCTGTCGCGAGGCCGCGTATAGTGTTGGTGAGTAACCAGGCAAATATACCAAGAGCAAGGAAATCAACGCTGACACTTCAACGTAGAACACTAAGGCAGAGCAACCGGCATTCCCTGATATTAACACCATCCGAAAGGCCATCCCCCCTCATTGCTTCAAGCCTTCAACATGGAGATCGTTATCATATGTTGCGCGAGATCTCGTGATGGCTGGCGTCCTTACCTATGCGGCATTGACGTATATCCCTTCCGTATCTAACCCTGCTTACCGTGCTTCTCTTTGGGTTGTATATGGGTTTCTCCAAGGCCTCGTGTTTGTCGGGTTATGGATTTTGGCGCACGAATGTGGTCATGGCGCTTTCTCTGTTCACAGAGGTCTTAATGATACAGTTGGCTGGGTCTTGCACTCTGCCTTGGGTGTGCCATATTTCTCGTGGAAGTTCTCTCACGCCCGGCACCACCGTTTCACCGGTCATATGCAGAAGGATATGGCCTTTGTTCCGCAGACCAGGCCCTCCTGGTTTATTAGGTCGCTAGGAGACGCCTTGAGCTCTTTCGTAAACTCCGAAGTTCTCGAGGATGCGCCCCTGGTCAACTTGATTCGTCTACTTGGCCAGCAGTTAGGAGGATGGCAGGTTTATATCCTCATCAATGCGACGGCGGGAGAGGATAGTTTGCAAAACCAGGACGCCAAATGGTGGAGGCGAAGCCACTTGGACCCTTTCAGCGGAGTCTTTCGTCCCCAGGAAGCCTTATATGTTCTCATCTCCGATTTAGGCCTCGCCCTTGTAGGTGCTGGTCTCTACTATAGCTCGTTGGCTCTTGGTTGGCAAACCGTATTCCTCCTGTACGGAGTTCCTTACTTCTGGGTGAACCATTGGTTAGGTAAGTGATGCTATCGCGACGTCGTATGGTCCAAGCCGCTAACATTGAATTAGTTGCCATTACCTACCTTCACCACACACACCAGGATGTCCCTCATTATGATGGCGCACGATGGACTTTCGTCGCCGGAGCCCTGGCCACTGTTGACCGTGATTTTGGCTTCATTGGGCGCCACATATTCCATGGCATCATCGACACGCACGTTGTGCATCATCTATTCTCGTAAGTACCCAAGTATAAATATTGTCATGCCAACTATGGTGCTAACTAGCATCCAGACGAATTCCCTTCTATTATGCTGAAGAAGCCACTCGAGCTATCAAGCCGCTACTTGGTGATCTCTACCACAGCGATGAGCGCTCATTCATGGCTTCATTATGGGAAACATCCCGTTCTTGCCAATACGTGGAGAACGACCCGAACAACCCTGGTGTTCTAAAGTGGGCTAAATAGATTTCCTGCCCGAGGCGGTAGAGAAAGGTTAAGCGCTAGTCGTGGCGAGCTGTTCTAGAGAATAGAGGTAGATACATGATAAAAATATAGAGACGGATAGAGCTGGGTATAGATATGACTGAATTAACAAAGTATTGAGATGCATTGTACTTGTCCATTCTTGCAACCATAAAGCTAGAGAATACATTACCGTCAAATGGGGGGTTATAGTAGCCGTATATATACCGTATACATACAGCTTACCATATATAAGCCGCCTTTAAAGTTGAGGGAAAAACTTTTATTTAATAATTTTATTATAAAAAATAAATAAATAAAATTTTTTTAAATAATATATATAAAAAACGGTTTTTACATTATAAGTAGTGTTACGAACCAACAGCCGAGGAGATCACGTTCAGGCCTGGGAGCGGGGTCTCAATACCCCTTGGTACGGATAAATCTCGTGTGACGAACCTACACTCAGGTCCGGTAGAGTGTAATGCCGATAGGTCTTGATTTTCAGGTAAACAGTAACGATACGAATTAAGTGTCAAATAAACGTTAAGGTGTTCGTCAGGAAGGCTTAAAGTCCTTCCCCTTATATGAATTAAATATAAGATTTAGATTAATAGCTGATAAGCTTGAAATGAATGACTAGATACATGAGAAACGTTCGATAGTTATATGAAATGCCTCTTCTACTTCCTGTTGCTATCGTTCATAGCATCTTTGTGTGATCTGGTTGATCTGGTCAAGATCACACAAGATCACCCAGATCACTACCCTCCATGAGGTTATTCCGAGATGTTACGAACCAACAGCCCGATGAGCCATGCCAAGTACGGAAGCGGGGTGACAACCAACAACGATTCGGCCAAACGTCGGATAATTGGATCTTATGGATCTTACGGATCTTACGGATCTTGACAAGATCCATAAGATCCCAAAGATCAACAAGATCAGTAAGATCTCAACGAAAATCATACGCAGAGTAAGGAAGCCAACAGGTCTATTTAAAACTATCATGTATTTAATCATTCATTTCAAGCTCATTAGCTATCAATCTAAGTCTTATATCTAACCCATATAAGGGGAAGGACTCCAAGCCTTCTTGACGAACACCTTAACGTTTATTTGACACTTAACTCGTATCGTTACTGTTTACCTAAAAATCAAGACCCATCGGCATTACACTTTACCGGACCTGAGTGTAGGTTCGTCACACTGATCCAGATCCATCAGATCCCTAATTCTCATCAGATCCATGATCGCTCCGAGGTTTATCCGTTCCCAAGGGATGAACAAACCCCGCTCGGTAAGCCTGAACGTGATCTCGTCGGCTGTTAGTTCGTAACAAATTTAACATTTTAAAAATTTAAAATATTTAAATCATAAATAATAATATTATTATTTAATTATTTAAATTACGTAATACTTTAAACATTATAATTAAAAGCTATTTTTTAAATTAAATTAAATTAAATAAATATAATTATATTTATTAAAAATATTGAACAGGTGTGGGGTATCTTAGTGTCATGATCAGTATGATCTCATGTATTGTAGTCACTCTCAGGCTATATAAGCCTTACCCCCTTCAAGATCAACGATCATAGATAGATCAAGCAATCTTCCACCTCGACACAATTATCCAGAGCTTTACGGACGTTATCTTAGATTCCTTTGATCACCTCTTAATATATCTTCTTTTGACCCCACTGCAGTCTATTCTTATGATATAACCTCAACCATAACCACCACCACCCGTATCCTCAACATCATGAATACCTTCCCAGGCGGCTAGTTATCTTCCCAAGCTATTCATTGCCTACTGATCAGGAGATTGAATAGTCTTGAGTAGAGGGTATCTACCCCCAGGAGGCTTCTACCCACTTGTTCAATATATATGGTTATTATAACTTTTTATTAAACGTTAATATATTAATAAATAATTATAAATGTGTTATTCATGAGCCATAGACGTGGCTCTTTCTGCTTTTCTTCAGTGTTAAGTAATTGTTTATAAAAAGAATAAAAAAATAAATAATAATCATAATAATCATAATAATAATCTTTCTTTTACATACCTGACAATACACACACACTTGTCAATAATTTTATTACGTAGGATGTGTCAGGAGTCTCACTTGAAACTCCTTGGAACAAAGGAGTTATTCTGTATATAGCTTTGGCTTCAAAGCAACTGTAGTTAGAGTTCCTTGCGGAACAACGAAGTTGTTTTACCTACTACATGCTCTGCGACGTGACAGGATTACGGGATTTGACGATGGTTACGAAACGATCTGCCCCGCACTTTTGGTACTGAGTTAGCCCGAGCCTCTTTCAACGTCGAGGTACTCTAAGTAGGTACCTGATACCTTAGTTACTAAGTGTCGTAGTCCGCTTATTAACTGTCAGCTTGTATGTTTTGATTGTAATATGATGGGTACCTAACCTACCTCTAAGCCTATTATGAATGAAACTGTGGCAAGTCGAAGTCTTAAATGTCCTATATCTTCTCCCAAATTTACTACAATAGCATGTTCCTCATAAATGAGAGATAGGATAAATAACGCCGAAAGGGGGCACATGTTCCAGGATGATGATTAGTAAATGTACGCCCATTTCGATGCCTCTGCATAATGTGCTGCAACGTAAACCGGGTCTCCTAGCCCGCAAAAATTACATTTTTCAACTTACTTTTTATCGGCAATCCTGGGAATCGTACACTTTGGATCTTCATAGGAACGTAAACTCGGCCTCTAACGAAAAGGGTCGATCCAGGGCTTCTAAATTTGCTTTGATAAGCCTTTAACCTTTGAGCGTGGCTGCTTATTAGCATATAGTAATCGGCGACTAGAGACTATCACCATGCTTATAATATGGGCATGCATGGCGCAAGGAAAGCAAATAGCAATGGATGATTTACGAGTAGCATCATGTATTCTAAGTGTACCTATGCGCGGTGGCGTAAACGGTTAACGCCACTTTTATCTATGACAGCTAATCAAATAATGCTATGGTCTTATCACAGTTCTTATAACAATACTTTATACGAGACTAATGGACCCCGAGGTGAAAGATGGCTTTGGCTGATAGGGCGTCATCTAGTAAGCGAGATTAAGCTTGGAATCCGCTGACGAAAGTGAATACCGCACGTTCTTGTGTCTCCATCTGGATGCGTCCTACTGATAGAAGCTCACGGAGCCGAGAACGCATCCGCATATTAGACACCACCCTTTGCCATAGCGGTGGCGTAACTACTTAAAGTGTAATTGGGTACATAGAGTCCATCGGACAATAGCGAGGTATTTAAGACACGGCCACGATAATCTATCAGGTGCTGCATCTTCACGGACGTGCCGCTATATTCGAGCCAACTAGAGATACCCGACCTAGCCGAACCTATCTCTTATTACGCATCGTAAGGTAAACAATAATACATGCAATGAAACATTTCTTCTTTAGCGATGTATCCAATAAAAATGCTTAGAGTGTTGCGGACAGATGACCTCCTAAACCTAGAGCGGAGTTGGGCTGAGTTGGGCATGGCTTCGGTGAGATACAACCGTTGAGCCAAAAGTGCATTTCTTATTACCACAATTGCTATTACAGTCTATCTGACAGCTTCTTTCTACAGCTTCTTTTGCGTTATACTGGCAACACTTCCAAACTTATTAATCATTAATGACCGACTGCTCTTAGGTTTGCGGAACCGCAGGTCTGCTTCCTCTTCCAACTTATCTCCGAATTCTGCGGAAAGTTGGGAAATGAAAAAAATCATGTCTCCTCTCATGGCCGGTAAAGGGAGCTCCTCGGAACTAACCAAGCACACCGTTGTGACATCTTCTACTGAGGTTGGCGCGACTAGTCCCATAATTACTCGTACTACAAGCCATTTAGATACCAAATCAACACCTATTCAAGTCACTCATGCCATGGAAACAGCTAGGAAAGTAAGGTCTAGGATCGTGCACGAGTTTGGAGACGTTGAGGATGTGCACCTCGAGCGAATTAATCTGCAGTATTATATAAAATACATTGCTGATCGGCGTAGGACACATATACCCAAGCGGGGAAGTCAGTGGGATCAAGTGCTAAAGGAGGCTGAATTCTTTGGCCTTCAAATCGACGAGTTCACTTTGGCTGTTGAAGACTTCATTGTCGATAGTACGACAGTACGAGATACCGCATTGGCAAGCTGCTATCTTCTACTCGAGGTATGTAACGTTCTTAAAGTATCATCTCCATCGAATCTAACCAGACCCAGCTTGGCTGCGACCAAGCGCAAGCTTTGGAACCAACTTTCAATACCCTATACGAACTTGGACAGCTTCTTGCAAACACACTTGAACTTCGGTCCCTATTCACCCTGAGTGATGGAATCGCGAATTCTTTAGGCGAAATTGTCGTGTGCCTTGTGCGTCTTCTTGGTGATATAACAGTCTTTTATCACCAGCGGGTTAGTCGACTCTCCCAAACATCTAGGACTATCCAGTTCGATCTTGAATTTGGAAACCAATTAGAAGAAATATGTTCCAAGAGGGTACAGCTTATCAACACGATATGGAGCTATAAGCTAGGAAGTGCTCACACAGGGAACGATGTCGCGTTACTCCATCGAGACTTGGGCTCGACCCGAGCTCATATAAAGTCATACCTCTATGGCCGCATCCAAGAAAAGAAACGCCGCACGGAAGGAACATGTGAATGGCTCGAGGATGATCTTTTCGACTTCCTTGAAAATGGCGAGAAAATTCTCGCCGTCACGGGTATTGCCGGATGTGGAAAGAGTATGCTGGCGGGTTGGGTACGCGATCAATTGGAGAGACCAATTGGCTATTCGAAACAAAAGCATAGGACAATATCGTTTCAATTCGGTAAGTATTTCCAATTACGTCTAGTATGTCCCTCTCTAATGTGCTGTAGCCATCGACCACAAGGAGAAGTCAACTATCATAGCCTTCCTGAAGAGCGTGCTATCCCAGTTACTTGAGATTAGCATTGGCGATAGCAATCTTTTCAACAACCTTTCCTCCGCCGTGAAGAAATTTGGAGAGGATAATAACAAGGAAGAATTCACTAATCAAATGTGGGCTTTGCTCGATAATGGATTCGCCACAGTCAATAGTAAGCGAGTGAACCTCACGCTCATTATTGATGGGCTAGATGGACTAGTTGGAGGAGACACGGCAGGCCTTGAGCTATTTCGGCGAATCCACCAAAGTGTCAAGAAACTGGAAAGTATTCGCGCCATAATATTCTCGCGTCCTAGTTCACACATTGGCCAACTCGATCAACCCGATGTCAGACACGTCGTGATCACCCCTGAACAAGTCCATGATGACATACAACTCTATTTGAAACTTGGTCTTTCCCAACACAAGGAATATACGTCTCAAAGTATCCCAAAGCCAGAGGAACTCCTAGACGAATTGGTGTCTCGGGCGAAAGAGTCCTTCCTCTTCGCATACTTGTCGCTCCAGTTGCTAGCCACCGGTACCAGCTTAGACTCGTTCTCTAAGTTCATTCATGCCATCAACCCAGAACTGAACAATAATCACGAAAGCCTCCTCAAAGAGCTCACCAACAAGATCAACTTGAAAGACGAAAATGCCAATCGTCTCTTAACCTTCATGATAGTCACCGAGCGACCGTTCGAAATAGGAGAAGTGGAAGATTTGTTGAGTATCGATCTTTCAAAACGGACCAGTTCATCAAATGTTGATGTACGCAGCATGATATCTGCCACTGGGGGATTACTCATTGAGAATCAAGGGGCCATTTGCTTCAAGCACCCCATCGTCCGAAGTTACATCACCCAGCTTTGCGGCTCATCACTCATATCTCTCAAAGATGCCCACTGCTTGCTGACAATGACACTTCTATTACATGCAAAAATAGCTCTTATGCAGACCTGTGGCCCATCTATTGACATGGTAAAGAGAACGACCATTGACCAAGTGTACAGGTCCTGTCCCCTGGTCAAATTCACCGTGAAATATTGGGTCGCTCATCTCCAACGGTCATCATTTACCAATGCAAAGGGGGACCTAGAGCTATCGGAGGACTTTAAAGGTATCTTTCCAGATTCTATCCTTCTTGTTATGCTGGAATGGTCTAGCTGGCAGACTCAGCATGCCGCTTCTGCTCTCGACCTACACAACTTGGCATTGAAAGTACGCACCACTTGCTTTGGAGAAAATAATCGCACTGTGCTGCAGAACCTTATAATCATCGGTACCATCTATCGGACGCAGTCGGATGCGGCCAAAGCTGCGGACATATTCTATCGTGCTTCATCTGTCGGCCAGGCGGTTATGTCCAAGTTCGACCCGCTGGTAATTACCTGTACTTCGATCTTCTTAACCTGTACCGAGGAAGTTACCTATTCGGAGAGAACTACAAGTGCCATCTATCGCGAAGAGATGCTTCACTTCTACATTGAGGTTTGCAAGAGACAGTATGGCGCTAACTCGGACCAAGTCATTCGATGGTACGAAGCACTAATTAAGCTCTACCGTGATATATGCGAAGAGCATACGGCAGCTGTCATTCTTGGAGAACTCCACGGGATAATCACCATCCGTTTTGGGAGCGGCTCGGCTAAAGAACGAGAAATAACTAGAAAGCTCATTGGAATACAGGTAGTGCTCAAAAGGGGAAAGACCCGAGGATCCAAGAGTCAAGACGACGAGCTACTCTTCAAAATTAGCGAAGACTTGGAGCTGACTGATGAACGACGAATCAATATCATTCTTAACATGGCTGAAACCTATGAGTCGCAGGAGAAGTTCACATATGCTGAAAGACTTTACATTGTTCTCTGGAGTCGCATATGCAAAGCTTGTCACCAAAATGCTACCGTTGAGCTGCAAGTTGTTCAGCTTAATATTGCTCTCGAATACATCCACTTTCTATGTCGTCGTAAACGCGAGAGTGAAGCGTGCAACATAATGGTTTGCATCTGGGCTGAGTATGAGCACTGTTTGTTTGCATCAGATATCATTGTTCAGCGCCTCAAGGAGCTCTCCATTTTGTTCAAACAATTCGGCTTGCTTGCAGTGTCCATGTCTATACTCAAGAAAGCCTGGGAATGGTTTAAAGAGCACAAAATGACTGAGTCGAAAGAAGCTTCCGAGACATCCATTACCATTACCGAAGTTGTCGAGAAAATAACAGAGACTACCACAGCTACCACTACTACGACGACAGAGGCGGAGACTGTAATGCGGGAAATCTATAAGACCACCTACACAAGAGCGAGCTCAGACAAAGTGGATCATCTCTTTTTCAAAGCATGTTTGGCTCTGGTTGGCCTTCATATGAGACATGAAAACTGGTATGAAGCAGAGCTTGTGTTACAGAATTCCTTGGAACTGGTATGGAAAGGAGTTCTTACAGTCGATGAGAAGATTACTCTAGAAGGCGACTTCATATCAGAAACCGTCTTGACTGCAACACGCCTAGCTCTCTTCTACCATCGACAGAGGAAGTTCGATAAAGCTGAACAAATTTACCTTCGTGTATGGAGGGCATGCTTTAACTCACTCAAAGCCGATCACGTCGTTCTTACCGATGTGACTTCAGAGTTACTCTCCTTCTACAGGAAGTATCATCGTTACGGGGAGGTCATCGAAATACACAGGCAGCTTCTCGAGCGCTATCGCAAGAATTTGGGCGATACTCACGAACTCACCATTCAGACGCTGTACCAATCAGCCTCCGTCTATCAGCTCCTCGGACGTAAGGAGGCGTATGATTATTACGCCGAGATAATAACATTGTACACTCACGATAGGTTTTGCCATCGTAGTTACAACATAGCGGGTAACCTGCTTAGATTCTGCCGAGAAGAGAACCGATGGACAGATTTGAAAAAGCTCTGTGAAGTACTATGGGAGACAGTCACCAAACATCATCATGAATTCAAAATATCGGAAGAATTTATTCAGCTGGTGTACGAGCAGTACCTTTACGTACTCGAATTTTATGAGAAAATGGAATTCTCAGTCCTCCGCAAGCGTACTGTTGAGTATCTCGAAACGGTAAAGGCTGTTTTTGGCGTTTCGGTCGCCATTTACCCCACAGCATTGATCGCTCTCGCGGAGGTGTGCGAGAAGAGTCAAGAACATCATATGGAATCCGTTGAAACATACGAGAAAGTCATAACAAAGACGGAGAATATCACAACAGTGACGGAGACTCAAGTTCGTACAATTAAGAAACGTCTGTCTACGCTCTACGTTACTATAGTTACCAGCGGCAAAAATACCGAAACATCGACTGTAGAGAGGGCCATTGCGGTATGTTCGGAAACTTACGAACAGTTCAAAATTCAGTTTGGCTGGTGGCACGAGACGACCCTTCTGAAACTCAAGGAGCTGGTATTATTGTACAGCAAGCTCAATAACGACAATGCTCGTGCTACGATAGTGAACTTATTGCAAGAGAACATCATCAAGGTCCTTTCTACGGCTACAGTTGCAATGGACCTTTACGAGGCTGCGATAACCCTCGCCTCTATCTACAAGGTCGTAAAGCTCGAACGGGAAGGCCACGAATTGCTCCGACAACTACGTATATTGATACTCTTCCCAGGCTTCGACATCGCCGAACAGAATATTACCATAAAACTCGACATAAAGCCAACCAGGGTAACCCTAGTGTTCCTCATTGCTCTCGAAGAGGGTCTCCACCAAGCAGACGGGAAACTTGGTCCCAATCATTTCTCCCAGCTTATGGCCGATCTATTATTGGAGACTCTGCTCTACGAACAATATGTCTCTGCAACCACTGGAATGGGAGAAAAGACAAGCATCGAGATCATACTGGGGCATGGTGCTCGACTCCGTAGTCTCTGGGTTACCCTCGGCCGAGAGAGCTTTGTCACCGTACTTGACAAAAAGCTATTCGCTGCCTTTAAGGAGCAGTATGCCAAGATACTAGACTCCTACAGTAACGACAGGAACGTAGTCTTCGAACTCTACATAGCGCTACTTACGGAAATTGGCGACAAAACTGCGACTGAACGCACCACGGTCGATTTCGCCATGGCTACTGTTAAGGCCATCAATGCGTTGGTGCGGAAGTTGATGGCCGAACCCAAGGAGTACCCGCATGCGCATGCCGTTGCGAAATGTGGCTTCGATTTCGCCAGTTCGCAGGATTTCTACCAGGACCCGAGTCGTGGAGTCTTTGGTTACAGACTCGCCGAGATGCTTGCCGGGCACGGGGTTCCGAGTTGGGAGACGGCAGACAGTAAAAAGAAGGAATCCATGCTGGCTATGAGCCGCAACGTATTACAAACTGTATTTGATGCATTCTGCAAAGCTGGCGTCGACGTTGTCAGCTTGCGCCGTGAGGACTTGTCGAGTCTTATCAACTTGTTAGCAGACCAGAAGAATTACAGCATGTTAGAGGTAAGAGTTACCAACCCTAGCCCTTTTCTCTATATCTCCTAGATACACTTTCTTGATAAAGTGCTAACTTGTTTTAGACTCTTCTTGCTAAGCTATGGCGTTCGCGCAAGTTTCAGCGCGACTGGTCGCCAGCCTTCATCTTACACATCGGACAGCTGCTCCTCGACGCGCGAGTTTTGGCTTCGCATACCGATAGCGCTATTAAATTAGCTAAGAAATTATACTATAATGTGCGGCAGTCACACGATAGCGTTGATCGGCAGGCGCTGAATCTCGCCAATAAGCTCTCAGTCTTACTCGCCCAAGCCGGCCTCACCCGCAATACTGGACGTATCCACATCGAGGTGCTGCACGATCTAATTGAGCACAGCATCGCGGCGGGAACCGACCCTAAGGAGAAGGAGCGCCTACATGCCGCCGCAGACTTGCATCTTGACGGTCTCCGCCGTTGCGGCTGGGCTCCACGGTCTTGGTATATCCGTACGGCGACGGAGCTGCACACCAAGCTCGGACGCAGATACGGCGGCCTAACGGTGCCGCCGGTCGAGAAATGGGGCGATGCTAAAAAGGAGAAGGAGAAGGAGTTGAAGTATCCGGGCCCGACGACGTGGAGCCTCGATGTCGAAAAGGAGACTACTGGAAGGGATTTGGTTTCTCCTGCTAAGGCGCGTTAGGATTACTCCACGCGAGCTATTCAATAAGTCATCACATCACGTAAGGTGGTGAGGATCCGATATATGAAAAAAAAAAAAAAAAAAAAAAAGCATGGGCTGTATGATTGAGCGGAAAATCAGGTGAGGTTAAAAGAAATACGTGCCTAGCGCAAGGCATGGAAGTTAACGATTTATGATATATTATGTCTTTATTATGAGGTTCACTTGTTGCTCAATTATCTATCGGCGGCTTTCTGGTTTGGCGTTATTAGTCTGTATCAAGTTTAAGAGATGTCTTTTTAATAGATACCTAACCTGAGTTGTTCATGTAACTGCCATACCTTCTTAATGCCCAATGTCGAAATACGGATGTCTGGAGATACTGCTTCCCCTTTATATCTTTACTTCTCTTACGTGGTAACTAAAGCTGCCTCGTACCACTCATGTTTATAAGCAAAAACACGATCGTGGAGCCAAAGAAAATGCAAGGTAGTGAACGTGCGTAAATAGATATGCTGCCTATAATGCTTCCTAAGTTATCCCAATAAACCCGCGGTTCCTTTGACGCCCCTATATGCCTATGACATAGTTCCCTCCCTCTTGAAGTCGCAGCCAACATAAACCCAAACCATGAAAACGAATTGGTGACATCGCGCATAATGTGCGATTTTATTTCGTTTCAACGTGCGATCGTATAGGCAATGTTGATGTCGATGAACATCCACCCTTTTTCTCGGCGTCCTCCCCGCATCCATTACACGCCTCTGCTTTAGCTGCCGCAGAAAACCCAGAGAAGGGACAAGTTTGAGACGATGGGAGGCCTTCCTCAATGTCCTCTAAGATCTTCTTGCCGTGTAGGAACCCTTCAGGCTCGACTCTCTGCTTTTCCATCTCATCTGCAAACTCATCGCCATCGCGCACATACCACTTCGCGAAGAGGTCGTTCTGGACCCAGATGACTTTGCCAATCGCCTTCACCAATGCGATTTTCTTGTCTGTCCGCAGGCGCGGGTGCGAAAGAAGCGCCTCTGTAAAAGTGTCCTGTATGAAGGCGAGACATGCTCCAATATGGACATACTCGACGTGGAGGGGGTGCTCACGCCCACGACCAGTATGCATCATGCTAGATATTCATTGTTAGGAGGCTCCATGCTATTTATTTGACCGAACGTAAGTGTCAACTCACCCCACTTTGTCTAGATATTCCCAAAATTCCATGGTGCTGGGATCCGAGCATAACTTGGCAAGATACGCCCTTAGGAACATTTTGCGATGTAGTATTTGCGGGCTGTTTTCGTCGAGATTATCATCTACCGGCCCCTCATAGCTGGTACTTCGAGTTTCCAGGGCTCGCGTTGTGATATCATACTGCAGCAGTTTTTGGTAGACAATGTTGACGATAGCAGGAATAAGCTGTTTGATGTATTTGGAGCCTGACACCAAGGCTTCGATATCATCTTAAATTCGGTTAATATAGGGGGGATACACTGAGAGTGAGGATGGAAGCTTCATACTTGAACTGAAATCGATGAATGAGTGGAGATACTGTATTCGTGCTTCGAGATTTGTGTATAGATCTTTTCGATCGACATGCTGTCTAGGTCGTGCGGAGGGTCCCATTGTGGAGAATGCTGGTGCTTGAAACCAGGTACCCAATTGTACGGATTTTGACTTAGAAGTGAGTGTCTAAGATCTAAGGAACAGCAGGAGTTATACTGGATGAAGAAGCCGAGCTTTGAGAGAGAAACGGTTACCAACTAAGAATAAAATGAAAAACCTAAGATTGAATTTCATACAATAAATAGAACAAATATGGGAAAAAGAATATGGAAAAAGAAATGCCATTATATGTTCAAGCTCGAGGTTTGTGACACTACTTAGGAATGAAGCGATGATGAGCGATGATGGGCTGACATCGTGTGGGACCATCGAACCATCATCTTGGGCGCATTTGGCCTGGTCTGGTCATCCCCGGTCTGTTTTGAATACCCGTAGCTGAGCTGCATCAGGCCAAAATGATGTCAAAGTCGATCTATGCGCAGTTTATTTCCCATCAGGCCTCGTAGGAAGTTACCTATCTGAGATCAATGAGTGATTAAATAATATCATTAGGACCTACCTAAGGTACCTTACAGCGATAGCCGCCATGCAAACACTAAGACGCGCGCTTCTCGCTACTATTGACGGCGGGACAACAACTCATGAGTGCGACAACCTTAATAATAGTAAGTATCTCCAGGGCACTTATACACGAATGAACTTGGTCTCTGACCAACTCACTATTGAACCATGATACCGTAAATACCTCGGCTTTTGGTGAAGCAGGTATCTAAGAAAAGAGCTAGCGCTATTACAAAACATGCAACAATTGCGATATAGATGAACAGACTTGCTACAAAAAAAAAAAAAAAAATTGAAAAATAGAAAGAAAAAATCAAGAGATAACTATGTCCTGTACCTAGGGTATATAAATAACTTGATGTTGTATTAATCGAGCTTCGCCTAGTAAAGCTCAGTGATACAGGTAAACAAGCACTCAGTAATTAGAACATCTCAACGGCAGCCACGTCCACTACGACCATCGCAACAGTAATCAACTCATATAGTGGACGTAATTGTGTCCCCTTAAAGTTGAAAAGTTCAAAATAGACCTTTGTTCTTGATCGCTCTTCCTCGCGGGAGCTCAGTGGCCTCAGATTTTCCCACCTGAGCTGACCCAATCGGAGATGATGGAAGCATCCAAGCCAATGAAAGTCAAATTTATGCCCTCGGGCGTTTGCTTATGGTCTGTGCACGAAATTTCTCCGGTAATCTAGCTTATTTTAATCCTGTCTTTCCCCGCACTATACCTTAGACAGATTAGTTGAGTCCACAACACATTCACTACTTCACGCTAGACTTCACGCTAGACTTCATACTAGAAATCAGACTACGAGGTAGGTAACTATATGAAGTTGTGGAAATTCTTTAAGCATCTAAGCTAACGTAACCACTGTAGCTAAGGACCTCATCTTGTTCTAGCCACGATGGTCGGCTTGCCCCCAGGAAGACAGCACGATGCAACGCAGTCAACCCCTTCGCAGCAAATTCATTTAGCATGGCCAAACGACTATGTATCAGTTGGCACAGACAACCAATCTGTATCTGTTGACCTCAAAGACCCATACCATGAAAATATTGATAGATTTGGCCAAAATGAAGGGCCCAAGGAACCTATCGCTTTCCGTCCTCAGGTAACCGTCAATGTCTTTAATAACAACGCACCAAACACTGGAGCCGCAGGAGCAAAGGAGTCCAAGCCAAAAACTGCAGGACCAGTCAATGAAAAACTAGCTAAAGAGACCAACAAAAAAATAGCCGACCTGACTGCTAAACTTGAAGCTTTGTCGAAAAAGGTTGATGAGCTTTCTTCTGCCTTAGAATCGGCACGAGGACCACGAGTTGAATGCGGCTTGTGGAACACGGGAGAGGTGCGCTCATGGAAGTATCCTTCCAATGAGACTAGAGGGCGAATCAATTTCAAAAAGGACTTCAAATCTATCCCCAAAGTCACAACTGGTATGTCCTCAGCCGACGTTTCGAAGGACGCAAACTTCAGAGTGTCTGTCTATCCGACTGAAATCGACCAGAGAGGGTTCAAAATTAATGTGCATGGTTGGTCAGACACGGTGATATATTCCTGTGGCGTGTCGTGGGTTGCCATAGGAGAGTAAGTTATCTCACACAGGCTCCTTTGAACGTCTTATTACATTGGGAGAGGCTATCATAGTAGGTATTTGCCATACTGAACTTGTTCAACACGGAAGGCAGACAGAGTAAAGTATTGACTGCATTGAGAATCTATGGCGGCGGCAGATAGTTGAACCAATACATATATGACTGCCCAGAAATTTGACTCAAGACTAGACGGCCCTCCTTACAGCGGATATATGCACTTTTAGGTTCTCTCGGTCGGTTTTATCCAAGTCCTTGTCATTTATCTTGATTGTTCGACCATCAGCATCAAGTACTTCATTCTTCTCGTCGCTCCAATTTTGCTTAACTACCTTAAGCTTAGCATCCGTTCGTTCTCGCGTTTGAGATAGAATCAGATCTATAAGCACATTTCTCGATAGATGAACTGATAAATCTTGAATGTGACTACACTACCCCCAGATGATTCGAACTGGTAGGATAAATCTTGTAAGAGCAGGGTCGAAAATGAACCGGCTATGTGACAGGAATTAAAACGAAAGCACTGTAATAAGCGACAATATATCATTTCCTCATATGCGATGGCGAGAATATCTGCTTTCTGAGCGGCACCATCCTTGGTTCCCAACTCTATTGCTCGCTTATGGGTCGAATTAGGTAGAGATCCCTCGCGTAACGAGTTAAGCCTCCCTTCTTCTTGACCGAAATAGAACTTAACTCCCTCAGCTTCGGCAAGCTTTTGAAAGTGCGCACAAGCCTCGCTGTACTTTGTAAAACCAGCAAGAGAGTCTAAGACAGCTTCAAAGGTCATGGGAGGAGAGCTTTCCAGAATTTCAAAGTCGAGAAGCTTGGAATCCCACTCTAAACCACGAGCGCGCTCTCTATCCTCTGGGTAGTTTTTGACAAATTGGGTATCGCGCAGTCCCTCGTGATGCATATTTGCTAGAATTTCTTTTCCAAGGGCCCCTAAGTGCTCCGAAAGTTGTACGTGAAGGATACCACAGCTTACAAAAAGGTCAGTATTATCTTCTTGAGATTGTTGACGTGTTTCATTTAGCGAAACCCCTGCTTCCCGACCCTCCATGAAAAGCCGTTGATAATGTATCTTTATTCCATATGATGCTCAGAACTAAGAGTTTATAAGTGAGAAGAATTAGGTTTAATTAGACCTTGAGATCATTTACAATCTTGTTGTGATCCATGGGTGTGGATTGCACTCTATCTTCATATCCTGGTAGATATCTCGTTTCATCATAGCGGTTTTGATCGAAGACGGTGGCGTTATATCCTAGAGTCGAATAAGAGACTAGAAATGATCAAGATATCATAGTTCTGGTTCTTACCTCTTGTGCGTATGGAGACAGCCAATACAGCTTCCGAAAGCGCAAACACGCCGACTTAATGAGATTTAATACAGAGATTTCTTAATTTATTTAGTATATCAGTGACATACCTCCCACAATTGCCATCGTCTTGGTTCCTTCTGTCATTTTGCCTGCTATTACTGAAATAATCAGAACGGCCCTTTTCCCCGTGAAATGACAAGCATATGAATTATTATACAATGATGGATGCATAAAAGTACTTTGAAGGAAGTTCGCGCGATATAGCGCGTATCAAGTCTACGTATAGGAGTAGGGGTATTTTAAGCTAAGCAAAAAAGGGGCTTACTACCTAGCTCGTAGATAAATTACTTGGAGGTACCTAGAGAAATTGAACGCTTTCACGGAATTCAGCGATAAAAATAAAAACGCCTATTTCAATACGATGATGCCTTAGTGGACTTCCTAATACCCGTCTAGGATGACACAAAAGTTGGGTAGCTCTCGTGCTTTGATTTTCCAACCCAAAGATTTTATCTTAGATTTAGGCAGTTAGTGGAAGTGGTGTGCAAAGAATGATAACTTTAAGAGAGGTAGAGCAGATACTAGACTGTTATAAGCTTGAGGTTAGGGACTTCAGCGCGGAGAGACTATCTGTATCAAGGAGTGACATTGAGTATCTGACGTAAACCGGTTTAGAGCTACTGAACGAACGTAAATGCGAGTGACGTAGTAGTCGCGACTAGAAGACCTTTGGGTCCAACGGCCCAAAAGTGTACAACGATGATGAGAAAGCAAGCTGCCGAAGCCTGCTGACAGTCCGAAACGCAAGGCAATATGACCCCATGGCTGACGACCTGGTAGCCCATTCTGACGTCGCCATGCCATACCTCGCCACCAAACTCAGCCCTAATACAGCCCAACCACAATATCACCACGGACCCTAGCCGTAGCATGCACTTCAGCCTCTAGATCAAGCTTAATTCCGACCAAAAGGGCGGCATCCTTAAGCTTACCAGACTCATCGACGGGTCCCTTAAGGAGGTTGCCTAGCTCAATAATATTAGCACAATGACAAACATTAATATTAGTTATAGGGTATCTAGAACAATATCATACCAATCGGTCCATTAGCACTACCAGAGAGTCCTGGCATGGGGAGACTGTGCTTCACGGCTGAACTGGTATGACGATCTGCAGCACCAATGGAGCTTCCGCCGGTGGTAATAGGAGCGTTGGTTCTATTCATTGATGTTAACCTCAAGTACCTCCTAGACCGGATATGAATACTAACGAAGACATGTTGAATGTTTATGAACTGTCAGTGGCTATTTCTATTAGTCTCTTATAAATCAGTACCTGTATAATCCGGTAGATACTCACTCTAGTCCGTTTGATATTGACGTATATATCCTTCAAATATCTTGCTGAGAGACTTTCCCTAGTCGTTGCTAGTCGTTGCAGCGGAAAGAGGGAAAAGCTGGTAGTAGAAGCAGTTGCAAATTGTTATGAATGAGCTGTTTTCTGTGAGGCAACTCTTCGAAGCTGTCGAGCTTTCTATCTAAAGGCTTTCAGGTGTCTGTTTCTCCAAGATAAAAACCACTCATCTCGGAAGATCGTCAGTGGCTTTTATACACTTCTTCATCTTATTCGAGGTGGGAAATATGTATAGTGACAGTATGGAGCGCCCTGAATGAAGAACTACAATTTCATCACTCTTCGGTCAACTTCTGAACCATGACGAGTGCTGTGCGAACTTACTTCCAAAAGTCATCCCAACCTCATGAGATCCTGGCGTGTTGGGCGTCGTATCCCAGAGTGCATATTCGTAATTCCTGCAAGAGGATAGGCTTGCCCTCATCATGGAGAAGACCGACTATGCTTTCTAATCATACGATTTAGGAGAAAATGGCCTTTGGGAGTTACACTTCGGCACCTGGGATGCAAGCCAGTTCACTTTCGAGATCGTTCTGTAACGACACGCAGTGAACGCAGACAAGACCGGGAATTTTAAGGATATCAAACGTCGGCTTTAACACTGTGACTCCTTTTACCCCGATGTGAGGTGCACCTTTAGGGCATCCGGCATGCATATTCAGCTTAGGTTACTCCCGAGTAGCATAGTGGTTGGGTATCAATACTTCCGTAGGCGGGTAAAAGATAATTAGTAGATCTGTTGTATCTCCTCGTACAAATTCTCAGTGCTACTAACGGACCATCGTCTCGGCTATCCACGAGCGTAGAGATGAACTCAATAATAACATATATACTCTGCATCTGGTTGAGTCTAGTTGGGTAAATGACGTGAAACACTGAATGAAATAGGTAGCCATTATGTCGCAGCCCCTCGTATTTCTCGTCGCGTTTTCTGCTGTTGTTGGCACCTCCGAAGCCATTAGGCAGATCCAGACGGATTCTAAGAGGAAGGAACATCGAAGCCGAAAGAATAACTTGATAGTACGATGCCCCAAGTCGTCTCAATTTAGCCACTTGCTCGAGGGGAGGCGTGTAGTCCTGTCTGGTGACAAGGTAAACAAGCTCGAGTCCTTTTCCATAAACATTCTCAATTTGACAAGCATCTTATAGCTCTACATTGACACAGGAAGTGACCATGACCAAGTATTCGGTCATCCCTTTGCCGGATACTTCCTTCCGTACCCTGATTCCAAGTACTCTGGTCTCGTGTCGACTATCTGTGATGAACCACCCGTCATGAATTGGATATATATCGATCGGAATACCTACGAGCTCAAGTTCGGTACTCGACCATCAGCGCAACCTAATTGGCCCGGTCCTTTTGATTGTTCTCGACAGGACCGCAGATTGACTTTCGCTGGCTGGGAGGGGTTCCTTGCCGTTAAGGAAGGCGATTTCTGGGCGTTGTACTTTGACGTAGATGAGGATAGTCTGAAGTCGAAGGTAAAGAGCGACACTCCAGTACTTGATATAGAACTGTTACGTGTAGAGATGCGCGTGACACCTACAAGAGAGAAAAAGCCATCGAATAGGGAGTCGGAGGATGATGCCGAATCTAAGAAAGATGAATCAGGACCAAATAAAGCACAACGTGAGAAAGATAATGAAGAGAAGATAGGGGTATCTGGAGATGTCGAATTAGAGTCACCGGAAGTAGATTGAGAAGCTACCTGAGAAGCTAGAGAAGCTATACTGGAGGTTCACGCTGGAGGTTCACGCTATTGCTTGAATGCCAATAACTCTCGTAAACTCAGGCACCTGTTCAAAGCACTGAACGCCAATTGTGCTACAAAATAACCGTTGATGTGTTAAAGGCTGAGAACGAAGACCTACAGCCAGTAGGGCGTTAAAAGGTTAAAAGGTCCGGACCCCCGACAGATGTTCTACCGTATCAAAGCTACCTACCTTTCATAGAGCTAAAGTTCAAGCCGGAAAAACAGGGGCGAAGGTCAGAGATGGCCCACCATAGACCTATTTGGTGTAGAGAAATAGATCTATATTACTAGTTGTATCAGTTGTATCGGTGATGGTCGTCGTCTTGACTCATCCGGTTACGTGGCCAATCCGCGTGCAAGCATGTAGTGAGAAAGCTAAAATGCGTGTAATCAACGCCTTTAAAACTGTACAATTGTACTAGTTTAGGGACGGGTTCGGGGAACTATATTTGAGCTTTACCTGTATATAAATCTACTGATCCTCCTTTCTCCATCACTTCCTCCACCTCTACGCATATACCACCAACATTACTACTATCACTGCTAACACATCTATTACTATCACTACTTGGCTTGCAGTAGAGAATAAAGCCAGAATTGGCCCACCCAAACCAATCGGATACGTTGAAGGATAGCTGATCCCTTCGTCGACCTGGAAACCTCGCTGAAAGACGATGTATTGTGTGTATATATCCCCTCGCCGCGGCTGGATAAGATATTTACTAACCCCTGTCTCTCAGTGAATTTCCCATCTTCAAAGGATAATAAGACCGACATGGCGTTAAGCAGGGCACCGCTCCATCTTCGCATCAAAAGAGCAGCCTTTTTATTCATCACCGCTGTGCCAACAGCATTAATTGGGCTTGCCATACGACGAGCAGCCCCCGGGGAATATCCGGACAACGTCGAATATCTATATCTAGCCCTTTCTGTTTGTGGCATTCTCCTTGGGTTCGGTGTTCTATTTGAGCCCCCATTCATAGGGACTCTGTATTAAGTGTCACATGTACTTCTCGGGAAACGTTCGCGAGTATAACGATTCAAATTCATTTCCCTACATCCCGCTTCAAGCCAGAGGCAATGGAGATAACAGTTGGACTACTTGGATACCTAGTAAAATGTTATTTAGTATTTATTGTCTGATCCGCTTTGGTTTTCGCGGTTATGGGCCAGCCTACCAAGCTTCATTGGATTGAAGCAACATAGTATGTAGTAATGCTAATAGCTTGTTAATATTAGCCGCTTATCCCGACCCTGTTCGCAATGTCCCTCATACATGACCAAACTCCCTCGCTGTGGATAACCCCATAACCAGACGAAACAAAGCCATCTTGATCCTCCTTATCTCATCTTATAACCTCCTCGCTCATCGTCCTCAGAAGCAGTCAAATCTCTCTCTCTCAATCGCTCAAAGCTACTCGAAAATAGTCAATCAGTCGTAAAATCTCTCATTCAATCGTAAACTTTTATCAGTCGAAAACAGCACGATCCCGAACGTAAGTAATACTTGATGGAGGGAAGCTTCCAGACTATGCTAAAATCATACATAGTAGGCTGGAGTACATAGTATAGGAGGTAGGTACTATTCTAGCAACAACGCAAGAGACAGGAAGTCGTAATCTTAATGGGAGCAACAGGTGTATGTACCTAAAGGAAGCTACTGCGGCTTCGTAATAAATATCAAAACCGTTTTATTCTAAAATGGTCACTTACAAGTTTCCATTTATTAATGCAGTGCATTTACAGTAATTTGTGTATTCAAATTTATGCAGGCAGCGCGTGCATCACAAACCCTGTAAGTTAGAGCCGAAGCCAGGCGCATAGCACTCTTTCTTAACCACTTTTAACGACTCCTAGCCACTTTCGAGAATGCACCTTAGGTAATTTATATCATGCTGGACTAACAGACTCTCCTGTCCCTCCTATATCACGACAGCGGAACTCGAAACTAGCATGGCTTATATGAGACGTCGGTTTCGACAGTGGCGCAGAAAAAGGAAGCTTGCGAAGTAGATATGGCTTGAGACCCAATGCTCCCCTAACTGTCTTGGCGAGAAGCTGATAACTTGGAAATCGTGTCCAATGATTCTATTGGGTTGTTGCGTATCCCATCCCGATGGCAGATATATCATCTTGACTGAATTTCCCACAATGCCCAAGGTCAGCGCAACTTGTAGCGGATACTGTGAACAACACCTCTGCAACTCGGCACTATAAACTCTCCTATATGCCGCGGTACGTCGAGAAAAGACGGGATTCGAGCAATTCCGACGTCCATATGCGGGCGCGGGTACGACTTAGGGAGGGGTGACATGCGCGAAGGGTGACCGTAGGCGATCGTAGACCCCTTCCATCCGGTTTCTTCCTCCCGAACAGATCGAAAGATCGACTTAAGACCAATGTCTTACTGGCGCACTCGTACTGTCCCAAGAGCCTAGCAATCCATAGCATGAAACCAACGGCCCGTATTAATTAAGCATTTAATACTATATAATTACTTCCTTACTCCCCATCACCAATCCCTCATATACCTTTCGCTTCCGTAATGTTCTTGTTGCTTCTTCTCATGAGGCCTCGCAGCTGTGGTAACCGTATTGTCTGTTGTGATTTTAATATAGTTACTTCGGTCTCGGTTTTGAGACGAACCTCCTGACCCTAAATCAGATGTATTTGCGCCGCTCGGAGGAGTCGCGCGCAACTTAGCCAGCGCGAAGTCGGAAGGTAAGGATCTGTTGTTGGCTGATATGAATCCGCTTCGTAGCGAACGGAGGAAGGGCCAGAAGTAGGCGGCGCAGGCAGCTGAGATGCTGGCGAATTGGACAAATTGCATACTAAGGTAGTACGGGAATCCTCGAAGCGTATAATCGTCTTCGGCGAGGCGGGGGAGGTAGATGAGTTGACAAACCGTCGCTGCAATCGCACTTTGAACTTGTTAGAAGTGCGAGCGTGAATAGAGATTAGGTGTTGGGAAGTGAGATATCCTTACAATATTCTCACGGAGAAAAAGCTATGAGCTATGATTCGTGTCCTGACAGAGAGTTTAAGCGGATATATGACGATTGCCGGAAGGGCGATTAGCGAAGCGTCCGTCAGGATGTTCGTAATGTCCACATATTCTAAAAATGCTATCTATATCGTTTGTTAATAAGATGTCTTCATTGTGGATTTTACGGCAGCTTTTCACTTGAATCTCACCCTATCAATGCAATTGGCGTTTCCTGCCTCCCAAGGACCCTGAACTCCACACTGGAAAGCCGTTCCAACGAAGGCTACTATCAACCATATGATGACTGTGACGACGAAGACAGACGTGAGGCGACGGTGTCCCGTTTCCGGAGACAAGGTGGATAACCCTATGCATACCGATAGCTTTGCAAGTCCTAAAGCAAGGATATATAGTAATTGTCCGGCGTATTGCACCTGAACACACGCAATTAGCTTTGACAAGGGGCGGGCGCGTTTGTGGACAAGTAGATACATACTTTGAGACCTGCTCTAAACTCATCATCGGTCATGAGACTTCGCGATTTCCCAAATATTCTCCCCTCTGGAACGAGGAACGTCACAGATTCGCCGAGACCAACGATCTGGTTATCACGATGTTAATCCAATTGAAACCCACCCATTTCGCGGAGGCGCAAGTTGTGAACGTACAAATGCCGAGGCGATTAACGCCTCTTCCCATCCGAACCGTTGATTCGTTTTCAAGAAGAACTTGGTTAAGAAGCGAAAGCACAGCATGAGAGAAGTTAATGCGATCAAGAGCCAAGTGATCATCTGGATGATAGGGTTCATGTCCGTGTCCGTGACGACGATCCCGTTGGACGGCATCTTCGAACCAGATGTCCGCCGCCCCTTTGGACGCGAGATGGTATATCTCAGGATAAGCCGTCGAAGAATGGCAGCGGGTCGGACATTGGTAGGGCTGAGAAGCCCCAGGGTTTCCCGCGACGATGCGTATTAAGGTTATGAGCTATGAAGTTGAAAAGGACCTGGGGGAAGAAAGGAGCCTTGATGCGCACGCGCCCCGTGCGTATATGTTCTGGGTTAAATAAGATAGGTAGAGGAGCAGACAGGCGACAGGCAGACAAGGTAGCATGGGTAGGGAAGCAGAAACGCCAAGTAGCCAACCACTGGCTCCGGCGCTGCTGACGAGAGGCGCAGATTTACAATCGAACCATGGGATATCCGCGGCAGTTGGTCCCGTTAGCTTATTTGAAGAAAAATATTGCGACGGGATCGTCTGTTTGAAAATGTGTGTGTTACACATTGCAAGGTTTAGGTGTCTCTCATGTCTCTCTCTTTTGCTTATTTTTATCCTCTCCCACCCTCCTTTCGTTTCAAGCGATCACATTCTCTGCGATAATCTCCTCGTTTTCCCGCTTAGAGAGTTAAAGCTAGGTCACGAAGGACGAAGTATGCAGGGGGCCCCGGGGATCTACACCGATGAAGGCGGGAACTACATGGAACTAATGCTAGTCAGACCGTGGGGGAAGTATTCATATACACGAATTATAGGCGGCTTAGGCTGACTTTATAGGTTATCTTTGCGAGGTATGTAGGTAGCTTATACCTACATGCAACAAGGCAAGGGTATCTGTGGCAACCTTTGACTCTCTTCACTATCACTGGTTAACTCAAAGCAGATCGGAATGTTGTACCTACAGGTACCTGCCTAAAGATATATATATACCTTATATAGGTACCAACGTACATATTACGACATGACAAGCGTAGAAAAATTCACACATTAGGCCCTTCATCCGAAGGATTCACTCCGAACCGAGACAGCAAGACCACTAAAAATCATACCTATCACCCCATAACATCCGAACTAAACTACCTAATATTTATTGTTTTATGAGTTATGCTACCTACAGAGAACTACCTAATATGCTATATAAGGAACATGAATTGCTTCCATGCGGTACTCAATAATGCTACCTTCTTGGTAGTAGTGGGAACGAAGCTAGTCCAAAGCTGAAATTCGGAGGGGTCGTACGGGGAAGCAAGGCACCATGCGAATTTTTAGGCGTAGGTACTCGCATTGGGGAGGTCTGAGAGACTGGAACGTGGCGCTTCGGTCCCTTCAATTCGAAAGCTGCAGTAGGGAAGTATTCATTTATTATTCATCCCATGTCTGCGGCGCAGGAGTGCTACCTAGGTCCTCACCTACAGTGAGAATCGCCAAGACGGCCCGACTCCTCCACTAACCGCGTTGGTTAGAACATTGATAGATTGATAGGTTTCGTGAAGCTTAATAGGGCTTGGATATTACCAGTGTTCTGGGTCAGAACTTAATAATCATAAAAGAGGTAAGAATAAGTTGTTAGTACCTATGACTACCTTAGGTATGATGGTATGTGATTCTTTAGACCTTTTCTATAGTACCTAAGAAATGGTTAAGAAGACAGGACTTCTAAGATAACTGGAGAGAGTAAACCATAACGCCACCACAACAGGCCTCTTGATTGGATCGGAATAGTTGAACTCGACTCCGATGCATGTCAGCATCCCGACTTAAGCTTACCTAGGTATATACCTTATAGTCAGCGAGAGATTCAAGATTCAAGAAATCAATATTAAGCTTAAACCGGGAAGGATTCATTCGGCAGGAGATCGGAATCATTTGATTTCTCTACCTAGGTACTCTAAGTCGAGAACAGTCGCTTATACATATTGGTTCAAAATCTTTCAAAGAACCGCTGTCAGGTATTCTACGTGATGAACGGTTCCATACTTCACCTATAAGTGAGCGAGTGGAGGCTGTAGGCTGCAAGTCAGTCATATACCAAAGCTCTTAGCTGCGCGGATAACTGAACCGTGTATGGCCTCATTAAGGATTGCTTCAATACAGATGGTACCTAATGCAAGAACATGATTCTTTTTGGATTTTAAGTTGAATTGAAATCGTACCAGCATTTAAACCACATCAATACCACATTTCCTAATATTAAATCAAAACGTCCTACACCAGCAGTAGCGTAACCCAACTGCCGAGCTCCCCCTTTTTTTTTTGTTGAAATTTTGAAAATGTACCTAACCTAGGAGGTACCTAAGCTGGCGAAGGTAGGTGGGCAGATTCATAAGAGAAGTATGGTACGTACCGGATTAGGTACCTGAAAACTGCCTAGGCGGTTGAACCAAGCTGGCTTCAGCTGGTCCCCACTTGTTCGTCATCGCAACTATTTTATCTTCACTATCTTTTCTTACTGATTGATTCCTTAGGTACCTACCTTACGTGATATATCTTGGTATGCATGGTGTATAAGAACTGGTAATCATGGAGACATTATAACTTTTCATTGGTATCGAATTCCTCAAGCGTACCTAGACTCAGTGTTCTGAACCTAATCGAATGCCTTTCGCGTCGAACAATACCGGCCTCGTCGCGAAGTGTACAAATACGATCCTCTGCCATCTGCGAGCTGTGCCTCTCTGGGGAGTCGCCTTAGTTATACTGCTACTTGGGTTCCTTCGGACGCAGCTGGCAGCTACTATCAGCCGTCGCAAAACACCACCATCGAACAAGATACCTACCTAGGTACCTAACCTAACCTAGTAAATAATCGAAATCATGGCGTCTGCTGCCGGCGCAGCTAATAGAGTGCTGAGGGTTACCGGACCGCTACTCGTACCAGCCGTCGCATATGGTGTCTATAAAGGAAACGTGTTGGCAATGCTCGAGTCGTTCTTCACGGGCCCTGGTAGGACAAGTCGCATTGTAGCTCTGGTAGTCGTACTTGTTAATTGGAAAAGCCTGCCTTTCGCCTGGACTGTATGTTACCACCTTACCTAGCTACCCGTCGCCCGTCCTATATTGATATAACGAGAAGTATACTAATGGAAATCTCGATAGTTCCGTGTTTTCGGTGCCATGATAACGCATCTAGGCTTCAGACGCTATCATAAACATACTCCTGACCAGCTCTTTCACCCGGTAATCACGCCCTCTCACGTCTCGCTGCTCGAAGTCGATTACAACATCCACAAGTCCAACTCGACCTATTTCGCCGATCTTGATGTCAGTCGTTCCCAGCTAGTCTCACACTTGTTCGCGCGCGGGTGTCGCGATCTTGCTAATAATGCCTCAACACGCCTTGTGATGGATCCGTCAGACCCTTCGAAACCCGCTAAGGGCACATTCGGCGTTATGCTTGGTGCCGTGCAATGCAGTTTTAAGAAGGAATTGCAGCCTTATCAAAAGTACGAGATGTGGTCCCGCGTACTTAGCTGGGATCGCAAGTGGCTCTACATCGTCACGCATTTCGTTGAGCATGGCGCTGTCAAACCGCGATCCTGGGACAACGGAAATTTTGGCGCGACGAGGAAGGAGAAGGGGGAGCCCCAGGATTGGGAGAAGAAAATACACGCTACCGCTATTAGCAAGTATGTGTTTAAGATCGGGCGATTGACGGTACACCCTGCCATCCTTATCGACGCCAGTGGAATGCTGCCGGAGAGACCTGATGGTTGGACCACCATGGAGAGCGGAATGGCTCCGCCGTCTCATCTTATTACCGGTCATGCTGCCACCGAAGCCGAGATTAAGGATGGACATGGCGATTGGGATTGGAAGCAAACGGAAAAGCTGAGGATAAAGGGCTATGAGTTTGCGGCACACTTTGCAGCGCTCGATGGCCTACATAGCCAGTTTGATAGCGGCGAAAATGGAGCTCTTGGTAGATTTGGGCTTGCATGATATGTGCCACGGCTACTGAGCATGCACTTGCATGGCAATATCGTATGGTACAGTATAGGTAGTAGACCTTAGAAATTAAATTTCGTGGGAGATATATAGCTGACCATATACTATATAGATCTAGACTTATCCATTAACATAGACTCGACCTTAGAAAAACAAATAGCCGAGGGCAAATACAAACAAGTACCAATTGAGCTTGAGCCTCCGGGATAATTTTAATTGATTTAAATAAAAGGCAGACCTAATTCGAGAATATTCAAAACGCTGCGAGAAATAAATTCATTCACCACGCCAGATTGTACGGAACCCATCTATAAAGCTAAAGCAGCCATGGCCACAGCGAAACCGAGACCGGCAGCGGCCCGATTGCCGGCTCCAGGAGTCTCAGTCGAGGACGAAGCCGCATCGGTAACCGAACTAGAGACGGCCGAGCCGATCGCAGAAGTCGCGGCGGCGCTGGCACTCGATATGAGGGAAGAAGCGGCAGCGCCACCAGCATCGGCTGCAACGGCTGCGCAGATCTCCCCCGAAAGTTTCGTCATTTCTATTTCACCATTAGCAGCTGTCTTCTTCCCCCCAAAGAGGTGTAAACCGTTATAGAGGGGATAAAGGGGGCTAATATACTTGTCAGGCCATCGGAATCGCAAGATGTCGACACGCAGGTGATGGACTCCTGGGTCAGGTCGTCAATCTTGCTGCACTGGCACTTGCTGTCGGTCGTCGAGCAGCCGATCTTAGTCGAGGCGCTATCAAGGCACGGCTTCGCGCAGGCCGGGATCTGCGAGATAAGTTCTTGTACGCTCTCGGCGGCGGCCGCAGCGGCGAAGAGGGCAACGGCGAGAGTCTTGAACTGCATTTTGAGATGTATTTCGATCGTTATAGTTATTTCTTTCCACGTAAAGGAGTGTATGTTTATTTTCTTCGGCCGGCGATGAAAACAACGAGAGGTGGTGAGCGTGGTAGGTAGATTAGAATTAGGAAATAAGTTGTTTGGAGAAGAGACTGGCCGGCAAGGGAAGTTCACGTCACAAAATTCCCTGGGTAAATAAAATCGGCTCTGAGGCGTGGTAGCTGTGCTATTTTATCTACCGGTTTCTCAATGTTTGGTGAGGATACCCTGACATGCTATCGTTCAATGATACCCACCTTTGCAGGTTCCTACCGTACCTTGGCAACCCTTGTTTAACTTGGCGTATGGGTGCAAACACCAAAGATCCGCCAGAGTTCTAGGTATCTCGTCACGGCAAAGCTCGAGGCCTTTCCGTATGACTATGTGACACCAACAGGGTTTCCTCCTCCCATCTCATCCCAACAATGTCTTGGCCGCTCTCGGGCTGAAGAGAGATGAAGCGAGAGGGGTAGATAATACATTAGATACAAGTAAGTAAGAGATACCGATGAGGCGACATGATACTTCTTAGGCAGGTATACTTCAAGTCTTATATTTCAAGTTTAGGTAGTATGCGGCAATAACCCATCGGCAGCCCTTCAAACTTCCTTCGAGAAGTGACATTTCAAAATCCCCCCCTTACATAGTACAGCGACATCTGCAGTTGGCTGCAGGGGAAAGAAAAGATGCTCTCAGATATTACAGCTCAATTCAGCCCCCTCGTTGAATGTTAGGGGGGTCCCTTGCAATCTTATGCATGGGATCAGGGGTACAGCTTAACGAGGTCTAGAGTTAGGTCACCCTAACCGGTCCAAGCGACAAGTCATATCCATGTCGAGCTTGAAACGGATATTTTCCAATTTGCGGGGATTGGAGAAACGCATCCGATTGACGGGCACAGAAAAAATAATAGATAAATAAAAATAAAACCAAAAATACAGCATTGAACATCCGGTGGGAAACGATGTGAAAGATAAGGCACACTCTACCACAAAGTGTCGAGGCCTATCAATTTGCCCCTTGTCCGTTCAATAGGTAGGTACCTAATCTAACTATCTCAAAAAACATACCTACCTCCTAACCTAAGGTAAGCGTTACGTCGTAGAGCATGAGGTAGTAAAACAAGAGAATTGCTATTTCAATAGTAGTGGGAATTCAGTAATAATCACTTTTTAGACCCACTTCTTCAAAACCGGCAAAATCTAAAGATTCCCTCATCTATACAAAAAATATATACTACTATCAACCACTATATCGTATTAAATTTAATAATTCAATATACAAGAATTATATAGTCGCCTTTGCCTTAATGAAAGCTATTTAATAATATATATTTTAATTAAATGCATATGGTATTTCAAAAGTCTTTTACAAGAAATAAAATATTAATATTTCGTTTTGCAAAAGGAACGTTACCATTTATGCATATTTGCTTTCGCACTTTAATAACTTTTAAAATACCGTATACATTTAATTAAAACTTATATTATTAAAAAGCTTTAATTAAAATAAAACTAATAATATAATTTCTATACGTTAAATTATTAAATTTAATATAATATAATGTTTTATATGGTATTAAGTAGTAATATAGATAGGGTATCTCCAAGTAGTAAGCCCTTCTGGGCAGGCGGTGAGAAAGGTGGGTCGAAAAAGTGACTACTACTGAACTCCCATTACTACTGAAATAGCAATTCTCTAAAACAACGTCGTTGTTCCGCAAGGAACTCTCACTACTACAATAGCTTTGAAGTCAAAGTTACCTATAGTGACTTACAAAACATCTCCTTTGTTCCCAAGGAGTCTCAAGTGGGACTCCTGACAGTAAGCTGCCTTTCCGGTATAGAAATTCTTGGTTGATGTGCGTTGCCCTAATAGTTTTACTCTTCCGCCGGGACGGCTGAGCAAATTGCTTGGTGCCTAGCACACAATATGAATAAGGTCTTAACCCCTGATGGGATTTGCATGTCTTGCTGAGCGTCCGTGTGATCTTTCCTAGGATGAATCTCGTTCTGGGTGCCTTTGCCGAGAGCGGCAAACTCAATACCACAGGGCCATAGATCGCAGTCCCGATGGCTCGACACATGGACGTCTGTAAGAGTCCTCGGCCTACCCATCGTGATCGCGCGATCATGGTAGATCGGGGGATTGGAACGGATAAGGATATAGTACACCCGAGGATTATTTCAAAAAATATTTATAATACTTAGATCTTTGTAGATATTGCTTGTGAGCGCAAGCTGGGTTTCAAACTTTCACCTATAACTAGTGCAGGGATGTCAGGGGAATATAAAAGGGTTTATTTGAAAAGAAAAGGAGAAACATCCGGGCACTTGAAGTGACTTGCCCCGATAATTCCTAATCCAGCACCACCGTATCTTGAAAAGGAATGAATCAACTGGAAGGAATGTATGCAACCCCGATCGAGCCAACAACACCCCCGTTCCGCTCTATGGCATACACTCATTAGCCAGTGAATATAAATATTACGCGGCGGAGCTAAACTTACCAGTACAGCATATATGCCCACAATTGTTCCATCCTCTGGTTTGAGAACGTCAGAGAAATATTCGTTCTCTAGTCTCTCTTCGATGAAAGCAGGAGGAAACTCGATATCACAGCCACGTTGGTATAGAACTTGGGTCTCGTTAGCGAATAGCCACCGCCATGTCGATACGTATGATCACACCTTTAGGCCGAAGATATAAGTAGCATCCTCATAAAAAGCTTCCAAGCCCGGAATGCGTTCGCCGTGACTGGAATCGAAATTCACATGATAAGTTGCAGAGCTAGACAACCCCGCGTCAGGAATTTGGCCAAGTAAGATCGAGGATTCATCATCGCTCGGATTACCCAAAGAGAATTTAATACCCCAAATATGAGTGCGGTCAGCGTCGTTAAATGCTTCTTCGTTATTGTCGACCACCCAGATAGTTATGCCAGTCAGATAGGGGAGAGTTGCTTCCCGTCAACTCCCCCGAAGAGTACAAGGGAAAAAGGCAAATTGTCTCTGAAGTTCGCTATGCGCTTATTACAAGGCCCCAGAAACGACAATTCCTCAGGGGGAATAGAGCCGTACCATTTAGCAGTTTCTCGGAAAGTTGAGGATTGAGAAGTAGCTGGCGATTCATCCTCTCCTCCCGAAATAGACAGGGAGACCAATTTTAGGGCCTATATAAGGCTTTTAGTAGAGAATGGATACGCTTGAGAAAGAAAAAATGATAAAATAAGATAAAGCTTATATCAAATCCGCCTTTGAGATATTGTGGCGGTAGGTGTGTTGGCAGGACAAGCATCCTCCAAGGAAGATTCTGCCAATCCCCTACCCAATCCGAGAGCTCTCCCGAAACAGATAAAATTCGAATTCCCCGGATTCCTTTACTGTCAAAAGCGACGTGGTACCCTATTAATGTCACCGGCTGCTGTTTTTTCTCCCAAGTAGCCGTGATCCCATCATTACCCTTTTGCAATACCCGAGCGCGATGTTCTGGTCATCGTTATGGACAAATCGAATTCCAGAAATGTAGTTTTTCTTCTTTATTGGGACGATTTATACGGATATGCTTTTCGATGGAGTTTCTAGTTTGACCTTTCTGTCGTGCAGTGATCTCGCCCCTGAGTAGAATGACTCAGTCGGGGGGTAACGAGAATAGAGCCTGATGTGACCCAGTCGGCGGAGTCAAGTGCGCCGTCTGGTTCGAATAAGGTGCGAATTGGTACGCCATTACATATGTTGTAACTTTGCTTGCGATCAATAAGGTCACATAGGTGACGGGCAAGCGATCAAACTCGTTTCCTATTGATCATATTCGGTAAGGCAGCTAATAATTTCATTTTCTGAAAAAGCTCACGCCAGTCTATTCCAGGCGAGTCAGTCGTGTGTTCCTCGAAGACTTATTCGAATTCTCTCCCCTCCCAGAAACGGGACCGCCGGAATATATCTGGCAATACAAGCGATGCACACGCTCGTGAGGCCAGTCTAAGATTAGTCACGTCTTTGGAATCCATCCAAATAAGAATCATGTGCAAAGTTTCTGTTGACAGGACGCTCAGAGGGTCGCTTCCGCTGTGGCAATTGCCAGATACCTTTGGGAGAACGGTTTTCTCCTTTGGAGCAGAGAACACGGCGTTAGCAGTAAATAGACGGTGTAGTTGGGGGATATTTAGGGGGTCATGCGTGTATACATGCGTTCTGACATTAACCAGGGACAAGTCAGACTCCTCGCTGGACAGAAGGTACCAATATCCTTGGGAAATTCTACAACCCCTTCGTAGTCATGACTGCAGTCGAGAATTCCGCTGTTCCTTGGCTGTGATCTACAAAGGTCAAAAATTGCTTGGGTATCCAGACATTTCCTATCATTAGGCAATGCAATATTTATGATTTCCAGGCAGGTTGTGATATTGTAGGAGAAGAAGGCGGGTATTTGTCGCCAAACGGCATGTGCCAGATGTGTATCTCAATCTCAGGTGCTTCATAGTCAACATATCGAATATTTGTATCAATAGATTCGTCTAGAGGGATGACGTCCTCGAACCGTCGTCGTTGTCCAGTCCCTGAGAGACGGGCTTCATTCAAGCTTTCGTGTATAGTGTAAACAAAATGAGAGGTTAGTTGTGTACCTGAGTAGTAGACTTGGAAGAATGAGGGTACTGACCGGCGCGAAAGTTGTGCAGCCAAGTGATGGGGTCGAATATGTCCTCTCTATTGGGGCTCCGCAAAGGAGACCATGCTTCAAAACTCAACGGCATATCAGCTTGGTCTTCAATATTGACAGATATGTAGAGGGAGTTAACTGGTACCGGCAAGAATTTGGGTGCTTTGAAAATAAAAACCGAGGGCCCCCCCGTGTAGGGGACCACAAGAGCCCGACTTTAGGAGGATGTCATAGTCAATACATTAGGCAAGTACCAATATCTTTCCATTTTCATTCATTTTTCTAATTGGTTAAGTTTTACTTCACTTTTAGTCTTCCCAATTCGTTAAGCGAGAATTTCCTATTTGAGTAATCCTTCTTACTATACTCCGACACAACATCCCTCCTAAAGTCGGGCATATGGCTGAAACTAAGGGCAGTCTAAGATTGAAGAAGCAATCTATCTGATCTATTTGTTGGAGTCGGGAGGAAGATGCACACGCACTCAGCCTGCCAAAATTAGGTGCCAGGTAAGAGGTCACTAAAACTTTAAGTTAAAACTCAAGGCATATGTTTTAGGTATAGCTATCTACCTCCTAACCTGGGTTAAGTACCTAGGTACCTATAAGGCGTTTGAGGTCACGATTTCCTTACCTTCTTCTCGAAGCGCTGGTATCTCTCTTCTCTCCATTTAGGGCCCCATTTCCTCACTATCAGGATGGAGGGGCTTGCCGCTAATACGATACAGCCCATGAAGAGGTACGTAAGGCCGTAACCCCACGCATCGATGATGTACTGTACGACGGCGGTCCCGATAGCACTGAGCGCGGCACGCGTCAAGTTGAAGGCGGATGATACTCGCCCTGGGTTCATGGGATAAAGATCGACCAGAAGTGTTGTCAAGATACTCACTGGCCCGCTTAAGCCTGCCCCGCCAAAGAACAGGACAACCAGCGGCGCGGCGAGACTGGTACCTGAGTCAACTACCCACCCCCATGCGATTATCATACCCACGGCAAGGATTGTCCACGGCCACATTAGGTCCAGCCGAGCCCTCTCAATAGGGAACTTGCGCATGTCGTCCCCCCGTTTACGATCTGGCGACACGCCGATGCTGTTTGCTACTCGCACATAATTCCAGTTCAACAGTTTGCCCACGACGCTAGCCCCGAGGACCGAGCCTATCGCGTAAGGGATATAACACAGCCCAACTTGCAAGTCGTTGAAGTTGTACTGGCGGCGTATAACGTCTTGTAAAGGAACCATCATGGCGTAGTTGGCCATGACGAACAGAGACATAAAGAGCATGAGGGTGCCAACGTCTTTTTCAAAGATTATAAGCACTGCAGCAAGCACATTGGGGATGGGAATTTTCCTTGGGACCTTCTTTGGTTGCGGTAAGGTTGGGCTGCCGGGTTGCGATTCAACGTCGCGGCGCTTCTTGCGCCATTGATAGGCCGATAATGGTGACATATTTAGTCTTGGTGGAGGGATGGAGCCATTACCAACTATCTTACGAGCGGTCTGACACAGATAATGTCAGCTTCATTCGCATCTATTGATGCTTGCATAGAGACTCACTTCCGGAACGAATGGTACGTATATGAGCAGAAATACACCGGCAGCAATAACGAGAAACCAGAACGTTGAGCGCCAGCCCAGAAATTGGGTCAATATTCCACCCAGGACGGGGGCAAGAGCGGGCGCAAACATAACGCTTGCCTGGACGGCTGTGATGTAGCCACCCCTGTCAGCGCTTGTCGTGAAGTCAGCCATAACAGCACTGCCAATAGCAACGGTGGCGCTACTACCGGTACTCTGAAGAGCCCGTAGTACCATGAGAGCGGCGTAGTTATGCTGTAAAGCAAGGGCAATGTTGGCGCCAAGGTAAATAGTAAACGCGAGCATGTAAACGGGGCGACGGCCGATCTGGTCGCTAAGATCACCAAGGAAGAGCGGCGCAACCGCTTGCATAACCTGATATAAGGTTACGGTGAGGTTGATGTCGGCAATGGAGCGGCCGTACGATTCGGCGATAGGCGTGATAGCGGGTAAGTAGATGAAAGAGGAAAAAGGAGAAAATAAGGTAGCGAAAACGGTCATGAGGACGAGGAAGACTTTGGTCCTGGAGGAGAAGACAGAATACATCTCCGGCTCATCTTCACCAGGCCCGGCGGGTGTCTCACTAACGGAGCGGTTCTCTTTGTTATTAGCACCGCCGTTATCATCCCGTTCGGTAGTTGGCGCGGCGTCGGGAGAGTTATTCGCATCCGAATGTAAGCCCAAGCCCTCCGTTGTCTTTTCCGTTGTCTTTTCATCGTGGGCTTCAACCATGACGGCGCTTATTTTCCCCAGATGTCAAGAGTTAAGAGTTTTGTTCTTCAGATAGACTGTTCATAGGTGTTCGACACTTATACGCTTTTCCCGAGTACAGGAAGTTTTATAAGACAGACACCTCGAAGTGAGGGCTTGCCCGGATTCTTTTTAAGACTGTACATCAAGTCTGCATTGCCGTTGTCGGTCCGGTAATTCTGCATCTTTCCCATGACGAGCATAAGTCTTGTAATAAGTTGATAGATCAAAACTTGCTAAGTTATATCTAATGTTTGGTTGTATTCAAGTACCTTACCACGTAAGATTAAGGCCCCCACTTAGGTAGCTGGTATCCGCGTTCGGAACCGGTATCTACCGTAACCAGGCTCGGCAGCGAAACGGCTTCTGAAGACTTACGGAATGCAATAAATGCATAAATGAGGTACGGAATACTTCTTGACGCGGTGTTTCCCCTCCCCCGCACATATTTCTGATTGATAGGTACTCTATCGATAAGATTAGGTAGGTACCTGGTAAGAGTTAGTATGGAACCTTACCTAAGAGGTAAATTTTCACCCGTCAAACCTTATAGGCCTTTGCGGCTTCTAGTCATATCAGGTACCTAAGTCAAGACTTAAAAAAAGAGTCTTAAGACTTTTTTCATGGAACAAATATGTTGACATCGCAATGGGTGTGCCGTCGCTGTATTAAAGCCCTGGCACAGCCTCGGAATTTCCAATTCGTACGGTTCGCTAGTACGAATACAGGTACGTAAATAAAAAAAAATAATACTCAAATATAATTATCTTGTTCCTATTTCACAATTTAACATTAACTCCTTCATCATCCCAAAGAGTCCCAAATCAATTTACCGTCCGTCCTCCTTCGACGTGCACAAAACATTGCCGCCGAGCATGACAAACTCGTAGCCGACCTCGCCAATGAATTCGACTCCAAGTTAGCCAAGCGCATAGGCGAACTGTCGCGCGTCGCCAACGCTCTGAAAGAATGGGAAGCCGCCCGATCTTCCATAGCAGAGCTCAATGCTCTCTTACAATCCCAGGATGAGGAGTTGCGACAGCTAGCTAAAGATGAATTATCCACGACCAATGCCAAGTTTAATTCTCTGGCCACTGCTTTATCCGCTTCTCTTACCCCGCGCGATCCCTTCGCTGATATGCCATGCCTCCTCGAGATACGCCCCGGGCCCGGTGGTCAGGAAGGTCGTTACTTTGCGGACGCGGTGTTCCGCATGTATCGACAGTACTGCGCGCGTAAAGGTCTGCGCACAAACGTTCTAAAGTACGAGACGGCAGACGGTGGTGATACCTTAACCGGTGGCGCGAGCGAATCTCCACTCCAGGAAGCTATTCTTGAGGTTCTAGATGCAGGCGCGTTCGATCGGTTCCGTGGCGAGGCGGGCATGCACCGTGTACAGCGTGTACCAGCTACAGAGACAAGCGGACGTACACATACGAGCGCCGTCGCGGTATGGGTCCTGCCGTCGTTTCCCGAAAACGAGGACCAGATGCCTAACGAGGAGAGTTACAACGATCCGAACAGCATCTTCTACATAGACCCGCGGGACGTCAGAGAAGAAAAGATGCGAGCGAGTGGTGCAGGTGGTCAACACGTCAATAAAACGGAGAGTGCAATTAGGTTGACGCACGAACCCACGGGCATCACGGTTTCGATGCAGGATTCGCGATCACAACACCGTAATCGCCAATCAGCCTGGACATTGCTGCGATCGCGCATCGGTCAAAAAAGACGCGAGGAGCGCGAAGAAGAGGCTTGGGCGCTGCGCAATAGCGTACTGAGCAAAGATAAGATCACCCGCGGTAACAAGATCCGCACATACAACTACAGTCAAGACAGATGCACAGACCACCGGAGCGGCCTGGACGTACATAACCTACCTGACGTGCTGGAAGGCGGAGAAACCCTGGACAAGATTATGAAGAGCACGAAGGACTGGCTGATCAAGCAGGATATCGAAGGGGTAATCGCCGAGGAGACTGCGGCGGCAGCTAAGCCTAAGGAGACGAAGAAGGGGAAGAAATGAGTTTTTCTCCCGTCTCTCCCGTGTTAAGGGCTTTATCTTAGGTACTTTTACTCACAACTCACAACATGGATGATGTATATATATACACTTCCCATGTAAGAGATCTGTACATAGAGGGCCAAGCCCAATATAGAACCAGTTACTACCTCCTATGCAGCTACTATAATTTATCGACGCACGTAGAATTAGCGGACCAATTCTCAATGAGCCGGTACAAGCCGACATATTCAAAAATGCGACGGTTTTTATCATCGAGAACTCTCTCCATCTTTCTCAATGGTACCTAAACTTCTACGGCCGGGGACGTGCGGATCGATCCCGTATCTGCGCTTTAAAGTAAAGTAACCTACTCGCTACCTACTCTCTAATAGGCATGATTACAACCCACCTCGGCCAAACTCTTCGAAGTTTGTTGGAATGCTATGGTTAACCTAGGAATGTAAATAAACAAAATGATTGGCGGTGATACAATGGCGCAATCTGTAAGGGCCCGCGTTGGCGTGTTCTAACTTCTAAGCTTCTTTTTTCTTTTTTTTTTCTTAACAAATCTCTTCTCTCTAACAATAATATAGAAGAGGTAAGGTTAGCAAAAGCTTATCAGGAAGCTTGGTAAAACGGTACCTGAACAACTTCCTAATAAGGCAATTGGCCGGGTGTCGAAAAAAAAAAAGTCAGTGGCCCTGGCCCCCCGCGTTGTTGTTATTGGGTATTATCCCCGTCTACGTCCCCGCAGATAAGCCATAGCTTTGACGTAGAGGGTTGAGAGAGTACTATGTAATGAATGCAAAGGAATTACATTAATGCATGACTCAGGTATGAATGGATAAATGAGCGTTCGGTTTGGGGTAGGATTTGGAGAAGTTGTGTTGTTGTTGTTATTAGTTACCTCTCTCTAGGTGCTTACCTTCTATGATTTAATTAATGGTTGAATCGTACTGAGATTTGTCTTACATAGTACGCCGTACATAAAATACAAACAGGAATAATACAGTTACAGTTGAAGATTTCCCCTATCTCAGCGTTGGATCGTCAGCTCCTCAGCCCACGTCTAGCACAGCAGGTAGGCAAACACAGCTTATTTCCCCTCATCTAGATCCCTGTTTTTTCTTGAACCACTCGGTACCTGTCTCTGTATTACGTATCTACGCTACGTATGTGGAATAGCCAACGGGATGTATAAGTGAACGGCTCCATGAAGAAAAAAAGAAAAAGAAAAAAGGACCAAGGTAGCATCGATGGAACATTGGGTCATGGCAGGGCTTCTCTTGCGTGAGCTCCCTATCTTGGCAACCGAGTCAGTATGCTGCATAGCATAGCAACTAATAACTAAGCGTATCAATCTAAACATGCCGGCGATCAGACCGGGTTTGTTATAGGTTCGATGGTTCGATACGAAATAGACCCGTTGCCGTATGGCCGTAATCCCGGTTTGGTGATTCAATCACCAGCTCACTCACCTTGCCCTGTCCACCGCCAACCACCATCTATTCCGGCATTCCTCCATCTCTTTTATCTTGGCTTCTTCCCACCTCCCCCCTCCCATCCCGTTCCCAACTTTTCCTTAAGCTGCATCGCCCAGAGTCTCGGCGCAGCCACAAGTTTCTCTTCTTTGGGAACGCCTACGCTCGAATTAGCGCAGTGTTGGCTGCTTCTTGTTCTTCTTCTTCTGTTTCTTCTCTTGGGATTGTTGGGATTCTTGTATCACTTTGCATAAGTCCGATATTAGGTGGCCATGCATTGGTCTAAGCTGCTGTTGTCTGCCGTCGCCGTGGCGGAGGCTCGACGGAGCTTCCAGCACGTGGGCAAGAAGGATGCAAGGCCCAAGTCGACCATCTCGGAGCACGATAACTTCGCTACGCGATATCTAGCTACGCGACAGTTGCCGCCCCCTAGGTTCGCCAATGCGAATACTACAAGTAAGATGATGGCCCCTCCTCTGTGTTTCACACGGCTGCTGCATGAAATGCCGTGGAATCACCGATGATGTGTCCAAAGTGGCTGGCTAACTCCCTGTCTCACTAATAGAATTCGCTGTCAACGGCACAGGTATTCCCGATGTCGACTTCGACGTAGGCGAGTCGTACGCTGGGTATCTGCCCATCACGGACAACCCAGACGACACGGACGAACTATTCTTCTGGTTCTTCCCTTCCTCGTCTCCAACGAACACAACCAAGAAGGAAATTGTGCTATGGCTTAACGGCGGTGTAAGTACCTAGCTGTCACTTTATATATAGCTCGTGTTTGCAGAGCAAGGCGCCATCCCACGTAACCACCTCACCTAAGCTAATCGATGTTCTTGATTATAGCCTGGCTGCTCGTCCTTCGAGGGTCTCCTCCAGGAAAACGGCCCCTTCATCTGGCAATCCGGTACCCTGAAGCCGATCCCTAACCCGTGGGCTTGGAACAGGTTGGCAAACGTGGTCTGGGTGGAGCAGCCCATCGGAACGGGTTTCTCGCGCGGCAAGGTGACGGCTCGCGGGGAAGAGGACGTAGCTGCTCAGTTCCTCGGCTTCTGGAAGAACTTCGTCGAGACCTTCTCCCTGCAGGGCTACAAGGTGTACATCGCGGGAGAGTCGTATGCCGGCGCTTACTGCCCGTACATCGCGTCCGCCATGCTGGACAAGAACGACACGACGTACTACGACGTGTCGGGCCTGCTGGTGTACGACCCCGTCCTCGGCGACGACGTCGTCCAGGAGTCCGCCACCACCGTCCCCTTCGTCGACTACCACCACAACCTCTTCACCTTCAACAGCTCCTTCAGCGCCCACATCCACGGCCTGCACGAGTCCTGCGGCTTCGCCGACTACAACGCCAAGTACCTCGTCTACCCGCCCTCCGGCCCGCAGCCCAAGGGCTACACCCAGAGCGTCAGCCGCGAGTGCCGCAACCTGTGGGAGGAGGTCCTCGAGGAGGCCCTCAGCATCAACCCCTGCTTCGACGTCTACCAGGTCGCCACCACGTGCCCCTTACTGTACGACGTGCTCGGCTTCCCCGGCACCCTCGATTACCTCCCCGAGGGCGGGGAGATCTACTTCGACCGGGCGGACGTGAAGAAGGCGATCCACGCGGACGCGAGCACCAAGTGGGCCGAGTGCGCGAGCGGGGACGTCTTCGTGGGCGGGGACCGGTCGGACCCGTCGTCGTGGAAGGTGCTCCCGCACGTGATCGACGCGACGAAGAACGTCATCATCGGCCACGGCTCGCTGGACATGATCCTGCTGCCGAACGGCACGCTGCTCACGATCCAGAACACGACCTGGGGCGGGCAGCTAGGCTTCCAGTCGGCGCCGGTCGAGCCCTTCTTCGTCCCCTTCCACACCCTCAGCACGGCCGACGAGCTCGAGTCCGAGCCCGACCAGACCAAGCTCGGCAGCGTCGCGGCCGCGGGCGTCCTGGGCACCGCGCACACGGAGCGCGGGCTGACGTACGTCAGCGTCGACCTGTCGGGCCACATGGTGCCGCAGTACGCGCCCAGCGCCGCCTTCCGCCACCTCGAGTTCCTGCTCGGTCGCGTCGACAGCCTGAGCTCCGTGCAGCCCTTCACCATCGAGCCGGACTACCCGCAGCCGCCGGCCGACGCGCTGGGCAACGGCACCGGGCCGGGCACGTTCAGCGCGGGAGCGGCGGCGGCCGAGCAGGGTTCCGGGAACGTGTCGGCTAGCGCTGTGGTCAAGGGCTCTGACGCGGGGAGGATCCGCGCGGGCTTGAGTGCCATGGTATTGGCCGCCGGCGCTGTGGCCATGGTCGCGATGACAGAAATGTAGCTTACGACCTATGAGTGATGAGATGTTATAGATGGTAGGTACCTAGGTATCGTAAAAAGTAAAATCTATTGGAAAATACAAAGAATATTGTATATCTTACTGTGCATCATCAGTGATAGTCTACTGGCCTCAGAGGGCGAAAAAGTAATACAGGTATCTGTTGTATCAAAGTCATGGAGTTATTCTAGTGAATAGTCGCTCATTGTAGATAAACCCGTTTTTTTTTTCTCACTCACGGGCTTGACATCAACATCATAGCACGAAATTCTTCGATTTGGAAAACCCATAAATGGTCAAAGAAAAAAAAATCGGAATAATTTTTGTACATGAGGGGAGTAGAACAACAAGCTACATCATGTCCTACCCAACGAGCGGATAGTATCGTAAAGCACATACATCCATGCCTCCAAAGCCTGCCCCCTTGCCCCCTTGCCCGTCCTCATCCCCGCCCCCTCCTTTCTCCCATCCCATCCACTCCCCTCCCCCATAAAATTTTGATACTCCAGTTCGTGCCCACGACCATTCGTGAAGAGAGAACAAAAAAACGTCGCGAAGCCTCCCATCGCTTTTGCTGCCTTCAGCTAATTCCCCAAACGCCTTGCTAATTTGAAAATGTCAAAGATGGATATACAAGTTGTGTTTGCCGTAACACGGGTATAGTCCTATGCCAAGGGGGGAAAAATAAATGAAAGAGATTTCGGATCCATTGTTCATTGTTCACTGCTCAAAGACGTTTCCTTCTCGTCGTCTGAGCTCCCTGAGAACTGCAACAACACCGTTGCTTCGTAGCCGCTCCAAGACGATGCGCATCCCGTCGCGCGACTTGATCATCTGGTCGTCCGTCTTGTTGGAAGCAATGGATTCGATGCTGCGCTGGATCCGCTTGGCGCCCCATCCCGAAATCCAGTCGCCAAATCGTCGTGTGCCAGGTTCGTCGTTGGCATCGGTAGACTCGGTCGCCGCCTTTTCGTGATTCTTGCCGCCCAAGGTAGATCGGTAGGAGAATGTAGTAGTGACAAAGGTGTTAGGGGCCAGAGGTCGATGAGGGGTAGAGGTCAGAGAGCTTGGTGCGGTTCCAGAAGTTGAGGACGAAGATGAGGTGGCCTGGTCGGGAGGAGTGGTCGAGTAGTGCTGCTCCTCGACTACACTTAAGACGCCTGTGTAGTTGAGATTCCGGCTCTCCGTCTTCATCCACCCTTCTTTGATATCCACAACGCTGGTCTCGAGGACATAGCTCGACTTGTCACCACCGCCGCCGGTAACGCTACTGGGAAGTAGCTTGACTACGGCGGAGGGTAGGCGGGTCTTCTTCATGTGGATGCGAGTCGTGTGCAAGCGACCGGTTTCCGGGTCGACGTGCGACGAGATGGTATCGGTGGACAAGACATGGCTGGAGAAAGGATTGAGCCGGGGTGAGTAGTACCGAAGGAAGAATGCCAAGGTCACGGTCGGGAATGGGTGAGAGTAAGTGTGATTGGTCGTGTGCGTTAGAACCATCTTGGTAAGTGGCGAAGTTTGAGGGTTTCCTTCAGGTACAGGCTTTATATTATATGCCTCGGATATCTGAATTTAGACGTGGAGGTAGAAATGAGTTTTGGGGACAGGAATTGGAATTGTCGGGTCTCGTCAAGTTTATAAATAGGTATTAGACGTCCCTATTGTCTAGGATATCTATATCGACATAAAGGTGGCTCGTGTAAGGTTTCGATGTGGTTGGCTTCGGATTCGGACGAATTAATTTTTTTTTCTTCCCTTTTTTTTCCCCTAGGCTTTTCGTAGTTGATAATGCCCTCAACTCTAGGCCAAGTTGATAAAATATTAAAAAATCATCAGCGCCAAATAGGGTTTTTATTTTTATTTTTTTAGGGAATCTTAACACTTAAAAGAGCAGAAGAAAAAGAAAAAGGGGAAAAAAGGGAGGGGAAAAGACGAAGAGGTGGTGATGTGAGGTGAGGTGATATGATGTGTGTGCGATTGCTAATGGAGGATGGAGACTAAATGGATGGTCATCGAACGAGAGCCAGCGAACCTTGAACGGAGGCAGAACATTCGACGCCGACCCAATCCACCCGAGCTCCGACGCTGCAATTAGGTAACTCTTTTTTTTCTTCAATCTGCAATCTACATTAAAATTGGATCCGACTTGGCCGAGCAGGCAGTTGGCTAGACTTTTGATTGGCTAGATCTCTTTAGAATGCGGGGAAAGCTTTAGTTCCATAGGTGGCACCTTCTTTTCCTTTACTATGTACCAAGTGTACCTCTTATACAAGGTATGTATCAACCAATGAATATTCCAAATGTTTGGTCCCTTGATCGCTTAGGTTAGGTATTTATACATTACCCGCACATCTTAATTGGTCTGTTCTAAACTTGTTCTCTCTTTTTGGAACGGTATTGATGACGATCCGACTTGGAACAAAGTCTTAGATCGAGATGACCGTTATAGTCAATGTTCCAGAGTCTTTGTTCTATACCTATACCTATATTTGGATCTCGCCACTGAACCTTGTTAGGGAAACCCAAACTCTACCTAGGTATACCTACACATCACACTTGCATCTCACGAAATCTGTAGTCTAATAAGTCAATTTAGATCACTTTACTCAAAACCCAATCTCTGCCCCTCTTTCATGACGATCTCATCTTCTTTGCTATACGTTACGTATGTGTTCATGTCAATACGATATTACAGTTGTAGAATTAATCAATAAACACGGTCGTGTTACCTCGAACTTCTTCATATTACACAAGACGTTTTCACATAGGTAATGCATTGCGCATTGTATAGTCGAAGTACGTACTTGGGTACTTCGCTACCTCGTTCGTAATCAATTAATTTATGAGATGTGATTGGTTCAATTGTCCTTGTGGCGCGAGCTACCCTGTAACATCCACGCATGCCCTTTAGCCCCGGCACCAGCCGTTTACATCATTCCGATCTACTGATTGATTGATCATCAATCATCACAACTTTTCAACCGCAAAAGTTGACAAGAAGAGCCGTATTCGTTCAACATTATACCGATCCAGCTCGAGATTTATACTATTATAACGAGCGACAGATCGTCATGTTCGCGCGACCATTATTCTCAGCGGTATGTTTTGTTTTCTAGCTACCTACCACCCTTCCCGCGCAGAAAATAGCCTCGACTAAAACTTTCTTTCGTTGCCGACAGACTCTCCGGCAAGCCGCCCGGCCCATTGCCCGTCCGGTGATATGCAGTCGGCCAGCACCGTTCCTCACAGCCTTCCAGCAGCGATTTCTCTCCGATCAAACGCGACAGGCCATTGAGAAAGCTGTCTCCTCGGCGCCCGTTGTGTTGTTCATGAAGGGCACCCCCGAAACGCCGCAGTGCGGGTTTTCGCGCGCTTCCATTCAGATTCTCGGCCTGCAGGGCGTAGACCCCGGCAAGTTCGCTGCCTTCAACGTGCTAGAGGACGAGGAGCTCAGATCAGGTACGGGTCCCTTTACTCCTAATAACCAAATATCGCATTACCTATATGGTAAATAATAGAGATGGAGCAAAAGTTTGGCTAACACATGATCATTTCACTTCCAACAGGTATCAAGGAGTTCTCGGACTGGCCCACAATCCCGCAACTCTATATCAACAAGGAATTCGTCGGCGGTTGCGATATTCTCGTATCGATGCACCAGGACGGTTCCCTAGCCAAGATGCTTGAGGAGAAGGGCGTCCTAGCCCCTCTCGACGGCGCATCCGAATCTAAGGACTAGAGCAAGTTAAAAATGAGCGTAGTATGCGATGGGTAATGATTTTATTCCAATAGAGGACAAAAAAAATACCCGAATTTCGCTAGACGACTTGTGTACGATTTGGTTATGCATATATAAACGTCAGTATGTATTTTACTGCAAGAGCGCTTGGTTGGTTGGGGATTCGTCAAATACGATAACCATCATTAAAACAGATCAACAGTATATACCTCATGTAGCCAAGAGACCTCGAGATAATGTATTAAATACAGTCCCCGGAGCAGATAGCCTAACAACGTCAGGTTTAAATCGATTAGCAAGAAGTACGGCATTAATGACAGCTCGTACAAATCATAAATCTCATTCTCTTCGTAATTAACTTAAAACACTTCTCATCTCGCATATAAGAAGATAGTCTCTATATAATACCCATCCCTCACCATAAGCCACAGTTATAAAGCTGACAGCTACCTAACCTAGGACCTTGTACGTAAGTTTCATAACGGATATGCTCCGCCATCTCCCCGCGGATCGCTACCGGCAGACCACACGCCCACGTTCTCGACGGGGTCGATGCTCCAACGGATGATCTGACCACGGCCGAACTGGGCCCTTCCCATATCCCTCACAACCTTAACTTTGTGGCCTAGCTTCCGTAGACCTTCTACGGTCTCATCAGGCATTCCCTCCTCTATGAACACGGTAAGGTCTCCCTTACCGCCCTGGCTCATGCCCGAGCCGATACACACGCGCGGCGCGTCGAGAGCCTGCTGCGGACTGAGATGGCCTACGATCTGCCCGAGCAACACTTGCACGTGCCCTTGGGGCTGCATGAACCCGCCCATGACGCCAAACACGCTGTGCAGGCTGCTGTCGTGCAGGTTGGTTACCGCCGCCGGGATGATGGTGTGGTAAGGCCGTTTTCGCGGCTCTAGCACGTTCGGCCGGGTTGCGTCGAGCGAGAAGTTGGCCGCCCGGTTCTGCAATGTGAACCCGCATCCCTGGGGCACGATGCACGTCCCGAACCCGCCGTAGTTGCTGTTGATGAAGGAGATGGCGTTGCCTTCCGAGTCGGACACCGCGAAGTAGACCGTGTCGCTGCTCTGTAGCGCTGGCGAGCCGTGGTCTGTTGCTTGGGATGCCTGGTCCGGGTTGAATAACGCAGCACGTTCTGCTAGGTACGGCTGTGCGATCAGTCCCGCCGTGGGTACCTTCGTGACGTTAGGATCGGTAACGAACCAGCTGGCGTCAGCGAAGGCGATGCGCAGGGCCTCTATAATAGCATGTAGATATGGCGCTGTGTTGAAGTCGGCAGGACTCCACGTCGGGATTTTGCCCGCCGCTTCAAGCTCTTGGATAATGCCCAACGCTATCAAAGCTACGATACCTTGGCCGTTGGGCGGATGTTCCCACAGTTCAAGGCCAACATCCTGCCCCTCGCCTCCGCCTAGAATCTTGTCTTTGAGGAGCTCCCGAACGTTCTGCCCTCGGAACTTGAGCGAGATAGGCTCAACAGGTTCGCTACCCTTCTCCAGGTGGTAGGCCAGATCGTCGAGTTCAAGAAAGCCGCCGAGATCCTGGACTACTTTCACAAGTTCCGACGCTACGCGGCCGGTGTAGAATCCCTTCTTGCCTTCAGTCGCCAAGGTTCGGAACGTGCGGGCCAAATTCGGGTTCTTCATGATTTCCCCTGCCCGGGGAGCACGCACGCCGTTTTGCGCGCCAGGATCCTTCTTGAGCATCTCGCCACCATTCGGAGAAGCACCCCTTATTTGCGCTTCTGATTCATTCCACTAATTGGCAGGTTGTGAGTTTTAGTCCGAAATAGCATAGATCTTGCATATATATCAGATATACCTAGTTATGATTAGGTTAGGTACTTACGTAGTACGCGACTCCTTCTGACACAGGGAAGCCTTTCTCGCCGAGTTCGATGGCGGGTGCGAGGATCTGCGCCAAGGACAACTTTCCGCTGCCGAATCGCTCGACCGTATCGCACCACCCTGCCGCGGCGCCGGGCACGGAAACGGCATGCACGCTGCTCATAGGGATCTTACCAAATTCGCCGTCTTTGATGCCAAGCGCCTTGCGGATGGTCTCGAGCGTGCACTTGTTACCCGAGCGCCCAGAGCCGTTCATAGCCGAGATCTTCTTGGTCTTGGCGTCGTAAAAGAGGCAGAACATGTCGCCGCCTATGCCTGTTGAGCATGGCTCCGTCATGTTGAGCCCAGCAGCTACATTGTCTGATTAGTTGTTTTGTTTTATTTTCTTTAACCCAAGGTATGGATATTCTAAGTCGTACCGACAGCCACAGCTGCATCCTAACGGTAGTATAAGTGTCCAATTCATAATGAAGTCATATTAAAGGTACCTAGACACCTACCGCGCAATTACCGCCGGCTTCCAAAACTTCGATACCGCATTTTGCTGCGAGTGGTTGCGTACACGATACGATGCCTTTAGTGCTGTGAACTACACTCCGCCGACTTGGGAATTTGGAGAAGACATGTGATGCTGGAGGGAACAGTGACGGCGTAGTGAGAGGCATTTTGAGCAGCCGCAGACTTAACAAAGTGATTTGATTTGTTTTGATTTATTTTGTTTTTTCTCTTTGATGAAGCAAACGCTACGATGTTATAGTGTTGAGTCAGTCTCTTCTAATAGCGGGGTATGACCTAGTTCAGGGACAGCCGAGACATCGAGCAGTGAAACAAGGCGAAACAAGGCGGGACGAAACGGGACGGGACTAAACTATGGCTTTAGAGTTCACAGTCTCGGGAAGAAGGGAGCTCAAGAATGACGTTTGTATGCTATTACCTCAACTATCCGCGGTCTTAGCACCTTCAATATCCGCCCGCGCTGGTACCCGAAAGCATTAAAACCTGCCTCGGTAAAGAATACCTAATAGTCTTTCTATAGCGTAAATCGGGGACCCGAAATTCGGAGCCGTCTGAAGTAACGGGCGCTTAATAAGTTCAGGGGACTTTTTGGTCTAATTCGGGATTAAAACTATAGCCCAAGAATGGGAATAGTTTAGCCTAGTATCATCCTCTCTTTTCATATTCATCCTTATCTTCATTTCAAAAATGTTGAAATGTGGTGGGTAATATTATATATGTGATATTCGTTTATTCATCGTAACTTGGTGTTTATTTTATCTTACGTAGGTACCTATTATTTTTATTATTTTACCTCGTACTTCGTATCTCAGTCTTGTAATTGTGAACCCCTCCAAGTTAAATATTCCCCGCCCCCACGCGCTCGGTAGTTTGGAGCTTCGTTTATCCCACCCTCGTCCCTGACTCTTTATCAGATTTCCCTATATATATTAGGTATATATATTTACCACCGAAAATTTGAATTTCCTATAGCTGTGTAACAACGTGCTGTTCCTGCGTCCCCTCCGGCCAGAAAACCGGGATCAAGTACCCACGGCTCATCCCCCCTGTACACACCAAGGATTTTGACTATCGAACCAAGATCTTCTGCTTCCTCCCTTACGCCCGCACCCACAGCCAAGTCATTATTCCCATCTTTCTTCCCCGCTGCCACCGCCTTAATCTGCGTGAACGATACTAGAATTGGGCTTGCGCCAATCCTTCCGCCCGTAGGAGGTACTCGCCTGCCGGAGTCGAAGCTGGCAGCGCGAATCGGAAACTTGAGATCCTCCGCGTCGCCCACGTGAGTACCTCCCCGTCGTCGCCCCAGAGCAGTCGGTATGTTGCTGGTGACAAGTGCCAGTCCGTAGAAGATAGTATTAGAGAGCAGCCTGCTATCTAAGTCTTACCGACTTTAAACAGTAGATCTAGCGGCCGAAGACGAGGAATGAGGTATCGCTTGTCTCATTGATGGTAATATAACGAACTTCATACTTATAAGAAATGTTAAAGCCGGGATACTTTCGTATAACTTGCCCCTTTTTTGTCTACTGGAAAGTTAAGGTCGATTCCCTGCCTAAGGTAAATAAATGGTAACCATCTTGCGCATTAGTTTCTAGACTCAAAGTTCGAATTATAACCAACTTACCTATCGTAACAGGTGAGCAAGAACAGTCCTTTGATGTCATTGTTTGGGTACTGGTGTTATTAGTATATAAATCGCGTAACAAGAAGGAAAAGGGGAAAGAAGTAAGTAACGATCTGAGAAAAGTGAAAGGAGTTATTTAAACAGATAGCGGTGTTTCAATTATCTTGAATCTATGTTAGTTTATAAGTCTCTTATGTATAATTAGTTTGTATGCTTATAGGTAGATCCATTAGTTGCGGTCCAGAGCGGTCGAAATGCGCTGACGTATAGTCCTAAAAGCTGAACTTAATATTCCCATAATATTAACCAAAGCTCCTACTTCCCACATGAGTGTATATACCTATTTACATTCATACTAGAAGTATCTATGGGTCTATATTATTTGAACGAGATTGAATAGGACTTTACTGTCTATATAAAGGGTAACGAGCCCTCTCGTAAGAGGATAGAAGGCTAGGCGTCACTGGATTACTACGATATACCGCAAGACTTCGTTGCAACCATATACCATCGAGAGATATTAATTCTATTCTCAAAATAGCGAACATTATAATAGTAACATTCTAGGTAACTTAAGGAAACCCGCGACCGTCATCAATTTGAGTACAAGACTCTCCTTTCGTAAGATTGCCGTAGGAAACAACTCGGCCACATGGTAGGTATTTCGTATCCTATATACCTATCACTATTCCTAACGTCAATTTATGATATGTAAGGCCGGCAATATCGTGAAGGCAATACTCTATATGAATCCTCAGAGCCCGGAACGCCCAAGCCGGGAAATAAGTTTTCATATCAGCTACTTGATATTGTCGCTCACTCTTATGAAGGCTTTACTGAGAAAATCGGTTAGGTGGACATTTTCGAAGACTCTACACAAACAATTGGAGTGTATATTCGGTTTACTTCTTGCCTCGTATCTAGTTTCCGAGTCCACACCGAAAGACCTCCTTGAAACCTGAAGTTACAGAAAAGGGGGAAAAGAAAGGAAACCAGAAATACAATCCTGTACTCTGAATACTGACAGCCCTCGTTACAAGATCATATTTAACAGGGCTAGCCTTAATCTCTGAGTAAAACTTAAGGATCCACACTCCCCAAGGCAGACTTTTCTTGGTAAGGCGGACACAATTTGAATAACGTCACCAGACGATCTTAGCTACACTAAATAACAGCATCTACCAACAATCAATTAACATTGAGTCAATGTACAAAGAGCAGAGTCACTGCCTATGCCCTTGTTATCGTAGCGATTGGTATCTTAACCACAGTTCTTTCCATCAGAGTTGTAAGCATGTACTAGATAACCGGTAACTTGAGAAGGCAAGAGAGAGATATGAACAATCAACGTAAATGAGAGATACCTACCTACCTAGGTAGGTACGGAGCTATCTGCCGAAGCCAAACGGAATAAATGGAGACTACCGGACCTCCTGATAAGGTCACACCTTCCTTAACTTCTGAAGTACTCTAAAAGATATTGCTCGTGCACGGTTTGTCCATATGGTGAGTAGAAAGCAACGTAATTGTTGAAAATGAGTTCCGGTTCCGTTCTTTCCTTCTTTCCTTACAATGCTTGGTCCTTGAAGAAAAACTTTTCTTCTCATCCGCGTACCAACGCAGTGAAATCGCACTATCCTTTTGACTTCTACCTAGTCGCGTAACTTATAAATTTTGGGAACTTGATCAAAACCAACGATTTCTTTTTCACAAAAACAATCACGTCACCGGTATCCCTACAACTACGACAACTACCACGACTTTCGCGTATGCAATACACCAAATCCAATATGGAACCAGGAAAACCTCATGCTCCTTGGGAGCCGCTACCTAATTGGTACGATACCAAATTAGAAGATATTCTTCCTCGCGATGGATTCGTCTTCCCGGACGGATACAAGATCTTCAACGTTAAGCAAGACTGGGTCCGAGTTAAATGGGCTATTGAGGCGCCGGCTCCTACCCTCGAGGAACATAAGGTCGACGCTGTACTAGCCGCTATCATGGACGACGCCAACATCATTGCCGGTGCTTTCCGTCAAAACCGTCTGATTTTCAACGACAACAACAACAGAAGCTGCCTCTCTACTGACGAAATCCTCGAGTCAGCCTGCAAAGAGCACGACTGGACCGAAATCGTACCTGACGGCCGATTCCCCCATCTTCTGAAGACCCTTATCCGCGCCCGCAAGTTTTACAACCAGATCACGCATATCCGGGGCCGTTCCGAGGCGGAGAAGGATAAACAGCAGGGAAAGCTGGCCACCGCAATTGACGTGTGGACCAAGACGCACCCGGTTGATGATCCCGACCCGCGCTACGCGCGAATGACAGCAGATCTCAAGGAGTCCATGATCAACCGACTGATTGAGGGAAAGGGCGTAAAGCGGGCCAGGGACGACGAGTCGACGGACACGGAGAAGGAAGCAGACAACAAGCCTGACGACCGTGGCCCAGACAAGTGCACGAACCACAAGAGATCCAAGAAGTCCGAAAAAGAACCCCAGAAGAAAGTCCGGAAGGTATCCAGGAAGGCATTTCACAAGGACCTGAGCGACGAAGACTGCCCCTGGGTTCACACCAATTACTCGTCTACCCCCCAGCGCACGCCAGCGGCGCCGATGTCAACGGAAGAAGAGGATGACGAGAGTGCCCCCTGGGTCCGTTGGTCCCAGACCAGGCGAGCACGACAGCTTTTACGTACTCCGGCGACGGAGAAGCACTTGATGCTGTACCGCACGTGAGCACAGTCGTATGCGAGGAATATCCGAAAGGAAACGGGGGAGGGTACTTTAGCAGGTGGTCAGGTGTTTAAGGGGGGTTGGCACGGGGAAAGGTACGGAAAAGGGGGGACGGAGGGAATAAGGTAGTGGGGCCGATTCTTAGCTTTGAGATCCGGAAGACGCCGGTGTTGTGGGGCTTTTTTTGACTTTGCAACTAGGAGGCCAATCATGTCTCGATCGCATGCCCCACCTGCACCTCATCAAGTACTTGTACAGTACAATGCTAAGTACCTAGGTAGTACGATAGTAGGTACAGAAGAATCCGAATGCTGATTAAAACCCCGCAATCTGCCGTCATGCGATTAATACAATAACCTTTTTCGTAAATCCATCATATGACAAACTAATCCCCCTAAAAGCAGCCGCCACAACTCCTTTAGAAGAAACGTAAGTTTTTTTCTCTCTCATGTTTTCTTCCTTACCATCGGATTCCTTTTCTCGATACCTACTACACAAGTACCTAACCTACCTGTTTACCGGGTACCCCGGTGGCATGACGCCGCAGCAGTCCAAGTGGGCTGGTCCAAGATCCGGGGTGTAAGTTCAGCGCGAACCGCATAGAGCTCCCTAGCTAGGAAAACAATACCTACAAGAGGGTATAATATTACAATTTACACTTACAAAGGAGATTCCTCGGAATACCAAGCTGACGCCTCGCCTGTGATTGTTTTTGGCTTGTGCTGGCTTACCTAACAAAGACCTGGTCATGAAGCTCCGATCTCGTCTTCGGAGCTTGCCTATCATCGTCTTGACGTCTCGATGTTTTATTCATATTTAGCTAAACCTTGATCCCGTTGTAAATCGAGTCTGACATATCGTCCTTAGACCTAAACTAAGTTCCCAATTGGCTCAATACACCGTCATCATATATTATATATTTTCTCTACTGAATATAACGCGTGATAAAATTGCTTGAGACAGAGAGAGAGAGAAAGTAAAGGCACGAGAAGAAGACATGCTCCAAGCCATCTCCTCTCAGCACGACGCGCACCACGAGCGGCGGCGCAAGAACTCCCTCGCGAGCTTAACCGGCTCGCTACGGGACAACAAAGTCCACCTCCTGCTAGCGGCCTCCGGATCCGTCGCCACCATCAAGCTGCCCTTGATTATCGAGTCCCTAGCACAGCGGCATCTGCAACGGAAAAACAGCGACAAGGAGCTGAGCATCCGCGTGCTGCTGACGCCGGCCGCCTCGCGCTTCCTCGCGGGCCAGTCCCATGAGCAACCCACCGTGTCGTCGCTGCTGTCTATGCCTTGCGTCGATGGCGTCTACGTAGATGCCGACGAGTGGCGCGAGCCGTGGAAGCGCGGCGATGCAATTCTCCATATCGAGCTACGGCGATGTAAGCATTTCTCAACCACTTCCCTTTTCCCCCTTTTCCCTTCCCCCCCTTTTTTTGTTTCCATCTACGTTGCAGCTTTACTTTTTCTTTTGACTCGCTCACTTAAGAAATATGCTACGTACCTCTAATGTAAACTGACCCGGAAGAAAAGGGGCCGACCTCCTCGTCATCGCCCCCCTGAGCGCAAACACCATGGCCAAGATCGTAGGCGGCTTTGCCGACGGTATCTTAACGAGCGTTGTGCGCGCTTGGGATGCGTGGGGCGAACTTGACAGTGACCTGCTCCTCGCCAACGGCGACCAGCCTCTCCTCAACGGAGATAGAAGGAGGAGAGAGAAGAAGCATATCATTGTCGCGCCGTAAGTACTCCTCGGCCTACTCCCAAGAACTATATACACCAGCGGATCGTCGCTGCAATCATGACTTAAACTCTACTGTGCTAACGCGCCGTCCCCAGCGCCATGAACACGGCCATGTGGCGACACCCCGTCACAGCGAAATCGCTGCGCGTGCTGGAAGAAGAATGGGGCGTCAATCGAAACAGTCGCAAAGCGCAGCAGACCACTGCCACCGCGGAGGAAGGCCACGCGGTAGAAGAGCAGGTTCAAAGCGATGAAGCCGCCGCCGCTGACAACGGCGAAGGTGGCTGGTTCGAGGTCCTACGGCCACAGCAGAAGACGCTTGCGTGCGGCGACGTGGGAGACGGCGCTATGATGGAATGGAAGGATATCGTTGCCGTTATCGAAGATAGGCTCGGCTTGAATGAGTGAATGAGCGCTTCTGCTAATTCGTAACCCTTAAAAAAAGAAAAGAAAAGAAAAGAAAAAGAAAACAGACTTGTGAATTTTCACGAAGTAGTATACCTAGGTAATGCGGATGGGCTACACGTAAGGCAAGGAACAAGGCGTTAGGTTAGGTAAACCAAACAAGGCGTGCTTCTTTTTTAATACGTATTATTAGTGTACTTGCTATTGTACGAAACTCAATATCAACACGGGGGTGAACCCCCAATTATGTTTTTTTTTTTTTCGGTTCCAAAATAACTATCATTACAAGTGAGCATCAAAGATGGAAAAGACACAAGCCCTCTCGGAAAATATTATCGAGATGGATGGGCAAGGCCTACATGTATCCATCGGCAAGGATTGCAAAAGCTCGGGGTAACTATTATACATTTTCCCTCCTGGTGATCATCTCGTCCTTCGTAATACCCGTTTCGTATAACATCTCTGTCGAATATGTGACCTAATGAGGTCAGAATGCTGAATTTTATGTCATTTCCACCTGGTCAAAAGGGAACGAGAAAAAAAAGGTAGTAACTCAAAAGCAAGGCTAAGCAAGGCTAACAACATGAGTGAACTCCCTGCGATGCAAATTTTGTACAATGATGAAGAAACGTGCGGAGCTACTTTAGTAGTATGTGTGAGGTGACTCCTGGTTCTGGTTCTGGCTCTGAAGATCATTTGGATCATGCCGGAACGTACAATTGCTGCCTTTAGCACACTGGCCCTTCGCCCAGAACGAGCACGGTTTTGTGCCGATGAGCGAGCGGTTGATGCTCTTCTGTTCCCTATTGCCTCGGAAATCTCTGCGATTGCCCCGCTCGTTGCTATCGTGCTGACCCGGCGCGGTCGACCCTTGGTTATGCTGGGGTTGGCCGTAGCCAGCGTATCCCTGACTGGTCTGAGATTGCATTTGAGGTTGAATTTGAGGTTGCATCTGGTTCTGGGACCAGTCTGACCAATAGTTCTGAGAACTGCTATGGGAAGTAGCGTCATTGCCAACATTAGTATTGATTTGGGGTTGAGGAAACGCAGGTGCTGAGGCCGTCTTGAGTGCATCTAGAATGCCCTGTAGCCCTTGCAAAGAATTGGCTGGCTGAGCTGGTTGAGCTGGTTGAAGTGATGGCCCTGACAGTTGACCTAATGCAGCAAAGAAAGACTGCTGGTTCATCTGAGGCGAAGGGGCTACAGCAGGCTGCGCAGGCTGAACGCTTGGCTGGAAAGCTTGCGCGGTACTGAGAGCGTTGATCTTCTGCAGAGCGTCTAGGTACTCTGGTGGAAGTTGCTGCTGCACTTGGGTCTGTTGTGTCGCAAACTGTTGCAACTGAGCCGGCTGTTGATATTGCTGGCTAGTGTACGCCTGATGCACGGGGGGCTGGTTAAGGGGCGCTTGATTGCTCATAAACTTTGCGAACGTGTCCTCCAAAGCGTCGACATCTGCTTGGACTTTAGGACCTCCATAATCGTGTCGACGATGAGTCTTGGGGTACGCCGGGTCGAATGGATCTGGATCTACATAATTCTTCACCTTGTCGGATTGTAGCAAGGCAAGCACCTCCGCTGCGTCGTCTCGCCCACTGTAAGTAGGCACCGCGTTAGGAGGATTCATCGAACTATTCAGACGATTCATCCTGTAGAGAGCATTGATTCGTGCTGCCTCGCGTCCATAATTCATGTAGTCAGACCAACGATGCTGAATCTCCGCGTGTTTACTGCTAGTCGCTGACAGAGATTCGTTCCATCGGTGTGGCTCTGATGGCAGAGTTTGAATTTTAGGTTGTGCTATGACCTCCGCGACCCTACCGGTTGGCGATCTAGGCGTCTCGGGAATTTCCGTGAAGCTTGTGTAAATGGACATCAACTCTCGGTTTTCGTACTCTTGCATAACCTTACTTTGCCTGGACTCGACTGGACGCATGCCACCTCTAGAAGTAAACATCTCCTCTCGCCGCTTTTGAGATATCTGGCTCTTTTCATCCGAATAAGGGACAGGTTCGTACCAGTTCTTCAGAGTAAGATCCTTTGCTTTCTCCCGGGTTTCGTCATCCTCTTCGGCTACACCTTGCTTTTCACGTTGGATTGACGCTCTCAGTGCTTGACCTTCAGAACGGTTATCTCGGGCATCTCGCAGCATGCTATCATCGCGTCCTTTATCCTCGGCCGTATCGTGCTCCAAGAATCGGATCTCAGTGAGCTCATCGTCTGGTTTCCAAGTCACATGCAGCTTCCGCCGCGCTTCCTTACGTAGCCTACGCTCGGTCTCCTCCGGGGTTTCGGGGGCTCTCTCTGGCTCTTTAGCTTGCTTAGGTTTCTCTTCCGAATTGATCTCGGCGAGGAGGCCACCAATTGTCGAAGAGGCAGGTTGTCGGGGAGCTGGCTTCTTCGGTTGTACCTTAGCAGCCTGCCGTAGCCTGCCAGGTAACATTGAGCCACTAGGCCTAGAACGAGGTAGCGTGTTCACTGGTGCGCCCGGTGAAGTCGTAGGAATCGTGGAAGTCGCGGGAGCCGCAGGAGTTGCGGTAGACGGTGTCTTAGCAGTTGACGGAGCACCGGCTGCGTTCTCAACGGCAAGTTTCTTTGATACTCTTGAATCGACACCATCATCGCCAGGTCTCTTAGAAGTAGAAAGGGAGGGACTCGCTTTCGTAGTTGTGCTAGGAAGCTTTCTGGCCGAACTCAGGCTAGAATAGTCAATAGGCCTTTTAATCTCCGCGCTGTTCTTTTTCAACAAAGCATCATTTTTGGAAGGGAGTGCCTTGGGCGGAGCTGAAACAGTATCCTTAGTGCCCGAAGATGATTTCTTGGAAGATCCTTGACTGGCCTTCTTGTTATCATCAATCTTTTTAGCATCCTCACGAGCTTCCCGAGCCTCGTCTGTTTTCAATGCAGAACGCTTCTTGGCGTTTTCGAAGATCAAATCTATGTAATGGGTGGATTCTTCATCAAGGTTGTCCTTGAATTTCTGGCGGACGCGGTCAAACTTAATCCTCTCCTTCAAGAAGTCAATCTCCACTGTAACAAATAGTGAAAGTAGCTTTAATATAGCTTTTGGGAGGCGGCCATTGCAGTCTTCGGCGGCCAGAAAAGTTCGAAGTTGGATGAAGAGGTTGCCCAGAAATCTAATGTTTATACCAATTTGGGTAATGGTGAATGGATCACCAAACTTGAGAGCAGCCTCAATGCCAGTACGTATCGAGTCATGCGTGTTGTCCAGATCAGCTTTGAGTGGTTCCACTTTAGCTGGCTCATTCTTTTTCGCGTCGTCGAGCTTGCTCTTAAGGTCTTTGCTCTTATACAACATCTCTAAAATATAATCGCCGAAAGTATGGACCTTCTCTATGACAGATTTCTCGGAGAATTCGGGATGTTTGGGATCTCGCCAGAGGATATTGATGACATCGTACTCTATGGCTTTAAGGGCATCGCTTGGCCGGCCGGATGATTTGATCTAGATCTGCATGAGTTTCAAGGCTGGAAATAAAGCGACAACTATACAAAGATATAAACATTAATTTGAGGCATTGAAAACAACATACCATACGCGCTGCAACATCTGTCGCGCTATCTTCCTGCTCTTGTGTCTCCTCTAAGCTTCCAAGCTTCGAAGCAGAATCCATATTGGAAGCTTGACGTTTCGAGCCTGGTTTAACTTTGACTGGTTGATTAGATGTGGGTGTGGCTTCTACCAAAAAAAAGACATCAGCTTTGCACGTTAAATAAATAAAGGGAATGATGTCAAAATCTCTAATCCGACAAGGAATTCATGCTTACCTTTGAAACCTGAAACGAGAAGAGGTTCGTTTCGCAATTGGTTTATTTGATTTTGGATATTGTCCTTTTCTAATTGGCGTGCATCGGCATGTTCTTTGGTTAGTGCGTCGATCTCGGCCTGAATTTCGCACGGAAGTCGACCCTGACGGTTTGGTAAAAGTCGAAATGCGTGCGTATCATGCTTTGCGACGTACGGCTTTTCTTTTTCCTTTTCCGTGGGTCGTGGTTTTACATCACAAAGTCTGCCTAAATTTGTTGATGGGGGATTCTTTACTAGAAGGAATGGACACCCGTCGGGATTTACCCAAGAGTTATCGGGCACAAGAGTGGGCTGCTGCCCCGTAGGTGCAGACCCCGCAATCGGCGTTGCCTGGGTGCTCTCTTCTGGGGCTTCCTGGGGAGTCGGCAGGATGCCTTGCACCTGTTGAGGATGCCCATAAATTTGATCAGGCTTTTTTTGAATACCTGCACCTGGGCCGGGCAAAAATTGGGCAAGAGTTGCACCTCCAGTTTGATGGCCATGATCGCCTTGATGACCTTGATGACCTTGATAGCCTTGATACGACTGAAAGCTAGGTTGAGCTTGCGGGTTCTCGAAATTTGAATGCACATTTCGAGCACTAAAAAGGTCCTGATTAAAGAGGTTATTTCCTGGATAAGGGCCGATATGTTGCTGAGGCTGCGGCTGTAGCTGCGGCTGTAGCTGCGCTTGAGGTTGTGGTTGGGTGTGATAAGGTTGTTCACCATTACGATGACCATAGTTCATGGGATTTATGTCGAACTCCGATTGAAACTGTTGCATCGGAGCTCCTTGCCATTGCTGGGAACTAAAAGTGCTTGGTGTATGGCCGTGTGTCCGGCTCGGCTGTTCAGTTACGAACTGACCATGGGATTCTCTATTCGCAAATCCATGTTCATATCCAGCGTTAACACTGAAAGGGCTATCATATGGGTGCTCGAATTGATTATGGCCATGGCCGTGGAGAACACCTCCATTTGTATTTGGGCTGGCAAACCCCTGGGGGTTCCCATAATATCGTCCATGACTTTGCAAGTTGGTTCCCTGGAACTGACCTTGGAGTTCGAACTGGTTGACGGGATGGCCGGGATGCTCCTGATGCCCCTGATGCCCAGGATAAACATGGCCGTGAGCGATATTATTGGCTTCCGATGTATGGAAAGCATCGAGTGAGTCTAAGTGGATGGGACCCTGATCGGCTTTGAGGCTGTTAGCACCATATGCGTGTGGTGCCCAAGCGCCGGGATTACCAGCCATGATGGACTGTCTACACCAAGTAGTCCTTCGAAGGTGCACGTGATAGGGAGATGAGCAGAGGCACGTGACTTTATGAAGACACAGCAGGCACGTGATCTATGACAAAGGGGTTAATGTTAGTAACCAAACCAACAATGAGTACAGTGGGGCCAACAAGCCCCTATTGGGGTAAAAATCGACAGGGACCCAAGGGCGTGCATTTATCAAATAACGGAGCTCCAAGAACGAAGAACGAATGAGAAAAAAAAAAAAAAAAAAAAAAAGGCAATAATCGACATGTTTACTTACCAGTATTGTTGACAACTAATATGGTATCTCAATCATAAGATTACAGCATCACAGCCAATACCACGAACGAGGAAGTTGGTCTCCTAACGAGAAAACAGTCGTGAATTGGGTGTGGTTGGTGATGTGATCAAGATGTGATCCTTGCTGTGGCTCAAGGTTGAGGTGTCGATGTAGTGAAATCACAAAATACCCGGGGTGGCTTGCAGGTTGTGTTAATGCCGGAACAGGTATGGGTTGACCGCAGATCAAAGCCACCTGCAAAGAGACAAATCAGTGTTGGCTCTTAGGAAAATCAAAAGTGAGAAAAATGGTTGCACAGGTGAGAAGCAGTAACTTGGATTGGGAGAATGCGGAAAGAAACAATACTGAATGGGAAACTAGGAAAGAAAAAAATTATTGGAGGCAGGCATTTGAACGGAGGGATCGCGGGGACGATGACGGGTCACTACCGGTCATCGTCGTTCCAAAATCATAGGCCGGAGAGAGATCCCAGGATAACCATCAGATCGGCGTTGACGTTATAACCAGAGATGGTCGTCTATAAGTTCGACTCCAGGGCTTTGGGCTTTGAGCTTTCCATTATAGAGGCTCATGCCCTATTTTGACAACAAAACAAGATACAGCCACAACATGGTTTAGCTTGCCGGAATCTCTAGAGGGAATCGGATAACTTGTGATTATAAGTCGAATCTGCATAGCTGGAAATCATGCTGCTCGATATCTAGAGTTGAATTCGAACTGATGAGTATCGCACTATGTGCTTTTCGCTAACTGTCTGTCCAAACCTTTGGTGGATCTGCCGGTTTAAAGCAGTCCCCTATCCCCTATAGAATCGAGGGACCATTAATTGACTGATGAATAGCCTAACAGCAATTCGAGACCAGAACGATCCGATATGCTGCTAGACGTTCATATTCAAAAATTAGGGTATTTTCAGGGAGACTACGTCTCCCTTGAGCTTTTAAGCCTCTTTCACTCTCCGTCCCTTTGCAATATGGGAATTTAGGAGTTACTTTGTTAGATGATTTGGACTGATCACTAGAACTCTTAATGTTCAAGTAGTATCCCTCGGATGCTCTGCTGTAATTCATTGTGAAGATGTGTCCATTCTCTCCGTTTTTCTTTATAAAAAAAATCCTGCTGTTGGCTGCCAACCCAAGCTTCCTACTACCGAAATGCAAATATACTGCTGCAAGAATCGGAGTTCGGGTATGGGCGGAGAAAACCCATAATAGAGTAATCAACCAGGGGCGCACACACATATACAAACATGTCTTCATAAATTTGTGTAGATAATCGTGCTGAAAAGGCTCTCGGAAGGGATAAAAAAACAAAACAAAACAAAACAATGAAAAGGAAAAGGGAAAAGAGGGAAAGGGGGAGTTGATGTTATTATCATACCCTTTAGTCTTAAGTTTATTTCCTGATCAAACGATTGAAATCCACCTCCTTCTGCTGATGTATGCTACTGCTTCTTCTTATGAAGAAAACGGCCTGCTCCTCATGCTCCCATTATTGAGAGATATAATTTTACGATATCAAATATCCTCTGGGACTTAGATGGGAGGAAGGAAACAAGTCTATCTCAAAATGTTCTGAATGAGTGGACGGAAGAAGAGTTTTTTTTTGTTGATTGCTAGCCTGAGTGATCGAGTTGACGAAGCGAGAGCGAGCGACCGCGCGCGACCGGTACAAGTATTTTTTTGAAGTATATGGGCAACTAACCAGGGGGAAAAAAAGCCCTCTCTATGGGATTATTTACTCTTGGATTAGAAGAGAATTAAGCTTAATATCAGAGCTGCAATGAAGCACAATGAAGTGATGGCAAGTTGATGATAGACAAGAGACAATGGTGGAAATTGTGAAAGAAAAAAAAAACGAGACGTGACGGGGCGGGAAAAGGATAGAGAAGGAAAGTTGGCGTCGCAAGCTTTTTGGGGGGCCGCGCGAGCAAAGGGGAAAGAAAAAGCCGCCCAAAGTGGAGCTGAGACTTTCCGCCTATGGCCCTTTGGGGGGGGCTAGAGGTAAGGTATATTTGGTATGTCGGCTTCCTTGTTTCACTGCTGGAATCAATAGAGAGGTAATGCTACATTGATAATCCCGGCTATGTGGTGTATCTTATGTAACCCTAAGTTTAGGTACCTGTATCATGTAGTTACCTCTAAAGTACAATACGTATTTTATATGTGACCATCAGATTAGGTCCACTAAGTGCAATACAATTAGGTACAAGTTAAAACAAGACTTGGTGTAACTATATAAGGTACTTCTTACTATATAGTACACAATAGGTATTAGCGTAATGTACTAAGTGCTTTCTCAGCCACCACGTACAATACCTAATTTATTATTAACCAAACTGACAGTTCTGATGCAAGGCTCTATACTAACTTAACTACACCGACATTGTTCTTATAGTGGTATTAAGACCATCTAATAAAAACCATTATGTTAGGTACAGGTCTCTCTAGCTCTTAGAATTATTTGTATAATACAATACCTACCTCGTAGAGATATCTATTACGCTAAAAGCTAGCGCTAGTGGCTTAAGGTACAAGAACATTGAAATGATCAATGCGTCCAATCAAAAAATAGTACCACAGTACCCGGTACGAAGTACACTTGGATTGGAAGTCGTGTCATTTGTTACCTAGATACGTACCTTACCTACCTACAGTGGGATCTAAGCTTCCAAGGTTCTTCTCTATAATTCAATAACCTCGATGTCAAAGTTACCTACCTAGGTACCTACATCCATCTCAACATTAACACCAATCTCTTCCAAGTTCAATACAGGCTTCTAATAACATTGAATCTTTGAGACCTGGTAATACCTATTTACATGCTATAAACTGGACGAAGCGCCCTAAAGCTAAATACGAGTGACGACTTGGAAGAATAATATCTTGGCATATTCCATAAGTTAAGCGGCGAAGTACACGACACTCTTTACAATTGCTTCATTCCGCTTACACTTGCGTACTCATACACATCCACATTCACACACATCTTCCTCTACATATCTTAAGGCTTATGTACATACATGCATGAATTGGAAGACGCCGATAAGTAGTACATCCTCTTCTGCGACACTGCGCAAGCGTCAAACATAGCAACACGGCGCAAACCCTGCTGTGAATAAAACACACTTTCCCGAGATACTTCATAGCTAGGTACCCAACATATTGTTGACCTTATGGCGGGAGTTAAAGGGAATTCGCTACGCGATCGTCAAATTGGTCCGTCTCTAACATAGAGATCTCCCTCCCTCCCTCTCTCTTTAGCTGTCCGAACTTGGCTAGCTAACCTTCATCATTAGCATCGTTAAAGAAGATCCTCAACCTGAACGAGGCTATCGACCAAAAAGATGAAGACGAGTCGCATGCCAACGGTCTAGCCCCGTCCGGTTCTATATTAACCGCTAATGGAGAGCCCGTGTGGAAAGTCCTCGTCTTCGACGACCTTGGTCGCGACGTCATCAGCAGCGTCATGAGAGTAAACGATTTGCGATCCATGGGCGTCACCATGCACATGTAATAAACCCCTACGGATCAAATAGGTTGCTTGCTATCGTATCACTTGTTAACCTACGGCGTTCACCCAGGCATATAGCCGCGTCTCGGCATCCTATCCCCGACGTTCCCGTCATCTACCTCGTCGAGCCGAGCCCGAAGAACTTAGAAGACATAACGAGCGATCTACAAAAAGGCCTCTACTCCCCCGCCTATATCAACTTCCTCTCCTCCATCCCCCGCCCCCTCCTTGAGGACTTCGCATCGCAAACCGCAGCTGCAGGCACCGCGGAACACATTGCTCAACTATTCGACCAATACCTTAATTTCATTGTCGCGGAACCAGATCTATTCAGCTTAGGGATGCAGAAGGAGCACACGTATTGGGCATTGAATAGCGCAAAAACCAAAGACGAGGAATTAGATCATGTCGTTGACAGGATAGTCAGTGGTTTATTCAGCGTTGCTGTGACTATGGGTACGATATTTTGGGTAATAGCGCCTGATTATTCCCAGGCTAACTGAACATCCCAGGGGTTATTCCAGTTATACGATGTCCTAAAGGCGCTGCTGCGGAGATGATTGCCGGCAAGCTTGATCGAAAGCTTCGCGATCATATTCTCAACTCTAAAGACAACCTTTTCTCTTCTAATACCCGTCCCGCCTCGTCTGCAGGCACCGCCGCTTCTCGCCCTGTTCTTATCATTCTTGATCGGAATGTTGATTTAAACCCTATGCTCTCGCATTCCTGGACTTACCAGTCGCTCGTACATGACGTTCTTAACATGAAGCTCAACAGGATCACTATCGAGACGCCTATAGACGAAGATAATCCAGCGAAGGGGGTGACGAAAAAGGCTTACGACCTGACCGCTACAGATTTTTTCTGGGAGAAGAACTCCGGTGTACCCTTCCCCCAAGTCGCAGAGGATATCGATGCCGAATTGATGCGGTACAAAGAAGATGCGCAAGAGATTACCAAAAAGACGGGCGCATCATCTATAGAAGATTTGCAAAACGACACTAGCGCGAGTGCTCAGCATCTGAAAGCAGCGATAACATTACTGCCAGAGTTGAGGGAGCGGAAAGCTGTGTTAGATATGCACATGAACATCCTTGCTTCGGTTTTAAGGGGTATAAAAGACCGCCAACTCGATAATTATTTTCAGATGGAGGAAAATGTCATGAAGCAAACTAAAGCCCAAATATTGGAGGTTATCAAGGATAACGACAAGGGCAAAGATCCTCTGGACAAGCTCCGCTTGTTCATAATCTGGTTCTTGAGTACAGAACAGGAAGTCAGCCGAGCAGATTGGACCCAATTCGAGGAAGCTCTCACGGCAGCAGGAGTAGACACTACTTGTCTTGCCTATATCCGACAGTAAGTTCCAGCCCCCTACGCTCATCCTCGGTGATCAATTTTCTTCCTTTTCTGTACGTGAGCTAACATCGATTTCTAGGGTTCGGGCCACAACGAAAATGACCCAATTGACAACTATCGGTCCATCTCAGCCCTCAGCTGCGCAGTCCGGCTCGACTGATCTGTTCGGCCGCTTTTCTTCTCTCTCGAGCCGCTTAACTGACCGATTAAAAGAGACCGGTGTTGGCGTCCCGACAAATCTTGCTTCCAACTTTGACTCCCTAATAGGTGGCATCAAAAACTTCCTACCAGCTAATCGCGATCTAACTATTACCAAAATCGTCGAGTCGATCATGGACCCCCAAGCTGCCTCAACATCCGCTATAGCCAAGACCGAAAATTACCTGTACTTCGACCCACGAAGCGCAAATGCACGAGGTAGCATGCCCCCGCCAAGCGCAATGCGATCAGGCGCAGCAGGGAGCACGCCTGGATCCCTGCCTAGCGGTCCGGGAGTTCAAGGTCCTGGAACTGGTGCCAGCTTCGGGCAACGTCGACAAGGGTACACAGAGGCCGTCGTTTTTACGGTTGGCGGCGGCAGCATGGACGAGTACGGTAACTTACAGGAGTGGGTGCAACGGACAGGCGAGGGCGGCCGCGCCAAGAAGAGAGTCGTGTACGGTAGCACGGAGCTCCTAAACGCCCACGAGTTCATCAAGGAAGAACTGGAAAGACTAGGACGCGAGGTCCCGTAGTATGTACTCAGGATAGAAGAGGTCCCAGGATACGGGGATCCCGAAAAAAAAAAAAGGGGTAGACGAATTAATAAATACAAGAAATACAGCCTCAACTTGTTGTCGCTTGTAGCCCGAAGTTTGTCCGATATTGCTGGATCCGTGTATCTGTATCTGTATCTGTATTTGTATCATTCAACAGTGTAATCTGTAAGCTGTTTACGTCGGCAAGAGTCAAAACAAGTTAACTTTCGCTTTTATTGTGATGTATCTTCTGACACCTCGCTACCTAGGTGCCTAGCCTTGCTTCGAGTTGGCATTCGAGAGGCTTATATCGTCCCGTCTCGGATAATTTCGAACAGACACGTATGAGCGAGCATAAACATCCCCTTCTACTTATAATAAAGTCCTTGCGCAAATTATATCACTTAGAAACTCTAAAGATTGATATCATGCAGAAACGTCCTTACCTAGCACAACGAATTAATAACAGATACGCAATAGTTTCGGCAAAAGTATCTCCCCGGGCACTTTAAGGAGCAAGTATTTCGGGCATAAACTCAGGTCATAGCAATTGCTAGTTGTTACAAGCGTTTCTAATTCAATCCTTTACACTGCATCACTTATAGATATGCTTGCACATGAAACATTGAAGAGCCTGTGTCAACGTAAAAAGGCGTTTATGTAAAGAATAATCCGTTCATTGCAGCGTCATGCTACTCTTACACAGCTCAATAGAATTAAGAGACTCCTCTGCGCCAATTGATGCTAACCTCCCCTTCCCTCACCATCTCCCTAATCCAACCAAGGGGCGCGACACTATTTACATACCTAGGTACCTAGTAATCCAAACTAGCCAGCCCATTATCCATCAAGGACGGCTCGGTCGTAGCTTAAGGATAATACAAACACATGTTTCGTTAAATTATCACCAGTGACTCCAACCCTTGAGAAATAACAAGCGCCTCTTCGTTCTATAAGGGGCATAAAGAGTATATCGTGATCTGATGATGCCAGCTCAAAATGTCATTATCCATTCATCTGGGGTTTTCGCTGTACATGTAATCTTCTCGCCCCCCAACCGGATCAGAATTGATCCACGAGAGAATACCCCCGCTACCTCGTAGCCCGGCCTCTGAATGTCATCATGAATTTGATGGATTGGGTATAATTTTACAACATAAATCCGACCATTCCTCGAGTAAACGGGCAAATCGCGAATAAAACCAGGTACTAAGGAGCTTTAGAGATGTGCAACCCGAAGACGAAATAACAAATAGAAGGAGACCCAAATCAATCTTCTAAGTACTGGAAGCTGGATTTCGATCGATGCCGCCTCGATCAATGCCGCCAGTGGTCGAGGATCGTCCAAGATGCGTTTAAGAAAAGCGGTGACGTCGAATAACCAGAGATAGCAATCAAAACTGAATGCTAACGGTAGTATGAAAATTGCCCAAAGTAGCGCGAGGTCGATGGGAAGAACAAGGTAGTGCTCCCGCAAGATGTTATCCATAACCGTCAGCAAGACGAACGGGCGGAAAAACAACGCCCCCAGCCCTACCCCTACCGTCGTCAAGTCGCCGAAGAATCTGTCGAATAATATACGGTGATAGAGACGATAGCGACGTAAGAAATATCCGCAACAACCTCGTAGCCATCGCATAAATCGCAAGGATATTCTGAAAATCGGATAGAAAAGCAAGACTGAGGAAACAACTCGTATTGAGAAGACGATAGTCCTCTAAACATTTGGCGACCATAGAATACGAATGATGATTGACTGGGACCTGTTTGGAATAGAAGCTTCCTAAACACCCCTGAACATGCGGACGATGAGGAACCAGAGAGCTCCAATGAATTTAAAAGCGGAGAGGCCAGCTACACTCCAGAGGATAATCGTCATATACAGCGTTGAGCGTTCGTTTTGGCTTTGCTCTTGTTTGTCGGGGGTCAGCCTCTCAAGACCAGCAGTGCTGAGCACTAGAGCCACGAGACCGAAATTCGTGACCATCCAGATAAGTACGACCAACGAACGGATCCAACGGTAGTAATCCATCTGAGCCTCAGCCTTTTGGGCATCGTTCGGCGGCTTCTGGATCACTACATGCTTCTGGCCGAAGACTGCTAATTCTCTCTCGTACTGGGCATTCAAGTCTCCTTCGTCAGGTAAGTCGGTCTTACCCTTACCGTCCTTAGTATCGACTGTGGGAAGTTCCTCGGCCTTATCGTCTCCCTTAGTACCCCATGATATATCGTGTGTGTTACAGAACGCATAGACGTTTAGAACGTTGACGTAGGTCGGCGTTAGTAGAAGATACTGAATGAAGGAGGTAACCATGTGCCACGGGTCGAACATTATAAGCGAGGCGATAAGCCAGAGCCCATAAGTCGATAGCATAGACACAATGAGCGAATAGAAAAGCTTATTCTTAAATAAGTCGCTGATATTGAAACCATCTGCTACTTCGGCTTGAACCGCTCTGACAGTGATGAAAACGGCGGCAAATGTGAGGTATCTGTGTATCCGATTAGCAAGTTGTGTTAGGAAAACATTAGGAAAACAACACTGGTAGACTTACATCATGATCACACACCAGAAAATAACCATAGCCGTGTATAGCTTGCCGGAACCGGATGGGCGATTACCCATAGAGAGAACGAAGCAGGCCATTAAAGAGATACCGTAAAACCATTCGAAAACAACACCAAGAATCTCACCGACGGTACCTAGCAATGTAGGATCTCCAAGACTTGTCGTCAATATCTTAAAAACTAGGAAGAAATTGCCAATAGCAAACCAGGCGAAGATCATATTGAAGGTCTGGAAGCCGAATTCCAGGAAGAACATCAGCTTACGAAGAATGGAGTGGTCCGAACGGAAAAACTGGTAGAAGTGTGCGATGGCGTAAATAGCGGCGAAAAAGGAACCGTTTAGCCAACGTCGGCGCTGTAGAATGAGTTCGGTTACAGAGTCAGGAACATCCGTTTCTCCTGTTGCCGACTTGACATATTGCAAGATCCAGTGGCAGTTGCGCTTGGTAACCAGTTCAAAACAGAGGATACGATCTTCGGCCAGATACATGTTGGCGGTGAAAACACCAGCACCGGCGCCGTGGAGCGTTTCCCCCTTGAAGTATTTTTCCAGCGGCCCCAATCCATTCTTATCATTCTGCAAAGCGACGTAACGATAGGCCGAGAAGGCACCAGGTAAAACAGAGATGAAGCCAAACGCCGATTCTAGAGGCTTATCGAGGATATTGCTCATCTTGTATTCGAAATTTTGGGTCGCAACGAGTGGATTGATCAATTCCTTTCCACCTCTCCCCAACATCGCCTTGATCTCACCACAAGCTCCGGCGCACATGGGCTCCAGGTCGAACGCCTTCCAGAGATGGTAAATGGAATTGCTGCCTGGCTTAGTACCCGCGTCGATTAGTACGCAGATGTTGGGATCCAAGACTCGGCCAAACGCCTGGAAGAACCATCTGTGCGAATTGATCTTCTTCTGGTTCTTTTCCTTCAAGCAAAATAGCATTTGTACGGGCTGCTTCTTGGGGATGAGCTGCACCACGTCGTTCTTGATTTGCATACCAACTTGCGTTGTGTATTCGTAAATATGCGCAGTAACATCCTTTCCGTTGACTTGCTGCTTCGCAATACCTTCTTGATATACACCCATACCGGAAAGAAGCGCCCTTGTCCGGGGATTGATCTTGGCACGCCCGTCACTTACCACACATACCACTATTTTCTTCCAAGCGTCCGGGCCCCACGTCTTGCTTTCTTTTCGATTACACATGTACTCGATATTTTTCAGAACACCTATCATGGTCCGCGCAAAGAGAATATCGTCTTCATTGTACATGGTAATGACAATGAAAAGCTCAGTATGGCGCGGTTTGCTGAAGAGCTTCTGACGCAAGGTGAAATTCTCATTATAAAAATCGTTCGGGTCACAAGTAGCGGCGGAATATCGCATATGGGTAAATTCGTCACGCTCGCCGTGGGGGAGTTGGTTTAGTAGTTTAGGGGGTACCGGACAGTCGAGAACCAAGTTACCCCGGTACAATAGCACCTGCTTTACTGTTTTCCATCGCTTGATTCCTCCACCTTGCTGCTGCTGCTGACGATGTGGGTCGTCGGCATACGGCTCTTGTGGTTGAGCTTGCGTGTAAGGATCATTCTGGGCTAACATCGGGTGTTGGTCATCGTAATCATATCCATGCTGGTCGGCGAACGGCGTCGAGGTCGGTTGCGGATCGTAAGGTTGGCTATAATACGCATCATGATGTTGCTCAGGGTTGACGGAGAATTCAGAAGGATGCCCGCTCTGGCTATAGGGACCTTGAGAAAAGCTGTCGACTGAGTGCGCCGCATTCAACGGGAGATTATCGCTCGGTGTGTATCTTCCTGGGCCAACAGGCATGTCAAGATTACTGGCAGCCGCCGGGTGGTGGCCATAAGGTACATCGTCGAGCTGATACCCATGCTGCAGAGGATGACCCGGCGAGGGTGTACGACCTATTCTGTGGTTTTCCATAGTAGGATCGTAGTAATCGTCGTCTGAAAAAAATGGTGTTGTTAGAAAGGTAGTGGTTCAAATTTTACCATGTAGGTTGTAATTAATACATGTGTCGGAGTACAGATAGGTACAGTGCTTTCTGCTATGTGCCGCCTGCGTCACAAAAGTCTGCGTCACTTATGACTTGGTAGAACAAAGCAGCAGTAGACCAGTATATGTTCCATACACAACAGTGTATTGATGTTGCTAAAATGAATGTAGGAAAACAATGATTGTATACCAAAAGGCCGTGGTTGAACAGCCCAGCTGAGCGGCAGTGGCAGTGAAAGGGAGGCAAAAAAAGGTAAAAAGGGAAGAATTCCAAAAGTAGGTTGAGGGAAAGTTAATTCATGATACATACCTAAGCGATTATACGACATGGTTTGTGTGTTATTCCCACACGGGAGGGTGGGCACTTCAAGCGGTTAAGTCGTAAGGGGTTGCGACAGAAGCGAACGAGACTCGGCTATACGTAATTGCGATGGTAATGAGAGAGACTTCCAACCTAGGTAGGTAATTAGTGAATGGAATGTACTAATATGCTAATGTGGTGGTACGTACGTGGAATGGGCTCGGATTAGGGTCTGAATGGAGACTCGTCCTGACTCTTCGGTAGATTTGAACGATCCTTAACCCTGAATCGAGATATTTGCGAGTGGGCTTTACCGGGTATGAAGCACCCGTTTCGATAATTAATTATTTTTTCGCGGAACTTTGTCAACAAACTTTGCGACAAGTCCAGTAAAATGTATCCGAGTTACTGGAGATGCATGCAGACGACGGAGACTAAAGGATGTTTGAAAGATCACCGAAGAATGCTTATTTGTCTCCTTAGCCTAGGTAGGAGAGAGGAACGAGGGGACTCGAGGGGGGTTTGAGTGAGGGGACTCGAGAGGTTTGATTGCGCTTGAAGATCTACAAAGAGAAAGGTTGAAATTGGGGAAGAGAATTTGGGTTTTCCGTCGAGTTTCACCAAAAAAACAGAAGATTTGCGACAACGTCGACAGGGCAGCGATGGGGCAGAGACGGGGCAACGACAAGTCGAGGGAAGGATTACCTGGGTAACTAGGTACTTACCTTAAGTAGGTACCCGAACTAGTGCCTACCTAAGTATTGTATTGTACCTATCATCAAGGACTCAAGTAACTTAAGGGCAGGTATCCCGTTTCAGATCAACAAAAGCGGGCGAAGCAACGAATTGCAGGCCGCTAACAACGCATTAAAACCTTGCAGCTGCCTTGTCGAAGAACCAGTACTGCGGTGCAACAATACGAATTAGAAGGGACGAGGGGTACAAAAGGTACAAGGGTGCCAAACAAACACTAACCTTTTTTCCCCTCCCTACCTGCCTACCCCTACCCCTGGTCGACCAGCACCCGTGCAGCCGTGGGCCATCTGATACCGCCCCACTTCTGCCCGTGACGTCGTTTGCTCTTTGGTCTCATCCTCAAGTTCCTTCATTAATAAGGTATCATTATCTTATACATTTAAGACGTAATGGTTTGATAATCCTCGGTAAATTTTAAGCTGAACTTGACTTATTGAATAAGAGATAATAGTTGTCGGATAAGAAAAATAAGCCATTAAGAACCAACGGATAAGAAAGCTGCAGATATGCGCAAGGCAATGTCGCGTAAAGGGAAAAGGATAAAAAAATAAAAAAAAAAAATAAAAAAAGCCAAGCCAGCCTAGGTTCTCCACTCCAGGATCTTGCTGCACAAACAAAAATAGAAACTGATCGAGTTGGAAAAGTTGGTAATCTTCTTTCAGCCACAATCGAGCTGACGACTACGGCTAGGATGACGACGAACAAATGCTTGTTTCTCGCTAGGCAGTAGAATATCTGCGAATACTCGACGAGAGAAAAGAGGAGAGAGTTCGTCTTCGTCTAAGCCACACGTTTAATATACCGATGATGTTCCTTAGGTTGACAAAGCAAGCATTCAAACCGGACTTCACCATATACAGTGCGTAATATCGCCGAGTGTGGCTACAGCTTCGAACATCGCGGGTATGCACATGCCGACATGCTCATGTTGTGTAGCTCACGATACTTCGCAAGAAAAGCCACCCAATAAGAACCTGGAGCGCTGAAGCGGAAGAACGGCAGAGCGGGTACCTAGTTGGTCGCTTACTATCTTTTCAACATGAGTCTAGATTGCCAGCTGTTCTCGTGTACCTAACCCAAGGCGGCCAAGGCAGTTTTGTTTGCGCAGCAATCCAATCGTTGGTTGACGCATTAACCATATGCACACAATCCTACATCCCCAGTTATTTTCTATGGTCGGTTCTGTTATAAGTCCTCCGCCAGTACAGCCTCACGGTTTTATTATCAACGATCCTGGACGAGTTGTGTAATCTGATGTCAATATGGTTAGGCTGAATAAATATCTCCAGGTAATGTTGTCGCAAATTCGAGTGATTCAATACTGCTGCTATTGGAAATCGAAGCTTTTACCGGAATACCTAGCAACAAGTCGTGCAATGATACCTTGCTAATTGTTTGTCCATACTACGCTGTAACACATAGTCATCCAATTTCGAAGATAGTTCGGAAGCGAATTATATGTAACCGCGGTATGGGGCAAATCCATCCAGCTATATGTCTACTTGCCTCCTATACACATATTTTTTGCTAACTTATATCTAAGGCAAGTAGACGGAATATCGGGTTACGTTCCACAGATAGAAAGTGCTCTACGACAACACATGCCCGAAACTTCCCCATATTTTCAAGATAGGCTATACATGAAGCATGCTCCCTCTAAGAATAGCCATATGGGTTAACTATCTCTAGTTAACAACTTTCAACTAGGTATTAAACATGTAGGATATAATGGGAAACTCAAACCTAACACTTTGGGCTGGTTAGAGTTGTTTTGATGCCACTTTACAGACTCAAACAAAAAAGTATTGCTAGTTGAGACGAACACCGTTTTTTATATTTATTGTACATAACCTACGAAAGCAGTGTCTTCAATGCTATATTACAGCAGAACTTCGGCCAGAAACCGTCCTATTACAAGTTCTATTCAGCAAATACCCTTTCCAGAATAAGACCCTGGGGAATAGAAAACCTCAATGGCAGGCTGTAATGGGGGCTGAGTAGGTGCCATATCCGATGCGACCAAATTAGAAAATAGCCCTCGGCTGATTCCTCATCCAGAAATGGCGAGCTGGCTCTTCTAGCCCAACGATATCTTTATTCGCTACCCTTGCAAACCTGGCTAGGCCTAGGATTCGTCTTATTTTTTCAGCTCCTTCTGGCCCCCAACTACTCAACTGGGACGAATAGTACCTTAGCGATTTTTTCTTTTTTTATGATCAATTGGTCCGCCGGTATCTCACGTGCATCTCACTGGCACGATATCTGACTGCATTGGTTCTCCGCCCTTAAGAGGGGCTCCGAACCCCAGTCTCACGCGCCTCCCCCTTAGTCAACAACAACAACAGCATGTCTCTGTTCCTCGGGTCGATATGGATCGTACGGTGTTCAGATTGCGGCAATTACCCCTCGACTTCGACAGGTTGGACGCTTTACGGGTACTAAGCACGGCTCTGGTTCTTGAGACTTCGGCCATTCAGATTTTCTCTCTGGCCCGCTCCGTTGACCCATGGCTCCCTAGCAAAGTGGCAACCTTGATGTTCGATGATACCGCCGGTGTGAAGGGCGTGCTCGAAAATGGCGATAATCCCAATGTCACGAAGCGGGGTGATGAGTGGTGCATTACGGCTGATAATCTACGCGACGATTTAGTTTTGGATGCCCACTTTCGTGGCCTAACACCCTTATATGATCCAGACGTTCACGATGCTGAGTAAGGCTTTCATATAATTTATATATCTCAAATTTAACAGCTCATTATCTTAGTTGCATTGCGATATCAGGGCTTGCGAGCCATCCTTTCGGCTCTTGGCAGCCGAAAGGGCGCTCGAAGTCATTCATGTGGATTCGTGATGCTTTGCCGCAGTCATTACGGAATGTACGGCCTATTCTATATGGCTATGATACCACTCTCGTCGAGAGCTTGTCTTTCCAGACCATATTCGATCTTGCCCTGGGATTAATCAATCAACTCAAGGCTAACGGTTGGACGTTACCAACATGCAAGCCTCTCGTTTTCCTCGCTCATAGCTTAGGAGGAATTGTCTTGAAGCAGGCATTCGTATCACTGGCGAATAAGATTGACCGTGATGACCCAATTCGCCAGGCGATAAGAGGAGCTGTGTTTTTCGGCGTTCCTAATCTGGGCATGGAGCAATCCCACCTCATGGCAGTCGTGGAAGGCCAAGCCAACGTGCAACTTGTCGAGGACCTTTCAGTTCAGTCCGAATACCTTCGACAGTTAGATAAACAGTTTAGCGGTATATCGTACCTTCAAGATGCCTTACTCTACTGGTGCTACGAAACAAAGAAGTCGCCAACTGTCGCCGTAAGAATACTTGATACTTTTTTAGGCGTTTACATGTTGACTCTTTGTAGCTAGACTCGAATGGTAAATGGTCAAGGACAGGACCCAGCGAGATATTAGTGACGCCAGATTCTGCCACACGCGGGTTATACGGAGCAACAACGCGGTCAGATGCTGTATACCCGATTAACGAAGACCATTCAAATATGGTTAAGTTTTCCCAGAATGATCCGAACTACTCGGTAGTAGTACAGAAATTGGTGCAGGTCCTCTTCTCCAGAGACTCATCTCCGTCCGATATGAGCGATACGGAAACTCTCGTACTCGAATCAAGCATAATCCAAAAGGTAACGAGACCGGAGTTAAGATCAGGTCGGAAACCTAGCCATGAAGGTAAGTAAATCGCTATTTCATTATAAAAGATGGCTATTGGCTTATACCTAACTAGCTATTCTGAGCTCGCTCTATGTACCCGAAGGAGATCGTCGATTTGAAGAAATCGAAGAGAAATTTGAGGACACATTTGACTGGATCTACGACCAACCAGACCCCGGCTTTAGCGAATGGCTTCAGAGCGGGGATGGTCTCTTCTGGATCAACGGGAAGCCCGGTTCAGGAAAATCAACCTTGATGAAGTTTATATGTGGAGACCAGCGTACCGCGGATCTGTTATCGGACTGGAGAGGAGAAAGCAGCTATATCATCGTGTCTTTCTTTTTTCACTATCGCGGAACCTCGGTGCAAAAGTCCTTCGAAGGCCTCCTGAGAAATGTACTATCCCAAATCATCTCGAAAAATCCACGGCTTGTAAAGTTTCTTCAATCCTTATTCGACCCTCAAGAATCTTTACACCCGAGGATGTGGACATTGCCCGTTCTTCAAAAGGGGTTCAATAATATAATACGACAAGACGAGATACCGTTGCATCTTTGCTTGTTCCTGGACGCACTTGACGAATATGATGGAAGATTGGAGTTTATATGCCGATTCCTCTTGGAACTAGTCGAGATTCCCCCTACGCACACGAAACAGATTAAAATCTGTTTTTCTAGCCGACCTTGGCAAATATTCATGAATGCGTTCAAAGATTGTGCCGGGTTCCAGATCCAAGATTTCACGCAAGAAGATATCAGGGATTACTGTCTTGGATCTATCAGAGAAGAAAGCCTATCATCTGTCATACTCGAGGATTTAGTCCCAGACATCGTGGCTCGTTCGAGGGGCGTTTTCCTATGGGTAAAGTTTGTGGTCAAAGACCTTGCCCACGCTACGAGGTCTAGTACATTGGACAAGGATGATTTAGAAAAGTTACTAGAGTCTTTCCCGGTCGAGCTCAACGCTTACTATGCCGAGATTATCGAACGAATCCCGCGGGCGTATAGATGGAAAGCATACGCCATGCTCGAAGTTGCCGTTCGATCTAAAGATTCTTTGGAACCCGTAACATTTCTTTGCGCCGTTTTCTGTTCAGACTGCAAGACTATCAGAGAAGGTCGTGATGTTTTGACAAGGGTACGCGAGATAAACAATAGCACTGTTGTTGAGTCGCTTGCAATGGAAGAGTCAAGGAAGTATTGTGGCGGACTGATTGAAGTTGTTAAAGGAATCAATGGCAACTACGTCCAAGTTCTTCACCAGACCGTAGAAGACTTCGTAACTGACCCAAAATTTAAGCAGCGAGTGCTCGGGAACCTAGCAAGAATTACAATCGAAAATGGCAATAATTTCCTAGCCAAATGCTACTTTCTCATGTACGAGACTAAGGACGATCCGTTCCTCAACCACATCCACCTTATGACGATCCCGTCTACTCGGATGCAAGTTAAGCAAGCCCTCATCAACGGGACCTACGCACGTGCCGCTGAACATGTCAGTGGGCGTAGTATGAAAGTATTCCTCGGCAGCGTTTCGCAAACAGTTTACAAGAAAATATACGCGGAATCCGACTTGAAGATAGAGACAACACTTGAATACGCTGCCTCTACTGGGCTTCGCTTATACTTGGTCGAATCCCTCCACGACGATCCTAACGTTTTGCGAAATTCTAAGCATCAATTATTGAGCTGCATTATTAGGTCAGCAGCCGATCCAAAGGACGAAGAAGTAAAGCAAACGGTCAAGCTACTGTTAGAGAACGGGTTTACCCCGCATAAGGATCCGATGGCATTCGGCCTCTGTGCCATGAAGATGCTCCGAGGCGACGGCCAATATAGACCAGTCGACGATGACCTGAATCCGCTTCTAAGGTCTCGTCATATTGACCTGATCGAGCTCCTGCTGGATCATGGGCAGGAGCCTTATATCAGCATTCCTACCGTCTACCGCAGGCAGAACGTCAAGAGTACGCTTTTACACGTAGGACCATTCCGAGCGGTGAAATTACTCCTGGATAAGGGGGCTTCTGCGAATTTGCTGGATTCCATGGGAATGACACCCCTTGATCACTTTTGTGCAAGGAATGCGCTGAGAGCTCCGAACTGGTTCCAGGCATACGAACATTATAGGCGACAGCACTGGGAGCTGTATAAGTTAACCTGCCTCCTCACGTCTCGCGGGGGCACGATAAAGAACACAAGAGTAGAGTTTTGGGAAGAGCTTTTAGATGGGTTTTCGGAGTCAGGATTTCCTACCGAGGATTTACGGAGGAGTATGGACACCGCAATTAGGCAGCTATCGGCATCATCAAGACGGTCGTTTCAGCGAAGTCCCAATCAGGACAACGAAAGCGATAGAAATGCACAGGGGAGACTGTCTTTACAACCCCCATCTCAACGCCACTTTCACGGGTCCAGTATCCATGGGTCTAGTATTGACGAGACGCTCGCAGAACACTCAGGTCAAAATTTATCCGTGCCAGTGCTCGGGGCGCAAGGGATGCAAACCCCTGTTTCGGAAGAGCAGCCGGGACATCATTCGGAGCCCGCATTCCGACAGTCGCTGATGTCGCCAGACATACCCGACATACCGCCGAAGCGATCACTCAGGCTAAAAATCAAGAAGTTCATCCATCGTCTAATACGATAAATTCCTCACGTTCTCGCCCCTCGGAGCTCTAATATTGGGGCAATCCTACCGGACGAGTCTAATTAAACAACCTGTCTTAATGATACTTTCAGTACCTAACGTATAGCTAGGTACGCGTGTATATAACCCTTCTACCTTCCATCAACGGACCTTTAGATTCGCACGTTCCATATGGCTTATATGCCGTTTCTTCAATACTTAATCAGTGGATCCCAGGTCCACATCCGGAGCCCACGACCCCTTATTACACAAAATCGGCCCCACCATCGCCCGGCTCCGTTCCGTACTCGGTACCTAGTTCCACTATCTCACCTCGCCATAATGGCCGAACGTTAGGGAGTCACGCTTTAAAGAGGGAAACAGAGGGCATTTAATGATAAAGAATGTATTAGTAGAATCTACTGCATGGCATGTAACACATAAAACCCGAGGAGGGACTATATAGGATCCCTCTTATGTAATTTGAAACCCTGCCCCCGGAGAGAAGGCAAGGAAAAGCTCTTATAACGAATAAATGTACCAAGTTCCGAACAATTAAAATCTGTGTGCCAAACCGAAACAACGCGTCTCTAATACATACCTAGTGTCAATCCTCCGTATATGTCTCAGTCCTGCCTGAAGTTACCTGTCAAACGCCGTCCAAACTGACTACCTCAGACCCATAGCACGCTCAACTCATAGCAAATCAGTCTCTAGTCCAAACTGCCACTGATTGAATCCAGACGAGTTCTGAGTGGGGAAATTTCCATAGGGATTATTGGAAGGAGGCGGGGGTGGGGGAATAGCAGGCGAGGCTATGCCTCCATTCATCGTAGGCATCGCGTGGTTGTGGGGCTGGAAAGTCCCATGCAAGGTAGGCGGACCGTGACTCTGGGCTTGGTGAGACGGTGTGGGAGGAGCATGAGGAGCAGGCGGAGGCGGAGGTGGAGGTGGGGCAATAGACGAGGCCTGAGGCGCTGGAGTGAATCGCTGGTTCCGGGATGAGGCTCGAGGCTGAGGCGGGAGCTGAGGCGAGAACTGAGCCTGCGAGGCAATAGCGAACTGAGTGCTCTGGCATGCAGCTGGAGGAGCTGCCGTAGCCCGGCTCGAGCCATGGACAGGAATCGGGCTCGGGATGTTCGAATTCGAAGCAGTTGCCATGTTGTTATGCAGCTGAAGCGGCGATGGGTGCTCGGACAGAGCACTCATACCCTCGAACATCCAGTTGGATGTATCGGGGTATAGCGTCAAGAAGATACCGACCTGGGCTAGTTCCGCAGTATGCTGTTTTGATAGGTGATTCTTGAAGTGTCCAGGCTTTTGAAACCACATGGGACAATAGGGGCAGCGGAAGGTGGGCACTCCATATGGCATGACCATCCTAATCAAGAGGGAAGGTTGATTCTCCGCCGACGGTGCAATGGAAGACATGATGATATAGCGTTTAGTTCTTTGATATGTGTTATGTGTTGAAAGGTAGAAATGTTGGCTGTGAAGAGGTTTGGTAGTGAAGGAAGTCAAATTGACAATGAAGCAAGTCTGAGCTTTTTGAGTTGTGGTCCGGAGCTTGTCTCTTCAATCATCTCGACCATAGCGACGCCGTACTCTTTTATATATACAGGACTGTAAACCAAATCTTCCCTAAGTTATTCTCATATTAACTTGGGCCTCAAGAACAGTACGCTGGCTCCTCACCGAGCACCTCATTGTCACGGGAGGACACCATAGTAGAGAACATGGTAATTTCGATACTCCGTTTTAACTGTTTCGACGAAGGTGGCTACCGTTATGCCTCTCAATACAGGCCAGAATGGTAGGATTTATCCAAATGCGAAGAAACTGCTTGGTACAGCTGACCTAGAATTGAGGCATGATCTTAGCAGGTTCACCGAGTATCCTCCGTATAGAGCAAAGTTTTAAAACTCGTTGTATATCGAACTTGCAAGTTAATCCACTTGGGTGTACTGTACGCGAGTTGGCAGATTTAATTGCTGCCATATGATGTAGAGTATTCGCGCACTTGGGGTGTTTCGACCAAATAGGCCAAAGCCAGGTTTTGTAGTTCCCTGGCCCGAAGTCAGGGGAGACTTACCAGACCATTTTCGAAGTAATTTGTACATATTGAACTTAGGTAGACTTTCAACTACCTATAGCATAGCAGCTCCAAATGGGGGGTAGCTACATAAAAGGTAGGTAAAGCATCAAGTAATTAGAAAAATTCGCTACTTCAATCAATTCAATTTCCTAAACTCATGTACTATTAAATTTCATAACTTATATCTTTGCTCTAGTGCTTATCCCACGGTGAGTATCGAAGCACGGCAAAACTATTGGTCTAGAAGGACTATTTAGCGCCTAGTATCACATCACAGCGGTTATCAGTTTCTACGCCGAAAGTCCGTCTGGTAAAATTTACGAGCAAAGGCAAAACAATGTACCTGCGCGCTATCGCAAGTGATAATTTCAAGTGTATGAGGTGCATACTACACTGCGCATCTGATCACTATCAGGGAACGAGCCAGTAAGATGAGAACGCGTTCCAGTTATGTACCTTGCTTTGCGATCGGTGAAGGATATGCCGGAAAGCTCTTTTTACTACAACTTGCGAAGTTCAATCATCTCAAAAAGACGTGATAGAATATGGAGGGGCTCTCAGACGCGCAAGAATATTTAGGGTAGATTAATTAAGCTAACCACACCATTGGGTCTAATAAAATAAGGAGGCCGTGTATTGTCGAGTGGCCGAAGACCATGTGAACTAACGAATTAGGTTGTTAAAAAGATTCAATGCTGAAATGTATTCGCCAATGGTGGATTTAAGGATAGTTACTTCAACCTCCACATGACGTATGACTTTGACTATTCGCCCCCTAATGGACGGGCTTAATTGTTAATGTTGTCAACGTAATAACTTGATTACATTCGTGTTGTATGCTGTATGCCTTATAGTTGATTAGGGCTGTGCATGATATTACGCTTCTGGAGGCTTGTTCAAGCTCCCTGCGAAATATTCGTCTTGCGATAGAAACTCAGTGCGGTTGTACTCAGTACCTTCTATGAGAGAAGGGAAGTCCATGAGATTGTCGGATAATATCTCTGTAAAGTCGAAATTATCCGGATACATTTGATCGTTCATCTTATTTTTGTCAGAAGCTTGACACTATCTAATATGTGAATAAAACTTACATTTACTTCTAGGTTGAAGACATCTTTTGGATTGGGAAGATCCGGTATGCAATTATGTTGGGCCGGAGGCTGGACAATGTCTTCTCGGCCCCGGGGAAGTTGTGGTGTTTCCACCCGAGACAACGCCGGTAAACAAGGGATGGGTGAGAAATTGCAAGTATTAAACGATGCGCCGGACTTTGAAGTATCTTGCGAATTCTGTATTTCATGAATTAATTGTTAGTATTGCTCAAAAGGTTTTTTTTTTTTTTTTTTAGGATTGATCGCGATGTGAGAAGTAATGCAGGTAACTGACCTGCGTCTCGTCCATGCTTCGTTCAGGGAGTTTCGCAGCATCGATAGCACGCTGGATCGCCGCATCGTCGAGGCCTTGGTTATGGAGTAGAGTCCGGAGAACCCTGTTTTCTTCTTGAACTCTCTTGGCCTCCTTCTGCATCTCTATGGTGGCCCGGGCCCCTAACCGCAAACATTCATTCCATTGCTTTTCTAGATTTTGGATGTATGCCTGTTTCCTCGCTCTAGAATTCCGCTGGTTGCGCCGCAGACGCGCGCGCTGATCGCACAGGTTAGCCCAAAACATCACCAGCTAATACTGCTCCCATTATAATAAATTATAATATATTTCCTCTATAACTAACCTCTGCATCGACACTAGCGGTATTTGGCTTTCTCGAGGTAGTTCGATTATTCTCGCTCATCGTAGTTAAGTGCCTCTATGAAATTTATGATCATCAATATCGAGTCCAGCACAGTACATAGTAGGTACCTTAGTACTTTGTGGATTGCCTGCAGGTGGTGCAATGCAATTAGGTACCTGGATTAAGTACGATATTTAGTGGTATTTTAGCGTTTAGCAGTGGGGGTACCTTCTAAAACTGTATGCGTCACGGTACAAATACAGTACCAACTTACCATACAACCTACAACCTGCTGGCAGCTGACTGGCACGTGATAGCCTTGTGAGCCACCATATCTGTTATGTACCTCCTAACGCTACTACATATTATAGTAGTTACGGTAGAGTCTCAAGTTCTTCCCTAATGTAACGTACGTTCGATTCGCGTCCGATTCTACATGACCTCTATAATAAGCTCTATAGTTGAAACGATGAATAGGTCCTTTACCTGAAAGTGCCAACAGATATGAATTCATATGTCTCATTCCATCGACACAGAAGACCCATGAGAAATAAAAGTTGAACCTGGTGTATTAGTTAGAAAATAGAAAAATTCGTGGCATACCTCTCTTCCATATCACATAATATAAGCCTCGGGAGTATCATTATCTTAGATAAACCAGAAATAATACTCATGTGCAAGTACGACTAGTGTGATATTCGTATACCTAGATAGGAGGCGCCTACCCAAATCAAATGATTCAAGTAAGGTATATTGTAGTGAACCTAGTAACGCCTGGTCTTCTATCCTCTTACGAGGGAGCTAGCTACCTTTGATGCAACCGGTCAGCCCCTATTCTAGCCAGTCTATCCCTGTATACCCCCATATCCCTGACAAACTGCGTGAGGAGCTACTTGCTATACACGAAAACACCTACTCTCATGTCACTCCCAAGCATATACATATACGTTAGGCGGGTAGCTATGTACCTATATAGCAGCATAAATGTCACAGCACTTCAAGGATAAATCATCACTCGCAGGTAAAAATCGTGTTCAGACTCGAGTAAAGAAATCCCGTATCTCCCTTTTCCCGTATCCCCTTTTTCCTGTGTCCCATTTTTCCTGTACCCCCCTTTTCCTGTATCCCTCTTTTCCAGTCCCCTTTTTCATTATCCCATCCACTTATCCTTCTCTAATCCCCCCCAAAACTTATTGTGAGCCACAGCTGCTTCCAGACACCCGATGTACTGGTATTAGCACATATTGACTGATACCGCCGATCTGCGCAGTATTAAAATCACGTGCAAAGTAGGCCACAGGAAGATCTGACGCAGATCCCACCCGGATAGTGAGTGGCCCAGTTTGCGTCGACGTCCCCCCTAAAAGTTGATATGACAGGTGTGTGGAGCAAGCTGTTTGAGCTACACAATGAAAATGCCTTGTGGATTTGTCCATGTAAAGAAATAAAAAAGAAATAAAAGATACCAATCCTCAGCAAAGACTTGGCTAGCGCGATCGTAAGAGTCCGGAAGATAGCCATCAAACCGCTACACTGCCAAAAGGTAGATCGAGTTGACGATGCTATCTTCACCTATAAGGACAGTGCCGTGACAGCGATAGAGCAATCCTCCGATAACGTCGCGAAGCGTGAGTTGGTTTGAGAGACGAGCAAAGAGAATGAGCGGATGCATTAGGACAGGACATCGTTTGTGGAGAGTTGATTCGTTCGGGCTTCTTGGCTGTTCAACCCCAGTTTGGATCGAGGTAGGATTACCACTGAACCTGCGTTTCGTAGTATATGGCCCATTTCTCTCTATCGGCCTCAGACATAGGCTCATCGCCCGACCAATCTATCGGGTTATAGGCCTTGTTCGAAGCCAAGATCTCGGCTCGCCTGCTCGCTCGAGTGATTGCTCCTAGAGTGTCTTCGGGGACGATTTGGACTTCTGGGAAGTCCCTCAACAGTGTATGGAATTCCCAGTCTAATTCTTTGTCAGTATGGATGTCTACTTCAAAGACTTCTCGTAACGTGTAAACTATTACTTACCAGGTAGGTCTTCATTGACCCTCTCCAGCGCATCTACAAGGTTTTCTTGTATTTTCTTCTCGGCGTTCTCTTCCAGAAGGAGTCCGCGGTTCCCATCATGAATCAGATTTTCGATATTTCGCCGATCAGAATAAAGCCAAATGACGCGCTTTTCGTGTCCTTCGCAGTAGTCGTCTCTATAATACCGCCAGGCGTGGACGATTCGTGCGATAATCGCGATAGATACGAGATAGTAGGCTCTACTGAGTTTGTCGACGTCTTCTTTTCCGAACCATGTGGCATTATGCTTTTCCCAGTCGCGTTCAATAGCTTTGTAATAGCAATGTAGCGATGTTTCTTGCAAAAGGAGGTGCCTGCTCCTGGCAACGAGCATTGTATCTCGCCCTCAAATGCCTACAAACATGTGAGCAAGCTGATAATATTGGAAGGACACATGTATTTGAGCCATGGATAGAAGATCTTTACGGTCGCCATATTGTATCGCCTTGTCGTTATCGCGAATCCAGATCTCCATAAATGCTTCCGTGATTTGTCCCACCCATGTAAGACCTCGATAATGAGCAGGGCCGAAATGTTCTTCAAGGCAAACGTCTTGATAGTTCGTCTACGTGAGGTAGACATATAGATACTTACGTGGCACATGGCTAACGAATTGCTAGAAGAGTCTGTCTTTGAACACCTCGAGTAACCGTATTTGAATCGATAAGGGGTAACCTATGGTTTGCGTAATAAGAATACCTCTGGATTTGCTTTGTTATAGTGTCAGTCCCATCCATTCGAAGCACTATGCATATGATGATATGATGATGACACTCACATTCTTCGCTTGACCAGGCTGTCCGGATAGAAGGTATGATAGGAGAAAGGGAAAAAATGAGTCGAGGAGGTACCGAGGATAACCTTTATATAGCCCATCTTGAAGTCTTATCAACAACTCACGCACCTAAGGTACGCGTATGTTTCCATAGCAGTGGTCTGTGCATGCGCACTGAGGTCCGCAAAGTGCGCATAACACCATATACCGCGTCGTGTACGCGCAATAGAATAATAACAATGATAACAATGGTGGGGTACGAGCGTGTTTAATGTGTTGAACTAAAGAAGGAACTTAACAACAGGAGTGACTGTGTGGCTCTTGACGTGTAGGAGATAAGGGCAATAATAATAGAACGAGTGACATTGTTTACCGGAAGCCTGGAGTACCTAAGGTTTGGATCCGCTAAGTGGTCGATATGCCTTAGGTAGTGACGCAAGCAAAGTTAACTCATAAAGATGGCTGGTGGTTAATCTTCCAATGAAACGTGACGGTCAAAACTTGATGGTCAAAACTCTGCAAATTTGGTGCCTGGAAATATAAGGTTTCTGCTTGTTGCTACGGCTTCCCTAATGACGGGGCTGCCTAAATGTCCTCTTGCATGTTGATGCCTGCCTACCCTAGGTACCTAAGGTTAGGTACCTAGCTTTAAGCAATATCAAAATGAGAACACATATAACGATTCGTGCACCTAGGTATATACTCAAGTTGACTCTTGCTTTATCTCGTGGACCTACATTCATAGGGTATCTAGAGAGGCAAGATAAATGAACATGATCGCTAGAAGAGGTTAAATATGAAACGCCATAATTTGACGCAAGCCCTCGTTGTTTTAGTTTTCATTTTTGCCTTCTAGTAATATCCATGCTAGATTGTAACCTCGCTGTACAGCGGTGTTTATATAGAAGTTTAGAGTTTGCTACGTTAACCTAGGAAGCTGATTAGCAAGTAATTAATTTGAGTGTTGTTTACGTTTGAAAAAAAAAATAGCTTGTTAAAATAGAGGTATGATTGATCAAGCTAAGTTTCTGAAGGTTATTTGCTGCCTAAACGTACCTGTTACAACGATTAGACTAACTGTAAAGTAGGCGAGTATGGATTGAAACTCTGGAGTTGTTGTTGTTACCTGAGTTCTGATAGCTTTGTTTATAAACACATGCATGTCCTTGCATTTTCTCTCTATACGACAGTAAACACGGCTCGGAAGCTATATCCCCCCCCCAAAAAACATAGAAACCTAACACATTGGAATTATTGAATTATTTACCTATTACTTAGAGCCTCTCCTTCCAAGTACTTCTCTGATATCCAAATTGCCAAATAACTAAGTGCCTCCCCGATCCGCGTATATTAACCCATGCCCAAATTTGAACACCGGGTCTCTAGTATCGAACGGTACATCTTCAAAAGACTCCTCAGCAGCTTTGTTCGAACGCGGTAAATCGTACGGCAGTTTCCCTTCGGGCTCAGCAACACCGAATACGATGTCGAGAAACGCGTCAGAACTACTTCCAAAGCTAGCCAGCATGGCCACCGCTTGTTCCGCAACCTCAGGTACCGCAGCCGGTCGATCTAGCATCATATCGACGATAGTGGGTACCTTCGAGTAGATAACGGCTTGCCGTGCCCGTTCCTCAGCTGAGAACTCGAGAGAGCCGGCGTGGAAATATGCCTCGATTCCATCTAGTCGCGGCTCGTAAGGAGCAGCTAGCCGCAGGAGGGCGTAGTCAGCGTCCTCGGGCTTGTCCACTACTGCGTAACTACGATTTTGCAGAAACATTGCATTGAATCCTTCAATGTAGAACTTGGTTTCCAGGCCGACCTTACGAAGCGGCAAGGTGTCGTTTTTGTTGGTAAGTAGCGTGTACGAGCGACGCTGGGCGTCGTTGCCTAAGCTTACGAAATAATCGTTTCCAACAATCCGGTCAGCAGCCTCGGGGTCGACAAACGGGTTGTCGAAAAGACCTAGGATGAACTTCTCGCGCAGCAGCTTTCGCACAGACACGTCGAGACGCTCTTCGCTTACGATGCCTTCCTGGACCAATTGGACGATCAGCTCGGGGCGCGTTTCGCCGCCGAACTGGTCGCAACCGGCCTCAAGGATGCGTGTGACTCTCTCCAGCTCCGATAGATTCTCTACTCCCCAGGCTCGAGCAGGCGTATATTGACCAAGGAGATAGGTATCAGTAATCAAACCCCAGTCTGTCAAAACCACACCCTCGAATCCGAGTTCGTTGCGCAAAAGGTCTGTTACGATCCCCTTGTTGAACGAAAACCCTACGGGTTCGTATTGAGTGCCAATTGGACGACTGTAGTACGGCATCATCTGGCGGGCGCCCGCAGCGATAGCCGCTTTGAAAGGAATGAGATGGTGGTTGAAGTTATGTCCGGGGTAAGTCTCATTCTTCCCGTAGACGAAGTGGCTGTCCTCACCATTTTCCATCGGCCCTCCGCCGGGAAAATGCTTTGTCACGGTACTCACAGATGTAGGACCGAATTCCTCGCCTTGGAAACCCTTGATGTATTCGGTAAGGAGTTCAGCAGTTAGGGTTGAATCCTCACCGAAAGTTCCAGCAATTCGTGCCCAGCGCGGTTCTGTCGCCAGGTCTACTTGCGGGTGCAGCGCAGCACGTAGTCCGACGGCCATATATTCCTCGCGGGCGATCTCGGCGAATTTTCGAACTAGCTGAGCGTCTCGAAGCGCGGCTAATCCGAGAGTCTCAGGCCACTGAGAGAAGCGGCCTGCGGCGAAACCAGTTCCGATGTTTTCGGTAAAGTGGTGCCGAGGATCAGAGGATAGTGTGACGGGAATGCCAAGGCGAGTCTCCAGAGCACGTTTCTGGACGCGGTTGTAGAACTCAGCCGTCTGCCGGGCGTCGGTGATGTCGCCAACGAGGTTGAAATATGTTAAGTATTGAGTCCCAATCACGAAGTCTGTGCTATTTCCGAGGAAATCTTCACCCCCCTCGTATAATGTGCCATTAGGACCCATATACAGCATTGCATGAAACATCTGGCCAGCTTTCTCCTCGAGGGTCATCCGCTGAAGGAGGTCGTCGACTCTATCGTCAATACCCAGGGAAGAATCTCGATAGGCTGGGGTCTCTGTGCCGTTGCTGATTGCACGACTGACAACCGGATGTCCAGGCCCGCAAGGTGTGGTTAAGCAGAAGCCGTTGAGAGGCCATACTGACAGCGCCAGTAAGGCAAGTAAAGGAGAGGTCATTGCGCTCTGTGAAATTTGAGAGAGGATTTATCCTAGAACGGCGGCTCTATGCTTAGGCTAGATATAGAGATCCCAAGGTTGACCTCTCCCAGTTCCTCCCTCCCTTCTATATACTGAATCAGGCCTTTTCGGCGTTTTCGTCGGCCCCGAAGACCCAAACAGGGGTCAGTAAACTGAACCATAGAAGCAAAATCTCGCTACCAGCCGTTCTTGCTCAGCTCTATTCGAGAAGTGGCTTAAATAGCCTATTTTTATCAGTACTTTAAGCACAAGCCATATTTAACGGAGAACCTATGCAACACTGCCTTTTGATGCAGTTGGCGATGGGAGATGGTGTGGACGATACCACGCTCTACTTCGGGGCATACTACGCAGTTCGTCATCTCGGCACACGTGGTTTCACTCCGATTATTGCTTCTCCGCACCATTCCGCGTAGACAGAAAGGCGTTCCGGGGTAGAGTTTGCGGAGACGGTTGGAGAATCCAGGCGGATGGCAAATGTCTGCCCATTCCGACACATCTTGGGCGGAGTAGAATACGAGTGTTTGGCACTGAAGAACGATGGCTATAACAAGGATGTTAAAGAGGATTTTTGGGCAGTGCAAGAAAATGTTCGGTAAATCTTTTAATACGAGACTGCATTATTTTCTAAATTGTGTCTATATGATCGTCATGTGTAGGTACCTACCTACCTGGGTACCTATTTATAGTGTCCCGGAGACCTTGTTGCTTTAAGAGTACTTACCCCCTATTATCGTGTTCTATGGGCGTAATATCTTGTATACCCCTGAGTTTTATATAGCACTTGCACATACAGAAGCTTTACAGTTATAATCATGATTTAAATGTAAGATACGTATATCCTATAACCCTTTAACGTAGTTGCCTCTAAAAAAAGAGGCCATGAGATATTTGTATAATTCCTATTTAATTCTCACTATAGTAGGCATTTTACGTTTCCAACGTCGCATGCCATTTTTTGACTTGTATATTGGTCGATTCTTCATGTTTATATCTTAAGAAAAAAAGAGTAGAACTTAAGCAAGGTACCTAAGGTAGGTAGGTGCCTAATTTAACTCCTTAAAATATGGTATCCCTTTCAGGTATCAATTCTCTTCCACCCTACGTCATTACCGCAATCTACACTGTGCGTTCCTGTAATGTAATGATACGTTCCTTGCTGTACCCCAGATTTTACAGAGGTTATGTCCCACTGGCTCCGGCATCGCAAGCAACTTTTTGTGCTGTCCAATCAAAATTAGTCAATTGTCAATTGTCGCAATGAATTTTTATGTACCTTTTTTTTTTTTTTTTTTCTTTCTTTACGCCTCAGGTACATTTTTCATGCGATGACAATCAAGAAGGATGAGGACAGCTAATCTTCTGTGCCGTCGAGGTACACCTCTTCGGGTACGTATAATCCATATAGTTGATATTATTTATTTCTAATATCACATTCTATAGGGGATCTTATCTCGAAATTGTCAAGCACGTGCCCCTCTAACACGTTCCTTTGCGACGCCCACATTCGACGCTTCGAACCCGCGAATACCGCCCTACCTCAAGTTAGTCAAGAACTATGAGAAGGTCAGAGAGGTACTGGGAAAGGGTGCTGCCCTTACCCTGGCTGAGAAGATCCTCTACAGTCATCTTGACAATGTCGAAGAATCACTTCTGACCAACACAAACGGAGGACGGAATATTCGAGGAACAGCGAATCTTAAGTTAAAGCCTGACCGAGTTGCTATGCAGGATGCCTCCGCACAGATGGCTCTTCTGCAGTTTATGACTTGCAATCTTCCTTCGACCGCTATCCCGGCTAGCATTCACTGCGACCACTTAATTGTGGGCGAACGAGGCGCACAGGCCGACTTGGAATCCGGAATCAAGATGAACCAAGAAGTTTTCGACTTCTTAGAATCCGCCGCGAAGAAATATGGAATCGAATTCTGGCCTCCTGGTGCTGGTATTATCCACCAGAGTGTTCTAGAAAACTACGCTGCTCCCGGTTTGATGATGCTAGGTACCGACAGTCACACACCCAACGCTGGAGGTCTTTCCACCATAGCAATCGGTGTTGGTGGTGCCGATGCTGTTGAGGCTCTCGTCGGTGCGCCATGGGAACTTAAGGCTCCTCGTATCCTGGGTGTAGAACTGAAGGGCAAACTTAGCGGCTGGGCTGCACCCAAGGACGTCATTCTCAACCTCGCTGGACAACTGACTGTACGTGGCGGTACTGGATTCATCATTGAGTATTTCGGACCCGGCGTGGAGACTCTCAGCTGTACTGGCGCCTCAACTATTTGTAATATGGGCGCCGAAGTTGGCGCTACGACTTCTATCTTCCCCTTCAACCCTGCTCACGTTCGATATCTAGAGGCGACTCACCGACATGACGTAGCGAGAGAGGCGAAGAAGTTCTCCGATATTGTCCAGCTAAAGGCCGATGCTGATGCTAAATACGATGAGGTCATTACCATCGATTTATCTAAGTTGGAACCTCATATCAACGGACCCTTCACCCCTGATCTGTCTACGCCCCTATCCCAGTTCAAGGAAACAGTAAAGGAGCAAAATTGGCCCGACAAGCTATCAGCAGGTCTGATTGGAAGTTGTACAAACAGTTCATACGAGGACATGACGCGTGTAGAAAGCATGGTTCGTGAGGCGATAGAGGCGGGTTTAAAGCCTGCATCCGATTTCTATATAACACCGGGAAGTGACCAGATCAGAGAAACTTTACGACGAGACGGTCCTCTCGACACATTTAAAGAAGCTGGTGGTACCGTACTTTCGAACGCCTGCGGTCCTTGCATTGGCCAATGGAAACGACATGACGACGTCGAAAAGGGAACCCCCAATGCTGTATTCACCTCATATAACCGTAATTTCCGCGGCAGGAACGACGGAAACCCCGATACCATGAACTTCCTAGCATCGCCTGAGATCGTCACAGCCATGACATTCGCAGGCACTACCACTTTTAACCCTATGACAGACTCACTCCCCACCCCATCCGGCAAGGAATTCAAATTCTCACCTCCTTCCGGTCTCGAAATCCCGTCTCAACCGTTCGAAGCTGCCCGAAAGGAGTTCCGACCCCTAACTCAAGCCCCCGACCCATCTGTAAACGTAGCCATCTCACCCACTTCGGAACGTCTTGCTCTTCTGGAGCCTTTCGAGCCCTTCCCCAACTCTGAGCTTACTGGTCTTCGCGTGCTAGTTAAAGTCACCGGCAAGTGCACGACGGACACTATTTCCGCCGCCGGCCCTTGGCTGAAGTACAAGGGCCACCTGCCTAATATCAGCGAGAACACCCTCAACACGGCGATTAATGCCGAGACCGGCGAAGTCAACGTCGCATACGACCTGGACGGCTCCAAGCACACGATTCCCGAGCTGGGCAAGCGCTGGAAGGAGGCCGCGCAGCCGTGGCTCGTCGTTGCGGAGCACAACTACGGCGAGGGCAGCGCGCGAGAACACGCCGCGCTGCAGCCGCGGTATCTAGGCGCCCGGATCGTGCTGTGCAAGAGCTTTGCGCGCATCCACGAGACGAACCTCAAGAAGCAGGGCGTCGTGCCGCTAACGTTCGCCGACGAAGCCGACTACGACAAGATCGGCGCCGGCGACGAAGTGTCCACCGTCGGCCTGTACGAGATGCTGCAGAACGGCGGCAAGGGCGAGGTCGCGCTTAAGGTGAAGAAGCATAAGACTGGGGAGGAGCTGCTTGTCAAGACGAAGCACGCGGTTAGCAAGGACCAGGCGGGCTTTATACTCGCGGGAAGCGCGTTGAATTTATTGTCGAAGAGGTGATGTTGGTACAGTAGATATATTGCTTGGCTCGACGAATGAATGCTTGATGACGTATATATGATCTATGCTCGTGTGATGGTAGATACTATCCAACCTAAGGTACCTAGTATAGATAGACGGGTGTGTTGAGCGACGGGATACGAAAAATTGACCTAGTCCGGGTATACATAGATGTATAAAGCAAGAGAAATATAGACGCCTACCTAGGAGGTACCCAACCTATATGACAACGTGTCTATCTCATGAGATCTTAAAGCTGTTTAACTATTATTAAAAGGTTGCTTTAGAAAGGAACTATTAAATATAGCTGTTATACTACCGGGTGGCTTTCTTACCTGTTAATGCCGGATGTACTTAAATGACTGTAACTGTAACAGAGCATGGAAAATACAAGATAGATTAAGCAAATATACACACACATCTTCCAACATTAATTCAGGCCATGGGTTCTACTACCGGTTCATAGGTAATTTGCATCTCTAGGGATACATCCATGTTGGACTTATATCTGGTACAATAAGACTAATAGTGTATATAGTCGGGAACTAAGGATTTTTACACATTACCCCAGGACAAGTTTTTCGGTTGCAGTTACTTATCAAGTACCCAAAGTTACTACACCGCTATACGTATCTCTACTTTATCCGTTTATATGCAATGGAAAGCTTGACGGTCGTCAAATATTCAACAGGTAATAAATCTCCAATAACACGATAAGGTATAGTTGATTAGTAATAATTTTATAGTCGAAGTCATACGCATTTATATCCTAATATGGTAAGGGTACGGTAAAACGTATGACGAAGGGCAGGAAATCCATATTGGCATACCCATAGATTTGAGTAGCGGAACGTTCATACTACCTCAGGTAATTACTGATCTCACACGGGTAATAATTTCATAGGTAATATACTTTAAGGTAGCTACCTAAAAGCTACCTACCTAACTTAGTATACAAAAAGCAAATCATGACATTCAATATTTATTTGGTACCTACCTAGTTAGGTAACCAACTTGAATCACCCCAGTTCATTCAGCATCCCTGGCCCTTTCGTAGCCTTGTATTAATCATCTGCCATTCCGTGGCATTTTCATCTCCGAAGACACCTCGCGCCTTCTACCTAATGCAAAGCTTTACCTACCTTAGGTACCTAAGGTATTAACGTCTCCAAATAGGAGCCCGGCTTTTTATACTAACTAGCCCGACCAAGCTTGTATGGTATGCATGTGCATTCCAGAATTATTTATAAACCATGAAATCCGTAGGTGAGATAGGCTAGGGACAAGGGAACTATAGTTCACCCACTCCCCCTTTTTTTCTCTTACCAAGCCTTTAAACAGCCTCCCCTGAGTCAATATCCATTTCGATATCACTATCTTCATCCGCAACCGCGAGTTTATCTCCCATATCCATTTCCTTTCGTCGAATGTCCTTCTGGTGAGCTTGATGAGCCTTGCACCTTTGCATATAATACTGATCTGCCATTGCGTCCAGTTCATCTAAAGCAGATAACCAGGCCGGGTTGTTCTTTACTCGATCGGGTAGGTCAATTCTCTTGTCGCCCTCGTCTCGTCTTCGCTTAACTGTACGAGCCACGACTTGGCCGAAATTACTTTTTCTGGTTCCCCGTCTGGAAATCTCATTTTGTTTCTCATGATGCCACTTCTCGGAGCGGGGACGCGTCCAATGCACCCGCGGGTCTATATGGCCGTAATATTCCGCTGGACGAGTTGGTCGCGGAGGCTGTTGGTATTCAGGTAAACCAAACAACGCAGAACCGGGCCTATTCGGTTCGTTGAGTTTCCCGTATATATAAGAATCGAATTTATCCGGGTCATGCTTAGATATCCAGACCTCGCGCCTCTGTTCCGGGTTCAGATGCTTCCAGTCTCGGTTTAGAACTAAAGATGAGAGCCCCGATTCACCGAGAATGGTATTGGCGGACCTCTTTGCTATGTTATGGTCATTGGTAGGCTGGGCTGTCTTGGGTGCAGCTTGATGCTGTTTTGTTAAGGGACGTGCCTCTGTCACCTGTGACCTACCAACTGTCTGTGTACTCGACAAGTCGGACTCTTCCCTGCTTTGCGATCGCCACCTGGGATTGGATGCTTCCTCAGAATTCAACCGAGGTAATGGGGTACCTAAACCTATTTGGGGGCTCCTTGGAGGGGGAATGCTAAATCTTGTCGGATTTTCAAGTACATTACGTATGTACTCAGCTACTTGTTCCCTCTGGAAATGACCACGGCTTACTCCGTTGATCCTTGTAGCGTCTGATATTATGTTGGGGGTAGGAGCAGGAGACGTCACTGGAGGGGGTTTAGGAGAGGCATGGTTAGCAACACTTTGCGCATCTTGTGTTGATCCCGGCGCTTCATTATTCGGGTGATTTTGGCTATCATTCTGAGGGGCTGCAACCGCGGGGCTTCCAATAAGCGGTTTGGGATCCTGACTATGGGCTGGTTTTCCGTTGATTGGTTTTTCGTTGACTAATTTCTCACTAGCTGGTTTGTCACTGGTCGGCTTTTCGCTGGCCGGTTTGTCGCTGGCCGGTTTGTCGCTGGCCGGTTTGTCGCTGGCCGGTTTGTCGCTGGCCGGTTTGTCGCTGGCCGGTTTGTCGCTGGCCGGTTTAGCCTTGGTCGCCGGTGAAGCGACCTGTGAGCTCGGCGAAAGTAATGTCGGTGCAGGCCGGGGTGCGATATGAACGTGAGGTTTCCGGAAGAGCGGTCGATGGAGTGGCTGAGAACTGATCTTGCGAACGCCATTCTGTTCCTTTCGAGCTGGTACAACGCCTCGTTGCGGTTTTTCCGCGTCTTTATTTGCGGGGACTTGCACCTTTATCGACTCTCCAGCGTCGTGGTTCCGATGCTTTGGTGTACTGGCATTGGAATTTTCAGCGGTATTATTGGAAGGTCGCGTATCAGGGTTATCGTCCCCCGTGAGGTCTATAATGTCGTGAGTTGGAACTTTACGACTCTTAAGATTGTCATGTAAACCTTGTTGCTTATGTGGCCGATCTTGATGCAAAGGTTTCGATGCAGGGCGGCCTTCCTGCGTTATAGTAGACCTTGATGTCGTCTCCAAAGGAGAAGAAACTCCATTCCTAGGTCGCAGAGCAAAATCGGAAGATTCCACAGGCACATGGCCGGTATTGCCAGTGTTGGTCGATGTAACCACGGGAGGCGGATAAGAACTACTCCCCGGGAAAGAGACACTTTGACGGTGAGCTTCTCTTTCGCCTTTGTCAACATCGGTTGACAGCCTCGGCCGTTTTAGTGGCCGTTGACTTGGGGAAGTAACATCTCCAGTGGAATTGGGATACAATGTGGGCTTAGTTTCCGTTTTGCGAGCTCCGGCGGCTTCGTGCCTTGAATTAGAAGATGTAGCGCCGACGGTTTTTCTCGCTACCAATTTAGCAGGAAGCAGCTTCTTCTCACTGGTAGGACTCGCTGCTGGAGGGGCTTTCACGGTGATAGCATCTCCCCGCCTCTCAATTTGAGGGGCTGTAGGGGCTGTAGGGGCTGTACCAACGGAATTGCCTTTGGGTTGTGATGCCGCCCGTGGAGAATGCTGATGGTTGTTTGGCTGCTGCTGACCCGGGGTAGAAGACGACATCGTGAAACCTACAGGTTTAAGCCTGTCTGTACTATCGGTATGTGTTGTGCAGTAAGGTCCCTTGATGAAGATGGTAGCTTCGCATTCTTCGAATTGGCATCGCTGCAAGATGTACCTATTATTGTCCATGGCTTCCCAATTTGTGGCCAACCCAATCACACGCTATTGAAGAATTTAAGAACGGGATGCCGCAGGAAGGAGGCTTCGTTAAATCCCAATACGCGAGAAGCCGCGATGGTATATGAAAATAACGATAAGGTGCCTGCGTTCTTTCCCTTAAGCTTGGTTGAAGCCGTGTCATCTTAACCGCCTTTTCCTTTCCCGATAGGATTAATTTCAGTGGTTGCGCTGGAACTACCTCAGGTGGAAGTCAATACTTTACGTAGGAACTATGAATTAGGTAGGAACTATGAAATGAGTGGAAGATCGAGATGCACTAGGCAGCAAATTTGATTACTAGCTCGAACGAAAACTAGAAACGAGGAAAAGGCGTTGTTGTATATTTTCTGATATTAGGTAACTAGATGGGAGAGGAAAAGAAATTGCAAATAAATAAGGTAAATGGAAAAGGAGCTACTTACTGTGATGATTGAGTAAAACCCGGCGGAAAATGCCGGCAACAAAAAGACTAACGGCAGCGTGGGAAGAACTGAAGAATTGCCTCTTAGAATAGCGGCTTGAATAAATAGCTTTACAAGTTATTGCCCGGCGTCTTATTATAAGAAGGCGAAGGACCGGCATATACCTATCCTACGCCTTTAGACTCCAATAAGAACAGAGGTCCTATAATCGTTGTTAGAGTATAAATAAGCGACGTATCATTCGATAAAAAAAAGGACGAAATGGGAGGCTTGTCTCAGATCTTTTCAGTTTTTAATTCAAGTCATCAACCTGCAGGATACGGCGGCTTCGAATTCCGGACCTCGCTTATCGCAATCCCCAGGATTCTGGGGTCGCTATTCACCGCAGCCTTTGGCCCTGTCTTATAGTGGCAATGCAAGGCTGGGCTCCTATATAGCGGTACATGCAGCGGCTGCTACAACTTTCTTTGCCTTCTCTCCTCATATGAACGAGCTAATGGCCTAAGCGTGGCAAGTCCTACATAGAGTGGGTGGGGGGGTTGAAGACGCGTTCTTGAACAGAAAACGTCAAGTGAATTTGAAGCAGGTTATAGAATTCAAAACCAGAAGTTCCATGAATGCAGTCCGCCCTTTTACCACATTGGTTCATCATAGACCAGCCTCTCCACAAGATGGAGTAAAAGTAAAGACTTACAACGAAAAAACGGCAAAGAAAATAATAAAGGAATTCACAATAACTTACCGGCGGCAAATTAGCTAGTACCTTCCCAGTAACTGATCCAGTACAGATGTAAAACTTCCTCGTGACTTCGTCATGGTCCGTAAGGGGAATCAGCTGGCAAGCTAATGTTAGATAGAATGCCAAAAACCGATTAGAATCGCGCCGACCGGGGTTTCGTTTTACGTGCATAGAATATAAAATGACGTTTCTAATGGTACGGGAATATTATCCATCACATCACTATAATGGTATTAAAGAGTTGGCGCGCAAGATGTCCATTCGGAGATAGAACGCGGAACCGGAAAGATAGGTTGTTTGGCAAAATGTTATTGTAGGTTATTGTAGATTATTGTAGAAGATGAATTTCCTAGAAACAAGTAAATGTTGTACCTTACTAGTTGTTGTAAATGACAAGAATTGGCTTTGGCTTTTTAAATGTGGCCCGTGCGAGATTCTACGTGTGGAGTCAATTTGTCGGACTATTGTTTTCACGAGCATTATTCATAGGTAACTTAGGTATTATTCGAAGGTCCTACGGTGGAAAGTGACATTAGAAGTTATTCCTACCCTTTATACATCAATTTGTACAGAGAAAAGTTGGTTTACAAGCAGGAACCACGTACTAAATACTTGAGAGCTTAATCCAAAATGTAAAGGGCTCATCAATTGAAATGTTACCTAAGATTTAAGATTAAGTGCTGAGGTAAATACAATAGCTTAAGAGAAATAACTGCATGTACTTTTTAAATATAACCAGGTAATTAATTAGACTATCCTTGGTCATTTTAGCATCTAATTTACTTATACCTTAAGTACTTAAACCTATAGAATTATTCCGAAATATATGTTAAGTACCTCCTATGAATTGAATTTGTATACCTACTAGTATACCTACTAGTATATGAGGTGTTTTCCCCTTTTCTTTTTTGTTTTTTCCGCGTATTGAAGCCAGCACTCTGAATTCGCAAATAAATGTTAGATACGGTTTACTTCTTACGCTAATGTTGGCCCAAGTATACGGAGTAAGAGACCGCCTCCACTAGCACCCAAGCTCTCATCGCCAATCATCTAATACCCTTTATTAATAACGTTTCAATCTTTTTCATACAAATTCCTAACACGCATAATTGCCACGTCGCATGCTAGGTACCTACATTATTGCCGCGGTAAGCGCTGCGAAATTATCACGCTAGTATCGAAAATTGGTTTTATCTGGTAGTAACGTGTAACGTGCAAGTAGAAGAATTTAAGCATTTTCTCTCGGCGAAAGGTGAGAAGTGGACAAGGATTATTATTACTAGTAATTCTTATAGCGTATGCTTCAACGTATGCGACTCGAGTGACCTAGAATGTTTATATCAGATATCATATCGACCATATATTCGAGGGTAACAATCCCCACACAGTAGGCTATCATGTGAGGTAAGTATGTTATGTTCAAAGCAAAGCAATACATGTGGGAAATTACCCCTGAAGAATTCCAGCAAGTATCTATAGAAAGTTGCATTTATCTAATTCGCATTCCCTTCATTTTATGCAAACTTCCTTGGACTGTTAGTATAAGACAATACTATGCAGAGAAATAATCCCCGAATACATATGACAGCACCAAAGGCATATAAACTTCCCAACTATAGATAGGTACCTAGGTTGGGTGAGTAGTTTGTGTATAATACCACCTATTCCCACGCTATACGAAAATGCAAAGTAATTCCGGAGAAACTAAGTACTCGATTTTTGAGGCACCTCTCATGTATATTAATTCTCACGTCACATCCAAATCCATAGGTTGATAGCTGCCGGTTCACGGCTTATACAATACAGTGACCTCCCTGTATCAAGAATATGAACGGCAATCAAAACTACGCGCTGTAGCAAGAATGACCTCCTCGGCCCTAATTTTGAAGTCATACTACATATGGGATACAGAATTGTACAAAGCCCTTCTATTAAGTGATACCGCACACTTTATCAAACTCTGATATGAGATTTCGTGGAGACATTCTGATTATAGGTAATCAGGTGAGGAGTACCGAGATGCACGCACTTTCATCAACTCGATTCGATTGGCTATTAAACCACATCTTCGAAAACATACATCCATAAGTACACACACACACCAAACTTGGCTGCTTTGTTGCCCAAGCATGACTATGATAAGGCAGAATGTATGAAACAACCTGTGCGGCTAAATGACCTCAGTGGCTTCCTAGGCAACCTAAGTCACTCAGGATGAATGCATCCGGCAGCTAATGTCACGTACCATACCTAAGATAATGAACCCGGCAAGGGCTCTTCGCTACATAATGAGTGCGCCACATTCGAAGGGGTGCCGGATGGAGGCGAGAACGATCGAGAAATAATCCGATCGCAGTTTGGACAGATTCCCAAATCTACACCGGTAAATGCTCGCTAACCAGCTTTCCATATAGCGATGCGATGCTGAGCGCCCCAGGAGATAGGATTATCGTAGAGATTGACGGTGGCGGTAATCCTGCCTCTTGGAGCTTGATGTTGTAGGTTAGATCTCTTTTTCAGTACATATTCGCAATACTAATGCCAAGAGATGGAAAATACCGTTAATTATACTATCATGGGACTGTCCATGGGGTCCTTATAGGTGGAGGTGCCTAGCAACGTCAATCTCTCGAATTGCGGTAGTTTAGCGGTCGGATGGTCATCTTTCCGAACCCTTACACATTCACATGGGCAATAGGACCATCGACTTAGGTTCGTGTTGATAAATAAAATTCATATAAAGAACGCCCTCCAGAATATATACAACGAATGTAACTACCTAAAGTATATACAACATACCCGCCGTCTATGAAAAACCCTCACGACAAACAACACCACCGCTCTACTTACTCCTTCAACTCATACAGCTGACTCACAGCGCCCAGCCCATCCTTCGAGTACAGCGCCAAGAAGTGCGTAGCGTCGCGGTTAAAAACGCCCGGCCAGTGCGCCGCCGCCTCGCCGGTGACCACGCCGCCGGACCACGTCCTGCCGCCGTCCACGCTCGTGACGACCTTCATCTGCGCGCCGTCGTACCCGCTCGTGCCCGCGACGTCCTCGTTCGTCATGAAGCTGGCCACCAGCGTGCCCCACACATTGTACACCTGCGGCGCCCCCGCCAGCTTCCCGTCGCGCGCCGTGTACAGCCGGCCGCGCTCGCCCCACGACCGCCCGTCGTCGTGCGACAGCACGTAGTCCACCGAGAAGACCCCGCTCTCCGTGTTCTCGAACACGGCGCTGTGGCGATGTGTTAGAATCCAAAAAGCAAGAAGAAGAAAAAAAAAGGAGAGAGAGAGAAAGCTTGCGATTAGTTAGATACCGAGGGGTAATACTAACATGAGATTCCCGTTATTATCAATAGGCGCAACGCCAACCATGCCGTCGCGGGAGTTCTTATCCCCTCCCGACACCGCTATCCAACGGGACCAAGTCGCGCCGCCGTCCGTGGAGTATTTCATGAAGTTGTCCTGGTCGCCCGCGCTGTTCTCCGCGGAGTAGTAGCACTGGAGCGAGCCGTCCGCCGCGATCCGCAGGAACGGCTCCCAGAGGCCGTTGACGCCCGACGGCACGTGCTCCTCGACCGTGGACAGGTACCGGAAGGTCCTGCCGCCGTCGTCCGAGTACGACACCGAGATGCGGAAGTACGTGTAGTGCCAGTCGGCGCCCGCGCGGTCGTGGTTCCGGTACGCGTACAGGACGCGGCCGTTGCGCAGCTGCAGCGGCATCGCGTTGTTGATGTCGTGCGTCGCGATTTCCCCTCGGAACACCTCGCCGAGGTGCTCCCACGACTGCCCGCCGTTGGTCGACTTTACCACGCGTAACACGTTCTGGGTGCCGTCCCTGGCGACGTATCCGCCCAGCAGGCTGCCATCGTTCATAAAGCTAACCCTGATGTACTCGGAGTTGGTGTCGATCACCACCGGCTCGCCGGCTTTCACGACGCGGCCTGGTAGGCGCTTGGCAAGGGAAGCCGGGGCGGCTGATACTACCCCGACGACGGCGAGAGCCGCAAAGAGGATCTTAGAAGCGAACATGATGCCTAAGAGCTAGTATTCTTACAGTTCATGAAGGTTGAGATCGTCATGAAACCTACCTGCGCAGGTAGTTTAGCACATGGGCGCCAACTAGATTATATAGGTGCCTAAAGTATCATAATCCATCGTTGCGATACGCATAGTAAGAGTATCGTTAAAAACGCCATTGAACCGACCAGGAGAGACAGTTTGTCACCTTAGCGAAATCATCACGGGATTCACCAGCCAGTTGTAAGGTTGGCTTTGCATAGTAGTATGCAAGGTCCAATTGTCAAATGTAACTATCCAGATCCGGCAGCATGGTGTCTTTTATATACCTAGCTCAAGTCGAGTATAGCGGGTTTGCTTATAAACCTCAAAACACCTAGAAGGAAGCGCCGACTAAGGGAAAGTTGAATTTGGCTTGTTTTAGTAGGTAGTCTCTTATTTGAGAAGGTGGTTTTGCCAAGCGGCATGTGCCAGCCATTGATTGTATTTGACTGCAAGTTCATCTCGGAATTCGACCCTGTGAGTATGGTGGACTAAGCCTTACGATAGGGAGACAAGCTGGCGATAATAGGCGTGGTAGAGGCTACCCTGGTATTCGTTCGCAGTGTCTTAGGAAGTGCGCAATAAGGCAGGTGATAAATCGTTTCGATTAGAAACAAAGGTGCTGGGCCTATTGGGCATTGGGGACTTGTTTCACACGCTCCTACAGAGTAGCAATGTGACATCGCTCGGTCTTATTGAGACCAAGTATATTTAGAAGATGGGAACGAAGCTGACATTATGCCGATGCAGTCAATGCTCGTCGAGTTTACTTGCATCGAAAATGTCTATGTTTTTTCTAGTCCTACGCGTTCCGTTTCTTGAATCAGAGCAGCTTAGGTCCCCATGGAAATGGGCTGTAAGCGAATCTGAGATCGCTACTTGACATATGTACTCCATTTCGAAAGGACAACATAATAGAGAAATTAAGATACAAAACCAATAAAAAGAAGAAGTGTTGTCGGAAATAATGGAGAGTATCGACAAGCAATATATAATATAGTCAGCGCAGCTATGTTGAAATAAGGTTGCGTTATCAAATATAGACATGGAAATAATAATTGGAATGTAGAAAAGGGATAGAAACAACTTACGGTAAAGCTTCGAGCTGCATAGTGACAAACAAGTCTAAATCACGTGAATAAATCTCCTTTTCTTCATTCAGCCACTTTTTCGAGATTTCCACTAAAAAAAAAAACCCTCATCGGCTGATTCCGATCATACCACATCACACCACAGGGCAGGCCAGAATGCCATAAGCGTAAACCCAACGACCTGATTTTTCAGCCTCTCATCTCCGGTCCCTTTTCGCCTGCCTATCAGCTATTGCTTATTCTGGCTAACTCTGGCTACTCACCGCGAGGCGCGTGGCGTGACACGACGATTTGTCCTCACCATATCCCCAAGGCAATTTAAGCTGATCCGGGCTACCCAAGCCAGAACCATTCCCACTTGGCACTTAGACACCCTGCGGTAAGCTTTTTCTGGGGGTGGAGGTGCCGCATGCCGTCATGGACCAGCCCGAACTAACCTGTCAAACCGCGGCGCTGGATTCCCAGCTAAACCCCGTTGAGGCTTCATGTCATACGTTCGCGAGTATCTACGAGCTTCTGGCTCGTCGGGCTCCAGGAAAAGTTGGGAATGGGATTGCCGGTATTGTTATTCCTTCGACCGTCAGAGCCCGGAGAAGGTCGCGTGTAAAATGTAATATAAGAGTAGCCCGCGAATCTAGGAATTGTGAATAAAATTGTTATATCATCACCATCAGGATCATCACCACAAGCAACATAGACATCTTCACTCATCAATCATATATAAAATCTCCTCTCTTCCAAAAGACTCAGTAGAGTAACATAGACATCTCATCTCAACTCAGAAACAACCAAAAAAAGTCCACTTCGAAAACCCAACCTTGTCTTATTAGACCCTTATAACGAACACATCCTCCACACTGATTGAACCATCATCACCTGTTTCAAACTCCAAAAACCCTTAAAATCATTCAAAAATGTCTGCCATCGCCGCTAACGCCGTCCGATCCCCCCTCTCCGCCCTTGCCAGGCAAGCCTTCAAGAGCTTCCGTCAATCGGCCCGGATCGTCGAGGGGCCTACTGAAGCCTTACCTGCAACTGTCCCCTCTCAACGCGCAGATTGGGGCCGCATTGCACGAACTCGTGTCGGCGTTGCAGCTGTGTAAGTTTTATCCCCGTCTATCTACCTATCTATGCTAGGTTAGACTACCTAGTGAAAAACGATGAGCTGACCGTCGTGGCATAGATACTTCCCCGTCCTAGGTGGTTTCCTCTCCTGGCCCTTCATCGCCAAGGCTTTCCTCGACGGACGCATGTAAAAGATGCAAACTTCGCTTCGAACGTGTGCATAATTTGCACAAACATGCATTAATAGCTTCCATTACTATCACAACAACAGGCTATACGTATAGCTGTACATAGAATCCCCACACACACATCTACGACATCCGGAAGGCGTTTCATTTGAGTTTCTAGAAACAGACAGGTACAGAATACCTGGGATGTTTTCTACATCATGATATCAGAGGCGTTCCGGTTTCAACTATCCTAATCAGTTCGAAGAAAAAAAGAAGAAAAGAAAAGGGGGAAATAGGGGGGCATTGCATTGGAAAGGAGAAGCGCGAAACTTTAAAAAGTCGCACAAAAGCCGTCGACTCATCTTCAACCTCTCTTCTATTTGTCTATCTATCTGTATATACCCACTTAACCTACCATTTTATGATATAACCGTACCGTCGACCGCATGAGCGGCAGCAGAAATATCAGTCCCTTTGCTAGTTCCATCTCTAGTTCCATACTCTAGGTAGCCGTATATCCCTTCGGGTAAATGTAACTTTCTCGCTTCGCTCGTGTCTTGTAGACCCGTGCGCCTGAGGACCTCGACCGTGCGCTGGTAGTTATCCTCGGCGTACTTCTCGGCGTCGAAGCCCAGTATCCAAGCCTCGCGGCGTAGCCTCATGCTCTCGGGGTTCTTCTTGGCGGCCTCAAAGTCCGCCTTGTGCCAGATGTCACGCGTCTGCTCCCCCGTCTTCTGGGCGGACTTGACGCGTTCGTACCGAATCGCTTCGAACGCCGCGACTGCTTCCTGGACCTTTCCAGGACCGCCGCATTCCCGCAGGCACACAGCAATCGTGACGCCGTCCTCCATCGCCTGCGATGCCCCCTGAATGGATGTTGGCAAGAACGGATGGGCCGAGTCACCAATTAACGCAATCCGCCTACCTTTCGAGATCCACGTCGGTAAAGGATCACGGTAGACCAGCTTCCAATCGATTAGAGGAGACGGCGTCTTATCCAAAATCTTTTGTACGATCGGATCCCAGCCCTCGAGCACTTTGCGCGCGTCTTCCAGTGGTGCCTCGAGTTGCCAGCTCTCCTCGATATCCGCCTCGTCCTTGTGCGTACATACCCACGAGAAATCCTTCCCTTTCTTCATGCAGGCTGCGATGAAGTGCACGTCGGGGCCAAGCCATGCGACATGCTTATCGCCACCCTCGGTGAAGAATTTCGTGTCGGGATCTTTGGCAATTTCATCCGCGCTGAACCAACTGCGATAGACGGCGTAGCCGGATGGCTTGGGCTTATCCTCAAATCCGAGCACAATTTTACGGCCCTTACTACGGACACCTTCGGCCGCGATCACGACATCGGCGGTAATTCGTTCGCCATTTTCAAGAACTACGCCTGCCTCTTTGTCGTCTTCGAAATAGTCTTCAACGCGAGCGTTGAGTCGGATGTTCACGCCGATCTCCTTAGCATGATTATAGACAACCTCGTGGAACTCGCCGCGGTGGCCGTCGTAGCGGATACCAAATTCTGCATCCTCACCCTCCCAGTATTGTGTATAGAGCGTTTCCCCTTTCCAAGATTTTAGAGTGATTGCATCAGCCCGCATGCTGAGCGGCTCTAGTTGCTCGGCGACACCTGGCCATCGACGGAATAGTCGCGACGAGTTGGGACCAAAGGAGATGATGTCGCCCAGGAGCTTCAGCTCTGGGAACTTTTCAAGCACCAATACATCGTGTCCCTTTCGGTGGCATTCTATCGCGGCTGTAAGTCCTGCGAAGCCCGTTCCCACCACGATCACCTTGATGCCTGTTTGTGTAGGTTTCTGTGTTTCGGTCATTTTGCTGTTCTGTTCTTGCTATCGTGAAGTCTGTTCTACCATCTTTCTGCCGTTCTCAAACATCGAGATTGGCCGAGTAGGAGTTTATCATTGATCCGTCGTTGAGTTGACCTCGGGTATAACTAACCAGCTGAATGGGCCTAACTTAACCGTATAAGCTGCCGGTCCTCAAATGGCATGAGAACTAAAGTGGCGGAGCGGCACAGGCACGTCTGCTCGGGGGGTTGGAGCTCGACGACTACGTACGTGTGAACTTTACCTATCTAGTCCTTCATCCTAACTGTTAGAATCGATATCCCCCGCATCCGGATTTGGAATGGGTATCGGCAGTTACATTGCGGCGGTGGTACATGGACTGCAATACAACATGTCGGTCAATTTCGAGACGATTATCCTGCAGAGCCTAGACGGGTTTCGCATACGCCCTCACTAGAATGAGCCAATCAAAGGACCAAAGGAATGGGATGCTTGAGCTCCGGCTGGTCCAACCCATTTTGAGTGGGGGAATTCACTGAGCTGGCTATCTGATATCCCGTAATATACTCATTTCTCCAACTTTAGAGACGCGGAGTTTTGATTGATCTACTTTAGGATGTGCGGAGAAGTTCGTAGATATGTGCTCATTTCGTCGGCAATGGTGAAGACCGTGTCGCAATGCGACGCTATACTGCATTTGCGTCTCGCCATCATTTGAACCCTTGCCTATATACCCATGGCTACAGCAAAGAGTAGTCAGTGCTTATCAACATGGATCTCCATTTGGTACAAATTTATTTTACATATAGTTGTCCCCTGGGCCTGGGCGCGTCTTACCAGCGTCAATTGATTTTTACAGAGCATACATAGACGCGTGTTAGATCATCCGCGTCGGAATAAGTCAGCACGATGCCTTGGGGAATACTCGAGAGTAAGCAAGCAGGACATGTCCCAGGCACAGGTATGAGAATCCCGTAAAAGGAGGTATGAGGAAAGGTTGTTAATCCAAGTTTCAGTAATCCTTGCGGACCAGACCGATATACCAGACGAATATAGAGACATCTCTCGCGAACTTCTTAAACACGGCACTGGGAAATACTCGCATATTATATTGACTCCTCAGCCAAGTGACTCTCCCAATGATCCTCTCAATGTGAGTCGTCTACTTCAAAAAAAAAAATTGAGACATTGAGAACTCACAAGCATACAGTGGCCGACGTGGCGCAAAGATGTCATTCTTGTTATCGTTGGTTTATCCGCCGGTGTCGTGGGCGCGTACGGCCCTATGATTTCACCAGGATTTGTCGAGATTGCTGCAGCACTCAATATAACGGTCAACACTCTCTCGCAAGCAACCGCTTGGGTGGTGTTGGCGATTGGGCTTTCACTCTTCGTATTTAACCCGCTGGCTAAAAAGGTTGGGCGCCGCCCCGTGTATGTGATATCAAGCATCATCATGCTCTCTGGAAGTATCTGGGGAGCCCTCGCGAAAGATTACAGCAGCTTTCTGGGCAGCAGAGTATGGAGCGCCTTTGGAATGGCACCTTACGAGATACTCGTACAGTGTACAATTGCCGACCTCTACTATGTCCACCAACGGGCTACTAGAATCGCCGTTTGGAACATGTTCCTGTTATGTGGTATCAGCGGCGGCGCTCTCATTGCTGGTTATATCATTCAAGTAAGCCACGGAGAAGAACCCGCTGTGTCAATCTTGCTGACATACTCCTTAGGATCAAGGCTGGCAATGGACTTTGATCTGGTGTGCCATTATCTTTGGCATACTTCTTCCTTTCGTCATCCTCTTCGTTCCCGAAACCGCTTATAAGAGACAGTCATTTGAGCAACAACTGTCGATTAAGAGTGCCGCCAAGCAAGACAGGAGACCTGAGATTTCCGAGAAGAAGGATACCTCGTCCGAACCGGAAGACAGCGTCAAGATAGAAACCATAGAGAACGGCGTGGTGACAGAACGAAAAGATTCGTACTTGCGAAGTCTGAAGCTGTGGAGCGGTGCTATCTATACCAGCACGCCCCTTTGGAAGATCTTTCTGCGCCCAGTTGTCATCTTCTTTTATCCAGCTGTTCTCTGGGCATTTTTGCTCTACGGTGTTACCCTAACCTGGATCGTGGTATTCAGTGTGGTGAACGCAGTCATTTTCACAGCACCGCCGTACAACTTCTCGGTGTCTGAAACGGGGCTGATCTCGTTATCCCCCTTCATCCTCACCTTGGTTGGCGAGATCTTGTCAGGCCCGTTGACCGACTGGGTTTGCATGTACCTAGCCAAGAAAAACCATGGCATCTACGAGCCCGAGTTCCGACTACCACCGATCATCATCTCATTCTTGGTTGGTATCGTTGGCTTCTTCGGATTTGGTGCCACAGTGCATTATCAAACTCATTGGTCCGGGCCAGTTCTATGCTTTGGCTTGGCGAATATGAGTCTTGCCTTGTCAAACGCATCTGTCTTTGGCTACGTTATAGATTCTCATAAGGAGTTGAGCGAAGAAGGTATGTATATCACCATATCACCACACTTGTTCGACCTTGGCGGTTCCGAATAGATAGGTGCTAACTGTTATTTCTGTACCTAGCATTCGTGGCTATCAATGCTCGAAACATCTTGACTTTTGGACTGACCTACTTCGTTAACGATTGGCTAGCTAAAGATGGAGTCCTTGCGGTCTTCAATGTGCTGGGCAGCGTATTTGTTGCTGTAAATGTCTTGACTATTCCTCTATGGATTTTCGGCAAACGAATCAGGGCGTATATCGGTAGGAATGAAGCACTTGATCGATTCATGCACGAAGATTAGGTGGGGGATTTATATCTTTTGTAACCTAACATAAGTATTGATATGGGAGGATGCTTGATTGAGTTGATCTCTTTATTTCATAGAAATAGATGTAGAATAAGAGAGAGCATGAGATGGTACCTAGGTACCTAGTAAATAAATAAAAGCAAGGATAAAATGATCGATTCGTACCTACGTACCTGAAATTTAGCTTCAGGTTAGGTAATCCTTACAAGGTAACCATTCTGCCATTCTAGATAAGGTAGTGGTCAGTGCGTCAATTCAATTGAGCTCGGGCCACGTGTAAAAGATACGTACCCCATTCAACTGGAACGAGACCCCTGCAAGAAGCTCCTGAACCATCCAAAGAAAGGGAAAGAGCAAAGGCGCGTCGTGAATTCGAAGCTTCGCCGAAAAATTGCCCCAAAGCCGATCGCCAACGCCAACGCCAACAACTACAACTGACAACTAACAACATTTCTTGCCGACGACCACACGAAATGCTTCTTGGACTTACGAGTTGACGACCAAAGCTCTTCTAACATAGCGACTCGCTGTTATTATTTTTCTTTTTTCTATAGTTAATAATAAACACCTTCGAAGCTTTCAAATTCGCTTTAACCCTTGTACTTAACCAACAAACGGAACGGACACCGACTTTTTGAAGCTGTAACCCTACGAAATACGAAATTTACGGTTTTGGCGGCGAAGGATTAGACGGTTAAGGGTTCGAGTGTCAAAGGGAAAGGGGAGAAAGGAGTGGATACATACGAAACGAACCGCTGTTCAAACGCCCAAACGCCCAGACGCCCACAATGACAGATTCCCTCCACAACGCGCCCATTGTTCTGGACAATGGCTCGGGTACAATTCGTGCGGGCTTCGCGGGAGATGATCTACCTAAATGTTACTTCCCTTCCTTCGTAGGTCGACCAAAGCACTTGCGAGTGCTCGCCGGTGCCTTAGAAGGTGAGGTGTTCATTGGCCAAAAGGCGGCGACGGAGCTGAGAGGACTCTTGAAGATAAGATACCCCTTGGAACATGGCATAGTCACAGATTGGGATGATATGGAGAAGATATGGGAGTACGTCTACAACGAAGGACTTAAAACCATTAGCGAGGAGGTATGTATAATTATACTCTCTCGTTCCAACATAACACTTCTAATAAATACTAATATCTCCTGTCCACCAGCATCCCGTCCTCTTAACTGAACCGCCACTTAACCCACGAGCAAATCGTGATACAGCAGCCCAAATACTATTCGAGACTTTTAACGTCCCTGCTTTATACACATCCATCCAAGCTGTTCTCTCCCTTTACGCTAGCGGACGTACCACGGGTTGTGTACTAGACTCAGGCGATGGTGTCTCACACGCGGTGCCGGTGTACGAAGGATTCGCAATACCATCTTCTATGAGACGTATCGATGTTGCAGGCCGTGACGTCACCGAGTATATGCAAACACTACTGCGCAAGAGCGGCTATATCTTCCACACGAGCGCCGAAAAGGAAGTGGTACGGTTGATCAAGGAAGCCGTGTCATACGTGGCCTTAAATCCCAAGCAGGAAGAGAAGGATTGGCAGAGCGCTAAGTTAGACCAGGGCAAGACGGCGGAATATGTGCTACCGGACGGTAACCGGCTACGTGTGGGCCAAGAACGATTTCGCGCACCTGAGATTCTGTTCGATCCAGAAATCATCGGGTTGGAGTACCCGGGTATCCAGCAGATCGTGACAGACGCTATAAACCGGACGGACTTGGACTTGCGAAAAGCTCTCTATGCCAATATCGTGTTGTCTGGCGGCAGTACGCTGACCAAGGGGTTCGGTGACCGTCTGCTGAGCGAAGTCAAGAAACTCGCTGTCAAGGACATGCGGATCAAGATCTTCGCGCCGCCCGAGCGAAAGTACTCGACCTGGATCGGAGGTAGCATTCTTGCAGGTTTAAGCACGTTCAGAAAGGTTCGTTTGCCCTTTAACTAATGCCTGGATCAAGGACATACTAATGCGATTGTAGATGTGGGTTAGTGTCGACGACTGGCACGAGGATCCTGATATTATCCACAAAAAACTCACATAATCTCCCCCCTACCCGAGTTCTTTTTCGGAAAAACAAAGAATAGAATAAGGTCGGGAGATAACCACCCAAGAGCCGTAACTCGGATCAAGAAGTGGGAGTCGACGAGTTATAAACTAGCCCACTCCGGATCTGAATGCAGTAGATACAAGGGGGTTTATATTTAAGGCAGCATAGCGTGAGTGCTGCGAGAGGCTCATTTCCACTCCAAGAAATCCAGAGATGATGTCGGTGGCGTATTATCGCACAGGACACTGTAGGTAGGTTTTAAGGCTCTCGCAATGTCCTGGATGAAGGGGAAGAGGGGCAAGTAAAGGAATGGGGGGGAAAGAGAAGCCGGCAAGCTTGTGTGTCAAATTATTGGCGGAATACCTTAAAGTCATCTATGTAGATGAATGATACCCAGGCGTTGAAGATCCCACATTCGATGATTTACGTGTTACGTGATAGTGATGATACCTATACCCACGGTTGGGTTTTGAGTTCGCCTACGCTGGTCACAGAGCGTGAGCTTCTGGAGGATTACGGATGTGACAAGTAGAACGTAGCTAGAAGGCTAAAAGCTTCTAGTGCGGTAACACTACCTAGTAGTGTAGCATATCACACGGTTATAAAGTTGGATCGAATCAAGAACGGACCATGGAAGTACAGTTGATGCTTCTTTTTTTTTTCTTATTCTCCGTAGCTATATCAACTACCGCCGTCGGTGCTATCCGGCGCAATGCTATACCAGGCATTCCCAGACCTCAAAAACGCAAGAAAAAAAAAGGACCTTTTCAGCCGAAAAGTTCTCTATGGGGGGTATAAGGTAATATATATAACGCTCGTAGAATATTCACCAGAAACAAACACCTGCCGTCGAGGTTATCTTTCATCCCGGAGTCTACCAGCCGGAATGGGAAGAAGTTGTGATAACTTCATATCCTTCTTCTGATTCTTTTTTTTTCTTCTCCCCAAAAGAGCAAAAATACCAAATCGCTGAGCTTTCCCTGTTTGCGCTGAGGCAACCCCCAAACTTTTATTTTTGTTCTCCTGTCCTTTTTCTTTTCCCAATGCGCCCCGTCGGCTCATACCCGTGGTTAAGTACGATGATGCCCTAAACTCCGATACGCCTTGCTTTCCCATGGTGATGATGATGATGATGATGATGATCAAGATAAAGTAGAGAGGTAATGACGATGGTGCGTAATTCGCAGCATGTTGTTGTTGCTGTTGAACATAATGAGATGGTGTTGTAAAATCAGGTAGGTAAAAGATTTTTCTTTCCTTTTTTTTTAAAAAAAAAAAGAAAGAAAAAAAGAAAAAAATCTTCTCATTTCGCGAGATCTGTTTGCGAACTTTTTAGTGCCGGTGGCTTATGCGGCTCCATATATTGGACAAGCTACCTGAGCTGCTCGAGCTGTGCTGGCTGGACGCATCGCTGCCCTTGCGGGAGACGGTGCCTAAGCCGCCGCTGCTCGCGCCATACACGTTCCCGGCGCCGCCCCGGCCGACGTAGCCGACGGGCTTCTGCTCGATGTGGCTCTTGTGCGTGAACTCCTCGTCGAACGACAGGACGGGCTTCGCGGCCGCCACGTGCGCGTTGCCGGCCCCTCCCCGCCCCGAGTAGAAGCGCGAGGTGGTGCGCGGCGCCGCCGTCGGCTTTGTGGCTACGCCGGACGAGGGCGTCGTGGTCGGCGCGCGGAAGTAGTTGCCTGCGCCGCCCCGGCCGGAGTGCGTGTATGAGTTCTTCGGCACGGTTGGGTGAGGCTCGGTGATGGTGAGGCTAGGCATCTTCTCGAATGTACTCTCTAAGGGTGATATAATGTGGCGAACGAGGGTTTTGATATGTGTCTCCGCTGTTTATTTATTAGGTATATAGGTGAGGTAAGGTAAGCCTAGGTGTAATGTTGTTTTTCGTACGAGAAACTTTATCAGTGATGAATCGTGGTAGTAGCAAAAATAGTATTTCAGATCTCAGATGGAGTCACAGTTCGGTGGGAACGGAGGGCACAAACTAATATACACATATTTTTGTTCGTGACGACCAGGGGCCCAGGGGAGCAACAGCCCCTTTGTCATAGTTACACTGTAAGTTCTCGAGAAAGTTCCAAGTTTGTTGCACGTGGCCCCAGCACGAGGGTTTGAGGGAACAAAGCCGGCCACGATACGTAACTACGTACTGGATTTTCCAGAGGGGCCAGGAGGGCGAACGGGGACCCAGAGCATAAAAATTTCCCATAAAGGAAAAAATTTTCACGGCTCCAAGGAGGTGGTAGAAGGCACGCGGAGCACGCAAGCTTCCTTGCGTGAAGCGCTAGGCGAGGTTGCCGGCGCAAAAGCTCATCTCATCGCGTGGGGATGACAACATGGCTAGGCTCGGGTTTTTTGGTTTGGGTTTTTTTTTTCTCCTTAGTACTTCTAAGGCGAACGAAATAGGGCCAGACAGGCAGATTCCGGTGCGCCTAGACAGGAAAAACCATCGTCTCGGTGGGACCGAATCGTAAGGCGACATGTACGGTTAACATGGTAATGACAGAGGACTATGAGTGGAATTTCAGTGGAATCTGGGGTAACCGCGTGATGGATCCCATTAGCAAGGAATTAGCTAAAAAGGAGCTTCTCAGACGAGCCAGAGTCGATGGAGCAGTTGTAGTTACGAAATCGGGTCTTAGGTAAAGGCATCATGAGACCTACAGAGGAGTTTTTTGTACCTAACTATTACCCCATAGTTTGCTCCCTCGACGCTAGACAGGGATTCATGCAGGATGGGCAATAATGGGTTCTTGGTGGTGCAATTGGTAGTGTAATTGGATCTCGCTTCTGCTTTCGGACAGCCTCAAGCCTTAGTGGTGGTGTCAGTGGTTGAGGTAACGACACGTTGGTTATGGAACAAAGACCCGGCAACGTCATGCCGTACATAACATATTCGCCTAACTGAGAAGGTATACAGAATAGTTATACCTATATATACCTTGGTTATACAATGTACTTGCTATGTACGTAAGTTAGGATGTAAGTTAGGACTGCTTCAGCCAATCCTCTGATCCCCCTCAGCCCCTTTTGTGTAAACCCATGTAAGTCCACTGCAGGTACAGGCGTGGATCCGAAGAGCCGCTACAATTCGTCAGCCAACGGATCTGAAGTCTGGTCTCTTTGATTGGTTAGTAACAGCTGAGATCAATCAAGGACCGAATCTCGCCATATGCTCATACTCATTCATATGCTAGTAGGCGATTTGCCATGTCGAACATGTCCAAGCCCATACACACGCATACGTACTGAGTAAGTCATGCTGACTTCAGCATCTATCGGCCACCTGCGATGTGCTTGCTATATTGTCGATAGCATTACACTTTAGAATGTGCATTTCCGAGGGATGAAGCACACACTCTCTCGGCCACGAACTACTTATGGTTGGTTAGGTACTTAATTAAAGAGAGAAAAAAAAAAAGTTATTTGTGCGCTGTACTGTTCTAACTCTTCAAACCATTCACAAACGACATCCACAATATGTGGAGTTGTACGAAGTAGCAAGCAGAAAAAAAAATCAGAAAAAAAATTGAGATTTCCACGCTTTTCAGAATTCGGCTTGGTCGAATTAGATGGCGCTTTGGCCGATCTGCCGTTGCTCCCCTCGACCCCTTTTAGCGCAAAGCGTTTTTGAGAACCACGATGGGCAGGGCTGGTAACGCGTAGGCAATATTACTCGAGGCCAGCTGACCACTAAGCGGTAAGTAAAAGGAGAACGTGCCGTCGTGACCAGAAAATTTTGGGAATGATTTTTTTTCTCCCTCTTCAGCCAGCGGCAAGTTAGCAAAAATCCAAACAGTCCATCACTCCGTCCGTGCATATTTTCAATATAACGATGCCGAGACAAGCGAAGGTTTATTGCTGTGGCTCACGAATTACCTCCCTTTCGTTCATCCAATCCACTCTTATATACCTATTTTTGACTCGAACATGTCGGCTGTTTGGTGTTGATGTTTCAACTGCAACCTAGAACCTGGGTACCTAGACCTTAGATGCGACCTCAATATTCGCTGCACAATGCTACGTGAAGTTATGGGAACGTCTTATTAGGATGATCTGGGTGGATGTAAACTGTACACACGACACAATAGAAATGGCGTTTTAGACAATTCGGCTTCCCCCTCCCCTTACGTCCTCGCTTACTACTTTCGCATCACGGCTAAGTAGGTACTCGACGTATTATTCTGGCGACAAGTACGCATTAATTACATTTATACTAACCTACTACTACTTAACCGTCATGCCATCCCTCTTCCCACTTTTGTGTAGTTGGTTAGTCGATGAAACTAAGAATAGCCATTTTAGTCACGATTCTATGGCATGTTACGGTCTTTTGGTGGAGTCACCACAATTACTCCAGACATAATTGTTGAGTCCTTTTCTGATCGCCTATGGAAGAGTCACTCCACGAGAAATCATTGTAAGTTTGTAAAAAGCTTGCATTTTGTCATGGCGCATTCCTATTTCAGGGCGATGAATGTTTGACTGGCTATCTAGGTACGTGAAGAGGAGAGCCAGAGACGGGCGTAGTAGCAATGCTTAAAGTCCTCGGGCAGACCCTATGTGGTATGATGCCGCTGTTAAGCTTGTCCCGCAAAAATGCGCGTCCACATGTGACGGTCAGAGACAGCAATTTGCGTTTCTAGATCTCTGATATCGCCTTTATATGCATGTCGTTCGTCCATCTTTGCCAATTCCGCTAAATAGCACGCAAAACTTGGGAATATTCGGGTGCCCGTCTTCCCCAAGCCCTGTTCTAGGACAATCCACCTTTCCAAGAAGCTTTTCGTTGCGAGCGGAGAAACGCCCCCAAAATGCTCGTTGAAATGGTGCAAAGCTTTTCCCTTGACATTCTCAGATAACAGATTAGGATGGGCCAGTAGAGGCGCCCATAGTTGGGCTACTCGTTGGCATTCCTGAGGCCCGATGAGGCATACCCGGTTGGATCCCTCTATACTCAGCATCCGCACTGGCTGCATAATGGGTGTAGTGTATTCTAGCTCAGATAAAGCGGCATTCAAGGCAGATTTTCCAATGAGGCATTCCATAAAGGTTTGTAGCTGGAGGCTGTTCTCATCCCACCTGATACTAGCCGCACTGCGAAAGCTCAAGAGCGGACCGTTCTCGTACGTGAAGAAATCTAAGTTGCCATTGTTGAGTTCAAGGAAGGCAAAATAGTCGCGTGGAAAAGAGGGATCATTGAGCCTTTCGATTAGAGACTTGATATTTAGGGATAAACAAAAATGATATTTCCATTCGCCCTGGGTGCATTTTTGTATGCGGCCTTGGCTTGATCCATGTGCAAATTTGATATGGCTCAGTAGTTCCGCCACTTCATCAATGTCGTGTTGGTTCCATGCGCGAGATGGCAGCTTACCAGGCGGAAATCTTCGTGGAGGAGCTCGCGAAGTGTATACTCGTGGTGCGGGAGCGTTTCGATTCTCTCTACGACGTAACGCCGTGATAAGTATGAGGCCAGAAATCGCCAGGAGGATCAAGTACATTGAGATACCCATGTCGGAATATACTTAGACAATAGCTCAGGAAAATATAGCACCTAGTAGAATACCATATATGATTGATACCTGGTAGTTGAAATGTACCTAGTCTAACATCTACCTGTTATAGCCACAGTGACGTTTCTAAAGGAAAAGCCATGTTATTTAAACATCCGTAACCTTTTATAATTTCTAGTAATAACCATAGGATCTGAAACTCTACCTAGGTAGGTAATACTCCAGTTGCTTCGAGAGATTAAATTGGGTTATAGATTTGTGAGATCTTCATGAAAGGTATTCCAGACATCCAATGGGTACCCCTTGACAACACGTCACATACACCCTTTATCTGAATTATATTTCAAGATAGATCTAGATATGTTGTAATAGCCTCGCTGTTACGGAAAAAGGACCAACCGTCTAACCTAAGTCATGGAAGCTCACAACTCTTTGTTCGTCATAAGACAAGCACCAGAATGTTGGCAGCCAATATATGAAGTCAATGAGAGATATGACTGCCTGGTTAGGTATCTACTAGAGAAGTATGTGGATCTATGCTTCCTGTCGGACAGCTTCTGTATATTTTTCATCGTCGGATATCACATTAGACGGAGTTTCAGAACAAATAATGTCTCATTAACTCTCATAAATAGATCGTATATGCGAATAATGACAGAATAGAGAAATATGATGATCAGTCAAGAAGCATAAAGTGGAAACTAGAAAATATCAATATCAAGGTTCTTTGTATAAGATCCAAGACAAGTTCATCAACTCTATAATCATAGATAGGTAAGCCGACATCCTAGGACGTTTAATAGATTAGGTAGGCACATACCTACCTACCTACCTACTAGGTAAGTATCAATGAGGTTGATCAATATATACATACTACTTACCTTTGAGAGTTGGCATCCATAGTGTGGTTTAACTACTTCATAGTTGGGTAAAATCTAGATGTAAATGTTGCTAAATTCTACAACATATTATGAGATGAAGTTCATCATTACCTTTGCCTTAGGTATGCAAAGATTTACCAGGATATCTTTAATCTCCTCATGCACCAGGGAAATGAATACTCTAATTATAATTATCCCTCAGTCGAGAAAAAATTAAAACAAGAGGCCACATAGATAAGAAAGCATTTATGATTGATCCCGTGGTGAGTCTGTTCATTATAGAGAGGTCCGTGGCATATATATGGTTTTTGATGATGACCTTTCAACCAATCATCTGGGAGTTTGGCCGAGTGGTTAAGGCGTCGTGTTTAGGTCTTCCAAAAGAACACCTTGTAACCCGCGATGGGAAACCGCGCAGGTTCGAATCCTGCAGCTCTCAATTGAATTTCTTTTTTGAAGACTTTTATTTTTTTTTTCTTTTGCCCACTTGGCGCCGTATTCTCAAACGCCTGGTGGGTTAATTTTTTTTTTTTTTAGTCTAGAATTCAATTAGAACAATCCAGTGGAATGGAATTTAGCGTTATGCGTATCCAAATCTAGACGTTTGATTGGGAGAAAGCCGGTGAATATACTTCGCATTAGTAATGCTATGCACATGCACAGGCACAAGTTCGAGATGCATGTACACGGTAGTTTAAGAAAAGCTGAAAAGCTGAATGTGCACAAGATATAAGCAATTAACATATATGAAATTAATTCGTTGTATCACCATTTTTATTTTATCCAATCGTAGCTTAAGTTGTACATATATGGAAACACCTGGAACTTGATTTTCCATTTTTTATAGTTATAACAAATCACATCGTGGCTTATAATATCGATCATATATCCCCCCTTTACTTTCTTGGAGAATGGCCCACTCCAAGTTTATCTCGCCACCTCAGGCTCTAGTGTATTATAAAACTCGGATCTAAAAGCGACGCGATAATAATATTAACTAAAAAACAAAAGACTAACTAACTAAAACCACCTGAAATATAAACTTCCAGGAACGATACCGTGATGTTCTGATGCTACGGATATGATGGAGGTTTCTCTCTCTCTCTCTCCTATAATCGTCAGGACGTCAGGACGTCAGGAGCTGACCGCTAAACCACTCGGCGAATCTCAGCAGGTATAACGGACGAGGTCTACGCACGTACAGGCGGGTGTCGGTATGCCAATAAGCTCCTACCTGGGCATCCAGGGGATCCCGATTGTCATAGTCGACGAGGTCGCATGCCCCCCATTTCCGCGCCAGCTCCTCCTTCTCCGCGGGGAACCCGTCTTCCTGCTTGTATTCGTACACGATCATATCCCGGACTCGCCGTGGACACCACCCCCCGAAATTGAAGCAGCCTTCCGGGAGTGGCAATTGGCTGGGGGGAAAAACAATCAGCGAATGGAAAAAGAAAGGGTTGGTTAATGGGATTTGGAATGGGCATGACTCACGCGCAACCTGGTATCTGGATTTCGTTGCCACTCTCTTCGTCGGCAACTTCGAACCAGAGTCTATCCTCGAACGTCCCCGTGCGAGGAACCTCCATGGTGATAATCGCGACGGGCCGAGCGTATTCTTGGATTATACGCATGGTGGGACACTCCGGCGGACCAGCCATGTCGAAAACCAGGGTATTGTCGTCGATATACGTAAACTGCTCGTGCGTGCCGTAACTTGGATCGAGAACGATAAACTTACCGAAAGGTAACAACGTCTGGAGCGCCTTGGTATGTTCAAGTCCGTACTCGGGATCCGCGGTATACAGAGGGATATTTTTTCCTGTCCTCTTTTCTAATTGCTTAACTATCGAGACGGCAGCGATGTGCTGGGCGATATTCCGCGGCATCACGATGTTACGGGGTCTCTTCGGGTTATTGTCGTCGCACTCCTGATTGGCGCGACGAAAGTTTGGTCTAAGTATACGGCCGAGTCCTAGGCAAACCACTTTGTCGATTCGCTCCGGCTGAGGGATGCTATCTACGGCCTGCTCGAACTGGCGAGCTCTGGAATTGTCTGCGCGCTGCCATCTTTCCCACGCCTTGGTCAGAGTTTGCTGTATCTCTTCCGCGGCTATGGTATCGCAGTCCTCGAAGCTCTGCAGAGTACCCTGCTTATACGGCTTATGATACTTGGTGATAAAACTGCTTTGCGTTAGTGATTTTATTTTTTAATACGGATACAGGTAGGTATTCCTTTCTCGACAGCGAAGTTGGTCAAATAATAGGAGGTAGATAGGTACTTTGAACATACTCTTTTGCGAAGCTTGCGGAAATCTTAGTTGGCTTCATCTGCTTAGGGGGGCAATCCGCTTGAACCCTTTTATGGCAGTAGAGATAAAAGTCTTGGGAATCTTTATATTTTGTGCCTCTGATATTTGCCGCACAGAACATGTACCAGTTGCATCGCCCGACAATCTTGTCATTTCTTTCCTGGCTACCCGTTTTAAGTCCCCGAATCTCCCTCTTAAGGAAGTCAGCCTCAAGGATATCCTCCATTATGCTAGCAATGTAGATATGTGGATTATGGAGACCAGTATATGCGCCCAAGAAAAAGGTGTTGTTGCTAGACCTATTATTTCAAGTCTTTTTTCCAAATTTCATGCAATCCGTCGTAGCGTTACTTAAGTAGGTAGAAATAAAAGTTTGATTCTTTAGTAAACAGGTCTACCTAGGTAGTAATTTACTCAATACCTAATAGCTTGACGTTCACAACCACGTAATGAATGACTTCTGTGTATCTGACATTAGATAGATAGCTGTCAGCTTCAGCTAGTGACAACGAACACCGTCATACAGGTATTTCGATAGAGAGCACGGTCTAGGCTATGAAGCACAGTTGTGGAGAAAATGATGCGTTGTGGTGCTTGTTGGAAGTAAGACAGCAATTGTAGTCAGTTCAGCTGAACAGCGCCGCTCTCTTATATATTACCTGTTTCGCCTCTTACGCGAGCCTTGTTTACAGCGGAATGTTCTAGTAATAGTTTCAGCGCGCCACCACATAGGATGACATATAATTAGTAGCTTGCATTCTTACTTCTCGTGACACGCAGATATATTTTTTGGATTCTTTTTCAGTGATGATGATGATACGCACTCCTGATTCATGCCTGAAATCCTCGTTTCGTTATATGTGCTCTGTGCCATTGGCATGTGACTTGTAGAGCCTGCTTGCCTAGATATGAGCCCCATCGATGTCTTGGGGTGGGACATGGCTGGCCGTGAATAAGACGACCCTACCTGATATATTATAGGAAGGCTATTATCTAGTAAATAAAGTCAAAATGACATGTGGTGGCTACGTGGCTGGGGTTAAATAAAAATGCTGCGTGTACTGAATTAATAGACTGATATTTTGCACCAACGCAGGGCGTAGGTGCAACGTCAGAGCCACCTGAAAGGGTAGCCCAACTTTATATTAAAAGGGGAGTGGTGAATATCTCCTCAAGATGGGACGGTGAAGCACCCAAGGCTTCGGATTCTACGAACCCTTACGTGGCTAGTATAGAGTTAGAAGACCCCTGTATCATATTAGTTGGTCCAATTATGATTTCATCCCCTACCGTATTATCGACCAATGGATTGTTTTATCTCTCGAGCCTCAAGACCAAGGGAGGCTGCCTGTGACAGGGGGGGCGGGATGGATATGATAAAACGTCTAAATAAAATTTCCAATCTGTGTGTCTATACTTATCCTATCTTGTTCCCAAACTTTTCTCTTCAGAGACGATATATCCCCCTTTTTTTATACCCCAAGACACACGCCATTCCGCATTGTCTTAGGAGTTTTCATTTGACCAACTACGATCCCATTAAAAATTACACTTAAAAAAGGAACCCACAGATGCCATACATTATCCTATCCCACTCATGTGAAACCCCATAAACAGCCCACCCAGCTGCCGTAAGACGGTCCACAGGCCGCCCGCCAAGTCGGTGATGGGCGCCTTACTTACTTGGCAACGCCGATGCAGGCGAAGTACTTCTTGAAAGCCTGAACTTCGACGCTGAAAACGCCATCGCGGTCAAGAAGGGCCGCTGGCGGCCAGAATTCTGGCTCGACTCGGTCGAGGAGGCCGGGGTAGGACGTTAGGCCGCGGGGCTCGGTGACGCCCCACGGGTTTCGGATGATGATGTATTGCTATCGTCAGAGTCAGCTTCTCCACCTCCAAACAAGGCTCCCAATATCTGCCAGCCAGAAGTAACGCTCGCCGCTTCCGAGGGTACGCTTTCTGCGGAAAGCTATAAAAGGGGGGGAGAGGGGGGGCGGATATGATAATGAAGGGAAGGGTACTTACGTTCTCTTCCTGGCCCTCGCTGACCCAGCCCAGGACCGAGTACGCGTGGTTAGCGACCAAATTGCTGCCGCGGAACACTGCAATGCCGGAATCAGCACATATACTCTCTCCAATAACGACTCGTCGCAATAAACAACAAGGGGAAAGAAAAGAAAAAAAATTGCTTCTTCCTATCTCTCTCGGGGCGCAAACACGCCACCGCCGCCGCCACCAACCGGCCCGAAAAAAAAGGCCCAAGCCCAAAACAAACGAAAAAAAAAACCGACAAAAGAGAAAGAAGAGAGGCTCCAAGGACGCGGTAGTAACATACTGTCTCCCGTGGCGTGCGTCCACGCGGCCATGGGGCTGATGGTGCGCTTGTTCACGCTGCACGAGCGCACGAGGCCCACGAGCTCGGCCCCGGAGTGGCGGTCAGTGAAGTAGTAGCGGGGCTCGCGGCCGTTGATTTGGGCCACTATATAGCAACAAATGGGGGAAAACCCCCTCCCAAGTCGTTAGCCTTTCTTCTTCTTCTGTCATTCTCGCTTTTCGATAGTTACGTCTTAAAAGGGGGGTTAGGCTAGGCTAGGGTTGGGTCTTGGGTCTTGGGGGGCCGGGGACGGGGGCCGGGGACGGGGGCGGGGGAATTCTCCGACGTTTTGGGGGTTTGGGGGTTTGGGGGGGCGGGACACGCCGGGAATAGGGGAAGAAGGGAAGGAAGGAGAAAGGGATGGAGCGGAATGGAGGGGGAAGGGGAAAGGAAGGGGAAGGGAAGGGAAAGGGAAATAAGAGAAAGAGACATTGGGGGTTGAACGCACTGGCCTTGATCGGGTCGCCGCTATGAGCCTGCGTCAAGTCGACGCGGCCCTTGTCCTCGGAGCGCGTCATCCACTTGACGAAGGCCTTCTCGTAGAGGGCGGGCCAGGTCTCGTAGCCGTCGCTCGAGCGCGCGTAGATGGGCATGTCGGTCGTGTTGTTGACCGGCACCTGGTAGTCGACCTCGACGGTGTCCGTGTCGGCGTTGTTGCGCCCGCCCTTGTCGTGGAAGCGCACGCTGAGGGTGGGTCGACGATCGTTCCCCCCGTTGTTATCGTCGTCGTCGCCGTTGTTGTTCCCGCGGTCCATCGGCCCCGAAATCATCCGCGTCGACCGGTTGATCATGGCCGGGTTCGCCCAGAACACGGAGAAGATGGCCGCGATCAGCCAGCTGTCGCTCGAGGCGCCCTGGGTCGGGTCGTCGAACCGGTGCTGGTACTGCTCGCAGAGCTGGTGGCGAGACAGGATGCCGCCGCCGTGCACGGCGAAGGGCGGCACCCCGTCCATCAGGGAGCGGCGCGGGAAGGCGCGGAAGATGACCTCGCTCATGTCGCGCCAGGAGCTGTTGGGCGGGGACCAGTGGCCGCCCTCCTCGCCGTGGCGGAAGGGGAGCACGAGCTCGTTGATGGTCTGCGTGACGTCGTGGTTGCCGACAGTCTTGCCGAGCGACTTGCCGTCGAGCACGAGGCGCAGCTTGCCGTTCTGCATGCGCGCCATCTTGACACGGATGTCGCCGACGCCCTTGAGGCCGATCTTCTCGAGGTCGTCGATCTTCTTGACGCGCGACAGGTCCGGGGTCACGAGGTCGCGCTCCTCGAGGATCTGTATGTCCTTCTCGTTGAGCTCCTCGGCCTCGCGGTTCTCCTCGTTGAGCTTGAGGCCCGCGAAGAGCACCGAGTTGTGCTTCAGGTCGAAGAGCTCCTCGTAGTCCGTCTGCAGGACGTCCGCGATGATGCGCGCGGTGGACAGGGAGCGGCGGTCCAGCCTGTGACCGATCATGGCCTCAACCAGAGCGTACGGGTTGACGGCACCGATGAATACGTCCTTTGGAGGCTCGTCGGGAGAAGGCTCCTGGCCGAGGAGAGGGCGGTCATCCCTATCGTCACCGAGGACCTCGTAGTCCTCGGACATGGTCCTGGAGGGGATATAGCGCCTGTCGATCTTGTGGCCCGTAAGAGCCTCAAATAGGGCGTAAGCATCAATGTTGCTAGGAGCTCCGCGGGGAGATTCAGAGGAAGATCCAGAGGTAACCATTTTGAATTTAGTTGGTAGTAAGTGATTAGTGTTATAAGGGTGAATGAACAGTAAATAATAATCTGATGAATTGCCGAATGAATTACTGAATGAATCGCTGCTGGCTGAAGAACCTGAGATATGTTTAAGGAGGCTACACGGTATATTTATGTCTTCGCTAATGTTCAAGACACACATGTTTATTTCGCTATGTCGACGATGTAGCCGTCAAGTCAAGCTCTCGTATCCGCCAATTTTTGCTTATATTGACAAGGCCGAGCCGAGCGCTTAATGCAGAACCTGAGGATAAACATGAAATTCTCTGGCGCTGACCGACTGGAATCCGCCGACTGCCTGGGTTCCGTTACTAGGCAAAAAAATAGGTTATAATTACGTATTTTCTGAAGTACCATAGGCATTCACTTAGAAGGTTAAAGTTCGCAGCAACAGCGAGCAGCTGGAATGATCTGATGCGGACATATTCTCGTCTTGGTGGCCCATGTAGGTTTCTACTTGCTCATATTTTCCAGGAGAAGGTCTTGGCTGTCCGGGGAAGTGATCATATAGTCCTAGTGACTGGAGCAAAACACTCTTGTATGAATGTCCACATGCTTGAGTAAGAACGTCGCAAAATCCCTGAGGACAAACCAGTGCTATATGGCTAAGTGAGTGAGTGCATGTGCTTATGGAGGTTTGCTAGTCAAATCGGAAAACAGGCGACGGGCTCCTAAAATTGGCTGTCTACCTAGTACCTACATTGTTTCTAGAGGATATGATGGTGTAGGTTAAATCTTAAGTCACCGTCGGGTTCGAGGGGAACGGGCGGGAAAAATAAGCTTTAGATAATTCGGCGTAGATGAGGAGCGTAAAATCTCGTGAATGAGCTGAAGCTAAAGACAAGTTTCCTTGAAGTTCAGCTTCATGTTGACAGTAATTCTCGGTTAATCCTGAGCTGAATGTAGATTATGGAGAAAAGTTCGGTATTTCTTACTAGGTTTACGGTATGCATTGCGTATAATTCTATTTGAGGCCGTATTATAGCAAGTATATGATGGAACTTTTAAGGATTACATACATGTACTGAAGTATTTGCACATCGCCTCATTGGGTACCCAAGTCTGATAGGACATTAATGTAGTAACATGAGATGAGAATCCAACGTTAAAAGCTACCTATATTATAATGTGTCTTCCTTCACTTGTCAAGTCACTTTTCATCCAGTCCTAATAGCTACCTCTAACCTAAACTAAGTATACGGCTCAACACCATCCCAGCGCGATGGCAACAAGGTAGAGTCGTCTAACGTGAAACTCAATTCGTTACCGAAACCTACCTAACCTAGATTACCTACCTCTCTAGACGAGGAGCTAACTCATCATCTAGGTACTCCTGTGCGTTTAGCTCTCCGGGTACCTGAACCTTGAGTGGTTTATTCAGGGGACCGAGCCTAATATTATTTCGACTAGGCCGTTCTAAACCGCCATTTCAAAACATGGTTGCCCCATGAAAATAGAAAGGTATACAACGATCGATAATAGATTATGTGGCGAACACAATACCATCCAATGTAGACACGCTGATAATCGATGAATCTTTAGCTTTACAAAAGATAACTCACCTTGACAGTGCTACCCTTAGCTGTTTGTTACACCCCTCGAATCACCAATATCTCCTTCACTCTACTACGAAAACACAAGTCACCAAAAACCCCGTAAAATACTTCGTCGAAAACCTTCATGTGACTCAGCAGCTATATAGCTGATGGTGACTTTCTTCCCTATGCTTATGCTAGACCCGTAAGCCACAACACTCTATGTTCGCAATAGCTGCGATAGCGGCAGTACGAGCCTGTATGTACATCATAAGACAACTAACCGGGAAGAGGTACCTAAGGGAAGTAACCTAGATAAGGTCCGCCTATTCCGAATGAGCCAGGTTAAGAGCCAGCCGATTTATCCGTATACGAAAGAGCCAGTTAAATGGCTACCCAAGAAGTAGTTTCTTCGTTTGATCCGTTCCATCCACTATGCAGAAAGGGTTGGGTCGAGGGTAGTTAAGGAGTCCATAACCACCGAGTGGTCAGGATGAAGAAGAGAGAGGGAGAAAAAAAAGGGAAGGGATATCAGAAGAGTCAACAAAGGAAAAGACATGAATTGATAGTAACATGAATATGATGATGTAACTGCTAGAACGCCGTGTAGTAAGTAACCGCAAAGCAGAAAACCCTTGACCGACAAGTCTATGAACCAATGCCATGCCCTTCAAAACGAAGGAATGAAAACAGAAAAAAAAGGAAAAAAAAAAAAAAGATTTATCGTAATCTCATTGTGAGGTATAGTATGTGCAAATGCGTCCAACCTCGATGCCTAATGTGCACGACTGCTTACTCCGTCATATGCTGGATGCTAGTCAAACATCATTTTTCTCATTAAACTTCGTGCTGTGAGGCTCGCCTGAACCCATCTTTCCTCTACCTGCTCTTTGATCTTCTTCTCCCAAGTCATTGAAGTCTCTACCAGCGTCCGACCGGAACAGGCGCACCGTAATTACCAGCCATCAGCTGGTCTAGGATGGAGCTTTGGTTGGCGGGCGCGTTCGAGGTACTGCCGCCTGCGCTTCCACCAACCCATCCGACGTTCGCAGCCATCGAAGAGATTGCAGCGCCTAACCTCCCACCAGACTGTTGATTGTGCTTGGCAAGCTTCTGGTCCCAACCGCCCGAATGTAAGACAAAGCCGGCCCCCTTTTTAGAAGCTTCGTTGATTACCAGAGCCCAAGCTTGCGATATTTCGTAGTAGACGTTCTCCTTGTGATGCCGGTGGCTCTGGCTTTCCCAATCAGGTAAACTATGCACTACCTTCGTAGCACCATCTAGGTATTGTAGAGAGAGGTTGGCGCTTGTCTCGTTGGGCGGGAGGAATTGGTGAGTAAAGTCAACGAGGGCATCGATCAGCGCGATCAGTTGGTGTTTAACTCGGTAATACGTGTAGTCGGAACTCGACTCGCCGTAAGGGAACGCATCTCGTAATTTATCTTGGTACTCCTTCAATACTTGTAGTGCGCATTCGACGGAGGGCTTCGGTGCGCTCTTTACAACTTCCTCTCCGATTTCAGGTTGTCGCTCGCAAATGGTTTGTAGTACGGTTCGCAGTTGTGTGATATCGAGAGTCTCGAGGAGTCGAGGGAGCGATAAAGGTCGACCGGCTAGTTCATTTGCCCGAACCTTCTTCGACGGTCTCGCAGCAAGTTGTCGCGATTGAGTAGCAGGAGAGTTGAGAGGTGAGACCGACATCTCATCGCCGTCATCTTCGGCCTTTCGCTTTCGGTTGCTAGCCATGGCATTATGAAAAGGAGACACTATATTAAGCACAATTGTTAGTACCAGGTAGGTAAATGCTGCTACTTGTTTCTTCTTTAGGTAATTATAAAATAGTCGAGTCCCGCGGCTTAGGATCGCACGCAGGTAAAGGGGTATCAAGACAAGGCCCCACAAGAACTCGACATAATGGAAGTTAAGGAAAACAAATAAATATAGGTTACCTATATATTTAGGTACATACTTGCGCGAGAAGGCGACCGTCGATTGGTCTCGTGTTGATGAGGGAAGAAGGACGGCGGTTGCGGTTGCGGCGATAACAGAACGTTCATTATGCCAGCAGATTTTTTTTGGTAATCCTTCCTCGCGAATACGTCGTCGTCGTCGTCGTCGTCGTACTACTTGTTATCCTCTATCCTATTTCTTCTCCCGATAATTGCCTTGGTTGAACTACGGTAATAAAACTATGGTGATGTCGACACCACGCTGGACTGATGGACGGATCGACGATACGTTTGTCTGAGGTACGGCGGAGTTGACGTCGTCGACGGGAACAAACCGGAGGTGTAGGATGTTCAGGATGGAGGAAGGAGATGGAGCTGAGCGAGGAAGAAGGGAGAAACCAAAGGTAATTAAAAAGTAGAGGTGGGGAGGAAGTAAGAAGGTGGATAAGTAGAAGAGGGTGGATCGAAGTAAAAGAATGTTGTTGTTATTTTGTACTATTAGCTTAGGTTAGGTAAGGTACCTACTTTTTTATTCCGTCTGGTCACTCAGTCAGTCATACGTTTTAAATAAAAATAAAAATAAAAATAATAAGGGTGCCTAATATTGGGCTGCGCATTGACGACTAGTAGCGTAGCTGTTTAAGAAAAAAAGGAATAAGGAAAATCAATTTAAAAAGGTTGCTTAGCAGCCTTGGGTCGATTACCTATTCCTTTTAATTGAAAAGGATTTGGAGGTTATGTTGTGTGAGACTGTGAGTGTGTGTGTGTATGCATGTGTACTTCGGACGGTTATGTCTAGTGTGTGTGGATGATGTGGATTGGATGTTCCAAGGAAAATGATACGCAAAGATGAGCAATGATTGATTAGTTCAGTAAAAAAAACCGCCATCCGCCATCCGCTAGCTCGGGCAATTGGCAGTTACCGTACCTAAGGGGAAAAAAAAGAGTCAGGCCCCAAAATCTCCAATCTATCCTAGCCATGTCGTTGGTTCCCTCGATACCAGCTGGTGGAGAAAGGTCCCTGTGGCTGCTGTAGTAGCGCTGTAGTAGTACCCATATTAGACTAGCGTGGCCAGTTTGCATTGAAGGTATGACTTAGGTAGGTATCAGCAAGGTGCAAGTTCATCAATACCTAGCGATCCTACCTAGTGCCTCATGCATCTTAGGTAGGTAATTAATGTGATTACTTTAATGCAGCTTCCTTTTGCCATGAGAGGTACCTAAGGTATGATGTGCCTTACATTAAGTACATTGTCTAACACATACCTATATCTTACCTTAGGTTAATATTCCCTTTCAATAAATACCAGGTAGTTTATGTAAACATACCATAAACATTACACATAATTAATTTCCACCTCTAGCATCTTCCAGTAACATCACCATAAAAAATTAGGTTAGGTATGTGTTAGGTACGTACAATACATGCGCCTTACATCAGTACCTCTCGTTCGTCGGAAAAGTCTTATGCATAAAATAGCTTATTTTAGACAGCCAAAAAAAATGCACAGCATCAAACCACGACAACCCCTCGTCAAACTTACGCATGTGGGGGGGGAATGGGAGGAAAACAAGTCATAAGCCAACACAGCAACTTGTTCAAGGGTCATCCTGTCCCTCGTCCTGATTGGTCGTAACAAAATCCACCACTAGAAGATACTATGTACAACGTGACCGCCTCTTTCTTGCTTCGAGCATCATCAATTCCATTGGAGAGAGAACAGCTTAGCATTAGGTTGATAAAAGGTGAAGATACTAGGTACCATTCAAAGCTCTACGGGAGATACATCAAGGTTATTGTACACCACGCAGTCATATCACTAAATAGCCGAGGCGAGTAAGAGGTACATTACTAGTAAGTGAGCTGGCTGGCTAGTGCCCAAGGAAGATGACCAATCACGGTGCACAAAGTCGACCTCAGTTTTACAACAACGTATTACATTCACTATTACTAGCTTTTTTCTACACTCATATACAGTAACCTCATTAAACCCTCTTCTCATCGCGGCTAAGCCGACGTTCCGGCTAAGAATCCAGCTTTTCTTTTTGTGTCGAGATCATCAAGACTCAAGAGTAGTAGTCCCTCGAGAATACGGGAGCTTTGGCGAGCTTTGCAGTTAAGCTCGAGTTTCAGTACAAGGTCTATTGGAGAGACCTTGGAATGACATTAACACTTTGGACACCACCCACACCCCCTTCGCACTTTTTTTTTTTTTTTTTTAACTTTTTTTGGTTTTCCAGAGAAAAAAAAAACTTGTCCTCTATCACATATGGCAAACACTTCCTCTCCCTACCCATAGGGAGAGAGAAGCGTAGTGTGACAAGGCATGATACCTGACATAAAAAAAACGCGAAAAAAAAAATCAGCATCTTGCCAGACTACTCCGATGGTAACTGAGAGGAGATACCTAGGAGTCTGGTTGAGACGACAGGAACAAGAAATCAAAAGAAACAAATGACTGGAGCCTAAATTCATCCAGGGGCTTAAAATAGCAGGAGCTGTTTGCACGTAAAGCTGTGTGCTAAAAACCCGAATCTGAAGTACAAGGCGTGTCTGGAAGAACATCCGTAGAAAATCGACAGGCTAAACGTATCAAGGACGCCGCAGATCGTCTATTTAAAGTGTCGAAAGCCGTCCTGTGATGCCCGAAACTGGACTCAACTTGCCTGTTGCGGTTCGTTCATGGCTCGGTGTTGGGGTGTTAGCATGGTTTTCAGTATGGTTCGCCCAACGAGAGGCCCTAAGGCCGCCGAACGGTGTAGTCCGGTCCCGTAAAGCATCTCCCTCTCGAACAAGATTGGTACGTGGTATAGGGGATGCACCAGCCTGTAGTGTAGACGCGGGAGATTCCCTAATTGCGTCGCCGGTAGCCTTGACGTCTGTTTGGCCTGTCTCAGCGGGTTCTTGATTATAAGACCTTAATAGGTCCAAGAATTTCCTAGTCTTCTCTGACGTCCCTTCAGTTTGTGTTTGGCCCATAGACTGCTCAGCTTCTGCGTCTCTTGCTATTGATCTCGAAGACTCTGAGTCCAAAGCATAGTTGCCTACGGATGACGACTCCAGTTCTAGGAGTTCAGTCACTTTAAAGAAAACATCATTGAAGCGATGAACTCGACGGGGACAGGGGCTCGCGCGTTGTCGTAACGTAATCATCTCGTCGATCGAGCGGATAATTGGAGCGTTTCCATGCATGACATTGGCATATACTACCGCAATTGCCTTTTTCTGGTCGTCTTCGTTCAAGCCTCCGAATTCTTCATATTTCTTAAGCTGTGTCATTGCGACTTGCATGGCCGCCAGTTTGGCGGCCGGTATTGGTGATGAATCCCAAGCCCATTTGAAAAACTCCGAAAGGTAACGGTACATTTTGACCATGCCCTGGTAATCGCGCATCGTCAAGAAAGATAGTACGCGAAGAGAGTCTTGAGATATATCTTCTCCAGGTCTGATCGTTTCGATAGTCGTGACGTCTTGCTCAAGTTGCGAAGTGGAAAGCATGGCTGTGCTGAGGTTGAAACTATACTGTGTCATAACCGATGGAGACATAGTCTGTGATCGAGCTGTTGTAGGGCGTGTACATTCGCTGAGTGTTGGGAGTACAGGCACTCTTTGAAGATTAGCCAACTCCGGCACGCCTATGGAGTCAACTACTGGCAGCCTGACTACTGGCTTGGGGTTGGCGGCTAGATCTGTGAGATCTATGAGATCTGAAGAAGATGTTTGTATCTTAAGTGATTTCGGAGAACTAAGATCAATGAGATCTTCATTTGAAACCTCCACATCTTGGGCTGCGACGGGTGAAATACGGGTCGGGGTGCCGACTCTAGGTTGATGAGTTTGAGGTACTTCATTCTTCGACGCTTGTTCGTCTGTCTTTCCGGAATTCTTATTGCCCGCATTAAGCTGTAGCTCGGCTAGAGAGTCAGTTTCTGTGACTTCCATATACAGTGGTTCCTGAGAATTCTGCTGCTGTTTCCGATAAGAGTTGACTACTCCTTGAAACTCATTCGCAGCTAAAATATTGTCGAAACGTATCAGACTAGACCGCACTTCGGAATTCTCGCCATCCTGTCGTCGCAGATGAATCTTACTTCCGTACTGAAATGGGCTCAGGCAGAGACGGATATCACCTCTCGTTGCTTTACCATTGTCAATACTTAGCTGCCACATGACGATGTTGTTCTGGGGTCGTTCAAAGACCGAAACTTGACCAGGGCTAAATTCACCTACTCCAAAGACAAGCATAATAGTGACATTTTTGTCGTTGAATACAACTCGATCCGGCTGAGATTTTTTGGCTTGGACAAGATTGTTACTGGCGTGGCTGGGCGTGTTGGCTGTAGGCTCAGGTAGTCGCCATTCGTGTGGGAGAATAGTATTCTCTCGTCTATGAATTGCCGGTCGTTGCGGTTTCTCTGCGACTGATGTACCACGCCTAGTTCTGGGTGCGTTGGATTTGGCGGTCCAATGAGCTGGGACGCTGGCTTCCCTTCTCGATTTGGAATTCCATTGCTTAATCTCCGCCCCAGGTGGCACGATACCACCCAGCGAAGCTTCTCTATATCCTGATTGAACAGGTTTAGCAGGCCTTTTTGGCTTTTTGACATAACCAGGATTCCTGACACCGTATTAGCATAGGTTTCCTCATCGACTCTGAACGATCAAAGGCCACGTACAATGGGTCATACATCGGGACATTGCTCTTGGCATGGCTGCCGGGGCGGTTATTATGGCTAATAACATTCCTGCTGCCTTCGTGCTCTAGCATCACTTCAGCTCGGCTTAGGCGGTGGGCATTTCCGCCGTCAAGCAAGTTAAGATCCTTAACGGCATGATAATCCGAGTCATTAAACAGCCCCTCACTAAAGGCGTCTGTGCCAATCATTAGCTGGATGTTAAGGGGCAGCTATGGTATATGTTATATAAATAACTCACTCTTCCACTTTGCGACTGGGCCGCCAGCTGGAGGGATTTGGTTAGGTTGTGGTGAGAGTATGTTGTTGTGGCTTGTTAGAAATGATTCGCGATCTCGACGCTGAGCTTGATTGCCATCTGTAGCTAGCTCTTCAAGCCGGTTATTACCAAGATCATCCTATTGATGAGAAGAGTTAGTATCTATTTCAGATCTTGGAGTCTTCGAATATGAAATATGGTAATAGGGTGAGACTTACCATCATGGCGTTCATGGCACGCTGTTCAGCCTCCTTCAGGGAGGGATGGGTTGGTGAACCACTCATGGTGAGAGGCTAACAAGTAGAGTTGACGTTATACCCGAAGTGTGTGTACAAATCAGGAGGGATCAACGTAAACTAAGACTAATCCCCAAGTTGCTCTGTCCAATGCAGTATTGCAAAAATGCAGCATACACAACTGCTTAAAGGTCTTAGTTGTTAGCCACAATTACCTCCTACTGATCTGGGTAGTCAGGTTGACACTGAATCTCAAAACCCAAAACAAAGGGCCGACAGTGAATAGTGATAATGAATAAAAGAAGACTTGAGGGGGAAGTTTTGTGTTGTATGAAAATTTGTTGAAAAGGAAAACTCAATATAGCTCGAGGGCCCTGCAGAAAGTACGCGACTTGCGCAGGTACGTAAGGGCAGATAACTCACACCCAGGGTGCTTCTCAAGAAATGAAGAAGGCAGACCAGGTAAAAGTAGGAAGGGGACGGTGATGAAGATTAAATAGTGTATGTGTGTATACAGGAAAGGTATTGAGAGTGGAAGTCGGGAAGAAAGGTAACAACGTTGGGAAGGAAGAGAGAGAGAGCTATGGCGTTTCAGGGGTTCCAGGCAGGCGTAACGTTAAAGGAAGTTACATACCTCCACCTCTTACTGCCTGACTATCATTTGAAATAAACAAGTAAATCGCACCCACAAAAAAACCAAAAAAAAAACCAAAAAAAAGCCGGATTACCTTTAAGACTGTTAAAAAGTGCTTTTGGAAACGCGTAAGTTTCCTGCACGCCTTGTGTGGATACTGAATCTGGTGGTTAAGAGGTAGTCAGTCTGGTGTCTGTAAGGTTGAATGCCTGTGCTATTCGGCGACGCGAAAACCCTTGAAAATATCAGATTAATAGAAAGATTAAACGCGACGAATATTTTGACGAGAAATGCAACCCAGTGAGTGTACCGTTTAGATACTTTGGCAGTCGTTTCTAAGGGTATGAGAGAGGGGGGACAGAAATGGGAAGCGTACCTAGGTATATTAGGCGTCAACTTACGTCCCCAGAATACACTCCAGATTTATTTGCTTGGTATACCCTCTAGTTTAACCTTGTAAAGGGAATTCTTCTTATTTTAGTTGCCGTGTGTCTAAGGTAACAGACGGCGGGATGAAGGAGTTAAGGAGTAAAGAAGGTGTAAAAGTAGAAAGATGTTCTGCACCAAGTTACGGCGACACTATCATTGTAAGGTACCTTGGGTAATTACGAGGTTGCCTTAGGTATGAACATTTAGGATAAGACTGCAGCTTATACATGCATAGATAGCATGTTCGTGCTGTGTTTCCAGGGCATTCTTTTATGCACGTTTAGCAATCTCTTTTTAAAGCTAGCAGTATGACTTACTAGCTAAAGACGCCTGAAGCAATACCTATCTAACCTAAGGTATGATTTGAACCAGTAGGCGGACCGCAACTGCACCCCCTATATGGCCTACCGTTGCAGGTGCGGTCCACGTACTTTGTAACTTTTCTTTAAGTTTGGTTACCATGTGAGAGGTACTTAAGGTACAGATCCAAACAAATGTTGAGTGTGAACACAAACAAAAAAAGCCCATGTAAAAGCCAACTACTCCAGGGACTTACTTATATAGGTAGGTACCTAACCTAGGCCTAACCTACCTACCTGTACAATGCAACCATCATGAAAATTGCAATATAGCTTTACATACCTAATATAAAGATGAGGATGGTTGGAGATATAATCACCTACTTGTTTGGAAGCACTGTTGTTAAAGGAGGCTCAAGTCATTCACTAGAGATAGAAGACATCACCGCCACAAAATAAAGAACATATTCCAAATAGTCTATCTCCTAGGTCCTTTTACTACCTATTTAGAAAATGTGTATGTAATATCTAGGTACCTAGGTACCTTTCTTTAATTATCAACCTTATGAAAGAAATCTTGTGCGTGCAAAGATAGAACTGTGAGTTTTAAGGGGTACATAGGGGACGAGTAGAAAAAAAAAAAGAAGAAGTTCGCGGCTTTATTGAGCAGTAAAAACTCCAAGACACGTAGAAAATGGCTCCAAGTTGCATAAAACCGTATAAAAAACCGAAACAACTAACTAGCTTGAGCTCAGTGCCAAACATGACTAAATACATCCCAATTATACCAGTTTCATCCTAATCAAAGAGCATCAAATCACAATGCTGGACATCGTAAGTAACCCCCTATACCGGATCCGATACAGTCTTATTCTTCGGACGACTCCAAAATTTCGTCATCCTTCTTTTCGTGCCATTCTCTTCCCAGTCTAGGTCCTATCTTTTCTCTATGATAGATTAAGTACCGTCCTATTCTACCAGGAGGATAGTGATAGCCAATGGCACCACCTCGGCCGTAGCTTTGAGTCGTTAGTTTGCTTGTTACTGGGGAAAATCTGGGATAGAGGTTAAGTTAGGTAGGTAGATTTGGTTTTATAGTTATTTACCAAACTACTTCGAAATATAACTTTTAGTGTACACAAACGCTGGGTAGTCCTTTTCTCCCCCAACCGGATACTAGTTCTCTAAGACGCCTTCAAGGGGCAGGGCGAGTAGTTTGTCATGAAGGTCAGAGGCGCGAATATAAATGTGATAACTGCAAACACGATGGCCATGGCGCTGAAAATGAGGCCGGTACGTGCATCTCGTATGCTGGCGTATGTCCGCTTCATATTTAGCTGATTCTGAATCAGATTGTCGATCCTGTCCGTGTCTTTATCGATCTTAGCAGCCCGTTTCTTGAGCATGTCGATACCCCTTTCCAAGCATTTTAATGCTCGATATCGTGGATGAGACTCCACGGAATTCCTTGCTGCTGGTCTAATATTTCCTGTAGCATAACCGGGTCCTCTCTGATATCGACGATTCTGTGTACAAATTCGCGCTCTTGCACGATGCCTTCGGGTCGTAACAACTTTTGGGGGTCTATATATGCCCCAACGTCCGACAGGATCTGGACAACGCCGTTCTCAAAGATGTCAAGCGGCGGCGGGAATTTTTCACCAGCCTGTGGTTGACCAAATTCGGATCCTTTACGAGCTAACATAAGACCGATAGCAAGTGTAGGGGAACTTGCAAGCCGAGGAGTAATTCACCAAAATTTGATCAAACGGACGAAGACTGTGACGCCCTATTGACTCTTCAGAATAGTTCACGTCATGATATAAATTGGGGGACTTGTGTTCGCCCGTGGAATATAATACTAGAGCCGGCCGTTATCTCTTCAGTATCTAGAACAGGGCTTTGATACATCGATGCGGAATGTCCTTGTCGTGATGCTGGAGTAATCGTATACTAATGTCAAATAAGGGTATGATAGGCGCAGCCTTAGGAATTCGAAAAGGAGAGTTTTGCTCCTCCACTGAGGCCTGCTTATATCGATTAGTTCGATGGGCGTCTTATCATCGCCGTTCTTATCTCTGTAGTTCAAGCGACTCAGAGTCAGGTAGCCATCCTTTTCGACAGATAATGAAGCAATTCTATAGAAGAAGATAGCGGTCTTACATAAAAGACAACGGATCTACCGATGATGTCTCGGCGCACAAAATCAGCGTTTTATTTTTCGATCAGATATTTGACACGCAACGTGCATCATTCATATTACACTAGACAAATTGTTTGATTTTCCAACTGGCCGAGGATTCCTAACTTTATTTTTTAACGGCGATAAAGCAGTATTGACAGTATCGGCAATGAAGGGTTTCCCAACACAGATTACCTACCGAACCGAAAAGCCATGATGAGTCGATGGAGCTAGGTACATCAAGTGGCAAACGAATTCAATCGGCTGTACAATCTTGTGTACAAGAATCATCTGCAGCTACTATGAGGGACAGCGTAGTAGGCAGGTCACGAAAGAGAGGAAAGAGTTGCGCGGATATTCTTAGTCGTAGTCAATTGATGACTTATCTTGCTATGTGGCCGATGGATGTAGAGCTGCGCATTTCGCAACTAAATATGCCGCAGATTAATGCGTATTTCGGTGTCACGGACTATCCACCAAGACATACCCTTTTCTTTGTTAAAGCAGACTGTTGTTAAAGGTACAGGTAGGTAATGAATCCGTTCCGTGGAAATCATCCCTCCATACATACGATATTATATATAAAAAAACGCCTCTTCGTAAGCCCGTTCATTCTTTCAAACCCGACACACACACACACACACGGCCTTCTCTATTTTTTGGACATGGCATCCTTAGGCGGGCCCTTCAAGTCATCTTTGCCCTGACGGCCTATGCGACTTAGGTCGACGTTTTTCGTGCTCGCGGGCTGGCGTAGCCCCGCCTCGGAGGCGGGCCCGGTAGAGATGTCGCTCTCGAGGCGGCCGGAGCCGACGGCCACGGGGCGGGCGTCGGCTGTGTTCCAGTCCGGGGCGACGGGAGGCTCCTCGGGTAAAGGGAGCTGGGATCGGACCTCCTCCATTTTCTCTTCCTTTGATTCGCTCATTTCTATTGTAGATTAACTATGTTAGATTTGAGTTATTCTTATATCGTTGTCGTATGATTACATATTAGGGTATGGTACTTACTTATTAAGTTTGGTAGTTTGTGGTGTAAAAAGTTAGATATGAGATTGGTTGTAAAGTGTAGATTTTGTGGTGTGAAATATCCTCTCGTCTATGATTGAGATGATGAAGGAAATTGAAACTGATACAAACTGCAGAACTCTGGATGCTTTAATAGATACGTCAGTTGGGTGTATGATATAAGATGATATAAGTCTAGGAGCTTTTAGTCCGATGGAGTAGAAGGTATCTTGACGTCATTCGAAGGTTGAACGGTTGACGTCACACTGACCAATCCTGAGCTGTACCCATGTGTGAATTTACTACATAGTGATTCTGGACCCGCCTATTCAATCCCCAAGGTTCCCCTAATTTGTTTGAATAGGTAACCTTCCCCCTGTCACCATATCTTGGGTCCCAGGAATACATACCTAGGTACCTAGGTAGTTGATTTAGGAGTCGATTCAGCGGGAAGATCCGCAGACAACGACGTAATCGACTACCTAAGGTCTCAATACTTCTATATTATACCAAGAAGGGGGACGCCTGCAGTGTCAGAGTGTTTGTTAGGTAAACTGTTTACCATCACATCGGCCATTTAACGTCATACCTAGAACGCCCGAACACCACGTTGATATCCTTAACTACCTCCTAATCTTGCGATAAAAAACCATTAGCCATGCTTTTCAATGCGACATGATCTCATAACTTTTCCCTATAAGGGAACAGCCCCCACTACGCGACTCTCTTGTCCGTTTCTGCAGACGTGGCCTTGTCTCCTTCGTCGGGGTTCAGATAATTCGCATCTTCGGCTGCCTCGTACTCCGCAATTAGATCTGATACCACTTCTCTGGCCTCGTCGAACTCGTGTAAGTTCTCCGAGAAGGGGGCCGTCTTCTTGTAACTCTCTATAAAAGCACCACGCTTTCGCATGTTGTCATATCGACGAACAATTCGTTTAAATAACTATTGTGTGTTTGTTAGTTGATAGTTTCCCAATAGGACGTGTGTATACATATGTGCATTTAAAGACTTTGAAAGACTTACAGTTGCGATGCTGGTGTGGTTGGCTAACATTAAACCACTGACGCGGTGGCTCATTGGGATGTATGGACTGCGCTTTGTCAGGGCGACCTGTATACTCGCTGGGCCCCAAGGTATAAAGGTTGCTAATCTTCGTTCGCGGATACGTAGCAGACTCTTGTGAACATCTGTTGGGTCGACCTCGCCTTGGATGACATTGAGAATGGAAATGTAGCAATTTTTCTTCTCCGGTATAGTTGAGACCATACGATTCTTAGGTTGTAGTAGTCGTCTCATGACATCAAGCACGGTGGTTTTCCTGACCGTTTTAGCTTGTTCAACTTGATCTCCGGTGAAAGGGGTATAGGCTGTCATTAAGAAATGGCAGCGAGGCGTGGGAATTAACGACGCTAGGATGCTAACGAGATCGTTGTGCATGTAACCTGGGTATCTCAATGTGGTGGTACTGGCCGACATAACCGTCGACACTAGCTGGTTGGTTTGTTGGAATGATGGTTCCTGGACGTGTAACCTGTCTGCTGCGATATGGGACAACGCTCCGTTATCCAGAACCACAACCGAATCGGCATTTTGCGTCAATCGTCTCATGGAGAGAAGACTGTTATATGGATGAACGACGACATCTCCTTGGTTTATGGTATCAGGAAACACCGAGTAGGTTTGGATGATCTTTTTGGGGAACCTGTCGTTCATCCGTTCGAGGAGGAAAGAACCTAGACCGGAACCTGTGCCTCCAGCGATTGAATGAAGAAGCATGAAACCCTCGAGAGAATCACTACCATCTGCCTCGCGTTCTATCATCTCCATAATCTCCTCGTGAACCGCCTCGCCGGTCTGATATCCATCACCCCAGTTATTTCCTGCGCCGCTGCCATTTTTACCAACGTAGAAGTTCTCCGGGTTGTAGATGTTTTTGTAAGGGCCAGTCTGTATCCCGTTAATGACGCGGGGTTCGAGATCTATTAGAATCGCTCGGGGAATATATCTTGTATCGTCACTCTGGTAGTAGAAGACATCCTTGCGATCGCCGCCCTCCGTAGCAAAGTCTTCAAGGTTGCCGTCTTGATTGATGCCGTGTTCCTGGCATAGCTGCTGCCAAAACTGGCTACCGACTTTAACTTGTTAGCGCACGCGTCCTTGATGCGTTTCCAGAAGAAGACCTCTTTGGGATTTCTGGATGGGCGTTACTTACTGCTATTGCCGCACTGGCCTACCTGGATTGTAATGATTTCTCTTGAAAGATAAATGTGAGATTGACATAGTTAATTATAACGCAGGGGTTTTCGGAGTTCGCTTACCTCGGCATTATGGCAACATATGATTCACTGTTAAGTTCGTAGACTTATGCTGCTGAATAAATTGTCCGTAATAAAAGCTCCCGCCTTGAGCTTCAGATATTTGATAAGTGGTTGTCTTATCAATTACCTAACCTAGATGCCTTATCGATTATCGACGCGTAGTAGCGCGTTTTCCCTTCTCAAGTACTTCATACAAGTTTGGCGGGGTTATACTACCTAGATACCGTATTGTACATAGTACATACAATACCTCTTTAGATACTTAATCCCGATATGGCTTTCAAAACACCTGCAACCTCTTCAAGGACTCATAACCGTTTGAAGAAGTCCTATGTACTTAGCCGAGATGCATTTTCTCAACATCTTATAAAGTTACTTATATTTTGTTCTCAGCATTGATAAGAGCCTTACAACTAGTGTATTATACAGATGCATATCTCTGCTATTGTTTAAAGTCCGGCCTAATAAATCAAGCTGCGGATAGCATAAGACATGCGCGTGGTAGCTTTCCGACCCCGATCTTTTCTTGCCGCCAATGCAGCCACCTGCACTGATAGGTATGCACAGATGCATCACGATCTTACCTGCCTGCCTGTTCTAAAGGCTACCTAAATCAATGGATATAACAAGTGTACCTAGCTTAGGAGGTAGGCACCTACCTACCTAAAGCTTAGGGCGGGAACTACCTAAGCTGCATGGATCCTTAGCTAATGTAAATAAGGTAAGAGATAAGTACCTCTAGGTAGGTATCTTATATAAAATACGCACATATATACAACAAAGTACTTAAGAATACATAACTAACTAATTCCAATTGACTTCCAAGGTTGGAAGTTTTGTCGAATCTCACCATCCTACACATACGCCTTACACTCTTTCCCTTCATTTTCACATTCGGACATCATGTCGAATCCATAATTCATCTAACTGGAACGCATTACTTTCCTAGTAATTCGTTTAATTGCTCTCTCTTGCATGCACTGCATTTGATCTCTCCCCATCCAATTAAACCAACACAAGGGAATAGTATTCCAATCCACATAAGAGGAAGCGGCTTACATGAATTAATAAATAAGGCCGTCTTATCGGGGGCCTTGTCACGCAACGCGCTAAAGCTTAGGATTACCACGGCGCAACTTTCGAAGGGTTGGGAGCCACACGCCCACACCCACATCCACGCCCACGCCCACGCTCACGTTCGGTCAGCCATGCAGAGATCTGCATCTTCGACGCCGACGCAGAATGCGACTCCTTTCTTTTCCACCAATATCTGGGGGAACAGCAGTAGCTCCAATTCGAATTCCAACGCACAGGCGCAATCGAACCAAGGTGGTCGTAGCTCTAGCAGATCGCGTCCCGGTACCAGCTCCGGCGACAAAGACAAAGAAAGGGAACCTAACATCCTAATTAAAGAACGCGATCACAAACCTTCTTTTGGGCGCAAACCGTCATTCTCTTCCCCTTCCAAGGGAAAGCGACGGGGGAGTTCGTCCAATGCAGGAGCAGGAACGGGAAGTCAGATCAGGACCGACGCTGCTATACCTCCCGCTATCCCCCCTGACTTTGCGCTCGCTGCTGCCGCCAAATTGGCGAAGGAGTCCGACATAGTAATATCTTCGCCCGCATCGACCGATTCCTTTTCTAAGATGATAGCCCGCGCCACGCCAACGCCTCTCAACGGCTACTATCCCGCTTCTACTATGACCTCTCCCCCCTTAATTCAAAACGAGATTCCCTCGCTTCATCAGCATATTCACGAGGTTGCAAATAAGAGAATATCGACTTTGGATTACCTACGTAAAGCGTAAGTTTTTGGAAGAGAGCTAGTAGTCTTTATTTATTTCCCAGTATCTTGGTGGATAGAAAGCTGACAGTCCTGTGCTAGTCATGAAGGTCGCATCTACTGGTTTAATACATTGCTTTTCGACAAGCCCGACCTGGCTCGTATGCCATATTTCGACAGCCGCAAGCTAGCTCATCGTGCCACCAACTATCTCCTACTCGGTCTTTCCCTACCGGCTGTTATAGACCTCAATTCGGGCACGCCGTTGGAATTTCTCCGCTCTCTGAATACCCTTCTCGCCGAATTTGAATCTTATCAGCAAATACATACCGAGAATGGCGTGAACACGAGCTCGCTTTCCCGCGCCCGCATACCAAATATGTTTCGTAGAGGACCTGGTGGAAAAGGTCGGAGGCAGTCAGGTGCGAACGACTTATACACGGATACTAGCAACAACGGTCTCGCCAGCGGCTCGGCTGTGAACTCGATGCCTACCAACGTTATCAATTTCGGGCTCGGTGGTGAGGGCAACGACCTTGTGCCCGGGGAAGAGTATACGCACCTTCTAACGCCGAATCTTCCTTTTGATCCCGACTTTTTCGAAACGTTTGCTACGTTATGCGATGTACTAATCGATTGCTATTCGAGACTCATGTCCCTTCTCCCTACGCCGAAAGACTGTACTCCCATTATTGCCGAGCTGTTTACCAAAGCTGATGCCAAGGTACGCAAGATGATTATCCAGGGCGTGGTTAAGGAATTCGAAGACTCGAGCCGAACAGGCTTGAAACAGGAGCTCGCTAGCGTGGGCAAGGTGGTGCTCGGTGGCTTGATATGATACCTAGGTAATATCTACGTATATATGTATACGTAGTAGTGGGTTGGTGTTTTGAGGATCACTTCCGGTTGAGGATACCAAGTAGCATGGGTTACAGGGCACAACGGCGTTCAAGTCTTCAGATGGGATGTCATGCATATAATGATTCAGTACTACTTTACTACAAGGCCTAATCACGACGAGCATATAAATATGCCTAAGTACTTAGGCGTTATTGTTAGGTTACCTAGGCTTTAGACCAACGCTGTCAATGTAATAATACAAACCACAATGTGGGAACTCGCTTGACAAGCAAGAGACTGGAAGTGACGTCCATCAGATACCATAACGCATTTGTGTCTTCAACGAGCTAAACCAATGGCTAGCCTCAGTGCTTGACTCTAATACTGGTTCTCATCACATGAACTTTAAACCCCCACGATTGCAATAACCTTCGATACAGAACAGCATAGACGGAGGAAAGGCTTCCAACGAAGCCCAGAGTTTGGGTTGTCAAGCTGTTCATTACAAAGGGAACCCCTCGCACCAAGAATAAGCCCCATCGAGTAACCAAGCTCAAACCAAAGGAAAAAAGCAAGGTAATCGCATAACTATCGATCTCGACAACAGGGTATCTACACCTATCCTTCGCGTCTCTCGTCCGCTAAATCCACGGCCATCTGCCATCGACAAGCTCCCAGGCCCCTAGACACCGAACCACCCAACCACGAGCGCGGACTCATATCTTCATCCATGTGGTCTCAAGGCTAGAGAATACGGGTTAGGACGCTGGGAGGGACAAGCGATGTAGCGACAAGACGGGGCAAATAATAACGGAACAAGAAACAGATAGGGAGATGTAAGCCGCTGTGCTTCTATGGCGGCGCGTTTCCGCATTCCTTCAAAGAAGGATGTCCGGGGACTTTCTCCCAAAGCATAATAGAAGAGGGAGACAAATCAATCATAAGATCAAAAAGTCTCTGTATGTAGCTTCGATAGCGATTTGTTGGGCGAGGGGTTGTAGAAGAAGGAAGAAAAATTTTATGAAGAAAAAAAAAAAAAAAAACCTTTAAAAGGTTCGTACTTTTAGTTCGTGACTAAGCCGGTTCAAGCAGTTGGTCAAAGCTTGTGTACCTGCGTACATAAGTACAGTAAAACCTCGCCATAGCGAAGTTACAGTATAACGAATTCATGCTTTAACGAATTAAAGTCCCTGTTTTTTGATTTTTGTATGTAATTTAACGAATTTTAATTGTTAACGAATTTTGTTAGAATTTAGCTTAGTCACCACCAAATTCGTTATGGAGTAAGTAACGCTATACCTTTTTAAAGTAGCGCTAAGCCATCTTGGGAAAGAATATCCCTAATTTCGCTTAACTTTTTACCTTTTCCAAGCTTTTCAAGCATGTTTAGGTACGTACCTAATGCGCGTTCCCCTTTTGGGACTAGCTTTACTTTACTACTTAGAACGAATTCAAGCCATAACGAATTAGAATCACTGTTTTTTGACATTCGTTATGGCAAGGTTTTACTGTACTCAGAGTGGGACAGAGTTATGATGAAGTATTATCCAATTATATGTAGAGTTTCTCCAAGCTCTACGGATCCGTATGACTAGACGACATTACCTAGGAGCTGTTTTTTTTTAAGTTGGTTACCTAAAAAATTACAGGTAACCTTAGGTAGGTACCTACCTTGTAGCCTTTCGTTACAACACGGTTTGCTTCTAGCACGCGTTCAACTTAATAAATCATCTTTCCATTCCACATTCACGAACACAACCCCCCCGAACTCAACAATTTACTCTTACTCTTTTAGGTACCTATTTCTAACCAAATGACCTAGTATCCACACAGCTTCCAACAAGGATTTACCGTCAAGTTTTCGAAGGTTGCATCATCGTCTACTCCGAAGGGCAGCCTCGCGCTGTATCCCGTATATTTCTTTCTAACCGCCGTCGCCACCTCTACCACTCTACCAACCTCCCTCCTCTCCCGCAGCCGAACATCCCAATTCAACATGTCAGGTCTCTTCGGAAGCAGCGCTGCTACGTCAACTCCTAGTAACACTATTGGTGACCTAAAGAATGACGTTCCTGTTTCGAACCCTCCCGAAGATACAATCTCCGACCTCGCCTTTTCTCCTACCTCAGACATCTTAGCCGTCTCAAGCTGGGATAAGAAGGTCCGGATATATCAAATTGCTGCCAACGGTGCTAGTGAAGGGAAGCATATGTATGATCACGAGGCCCCTGTTCTGAGCGTGGACTTCTCCAAGGTAAGCCATCTCGGTTCTCACGTTTGAAAATCCCACATTTTGACATGTGTATATCCCAGGACGGCAACAAGGTTGTATCTGCCGGAGCCGACAAGCAGGCCAAAGTTTGCGATTTACAAACCCTCCAAACGGCGCAAGTAGCCGCACATGACCAGACAGTCCGATCCGCCCGCTTCTTCGAGCTGCCCAACTCAAATGGTCCAATGCTGGTAACAGGCTCGTGGGACAAGACCGTTAAATATTGGGACCTACGGCAAAGTTCGCCCGTCGGAACAGTCACATGCCAAGAACGTGTCTATACAATGGATGTGCGAAATTCACTACTGGTCATCGGCACCGCAGACCGCTATATCAATGTCATAAACCTACAAGACCCTCTGAAATTTTATAAGACTCTTCAGAGCCCTCTCAAGTGGCAGACTCGCGTGGTCAGTTGCTTTACCGACGCTAGCGGTTTTGCTATTGGTAGTATCGAGGGTCGTTGCGCCATTCAGTATGTGGAAGACAAGGACGCGAGGTACGTTGCGAGTTATCATGAAAATTAGCTATCATCTCTATTCATTAATTGTTGACGTAATTGCAGCTCCAACTTTTCGTTCAAATGCCACCGCGATCCGCCTCAAGGCAACACGACGCAGGTGTACTCTGTTAACGACATCTCATTCCATCCCCAGCACGGAACGTTCAGCACAGCCGGTAGTGACGGCACGTTCCACTTTTGGGATAAAGATGCGAAGCACCGGCTGAAGGGGTACCCATCGGTGGGCGGTAGCATTACAGCAACGACGTTCAACTCGGGCGGCAACATCTTCGCGTATGCTGTCGGTTATGACTGGAGCAAAGGTTATATGGGTAACAATCAGAACTACCCCAACAAGGTCATGCTGCATCCCATCCAGGGCGACGAGTGCAAGCCTCGCCCTAGCGTTAAGAAGCGGTAGAACACTCAAGGCGCACGGGGACCAAAGGGACGACCCTTAGTAGATAGCATGGGCGACTGGGATATGGATTGGTGACCGAGGCAGAAAAGATGACTTAGGTACTCTCGCTTTGTCGTAGTTGCTGCCTCTTGCCTACGCACGTATCACAGATTGATTTGCACGAGGAGACGGATAATTCTTGATTATTCAGGGGGAAAGCGGACGACGAGTCGTGGAGAGTCTACGTTACGGGGAATGAAGAAAGTAAAAAAAAGGAAGGAAATAAAGAAGTTGTAAGAATATGACCATAGTAAGGGGTAAGGCGGATGGCGCGATACCATATGGCTCTATCGACATAGGTGTGTCAGTTAGTTAATAGAGAATACCTACACTTGTATTAATGCATAGTACTCGGAAGTACTCTAGATGGTGTTTCATGGGCAGGTTATTGTGAATCGTCTCCTGGTGTTTTTATAACTATTTCTCCAAAACAACTAACTTTGCGCTTTGACTTGCGTAGTGGACAATGCGCCGTCCAATAGGTACCGGTAGTTTTGATCAGGTATATGCGAGTAAGCCGGGGCGTCATATTTGTTTAACAATTCCTAATACTATGTATTCACGTCCTGCGTCATCCTTGGCGCCTCCATGAAGATCTGGAGAAGATGAAAAAAAAATGACATCAACTCCTCCCTCCATGTCTCACTCCTCATCTTCGACCCCTACTAATAACATTTGCGACCGCTGTCAGGGGGTGCCATGGGATCTCATAGCAGACCCAAAACAAACGTCTACAGATCCGTACCTGTGGGTGTCCGAATCTCACGGGCAGCTCAAGTCTTCAAGCTGTCGTATCTGCCGCCTGCTGGCGAATATCAAGTCGCCGTCGTTAGATGGGAAAATCTGTCCTCTGTTATCGCAACGCACCTGCTGGATCCAGTGCCGTAGCAAATGGATATTGGACATCTCGCAGAGCAGCAACCTTGTGCATTTCGGCGACGAGTCCAGGGGTACGATCGAAGTGTCTAGGCCGGACCAGATTATCAACATTGGGATTCAGCGTATAGACCCCGAACACGTCTCGTTCAAGAGGTTGCAGGATTGCGTATCGTATTGCCGCCAGAACCACAGTCGAGTTTGTATTCGACCAACGTTTCAGCCGGCTTCTGGCTTTCGGGTGATCAACTGCACAGACCCAGCTCAAAGGATTGTTCCCGCGCCTCCGGAATGTAAGTACGCAGCCTTGTCGTATGTCTGGGGCAATACCACAAGATCGTGTTCCTCAGGTGTATATCCACAGGTGATCGTTGATGCCATAAACGTTACCTTGTCCATGGGACTCCAATACCTTTGGGTTGATCGCCATGTAAGTAAACCCCTTTTCAACTCAAAATTATATAGAATTCTCTTCTGAGCTATAACGACAGTGCATCGACCAAAACAACGCGATGGATAAACATAATCAAATTTCTCAGATGGGCAATATTTACGCAAACTCGGAAATAACCATCATTGCCTCGGCAGGAACAGACGCTACCTACGGCCTCCCGGGAATAAGCAGGCCTCGCAAGCAACAATCAGGGGAAGTTATTAACGGCATATCTCTTCTGGAAGGCTTTCCCCATCCCGTCCATGCGGTAAAGGAGTCAGCGTGGGCACGTCGCGGCTGGACGTATCAAGAGGCGTTTCTATCGCCGAGGAGACTTGTCTTTACCGATTACGGCGTCTGGTACCTGTGCGATAAAATATGCCTGGCTGAACACGAAAAGGTCCCGATAACGAAGATCTCGTCGCTCCCGACCTTTGAGATCCGCACGTTCACCCCGCACCCGGACCTGGATGATAGGTACGTAGCGCCACGGACCAGGGCTGCCAACGATATGATCGTCGAATATAGCCGCAGGGAACTGAGATACGCTTCGGACGCGCTGGACGCTATGCTAGGCGTTTTGCAGTTCCTGGAAACGAAAGGCGTGTATTCCATCTGGGGGACTGTTATATACGAAGAGCGACCCGTAATCAATTGGCAGCACAAGCATCCGGGCAAGAGACGGCCTGGATTCCCCAGCTGGTCCCCCCTCGGCTGGGAAGGCCCCATCAAACTCGAAAACTTCCTTGGCTATAACGACTTCGAGGTAGCACTAGGAGAGAAAAGCGAAACTCCGCTGCCTGGCCAGAACCCCATAAGCACCACCGCCGCGGGACTGGCGAAGGGCGGGAAGGACGCGCCCCGGTTTTTACATCTGACAGGGTATGTAGTCGACCTGCTCCTCGAGAACATCCAGTGGGCAGACTCGCGGAAATCGCACCAGACGACGTTCCACCTCGCCGCGGGCGAATACAAGCACAACCACACGCTCTCCGACGGGACATACGCTTCCCTACGGATATCCCCCGAGACGAGCGTTCTGGCCAAGGCCAAGCTCGACGGCGCGGAAGGACCCGGGGCGAGCACGAGGACGAGGCCCGTGCTCGGACTGCTGCTTAGACGGTACAGCGACGACGCGTATTACCCGCACCTGATGGACCCGACGGTCAAGAACGCGGATTTCCTGTTGCTGGAAAGAAGACAAGGAGGCGGGGGCAGTGGTGCGTGGTGTTGGTATTACGAGAGGATTGGGTATTTGGAGTGTAAGATACGAGCTCAGGAGGAGGAGCAGCAGCAGGAGAGGGAGAAGGATTATCTTCAGGATACGGTGTTCGTTGACGGTGTCAGTGGCGATGTGTTGGATGATGTGAGTATACCCAGGGGAGACCCGTTATGGCGCGAGGGAGCTGGATGGCGGACTGTTGTCGTAGGGTGAATTTGGAATATTTATTATATTAGGTAGGTAGGTAGGTACATGGGCTTGTGAAGGAAGTCAGGGGCACGTCGGTGTAGAGTATGGAAGGGTTTGGGAGCATACCTAGGTATTCACTGCCGCAAGTCAAGCCAGAAAAACGCATTGTATTTTATATTGTTAGGTATTTACTTACTTACCTAGGGAGGTACTCAATCAAGGCAGTGAAAGGGAGAAAGAAGTACTGCCACGATAGCCGTAAAGCACTCTCGCATACCAGGTACCTAAGCCTACAGGACTTTGAAGCCTAGGAATTTCAAAGGTTGCTAGGTAACTCGCAGTACGTACCGACCTAGGTACCTAGGAACGCAACGAAAGGTTCATAAGGCATCGTAAGAGCCCCTCCTATCACTCCTGATTTCTAATTACTCGGTTCAATGTGGTCGTGACCGAGTGGTTAGAGGACGTGATGGAGGAGAAAAAATTCAGAGTTTCCCGAAGGGACCGCTGGTTCGAACCAGCGGCAGGGCAGGCAGGCAGATCAACTGTTCAGGTCGAATGTTCAACGGTTCTTTCTTTCGGTCCCAGCTTTTTTTCTTCCTCCTTCTCTTTCCTTTTTATTTTATTTTATTTTTCTTTTACTCTTTTTTTAAGAAAAAATTACTTTCCCCCCTTTTCCTTTTCTGTCTTTTTTTTTTGGTCCTCATCAACCCCCGTCTAACGACAACAGATGCTAGTTAACTGCTACTTACCTACCTTTGGGAGCTTTATCCTCAGGGTCGAAGTACGAGAATAGTATCACGGGCAGTTACCAAGCTAGGTACCAGGTACCTTAGAGGAATCCGTTCATGTAGCAATCACACTTGAGCCTCTATGAGGGCACGATATACCAGGTGATAATGCACAATAGGCTGTTTTCGTAGAAAAACAAGTATCTGACGTATGGTATTTCAACTTATATTGTGACTCCTTGATAATAACCAACCCAATAAAATGTAACCAGTAAAAGGCAAGCCAGGATTCCCTCGGCCCCTGACCGACGGCAATATTCTCTTATCTTCAACAAAAATGAAGTTGTGTACCTAGGCTAGGTAGGTATGCGCATATCGTAGGCGTGTCGCCCCATGCATGCATCTAATTATAACAAATGAGAATATCTTCACACCTGTCAAACGTAGTAGCTAATAACCCGAACTCTACTTTCCATAGATAACTTGAGTACTCGTGGTCCAAACAACACCTAGATAATAACCATTGCTACCGAATAGATTCAACATACCTAGGTGGGTAGTCAACGCTTCTCTGGATCTCCTGATTGGAATGACTTCTGAAAAACCCGGCAGAGAAGAAGGCAGCTTTTAACCATTGAAAAGCTCTCTGCCACCAACTCTTGGCGTATGCTGGATCTTCATCCTCTGTGTTTTTCGTGCCCTGTCGATCTTCTTTGGACGGTGGATTTGGGGAGCAAGAGTTGTAGATGACAATTTGGTTTCCGTAAGGCTTCCCTACATGAGTCACGGAACTGGAGTCAGATGTGCTTAGTTCAGACCCGGTTAGTTGTTTATGCTGTACCTGTAACTCCGAGGTCGATGGTGTTGACTGTGTTTCTCGAGCGGGACTTGAAACTTGTGCGCCATCAGACTTAAACCACATGAGGGCGTGACCTTTCTGGATGTGAATTTCAGTTTTGAACGGGTCTTCCCTTAATACTCTGGCTGCTTCGGTTTCCGATATTGGAACACCACTCTCCATCTCTCGGGCAACTTGTAATTTTATACCTGTTGCGTTTGCGTAATGTTGTCGGATTAACTTCCGGAGTTCGTCGCGTCTTTGAGCTTTGTTTTCCTCAAGGTCTAAGATATGTTCGAACCCATCAGTGGACCCTTTACCTCCTGGGAAGCCATGATGATACACTGAACCTCCACGATAGCGACCTGGTGGGTTTAGAATTCGCTTGATATCTTCCTGACCAAGCAATTCGGGGACTTTGTTCCAAGTTCTTTCCAAAGTCTTTGGGTGCCAAGTATCCCAGTGGTTCGTAACGAAAATGACGTTTCGGAAGAATTTTGGACCGCAGAAGCACTGAACCCATTGAATGGTTTTGAGATCTTCCTTTCGGAGTCGGTTCTCCATTTTGCCATAGACAAAAATAAGACCAGCAACTGTGACGAAAGGGCCAAGGACTTCTAAGCAGCTCATGATATTATAATAATTGGCCATGTCATCCATGTCGGCAGCGCCAAACCCTGCCGTATCTACGAAGAGATATTGTTGTCCGTCGATGAAGGCAGGGCAGATTTCATACTTCCGAGTACCTTGAATATTGAGTCAGCATGTAGAGTTTCATTAGAGGGGAGCTGTTGGTATGTACCTGATTTCAATGTGTACCCGATATTCAGATCCAGGCCAGTTAATTCTTGTAGAATGGTCGATTTTCCAGTGCCTGTTTGGCCCACCACGAAGATCAGCTTGGTACTTTTGAGGCTATAATGAAATTAGTACTATAACTACTTAGAAGGCTTTCAAATGGCTTGATGGGGACATACTACTTCTCGACATAGCGAATTACACGCTTCGGTGCTCCGCTAACGTTGTTGAGCAGCTTCATTAACCTCTTTTGGCCCCATTCAGTAGATGGCTCGTCGCCATCGTCATCTGATATAGAAGGCGTTACAAAACTAAAGTCGGAATCATAGTCCGAGGCATCGGAGCGATCATCCGGCTCGACTCCGCTGCTTGTATCTTTGGGAGAATATTCTCTGGGCACGTATTCCTTCGCAGAATATTCCTCGGGTGAATACTCCATGGGCGCATGAAGAGATTGTGCGGTCATAATAAGTTGATTCTATGGCGTAACTCGGACTTGGGTGTTGTAGATGCGGGGAAATATGAACGGGTGAGCATCAGATGAACGTGGAAGATGTTAAGAAAGCTGCTGGGGACAAGGTCATAAATCTAGGATGCTCTTATTCTTAACAAGATCTGACTAGGGTAGATGGAGTAGATGTCTTAGACGTTACGTCAAATCAAGCAAAAAGTAAAAGAGAGCAAGGGAATGGATGAGCCTGAACATTCGTGAAAGTTTCTTGGACCTTACCTTAGGTAAGGTACTGTAGGTAACTATCAATTTCTACTTCCCTGAGCTGCGAGAAAATGCTGTGTTACTCCTGTTACTTTCGGCCTCCAATGATAAAAGGTGGCGATGAACGACTTGGCCACCATGAAGACCCAAGTGTTGCTTTGCTTATTGGATAATATTAAATTAGTTTAACCATTTTATTATGCACCCAGGTATGAAGTTAGTCCTATGCTGTCGCCCGACCTGAGACGGCTAGGCTGTCTTGAATGTTATTGATTGGTACGATGCTTCATGTTGCCTACCATTCTGAGATATGACAAGGCATACCGTCGAGACTTGTCTGGCTGTGGCCAACCAGCCAACAAGGTAAGAAAATAAGTAGCCGGCTTAAGTTACCTTGAAATTTCAAAGCGAAGGAAATCGGTTGTCAAAATAAAATAAAGGATTTTGTTTCTACTTACGACCTCGACGTTCATTAATAAGAGTTAAAATACGCTGAAGTTTGAACGACCTGAGCTGACACCTAGCGGGATTGCGGGGCGGGTTCAACTACCTTATAACGGGGCTCTCGGATGCCCCGCGCCCTCCGATGCACAATAGTACAATACACTAGTACTTAGGTACCTTTTAATGCAATGCACAAGGCTTAAGACTGAGAAAAAGTTGGCGGGGTTCCAAAGTTCCGAACTTTTGAATTCCACTTAAACAACTTCCAAAAAAGCAAAGCCTTAAACTCGTCGCGAAAATGGCTGCTAAAGCACCATCAGACGAGCTTGAGAAGCTCAGTGGTTAGTATTATATTGAACCGATATAATCATTGGTTACCTAGCAATCCCCTAATATTCAATCAATAGTGAGCGAGGGAGCCGCCAACGGGAAGGCTGCCGGAGGAACTAACGGCGCTCAGAATGGCGATGCTGCAGATCATTCCGGCGAAGAATCCGAGGATGACGCTGATGAACAAACTACCGAGCCCGCACCCGGTGCTGCTAAGAAGAAGAAGAATAAAAAGAAGAAGCCGAAGAAGAAGAAGAAGGCTCCTACTACTCAAACAGACCCCCCGAGCGTCTTGCTATCACAGTTGTTCCCTAACAACACATATCCTAAGGGTGAGGAAGTCGAGTATACAGACGAGAATCGTTATCGCACCACTAGCGAAGAAAAGCGGCACTTGGACAACCTAAACACCGACTTCTTAATTGACTATCGCCACGCTGCCGAAACCCATCGTCAAGTCCGCCAGTGGGCTCAGAAGACCATTAAGCCTGGCCAAACTTTGACTGAAATTGCCGAAGGGATTGAGGATAGCATCAGGCGCCTAGTTGGACACGATGGATTATCAGAGGGTGATGCTAAGATTGCCGGTGTGGGCTTTCCGACTGGCTTAAACTTGGATCATATTACTGCCCACTACACACCCAATGCTGGGAACAAAACTGTTTTGCAGCAGAGCAACGTCATGAAAGTAGACATTGGCGTTCATGTCAACGGAAGGATCGTTGACAGTGCCTTTACGATGGCATTTGACCCGATGTACGACAACTTGTTGGCAGCCGTAAAGGATGCGACCAACACAGGTGTCAAGGAGGCGGGTATCGATGTCCGCCTCGGAGAACTTGGCGGATACATCCAAGAGGCCATGGAGAGTTACGAATGTGAGATCAACGGGACTACATACCCGATCAAGTCTATTCGCAACCTCACTGGTCATACGATCTTGCCGTATAGCATTCACGGAACCAAGAGTGTTCCCATCGTTAAGACGCAAGATAACACGAAGATGGAGGAGGGCGACGTCTTCGCTATCGAGACCTTCGGCAGCACCGGAAACGGTTATGTCCGCGACGAAGGAGAGGTCTCCCACTATGCTCTGCGTAGCGACGCCCCCAAGGTCGATCTACGTTTGTCCTCGGCCAAGTCTCTTCTTAACGTTATCAAGAAGAACTTTGGTACTATTCCGTTTGCACGAAGATATCTAGACAGACTCGGGCAGGAGAAATACTTGCTAGGGGTAAGTGTTTTCTTTAATCACAAGCTATGCGTATTTGCATTTCGTTAACTTTATACCAGTTGAACAATCTCGTCCAATCTGGTATCGTGGAGGACTACCCCCCTCTACTAGACAAGAAAGGGTCGTACACGGCCCAATTTGAGCATGTAAGTTCCCCTTCTCCATTACCGCATGTATATACGTGTCTGCGATACTGATTTGTGATTGCAGACTATCTTGCTTCGACCTACCGTAAAAGAGGTCATCAGTCGTGGTGACGATTATTAGATAGAATCACGAAATGTATGATGTAGCATGTTGATGACCTATATTACAGCAGCAATGTGTGCTTTGATATGTTGGTGTCATTATTCCTGATCCCAGTATCAAATCGCTTATGAATTGGCGCCTTGGTTCCTTGCTGAAGAGATATATGACTTGGGGAAGAGCCAAGCAATCAGGTATTCAGAAAGGGTCAAAACCACAGACTTGGGAGGATTAGGGTAGAAGCCGCAGGCAATTATCCTAAATTAACTACATTCACCAAAATAGTATGCTTCTGTATTAAGGGGGTTGAGAAATGTCTTCACAATGTAAGCGGCGGTGGAGCTGATGACGTTGGATCCGGAAACTAAAATTATCTTTTTGTGAGATGCATTATTTGCCAGTTCATATGAAGCTGGAAACAATGGGTTGAGTGCTGTATGGCACTTTTTGGTATTGAGCATTGGCCTGAATGTTGTTCTGTATCATCGATACTACCTGTTATGTCACGGAAATAATACCTATGGCTATCACCAACATTTTAGTTACGAGTTAGCAATATGAAGGATCGACAAGGTACCTAGATGATTATAAGGGCTGGAAGGGCCAGGGGAGTGGGTTAGGGTTGAAGTCATAGAAATCATCATAGAAGACGAATTGATGTTAGGGGTTTTGAGATCCGCTAAATTAACAAGTCGAAGAAATTTTGAGAGGCAGAGGCAGAGAGGCTTGTGGACGGGTGGGACCCAGCAGATAGCCTCTGTCATATGCAAAAAAAAAAAAAAAAACTGACGAAGAGTAGCAAAATCTGGATGCTTCCGTGACTCCGCACCGCTCCAGGTTTTCGGGCGCTTGGTCCATGCTCGGGGTCCACTGGTGCCACTTCACGATCCGTTCAGAAGCAAACAACCAATTAAAAAATAAGGATTTGCTCAAAGTTGATCAAAGCTTTAACGCCGTCTCCGAGCGATTTTCTTATACGGCAAGGCTATGCCCGATTCGGACATTCAAGCGAGGCAAGGTTGTGTAAGTTTGTGTACCTTTATACCAAGGTAGTAAGTGGACATAAGAGGACATAAGGGAGCATAAGGGAACTTACCGAACATTCCCGGGAAAGGTACAAGGTAGGAAGGCAAAAAAGGAATGCGCGATAAGGTTCCTTGTCGCCAATGCCGATCGGGGGCGTCGGGGGTTCTTAATTGAATTTTTTTCTGGGCTCAAAAACCTTTGCGTTTCCCACCGTTATTTTAACTCACTTTGGGGAAAAACAGCTTTTACAAAATCCCTCGACACTCTTAACACTCATTCAATAAATTTATCACGAGTTGGCTTCATTCTGCCACATTACCATCATTTATAGTGTCAAGAGCGGATTTGATTTTTTTTTTTTAGAAAAAAAAATTGAAGGTATCTGTTTCGTTACAGTACTTAAATAAGCAGCACGTGAGATATTTTTTCGGTGCTTTTTGAAAGAACTGCGATCCTACGAAATTTGTTATTTCGGTCTACACTCCCCGACCGACATCGTAAAGACATCGCAAACCACGCAGAGGTGTTTTGTTTTTTTCTCTGCCAAACCTCAACGGTTAAACGTCCGGACTCGAGGGATAAAAACAAAACCCCCCATATTAGTTGCCTCGAGTCTAGGTATTTTTTGAAAAGGAGGTTTCATTCTTTTCAATTCCCTTTCGCACCAATCTGGTTCAATTATTGGGATCGTCCGTCAGCCATGAAGGTCTTCTCTAACACCCATACCTTCAACTACTCCTGGGAAGAGGTATCTACCGCCAACTGGCGGAAATACTGCCCTTGGAACGACAAGTCTACCCACGTTATAGCTGTCGATACCCTCGCTCGAGAAGTCGACCCCGCGACCGGCATATTACGAACCGAGCGTCTCATCACCTGCAAGCAATCAGCGCCGGAATGGCTGAAATCCATCATCGGCCGCATGGAGACGAGCCAGGTCTTCGAGACGTCCTACGTCGATCCTGCCGCAAAGACCGTCACCATGGTATCGCAAAACATCACGTGGGCAAATATGGTCAACGTTCAAGAGACGGTGGTCTATCGCCCATTAGACGCCCACAGGACTCAGTTCGAGCAGGACGCGCGGATAACGGCATTATGCGGCGGCTGGCAGAGGATTAAGAGTAGCATCGAAGATACTTTAGTCACCCGATTCCGAGAAAACGCGATGAAGGGTAAAGAGGGCTTCGAATGCGTTCTTGCCATGAGCCGACGAGTATTTGCCGAGGAGCGGGAGAAGGAACGGTTACGAATCGAGGGCAAGATGGCAGCGTAGGTACAAGGAATCGGCATTTCTACATTCCGTTCTTGAATCCATTTATATATTAAAAATCACGACCACGACGTCTGCCATAAGCCATACGACGAGTGGGGGTAGACCACGACATACCGACACCAACAAATGCATTTCCGGAGTCAACGAGAGGAAGAAAAAATAAAACGGGGTTTGGTGTGAATTGAATTGAATTGAGTTGAAATTTTTATTGTTTTCTTCGCGAGAGAGCAAAAAGAAAAGCACGGCGTTTCGGCATACCCATTCAAACAACTGTGTTATATAGAAAAGGGGAATATTTATTAGACTCGGCTACGTTCTGGTACATAGGCCCGTAAGTCTCCCCATAGGTATTATTTATTGTTTTTTTTTTATCTCGCCCGCGACGGACGAACGAGCGGGAGCAGCGGGATGGTTAGACTTGTATAGATATATACCTATTATAGATATAACTCTACTTAGAGCAAGGGATAATACTCACTCTTCTCATACTCTTCTCGTACTCACCTTCCTCCTGTTGCACTTACATGTGAACTCCAAGTTTGAATTTCCGAGGTAAACTTTACGGCAGCGCGGGGTATCAACCTTCTATTAATCCTACCTAAACCACCTTCCAGCTTTCATCACCCTTGCTTCTCGATACATTTCGTCTCGTAATACCGTAATAGCTTCTTAGTATCCTCGTCAAGCCCAATTGGCCCTCCTTCATCCCCGTTGCTGCTTAGAATTGCCCGCGCAAAGTTTGCGCCGTCCGAGTACCGCCGGAAAAAGTACAGCTCCTCGACCGCGTGCAGCAGCGCCTGGGCATCTGGTTTGGAGACCCGGCCCGGGCCTACGGGGAGCTGGATGGTCTTCCATATCTGATGATGCGTTAATTTATAAGACCTAAACTTGCTTGCACCTTAGGCTAGGTAACTATTTTGAACGGTGGGCACGTGGGCGAGCATGAGCAAAAAAGAAAAAGGAAAAGAAAAAGGAAAAGAAAAAGGAAAAGGAAAAGGAAAAGGAAAAGGAAAATGTTTTTCACAAACGTACTTCTCCGTTTTCGACTTTAACTCGGTACTCTCTCCTTACCGCCTGAAACTCTTCCTCGGACTGTGCCGTCCGATCGACGGGTGTGTTTGCTTCCCCTTTCTTCGGTCGAGTGCCCTCAGCTGGTTCTGAGTCATTATTGGATCCGTCCTCGGAATCGGACAGCTGGATGCCGAAGAGGCCGGAGTCGAGATCTGGGTCCATAGGTTGTTGGTTGGTTGGTGGGGTTGTGGTTATTTGTATCGCGATAGATGGGGAAGGGAAGGGGTACCATGTATGGTTTTTATTAGTGTAGTTACATAGTAATCGACGAAGGAAGTTTTGCTTCGGCTGCCTTTTGACATCAGCGTGCATGCGTCCCGTTTGGTGGGGCATAAAGAGCTTCCGCAGCAGTCTGGGTGAGGGGATGGGCCAATGGAGTTATGGGGATTAAAGTAACTTATCTTAGGTAGGAGGTAGACAATGAGAGCTTGACTTTCTCCAAATACAAGACATGAGACTTCATTTATACATAGTAGAACTGACCAACTGACTACCTAACCTAATATATAACAAGGATTTATTATAATCGTATTTACTCTAGTTATTCAAATTCTATTTAATCACTTGTTCTTTATAATTGGGAACTTGGCTAAGGATCGATATGGAGGACCAGGTAACTCGGCTGGTAGACAAAGTCTGGGAGAAATTCCAACAACTCCCCGCGGACCGTAGACTCTGTAAGTCACAAGCAACAACTAGTAGTCGTGCACCTAATCTAACATATATCTTCCTCTAGTGATCGCCATAGCCGGGGTCCCAGGCTCAGGTAGTTATCCCCTCCCCTCTTATCACGTTATACTTACCATAGGTAGGTACCTAACTAAAGCATACCCGCTAACCAACAAAAGGCAAAACAACCCTCTCCCGAATCGTCGCCGCGGCCCTCAACGCGCGGCACGCAACCCTGCACCCGGAGGTCCCCGAGCCCGTGCCCCCCGCGGTCTTCGTGCCCATGGACGGGTACCACCTGACGCGGGCGCAGCTCTCGGCGATGCCGGACCCGGCGCTCGCCCACGCGCGGCGCGGCGCCGAGTTCACCTTCGACGGCCGCGCGTTCCTGGCCCTCGTCAAGTCGCTGCGCGCCGTGCCGCCGCCCCCGCTGCCGCCCACCCCGACGCCCGTGTACGCCCCGAGCTTCGACCACGCGCTGAAGGACCCGAAGCCCGATGATATCGCCATCCTGCCGACGCATCGGATCGTCGTTTTCGAGGGCAATTATGTGTGCTTGGATAAGGAGCCGGTATGTACCGTACCTAAGCTAAACCTGAACCTGAACCTATCTGGCTTTCCTATCTCACCCTCTGCCCGCAACGGAAATACCGCGAGGAGGATTGAAATCTTGAAAGACGGTTAAAAGAATAAAGCGCTTCTTGCTGGATGGTTTACTAATTCGCATTCGTGATTCTTCTTCTAGTGGCGAGAGGCGGCGCAGCTCATGGACGAGAGGTGGTTCGTGGAGGTAGACTTCGAGACTGCGAGAAGGCGTCTGGTGAAGAGGCACGTCGAGGCGGGGATCGCGAAGGACGAGGAAGAAGCTGGGAAGCGTGCGGATGAGAACGACCTGGTGAATGGGGCGCAGATTGTAAAGGAGAGGGTGGACGTGGATGAGGTCATAACGAGTAAGGAGGATGGGAGTTGGGTTCATAAATGAAGAGGTAGTGTGTGTATAAGTTGAGATGATGTCTATGAGTTATCTAACTGGATCTAATTATGGAAACTATGATTTCAAGGAGAGCTGTCCGTTAAGTCTCACCTGGGGAGTCAAGATGTGGTGGTGCCCCTTGAGAGATCGACCACCATAATTTGTACACGAAGAGCAAAAATGACTACATATGTATTGAATTTATGGCAGCAAATCCTGAAGAAAACTTTTATTTAATAGTGTATTCGCAAGCCTTAGGTATATTTATAAGTATGATTATTCGCTTGATATGGCGAAGAGTTGTTTAGGGGTAAGATGGATACGTGCATATACTACCCCTATCCAATTAAGTAGCATATGCGACTACCTAGGTAGCTACGACCGATATCTTATCTTATCAGCTCCATAAAAATTTCGAGAAAGCTACATCCTTCAACTTTTCAACGCTCGAACGAAGGCGCGTAACCATCGGGCTTCCCAACAATTTTACGAAGAAAAAATAAAAAAATAAAAAATAAACTCAATTCGGAAGCTTCGGAACTAAAAATGGCGACCGAAGTAGTTACAGAGACCGAACAGCATTCCGCGCCGGAGACCAAAGACTCCAAGAAGCGCAAGACGCAAATCGAAGAGATCGAGGTAGACTTATCGCTACCCGAGCCGCCGTCCAAAAAAACGAAGCGACTCCTCAAGAAAGGCAAGCCGCTCCCCGAGAAGCCCAAGAGCGACGACGAAGCAGAGTCCGAAGATGAGCTGCCGATACCGAAAGGTGCACCTAAAGGTGGGAAGGGAGATAAGAAGACCCAACGCTCCGAGCACGGCATATGGATAGGGAACTTACCTTTCACTCTGACGAGGGTCGAATTGTTCAAGTGGCTGGTGGAGAGCTCAGGCGGCATGATCAAAGAAGATAACATCACAAGAGTCAATTTGCCTACGAGCAAGTACACCGGGGATAGGAGATACGGCAACAGCGAAGATACGCCAAAGACGCAGAACAAGGGCTTCGCATACGTGGATTTCAACGCGGAACCGGCATTCGTCGCCGCTATGGCTCTCACAGAAACCGAGCTGAACGGACGAAAAGTATTAATCAAGAACTCCAACTCGTACGAAGGACGCCCCAGCAAACAACCCGAGAACGGAGCTGCTGCTGCTACTACAGCGAACGGCCAAGCGGCAGACAAAGCGGCTATCAGCACCAGCCGCAAGGTCTACGTAGGCAACCTCTCGTTCCAGACCACGGAAGACGACCTGCGCGCGCACTTCGACAAGTGCGGCGAGATCGAGTGGGTCAAGGTCGCGACGTTCGAGGACAGCGGGAAGTGCAAGGGTTTCGGGTGGGTCAAGTTCAAGGAGCCCGAGGCGGCGGGGTGGGCGGTGAAAGGGTTCGTCAAGATCAGGGAGGAGATCGAGACGGAGGACGACTTCCGGGATGGCGAGGAGGAGGAGGGGAAAGAGGGAGGGGACGCGCAGCAGCAGCAGCAGCAGGAAGGGGGGCAGGAGGAGAAGAAGTTGTTCAAGATGCGCAAGTGGTGGGTGAACCGCCTCCGGGGCCGCGAGCTGAAGATCGAGGCGGCGGAGGATGACCACGTCAGGTATAAGAAGAGGTTTGGGAAGGACAAGAACGCGCAGGGGGATGGTGGGAAGAGGGAGAGGCCGCAGGGGGCGAGGAGGGAGTCGAGACCGGCGAGAAGGTCGGATGGGGAGACGGATGATGGAAAGAAAGAGGGAGGAGGCGCGTTCGGAGAGAAGAATATCGAAAAGACGGCGAAGCCGGCGTATGGAGACGCGGGCGTCGCGACGTATCTTACCGGTGCTGTTGTTAAGCCTCAAGGCAAGAAGATTACGTTTGATTAGATTGTTCGGCGTTAATGGAAGTATGAAGTCTTTTTGTTGTTGACCGTACGCGAACAGCGAGCGCTATTGCATGGCAGTCATGTCTACCTACATAATTCAGGAAATGGGGGATTTATATACCCCTTTATTTCGGTAATATGCTGACTTTCTAGGCCTAGTTACCTTCTAACAACATAACCACGTAGCCTTTTACTTTTGAGATATCCGAAACCACAAGATCAACAGATAATCTACCTAGTATATATACCTAGGTACCTCTCATATTAAGCACCTATATACCAAAAAGCCAGGCCAGATCCTATCCTATTTCCGTGCAATTCCCACACCATTAGTATCTCTCCATTATCCACTGCCGGCGCTCTTCCGCCGTCATAGGCTCTAATATCGCCAGCTCACCCTCCTTTACATGTACATACCGCTGCACAAACGTAGGGTCCAAGCCCAGACTCTCGTCCTCCCGAAGCGCCTGAAGGGCCTCCCGCAAGTCCGCAGGGAACATCTCCTCGATCCCCAACCGAGCCCTCTCCTCCGCGCCGAAGCGCGCCGGATCCCCCGCGCAATCCTTCCACGTCAGCGGCGCCTTCCTGCGGACGCCGTCCATCCCGGCAGCTAGCAGCGCCGCCACGGCGAAGTACGGGTTCGCCAGGCCGTCGAGGACTTTGACCTCCCAGTGGCTCCCCGCGATCTTGCGCAGCGGCAGCTCCTTGTTCTGCGTGCCCCACGCGATCCACCGGCCGCCCGCCCACGCGCTGTCCACCATGCGCTCGTAGCTCGTCGGGTTGCTGTTCGTGAACGCGAACACGGCCCGGAAGTGCGCGAGGACGCCGGCGTAGAACGGCTCGTAGACCGCGGGCCGGTCGCCGCCCGGCGACGCGATCGACACGTGCACGTGCGAGGCCGAGCCGCACTTGGCCGCGAACGGCTTCGGGTGCAGCGTCGCGCGGAAGCCGTGGCGGGCCGCGACGCTCTCGAGGATCTGCCGCGCGTGCAGCACGGCGTCGCAGGCCGCGAGCGGCGCGAGCGGCGAGAGCACGAGCTCGAACTGGCCCGGCGCGTTCTCCGCGTGGAACTGGTCCACGTCGATGCCCGCCGCGTCCAGGGCGTCGAGGATCTCGTCGACCGCGGTGGAGAAGCTCCCCGCGCGGCCCCAGTCCGCGAACGCTCGCGATACCGACCAGCTATGGCCGTCGCTGCGCAGGGTTTGGTATCGGTCCAGGCTCGTTGCGGACGCGGCTGGGTTGCGCTCTAGGACGAGGAACTCGACCTCGAAGCCGAGCAGGAATTCGAGTCCCTGCTCGGCCGCTGCTTTCTCCACCGTCTTCCGCAGGATCGTCCGCGGGCACAACGCCGCCTCCGAGCCGTCGAGCTCCGTGAAGTACGCGTAGCAGCTGACGTGGCCTTCGGCAGGTCCCGGCTTCAGGCTCGACCAGTCCGGACGCGCCGTGTACATGCCGGTGGCCGAGGCCTGGGGGATCAGCGTGTCGATCTGCGTCATGCCGAAGCTGGCTTTGGCGAGGGAGAGGGTCAGGGGCTTTCCGCTTGACAGCGTCTTGAAGACGTGCTTGATGGGGATGAGCCGGCATTTGTTGCTGGAGGTGTAGTCGTGCCAGTAGATGCGCAGGTACTTGGCGTTGAGGCTTTGGAGCTTTTGGATGACGGCGTGGTTAGTCCAGTTGGTACTGGGGACGGAGACGGTCGTCAATTGCGAAAGGTTGGGGAGAGTGGATTTGGTCTCGAGTTTGTAGAGTTTTTTGGAGTTGGAAAATAATATATCTTGGACGAGCTGAACGGCTTGCTTCTCGTCAAGTTGTTGGCTCTGTACTAACTCTCCCAACACCTAAATCATATTATTAGTCCAAGTCAAAATAGACAATCGATAATCTATACCTAAAACCACTTACAGTCTTAAGAACCGAGCGGAGCTGAGATCCCGCAATCAAGTACATCTCCGGAAATCCGTGTCCGTCCGTACTGCAGAGGATCTTAGACCAGGGGCACACTTCCAGCATTTCTCTCAGGACGCTTTCCTGGCCCTGGCGGCTGATGCAGGGGAACACCTCGCCGATATCAGCGTAGACGTTTGGGTACGTAGCTGCCAGGTACGCCGTCTCCCTCGTCCAGGGATAGCCCGCGTGGAGAAGCACGATTTTGAGCTTGGGATTCTCTCGGATGAAGCTCTGGAGATGGGATGGAGACGATCGGGTAAGCGTGATGTCGTTGTCCCCGAGACCTGTGTGGAACTGGATCGGCTTATCGGAATCCTGGGCGGCGCGAGCAGCGAGTCGGACAATCAGGCTGTTGAGCAACGGGTGAGCTATTCTCTTCCGTAATGAGAACCCGGAGACAGGCGAACCGGGCGTTACTCCCTCGCTGATAATATCCTCTAGTTCCTTTCTGACATCGCTCTCTATGCCGTTCAGAGGCAAGATATCCAGCCCGTACCGATAGCAGATGATGGACTTGAAAGCCACAACATTACAATCGGCTGCGAGCTGCGATATCTCCGTTAGAAACAGTCGCATGAACGCTTTTACGACGTCGCCGTCGTCTTCGTCAAGAGTGTTTTGGTTTGCTCCCCCATCATGCCCGATCAAGAAGCGGGCTATGACTTCTGAGGCCACTGTTTCAATCCTCACGATGCGCTTGCATTCGCTCCTGGTAAATTGGCTATGCCACCAGTAATCCTCGACTTGCCCCTGTGCATCCAGCCCATCGTCGATCAAGATGGTCTCGATGCCGTCAAAGCAGCGCCTGATCCAAGCCTCGCGCGATTCGGGCCGTCTGCGCTTGACGGCTGTCGCTTCTACGGCTTCCCACGTCTGCGCGCAGCCGAGAACACCGGCCAGGTGCTTTACGGCCCGGAGGTGAGAAAGACTCTTCTTGGAGTCGTAAAGTGCGTTCCCGGTCGCTTCGGAAGCAATGGATAAGAAGGGGTGCTTACTCGCGGTCTCTGGGGTGAGCAGCGGGTGGGCGTGATTATCGATGAGCGGTGTGGCGTCGATAGCAGCGTTGAGCAGCTTGAGATGGGTGTAGGGTAAAGCCATGTTTAGCAGTTTTTTATGTGACGGCGGCTTAGGCTTACTATCTCAATGTTGGTGTAGTAGCCCGGTTACCATTTTATAGAGAGCTGTGTAAGGTGTACTCGTAATTCTCGCTTATTTGGATTGGGTTATCTTATATGGAAGTGTCTTGAGTATTTCTTGGGCTTGGATAATAAGAAGGCGTACATATACAAACGCAAAAAAAAAAAAAAAAAAAAAAAAAAAAAAAAAATAGTAAAAAAATAAAGAAAAAGGCCTTTATACCCTTTTAAGAGTCAGGGTTTATGCAGCCTCGGTGCTTACTCATTGAAGATGTGCGTGGCTACCGTATCTAACCTATGCATGTCCAAAGTAGCTAGCCATCGAATCGACATAGGCTATCAAGAATGATGGGTTCAAACAGCTAGGCTTCGTTGAGAAAGTCGAGCGTTAAGGGGAAAACGTTGTTTGGTTCGATGGTAAATACCTACTAGTAGCTATCATCAAGTTAGTCCTTGGATAATGCTAGTTCTTGGATAACATCAGGTCCTGTGTTATAACGATGCGCTTCTTCCTCGCTTCCTATTGGATAATCATATACATGGACCCTGTAAGCCACGTAGGACTAATGCATGTGCTTTATCCTACATCCAACATGCTCAAGCATCGTCGAAAATACCAGACTTATAGTAGGTACCTACCTAGGTGGGTATACACATCAAGCCCCTGAAGCCTCCGAACTGCGATCGTGGTATTGTATAATACAAGATATTGTTAAACCGATAAAGCCAACCCTTCGTATTTTCTTATTGCACCCAGCTTTTCGCACTGCTCCTTAAACACGTTGTATACACATCGATTCTCACTCGGCGAACCCAATTCTCCCAGCCCGGATACCGAGCGTGCGGCAAGACCAGGATTCTATCCCCCGGCCCCAGAGCTTTGATCCAAGACTCGCGTTCGGCATCCGTCTCTGTGTGATCATTAAGATTCCACGATAGCGTATGCATATGCCACTGTATATTGGCGCCCCGATTATGCACGAGGTAGATCTCTCTGTTCGTAGTACCGCCTTGGTCCTGCGGGCTAGCTAGATTCTGCGAGAAGGTGTTCCCGCGCCGGTGGACGTCGGCCGTGAACCAAGTCCAGCTCTCGCCTCTGCTGGGGTCGGAGCAGTAGCCTTGGTCGTGGCTCGTGATCTCGAACACGATGCGCCTCACCGGCCTGGAGGAGAGGCTGTTGATGGCTTTGCTCGTGATGTATGGTGTTAGAGGGTCGGCCCATCTCCGCACCTCACCGCCCTTCTCGATGCTAACGCGGATGCTAGTGGATTTGACCCAGTATTGCGCTAGGTCAAGGATGCGAGATATGATGTAAGATGCTACGTGGATATGTTTAGATACCCTAAATTTCCTCTGCAGGCACAGCGCCGCCGTTATGATGTCGCTTTCCTCTCTTGGCCATATCGCGGGGTCTGCAGCTGAGTCGGAAGGACCAGCAGGGTCGTGAATTAGGGCGTTCCCCCATGGTTGCTGCCGTATCCAGGCGATATCGTCGTCGTCGATGCTGATAGGATCCGTTATTGGACGCCGGGCCATGATTCGCACAATTTCTGGGAAGCGTTTCTTGATAGCGATTCCAAGCGGAGCGAGGCCATTTGAGTCTATAACATTGATATTCGCGCCGGCCTTTACGAGATTCGAACATATGTCAATTAAGTTTTGGTTTGCGGCTAGATGTAGCGCGGTGTGGCCTTGGTCATTCTGGCAATCAATGTTGAATCCTTTCTGTTTAGACAGCACCATTACGGCGTCAATATTGCCGCTTGCCGCCGCGTAGTGAATAGGCCTATTTTCATTCGCCCCTAGGGAACCGTAAAGGTAAAGATGTTTCAGTTTTTGTAGTAAAAATTCTGTGTTTTCGGGTCTGCTTCCACCAGCAGCATAGTGTAATGCGCTATCAGTACCTGGGTTTTGGAGAAGGTCGTCGCTCATTCTACTTAACAGCAAATCGATTACAGGAGAGCTTGCAACCCGGGCAGCGAGGTTCAATCCTGACACTAGTTGGGATGGGTAAAAGTCAGGAAAATTATGCTCGTCATGTTTTTTGAGGATAGTGTCTACGGCTTGGATGTTATTTCGGCGAATGGCCGCCTCGAATGGCGTATCTCCTTTTTGATCTTGCCATTTCAGGAGAATGTTTGCATATGGACTGTCTAGCAGCGTCATGAGTATGCGAAGGATACCCGAAGTCTTTTCTCCACCGGAAATTTTAAAGGCGAGAGAAGAATCTGCGACGGCCCAGTGTAGCACCGTTCTCCGATGGAAATCACAAGTAAGGATTGCCTCATTTCTTCTATCGATTGATTCGATCCTGTTGTGATGTTTCATGACACACTCGAAGATATTAAAGTCTGCTGTACGCACTGCCTCCATGAGCGCTGTGCTGGAGTAAGCATCTCGTAAGAGTAGTAGTTTACCGTTCGCATCTCTCTGCATTATCGCCTCTATCAGTATCGTCTTGTCGGGTCCCTTCACGGCATGGGCCCACCATATAGCTTCTTCAAGGAGAGTCGTACATAATTCTTGTGCGGATTTCTTGTATATATCGATGCCATGGTCTAAGAGCGCCTGGAGCGTACCGAGAGAAGTATAGGCGACCGAAACGATTGCCGGTAGCCAGCCAAAGCAATGTCCAACTGTTAAGTTTATGTCTAGCTCAAGTTCTGGAGTTTCTAGGAGAATCTTCATCGATTCGACCGAGTTGTTAAGACATGCCCAATGAAGCGAATTTCCAAACCGCTTTTTGCCAAGGTCTGCTGTCGTGGAGGTGATCTTTAGTAACCATTCGATTTTTACTCCGAATGGGCGATTGTCAAATGCTCCCTTAATCACGTTGAAGAACGCAGCTAGGTCTATTGTGGTACCTGTAGCAGGCATGTCGTCTCTAAGACAGGGGTCGGCGAAAATCGCAGAAACACTACCCCCTATGTTCTTGAGTATCGAAGTGGCCGTGCGTTTGACATGCTCTGGGCGTTGAAGAAAGTTTAGTAATAACTCCATGATATCTTCTAGGCAGGTCGGCTCTTCCACATTTGGAATGTTAGACTCCTGTGCGTAGTGATGTCCGAAATGTAAAGCTGCGTATGCAAAGAATGGCGCATCTTCCTGTGGAAACCATATTTGGGACAAGGGCCCGTTTGTCGACAGAGTTAAGTCGTCAAATCCGAGGAAGGAAATGCAAGTTAGAGCTATTTCCCCATGGCTATGAGCAAAGGTTGGTGTGTCCTTTAGCGAATTGAAATACTCTTGTGTGGTGTAATGAACAAATCTCACGGTTTTACTCTCTCCCTCTACAACTACTAGACCAGCACAATAGTTAGTAACATCACTTTCTTCACCAATGGCGTCTTCGTCGAGTTCTGTGTCATCCGGACTGATAGAGAGAGCGCACAGAAGCTCTGCTAGTCTCAGCGGCCGTCTTGCGAAACAAACCCATCGAATGACTTGTAGAGCAAATTTCTCTATGTTCACACCCTGGTCTCGAATCCGCTCCATTGCTTGGTCGTAGGTATCCTTGATTACATTTTCACCTTTCGGGATCCGGCCCATCTCCCTTTTTAAGTCTTTGAGGGTGATTGCTCTGCTTAAGGAGTCAAGATGCATCCTACATAGGAGGAACCTATGAGACAATAAGCTCGATATTCGATCGCGAAGTAATGAAGGGCAGTATTAGGCTACAACTTACATTCCATTCGCTCTTTCAATGACCGACTTTCGAATGTCTTCTTCGAGCTCCGGCTTTCGTTGCACGTAGCCAGACATCTTCTTCGATCCTCGTATCCGTGCGTTTATATAAGTGCTCATGTCTTCATTCGTAGGTATAAACCGGAATGCTTGCACATTGGTAAAACCCACACTATCGAAATGAGTCGTCCGGGAGGTAACCAATACATTTATCAAGGGTTGCAAACTGCGTAAGCTATCAATGAAGCCGTTTCTTTCGTTTTCATCCGCGCACTCGTCGAGGGCGTCAACAACTATATAAGTCTTCCCTGGTGAGCCATTTGTCAACTCATCTCTGATCATATTGAGAGTCTGGGTCCTAGTTGGTTTAAAGTCGAAACGGGCTGCTATTTCTCCAAAGAGTTGCTCGACCTCTGTGGCGGAAGGATCACGCTGTCGGAAGAACTGCGCCCAAAGGTTACCCAGCATCATCCATGATTTTTGATCTTGACGTTGGCGATAGTCGCAGTAGAGAAACGCAAGACGGCCGTCTCCAGCCTCGCGCACTTTTTCGCGAATATACTCGATAGCTATTGAAGCCATGACTGTCTTTCCAGCTCCTGGCGCCCCTGAACACCACATCGTTCCCCCAACAGATTGCATCCAATCCTGGAATTCTTCTGACTCTAGAAACCATTGACCGGTGCCATCCTGCCTCTGTTGAACAACATTCCCATGCTTCTCGGAGAAACTGATAGGAGCGTAATGCTTCACGATGTCGTCGATTTTCCCGTTGATCATCTCCTCTTCCGCGTGGCTGTTGAGGGCTTTAACGCCACGGTCAATTGACTTGGTTGTCTCCTTGATGTCTAGCGTAAGCCACGAGTTAAGAAAGCCATTCATACGCGATGCCTTCTCGATAGCTCTTTGAATATCCTTTTCCATGTGGGCAAAACGTATTTTTTGCGCGAGCCCCTTAGAGCTTGTTTTCTCGAACTGTCGCGATAGGTCAATCATGCAAGCTTGTAACTCTCGAACAAAGTCATCAGGTCCCAGAGGGCGGCCACGGCCGGCGGAAGCGTCCGCATCGACCTGTCGTTTGACCTCATACAGTAACTGTACCATTACGCTCGAAGTACGACCCAACTCGTCAATCATCTTCGAAGCGCCAATTATCGTGACGCAATAGTGGAAGACTTTGGCGGTAATCTCGATCAACTGCGCGATAGACGCGACTGAGCCCACCACTTCCATGGTTGACTTTTTAGAGGGGCCTGTGGCCGCAGGTTCCGTTACAAGAGACTTAACTCTTACAATGAATAGGCGCCATACAACAACCTTGTCTTTTGAAAGGAGACTTGGCTAGAACATTGGAATATTAGATTGTACCCGGTTTCATTTTGGAGAAGGCGAAGAGAGTGTCGAGGGTCGTGGGCTGATCTTGTTATACTGAGGGGGCCCAGCCTTATAAGACGGTCGGTGGGGTATGCAACCCTGCCGAAACATCTCGAGCTAGATCCTGATGCGTGAGAAAGGGCTGAAATCCGTAGATGTAATCGACCAGTAGAATCGAGCCTCATACCTACGCCAAGGACTGCAGTACGTCCGGTGTACGAAAATAAACATAGCCACACTGCCATCGAAATAACGATTGAATCGAGAATTGTCCATCGTGAATTTTTTGGCCCCGAGGTAGCACTGCATTCGCCATCATGCACCTTGAAACTTGGGGTTATGGAATTGGACGCGGATCCAAAGTGCGTTGTATTAGGAAAGAACCTGAGGCCTTACGGTCCTACTCTAGATGTCTAGTAGCATTAGGAGGTACAGATATAATGGGCCACCTGGTTATCATCTGGTTCTCAGCTGCCAGCGGGTATTATTTAAACAGGTACCTAAGGTAGGCAAAATAGTGCATATATAGAATGAGCATTCTTTCATTCACTTCTTACCTAATACCTAAGACTTATGCAAACAATCTAAGCCAATCTCAAGTTTGCCTTTACTGGTTTAGGTACAAATAGATTTTGTGCTGTTCGGGGCGCACGTGGGTTACGCGGCTGCATTTCAAGTCTCTACCAGCCACTGAAAAACGCTGTGCCTCTAAGTTGCCGAAACGGTTATTGTCGTGGTTTGGATCCTGGTCGAAACCGAAAAAGGGACAAGTACATAATAGATACTGCGAAATGGCCTAGAGCAAAGCAATTCAATAAGAAAGGTCTTATTGTGTAGAGTCGGGCTGAGAAGTTATTACTAGGTAGGTACCTTAGGTACCTACCTACCTACCTTATGCATCAAGAACGGCGGTTTTTATTGGAATTGTTTCTAGCTTTGTCTTAAAGATGGTATATGTCGACTCGCTTATCAATTCTTGTATTCATATAAGAGGTACCTGTTCATCCCGATGTACAATGTGTGTGTAACACTACCATTGCGATACCGAAATTTCAATAGGGGGTTGGGGTTTACGTCCTTAAGTGCCAGGTCCCTACCTGTAATTGATGTCTCCGAAGTTTGCTGTTTTTTAGTCGTGGTTATTCAAGACCCAAATGCTTTCGGACCCGCTGAATTAGCACAAAATACACTAGGTAACTTTCGTCATCTTTGGACTTACCGGTATTGAGGTACCTATGGAGAATGCTGGCTTTGCGTGGGGCGTCTAGATTCTAGACTTCTTAAGTCAACCTCTGCGCCGAGATATGCCAAGACAATTGTCGATCTATGGAAGGATTTTAGGTAAAAAGCTTGTATTTTCTTGGAAGCAGGGGTCACCCAGACCCTTTCCAGTTTGGGGGACCAATAATAGTGGTACGCGCTTGTGTTAGCAAGGGTAATGTGGGCCACTAGTCGTCATCGGCGACTGAATTTCCCCCAGACTGCATGTGGACTCTACACCCCCACAGTGCTAAATATTTCCCTTTGTTGCGAAGTAACTACCAGTCATAGAGACAGTTGGCTGGGGCTCCCAGCAAAATGATACGGAAAGCGCAACGAAACTCGCAACATGATTACCGTACTTACACGGTGAATGCATCACCTTTGACTGGCGCATGTGTAACAACCGATTGGTATTGTACTTGTTACCTACTTGTCGTATCCATGGGATGTGCACCTGCCTGCACAAGAAACCTGCCGCTAGACAATCAATTCAGATTTCTCCTTCTACATTTCCCTTTACATCTCCATTCCAGTCCAAAACTAAAACCCGAACTCAAACTCAAACTCAAACTCCCTTATCTCTTCCAATCTGCCTTCGAACAAAGGGGACAACATTCATCCTAATAATTACAAAGTTTCCTCAACTTGTAACCACCACCTTTAAACGACGGACTAGTGTTGAAGGGGATTTGATCTTCGTTGCGACCGTCCCATTTCTCTTTTATCCCAACTTTGTCACTCGTTCACCCCTGATAAACGTCCAATCTTCTGACCATCAGGGTTATGGCGCCGGTCTCTTTTCGCGCGCTCTTAATCGCGGTCTCAATAACGGGAGATATCGTCTCCGCGCAGACTTATCAAATAGATTCGGATGGTACGACTTATCATTTTGCTCCCTATTATACATACTAAAGTGGCTTATCTTTGTAAACTACTAAACTAACTTTCCTTTCCACCTACTAACAGATAACATCATCTCAACATCTAAGGCTCTCGCTCAAAATGTCATGACATATTACCACGGCAATGAATCCGGACAAACGCCCGGTATCCTCCCTGGTCCTCCCCCGGCAGGCGATTACTACTGGTGGGAAGGTGGAGCGCTTTGGGGAACCATGATCGACTATTGGCATTATACTGGAGATACTACCTACAACGACTTAATTACCCAGGCTATGCTTTGGCAGGTTGGCCCGAATAAGGACTATATGCCTCCTAACGTTACCGCCTCTCTTGGCAACGATGACCAAGGATTCTGGGGCATGTCTGCTATGTTAGCTGCTGAAGTCAACTTCCCCGACCCTCCTTCCGATCAACCCCAGTGGCTGTACCTAGCTCAGGCAGTCTTCAATACTCAAGCCGACCCCGGCCGCCATGACACTACTTGTGGTGGCGGTTTACGATGGCAAATCCCCTTCGCCAATAATGGATATGACTACAAGAATAGTAAGAGGAATCAATGACCCATGCGTAGTAATACAAGACTAACATCATCGACCCAGGCATCGCCAATGGCTGCTTCTTCAACCTCGGTGCCCGCTTGGCGCGTTATCTGAACAATCAAACATACGCTGATTGGGCCGAGAAAACCTGGGACTGGGTCGAGAGTATCGGTTTGATGGACAGCGACTATAGGATCTACGATGGCGCTCACGTCGAGACCAACTGCACTGATATTAACAAGGCCCAATTTTCATACAACAACGCCGTTTATCTCCTAGGAGCGGCGTATATGTACAATTTTGTAAGTACCTATTTATTTGCATGATAACCCTTCTTCGATGTTGAAACTGACAACCCCCTAGACAGGTGGAGAATCGAAATGGGAACAACGAATCACGGGACTTTTAGATGCTACACTTCGCGATTTTTTCAAAAACAATGTCGCCTACGAAATTGCATGCGAGGAGCACATGACCTGTACAACAGATATGTTGAGTTTCAAGGGATACTTACACCGGTGGATGACGACTATGACGCAAATCGCCCCATTCACAGCCGAGAAAGTTCTACCGGTCCTGAAGGACTCAGCTCAAGCTGCGGTGAAGCAGTGTACTGGACCGCCAGCTGGAAAGACATGCGGATTCGGGTGGTCAAGCGGTATATTCGATAACAGTGTGGGCGCTGGCCAGGTGATGAACGTTCTAGGAGCCGTTTCGTCCCTCCTAGTTGGAAAGGCCAAAGCTCCGGTGACAATGGAATCGGGTGGAACCAGTGAAGGCGACCCGAATGCAGGCGCGGGTAGCGATTCATTTGTTCACACACCATCACCAATAACAGCAGGAGATAGGGCAGGTGCTGGTATTTTAACGGCCCTTGTTCTAGTTTCCGCAGTTGGAACATTTGGATGGATGAGCATAGGTGTATGAAGGAAATCATATACCAGCATAATTATAAACTAAGATGAACCGAGCTCACCATTAATATAATTCGACAACCCATCAATGATCATGAAGGGCCTTGGAAGGCAATCATCAATAGGACATATAAGGTGGCGTCTAGGATGGAAGGAAGGTAGATAGGTACCTACCTAGGTATGCAGTACCACACCAAAAGGGCATGAGGCGTTCGGAACGGTTGTCAATGAGCGTTTTCTCATGAAACGAGGATTTAGTTTTCGTTTTTGTTACTTCAAATTTTTAAGCAGAAATCACCTCCAATCGGGGGTGATTTAGGATTAATGTTAGCACGGCTGGTCTCAGGGGTAGCTTGGACACCTGTCTGATCGTGCCGAGAATGAAAAGAACATGTATTGAGGAATCATGAAATCAAATTCGTAAAGTCGTAGTTAACCCTTAATAGAGAATCTTTATTTCGTGCCAGGTATTTTATATAATTGAGCAGTCACTTTAACCGCGCTACCCCAAAATCATAACCGCACCACCCAAACCACTTACATTACCTGTAGTGTTATTGAATGACGTATGGTGTTAGGCGGGGGAATTACGCGTAGTGAGTGCTACTACTACAGCGCGGTTATTGACGTCGAGGTAATGAAAAAAGGGCGAAGAGGTTGCGAGATTATTTATTTAATTCTGAATGATGAGATAGAAGCTATTTTCGATATGATTATTGAATTACGGATCCGTACACGGACCCATGGTTCATGTGGCGCATAGTTTAATGTCTAACTAAGATCACGTGGGTCTTGGCAGCACATGCTAACATTCATGTAAAGATAAGAATTTACCCCTCGCTAAACTGTTTTAGGACTGATAAGAAAGATAAGAATTTTGTACCCCTCTGAGCGACCATTTTTTTCCAACTATTAGTCGAACAAACACTTACCTCAGCGTCGCAAAACTGGTCATAAACCATATTAAACCTCGGCCATAAGTGATATTTTTTTTTCACATATAGTCTAAATTTGATCAAGATGTCGGCCGAGATTGAGCAGGCCGAGTCGCCTCACAATGCCTACGACACGATTCTGGTGCTGGACTTTGGATCCCAGTTCACGCATCTTATCACTCGACGACTACGAGAACTGAACGTCTACAGCGAGATGCTTCCGTAGGTCGATTCTATTTCCTTTTATATATATATACCTAGTTGACTACGTAATATAATCCTAATAAACTCTCTTCATAGGTGTACCACGAAGCTCTCAGAATTAAGCTGGAAGCCCAAAGGAATTATTCTATCTGGTGGTCCCTTTTCGGTTTATGACAAGGATGCGCCTCACGTTGATTCGGCCTTTATTGAACTCGGGGTCCCCATCCTAGGTATATGCTATGGTCTTCAAGAAATCGCTTGGAACCTGAGCAAGGACAATGTCGTTGCTGGAACTAAAAGAGAATATGGTCAAGCAGTACATCTCCCTTCGTTCTTTCAACCACTTGAGTTGGCGCTCTAACGTTTATAATCAATCAGGACCTAACACCGCAACACCACAACAGCCACGTTGACAGATTATACGAGGGCTTGTACGGAGAGTCCGGCATGAGAGTGTGAGTATACCGGATCCGAGCATCTACCTACCGTCTATTGCGTAGATAGAGAGGTCTACCTACTAGCCTAACTAACAAATGGCAGTTGGATGAGCCATGGCGACAAATTGAGCCAACTCCCAGATGGTTTCGTCACTATCGCTACCACTCAAAACTCTCCCTATGCCAGTATTGCCCACGAGAGTAAGCCGATCTTCGGAATACAGTTTCACCCTGAAGTGACACATACCCCTCGTGGTACTGAGCTGCTCAAAAACTTTGCCGTCGGCATTTGCGGCGTCAAGCAGAACTGGACGATGACGGACTTCCTAGACAAGGAAGTTGCTCGAATCCGTAAGCTCGTAGGCAATGGCCAGGTGATTGGAGCTGTCTCGGGTGGTGTTGACTCGACAGTGGCTGCGAAACTAAGTAAGTTGATGCTGTTGTATCCCCTCTAATTTATTATATAGAAGATTGAGGCGTCCTATCGGCATCGTCCGCGGCTTGTTTGAACTATAATCGCTAACAACACCCCTATAGTGAAATTAGCAATTGGCGACAGGTTTCACGCTGTGTTAGTGGACAATGGCGTGATGCGCCTCAACGAATGTCAGCAAGTGAAAGAAGCACTTGGTGAACACTTAGGAATTAACCTGACGGTGGTGGATGCATCGCAAATCTTCCTTTCCAAACTGAAGGGCGTAATAGATCCCGAGCAAAAGCGAAAGATCATCGGCAATACTTTCATCGATATTTTCGAGGAAGAAGCAATTAAGATCGAAAAGGCCGCAGAAAACACGCCAAACGCCGGAAAGGTTGAATGGTTCCTTCAGGGAACCCTGTACCCAGTAAGAACGAATGACCTTGAATAATGACCGCATACCAGCCATAAAACTTGTTGCTCACTTTTCTCCCTGCAGGACGTTATTGAATCGATTTCTTTCAAGGGTCCTTCGGCTACTATTAAGGTACTTACTACTGACGGTTTTACTCGATTGAGGATTTGGAACTAATTGTGTAATAGACACACCACAATGTTGGCGGATTGCCGCAACGGATGATGGATGGCCAAGGTCTCAAGCTTATTGAGGTAAGTTACCCCTTTACTTAATGGACGCAATACCTAGCTGACAATATACAGCCTTTCAGGGAGTTATTTAAGGAGTAAGTCCCAAATTTATTTGAACTGGAACCATTTACCAGGCGTCTTGGCGGCAAGTTTGTTAATCCCTGTGTTATAGTGAAGTTAGAGCCCTCGGACGCGAATTAGGTGTCAATGAGGAACTCGTCATGAGACATGTAGGTCACCCTAAAATCCAGTGCGGTTGGGCGAATGTTGAACTAATCTCATTAAGCCATTCCCTGGCCCTGGTATTGCTATCCGAATTCTGGGCGAAGTGACTCCGGAGCGTGTCGATATCGCAAGGAAGGCCGACGACGTAAGTCTCCACAAACAGATCTCATTCTTCTGCACGACGTATAAATGCTTACATTACTCAAGATCTTCATTAGCATGATTAAGGAGGCGGGTATCTATAATGAAATCAGCCAAGCGTATGCCGGCCTTGATACAAACAAGGCCGTAGGTGTCATGGTAGGGAATTCAATTTTCTGTTTACATCCTCCCCTTTTTACTATTATGCGCGCAAACGGATAGCTTCTAACATACGGACAGGGTGACAAGCGCTACGAAGGATACCTCTGCTTGCTGCGTGCGGTCACGACCAAGGACTTCATGAGCGCCGAGGCTTACAAGTTCGACATGGACTTCCTCATGAACGTATCCACGCGAATCGTCAACGAGGTCGAGGGTATAAGTTGCGTGTTCTACAACACGACGAGCAAGCCGCCAGCTACGATCGAGTTATCGTAAAGAGGCAGATTTCCCCGGATCTAGTTGAGAATGTTTTCCGGCAAAAGGGCATTAGACGCGATGCTTTATATGCTAATCCACACCATGTCTATCGGGAAATTTACTCTCAGATGTTAAATACCTAAGCTGGACTGGAGATGCTCGCTATCCATATCTGATAGAGTACCTAGGTATCTATGTACCTCCTATTGTTGCGATCTAGGACAGCCCAGGGCTACTCGTTCGCTTCATCATTGGGTCAAGGTCAATTATTTGTGTATTTTCCATAAACTACTTACCACCTGGGTCATGGCTGATATGGAATAAACGAGCTGTTGCAAGCTGGTTCATAAAGAATTTACCTCCCGAGCTCAGTCGATTAGTACCATATTCAACAGTTAAGATATGCTAAAAAGAGCCGTATTCGTTGTTAGATACCTAGGTAAGTAGTCATGAATACAGATCGAAGCTTTCCAAATTATAAAAGAGAATGTGATATGACAGGGCCTAGTACGCGGCTATGCGGTTGAATGTTCCCGATTTATACTCCTTCTAAACAAATAAGGGTTTATAGCTTGGTAATCTATATATCAATTGCTTACCTCCTTGCCGATTTACGTATGCGGTCAGTAATCAGGAGCTAGGAAATTCTCCAACTTACTAGCAACTTTTGGGTATAGTAGTATGCGTGTAGTAGTAGGAGGAGAAGTGGGCGTACGTACTAGTACTACATGGGGTTATTAATTCCCGAGTAGCTGAGTACCAGGTAGCAATCTTGTTGGCGAGATGCATGGAAGTTAGCGGTTCTAGACAATGACGTATTCATCCTGGTATAATCCGTACGAAGTATTTCGTACTCGATTCAACATCGTGGGATTGGACTGACACTGTTAACTCCCTTTTAGAAACGAAGTAGTCTAAGAAACGACTCAAGCAAAATGTTTCAGCAGAAATAAAATAAAAAAGAAAATCCCAGATAATATTAATTTTGATCATAAGGGTTACTATAAAGTTAATGTATGAGGAGGCACTGTAGTCATTTTGCAGATGATTTTATTCGTTAAAAATCGCCGTTTGCATGAGGCTCGTTGGAATCCTTCCTGTACGACACGACACTAACAGGTAGCATAGCTCCCGAGGTCATGACTAACGGATATCCCAGGGGTTCAGGGGTAACGCAGCCTTGGTCACCGTTATGGGGAATTAAAGAATAATTTTCGACAAGGTTCTCGAATAGACTATACATACCTCATATATTTACACTATTAACGAAAGCGGTTGATACCTCAACCTCAACTACTATATGAGGTTAAGCGGATTCGGGTACCTTAGCCTAAATCGACCTAAGGTCAACCACCTAGTACTTATATAGCTACACTACGGATCCGTATGCGTGGAAAGTAAGGGCCTAGGTAAGGTAGGTACCTAACCCAGCATTTGTAAGCGGAAGTATATTAGCCCTGTTACTAATTCGGTCGGACATAACACTATCGCCTAAAAGAGATTGGACAGTCGTAGCGTTTCTGTAGATTTCGACCCTGATATGATTGGTTACGACTTCCCGGGTCATATATGGGGCAGAGGCTATCACGACAGCTTTGTCAGAAGGAGGGGTGGTGGAGTCGAGTGAATTGGCGGAGGGGAAAGAGATATTTCAGGGAATACCTCTCGCAAATATTGTCGTACTACAACTACTACAACTACAACATACAACGATCAAAACCAACACTACAATACCAATCACTTATACCTAAAAGAAGAAGAAGAAGAAGAAGAACAAAAAAAAAGATGGCTGCGACTCAAAAAGCTCTCATTATTCAAGAAGGACACGTTGCCAAGGTCGTAACCGACGCACCCATTCCCAAAGTGCGCCCTGGTTACGTCAAAGTTAAGACGGTAGCCGTCGCGCTGAACCCCACCGACTGGAAGCACATCGACAGCGTCGGAGCTCCCGGTGGCCTGGTCGGTTGCGATTATGCCGGTATCGTTGAGGAGCTAGGACCCGGTGTCACGAACTTCAAGGTCGGCGACAAGATCTCGGGCTTCGTGTCCGGCGCCAACCTGAGCAACACGGAGGACGGCGCGTTCGCCGAGCACATCGTGGCCAAGGCCGCCCTTTCCATCAAGGTCCCCGACAACCTGACCCTGGAGCAGGCCTCGACGCTCGGCGTCGGCGTCAGCACCGTCGGCCAGGCCCTCTACCAGTCCTTAGGCCTGCCCTGGCCCACGGAGCCCGCCGAGAAGCCCTTCCCCGTCCTCATCTACGGCGCGAGCACGGCGACGGGAACCCTGGCGGTCCAGTTCGCTAAGCTCTCGGGCTTGCAGGTCATCACGACGTCGTCGCCGCGCAACTTCGAGCTGCTGAAGAGCCTGGGCGCCGACGCGACCTTCGACTACAACTCGCCGACGGTCGGGGAGGACATCCGGGCGTACACGAACGACGGGCTGGAGTACGTGTTCGACTGCATCGCGGAGGGGTCGTCGCCGGAGATCGCGGCCAAGGCCATCAGCTCCAAGGGCGGCAAGTACACGGGGCTGCTCATGCTGGACAAGTTCCCGCGCGAGGACGTGGAGAAGAAGCACACGCTCGCGTACACCATGACGGGCGAGACCTTCGTCAAGCTCGGCCACGAGTTCCCGGCCAGCCAGGCGGACTTCGAGTTCGGCGTCCGCTTCTGGAAGCTCGCCGAGGAGCTGCTGGCCCAGGGCAAGGTCAAGCCGCACCCGGCGGACGTGCGCGAGGGCGGGCTGGACCGCATCCTCGAGGGGCTGGACGATTTGCGGCAGGGACGGGTTAGCGGGAAGAAGATCGTTTACAAGATTTAGATTAGATTACCTAGATACCTAAAGTGCGAACGGGGGCATGGGGGGAAGCGGGGAAGGGGGATAAGTAAAAAAAAAGAGGGAGTTTTGAGGAACAAAGGTGCGGGGGCGGATGCTAGCTATGAGGAAAATTTGTATATATGTCCCACGATGTATGTTGCAGTATCCTGGTTCTATGGAACATCGTGCGTGGTCGCTATAGAAAGGGGGGCGGGGGCGACAAGTCTTCTGAATGAAGATGTCTTGATCATTATACCAGCATGAGATCTAATACGATACTCGACATGGTACTGAATTGCGTTATAGCGAGGTAGCTCACAGCCAGTTATAAAGAAAAAAGAAATTCCATCCTCAAGAGTGTTATTTCCAACAAGTTATTATCCACAATAAGGGTCTTTCCACTGCTCGTTTAGATAGTGGGTTGGGTTTTACCTGGCCATTTCCGCTCGTGTTTATCACTACAGCTTGCAGTTCGGAGGTATGACAGTCGATAATTTTTGAGTGTATTTTAGTGACCAGTTTGCTATCGGCACCAAGGGTTGTGGTGTGTTAAGTGCCGCTGTTATAATCTGGGAATACTGAGCGTATAGGAAGTGTCACGTCGTAGAGCATGAGGTAGGAAAACAACTCCTTTGTTCCTAAGGGGTCTCAAGTGAGACTCCTGACAGGAAGTTTTGGTTTTTCATAGTTAACATATATCTTAGGAGGTACCTACCTAGGTACCTAAGGCAGGTGGTATATTAGTACTGAGACAAGTATGTAAATAACTAGGCGCCTATCGGAACGAATGATCAAGAAGGATTGTATAGGTAGTATACTATAGAGTAAACCGGTTAGATACTATGTCCTAAAGCTTCGTTCATTTTCCTTCCTCCAGCTAGGTATACCCTAATATATTTCCCACTGTCCAGACACAATTGGTAATAACTACCCGCCCATGATCACTTGTAAAAACGCAGAATTTGAAGGATTCTTAATACAGCAGCTCAAACAGGCAGTTCGTTGGAACAAAATTTTATAACGGCGGGCCCTGAGGATTCCTATCGCGAGGAGTTGTTCAAGTTTATTGCCATGAAGAGCAATTACAGTTGTAGAACCGCCACTAGGTGTTACCTCTGGAAAAGCCATGCAAGCGTCAAATCCCGCTATTGCCAATTGTTGGCCCTTCTCTATCCGAACCTCCGATTTAGGGTCGTGAGAACAGCAGAACCTCACGGTTGTCATTGCCGGATTAAGAAATATTCCGAGGGGGATGGTAATGTGATAGTCCTTACAGTCCGCCTGGACTGCTACAAAGATCTCCTTTTCGCCCAAAGTCATATCCATGGAAATATTAAATGCTGAGGGAATATGGTGGGGTATGAGAACAAAGCCTGGCGCGAGCGAGGTTGTGACGGTTGGGCGACTTATAAAGTTAGAAAAGTCGGGTCGATTTGACGATATTTCCGACCTATATATACCCTCGAGACTTGCACGGCCAGGTAATAGCGACAGAAAACGATTCTGGTCGTCGTAACAGTCATGGCTTAATATGCAGGTAAAGCAAACCGTATAACTTCTACCCGAAATCCCAAGGCAGTCGATTTCGGAAGCACCCCGCCGCTCAGATAGTATCTCGCTATTGGGGTCTATTAATTTCAGTACCATTGCCAGATTGCCCCTTATAAACGGGTTGCTGAGGTCGATTTGACTGGTACGGCTCATCAAAATATCCTCGCAAATGTAAAGCTCATTAACATCGAAACGATACTGAGATCTGTAGTATAAACAATCAGCTGCTAGGCTGTAGGAATTATGCTGAGTTTAATAGTAGTAACACCTTCTAAATGAAGAAAGGCTCTTGGAAAATCTGAAGAGTTGCTTACAAGAGAATGATAAAAACTGAAAATGTAACAATCAAGCCATTGACATATGTACATAAACACTTTCCGGGGTATGAGAAGGACTCAGCATGCATCCCGCAGACATGTTCTAGTTTTGCGACAGTTTTCATACCTAGAGCCCTTAAACCCTTTGGTTGATTTACTGCTCCAGGCATGCGAGAATAAACAGAGTTGGGAATTGAATCAGCAGAGTTGAAAAATGAATCCTCAAAACCAAAGGCATTAGCTGTTTCTTTCAATGCATCGAGACTCGCTATACTGATACTTCGTGCTGAAATAGAAGACAAATGAACGAGTCGGCATATGCCTTGACGGATGCTTGTTTCGAGCAAGGAATCTATCCTGGGCTCTTGAGAAATTATTGACGAGAAGAGCGCCTCTATTGGTACACGATGACGTATAGCAGGGTGCTTAGTTGCATTTGGTGCCTTAACTATTGTAAATTTCTGGTGAAGAACGGACCGAGTCGCAAAGGAATCAACTTGATATTCGCTTAGTTCGAAAATAGCAGCGCCATTACTTCCCGCGCTCTCCCATATGATGGTGTTATTGAGACGTAATTCAACAGCCATCCCAAGCGTATGACTTGCGAACGCTGAAAGCCAAGATCCTCTCATACTTGAGTAAGTAGTAAAAGTTAGCATGTGTTGGAAATTTCTTTATTCGTGATGTCAACTTAGAGAGAGATGGCGTGTTCAGAGAAAAATATGCTCATTTTGATAGAAATATTGTATATACGGGAAAAGTAATTACCGTGTAAGCATATAGCAGCTCTCCTTCCTTTGCGAGGTGAGCATCAGCTGATTTACAGCGCCGGCGGTAGAAGACGCATCGCCACTTGTGGTAAGATGGGAGATTACTGTAAGAATCCTGGACCACAGAGACGACTAGGATAAGGAGCTCCTAGTTGTCTCAATGAATCCAACCTGTGTTAGGCTCATAATTATCATTGGTTCGAGGAGTTGTGCTCACATTTTTCCCGCAGCATTATGGTCGCCGTATCATTGCTACAGTTGGTTTGCGTTATAAGTCGCCTTGCGGTGACCGTAATATGTCCTAGGACCTTCGAGAATCCAAGATCATGAATAAATGGGACGAAGTAGTTGATCATATGTTTTAGGACGTCAACGTTGGGCAACAGGTCAGCTTCGCAGCCGCGCAGGGAGAGGAGGGCAGAAAAGCACTGGGCAGCCTGGTAACTAGTAGATCCGGAAGAAAAGGCATCAACTATGAGAAGCGCATTTACACCTTCTTTGGTCTTCGTCATCGCATCTATGATCTCCGTTTGGCCCCATCCAATACTCAAGGCTTTGGACCAGATGGATTGAATACTCCGTTTAGACAAAACATGCGTGCGAACACTATTTCCCAAGGAGTGACGAACTTCGAAGGTTTTCCCCAATTTGATAGCGACAGTTATCGTATAGAAGTCAATTCCAGCGTCGCTTAGAGCTTTGAGTTCTTTGCCGGTCATGAGATGGAATAGAAAACCGGTACCAAGGACATCGGCTTGGAAGCCGAAACCAAATGTACTGTCTGACATGATATATAGAGCCTTTCAGAGCGGAAGATGTACTGAGTATATGGGTTTAAAGGAACTACGATATTTCTTAGGCAAAAGATTTCAAAATTGGGTAGAATCGAGGGGTATGTATGCTTGCCATTCAGGAGCATCTATCATTTATCACGTTTCATTGCGTTCACAATGCAGATGGTTATCCATATTTTATCGCTCAAACCGATATTAATCTTCCAAAACCGTGGTAGATGCATGCATCATGAAATAAAACGATCCAATGATCGAAGCTATACCCAAAAACTTACACATATCTCAGGTACCTACTTACATTTTATATGAGGAAGAGTAAGCAGCAACAAGAAAGCAACGCCAATAAAAATGCCTATATTCGCTGACCCAGCTCTCTTCCCCTCATTCCACGAACTACCCTCGTCATCCGCCGCCGCAGCAGCCGCAGCAGCAACAGCAGACCAGTTCCTGCTGGCGCAAATAAAAGAGGACATGACGATCACGAAGCCCACGGTGATCGTCCGGGACAGGAGCGGGGCCGACTTCGCCGTCACCTTCGAGGACGGCGACCATCGGGGCCTGGGACAGGGCGGGATCCGCTTCCGGAAGGGCCACACGCTGGTCGTGCCGCGCGCGACGCGCACGGACCGCGGCGAGGGAAAGCAGCCTATCGTTCGCGTGCCGCCTGGGGAGGGGGCGAGCGTTCGGATCCTGCCTGCTGGGCTGGATCAGGTTTTTGAATTGGGGGCGGTTTTGGATGGGATCGAGGGGGCGGGGAAGGGGAGGAAATGTGCGGCTTGCGGCAAGGAGGAGGAGAAGGAGGAGAAGGACGGGGAGGAGTTAAAGAACCCGCTAATGAGATGTACGGGGTGTGGCGTCGTTGCGTACTGCAGCAAAGCTTGCCAGGTGCGCGGCTGGAGCGAATTAGGACATAAGACGAATTGTAAAGTGATTCGGTCTATCAAGGAGATATGGCCATGATATGGTGTGTAGTACGTACTTGTGAGAACAGACCACAGTTGCGTGGATGTCAAAAAGAAACAGATTGAGCGGCAATACGGGTGATCCATGACTATTGTGTAAGTCCCGAGACTATTATCAAAAGACTTCACTAGCAGCTAATATTCTAATGCGAAGACCTAACTTGGGGTTTGAACACATCACAGTTAACATCTACAGAGGAAGAATGAAATCAACTCTTAGGCGTTGCTATTGGCCGTTTTACAGACATAATGTTCTAATATATAGGTAAACAAAGCTCATCGAGATTGATCCTCCGAATCGCGAATCGTGTACATGATGTCCGTCCTCATCGTATACTTGATCCCCTCCAAAACGTCATCTCCCGCATGATACAGTCGCCGGTGCTGGAATATCAGAACCCTGCCGGCCTTAGGGTTCACGTCCAGCTTTCGCACCTGGTTTGTCGACAGAAAGGACGTCGCGCCACCAACTAGGTCAGCGGCGTCACCGACCTCCTGCTTTGAGTCGTTTAAGTATAAGTGAAGGGTATAATGCGTGAGAACAGACTTCCCATCTTCTCCCGTCTCGCCGTAAGGAGCGTCGCAGTGCGGCCTGAAGAACTGGCCCTGGCCGTATTTTAAGAAGCGCATGCGCTTGTTAACGCGCTGGAAATCCCACACTATTCCTTTCGGTTGCTCGGACGTGAGCAGCGTCTCTTTGATCTGTGGGACTTGCTCTAGGCGCGCCCAGAGACGGTCGACGATGTCCTGCTGGTCCCAGATAATTCGGTCGCTGTTGCGGTAGTCTAGCACCTCGGCCTCATAGCCACGCCCGACATTGACGAGCGCAGGAGCCCAGGGCGACCCATTTATCTTGTTTTTGTTCTTCGGGGGCACGCTGGCTTCGGCTAGCTCTATGAGCTTCGCACACTCGGACGGGCTGATGACATGGTCTAGCACGACGGCGTACAGGCCTTTATACTCCGTTAGGACGGTCTCAGCGAAGTCTATCTTCTTGAAAGTGATAGGCTGCGCATCATGTGGTTCCGACCTGAGGAAGTCGCCTGGGATAGGTACATCATTGGATTCGTAGGATGTTTTGACTGGTAGGCTATACATTTTGAAACGTATTTATGACTGTATTCGAACACGAGTGAATGGAATAACCTGTAACCCGTAACAGGTAGGCGATGCTCTACCACAACTTGTAACAAAAAATTAGCTACAAAAAAAAATTATGATAACAAAAGTTGGGAAATTTTTCTCAGGTAGAGAAACTGAATATTTCAGTTTAAATCACATTTATTCAACTATTAAAAGGATGCCTAATTGTTTAGCAAAAAGTTATGGCCCTATATTTTGGGGGCGAAAGCTGAAAACGCGCCAAGAAATCTGACCAGTTAACATACGATATTTTGAGATTGACGATCTAGACCCCTAGAAGATGGACATTTCTCTCTTTGAATAATAATAGGTAAACATAAGGATAATTTTCATAGATGGGTCGTACTTAAATACTATGTAGTCATAGGCATGTCCGGCACGTCTGCATGTTAAGGACACTTCTTAACGCGCTGATAAGTGGCCTGGTTCGTGATGTGAGAACTAGCAGGGTTCTTGGTACCACTATCAGCTCCTAGATCAGGCACCACCATTCCAAGTATTTCAATAATGGCAATAATGGAGAATATGTAACATGACTAAGACTGTTCAAGATACCCGGGACTTGGGAGGAGTAAAGCTATAATAGGTCCACAGGCATAGACAGCTCCGTATTATAATAGCGAATCATACTCAATGACACTAGTAGATTTATTTATGACGAAAGACTAGAAAGGGGGGAATTTCGCCAATTCTCGAATGTCATTCGCTCGCCTGAAAAAGCCGATCGCTATAGACTTTACCGAACTACCGGGCGGCGTCATGGTTATAGCTAACCCGACCCCGCGTCGTTGGTCCGACTTATATAGGAACGGACGCCTACCATGACAATTCATTAGGAAAGTTAGGTACAGTACCTCATATATAGACCTAAGCAGACTATACGTAAAGGAAATTAAGAAAATATTCGTGGTATCGAGCGAAGGGATAATTCCGAATAAAAAGGCTTGGGCTCGGTTCTTACGAAAAATACAAAAATGGCTACCCCTCCCCCGCCTGGAATATACGTCCCCGTGCCGACCTTCTTTGTGAGCAAGAAGGCGGCCAACTACGACCCGGTCGCGGCGCCAATAGACGTCAAAACGCAGATAGCGCACTCGTTGTACCTGGCACGGTCCGGCATCAGGGGACTGGTGATCCTGGGCAGCACGGGCGAGGCAATCCATCTCACGAGCAAAGAGCGCTTTGAGGTCCTATCTGGCGTCAGACAAGCCTTCGAGAAGGAGGGCTTCAAGGACTATCCAATTATTGCTGGCACTGCGACGCAGAATATCGAAGAGACCGTCCAGCAGCTGAAGGAGGCTAAAGAGGCCGGCGCCCAGTACGGGTTAACCCTCGTTCCGGGATACTTCGCCGGAGCGAGCACGCAGGAGGGCATTATTAGGTGGTTTACTGCGGTGGCTGACAGAAGCCCCATACCAATCTTGATGTAAGTTACGCTACCCTGACTTCAATTCCCCAGCACTAATAGAGGGGGTTGGGTTTTCGGGTATACAGATACCACTACCCGGGCGTATCGAACAACGTCAAAGTCGTCCCAGCTACATTCGAAACTCTAGCTAAACACCCCAACATCGTCGGGTGCAAGCTCTCGCACGGCGACGTGTCGTACCACGCGCAGATCGCGTCGAACCCGTCGATCGACCACGCCAAGTTCGCCACGTTCACGGGCCTCGGGCAGCAGCTGCTCCCCGTGGTGACGGTGGGGGCGGCCGGGGCGATCGACGGCAGCGCGGGGTTCTTCCCGAAGAGCGTGGTGCGGCTGTACGAGCTGGCGGCGAAGAACCGGCCGACGGACGAGGAGGTCCGCGAGCGCCGCCTGCTGCAGTTCAAGGTCAGTGCCGTGGAGGAGCTCGTGGTCAAGTTCGGCACCGTCGGCATCAAGGAGGCCGTCAGCAGGCTGCGCAAGCTCGGCGATCCCGACGGCACCCGGCTGCCCTTGTTCGGCGGGATTCCCGGCGGGGATGCCGAGTGGGCGAAGTGGCAGGTGCTTATTGACGCGTTGGAGGAGGAGGAGCTGAAGCTGTGATTGTATTATTTTGGAGGTAGCTTACCTTGGAATAATCATGAAATAAAAAAAAATTTAAAATTAAAATTAATAATAAAAGTGGACAAATTCCGGATCCGACGAAGAGGGTGGGCTAAGTTCGTTACCCTTTTAAAGACATTAGGTTAGGAGGTAGGTACCTATAAAAACCCCTCACGAGTAAATAACATTAATAATAAACAACATGCACCTTCGATGGTCTGCTTATCCGAGATTATCCATCCTCCTAGCCAGTTTAGCTTAGAAAAAACACACGCTAGAACCATCGTACCTAAACCAACCAGCCCCGAATTCTTCTCCTAAGCACTTAAAGAAAAAAAAAATGGCCGAGACAAGTACCTCGACCCCGGGCGCCGTCCCGAGCGTCTCGCGCGCGACGTGGACTGTGTCCGGGTTGCAAGTCGACGTCTACGGATTAGCCGAGCTGCCCGCGGGCGCGAGCAAGGTGTCGTGCTTATGGCTGCACCACGGACGCCTGCGGAGCAAGGGGGACATGGCCCCTGTCGCGAACCGCATCCTCTCCGCTTACCACGGGAAATCGAGTCCCGGACGGGGCTTGATTGCCGTCGCGCTCGACCAGCGGAATCACGGCTCGCGGCTTGTCGACAGGCGCGCGAATGAGTCCTGGGTTGACGGGAATGAGACGCAGTATGTCATTTCTACATAACAGTTGCGGGCTGTGTTCATGAGTAGAAGATATTCAAGGAACTGCCGTGATTGATTCCCGTGGCTCGGAACTATTAAACTCTAGGCCCGAATGCGCTAATTTTCATATTTACCTGTAGCGCCCAAGACATGTTCGGCTTCGTTACGGGCACCGTTATGGATACCATGAATTTAATAGATATGATTGAGAGCCACCTCTTCGGTGGGGACGCTCATGTCACGAATGGCGGCGGAAGGAGGCGTATTGACCAAAACCTGGTGCTTGGTATAAGCCTGGGAGGTCATAGTGCGTGGCAGTTGTTGTTCGCGGATCCTCGAGTTACAGCGGGCGTCATAGTGATTGGATGTCCCGATTACATGTGTAAGTACGACAATAGAATCCGATTGAAGAAAGGAAGAATATTATATCTTGAAAAAAAAAAACCAAGACGAACATCGCGGCTTTGATGCTGATGATGATCAATAGCTCTCCTAAAGAACCGCGCGCGGCTGTCGCAACTCAAGGGCTTCAATGCGCCCGATTACGGTGCTTCCTTCATCGGCAGCAAAGACTTCCCAGACGCCCTAGTCAACGCTTGCAAGAAATACGATCCAAAGGGCATCTTGTTCGGAACTGAGGAGATTGCGTTCCCTACAACCGCAGAGGAGCAGCGGAGGCTGACCCCTCTGCTCAAGTCCAGAGTTTCGGGGAAGAGATTTCAGATTCTTTCCGGAGGGGCGGATCAGCTTGTGCCATATGACATGGGCGAGCCGTTCATCCGATTTTTCAAGGCCGCGGCCGTTGACTGGTTCAAAGAAGGTAACATATATGTAGAAGACAACGTTTATCCCACTGCCGGGCATGAATACAGCTCCGAAATGAGGAATGATGCCGAACGGTTTATTATTGACAGTGTGGCTCTAGCTAATATCTAGGAGAACGTTTCTTCTAATGTATGGTTATCAATGCAAGTTAGCTCATTAACTCATTAGCTCAGATGTCGAGACCATGGTTGGGTAACTCCTTCGAGGAGCATCTCCTCGCCTTCGCTAGCCAAAGTTGACTGTACACCGCTGCCAATCCGATCGTCCTCATTAAGGAAGAGGCCCTGGGGGACTCTCCATGGATTTCTCTTCCTGCGCTTACCGGCTAGAAGCTCTCCCTTGCCATGAGGATCCTCTTTCCACTGCGTAATCGCTTCAACAATGCCTTTGGTAGCCGCCTCATTTGTTCCATCCACCACGCCGGGCGGATCTATACCAACAAAGCTGATACGCTCTAGGGGAAATCCAATAGCACCACAGTGGCAGTCTATTAAGCGTTCGCGTTTAAAAGCGTGACTAACTATGGTCATAGTCTTAGGCCATGTCTTATGATCAGACCAGAATTTGGTGAGCGAGAACAAGACATTGTAATAAGAGTCCAATGCTCGCTCCTCGCAGTGCAACCTGTCCCTGACATCGTTTTCTGGGAAAATTCCAAAGCAACCGTTAGAGATGGCAAGATTCGCATAACTTCGAGCTTCAGATAGACTTGTCTCCTTTCTTGTGGGCCCGCTGGAAGGATATTAGAGTCAATGTCAGAATATATTCATGAAATTTGTGCGATAAAGAAAATTTCATGTGTGCCTATTACGAGCCTAAAGATTCATGTCACAATTTCGTCAAGGGTACCCGAAGTAATGAAAATAAGCTTACCCAGAAAACATCAAAATAGAATCTTCGGTTTCTTGTAAGACTTGTAGTCCTGCCTTGATATGTTCAATGAAAGTTGGTGTTTCGCCTTTTTGGAATCCGGCAATGAGCCATTCATCTTCGTCATGACCTCGTGCAGGACCACCAAGCCAGATACCATGACAGCATACAATTACTAAATGCCTGGGTTGTTTCGAAGACATCGTGTGGTTTGTGAGAAGACTGGATGTTTGTATACTTGTTCTTCGAGGATAAGTCGAGAAACATCGTTCAGGGATCTGATATCTTAAGATGCCCGTGTAATTGGCTACGTGTATGCATTATATGCATTATATGCAATTATCAGACTGTACCGTAAGTTGCATTAATTGAGTTCAAGAGGAATATCAGATACTCGTCTCAAAAAGATGGGATGCAAACAGATTTAGACCTCAAATAAGGAAAATGTCAATAACTTTAATTAGAACGGATAATAACAATATTTAACCCTCAATTGTTAGCTGATACCTTAGGTTAGGTACCTAGATTACTTGACGGTGGGGAAGACTTGATCATTCCGGTTTTGGTCTATTACTTCACTGTACGGACCAAAATGTTTTATAAGAAGGCTACTTACTATAATACCAGATATTGACCTTGTATATATTGCGAGGTATATAGGATATCCGCCGTAGTTGATTTGCGGGTATAAGCCTTCGGTTGAACAAGTCTTAATCTGGGATTCTCTCCTTTGTAGAGGCCCCCGAGTTCTTGTGAGGCAGTCGTTGCTTTCCACTTATGTTTACTCGTCTCTAATTTTCATGGGACCCGAGCATTTTAAATATCTCGGATACTAGATAGAGACTTCCTGCAATGACAAGCGGGCCTCCGCTGGTAGTTTGGCTTGCCCACTCGAGGGCTGACCTCACATCTGTGGATGCGTCGAACTTTGACGAAATTGTAACGCCACATTTGCTCGCGGTATCAAGTAGATCTGTCGAGCTTGTGGGTTTGACCCAAGGCATCTGTTCAACAGGGCCAAACTCGACAGCTGCTATTGAGTCGCCATCGCGTAATATCAGTTTAAGCATTTCTGATATGTCTTTTCCTTGGGTCGCAGCAAGTACCCAAGTAACTGGCTTTCCTTGCGAGCGTAAGTGCTTTTGAACAAAGCCAGAGAGTGCTTCTGTGGACTGGGGATTGTGCGCTCCGTCCAGTAGAATATCCTCCTTTCTGTTTGTAACTTTTTCAATGCTCACCCACTGCAATCTCCCAGGCCATACCACGTTTCTGGCAGCAGAAACGAGACTATCTATAGAACTAGCATATTGAGGAAATGCTAGTTGAAAAGCTTCGTATGCGCATGCAAGATTTTGCTGTTGGTGTGGTTCGAGGGAATCTTCCACTTTGCTCACGAGCTGATTGGATTTTGCGTCTGCGAAAGAAAAACTGGTACCCGTCTTCTCGGCATGTTTCTGAAGAACTTCCAGAACGGACTTGGTGTTGCTGCCATCTACAACACAAGGCACTACTTTCCTCATGATACCGGCCTTTTGACTAGCAATTTCTTCAATGGTGTTGCCTAAAAATGATTGGTGGTCGAGCCCTATCTTAGAGATGACAGTGACGCATTTATGTTTTAACGCATTTGTGGCGTCAAGTGTGCCCCCTAGTCCTACTTCGATTATGCCGAACTCGACGTTCTCAGACTCGAATATCTCAAACGCAGTGGCCGTGAGCAATTCGAACTCACTAGCGCCAATTTGCTGCTCCTCGTCTCTCTTCTTGATCATATCTTCAAAGTGGCGGAATTTGCTCTCCGACACGATGTTGTCATTAATCCAGATGCAATCCCGAGGCTCTACGAGATGAGGTGAGGTAAATCTACCGCACGTAATCTGGTTGGCGCGCAGCATGGCAGTGAGATATGCGCATATTGAACCCTTGCCGTTTGTACCAGCAACATGAATGGCTTTCCAGGTCTGTGGTGTCTGCTTGAGCAGAGCACTGATTCGTGCCAAGCCAAGGTTTACCATGTTGGTCTTTGGTCTTTGGTCTCTGGTCCCTGGCGTTGGGTGTAATGTAAGTGTTAGATGTTGGTTGTTGGCGGGTCAAAGATTGGCTCAGTCTGCATAGATAAAAATTACTAAAGTCTTGAGCAAATGAAAGGACCTAATATCTCTCTGAGATCTATAATATCTGTCACAAGGTAGATGGATACATTTTTTCTCTCTCTTCTTTTTTGAATATGAGTCATATATACCGTAGCGTAGTGAAAGGTTGTCGTTAAACTCGAGAGGTAGATGACTGAGAAATTGGCGCCGTAACAGAATGGGCAAATATCAGCCAGTCGATTTTGCAAGGTCACTTTTTAAAAATCAACACAGCAACTGGGCAATATAAAATGGTTATCGATAGTAGGGATTGCCTGCCTAGGTAGGTACCTACCTGGTATATAGTACCTAATTTTGATGGTGCTTACCACCAAAAAAATAAGTACTTCTATTTTCTTGCATTATTAATTTTATATGAATAGGTACCTAAGGTACTCATACCACGCATGTGTAAGGCTCAAAGTACTATTTCCAACCATTTCAACACCACAATAGTATTACAAGTAATATTTTAACTTTCTCAATTTTGGTAGGACACCCACCAAAACGTAAGTATCAATTTATTTTGTACAAACTCCGTTGAACCTTTTGGTGATCTCCTGGGCTTACTGTTAGGTAGTCCCCCGACGACGGGGTTCCGGTCAATAAGTTACCTAAGATTGCTCGCATGAACCAACGCACTGTCCACTTCGAGGTCGGCTAGTGGCCGTCGTAGCTTCCGCCTTGACAACCAAAGACAACCCGGCCGTCTTTTAACTGTTTTTAACTTTCCCTGTCTTTTTTGTTTTCACTCCACAAAACTTGTCACAACCCACAACCCTTCAACCCTTCAACCCGTCGACCCCACGAGGCACTGGGAAGTTAACCTTGCACGCCCCCGTTGTAATCAACATTTCCCAACACTCGGACATCGTGCATTGTCGCGAATCATTCATATTCCATCAATTCCCCATCTCTCATCCCCCATCAACTTTTTACATTATAAATTCTTTCAAATTAGTACTCGTACTTCTTTCTGACTATAGCTCACCTCGTAGCTATACTCGTTATTGCCGGCGACGCGATAATATCTCCCACTTTAGTTTTTTTTTTTTTTTTTTTTTTTTTTATCTTTCGATAAACAATACATCAAACATCAAGCGTACCTACCTTTAATTCAGCTGCTCCTCAGCCTTGCGCACAACTCACAAGTCTATCCTATCCCGACTTACCTTGTCTCTTACCTGCTTGCCGCTACGCGCACGCCGGCCAATACAAAAATGGGTCTTCCGTAAGTCTATTGTCGCGACGCGTCCACCTGCACTTGATATCATCGCAAACAATACCTATGCCATTTTTTAATTATCCATCTGAATTGTAATTTTACCCCTTATTCATCTATTTTGCCATTTGTTATATGCGAAACTCATTTTGTATTCCCTGTTAACATTTATCTTTCCCTTATTAGACTATGGGTAGAACCAGATGAATCTGGCTCTAGCGACAAGAAACCAGCGAAATCTTCTACTGATCCCGCAACTGCCCGATCTCCAATTCGTCGCTCAACTTCGCCGCGTCGGACTGCTAGCTCTAGGTCTTTTGACCGACGTCTTCAGCACATCCGCAACGCTCGAGCCCAGCGTCTTAACACCGTTGTGTCACAGCAAGCCAATAATAGTGAAGAAGGGTTAGACCTCACCGGCCCTGCTAGCATGCCAGACTATGTCTCTCCACTCTATTCTGTTATCCCGGGATATTCTGCTGCTGCAGAACTCGAAACGGCAGGAATACCTGTCTCTCTCCCCAGCTCCCACAGAGCAACTGTCCCCTCCAACCCACCGGGCGTAGAAATTTCCTCGGATGACGAGCTGCCCGCCTTTGGGGACGCGGTTCTTCGCAATTCTACTCGACTCAGAAGCTCCGCACTTTTTCGACCCCTACGCTCCAACGAAGGCAACAACGGGATATCCGCGGTTAATCTTGATACATACCTACATGCGCATAGTTCAACTATGGAGGACTCTTATAGAACTCGGTCTAGACGGACTCCATTCAACGTAACACTGGACCGCTATGTGGATCGATTTCGTCTCCTCCGAGAAGAAATCCGAGACTTGGAGCCAAATCTCACTCGTGTAGCTCTCCCCTCTGTTTCTGCTGGTTCGTCCACGGAGGAGCGCTTAGCTACAGCGATGCAAGATGCTCGCGAAATGCGGGAAAGGCGACGGAGAGTGGGTTCAATTGGACGCCGGGAACGAGCGCATCGAGTTCGTTATGTCGATGGGCTGGGAGATCGCGATCGCAGCCTAAGCCCGGAGGGAGATGGGGTATGGTCCATCCTGCAATCGACTTTAACCATGGACCCACAACCACCTAGTGTTGGTTCCTCGTTTGCTTCCACTACAGCTTCGACTATAGCGTCCCTTACCCCTACTGTTCCCTCATCTCGCACCTCCACTAGTCCAAACGAAGAGGTCGAACCTCCTTGCGACCCAGTCGATGAACCGGAAGGTACTGCAGAGGATAGCGGCGCCGATGCTGAAGGTGCGGATCGTTCTAGACGACCGACCCCTCACGGTAGACGATCTTATGCAGCAGTGGCTGCTGACAGACTTCCCAGCGGTGAAATATCGCCTGACGATCCCGAATGGCTTTCAGGTATGCATCGCATTGTTAGTGGGCTTGCATCTAGGCAGGACATTCCGGATGAGTGGTGGGAACAGGCTGGCCTCAGCCGTTCGATGTCGTGGGGATGGCCCTCTTAGGAGTTAAATATCACGAATATCACAAAGGAATGGTGGGAGGTTCCTGGAATAAGGAATCTACCTGGTTAACGGAAGGGACTTGCGAAAATAGGGTTTCATGGGGTTTGCATTATGTTTTCATTTTGGAACCCGGATTTGGGCGCTCCAGGACTCAAAAAGGATATGCGTTTTATGGCGTAGTGGGATATTGATCTGCTCTGCTTTCAGTAGAGTAAGCCCGAAGTTATATTGTTGGCGTTGTATTATACTTGTATGAAGCTTTTACGTATCCAAGGGGACTAAGCAGGAAGATAGGGATGAGATACAGGTTCTATGGGACTGAGCTTACCGTCCACCATAGGGAAGTGTAAGTAAGAGTTCGGTTGTGGCAACTTATATGTTGCCGAAGAAGTATGAGATTGGTTCTATCTCCCTTAGTCGACATTATTGCGCAACGAGATAATTGAATATTGCCTTTTCTATATATGCTGGTCAAGTCGATTGATTTATGTATAATACCTAGGTGTTGTATACTACCTAAGGTACTCAGGTACATATCGCGCATTACCTCTAGGGATGTTTTTGTCTGATGGCAACCTGCAGTAGCCGCTTATGCTAATTCCCCGCCAAACTCTCCCGGGCTTTCCAGCTGTGCCTGGTGAGTGCGCTACGCCCTATCGCGGAAGGCACAACAACCGATTTACATAGTACACCGGTACTACCGTCCCGTACCAAGCTAGGAGATAGGGTACCTCTAGGCTCTAGCCTCTAGGTTAGGTAGGTACTACCTTGTATTCTATAAAATGCTTAGCAGCCAATGAAGCTGTAGCTTAGGTATCTGAAACATTCCAGGAACAGCAATGAACAGCAAGCTGAAGCTATCATTGGGCGCCTGAATTCTTTCCCGCACAAATGCAACCAAATGTTATCAAATACCACAATTACAACACATGCACTTCTCTCACTCGCCCTTCCCCACATTGGGATTCCAAAATTTTGGGGAATTTTTATGGCAACGAAGCTTTTCAGCCCTAGTTTATCCCCGATCTCGACCTGGTCTAGTTAGTTCAACCTTGACCACCTTGATCACCTTGATCACCCTGACCACCCTGACCACCTTGACCAACCTAACCTGACCTGATCCGACAAGACCTCCATTTTAAGCAAATATTAGTATACTAGTTTGACGACTGCCGAGTCCGATCCTCGCCCTATCGCCCTATCGCCCAACAATCGACGGTCCGTGCTTTCGAGGGTATATCGTCCGAAAGTTGGTAGGATAATACACACAGGGTTTAGCTGGAATGTGAAAAACAATTTGGGTCTGCACCGCTGACGACGTGTGCTCCCTTCCCTTCACCCTCTTCTTCTTTCCATACAGCTCGACGGGTAGCTAGCTTCTCCCCCCAAGTCGACGAGGAGGGGAACGACTTGTAGACTGCTTGGCCATGGCGCCCAGCTCTGGACATGCCCCTCACCCCTCCAATGGTTCCTCTTCGAGCGACCGGCGTTATAGTCCGGCCAACGGGAAAGTTGCTGTAGTAGCGAGCAGACATGATAGGACTCCCAATACCCCGAGAAAGGAGGCTAGTAGGCGTGAGGCGGCTTTACAAGATCCGGGACTGAGAGACTACGTATGTGCACTCAAAAATGGGGTTGCGCGCACTCTTCTCTTGATGTAGGGACTGACCAGGCTTGCCGTAGCGTTTAGGAGAATGTCTAGGAAAAGGAGCATTCGGTTCCGTATACAAGGCGATCCATTGGGGTACCGGTGAAGCCGTCGCCGTCAAGCAGATCAAATTAGTAAATTTGCCGAAAAGCGAGCTACGAATGATCGAGGTACGCGGGTCTTACATATGACAATACAATACCTATGCACTTTGTAAGGGGCCGAGCGAAGCTGATGTGATACAGGCTGAAATCGACCTTTTGAAAAACCTGAATGTAAGTATGGAACCTCTACTCTTAGAAGAAAATATTATAATTCTACTATCAGCTCTAACATTCTTTCAGCATGACAACATTGTCAAGTACATCGGGTTTGTCAAATCAGCAGATTGTCTCAATATCATCTTGGAGTAGGTTGCCGCCCTTAATTCAGCGCCTTTCGGATGCTGACTGCTGCTAGATATTGCGAAAATGGTTCTTTGCATTCGATATGCAAGGCGTACGGGAAGTTCCCGGAGAATCTTGTTGGGGTTTATATGACCCAGGTCCTCCAAGGTCTTCAGTATCTACATGATCAGGGTGTGATACATAGAGATATCAAGGGAGCTAACATTCTGACGACCAAGGATGGTAAGGTAAAGCTTGCAGATTTCGGTGTGTCTACCAGTACCGTCGCCGGACCCGATAAAGAGGCCCAGGTTGTGGGAACTCCGTACTGGATGGCCCCCGAGATAATTGAGCTATCCGGTGCCACACCTGCGTCCGACATCTGGAGTTTGGGCTGCACAGTCATTGAGCTACTGTCCGGTAAACCTCCGTATCACCACCTACAAGCTATGCCTGCGTTGTTTGCTATCGTTAACGATGACCACCCGCCACTCCCCGAGGGTGTATCTTCGGTCTGTAGTAGTCTTATTATAATTCTGGCCTTGTGTTCCTGAGAATTAGGGCTAACTGTGAGTTAGGCCGCACGCGATTTTCTAATCCAGTGTTTCCAGAAAGATCCCAATCTTCGCGTTTCCGCGAGGAAATTACTAAAGCACAACTGGATTGTAGGCTGTCGGCGAAGCGATGCGCCTGTAGCGAAAGCCCCGGGTAATTTCAGCCAAGCTGTCGAAGAAGTCAAGCAGTGGAATAAAGCCCTTACATCTTCTGAGACCAATCTCAGGGTTTCAGCAGGGTCCGATTCGTCATTCCCTTTTCATCATGGCCATCAAAATTCACGATTCTCATCACAAGACCAACCTAGGTCCAATGTCCCGACCCCAGCCAAGGCGCCTTTTGTACTTAAACCAAGACCCACTGCCGAGGACTTCCGGTCTCCTGAACTCGCGGGTAAGCACATATTCATTTGCAGTTCATTTTAATGCATCTCTAACCATATTTCATAACTCATTCTTCTTGCAGACGATGATAATTGGGATGATGATTTTGCGACTGCGATTTCGCCTAGTGCCCTAAAGCTCCCACATGTCAAACCCCAGGACCACTTTGGTGGTATGCTTTCAGCCGACCGTTTGAAAGCCTTTGCATCTATTGACAACTCACGAGACTTGTCCCCTAGCTGGGAGAATGAGTTTGATTCAGATCTCCTTACGACTGTACAAAAACTACAATCGGTTCAAGAAGAGGATCCACAGGAAAAGACGATTCGCCCCAACTGGAAATTCTCAGAAAAGGCTGAGAAGATAGTAGAACCAAAGCCTCAACCGCCAAAGTCATCCTCTCGTAAACGAACGGGAAGTGGCCATCAGAGGCAAAAGTCTCAGCCTAAGAGTCATCTCGGTAGCAAATTTGAGTTACCCTCTCGACCTGATCAACTGTTCAGAGAGCAGACGACAGAGGACTATTCGGATATCTTCGACGACAACGAAAGTGTCTTCAACCAACGCTTAGGTTTATCCAAGAAAGTACGTATTTACGTGACCACAGTCATCTTGTCTTAACCCATTGCTTACCCGATGTGACAGCCTGATGCCCCCCAATTATTCCATCCTTCGGATCTCACCAGCTTGCCGCGGTCTATGCAGTCGCCCGTGGCGAGCAGCATACGAAGACCAGCTTCAGCGCGACCTTCAGCTCTTCCCGACCGACCGTTTCAAAGGTCTAAGTCATCCATTGAAATCCAAAAGTTTGCGGAAGATAAGGATGATGAAGACTTCTCCGATATATTTGGTCTCGCTGACAACTTGACCGAGAAGGAAGAGAGTGACCGGGGCTCCGAGGAAGGAAATCTCATGGTCCTATCCCGACTTTCAAACAATTCTTGGCTAGGCGATGACGAGGACGAGGACGATCCATTTGCCTCCATGGATCCGGACTGGGACGAGATGGACCTTGAAGCAAATATCGCGCGGGATCGCCATGCGCGACTAGCCGAGAAGATTGAAGAGCTTGTACGCTCACTCAAGACGACTGAGGGTGAGGATAAGTTACTGGAACTTTCAGAGGATCTGGTCAGTATCTTCCATTGCTCTTTCCTTTCACCTATAACTACCTAATGGAGCTGACACTCAATCTTAGCTGGCGCTGCTCTGGGAAAATACAGAAGTCAAGAATTTGATCATCAGCGCCCACGGATTATTACCAATTCTTGAGATCCTTGACCTTTGTACTATGAAGAGCAGACAGCAGATGATCCTACAGCTATTGCAAGTTGTTAACACGGTGTGTACATCTGTGCTCTGCTCTCTCTTACGTTTCCCTTGGCTGACTATTGGCTAGATTATCCTTGATGATGTTGAACTGCAAGAGAACCTATGTTTCGTCGGCGGAATCCCAATTATCACCAAATTTGCAGCACGGCAATATTCGACTGAAATTAGGCTAGAAGCTGCCGCCTTTGTAAGACAGATGTATCAAACATCCACCCTAACACTGCAGATGTTTGTCAGCGCTGGCGGTCTCAATGTTCTTGTCGAATTTTTAGATGAGGATTATGACACTGCGAGGGATTTAGTGCTGATTGGTGTGAACGGTGTTTGGAATGTCTTTGAGCTTCAAGTTTGCAACCCTCAACCCTATTATACGTATTGTTCTATTAACAAATTTGACCAGGGTCCTACTCCGAAAAATGATTTTTGCCGAATATTCTCGAGGAGCAAGATCCTCTATCCGTTAGCTCTTGTTCTGCATCGTGTTCTCGATGAATATACCGAGAACGAACTGACAGAACTCATTGAAGGACGTATTGTCAACATCTTCTACCTGTTTTCGCAAGCTGAGAACTTTGTTAAAGAGATGGTGGCCGACCGGCAAGTGTTAAAGAGTAGGTCCTTCAGATTCGAACCGCAAGGTGGTCCAGGTCCAAGCTGACACACAAAACTAGGCATTCTAAAGGATCTCCGGCGCATGACACCTGCCCATCAAATCACGATGTTAAAGTTCATTAAGAACTTGTCGATGCTTTCTACCACACTTGACGCTCTACACTCCGCGGATGCCATTGACTTCCTTATTGAGTTACTTAGCAATAGTATGAAGAGAGGACATCCCCATTTCCGCGAGATCTCTAATCAAGTGCTCAATACGATGTTTAATCTCTGTCGCTTAAGCAAGGACCGCCAAGAATATGCGGCAGTCAATGGAATAATCCCCTTGTTATTAAAGATTATGAAGACAGATCGACCTCCAAAGGAATTCGCACTGCCGATTCTTTGCGATATGGCGCATTCTGGAAGCAGAGGAAGACGGTCCTTATGGCAAAATAAGGGTCTTGACTTTTACGTCTCGTTAATAGCAGACCAGTATTGGCAGGTCACGGCATTAGATGCTATATATGCCTGGTATGTGACGCTCGGACTTAGTGATCGTTGAGAACGTGCTAACAAGTTGAAAGGTTGCAAGAGGAGACGGCAAAGGTCGAGGCGCATCTCTTAAACGGCAAATTTCCGGAGGCAATCGTATATTGCTTCAATACCCAGAAGACGAATGCTTTTGACCCCAACGTGCTAGAACCCCTACTGAAACTCCTACGGCTATCACCATCTTTAGCGGCGTCATTGGCAAAGTCGGAGATGTACGCCGGAATTGAACAAAAGCTTTCACAGAAGAAAGCAGTTGTTCGCCTAAACCTCCTTCGTCTCGTCCGAAACATACTCGAAGCACGAGAAACCGATTACTTTACAAATCTTAAAGATAGACAGCTCAGACATCTGCTTGACTCAATCAAAATCCTGGCCGAGAAGGACTCTGCCGTGCTTGTGCGAAATTTGGCATCTGATCTCGTTGTAACTCATATAGATCCTAATTCGGATCAACTTGTTCCGCCTCTATCTGCATCGACAGCGTCAAGTGGATCAAATCGTGTAAGATCCGGAAGACGCATATATACTCCACCCTCTCTCCATTCTACCTCCTCGGCGCCTCTTACACCAACACATGCGTCCCGTCATTCTCAATCGGGTGCATTTATCGAAGTAGCATCGAGTCCTAAGCGCTCAGGTGTATCACTAGCTCAAGAGCGTGATCCTATTGCATATCGTCCCAGGAGCAAAGAGGGTATATCAGCCATCCCTATAAGTTCTCCTCGCCGACAGAACACCGACATGCAACCTGGTAGTGGTTCTTCCGGCGGAAAGAGCAGGCTACCGAGAAATTCGGGCCTGTATGTGTCACGACCTAGCCTCAGTGCTCTTGCGACCGGTTCGCGAAGCGAAGGCATGATATCACATAAAGAAAGTATCGAAGCCGTTACGGATGAATTGACTCGATCGTCCAGAAGAATTTCTCCACCGGAACATAATGGCGTTCGCACTGGTAGTGTTTCTTCTGCTTCTTCATCTGTATCTGGGTCAGGCAGGCCAAAAAGAAGCCGGGCGCCGAGTGATGGAAAGCAGAAGTGGAGCACATAATACTTCCCTCTCAGATTGCTGACCACTAAAAGTACATAAATAGGAGGTAGTTTATACCGGCGAATACTCGCCAGCCGGAGCCTAAGGAAAGGCCGAAATGGGAGCTCTATGGAAATGGTTAGGATGTCGCATTTGCTTCTTCTACGCTTATAGAAGGGAAGAAGCCTTTGTATCTCGAGGAGCATTTTAAGGGGTTCCACTTCAACGGGGTTTCAGTTTCATTTTTCTTCTTCTACGGGTTAAGAGGAGTGTCTATCTACCTACATAGAGGGTATTGGCGCACAAAGGGAGGAGGGGTATGGTCTACATAACGAAAAGTCAATTTAATAAGGTAACGAGGTTCATGATGCGACGTTGCTGCCTCCTGGGCGTGTTGCGTGAATCTGTGACACGTATGTTTCTGATGGGATAGTTATGATAGATTGACTTTGATGTATGATGCTAGTAATAATACAAACGGGGTTTAAGTAGAAGTATGGTTATGCGAGACTTTTCTTAACGTACGACGATAGGGTCCATCTGTCTTCTCCGCCTTTCACGGCCGGACCTTTCTTACGGCTTCTGGGCTTGATATTGAAAAATCTAACCTCCATTAGCTTTGGCTCTCTTGGTAATTAGAGCTTGATACAAAAGCCGGAGGCCATATGGTTTTTAGGGCAGTATAGTTCTAGATGCTTTTTGCTGTGAAACCTTTGTTATATCTCTAATTCAGAGGCTTCCCCTCGCATCTCCAAGGGAGAACGCTTGACCTGCCTCACTACCTAAAGCTACGAGAATTACTACGTTTCCTTGGCGGCACCGTTATACGTCAAGAGATACTATCCAGTCCACTAATTCTCGCATATATCTTACTTATACTCGATTGCGACTATCTCCACACGGTACCTGACGCCGTTACTGGCACGAAATGGCAAGATGGGCAATGCACGAGTAGGTGGGTTTTCAGGAAATGTTGCTACATATGGGTATTTGCTTTTTGGGATGGTACAGTTACAGTTCGACGATGATTTCGAACTCATCTTTCGGAACGAGTCTCGTAGCGCTTAAACGACAGACCTGGCTGCAGCTCTCTAGGTAGCTAGTTGCCGCTGTTCGTTACGGCGAGAATCACGCCCCGGCCGAAAAAAAAAGACGAGGAGGGATCTCGTAGCTGCCAATTTCCCCGGCGCTTACGAACCCGGCGAGCGTTTTTGCCGGGTTTCGCTACCGCTACCGGTGCCGACGGCCCGACCGACGATGCGACGCGTGGCACGTGGTAAGTGCGACTTTTGGTATTTACCCAATGAGTCTCATCCTATTGCTAAACCTGCATTGGGTAGGTACCTAGGTAGGTATTAAGAAACAAGCAGGCCTCTGTCTCCGCTCGATAGCAGGACCGGAGCGGGGCAGGGATACGCAAGCATGCGACGGACGCGCTGGTTAGCCGCGGGGGAGAATCTCAATCTAGGTTAGGTAAGTACGCACGTTGCTAGACGGAATATTCCGGAGGTATGGTTCGCCAGCGGGGCGGGCGAGAGGCTCACGTGGGAGGGGCTCCGGTGGGAGGGCGTAATTTTTTTTTTTTTTTTTTTTTTACTACGGGGGTTTCGACGGGATTCGAGATCGTGCTGGACGAGGCCGGGGAGCGTGGCGATCCCCTGTGCGAGGCCAGGGGCATCAGGCTTGCGGACCAGCATTTCCAGCGGAAGGACGCGACGGCGCCGAACGTGGTTGGGGCGATTTTGGATAATGCGGTGGAGGATTTCGAGGAGGTGTATCGGACGGTGAGATTGCCTGCTTTTTCTCTATATCTCTCTCTATCTCCTTTTTACATTTGGTATTACGAATAAGCCAGACTAGGCGCTAATTCGGCTTTACTTCAGGCTGAGGGGGGCGATAGACAAGTTCATCCGCAGCGACGGGGGAAGAAGAGTTCCCACGTGCGTACGCGGCCGAAGTACGCGGCAGAAGAACGCGGCAGAAGAACGCTGGAGCCGGAGAATGTGGACCTCGTGTGTCCGGTTCAACTTGATGCCCGTGCAGGACGGGGATGAGTGCCCTATTTTTAGTATCCCGAAGGAAGTAGGAGGGAAGGAGGAGGGAGGTGGGAAGATCGATATGATCATCTATAGCTTCATGTACCTGATGTCGTTGTTCCTCTGAATGGCGTGATCGGTGAATACAGGTAGGTAGATTTTTGGGGTATATCTGGCAAATCCATTCAGGAGTATTATGTGGTATATACAGAGATATATTTAGCTGGATTCGCCCCGGACATTCCGAGGTCAAGCATTCATAGGAAAGGTGGTCTTTGCTTCTAGAATGGCATCACTATGTTCACGACGAATGTTATCTGATAGAAAAACACTATTGGGCTAAGGTGCGCCTGAACATAGTCGATTTATCAAGGTTGCTAGATTAAACGAAAGAGCACAAGCTTAAACAAAAGTCTTCACAGACTCCACCCTACCAGCAGAAAGCACCAGTGCCAAACCAGAGATCAACTTAAGATATCACGAGATACCCCAGGTTAGGTCATCCATATGATCCTAACTCCAAACTTTTCGCTACTCGTTAATGCAAGGTAACATCCTCATAGCCTCGGATTAGACCTTGTTCCAGTACCACATGACCTGAGTGTGGCCAGCGGGAACCCCATACTGATAAGAGCCCCAAAAGAACTCCCACACAGGTGATGCGGCGCCATCGACGATCTTGGTATCGTAGAAGCAGTCTATATTTCCACGGCATAGGAAGTTGTCGAGTCCCTAGTGAATGTTAGTAGGTGCATGCCCGCAAACGTGTGGCAAGAGAACGAACATCAATGCCGTAAAAGGCATCTACGTTTGCCACTTTGTAGTCCTCCCGGCAGACGAAGGCATGTGCCTTGGAGCCGTACCTGCTGTCCGTGTTCGCAGGTTGTGTGGTGTCCGAGAATGTGCAGTTACCAGCGTCGCTAGAAAGGAACAGCGTGTTGGGACCGTTGTCGCTGATTGTGAAAGTTGCGCAGTCCGTCTCGGTAAAGCCGCCCTTCGCGTCTAGACATCCAATAGAGTTTGCAGGCAAGGCATCCTTTAGGCTGGTGCTCTTGACGACGTGGATCTCTCCCTTGCCATCGGTGAGTTGAGCGACAGCCGTGGTGGCGAGAAGGGCGCACAAGGAGGTGTACGATAGGAACTTCATGGTGGTTGGTGTCGACTGTGTGCGGGCAGGTAAGGGATTGTAGAAAAGGTAAGTATATTGGTGAATAGTCTGATGATTAACTACCTTATAACCTGCCTGGCCATGGACATATATATAATCAAGCAGACTGCCAAAATATGAGGGTCACTTGAAATAGTAAAGCGACCCCATGTCGGCGCTGGATGTCACGCGTTCGAATTTGTATAGCTAGTATATCATGCTATTAATGATCTGAGCTTCGTAATGGGATAAGCAATTGCTAATCCGATCCACCTACCTGATATATTACTTCATGGCAGGGCAGTATGTCGCTAACTGAATGTCTTGCATTGTCCTCACCATGTCCTTACCGCTCATAGCCTTCCAGGGGCCGAGTTGGACGTGGATATCCAGCCCAACATAATCCAACCTAATCTTGGGTATTACCCGTCTTGGTGTAGGCGACGTTTTGGTGGTTTGGGGTGTACGGCGCATGAATTCTTACGCTTACAAACCGCTGTATAATAACCCTGTAATAACTTTTGGTATTAAGACAACGACACCATGAGCGACGTCTTGGTGGGGGATGACCCACGATTGGCTACCAAAATAAATTGACTTGCGGCAGGGGTGCTCTCAAGAATTTAGGGAAGTACATCACTGGTCGTCCACCGAGTTGCATCGGAGGCCATGTACCGCGCACGATGGAACGATAAAGAACCCGGAGGTAACCGAATCTGATCGATGTCCGTATCGTCGGTCGAATTCGGTCCACAATAACAGAATTAGGTAGGTACCTAAGGTATGATGACTATCTCGTGCCTATCTTATAGCTACCTCCTAATAGCAAGTTGGTCTAGAGCAGCTTAATAAGTCGACGTTAGTTTGATTGACCACAGTTGATATGAAAGCTGTTATTCATACCGCTTGAGTTGCACGCTCGTTAGAAGACGAAGGCGTAGTTCGCTTTAGGGGAAAATCCTAAAGCGAGAGAAGAGTTGCAATACGACGAGAATACGACAATGAAGTAGATTTACGACAGTGTTCTAGAAAGTCGAAAATAACCTTGTCTAGGTGGGTACTTAGACCTAGGTTAAAACCAAGAATGCAACGCGTCTCTGACCTTTGGGTTGCGTTCTAGAACGGACCGCAAGTCTATCAAGCCCTTATACGTATTGAATTACTGCAAGATATCTTTTTCATGAAACTGCGTCTAGAAATTGAGCTTTACGTTCTTTCAGGTTTACTCACCCAGCAACGATTCTCCATATCGAATACTAGTTCCCGAGTAATCACTTCCCAGCTAGAATCGTTGGATCTCCTCTTGCACCGTAATATAGCTGTTCCTTCACGGCCGTCAGGTGGCTGTACTTCAATGTCATGTAACCGGTGTGATGCCGGCAAGACTGCTTGTCGTCCACTCTTGTCTGCTTCGACTACCTCAGACTCATTGTAGAAGCCATCTTCCTCAATATTTATGACTTCTTGTATTATTCGTGCTACCAGATGGGAATTCCATATTCCTTCTTGATGGGATATTCTCATTGCGTAGTTGACGACTCTGCGCCTAATGCTATGTACCCGGCATTTCAGAGCCACATAGTAAAGTGCAAGAATAGCACCTAGATCAGCTATCGAAATGGACGCATCAGAAAAGTGTAGCACGTGTGCTAATGATTGGTTTAGTGAGAGATTCAGTATGTAGTCCAGTTGGTTCATGATAAACTCAAAGGCCGTCGTGTGCATATCATATCTCATCTGATCTTCTAGTCTAAGACAAGTATCGATCATAATCTTAGCTACCGTGTAATATATTTCGAGTAGTATATAAGCTGCAGTGCGTTGCGTGATCTCGCTCGTCAGCAGACACGCTCTCGACGCTTTGAATGCATCATACCACGAATTAAGTTTCGCTTCTAGATTTTGCTGCCTGGAAAGGAGACTTAGAGAATCCACAAATTGACCTTGACGACGGCACTCGTGGCTCAGGTAGAATATTTGGTTAATTATTCGGTCAAGAAGCTGTCTTCCCTCGTTGGTAGATTGGAAAATTGGCGGGATGGCTGGGCTATCGCGGGAACAATCCTCCTGTGTGATGTTCAAAAACTGTGACCCCTGACATTGGAACTTGGCCTGCACGTCAAGCCTAATAAAGGCTTGAATGATCCAGGCATCTGCTGGATCGCAACATGATTCCTGGAACAGGCTGTAATGACCAATGGCACTTGAGCGGGCCCTATACTCGTTCAAAATCCTCAAGCCATTTTGAAGGTGATTGTAGCCGGTTAGGAAGTTCCCTCGAAAATACTCGGTTATAACAAACATGAGACAGGCGATAAGTGCGACACGGATCGACCAGTTACTTTTCGAGGCGAAATGGGGTTGGAGATGAGTTATCGCGTTAGTATAATGTTTCAATACGAAATGTTCCTGTTCAACCGTAGCGACGTCTATAGAAGTATTGAAGTCAAGCCCCTCTCTCCTATGTGCCGAACTCAAAGCGAGAATGGCATGTAAGACGGCTGGCTCAGTCGAAGCGGCTTGGAATACGAGCTTGTCCCAGAATTCAAAACGAAAAACACCTGGAAGCTTTAAGGTACTTCGGTATGCAAACCACTCGAGACATTGGGTCTCTGCTTGGTTCGCCGCTTTTATCAGGGCTGAGGGGTAGAAAGACGTTAGGGTTCTACCGCTAGAGGCAACTGGACGGCGACCATAATCATTACCGCCTCCGCCCCCGCCCCATATTCCGTAACCTTCGCAGACGCGGCCGGTGGAATGACATCGCAAACACACGGGCTTGCCCTCATCACATTTCACTTTTCGAGCCCTTTCGCGGAGTTGAGGATGTGGTTAGAGGTGGTGAAGCTTACAGGCTTACATCCGGATAACTAACTCACTTGCAAGTACGACATCCCGACTTTACCTTGGATCTAACTGCGCGAGGTGCCATCTGAAGTTTATAATCCAGAGGTTCAACTTGCTTCGATAGGAGCCAAGAATGGTAATCAGCCAATGACAGCTTTGGGTTGTCGTTGTTACTAGGTAGGTTAGGTTAGGTACCTTGTTACGACATAAACAAGTAAAGACGTAGGTAATTGAAGGTTGGAAACATCGGAGTTGGTAAATGTAGCGGTTACAGTTTGTAATGGAAGATAACATGATGTGGGCCGCTTATTCCAATACGGTTGAGCATAGCTGCCACTCGGCAAATGCCCTAAAATTGGTCAAAATTTATAGGGTCACCCTTCAAAATGGTGGGGTACATTTAAATTGCAAAGATGCTTTACTATATTTTATTATGTTTTAAAACATATTTGCGCTTAAGATAGTACATTATGCATTAAAAAAGTATTTAAAAGTATAAGGGATTTGCTTTTAGCTTAAATATATTAATTAAAAAATAAGTATTATATTTTTAATATAAATAATAATAATTTTTCTTTTTATAATTATAATAATAAATTATTTATATTTTAATATATAAATTATTATTTATTTTTATAATTAATATTATTAAAAACATTAATGTTGGTAGGTACGTACGTATGGTAAAAGCAATAAACAAGTAAAACAATAACAATGGGGGTGAGACTGGTGTATTAATGATGTTTAAGGAAGGAAGAATCTATCTGAGGCTAACTAGCAGTGTGATGTCCTTTTATACAGTAATAGTGGGTACATTGTTCCTTCCTCCAGTATCGGCAATAAGGCACCTTATCCCCGATAAGGTGCCTACGTGTCGATGTCACACAACTATCAATTAAAATTAAAAACTTAATAATTTATTTATATTAAATATATTAAATTAATTAAATTTTAAAAATTAAAGTAAAAATATATTTTTTATAAATGGGAAATATGTTATAAGCGTTATGAAATTTAACTAATAAAAAAGTGCGCATTTTAAAGGCTTAAAAAAGTCAAACCTTTTTCATACATAATATACCATAAATCTATATTTTATTTTATTCTTTTCCTTTATAAGCCTTAGGGTGTCTGTATCTCAACTTTACGTCATTTGCCGAGTGGCAGCTATGCTCAACCGTATTCCAGGATTCTGCTCATTCCTATTCGCTCTCACACCTCACTTAACCTGCTGGGGATGTCTCGGATAATTGAGGATGCCAGCATACATCCCTTATGAAATGTATTACTTCAATTTCCTGAGGTATTATTTATACCTCTCTAATTCATTCTTGATCCTTTCGTACAATACGGATTGATTAAATGCACCTATCAGCATAAGCCGTACATCTTATTGGTCTTTATCATCTTTTGGTTGTTAGTTGCAGGTTGGTATAAACTCTTAAGATGCATTTCTGCCGAAAAGAGTTACCTAAGTTTACTTACACTTTTAAGGCTTTGTGCTGTCTTAATGCCCACCTATATTCAACTAACAACGACAGCACGCCAAAGATTACTATTATGTATTGTACGCTTTAATTAACAATGAACGGGCAAAAATAAAGATACAACACATGCTACTTCTCATTATATTTTCTACCCAGGTAAGCATTTCAAAATTTTTAGAAAACTTTATAAAGTTTTATTATTTCTTTCTCTTCTAGCATATGACAATCATCGGAATAGGTGACAGATACACCGCTGAGCCAAAAGTGTATTCCTTAATAGCACAATTGCTATTACAGTCTATCTGACATGGGTGGTATTACCACTCACAATAGGTTACCTCTTATCGGCGCCTGAAACTTATTTACACTATCATTTATGTTGTCTTAGCCGTTTCCTTAATCCAAATGCTGCACCCCTTAAATGCTGCATCGAACTCGTGTATACAGCACTAATAATATCTTCCGCCGCCGTCTACGTATCCGTTCTGTAATACGTGTTTTCCATGTCACTCGGAAGAATCTTAGACATCAGATCAATAGTATTTCTAAAACTACCTTTAAGAACTGTTTCAGGACATGGAGTATCTGGGGTGTTCTAGTGTCACACGGCCCAAGCTGCCAAGAGCCGTTGGAATATTCAAGGCGACCAACAGCAGTAATAGGATAGGTGTAAGGGAAACTATTGGGTATAATGTATCACGCGGAGATGTTTCGGCGCTTAGGTTGTAAAATACGTACTTTAGAACGTTTACAAATAGTCTTGAGTCTCGCACTTCGAAAGAAAGGAAGACACCATGGCCCTTGAGACTATTAGAAAATTATTATTGAAATTGAATACTCCAAGCCCTTGTCACATCTAGACTGTCAGGAGTTATTCTGTATATAGCTTTGGCTTCAAAGCAACTGTAGTTAGAGTTCCTTGCGGAACAACGAAGTTGTTTTACCTACTACATGCTCTGCGACGTGACATAGACAACGTTTGCCAGAGTTCAATCTCAATTAGATAGTATTAGCTATATATAAGAGATCTACCTCCCTGTATCCGTAGTGAGAACATCGTCATTATTACCATTATCATATCCGATAGTTACCCATCTATACGCTGCCATTGAACAAGCTCGACTATCACTAACCTCCGATCATGGCACCAATATCTCCCCATGCCCCGTTTACTTGGGGATTGAATGGCAATTTGGTTCGCACGCCTGATTCGCTCGTGTGGGGAGCCACCAGAGCCATAGACTTAGTTTCCGGTGTACGGTTCTCGTGGGATAACTCCCAGAACAAAGCCTTCATAGATTTTCTCAGGGCGTTCGGCCCTAATTACAAGAGTACCAATTTTGAGCTGCTGCTTTTCCGTCTTGACCTCGACGGATATGAAGACATACGCAATAAAAACGGGGAGAGCGTCCACCGCTTGATTATGGAAAAGGTGCTGAGGAAGCTGAAGAGCACCGCCGATAAAATGGCACAGAATGGATTGATCGAATCCTATAAAACGTTAGTGAATGATGCTAACCTTACCAGGTCAAACCCGATGAATTATAATAAAAGCAAGATATTCGACTTTAGACAGAATGCAATTTTGTCAGGCCGCGAAGGAGAGGCCAAAAGTAGTATTTCGTCCTTTAGCAGTCCAAAATTGCAGACCTCTATCAGATCTACACCGTCAAACCATTCTCCCTTCCTGAGTATGTCTGATCCCAACGTTCCGAAAGGTCCCGAGGCCGCATCAGTCAGCAGTTCACCATCGGTATCTTCAATAACGACGCAGTTCAAGTCGTCTGAGGGTTCGCCAACAGAGGCACAACATTCATATTCGCAAGAACAGAGCAGCAGTGCGAGAGATCAGGAGAATGAAGATCCTTTCGAAACTGCGGGACTGTCTCTCGTGATACTTATTAGAAGATTAGCCAAATTTCGATACGCGCTCGATGACGCCGAATCGGTGTTCCTGAAGCTCCCAATGAGCAAGGAGAGAGAAAGATGGGTTAAGGGGCTGTTCGCACGGATGGGGGACACGCATTCTAGTATCCAGTACGATACGACTGATCTTCAGGAATATATTACGGAGGAGTAGTTGAAACTTCAAGATAAGGGCCTCATAGGGTGGTATGGGTATTTGAGTCGCTTATATCAGCCCTATTACTCTTTACGGGGTGCGTGTCTTGGCATGGTTATGAGGTAGCCTGCATTGTTAGGTTGCAAGTACGAGATGAACTTCTAGGAACCGATATCTGGAGCAACTCATAGCAGAGACAAGAGGGGCATTGGGTGTTTTAGGTGTTCATAGCGATAATAGAAGCTCTGCGCCGTCAAAAGGGTCCCTACATCTAGGCCTACTATTAAGACCACGCTTAATTAGAGCCAATAATACGAAGCCGCAGACACACTTACCAACCCCATGGGGTCCCAACTTCAGCTGCCGAGCTTGCTGTACTGCCAAACATGGGGGAGCAGGAAACCAGTCCCTATTGGCATCGTTTCTCTATAGTGTGTGCTTCTGGGAAGGCGTCTGTCTGGTCTTGTATGCGGGGTCGTAATGGCGATTGGAACCAGGAATAGAGAAGTCAACGGCATATTCTCATTCTCTCGGTCAGACTAAATAATACATCCTATCTGCGTAGATACCTAAGATAGCATAAGATCTTATTGATCTCGAAGGAGGTTAAAAATACAAATAGAGTACGTAGATACTCCCTATTTTCTGCGTATAGGTGTATCAGAATGTTTAAATTGTCGCCTTTACGCGCTGGGTGGCATACACAACCTTGGCGCGCCACGAAGGTTGGATTGGGGAAATGCCGACATGCGATGGATCAAAATCTACTCCCGACCAGACTAGATGGGACGTCGGGCTAGCTTGATTCCCATTTCGTAGATGTCATCGTACCTCGGTATATAGCGAAAAGTATTCCCTTTTCTGTCCATGTTTAGCTCCGTGGATTATTCTCCGTCAAGTCCATCTCGATATCGAAATCGCAGACAATGAGCGTCCACCGCGAGTCCGAGGACCTTCCCGCGAAGCCGGAGCTTGATCCGCAGACTCAGCAGGTCGAGACAGCTACACCTGCCGAAGATGCCGAGTTCAAGAAGCGCGAGGCGCGCGTGGTTGTGAAGCTCGACCTTTATATATGTCCAATTCTCGTTGTTCTGCAGCTCATCTCATTCCTGGATAGGGGCAACATCGGGTTCGCAGCGACGCAGGGCATGATCACCGACTTGAACCTCGTGGGCACGCAGCTTAATACCGCCGTATCGCTTTTCTACCCGCTATACATACTATCGGAGTTCCCGGCTGCGCTGATCGTAAAGCGAGTGGGGTTCAACCGCGTGATTCCTGCGGCTGCGGCTTGCTGGGGACTTTGCTGCTTGGGAAATGGCTTCGCGAGGAACTTTGGAGACCTTGTCGCGTGTCGCTTGCTGATGGGAATGTTCGAAGGATGTTTGATGCCCAGCTTAACACTTATGTTAGCCAACTGGTACAAGAGGGATGAGATTGGATTAAGGATTAGTTACCTTTTTAGTAAGTTTTGTTGAAGTGGTTTTTACTTTGAGTTGGTGATATACCTACCTTAAACTAATAAATATCAATAGTCTCCTCGGCTATTTCCAGTGCGTTTAGCGGCTTGATCGCCTACGGTATCTTGTTTATGAATGGGGCCGCTGGATATCCGGGATGGAGATGGTAAGCATCGGATTAGGAGAGCCGCGATCATATGCTAATGCGAACTTGCTAGGTTATACATCATCGAAGGCTCAGCAACTGTCGTGATAGGTGCCGCTTGCTACTTCATCATACCATCATCTTATACCACAGCCTACTTCCTTAATGAGGACGACCGGGCTGTGATGAGGAAGCGGGCGGAAATGACCGAAGCATACAGCGGGGGACAAGGACATTATACGCGCACCGAGTTCAATATGGCTATTAAGGACGTGAAGACGTGGGTACACGCCACCATTCAGGTCATGTGTCTCACGATATTATACGGCTTCAGTGTTTTCCTGCCAATCATCCTGCGGTTTGGCTTCAACTTTAGTGTTGAGCAATCTCAATATCTCAGCATTCCAGTCTTCGCTTGGGGTTCAGTCGTTTATGGTGTGTGTGGGTATTTATCAGATCGTTTCTCTCGGCGATTCCTCGCATGCATTATTTGCGCGCCGCTCGGGGCGGTCGGGTACGGTATGCTCCTCGGAGGCAACCATCTTTCTGTCGGAGTGAAGTATTTCGCATGCTTTCTCATCGCAACCTGTGCATGGACTATGGGCGGTGCGAATGTAGCCTGGCTGTCAACTAATACCGCACCCGATGGTAAGCGAGCTGCCTCAGTTGGACTTACATTAGCTATGGGAAATCTGGGTGGGATAATTTCTGGTCAGATATACCCACAGACCATGGCTCCGGCTTATACTCTGGGTCACGCGTGGAGTCTCTGTGCTATATGCATCTCGTTCTGTTTGTGGTGGGTTCTTAGGCACATATACTATCGTCGTGAGGTGCTTAAGGCGCAAATTCTGGAGGGTGTAGTTCAGGGGCCCGTCGACTTCTCGGACAGAGTACCGGATTATAAGTACCAACATTAATTGCGAGGACATATATTGCATGTATAGGTCTGTTGGCTTTCTGAGCTTCAAGCATATTTAACGATATCTAAGAAACACAATAAGATTATATGATAGATAAAAACAGGTTTTAGCCCCTTTTCTTTAATTCTTCATGTCGGGTACATAAACTACTGGTGGAACCAACGGATACATAGAAGATCATCCACGATAGCTAGTCCTAACCCGGTTCAAGCGCCTAGAAGCCAGCCGTTTCGTTGTTTGCCTTAGGTAGGTTACGTTAGAACCCCAAAGCAACTTTATTGCTTCTATACCTTCTAGGCCCACCTTATCAAGCTCTGAATATCTATCTGTTTTTGAATCTAGTCTATTGCTTACTTACATGTTACGCCATAAGACAAAAGCTCGGCTCATACGGCACTAACGGTATGCTTCGTCAGAAATTGGAGAGTTAAAGACATATATACTGTGTGTTACTAATGAAGAATGGTAAAGGAGCGTCGACCTATTCGATGACCCTCGATATCTGGTACAATAAGCTTCAAACGTAAGCGTACTATTATCTTATATCTTATATCTTATATGTTGTTTACCTTTGGATCCACGACTTGATGCAAAGTTCGGCCAAAACCACGCTTATTATACCGCTCGATTTTAAGTGTCAATCGCGAAATCTCATCCTGTCACTTCTTCGCTCTGTAATGACGAGTTAAAGGAAACGACGAATGCTCCGTATCTTTTCCAACTACTTACATGTATTAGCGATCATTGCATTGACCTGTGGAGAAATAAGCGACAATGAAAAGTACCTAAGTACCTCTTATACAATAAAATCAACCCAATCCTATCCTATGAAAGGCAAATCGTGACTTTGTATATTTACAAATTACCTGTAAGGCTGAACTACAGTGTTAGATTACAGGGTTTTTTGTGTGTAAGAGGTAGGTATCTAGATGATAAGTACGCCAGGAGGCCAGTACTTTTGTAAGTGCTGCAGATACCAATATTTACAATCCTTGTCATCTTATGGAAGTTATTCAGAGCCCCATCATGTCGTCATGATTTCTGTCACAATCTCCCCTATCAACCATCATAGTTCTGCGCAAAAGTTTCCAACTGCAGATTGACCGCATGGATACGCGCGTATGTACACGCAACTGAGACAGACTATGGAAACCCCGCATCATGATACTCATAGAGCAGCCTCAATCACTCACTTTACCTATCGGTTCATCGTTGTGAGTTACACAATATTCTCACATAATAATAGACCAAGGTAGACCGACGGAGTCCCTCTGCATCTACATGTAGGGAGTTGTAAAGCTGTATCATCATGCCGATCATAGAATCGTCCACGAAGCTGATAGTTGTAACTAGTTCAGTAGCTCTCTTACCTAACGTTAGGTATGTGCTGCATTTCCGCTTGTCCAGAAAAAAAATCTAAGCTTATATACATGTTATGGTGTTGTAATATATGCGTTGGCGCATGATCCTATTTGTACCCGCCATCCTTCTGACAACACGGCTTTTCGGGACCGACAGGCATAGCTTACATGATTATAGAGTAGCACCGATTGACTTGATTGGCTGTGGGGAAAAGCCGACCCGTCGTCAACAATTGAGTGGTATAAGGAGCTGTGATCTAACCATTCACAACTGCTACACTCAATTTGAAACTGCCGAGTAGCCTGGTTCCAAAGCACATGTAACCTGTAAGGTACCCAATCAAAAAGAAAGTGTATTGGAAGATTGATTGGTGGGAAGTATTTCCATCTATGTCTTTAACATTATAGGTCAAGCAAGCTCAGCTCATGTCTACCGGAAATAAGTAGTTGGGAACCGACTGGCCCGATTCAGTAAGAGTTTGAGAGCAGATGCTACTGTAGTACAGTAAGTACATAATCTAATGTCGTGTTGTTGGAAGAAATATGAAGTTTTGGAGTCATCTAAACTGGTAAGCACATGGAAGTATATTATTGATTATTAGCATACGAAAGACTTAGTACTCAGATGTCGGATGAGGGGCATTTAGAGTATTAGATGAGAAAACATCATACGGTGGGGGGTGGCGGTATATACCAGATATTAGGTTCCTAATATAGGATTTGGGCACTCATAATAAGATCGAAAGGATACCTACATAAGGTATGTATGAGCTCCTGAATTGAGCGGAGTATACGCAACCTTCTAAGAAGTTCTAAGAGAGTATACAAGAGCTGTCTCAGTTATAGATACCTACCTAACCTAGGGTAGGTAGTTCTAGACCCCTGTTCAAGGGTCCATGGGATAATAGATAATGTTCAGTTTCAAATGTAGAATTTAACAGCAAGGTGTAAATTTCAGGTTGAATACCTAGATGCATTGATATAATGTATCAACATTGATGGTAGGTGCTATATTGAGTTACCAGAACTTCAGCCGCAAGTACCTACCTAAAAAAAGGCTCACTTATCGCCCTTTACCTGATATCTTGACGTTTGTGGCCTGGGATGGGGAGGGGTGCAATACAATGTTGGACTCAATAAATAATAAGTTATTTAGTAACTCGTACCTATCCAGGTAGATGTATGAATGTCTCAACGCCCAAGAGGATGGCTATCGAAGCGATGCCTCCGACTGGATTCCATTCTTCCCCGTGAAAAATCTGGGCAGTTGGGATTCTTAGGTACCATCTAGTAAGCCAAGTATTAATTAAGTCTTCATGCAGTGAGAATATCATGTCGACTACCTAAACCGTAGATTACCAGTTTTCCCCGCGGTGTCACATGTGCCGTTCTTACTGCGCGGCACATGCTAACATGCGTAGGGCATACCAACGAGGCTCGTAGATCCCTATACTCATATACCTCATATACCTACATCTCTTCTAACTGGGATGTGGTAGTATCATACCTTGGTAGCATCATACCTTGCGTATCTCTCTGCCCATCACTCCTTTGGCCCCACCCGGTCCGCTGCGAATGCTCCCACGGGATGCCCAATCATGGATCGCTTACTGATTACACCGGTTTATACCTACCTGGGCAGAATACGTAGGTAGTTAATAACTTCGGTGCCGACGACTCGCGTCTATAGGTATATCGGCATGATGCGCGCGAGCCTCCGGTCGGCATGGGCAACCATCAGCGACGCCGAACGGTGAGTATAGTATAGTAACCATGCTTGTAGGTTAAATATACTCTTCCGTCTAGTAGTGAAATCCGTATAAATAGCTATTCTGTACTCCCTATCTTCACAAAGTCCAGCTGAGAGACAAGTGAATACTCTTGACTATATCTTAACTTTAGAACCACCGTCTTTAGTTCGAGTATAAAGAAAGCCTGACATTCAATATGGGAACTTCATTAGAGTTAACAGTGCTCTTCCTAGAGAGACTAGCTTCCAATCCCTCGTCCACACTCCCAGATGTTTTATCAAAGGATCAACTTCGAAAGAGGCTGCTCGTGGCGATTCAGAAACTTGTGCCGGAGTTAGAAACATCTGAAGAAGCTTGCCAGCGAATCTTATACAATGTATGACACCCTATCCTATATAATCGATGGCTATAATAGCTTCCAGAACCCCATACAACTAACAACTTTTTATCAAAGGGACTCGAAGCCCCCGCGGCTCGGGTTGCAGTAGACCTCAACATTTTTAACACGCTCAAAGAATCCTCGACTCCATTAACAACGGAGCAACTTGCAGAGAAATCAGGTAAAGATCCGGATAGGAAATTGTTGGCTCGCATCCTCAGATACTTGGCTTCCCTAAGCATGGTTCGCGAAGTCGACGTCGGACTTTGGGCGGCAAGCCACTTCGGAGATAACCTATCAGGAACCGGGCAGAGCGCGGGGGTCGCATCTATGTAAGATACCCGGGTCCTTCCTCCCTCCCCCCTGCCTTCCCTTATTTGGGAACCCGAGGACGCCACAATAAGCAGCTAATCTTGACCACCTACCAGGGTCGACAACTGCTTCGTTGCCATGGTTAACCTCCCCGCCTTTTTGCGGGTTCATGCATACAAGCCGCCAGATGCAAAGAATGACACGGCATTCGCCCTTGGCAATAGGGTGAGCCCGGAAGAAGCCACGTTCTTCGACTGGCTCAAAACCCGTCCGGAAAACGCGAGGCACTTTAACATCTTTATGGGGTCGCACCGGACCGGGACGAGGACGTGGCTGGATCGCCCGGAAGTTATAAACGAGATAAGTGGCGCGCTCAAGAAAGTGACCGCCGGGAAGGAAGGCGGGGAAGAAAAGGGGGTGTCCTTCGTGGATATTGGAGGCGGCATCGGCCACCAATGCAAAGTGAGTCGATTGTCACTGAATGACTATGGGAGGCAGGTACCCAAGTTACAACGGAGCTAACATAAGGACTAGGCTTTCAAGAAGCGAGCGCCGGATCTAAAGGGAACAATTATCCTGGAGGATCTGGAAGAAGTGGTAGAAAATGCGGAACTCGAACCTGGTATTGAGAAGATTAGTGTTAACTTCCTCGAGGGCCAGCCAGTGAAAGGTGGGTGTCACTTGTAATAATAACCCGCGATGGTAAGATGACGGCTAATTACTTGAGTTTAGGTGCGGCATCATATTATTTCAGGAGCGTTTTACGAAGTAAGTATTTGAAATCTACCTGTTACACAGCTTGTTTCTTCCAAGTATATCGTCAGCTGACCATGCATTTCCTTTCGCCTTGAAGACTGGCCTGATAGATATTCTCGAACCATCCTCGGTTACGTCAGAGATGCTATGGATGAAGACTCCTTGCTCCTTATCGACGAGATCGTATTACCGGACCGCGGTGCTCACAGATATGAGACGCAACTAGATTTGACAATGCTCGCAATGCTTAATGCCGAAGCGAGGACCGAGAGTCACTGGAAGCAACTACTGGCCGAAGTAGGAATGGAAGTCAAAGATATCGTGTTTTACGAAGAAGAAACCAGGGAGGGCATTATCATTGCTAAGAAGGTATCAAGTTGAACGAAGCGTGCTATAGATAGAGAGTCACTTACCTACCTTGTCATGTCTATTATTACATCAGACTGGTGCACACGCAGACTGGCGTTTTCAACAAACTTATATCTCACGTAGATGTTTAATAGACCTCAACTTGAATTATAAGAAATTTTAACTGCCTAAGATAGGTACCTATGATCAGCTCAATAGTAGAATTTCCATGTACCCAGGACCTTTCCCCTGGCTTTATAACCCTATTCTCCCTATTCTTAAGAATAAAACGGAATAGCCGAATTTCATCACTACACCATGCAAAGGTATCTACATGTGGAACCAATGCTATGGAAGCCCTAGGGATTCATTCTACCCAATCCTAAAAAGCTCATATTCCTTATACCTAATGTCGATGAATTACATACTTGTGGTTATATGCCCCCCTAAAAGCTAAAAGATTTCTGTTCAAACCAACATTTCCCAAGGTGTTAAATATCTTAAAGATGATTCTAATGTGGCTCTTCCCTATAAATATGCCTCCAATCTACCAAGTAACAATGAAAATATGCCCCAAATCCTCTTTATCCCGTGCCTAACCGGTCTCCAGTCCCCGAATTCCCCTTTCTTGATTTTTTTTTGTTATAATCAGAACATCTCAGGTAATACAGCAGAGCAACGCATAATATCCGACAAGTATCACCATGCTTAACATAGCGTTAAGTTTCTACCAGCACTCGTCACGCCGCATGGTGCAAAGGAAGAGGTCAATCACACTATTCCTCTAGGGCAACATGTTGTAAAGATGCAAGGAAATAAAAGTCGGTAGTGTACTAGTTCAAAGCATCTATTTCTATTAACTCCTAGTTTCTTATTAGTCTTCACGAAGTAGACGGACCTACTGATATCTCATAGGCGCTGCTCTCTGGTGCCGATGCGCTACTCTTCTCATGACCATTTCCGTATATGTTGGCGTGATAATTGTTGCCGCTCTCCTGAAAATAGGGAAACTGTAGTTACTGATAGCTTCCCCATACTCATAATAATTCGTAGAACCGCAATATAAGTTAATAATACGAACCTTCTACTTCCGACACGCCTTGTCGCCAACCAGAAAGCCTAACGATCCGCGCCTTGTTGTCGCACACAGTAGCATGCACGCAGTGTACCTAACCCAGGACAAGAATTCAATATTTCCCGACGGCCAAAAATGGACCCAACCGTTCCACCGAAAAAAGCTTCGCCTGCATTATATAAATATGAGATACCTACGACACACCTCTCTATTTCGGTAAATCAAATTGTTAAATACCTAAATAAAATTTTACGTACAAGTCCATTGGGATAGAACGAGATACTCAGCTGCCGCCTCGGGCGCGAACGATGTGGAAGCTCGGCTGAATAACAAGGGACAGGGGTTAAAAATAGGAGTGAGCAGGTTTGAGTTGGTTACCTAACCTATGTGGACCGTTACGGCTTGTGTGTCCTTAGGCGCGGCTTTGAAGATGTGAGGATTGGGCATTTTTGCAATCCTTTTTTTACGGTAATAAACCTTTACTACCATAATGGGTTCTTAATATATAAGGCCTTGATGTTCCATCTTCCCATGGCCGTATACTTACTGCTTTTTGAAGGGTTTAAAGGGGAACGCAGTTGTACTATCTACCTCTATTCAGTTTTGGTCGAACCCCATCTCGCGCTGTGCCGTATACCCGTACGCGAAAGAGTGAGTGCCATACCGTCATCGTTGTAAGTTCGAGTTCAACAAGACGTTCTTCTACGTTAAGTTAGGTACCTCCCTTTCTGATGTATGGTATCTCAAGCCCAGCAATCCGTAGAGACACCGTGCTGTTTTCTTCCATCTCTCCTAATTTAGTATAGTGCTGTAGTGCCTTGCGAATAGTTTGACCGAATTGTAATTGGGTTCCGAATACTTGCTCATACAGGGTGCATTTTGCCTTAATTAACCGGACCATACCAGCTCAAATCAATCCACACGTATTACATAGCAAGAAAAACCAAATACAAAATGAACTAGTCGTTACGAACGATGTGGTATATAGTGTCTTGCCAAATCTTTGCTTCATTCGTATGGAAAATAGTAGTGTCCAACGTCTGCCCCTTCAAGGTCCACCAAGATGACGGAGCGGTCTATGTCTATGCCTATGGGCGATAGCTCTACCTCGGAAAACGTAACTAGCCTTCCTCTTTCAGATCCGCGGTGCAATAGCGATGCTTGCGATGCTTTCGCGGCTGCCCACAAGGCTTCGCAGGCGGCAGTGTCGTACGATCACCAGTATGAGTATGGCCATTACACCACTTGGTACTACTTAGCGGCTATCGGGGTCGCTATGCTCGTCTATGCTTATCGCTTGAATCGGAACCGTAGGGCACGGCGCGGAGCTGCTAGGTCTAGAAAGGCAAAACTGACGCGTAAAGTACTTGCGATCTTTCGTGCGATCAACTACCGACACCTCAAAGGCCGTGTGGCCGATTACTTTGGGTTTCCTTCCCTCGGAGCATCTGTCTTCATCGCCGCAACATCGTTGTTCCTTCTCTTAATGACGTTCTTGGTCCACCCTTACTATCGAGGTCGGAGAGGCTATGGATCTCCTCCTTTGGCTGTACGAACCGGGTTGATGGCTCAGGCTTTGACACCTATCATTGTTGCCCTTGCTGGCAAGGTCAACTTCATCACGATGCTCACTGGTATCAGCCATGAAAAGTTGAATATTTTCCACCGCTGGGTATCATATATGTGTTTGTTCCTGAGTATTGTCCATACAGTGCCGTTCATTGTTCAGCCCCTGAGAGAAGGTGGACCCGCTGCTCTCCGGAAGCAGTATTATAAACCTGGCGGCATGGAGGTATGTGGTTTACCGCCCATCAGTATCTGTTACCGAAAGAATGATGTGAAGACTGACGCGAAATCTCGAGCAGTATACGGGAACCCCGCCACTGGGAATACTCGTTGGTATTGTGGTGATATCCATCCCATGGATTCGCCATCGATTCTATAATTTCTTTTATCGACTCCACATTCCCATGTACGTAGTCTACCTTGGACTGCTATTCTGGCACTCGAAGCAGGAGAAGGACTCATGGGTGTACTTATGGTCGACACTTGCCATATGGCTTGCTTCGTGTCTAGTGCGCCTCTTTTACAAGTGGCAGACTTTCAGCATTTTCCGAAGCTGGTTCCAAGGGTTCCCAGCGAAGCTTGAAGAACTTCCAGGCGGTATGACAAAGTTGACCGTTCTTGCGCCACGAGACTTCAATTGGCGACCCGGACAGCACTGCTGGCTGCGGGTACCTCACTTGTCCTTGCTGCAAAACCACCCTTTCACAATTGCAAATTTACCCAAGGTCAAAACGCCGGGAGTGAGATTAGATTCAGAAACACAAGATATGATCTTTTATGTCCGTGCTCGTCATGGACTGACTTTAGATTTGCTTAAATCTGTCGCAAATCATGACGATGAGGAAAATCGGAGTCGCTCTATCTCTGTCCATGTTGATGGTCCGTATGGTGGACTGATTGAGGATGTACCCGCACTATACGAATCGCTTATCTTCGTTGCTGGAGGCAGTGGAATTTCCGCATGTCTTCCGTGGATTCAACATGCGGCAAAGCGCATCGCCGAAGGCACTTCTGTGACCAAGAGTATCCACCTCGTATGGATGGTCAGATACGCCAATCAAATACAGTGGGTTACTGAGGAGTTAGAACCACTCGTCAACGCTCATCCGGATCTGATCCAAGTGGAGTTTTTCGTGACAAATTCAAGCGCCGGAGCGGTGTCAAACGTGGACTCTGATAAAAATTCAGATAGTGGAGTGACTGGGAGTAAACCGAACGAGAAGAGTACGATGACGGTAAGCCCAAAGCTAGGGCAAGTGCATAACCAACGGCCCTACTTGCCTACACTTCTTCCTCCTCTCATCACAGAACAACGGTCATTTATTTTAGGTAAGTCCCACTCACGAGAATGAGTCCCTAGAATATGAACTAATTTGGTCGATTCTAGGTTGCGGGCCGGAGAGTCTGAGAACCGATTTGGCAAACGCAGCATCAACTGCCCAGAAAAAAGTTCTTGCTGGAGATGTTGAGATTATTACGTTGCACACGGAGTCTTTTGGTTGGTAAGTTGGATGGTGAATGAGTTTGGGTCATTACCATATATTTTGCTTGTTTTGGTAATTTCGCAATAATAGTTTATATACGGATGCAATACAATTCGGTGACTGAGTGGATGAGTATAATATTAAATATTAGCCTTGGATCAAAGAATTGGAAATTATTGAGAATGACAAACAGCGTAGAAGTAATTATACCATCTAAAGGTACCTCATGAAGTATCTTAGGTACCTTAGGCCAATCACAAGGTTGAAGCTGCCTCGTTAGGGCAGCTACCCCGCGATGGATCGACCCCATCGCGGAATTGCACCTTTGGAAATCGCCCTGTGTCAGCTATGTCAGCCCGGGCCACAAGCCGTGTTACACTAACACACGAGCTCCGTCATCGGGGCTTGACCTTAGCACAAAGTTGAAAATTTCCAACTCGGTCAGCAAAGTAAGATTTTGAGGCCAGACTCATTGAGTCTAGCTTCTTTATGGGATATTAACATCGTACGAGATAACGTTGAATATTTCTAAATAGCTTACCTGCTTCCTTAGGTTACAAGGTACCTATCTACTTACCTAATTGGCTTTTACGATCCTTTTTTTTCTTCTTCCATCATTTAATTAGGCGATTCTAATTTTAGGTTACGGACCTTCTTACACCAGAGGTCCGTCCAACAATTCGTCATCCTGGCACACCGGAATTATACCCATACCCATACGTAGATCTCTTCTTATAAACAGCGCGAGCATGGAATCCTTCACAATCCGGACGCCGTGTTCATCGGCCAATATCGGACCCGGTTTCGATGTTATCGGTCTAGCATTGTCCATTTATCTTGAGTTGCGCGTAACCATTGACCGCACCAAGTCTTCATCTCAAGAGCCGCTTAACTGCCGTATCACCTATGAAGGTCAAGGCGAAGGTTCCGACGATGTGCCGCTCGATCCATCCGCAAATCTCATTACCCGTGTTGCGCTATATGTCTTACGATGCCATAATCAGCGGGCGTTCCCGGTTGAGACTCATGTGCACATCGTCAACCCTATTCCATTGGGTCGTGGTCTTGGTTCCTCAGGTGCTGCCGTCGTTGCTGGTGTAATGCTAGGCAAAGAAGTCGGAGGCTTGCATCATCTCACTGATGATCGGCTTTTTGACTTTTGCCTCATGATCGGTATAACCCGCCCTCTTTTGATTCCTTAGATTCGCACGTGCCAGTCTTCGACTTGGCATTTACGTCCCCCCCGCTGTTCTCAAGTCTTAGAGTGTAGAAAGCTAACAACCTTTGTCTAGAGCGCCATCCTGACAACGTCGGTGCTGCCCTGTTTGGTGGATTTGTAGGTACATACCTAAAGCCGTTGACACCTGAGGATGTCGCTCGTGTCGAGATTCCGTTGAGTGAAGTACTCCCGGCGCCAGCAGGCGGTGTTGATACCGGCGAGCGACCGCCGGAACCACCATACGGTATTGGTCACCACATTAAATTCCCATGGGCCAAGGAAATCAAGGCTGTCGCCATCGTGCCTAATTTCCAAGTACCTACAGCCAAGGCACGAGAGGTACTTCCAAAAGAGTACCCGCGGCAGGACGTTGTAAGTGACAAACTCCTGTCTAAGACGCGCAACAGATACAGATATACTGATCCCACTTCAGACATTCAACCTCCAACGAATAGCGTTGCTACCTGTTGCATTAGGACAATCGCCCCCGGATCCTGACCTAATCTATCTCGCCATGCAAGATAAGCTACACCAGCCATACAGGCAGACATTGATCCCTGGGCTAAGCGAGATCGTTGAGTCCATGTCGCCAAGCTCCCAGGAAGGTCTACTGGGAGTTTGCCTGTCGGGTGCCGGGCCTACGATTCTAGCGTTGGCTACCAGCAACTTCGAACAGATTGCCGAGAAGATTATAAGCAGATTCACCAAGGAAAATATCGATTGCCAATGGCTAGTCCTGGAGCCCGCCGAGGGAACCAAAGTTATCCGCTCGTGAGGGCCGAACTGATCGACACGTGAACTTCTAGCTTAATACTCGTGTCACGGCGCGTCATGATACCATAGATTAACGAACGGCGGAGATTGACTCAGAATCTTGGAGGATATCTCAAAATTTAAGCTTATCTTAACCGAAACACCAGCGGTAGCTTAGGAGAACTTGGAATTCTAGATGGAGGTGTGCGGCTAAAAATAGATAATATACCTCCACCGTTGACCCACGGTTATTGTTGTATTAGTTGTATAAATGCCCGATTCTTGGCTATCCTTTGTAGGTTGCTCAATTTTGGACGCAAAAAGAGTTTTCGAAATCCTGATGTCGATACCACGAGAATAATTAGCGGGCACATTCTCGTGGCTTTCCAAGAAGTGGACCAAATCGACATCCAATAGTAGACGACGAGTTCCTACTCCAATTTGTCTATGGCGAGGTAGGTGCTATCCTGCAGCATGGCTGCGGTGTAGAACAAGATGAAACCGGGTCAGCTAAATTCTATTATATATTGCCGTGTTGTTTTCCATGAATCTGGGAATGTCAAATTTGTTCGATGTAACATGCCGTCATGCCGGCTTTCCCGTGTTTTCAATCAGGCGCGGCAGTTCAGTTATATTTGAAGGATTATAGTTCTTGATTTGGCAGGTTGCCCGCGCACAGCAGCCACACGCTATCATGTGAAAATATCGTATCGTTTGTTGCCAGGCAGCGGGAACATCCGAACAGGTTTTTTTTTTAATTTTTTTTTCTTTGCTGCAAGCGAGAGAGAAACATCGTGTGATTTGCTGTGGGGCATAGGAACAGCTGACGTACGGTGACAAGAAGAAGAGGAGGGATTTCGAAGACAGCGCTGAATTTCCGTAGCTGCAGAAAATAGTGATCAGCCCCCGGTCCCTGACCATTCTGGAATTCAGCTCGTTGGTTTCGTAGGTTGGTAAGTAAGCACGTCCCCTTGGCGACCCGAGCCGCTACCTATTAACTGCATATAACCCGACTCCGAGCGAAAGCGAGATCCGCCATATCCGGAACCTCACGGGTCTTTCCCGGGTCTGGGTCTGGCGTCACTATGCATGCATGTATCCTCACCCCACACAACCTTATCCACCTAAAGCTTGGGGGGAGCGTGACAGGTGCCCCTATCTAGGGTGTGCGGAATTGCACCCCTAGACATGGTTATCGTATTCGGATCTAATTCAGAAACAACGTAGCATAGGCGCAGGTAGCGAGATTGGCTGTTGTCCTGCCATTATGCGTTGGTTCGTGGGAATCACGCTAACGTACCTTACCCATCGGAATGAAGTATGTGGTCTGTCAAATCTATAAGGGGAAGGGCGGCGGCACGACCGGTAGATAAAAGCCGCGTCGTTCCTGCATTGACTATAAAATTTCAGCTGTCGCGAGGGCCTCTCATTTGTGTCTTTGTATTGTACCTACAACCCCCGGTAAGCCTCGACACTCCGTGGAGGGGACAGGGATCAAAATGGCATACATGACTCTGAATAGACTTATAGTATGGGCTGTTGCTATTGCCGCGTCTGTTGCTGCTCAAGATACCTGTCAGACGGTCGAAGCCCAAACCTCCATCAAGTTGCTCAAATCATTGACACTGGACTACAACAAAGAGCAAAGTCAATATTGGTCCACGTTTGCCGGTGATCTCAAGCCAACATGCATTCTTGAGCCGGAGACGTCGGAGGAGGTCGCGGCTATTGTGTCCATACTCCGCAAAAACAACGAGACCTTTGCCATCAAGTCGGGAGGGCACAACCCCAATAATTACTTTGCTAGTGTTGACGGGGGGCCGTTGATTTCGACCAAGAGGCTTGACGAAGTCATCTTCAACGCTGACGCTGAAACCGTGAGAGTCGGTCCTGGTAACCGATGGGATGAAGTTGGCAAAAAGCTCGACAAGACAGGCTATACTGTGGTTGGTGGCCGTATTGGGAACGTTGGTGTTGGAGGCTATTTGTTAGGAAGTAAGTGTGTCTAGATAACTATAGCTGAAATTAAGCCGCTGACCAATTATAGATGGATTGAGCTTTATGTCTACCGAGTACGGTTGGGCCTCCAACTCGATTCTCGAATACACGGTAGTACTGGCAAACTCCTCGATCGTCACTGCTAGCGAGACTAGCCACCCTGATCTGTGGATGGCTCTTAAGGGGGGCGGGAACAACTTCGGCATCGTGACGTCGTATCTGCTTAAAGCATATCCGCAGGGTGACATATGGGGCGGTAACCTCGAATTCGAAGCCACGCCCGAGAAAACTGCCGCCATCCTAGCTGCCGTTCGCAACTTTACCGAGAACTACCCCGATAAGAAAGCTGGCATAATCGTAACATCGGAAAGAACCTTGAGCACGTTAGTCAACATTTGGATTCTATTCCTCTACTATAATGGTCCGGAGCCACCACAAGGCGTATTTGATAGTTTCTTGGCTATTGGGCCTACAATTAATACCTGTAAGACCCAGAGATACGCCGACCTTCTAAGCGGGAACAACTGGGCCGTCCTAAAGGGCAGTGTATATACTATCGGGACAGAAACCATGCCATTGCCCAGCAAGGAGGATGGCCCCGAAGTAATGCAAGCCGTGTATGACCATTGGGTGAAGGTAAGCGACACGACCAAATTCGTTCCAGGACTTGTGGCTAGTATCGCTTTCCAACCCATGCCAAGGGTGATAGCGACGATATCCAAATCTAAGGGCGGCGATATGTTGGATCTGGACGATCAACACGACCGTATCATTATCGAGCTAGATTACAGCTTCTTTTCCAAGTCGGACTTCGATCAGGTTGACATAGCGATGCGTGCTACTTATGGTGGTTTCCAGAGTATTGTTAAGGGATATCAGCAGGGTGGCTTACTCGCATCCGACGCGTACCTGCCGATCTTCATGAACGATGGGTTCTATCCCCAAGACTACTTTGGAAGATTGAGGCCCGAGAAGTTGCAATTGGCTCAGGCCGTCCAGGCTGAAGTTGACCCAGATGGATTCTGGAGAGATAGGACCGGGGGATTTAAGATACCATCGAAATAGTACATGTAGTCAATTATAAATTAACTATTACATCACTAACAACCCGTTGATGGTTAATTCTCATGGTTGATGAAAGATATATGTAAATCATAAGCCAAACAGAAAATAATCTCCTATCTAATTTAAGCTTTACGAGTTGTAAGGAGAGAAATGTTAAGTTGAGGTCGTATTTCTTAAATAACGAGTGGAGTCCCTTTTGTGCTACATACCTCTATCTATTTACGTACTTCGTAAACTTCCATTGTCAAACTGTAAAGTTAGCTCCGACCTGACGATGGCTGGGATGGCAGCTGCGCTAAGTTCGGTCGGGATTAGTGCGGGGCCGCCTATAGACCCACCAAGCGCGCCATCCATCATTGAGATGGATAGGGGACACTTTTACCAAAATACATACTTCAATGTACAGGTAGCTAATTGTTACATGCATTGCATCTTTATGAATGTTTTTTTTGTACAACTGTCTCGAATTACATAAAGATTCACGACTTATTCAAACTGGAATTATAAACCACATTACTTTGGTACCTGTACCTATTACCTCAGTTATTTTTACTCGCGCCGCTCTATTCTTCCCTCCCTCCACCAATTCGCATGAAATAAACCAACCAAGCAGTACTATGGATTTCCTCAAATCCGCGGTCGCGTCCGCCATTTCTCAGGGGCCGCCTTTTCCCTATTCCTTTGGCGACAAGGTCGACATAGATGCCTCAATATGGACCCTCTATAATGGTACGAGGCGAGCTGATGGATCCAACTGCAGCATATTTGCTTTCGACGTTCCCTCGAATAAAGCGCTGGTCCCCCTCGCGAAGAATGCGGTCAAGAAGCTACGAACAATGCGACATCCAGGCGTTATCAAGGTCTTAGATACCGTCGAGACAGATTCGTACATTTACATCGCGACGGAAAGGGTAGTACCTCTGAGATGGCACGTTAAGAGAAAGAGCCTAAGTCCTGAGACGATCAAATGGGGCTTATACAGCATCGCGCGTACCATTAAGTTTATTAACGACGAGGGCTCCTCCGTCCACGGCAGCCTTCGAGTCTCGTCTATATATACATCCGAGAGCGGGGAATGGAAGCTAGGCGGCTTTGAAGTGTTGAGTAACGTCAAGGATGACGATGCTGTAATATACAGATATGGAAGTCTAGTGCCGGATGCTGCGAGATATACTCCACCAGAGCTTGCGCGGTCGGGATGGGACACCCTCAAGAAAAGCCCACATTCGGCCGTTGATGCTTATAACTTCGGCACTACCATATTCGAAGTTTTCAACGGCGATTTTACGGGCGCAGATCAGGCAGGGCAGACGAAGGGCATCCCACCCAGTATGCATGCGGGCTACAAGAGGCTTGTTAACGCGAACCCCAAAGCTAGGATTACAGCAGGAGCATTCTTAGAACAGGGGTGCCGATCTGGTGGCTTCTTTGACTCGCCCCTGATTAAGTTGACCGAGGGAATAGATAATCTTGGTGTGAAGTCTGAAACCGAAAAGGAAGAATTTCTGGATGATCTGGACCAGCTAACGGATGACTTCCCGGAAGAATTCTTTAAAATGAAGGTTTTGCCCGAACTGTTAAAGGCCGTAGAATTCGGCGGAGGCGGGCCTAAAGCGTTCGGGGTTGTGATGAAGATATCCACGAAGCTATCAAACGAGGATTTTGAGTCTCGGGTCCAACCGGTTGTCATCAGACTATTTGGCAATCCTGACAGGGCGATACGAGTCTGTCTTTTGGATAATTTACCAGTTATGATTGACAGACTGTCTCAAAAGGTTGTCAACGATAAGATTTTCCCAAACATGGTTTCCGGCTTCGCGGATGTGGCCCCCCTCGTGCGAGAGCAGACACTAAAATCCGTTCTCGTCGTCATCTCAAAGTTATCAGACCGAACAATCAACGGCGAATTGTTAAAGCAGCTCGCCAAGACAGCTAACGATGAGCAGCCTGGCATTCGGACGAACACCACAATTTGTCTAGGTAAAATTGCTAAGAATCTTGGAGCATCGTCAAGGAGCAAGGTCCTGCTAGCAGCGTTTACTCGGTCACTTCGAGACCCCTTTGTGCACGCGCGTAACGCGGCGCTCTTGGCGCTTGCAGCTACAAGCGAATATTTTACCGAGGAAGATTGCGCTGTACGGCTTTTACCAGTCATATGTCCATCGTTACTCGACAAGGAGAAACTAGTCCGGGATCAAGCCAACAAAACTTTAGAAGTCTACTTGCAAAGAGTACGCAAAGCTGCAGCTAGTATGCCGGACACTGTTCAACCACCGCCTCAGACAACCGAAGGTGCTGGACCGCGTATGAGCACGCCACAACCCAGCGAGGCGTCTTCTTGGGCCGGGTGGGCAATTTCTTCCTTTACCAACAAGTTATCCGCTGCATCGGGCGAAATACAAACTTCAAGGGTTCCGGTTATTTCGCCCCAACTCCAACCCACTACTAAACATGTCCCATCAACGACGTCGTCGGCTTCTACGTTACATCGCCAGGTCCTTAAATCTCCATCTCCCGCGCCGCCTCTATCTCGCAACTCGTCTACTTCAGCCGAGGCTTACTTCAAGGACCCCGAACTGGTGAACGATGACGGGGGCGACGCTTGGGGAGATATGGGCGACATGGACGACGACGGAAATGCGTTTTTCGATGCAACTAGCGAGCCCACGAAGGTCGTGAAGGAGCCCGTGGCATCTTCCCAACCATTAGACGATGGCTCGGAACCTGACTTTGCGGGATGGTTGGCAGCGCAAGCAAAGAAGAGCACTCCTGGTGGCGGTAGCAAACCTCTGCCCAAAGGTCTCTCAAAGGCGAATGGCAAAACATCTACCACCGCCGCCACCAAGAAACCGCTTACATCCAGACCAGCGACAAAGGTTGTTGCAAAGAAAATTGACACGAAACCGAAAGACGCTGACGACGACGACGGGTGGGGAGACGGGTGGTAACAGTGAGTTTGGACGGAAAAAAGAAAAGGTAATCAAGGGTTCCAATAGTCAACTGAAGGCATTGCAAGGCGTTTTGGTGTACGGAGTACAGTGGTCGGATCCGGGATCCGAGGGTTTGGTGGTTTTCTGGTATACCAGGCATCAGGTGGTCATTGCTAAAATCTAAGCGCAAGTACGGATAATTACGATATAGACATAATAAATATCTTATATACAAGTCACGGGCATACTTAACCTAACCCATTGTAACAATCAGTTCTTCCTCACGGATTAGGTCCATACAAAGGTAAATAAATAGACTACCTAGGAACCTAGAGCCCCAGATGACAAGCAGAATATACATTTTTATGATACGATCCTAGCACTATATTCTGGAAGTAGCGTCATCAGGTTATTTTCTATCAAATTGTAGTATACATACCTAGGTACCTTAGGTACTAGGTATATATCAGTATCTAGAACAAATCGCAGAACGAAGTCCAGCCGCGCCAAGTACCTATAAGCAGGCGTAAAGATGGTAAATAGAACTTGCATATCCGCATAACGATAAAACCAGCCGTAGTAGGAGCCCCTCGTAAACCACCAACGCCAAAGGATACACCTACCGGACCTTAAGTACCTACCTCCCTACCTAGGTACCTACCTAGGTAGATAGAGGTACGTAGGTATCTAAGGTATATAAAAAGAACACAGACCCGTATCAAAAACCGCATCCTCGTGAGTTTTCTGCACTTATGAAAACACGCCCTCTCCATCCCCCTTCTTCCTCCTTGCCAGCCCCCCTCGCCCCTCCAAATCACCGCGTCTCGGAGTAGTCGTTAAGAGCGACGCATACCGCGCCGCGGTGGTGACCATTATACTGGCGGATAACCTGCTGGCTGTGGAGCTCCCACAGACGGGCGTAGTGGTCCGAGCACGCGGTAACCAGGTACGCCGAGTCGGCGCTGAAGGCGCAGTCCCAGACCCATCGCTGGTGGCCCGTGAGCGTGGCCTCGAGCGGGTACGCCCTAGGTTCCCCCCCGCCCAAGGACGGGTTGTTATTATTGTTGTTGTGGTTGTTTATGCCATTGTCCTTAGTCTTGTCGTAGCCGTTGATGCCGTTCGCGGGGATGTTAGATAGCGACGACGAAGACGACTCGTCGGACGAAGTCCCCGTCACGTTGGTGACTTCCCATATCTTGGCCGTGTGGTCGGCAGAGCACGTCGCGAGCTTCTTGACGTCGGGGGATAGCAGGATGCGCGTGATGTATTCCTTATGCGCGGAGAAGTGCGTTACGGGGAGGAGGTTCGTGCGCTCGTAGGTTTGGATGAGTTGCCAGACGAAGACATTGCCCTGGATAAACAAATAGTATTAGTATAACGCAGTAAAATAATAATAATAATAATAATAAACAATGGTATCGTACAGCATTGTTAGCGGCGCAAAGGAGAGAACCGTCGCTCGCGACGGTAACGCTAGAGACGGAGACGTCCTCTTCAGGGATGAGCTGGTGAGAGCAGTTATTCTCAGCGAGATCCCAGACCCTGACACTGCCGCCTCGGTCGCAGCTTATGATTTCGCCCTGGTTGGGGTGTATGACGACATCGTTGACCGCGGAACCGTGGTTATAGCTGCGCTGGATGGTGCCGGAGCGCGTCTCCCATATCTTGACGCTGCCGTCTTCAGAACTCGTCACCATCCATTTCCCCTCGCAGTGGAACGCGACTCCCGTCACGTTTCCCGTGTGTCCCTCGAACGTAAGTAGCGGGTTCGGGTTCGTCGACTTGATATCGTAGAGCTTGACCGTGTGGTGTCCCGCTGCTGCTAGGAATCGCTTATCCGGGGAGATGCACAGTCGATTTACCTGAGAGTCGGGATGTTGGATCGTTCGCGAGCAGATTCCTGATAATGCCTCCCAGAATCTTTTTATTTTTCAAGCAAGTCTAGTTAGTTGAGGTACCGATACAATTGTACCTAGGATATCAAAATCGATAGCCAGACCCTTGGGCGCGCATACCTGATCGTGTGATCGTACCCAGCTGTATTGATCAACAAGTGAACTGTAGAACATTGGCGCTGGGGTTGCAACTAGGCTTACCGGTACAAAGGATAACAGACATTACGGCTTGACCAGCGGCCCTTCAAAAGGTCGGGCTAGCCGAAGGAAATAATGGTACTGGAAAATAAAATATGGTGTCCCAACTGAAAGTCGCATCAAGGATGAAAGGTTAACAATAGGTAAGTTGAATTAATTGGGAAAGCAACTGGATATCAATGTTGAATTGTTAGGTACCTGGTTAAGGTACTGATTGTAGGCACCAAGGTAACTGATTAGCTTTATCGATAAGATATGTACTCGACGAGGTAAACAAAATAACGCGATATCGATTATGCAGTAAAGCGAAGACTTTGAAATAGGGGTTCAAGAAACTGAAATAGTACCATATATACACTAAGGTACCTCCTTTTATTGCCAAAACCTCAACTAATAATCATTTTAGAATGTCCCTGTGAGCACCAAAATCTTTGCTACTGGTGTATTGATATGTTTAAGAGGTTGTCTTTCTTGGATTACTCATTAGTAGAAGCGTAAGGTGAACCACTATATTTAGAGTTGAGAGTCTACCTGTGTAGATCTGTTGAATAATGTTAAAAGGAAAAAGAAAAAAGAAAAAAAAAACATGTAGAATTGAACGTAAACCCCTAATTCCATCCGTATCAAATAGTCTCCAGGACTAGTGTAGTCATCCGAATAGCATTAAAAAAACAGGCAAACGAAAATACACCCTTCTAAATCATATACTCGGTAGGTAGCTAAGGAATGGAGATCCTTCAGCTTATACGAACAGATACAATCGAGTTCCCACAATAGGGAAGCCAACATTTTGACAACGCGTCTTTCCACGTAGGCATTTGTAACAGAGCCCTCAGCTCTTGGAGTCGCGGAAAATAGACGAGCCCCCTCTGGAGCTACCACGTCCCGAACTCGATCCTCCCGATGAAGTCGCCTGGTTTCTGTCTCGTTGTCCAGTGCTCGCGCTAATACCGGGAACACCCAGCATCCCCGTGGCACCACATTGAGTGCAGTTCATTCGGCTATGTAGATGCACAAAGTTAGAACTAGTAACCGATGAATATTTCTTATAAGTTTGTATCGTACTCTCTTGGGTTGCCCTTGCAGTTAGGACATAGGGAAGGCATATCACGGTTCGGCCCTAGACCGTATATGGCTCGGTCCTCGTCGAATGGATACGCGCCGGTATAGTATCCGTAAGTCTCGTTTGTCTTCTGCGCCATATTTAAAGGATTTGGCTTATAATATAATGGTGTGTATTTGTAGGTGAAATAATGAGTGATTATCGCCGGTCTCTCTTCCTTGAAGATCTACAAGCCGTCGGGCATTTATCTATGAACCTCTTTGGAATTTGCCATTAAGCTATTATAAGGTTCGGCAACTCCTTATAAGCAAGGATATTCCAAGTCCCAAGGCTCACCGCCTCATACTTTAATACTAGTCCTACCGGATGGCGCCTTGAAACCGACTAGAAGAACATCGGGTAGGAGAAAGTCCCGATAATAGGACATTACTATAGCTCTACCCGGTTGCCCTTGAGAAACAATATAAGCCGTTGTATCGATGCGGTCATCAGTTAAGCCTTGTAATACCTTCTGCATGCTAAGCCTACGGTCCAATAACGACACAGGATCTTTAAACTTGGCGAATCGAAAAGACGTTCTTCTCCCAACTATACGTGGAATATTCATCTCCTTGCTGCCTAACCGTTGCCAGGGAATTGATGGAAACTCCCGCTGTCATACTTCGACCCCTTTTCCGCTTGCCCAGTAATAAGGTTCCAGGCCGTCGGAATGCATCAAGTTATAAGAAATCTAGCAGATTCGGTTTCAAGTTAGGTAACTGGCTCGTAATATACCCTGGCATATAGAGAGTCTACCGATCCGACGTAGGATTCTATACCTGTGGGTATCCGAGCCGCAGCTGACAACCTGTTCTCCTGCTCGCAAACCCGGGTTAGCCACGTATTTTACCGATCAGGCTTGTGCCTCCCAAGACCCCGGAAATTGCTGCTTGTGAGTGTTTCCGAGTCCCTGAAGGCTGTGCTTCGACACAATCCCTACGTAATTATTAGGTGGACGTGGACACGCTGTGCCGGGTTACCATGGGGCGTGCAGGTCATCAAGAAGGCAGATCCTCGGGCCGCGCTCTGATAGGAACCTATCTTGCATGAAGCAAGTCCAAAATGACCTGTCGGATACCTGATCCGCCAATGTCGCTGTGACGTCGATAAACTAGGTTCTTTATCCCAAAAATAGCCAGTTTTGTCCTGTGATTCGACCCGATCCCAGACGCGATCTTATCGCATTTATATAACACCGCAGCTTGCATCCAGTGAAACTATACCAGACCCTAGTCATTCTCTTCACACTCCCAGATGGTCCGTAACTGTATAGCTGTCAGATATATTACTGAATCTATAGAAAGGCCCCAATCATCTCTCTTTAAGCTCCTATATATCTCGTCTTCCTTACATAGAATGCTGCCTTAGAGATCGGATAAGATTTGGTGAAATACGACTATATCTTTTGGTATCTCAGCCACGCATGAACAACCTGCAGTTATCCGTCAGTGATTAATTTCTGCTAAGGCTGGAAGTCCCCGAGGCGGTATTCGAAATCGCGAACTTGCGTTACGTTTTTGGCCGATGATCCGTCTTAAGCCCGTCAGGTTGCCAGGTTATCTCTGTCATGGGGTGCCGTGATTGATTATTACTTCTTTGTGGCTTCGGAACTAGTATAGGCTACCCCAGATGTGACTATACTCGGAATCTACCATATTCCTCATGATAAATCCGGCGTGTTCCGAATTGTTAGTACAGGCGTCAAATAAGCGAGCCATGGCTCAGGTTCGATTATCTCGGCAAGCCTCGAATTTCAAATGCGAAGTGGAATTGGAGGTATATATCACGGTAAATTTAGCATCCGATTAAAGCCATTCATGTCTGCTTCCGCATAACAAATCCTATCATATCCCTTGGCTGAAATCATACCTATAGCGTGTCACACCTTTACTGAGTGTGTTACAAATCTTGTTATTTGCTAGTGATTTTGAGGATATATCTTGCGAGGAGGGGGTTATTTTGCTGCGAGGAGGCAAGTGATGGATAGCCCCTGAGGTACCTGCAAATGCCACTTGAAAATATCTAGATTTACATAAATCCAAAAAAAATCATATCATTGACTGTTTAGTAACCCTTATGAAAACCTCCTGATTCAAGCACAATATGATTCTTCCTCATAATAGGTAAACCTTGGTGAAAGCAGCTAGGCCGAACCAGGAGCTGGATTGATATGTTTTTGTGATAAGGCTTTTAGTAAATATTCTCAAAAATACAAGTATATTCGTAGGTTGGTTTTAATTTTACTCATGGACCAGCTTTTTCCCATTATGGTTCACAACTCCAAAATGCTTATCTCCCTACCTCTCAACAGTATAACCGCTATTGGTTATTTCTTAACTGTATTACATTGACGAACCCGATACTTTATTTTGGAATACGATATGTAGCACGTGGTCTTTAATATGAGAGTAGTAACGGGTAACAAATATACTCATGACAATGTCTAAGGTGCCAGTTTGTCGATGATTTATCGACAACACTGACTTATCCCCAACACGTGGCAGATTGGCCGAAGACGCGGATGAAAGAATATATTGTAATCGGTACCTACCAAGGTACATAAAGTAAAAAATAATTCAAGCCATTCATATGCTTGTACTGATCCTAGTGATCGTCGGCTATATCGAATCATGCTTCTTGACACATCATACTATGTACTCGCATATGATCCACGTGACAGTGATATCAGATCTATCCTGACTAATTGAGTCGAGAAGAGATAATGTATTACCATTTTCTTCATTATGTATGAAAAATGCGCGTTGGTAACCAGCTTTGTTCATGATTGGCGGCGAGGCTCCTAGCCCACACCTGCACTATACCATTTACGAATTACTACCTTTACCAACAACCTGATCCTATTTTCAGATCTCATCCCCGAAATTGCGATCACCAAGCTACTATGTACCTCCTTGGCTGTCTGTACTCTTAATCTGCGGCTACTTAGGTATTGTAAACATAATCAAGAAGATAGGTATGCTGACCCGTGCGACGATATGACGGCGCAAAGCTATGAAGAGTTAATAAAGTCCCTATGCGCAAGCGACCTGCGGATGAAAAGGTCGATTCTGAATAAGCCGGCCAAAGCTTGGAAGCCGTGGTCCCGGGCCCAGGTCCGAGTTGTCGCACTCCACTTCAACCCGGACGCGTCCGTTAGCTCGACTATCGAGTATACGGATGCATCTACTCTCGCAGCCGGTCTCACACGAGAGATAGCGCCGAGAAAACCTTTATCGCGATCTGTGTACTTGCTCGAAGGGCTCTCCGGAGAGTTCGTCCGTGTTCTCGGGGACCATTTCCAGCTGCATCCCTCGGTATTTGTGGACCACGAGAGGCTAACGCCTCTTAGCGACCGGCAGACCGGAGAGAAAGGAGGCATCCCATTCTTACCATCCGCGATCTGCGGGAGAGACCATGTCTCCCTCAAATATCATGAACCGCTAGTTCTTTCGCAGCGTCCCACCGGCTTTCGCTGTCTTTGCGACACATCCGGGCGGCATGTTGCTATAACAAGACTCATGGGCGAGATCTCAAAAGTTGGCATTAGTAGGCGCAAGTGTACATTCTGGAGCCGATGTATGCCCTTGGGTGGCTGGAGATGTACGTATCCTACCATATCCATGCTTCCCGGTGCTGGACTAGGGCTGCGTTGGGAATGGATTTGCTGACAACGTTAGGCCTCATCATATGCGATCCCCCTATCCGCCGGATATTAACAGACCATACCGGTCGGTCGGGATTCAACGTGGTCACGAGTCCTTTCAACTCCGGATATATGGATTTCGTGCCACTATCAAATCAAATGAAGGCACTGTCTGGGCCTCCCAGTACTTCCATGATGGAAGATTTATTATTCTATTTAGAGAATCACTCCGACACATTAAACCTCGATCACCCTAAGTCCGTACGCGTCTTCGTCGAGAAGATTATCGCCAGCCACTTCCTCAAGCTGGCCGAATTCTTGCAGTCGAACACTGAAGTCGTGTTATGGCATCTGTCGAGGAGAAGCGATCTAACACACTTCGGCGTCTCCATAGCCGAGGAGCTCTGGAGCGATGTGCAGTCATGGAAGCGTCGCGTTGCCGAGTACCAGGACGACCTGGAGGGGACTATGTTGCAACTTGGTGTTCCTCTTAGCTGCTCCCCCGATACCCGCGGCATCAAGAGTTGGACTGACAGCGACGCTGACTTCCGGCACCTATTACATCGCTTTCGTCAAATCGAGAAGCGTGTAAATGAATTAGGCAATGCTATAAACACATTGGCGACCCTTGCAGGTAACCGTGTCTCTTATAGGACAGGAGAACTGTCACTCCAGGAAGCAGAGCGAGCAGGTCGAGAAGCCAGAAGCGTCAAGGCACTTACCGTTCTTGGAATTGTATTCCTCCCTTTGTTGTTCTCGGCTTCTCTGTTTAGCATGGCAGATTCGGTACGTACGATGCTTACCAAAACTCCTTGTCCCCTATAACAGCGTCGAGGTCTTCCTATTGACGATTGTCTCTTAATAGTGAGTACAAAAATCTTTTGGGAGTATCCCCACCGCTCTAGTAAAACCCTAAGACAGTAACATGTAAGGAAGTATGGCTAACTTGGAACTCTTCCTATACAATAGCTACCTCCCAGGGAACTCCCAATTTTGGGTTTACTTCGCGCTCTCACTCCCTTTACTTGGCTTTGTGATCATTTTGTTCTCCATTATAGAGCTCGGATACCTCGATGGTGAAACGTCGTGGTCGTTGAAGTCGGTGATAGAAAACAGCAAGCAGAATTTAATTTGGAGGAAGATGAGGAATAAGACATTATAGTCGATCGAACAATTTATGGATTTAATATTTAAATATCCAACAATATTCTTCTTGAGGTACTAGCAGACACTTAAGCCTTTAAATCCAGTGCATGAAATTAATGTACATGGATATGCGCGTGCTCATCAATGGAAAACAAAGCGACAAGGGGTTTTGAAAAAGTCAAGTCAAGGTACGTTATGAAATGGAAGTCCAGCTAACATTAGGTGGTAAGTATTTCTGTACGGACGATGCGCAATACGACTCGGTCTTGACGATACACAATAGCCCCATAGGCGGAAGGAACTTAAAAAGATATGAAGTATCTTCGATATAGGTGCATGACCATACACATTTTGTTGAAGACTTACATCATTATTACTACTAGGAAGACAGCCATATCGAGTATGTGTCAAAGAAGAGTACCTAGCCTTTTACCATCGGTTCATAAATATCAAAGACGAATTACCTATCGGAACCAGGGCGTACGGTGGTAATCTACACATGCTAGCGTTTAGCGAGAATCCACCGAAATACCTAAATAGAAAAATAACGCCAAGCTAAGTCATAGCCCATCCAGGTAACTAAGGAAGCCCAATGTGCCATTCGATTCAACTTTCCTCGATAATGACGTCTCCTGATACACCCCTCGCCATAACCATACAAATGCAGCGAAATAAACGAGACCTATCCATCTGAACAAAGGACCACAACGCCGCTTCCGGGCTTGCCTACGCCTTGACAACATACAACATATTCTGAGGAAAGCACTTACAGCTCTAAGCTGCAAATTGAACCTGGCGAGGCACTGCCCATGCAAGTACATAACCTGAGAAACGTGCTCTACTATGCATCTCAATTGTTTGACACCGCTAAAGGACCGGCGCGGTAGAAACCATATAAGTGAACGCAGCTGCACCACCAAGAGCAACATAGGCCGCTGCCTGGGCAAAGCGTCGTCGCTTGGATGGCTGAACGTTGTCTCGTCGCGCTGGAACAGTTTCGGGCTGAACTTCATTACCACCTTCTCTAGGGACCGTAGCGACAGCATTATCATTTGACTCCATGTTGGCCGCTGCCGTATCTTGGGTTTGCTTGCTCGATGATCCAAACTTAGATTCTTCATCCTCTTGATGAGTATATCCTTCATTTGAACCAAGCACATCCACATCGTCACCGAAAGCGTCATCAAAGGAACGCTTCGTCTGAGGTTCCGATACAGCTTCTATGGGTGGCAGTGGGGCGGAGGATGTAGCGCTGGGGGCAGTTGGAGCTAACGAAGCTATGGGTTCGCAATGATTATCATTCTTGACGGCATTTGGCTCCTGTGAAAGTAAATCCTGAATCTCAACGCGCCTAGGTTTACTTGCAAGGCTTGAGCTACTCTCGCTCGCCATCTTGCTTAGCTGAAACGTATACGCGCTGGTCATGTCAAGTTCAGGGCTTTGGGGACGATCCAGATACGAACATGGGAGTTCTTCATTTCGAGGGTGATTAATAAATCTCTCTCCGGATATTGACCACGGCTGCCAATTGGAGTCCGCTAGTTCTTCTCCCAAGATAGTCGTGGGACAATGGGACTTAGCGTCGAGCGCATTGTCAGTGTCTGCAGCCCTTTCCGTTGACACATTCTGGCCATCTTCTATTCGAAACGTCGGCAAAGCTGTGTGGGGACCGTGGTTAAATTCCAGAACGTGAGGATGCTGATCAGCGTCAGCGCTCAAGGTTTCTCGGATAGCAGACACAGGCGGCGGAGACAGCCAGTCAAAACGATTCGCCCGATTACTCTCTCTAGCTGCGAAAAATGCATGCTTGCCCGATTTTTCGCCTAGAGCATGCGCTCTAGAAATGCTCGTTGTCCGGTCAAGCACAGGATGGCTCTTGAACATCGCAGCATCAGATGGACTTGGTTCTCTGCGCTGAGCAGCAGATGCATCTTGCTGCGCAGATGCAGTGAACAAGAATGGTGTTACAAGGAGACGCTCGGCATTAGGCGATTCAGCAGATACGCCTGTGCCGGGTAACGCATTCGGCACTGGGGGATTAGGTGACGAGGAGGGAGATGAACTGGGCGCCGCCGAGCTCGAGTCTGACAAAGTATCCATCATCTCATCGCCAGACGATGAACTGTTGTCATCCGACTCAGAGCAAAGCAGAATACCTAAGGGAGTGGAAGTCAACAGAAAGATCGAAAGTATACAACCATAATATAGTGACCTACTATCATTATCATCCTCCCAACCCTCAGATTGTACTACATCATGAACAGCATCGGTAGACGAGTTATAGTTCAAATCTTCGCCGACGCTACTCTCATCATCTTCTCCGATTATAACCGAACCGTCCTGGGAATCCGTCAAATGAATATCGCTACTCACTTTATCGCTCTGGGCGAAATGGTGGCTGTCTTTAGATGACGTATCGGAATCGAAAAAGAAAGCTGTAGGCTTCTCGGACTTGTCTGTGGAAGCTTGCCTCAAATAGCCAAAATCCGCTATCCTGGCTGCCATTGCACGATATTCCTCCTGAGGATTCGGGTGTGTGGAGGATGTGGAATAATGGGGGGGACTTATGGCGTGCGTTTCATGGTCCGAGTGCTTATCAGGCTCAGATGTAAGATCAATGATATCTGAACTGAGATGATTACGGGCCATGGTGCTAGAGGTGAAATTCTTTTCTTCCTCAGAGTCGTCTTCATCTTGGGTAAGATCAATAGACATGCCACGTTGAATGTTGTTCTTATGAGAAGTTGGCATGCACGTCTCGATCACGCTGTCGTCATCGTCATCGTCTTCATCATCAAGATCATCATCTGGAATAGTGAATGTTCGGTTGGGAGATTGATTGGTAGTTGGTATATCCTCACTGGGTCTTCACTAGGTGGTTAGCGTCCAGAAGGGTTCAATACAGCGGGCAAACTTACGGTTCATGTTCCTCTCCTATCATGTAAAACTCGACAGAACATGGCGGAAACGTTTCCTTGGTCCTAAATATATCAGTTCCAAAACGAAGACAGTCGCCGTCTGATAGCCTAACAGGCCGTTGTTGTTCGAGTCTCATTTCTTTCCCAATCCCGTCGTGTGGAATATGGAAGGTGCCGTGGAGTGATCCGATATCTTTGATGAGTACAGACTTGACAGCACAATTAATATTGGCAACATGGGAGGGAGGGCGGAGAGGGGCTGAATTATCTAAGAAGGTTTGTCTACGCAAGCTTACTTTTGGAATGCTATCAAGGTCGAGAACAAGTTCAGCATGGTTGCGTGACATAACAGGACTATCAAACCACGCATTATCGATCGATGCAACAAAACCCTTCGTGGGAACCTTCGACGCCCGGCCGATTCGGATAGAAGGGTTTTGCCTGCTAAGAACGAACTGGCGTTTGGGAATGTCGGGGACAAGAGAACCGTGAGGGCGACAGACTAGCGTAACGATGATAACTATATTTATAGGAATACGTCAATTAATGTATGGTGCTTTGTTTTGAAGGCTGAACTATGTATTCTCTCACCTTCATTATCATCTCGATTAACGTCGACGGTTGCCATTTTTATCAGGTTCACTAATAGATAGAGAACCAATCGTCTTCGAAACTCGAAAGTATCGAAATGACACTCGAGTTTCAGAAATATAATAAGGGGGGGGTGGTTGCAAGCCTAATAAAGGCAAGCTTGATAATGGATGAACTATCTTTATTAAATGAGTTAAATGAGTGACCCAAGATGACGGAATATGAATGTTAAATATGTGTACGTTGCGTTGAGGGAGTTGTAATGAGAAGTAGTAGTGGAGGGGGGAAGAGGATGGGAAGAGAGTACGTGGGCGAGGAGGAGGGGGAAAAGTATGTTCGGAGTGCTGGATAGAAGAACCTCAGCCTACTTGGTGCCTAGGAGGTAGGTATGAAGAGGGAGAACGCATAGAAGGTGGCACCTAGTACCTGGCCTGGTTGGCAGCTCCTACATGTAAGTTAGGTACTTGGAGAACGTGGGCTGGTACCTACAGTCAGGCGGGGCAAGAATAAGCAGATAACTACGTGATATAAAGTTTACCTAGGAAGAGGGAGTTCGGTATTGTACGTAAGTTTTTATGTCGGGTATTGTACAGTATAAATAATTGGTATAAATTACGTACCAGGTAAGTAAGTGCCTAAGGCATGTATAAATAGGTATAAATGTGAATACGACTAACAACCTAACATATGGAAGATACCTACCTAGGTAAGTACTACGAAGATAGACACTTTAGATAATTTTAATGAGAGATATGATATAGGTATCTCTGGCACCATGTTAATGTAGTATGTACCTAAAATATACTGTAAGTATCGTACCAGGTAATGTAAAGCCATTTGATGACTGTTGGAGCGGGGCTCCGATTGCCTAAGAGGACTGTAGCCTGACAAGTGGGTTATCAACTGTATTTCCCCCGCCTTCAATTTAACTGTCCAGTGTCAGGTAATATATCATCAATCATCGTATACGATAAGGTTGAAGGTCATTATGTTGTCCTGTCTAAGCCTTACCGAAAGGTATCATTATAATTACTTGTTCTTTATATTTTCATACCTATGTTATAATATAACTAATTCGGACGGGAACCCTGCATTGTGCCTATATCAAATGGTGCGCAACATAAAAGGAATTCATTCATTCCCTTGATTGTGTACGAAAGCCCTTGTCTGACGTATATGCTGGATACGCTGGTACGATAATGATGGCAAGGATATTGATATTGAGCTTAGCTAGTGGGGGCTAGGTAGCGGACTAACATCAGTAGAATGGCGGGGTTGAGCTAAGAGATTCGAAAGTGCATGCATATTTCACCTTGCACGTAGCAAATAGGTACCTAGGTACCTAATGCTTTAAAATTGCAGATTACAGGTACTTTATGTACTGACCTCTAAAAGAGGTACCTAACCTACCTGGTATGTATTTGATATAGGTATTTCTGATTAATTCGGGCAATTCTTCCAAATTGTGTAAGTATAGTAGAAGTATTTGGCGTTTTTATTTATACACTTTTGAGCCTTATTAATTAGTTCTTAAGGATATCGCAGGTACTTTATCGCAATTCCCGACTTAGCGGCGATACTATATACATTAGGCTAGGGGATAATAAGACCCCTCGGCTTGCTCATATGATAAGTTATGCCTAGGGAGCGTCTAGGCCTAGGTTAGGCAGCTAGGTTCGAAGGAGTCTTTCCTCTTTTGGGGGGATTTACTTGCCATATGACGCTTGTTTTCTATTATTCTGGGATCCAAAGTTCTTGCGTCTGCTTAAATAAGAATCTCAAAATTCCTTTCCCTTTCCATCTACTTCGCCACTGATTCGTCCTAAGCCCTTATACGTATTTTTTATCGTTTTTGTTTAACACCTGGTGCGCTCGTAAAATCATTTAAATTCACCGCCCTTTTCCATACAATTATTCACCATTACAACCCTTCATTGTTTTGTCAGGGTGTCTTAAGCCATCAGAACAAAATCCTTCAAATAGCATTTTCTGAGTCTATCTACACAAAGGCTTTCCGGAAACCCCACAAGTCTCTTACAACAACGGGATTCAAACCATCCTCATGGAATTCAAGTCGCAAACAAACTTGTCGTTTCATCGTTCGCACACAAAAGGATTCAAAACTTGATACGACGCCTGCCACCTTATACTTATAGGCTATAAGTTATTAGCTCGCCCACTCAACTTAACGATACTACCGCATTGGCGCAACTTTTCCAATAAGGGTATTGCCAAAATGCATGATTTACGCAAGAAAATCTTCGAGAGCGGCAAGACCGTCTCCAGAAAGGCGCGCTCGCGACAACAGTCAGCACAAGCATCGCCTGCTGGTTCACGTGCGGCTTCGCGAGCGGCAAGTCGTCAGGCATCAGAAGAAGAAGATTCGAGCGATTATGAATACAACGAGAGTATAGCTAGTTCTGTTATTAATTCCGAGGATGGCGATGAATCAGGCCTGGTCCCCCCGGCGGAAATCTTGCACAGTCGCATTGTGGATTTACTCGACCAGAAGCGCGATGGCGCCCAGGATCGCGAGGACAAATTAACGGCATATACGGAACTCATTCGACATCATCCTAGCGCCGAAGAAATTGATGGACAAATGAATGAGCTCATACCTCTGCTCTTAAAAACTATACGTGGCCGCAGAACTCCCCAGGGAGTCTTGTGGGCTTTGAGAGCTCTTATGTTAACTATCCTTACGACGGGGGATGAAAGTATTCATGACCGTGTCTACCCAACTTTGAAGAGTCTCTCTCAGGACACAAACTACGACGACGATGACGAACTAATTAAAGTAGCTACTATCAAGGCGATGGGTATCTCTACGATGTGCGGGGGAGGCTCAGAAACCGCGGCCGAAGAATTCTTAGAATTTCTTATTGAGATCATTGAAAGCGATGGTCATATTGTGGAGGCTGGCGACAATGGCCCGGTCGTTGCTGCAGCACTAAAGACATGGGGATTTGTCGCCAGTGGCCTTGATGACCTCGAAGACCAAAGTACGCAAGCTCTAGAAGCATTCACAGAACAGCTAGAAAGTAGCGATGTTGATGTCCAGGTTGCCGCTGGATCGAATATTGCTTTACTTATGGAGGCTGCGCGCGAATATGAAGAAGAGAATGGCGAGACCTGGAATTTGCGCTTCGACCAGGATGGACTTCTTCGGCGATTAAATGCCCTCACTAGAGAGTCCTCGAAGGCGATATCTAAGAGGGATAGAAGGCAGCTTCACAGCAGTTTTAATAGTATCGTAACCTCCCTCGAGCATGGCAAGGGTCCCGGATATTCGACAGCGCGACGCTTTTCAAGCAATCCGCACACTGGCGGTAACAGGACTGATTTTAATGAGGACTACCAAGAATACGGCTACCGGCAAAGATTCCGGATCCAGAACATCAGCATCACCATCGACAGCTGGTCTTTGTCGGCCCGATTAGAAATGCTTAAGTCTATCCTTGGGGGTGGTCTCGCCAGTCACTATATAAATAACCCGGTGGTGAAAGATCTGCTGAGTGGTGCTAAGACTGAGTATGTCTCGTCACCACCTAGGGACAAGCTATCTACATCCAAATTGGCATCTAAGTCGGGTCACGGGAAAAAAGCCGTGAAGAGTGTTTCTGATTGAGCATTAGAGGGCATCCGGCAATCTCATATTCTTTCCGCGTCATCCGTTTTCTTCGAGCGTCAAACTTTTTATGGATATTTTTTCTGTTGGCATTGGTTATCGGATATTACTCGCTCGCGTTTTCGGTAAATACCTTAGGTACCTAGATATTGTTCTTTTCAACTTGATGGGTAATTTTGATCTAGAATTCTATCTTATATTGCATTTTAATCCTACATGTGGTTCGCAAATATTACGTGCAAAGTACCTGTTGAAACCTGCCCAACTTCCGGAATACCCAAACAGGAGAGGTGGGTGACATGAATGCGGTTACCCGCATATTCTGTGTGTACCATTCGTGTGAGATGAGCAGCCAAGGCCTGGCCTCGAGAATCTCTTAAGCTGTAACCCCCACCTGGCAAACGCACTGATTATTCTGGTAGTTAGGTATGAGCAATCAGAGAGAGAAGCAAAGACAACGCAGAGTGCGGAGGTGTTTGGGCGGAAGAGACCTATTTATTATATTGGGGACAGATTGACTGATCCTTATGTTATATTAGGTAGGTACCTAGGTAGGTAGGTATACATGGTATATTCTCAGATATCAGGTATTTTGGATGCTGTTCCTTGCATACCTAGGTAGGTAGCAAAGTAAAAGGCTACGTGCATATCGTAAAACTTCAAGTACCTCTTAGAATAATTGGGTGGGTGACACGGATTGCTCAACAGCCATTCCCAAAATCTTTCTACTTTACTAGTTTATTAGGCTTTTGTGCCCTGCTTCAACTTGTTTGAACATGTTTGCTTGATGCAACCACTCAAAGTAATCCTGTAGAATAGCGTGGCTTTTTGGCTTGCGCACTCGAACATGGAGGCGTAAGCTAGTAACGGTGTTATCCCAGAGGTCGCCAATCATTCGATGTACGGGCAAGCAGTAGGAATTTCAGCTCCAGGCGCAGGCGGAGAGGGAAGACATTCATTTTGCCACTCTTACCGATTTACATCATGCGAAGTACCAACATCGCTTGTACCTAATAAATAATAGATATTTAAATCGTTGTGGTGATATTGGAATCCAACAATTCTAAGGTCTGAATTGACATATTTATATTGTGCTTGAATGCAACTTCGTAATAGGTAGGTAGGTAGGTAGCTGCTTGATTGCCTTATTCTGAACCATTGGGATTTAGACATGAATTGTTCCGCAGCGGAGCAACCGGTCAGATGCACGACAATCATGCAGGGCTTCTTGCGAATATGCACAATAGTATATACCGAAAGCTTGAGTAGGTACCTAGGTAGTATTACATGCCTTTTGACGCAGATCGGATGGCAGCGTGATTATACATCTTGCACCCGTGATTAGCTCCGAGTCCAAACTTGCACATTATCCCAGTGCGACTCTGTGAAGTACAAGAGGAAATAATCGCAGTATCGGTTCTTTTTTTTCGGCTTGGTAATATGTAGGTAGGCCAAGCTAAAGTTAAGGTAGGAATATAAAAGAATGCGATCATCATCCCCAACAGCTCGATCCATCACTAGTCAGTCATAGTGGATACGATTAGGATCCAGTGTGCCGAGGGTGTTGACCAATTCGTGGTCCAGGCGGAAGCGGATCCAGGGCGGAGTGCACATCATCGTGCCTTAGGAAAACCAGATCGTCGCCCGGCCAAAAAGGACGCGAGAGCCACATTTGCGGGACCATATCCGTTCGATTGGAGATTGATTAAACTGTTTGGGATCGTGAAAATGACGATTATTATGTATTTTGTAGGTTACGGACGGGAACCGGTTTGCTGGTAAATGATTAGTTAAAACATACCAACCTCCTGTTATCGTTAGTCAGGTTGTTAGTGCATCGCACATCGGGATAAAAGATATTAAGATGAATCGAACCGGCTTCAAATAACCGAGCCGTGACTATCAATATAAAACACCATTTGTGAAGATAGAGAAATAGGTGAAAGTAGAAGGTCGTATCAAAGCCTCGGAGTGGTTAATTATAACGAACGAATAATATCAACATGATGGTAATAGACGATTGCACAATAGCATTCGATGTCTATAACGATGTCTACAACGATGTTTACCTAGGAAGTAGGTACTGCTTCGACGTTAGAGGGGCTGAGGTAGGCTGAGGGGAATAGAATAAGAGGAAGAAGAGGTATTGTATTGTACATGTACCTAGAGACTCTAGACAGTAGCACTAACCTAGCGTGACTACCTAACCTAGACGTACCTACCTAAACTAGAAGATACCTAGATGGGACTTCAAGGTTGCTGTTAGGGCGGTTGCCGCCCCCGACCTCCCTTGTCATCCCATCTCATTTGTAACCGGACCGTGCCTGTCAGCTTTTATCACGACCCCCGTCTTCTCATCCCATCCGTCTTTTGCGAAGCTATTGGCTGCGTCTCCTCAAAGCCAACGCATCAACCTCCCACCCCAGCAAGTTTTCCTAACAGAGCCTCTCTCAAGCCCCAGTCCCTCTCAGGAAACCAGTTTTACTTGCCAGCTCTTATTATTGTTATTTTTTTTCTTAGAACAATGACTCCTTAAGCCTATTATCATCACCTATTCTCCTTTCCATCCCACGACTCGTCACTTAAATCGAGGAGGGAGCCTCGAGGACTGCCTGGACTGCCTGCACCAGTTCTGACGATAGTCCTGGTGACTTCGGGAAATCAGGTCCAGCATTTATTGGACCAGAGAAAGGGTTGCACGCATCGTCCTGCAAGAAAGAGAGGCATATCTCGCCGGCCAACCAGCATACTCGTTTTTTTTTCCCTTGGGACGAGAAGAGAACCCATAAAAGGGGAAGAAAACAGGAATAAGAAAGATAAATATACAACCGTCAACCATACATCTTCCAACTTACAGAACAATAGTATACGTCGCATATCCCGACGACTCTTCAAAAGTATGTATGAATTTGTCTCATAATCTCATTGATTCTTTATTTTGGTCGTATGTCGACATGGATTGCCGTTCCTCCGCGCGCGTATTCGCATAGTTGCAGGGTTTCGATTGTGCTGCCAATTCGAGCGCAATTGAGGGGGCTGGGACTTTCGGGTGGGAAGATCTGAAGCCTTTTATTTTTCTCTCTCTAACAACCGTGGACTTCGTCTCCGTCTCTTACTATCAACAGACCGAGACAGGTGGAAATATTTTCAACCTTGTTGCAATTTTATTTTATTTCATTTTTATTTCGCTTTTGGTATTTCTTCGTTTTTCTTGTTGAATTTCCTCTCGCAATCGAATATTTATTCTATTCGTGGGATTTGTTCGCTGCGACGTAATTAGCCAATTGTCCTTGTTATTGGCATTGGCCATATCTTCGGGTTTTGTATGGTCGTTGTGTAGAACAGACCACTTACCACTGGTTAATCATTTATTAACCTTCATATTCCACTTAGATCTCTCGGTATCTTGTTTGTTTTCGCCTCCTATATTTCAGCCAATGCGTTCGCAAAACGTCGGCTCTTATTAGTCGCGGATCCCCTGTCCGCATCCTGCTTTCTCCTCGACCTCGATTGTTTACCGTTCACCGCTTGACCAGTAGCCAGGGTAAACAAGACAGCTAGAAGAGGATTGGCTCGAGGAGGAAGCGGCCACTCAATCAGAGTCGAGACCGCGCATGCTTTGACAACTGGTCGCATTCTCAGGCAGCAAAATGGGAGTGAGTGTAGACACCAGCAGTATTCCCCCGTTACCTGCCCCGACCGAGACCGAATCCCTTACCACACCTACCGAACTTGCACCATCCGATGTTTCCAAACCTGCCGACGACGACAAGTCGCACTATTCACTCCCCGACGACGGAACACCAGTAACTATCAAGACCCGTGGCCATAAGCCAAATCGCTCTCAAACCTCGCTGCTCATTGAGTATTTCGAAGGCGGTAAAACTAGTAGTACCGTCGGCTCTACTCTTTCCGATCGCAGGCCGAGCGTCCGTGTCCGTTTAACTCCCTCCAAGACTCGAGGAAGGAACGACCATATTCAGATCACTGAGACTATGAGTACGAGAAAGAGGTCGGTGTCGAGAAAACCAACCACAAGCTCGAATATTACTCGGAGCGAGCTAGACATAATGACGGACCCTGAAGAAGTAAGGAGCATGCACTCTTACGCATCAGCAACTGAAGAGTCTAATGTCTCTCGGAACCCGATTGAGGTTGAGATAGAACCGAGAAGCACTCATCATCGGCGACGAAAGGTATCGAGCCCGCTCATTCCTGCTGCTGATAGCAAGGTCTCGTATCCTCCACCGAACATGTCCGATATCTCAGTCATTCCCTCCGATAGTTTTCTAGACGGTAATTCGGGCGGTAACTCGGGTGGTAATTCGCTTACGCTCAATGACAAGCGTGCAAAGAGTCCGCTTAGGAGTGAACCTGCCCCTAGCGAAAAGTCCCATCGTAAGGTTAGGAGCGCTAGTCATGATAGGAGTGTCATGCAAAAAGCAGTTGAGAAAGCAAGCAAGCCTGAGCGAAGACACAAGTCGAAGAGCAGAACAGGCAGCTCCGGCGACAAAGAAAACGAGAGACGGAGGTCAAAGGGGAGTAATAAGGAATCCGTGGTCTCAGTTGCTGACTCGAGCATCCTCTCATCGCAAATGGCCCCAAGCCACCGTTCTTACAATACACATTCCTCTTCAAAGGTATCAATTAATAATCCGAAACTTCTTGAGACAGTCGAGGATGCCATCCGACGTCTCATTCTCCCCGAGTTAGATGCCATTAAGAGAGAACGAAGCCAACGAGACTCTCGAAGACCAAAAGACCGGGAATCGCTCTCGAGTCTGACATCGGTATCTCGTGAGGAGATCTCTGTTCCCAACAAGAGAAGGTCTGCGGATACATCCCAATCGGCAAAGGCGAAGGAAAAGCGCGACAGAGAAGCGAGAAACGATTTATCACCTCAAAGCAGCGTTGAGGAATCGATTCTAGATGATATCCCAGATGAAGAACTTACACCGCGTCGCGACCATGATAAGCTTACGGATGCGGCCTTGGACGCCGCAGTTACTGGTGCCGCACTACGGTCCAGAGGTGACGAAAAGAGACAACGGAGGAGGAGACGAGCAGAAACGCCAAAGCACGACGTTGACGAGAGATATGTGGAAGGGTATGAAGAAGCAGATCACAAGGTAGTACCACCCATGCCTCTTCAGAGCGAAATAAATCCATCCGACATGACGCGAACTTCAATCCTATCCGCGGAGTCAGACAGGCCTCACTCCGCCAGTGAGGAGATGACCCCAGTAAGAGAGGCCACAAGAGGTATTGCTTCAATCGATCCTGCCCAAGAAACTCCGTCGCCGTCAAGATCTCCTCTTCATACCATTCAAGGTCTGGGTACACAACACTCCAATGTTTCTCATGGCGATCTCAAAGCTCTTCCTCGTAAAGGCAATAACGAGTACCAGGAGGAGTATAAGCATGACGAATATGATGGCCAATATGATGATGAATATGATGAACCGAGCCAACTTTCTGAGCCTGGGTTGTATGAGGACGACCCTTCTATGCACTCCTTCTATGGGTCACAGGATGTTCCGGCCCCTCTACGTTATGTTCCATACCAGCAAGAACGACGTGGATTAAGCCCTATTCAGAGCGTATCGGGGTTCACAGAAGGTGAAAGCGATGTACATGGACCCCGCGATGCAAGGACCATAAATACTACGAGCGAGCTCTCGTCTCCTGAGAAGTCACCCTACGACCGTGATCTTCATTCGCCCAGTTCGGTCCCTAGCAATTTACGAGGCCGCGAATTCGTCGATGAAGCCAGTAGTTTGATGAGTTCCGGTTTGGGCTATAATAATCCCACATACACCGAGGATAGTGAACTGGACCGAGTGACTTCGGGACAGGCGGTTCATGCTGTCGGAGGAAACGTGGAGATGGTACACCAGAACTTCCCCCCTGAGTCTGCCGTAGCGTCACTAGTCGAGGGTTCGCAACTAGATCCTTCCCTCCTAAGCGGATCTACGGGGTTTAGACAAGATTATCGCGACTCCCAGCTTTCTTATAATGAAGTCACGAGGGCAAGAGGAATAAGCCCTACGAAACGTGCGACGGAAAGCCGCCGCGAAGCAGTTGAGCAACAACATGACCAATCACCGAGTGCGTCCCAAGGGCATGACCCTTCGAGTGGTTCTAGGGAATTTGTAGAATATGACCTCAACGAATACGGTCAAAAGGTTCCTCGATCTACCTACCGCAATTCTCCTACCGCTTCCGAAAGTGCCATTACGAGCGGTGCACTTCAGCGAGCTCTAGCACTTAAGCAACAGAACGAAAGCCAACAAACCCCGGCCCAAAACAAGGAGCCTACCAGCAAGGTTAATGCGCAAAACCAATCCTTCAAGGAACGTGCCAAAGATGGTTATCGTCCTGATGCTACCCCTCGTCACAGCATCGATCGTCTTTCGGATTATAATCAGCCAGAGATGGGAGCTAGTGGCATTCCAGACTCTGACAATCCCATGCCGGAGATTGGATATGGTGGCGACGAGGTTTCTATCATAGATGGGCCACTTGGTGGATCCCAGGATGGAACTAGAGAGAATTGGCCTGAACAATCAACGCCGGCACACGAGAGATCATACGCCTACGATCGTGCTGTGACGCCGAAGGCACCAGCTACATTGCATAGCCGGCAACCTAGCCAGGACCAGGACGACGAGTGGCAGAGGACGTCTTGTGAACGTAAACGAGACACTTTAGTCACAAATCCTTATGAGGGAGCTAGTCCGATTGCCAATCTCCCTGGCCTGGATGGCAACCTGCTTAGCGCATCTGGCTTTGGAGCAGATGCTTACCGAAGTGGTTTTCACACGGGCAGTCCCGGAATCCCTGGCGGTGATGAGGGCTACATTTCTGCCGCGCCGAACGATGTTCGTGACGTACCGAACATGCAGGGTAAGGATATGGGATTATTGAATGGAGAATCTGATGACCCATTTTACGCGCCAAAAGACACAAGGCAGCTCGCCGGCCTATCCCAAGCAATGAGCACACCACTCTACGATCCTTCTACCGGAACTGGAATTGACAGGATCCAATCTAAGGATATTATTGCTTTGATGGAACACGTATGTATACCTTAGGTAATTTCCCACGTATTAAGAATTTTGCTAACTAGTAACACAGCTTATGGTTCGCGATGCGCAACGAAGTGCGCGGGATACTGAGATACTTGTAACCCTCGTTCGGTCAGCGGCCGAAATGAGAAACTCTTTCGAAGACCTCAAGAGGATGCTGGTAGATAACGCGGATAGAGTCGTTGATGAGGTAAAGGAAGACACCGAAAAGACAGTCAAACGCCACATAGGCGGACCCCGACCTTTCCCAGGCAGCAGTGCACGATCAATCCAAGGAGGTTCTCAAGCTGGCACAGAGGACGTGGCCGCTAAGAAGCGCAATATTCTTCGACGCGCACTTCAAGGCCTCAGTTCAAAGGGTGCCAATGATTTGACTAGGATTGAGGATTTACTCAACCAGCTACTTGACGACGTAAACGTCCTTAAGCACCAAACTGCCGGACCCGTAGGCACAAGCACGCGAGCTCAGTCAATTGATGGCATTCAACCAGATGTCCAATATGAGCAAGATCGAGGTTACGAGCCTGAAGGCCATGCTGGAACCTCAACAGCCAGTCACGCAAGCCAGTCAGGACACCTTTCGATACCCCAGTCTCGCGGAAATAGCAACAAATTAGCTGGCGAGCGAAAATTCTCCGACCACCGTATCAGTACGGTACCGGAAGATGAGGGTGAATATAATGACCATTCTATGCCGCCGCCCAGCCAATACGAGATGCACGGTGGAATACTCTCGCCTAGCTCCGAAAGGTCCAGAGGTGGTTCAGTACCTCTTGGAACACCACCTCAAACCACATCTCAGGCGCAGAATTATTCGATGAGCAATGAGAACACACCTCGGACGGAAGAAAGTAAGAAGCATAAATCCCGGGGCTCGTCCAGTCTCTTTCCCAAAATCTCAAGATGGTCTGAAACGACGACATCAAGCATTGGAAGAGTATTCCGAGGTAGTGGCGCTTCCAAGAAGCACGACCCCCCGGAGGACTTCCTCCGACACCCACCATCTCGATCCGGCTCAGATTTGGTTAATTATGACCAATTCCAAAGTCAGCCCGCATATGAAGGGGACAAGTTACACTCGGGCTTTTCGGAACAAGATATTCGTTCACCACTTGTAGGTGATAATCTGCCTACCACGACCGATATGCAGCAACCTCGACTGGCTGTTTATGCTCAAGCCGAGCCTGTTTCCTACTCTAGTCCAGAGGACCCTAAATATAAGGTGCACCGCAACTCCCTGAACTTACAACACCCGCAGCCGCGGCAAGGACAGACCGAGCGGTTTAGAACAGCGTTGGAGACCTCGGCACAAGATTATGATAACGCGATGTCTCCGGGGTCGGGTGACTGGGCTGGCTCAGCTCCGTCCCTACATAGGTTTCCTATCCATAACACCAATCGGTATAGCGACAACAGCGCAATGAATTCCGGTCACGGAGATGACTATAATTGGCAGCAAGAGATGCCATCGCCTAGTCCTCTAGGGCCACCGCGACCTCCCAAGGAGCCATTGGATAACTCATCACCAGTCCAACATGAAAGGGTGAACAAACTACAGAAGCAGGGCAGCCCTCTGCCGTTCCACAGCGTTGAAAGTGGCTATGGCACAGCTACAGCGACGCACGCTGGAAGTTATCACTCTAGCAGCCCAAAGCCAGAGAATAAGAACCTAAGCGGAGCTCTAGGGGTTCCTTCTCGAAGACCCAGCGGACCCAGGGCTATGACCCCTAGTCGAGGTAGCGAAGAGGCAGAGGAAAGGAGACGCAAGCGAGGTAAGCTCTTCCCGTAATGTTTGCACAATAACTTTAATTTACTAACTGTTTGGGTAGATACATTCGGCACGATTGCCAGCCCCTCGAGCGTTGTCAGTCAAGAGTCTGAAACGTTTTAACGAGAAAGTATCATAATATTTTTGATATGGCAATACTTTCACCATTTGGAGTTGTTTTCAGAAGCTAAATTCATGAATGAATGAATGAATGCATGGTTAATAATACGCGGCTGCTGGATCGCCGCAACGTAGATATAGTAATTACCCCTTCACAGGCGTTCGGATTTTGGTATTTCATTATGACCCAACCGCATCTTCTACAAAGAAGGACGAATGGAAGGGACCAATGACCCCATCTCATGTTTTTTTTTTTTTTTTAACAAAAGGATGCTTGACGTAAAAGCATGGCATCACATGGTATAGCAAATATTTCTGCCGATACGGCGGCGGGTTGGTTTGATATGACCGGATTTTTTGGTTGGTTATAGGGCTGTCGAGCGGAAGATACCAAAGACGTGATATCCTGAGCTAAATCGAACGTATTTTCATGTATTAAGTTATACCATATACCGACTCCCGGGTAGTTTGTTTGGATAATGTGAACTGAGAAGTTGCGTGATATATCCTTTGAATCGTATTTTTACTATAGCGTCAGACTTACTTGCATTTGCTATTTACTTCCCAACAGTATCAATGGTGCGAATGTGATCTCTCAACGCTGGTTGTGGACTTATGCCAAATTAACTTGTCATTTGAGATGTCTCGTTGCAACAAAACCAATGGAACGGAGTCCGTTGTCCGAAAGGACATATCGGCCACAAGCATTTACAAATTGGTGCGTAAGATTTATGACCAATTGACGGCGCTAACAGGACATAAGAAACAGCACAACCTCTTAACTCCTTCGGGGATTTACTACAATTTGAGAGGAAGTCTGGGTAACTTCAAGCTCTGGGCTAGAGCATAATGACTCCGTATAAGGTGCGTTAAGGATTCGAGATATCCATATGGTTATTTACGTCTCGGACAGGATATATAAACCGGTCTGTCTGCCGACCACTAAATCAATATTATAATCTACATCACGCTCAGATATCTCGTATAATTCCTCAACACTTCACTTCTACTGGACTCCTAAGTTATACTTCGGTACAGTACAGTATATTTTGATATCATCTCATCATCATCGTCATCATCACCATGTCTACCACAACCACCAACCGCACCTTCTGGCAGGACAAAACCGGCGTCCCAGGCACCATCCGCGAGACTGCCGTATCACTATCTGATACCACCCTCTTCGAAGGCGAAATCCTTGTCAAAGTGCACGCCTGGGGCCTCAATCCCGTCGACGCGTACCTCCAGGACGTGCCCCTCCCGTTCGTAAAGTTCCCCCTCGTCCCCGGGACGGACGTCGCCGGGACCATCGTGCGCGTGGGCTCCGGCCGCTTTCAAGTCGGCGACCGCGTGCTGGCCTACGCGCCGGGGATCTCGTTCCCGGAACGACCGGAACGGGGCGCGTTCCAGGAATACGTGGTCCTGGACTCCGCGCTGGCCGCCAGGGCCCCGGACTCGGTGTCTTTCGCCGAGGCCGCCGTGTTCCCGCTGTGTTTCGCCACCGCGGCCCACGCGCTGTTCGATCCGGAATTCCTCGCTCTCCCGCTGCCGCCTCCTCCCGGGTCTCGGTCCTTTTCGAGCGCAGGCAAGGGCGCGGAGACGGAGAAGCCGGTGCTCGTCGTGTGGGGCGGCGCCTCGGCCGTCGGGAGCAACGCGATCCAGCTCGCGAGGGCGGCGGGGCTCGAGGTCGTCGCCACGTGCTCGCCGCGGAACTTCGCGTACGTGCGGAGCCTGGGCGCGGGGGCGGTGTTCGATTACAACGGCGAGACGGCGGTCGACGACATCGTGGCGGAGTTGGACGGCGGGGGGGATGCGGGGAGGTGCGTGGTGGGCATCTTCCAGGCCGCGGGCATAACGGGCGATGCCGTCGCGCCGTGCTGCCAGGTATCCGCGCGGTTGCGCCGCCCGCGGCGGAAGCCGTTCGTCGCGTGCGCGAATGCGATTCCCGAGGGGGCGGTGCCGGAGGGGGTGGAGGCTAAGTTCGTGCTGGACTGGAAGGCGGGGAGGGGCATGTACCACGACGTAACGTCTACGCTGTTTGCGGAGTTCCTGGAGGAGGCGCTTAGGTCCGGGACGTACAAGGTCGCGCCTAAGCCGGAGGTGGTGGGGACTAGGGGCCTGGAGGGGATTCAAGAAGGGTTGGATATTGTGAGGAAGGGGGTGTCGGCGAAGAAGATTGTTGTTTTGGCGGAGTAGGTAGGGTGTGATTAGGGGGTTTGATGTGGTTGAGGCTATTATTTGCCTGATAGGGGGCATCGTGTCTTAGCCACCATCTAACGACCTTAATGCAATACAAGATTTTTTTCATACAATTACGATCTGGCTGATGGTCCAGAAGCAGGTATGCTAACTGAGAAATGGTTCTTGTAATATCTAATGTAGCTAATTTCTATTCCGCTCTCATCGTGGTTAAAAAAGTTCTGCTTCCCGCTTTAGTCATTCTTCGTCGGCACACAGTTTACTCATGTCTTTTCAATAAGCACCCCGATAATTTCCCTGCTCAAAAGCACCTAGTAAACCATCGCTGTATATCTGGGCAAGGGTAAGAATCCGCTCGCATCATACTCTTCAAGTCTTTGGTGTAGGTCTAGTCATCAGCATCATAGTTAAAAACATAGTACTATCAGGTATCTGCTTAATGGCCCAGGTCGGAAGTAGCATATATCCGGATAGCCGTGAGGGCAGGACGGCACTCCGCCCACGATTTCCACGTCATTAGAAGTACGGGACCCATTTCGTCCTCCGACCCCCGCTCATAATGATCCTCGGGAAAAATCATCTTCTGAAGATATTGTTCCGGGTGCGCCAGGGCGGGCCAGCAATATTTATTGCGGCTCTCCACGTATTTGTATAACCGCTTGACCTGATCATTTATGCTGGTGATAAGAGCTTTCCAACTGTTTAGTTTGACGATGTCCGGTCTTTTGTAGAGTATTTCGCTGATGGCATGTTCGCGAACCCACTGCATCTTCGTCTCGTAGCTGGCACTTTGAGGGCCGTATTTCTTGGCCTCGCGTTGTAACATGCGGAGGTCTAGAAGCAGTCGAATCTTTACCTGCGTCACGCAGACGAGGTGGGATAGAAGGGCCGCAGAGTTGATCAACATGTTGGGATCCTCGAATACATCTTTCTCGTGGGATCCCAAGGATTCAGGGTCAATGTTATCACATCTATATCCCTCCCAATTAACAGCCAAGCACCATCTCGTGAAGTTGTAAGCATCTTGTTCCTCGCCTAAGCGCAGATAGAGTCCTGGCACCTAGCTCCGTACGAACCGCTCATCCGTAGCCTCTAGCTTCAGCATTTCGAGGCAATGAAATAGCATGTGCTCGACCGCTAGGCCGTTGTCAATTCTCGACAGCGCACTTATGACCCTGCATTTCGCATCCAGGTATGGACTCGTAGCTTCGGAAAAATTAAAGAGACCTGGGGCCGTCTCGAAGGGATTGGCAGGTAACTCGTCGTCGCCGGGATATTCTCGCAGCTTTGATTCCTCCTCGGCCAGTTCCTTCAACATATCTCTCACAGGGCGGCACTCCTCCTTGTGTCTTTGAAAACTCACGACCTGGTGGATCTTGCTGCAATAGAAAACAGCTTTGCAACCGCTGCACATGCACAGCGTATCGGTAATTAAGCAATTTTCTACGTAGCAAACCCCCCACGGAAGGCCGAGCTTCGACCTGTTGAATAACCCGTTGGCCTGCGGCGTGGCGACATATCTGGATTTGTTAATGGATAATTCGCTGATACGCTCGCTAACGGCAAGCAAGGTACTCATGGTTTGGATAAATGCATTCGTCTTGGCTGCATTTTCTCGAAACACGTCTTCATCAGACGAGTCTACTTCGGGAGTATGCTGATCAGAAGCCTTTATAGTTGATGAATCTGACTCATCCTCACTGGATACGTGTTCATTGGATTCGACTTCGTCCGATGTGTTTTCTCCAGGCGTACTCGTGTTGTCCGCGTCGGGGACAGTAGTACACATTGTGCCCGGCTTATTCGACATGAGTCCTATATATGATATAACTCGGTGACACAGCTTGAAGGTTTTATGTATGGCTAAATTTCTTGGTAGGCTTAAGAGACATAAGAGTATTGTGAGAGGAATGGTATATGACTGTTAGTTTAGTTCTTTGTGAATTGTATACCTGCCTGCTTAATGGTACGATTAAGATACCTATTGGCATTGGACGTAACTACCTATATATTTGCTATTGATAACGAGGCTTCTATTTAAGAGGAACGACGTGGATATCACGACCTTTAAGGATACCTAGTACCTGGGTGGGTACGTTATGAACTTTAAGTGATTCAGGGGTAACTACGAAGAGTACTATGACGGATATAAGCATTTGGAATATACCAAGTGGAATCATGCAATTTAACAGTATTACAACTTTAACTCTCCTTCGTTTTTAACAACTCGCATTAATCCCGTCTATATGCCTAGTATAAGATATATCAAGTTCTAGAAGTATCCAGAGTGTTATTCATGGTGAGGTTTATTATAGCTAGTCTAAAGTTGAGTACTGTCGATTCAGCCTACCTAAAGCTTTGTACCTGTCAGCTTCACCCGTCAGGCTAAAGTACAGACCACAAGGATTATGATACACCTACGTTGGGTAATTTATCATTATCTAATTTCGTCGTCTGTAGGACTTGACAGATGAAACAATCAGAAAAAATTGGTCAATGCGGAAATACTTCTAATTATCGACCTATGCTAAGAGTAGAACGGAGGAGTCATCTGTGACACAAGGCCATACCATATGAAGCGTCTTCTTTCGAATATCACAGAGTATAAAGTTCTGCCTATCAATCTAGGTACGTGGTGGTAAGAAACTTGTTACAGCCCTACCTCTCAATCATGTGGAACAATAATGACCTGTCGCATATAGTTGGGGGCCATATAGCCACTCTCAATCCCTAATGTAGTGCGTACTTCGTTAATTGTATTGGCCAAAACTACCTAAGCTACCTAGGTAGGTACGTAGGACATTATCACTCAGGTAGTATTCTCACCCTTCTAGCGTGCATGATATAGGATCTCCTTACGATACTTAGGTTCCGCGGCTGAGGTTGTAAGTGCATTTATGGTACTCAGCTCGGTAGGACCGCCAAACATCTTGAGCACGAAACCAGTTCCAAACATGATCTCGTTTAATCCTAGGAAACATATACCTATAGTCTCCATCTCATATTTGGGGGTCTAGGTGGTCTGCATGTACATAATGGTAAATCAGCTTATATTTAGTCTTGCCAGGCTGCCGTGTGAATAGTTGGTCTGCTAAGAAATTAAATTTTCGCGGCAAAGAAAAATCTCCTAGTCTCTCGTGCTTGCCTCATCCAAATATCAAACTTGGGAAAAGTCTACGGCTTTTTGGGGACTCTTCCTCTGAAGCACCTAAGCATATACCCATATCAGTTACCCCCAAAACTCTAAGTGACATTGGCAACAATATGCTGACCCACACTCAACGCCATAAGGACTCCTTGGGAAGGTATAAGATAATTAAAGAGAAGCATGAGAATCAAGAGCATTTTTTGCGTCCGGAGGACGGGAGATTAGCCCCATTAACTGTGCAGGGTATTGAGAACACAGTTGGATATGGCAATGTGCTCACTGGAGGCAGAACCTGGGCTTTCAAAGGCGAGTCGGGACGACACATCACAATTATTATGAGGCTACTTTGCTGGGTGCATTCGTTTAGGTATAAGGATGGAAGCATGGAGAAACGAGATATGTCTGAGGATGGCTCAGCCATGATGCTTTTCCTCGTCTGGCTCCCATGTTGCCTCATTTTAACCTTACTGGTAAGCTCAGGACACTGCATGGTGTCCACATTTGGACTTGCATTAACAAATCTATAGCTCTTCATACCACAGAGCCTTGAAGGTCAATTTAGAAATCAGGGACTCTACGACCCTATCCTTTATCGAGACTGGCGTTATCCGAAAGTATCTCGAAACCGCTACGAGGGAAAAAACGAAGATGAATGTGAAGGAGAGGAAAGGGGGCAACACGGACCTAGAGACTTGGAAGCAAGAGCGATTTCCCGCCCAATTGCCACTACGCGAAGCAATTCTAGCGGAACCAAAAACGATAACGACGGAATATTGGCTCGGCATTTTGGTCCCAGATTTTTATGCTTTGTTACAGGGATCCACGAACAGAATGGTGTTGAATTCAAGACCTGCAGAGTATCGGATTGGATTAGGGACAATGGAGAGCACGCTTACAATGGTTTCGTCTTCCTCTCGTATACGCGACACCAGTTCTGCGTAGACTCAGAAGGCGAGATCTATGATCCCAAGAGGTGGACCGATCTTTCCGGAGAGCAAAGAGAAAACCTAGTGCCAATAGCGAAGAGAGACCGGCAAGCTTTATTGAAGAAAGGAGTCGAGGCTGCCCGTTCGGCTAATAGGGTAGCTTTCTGGATAGACTTCGAGTGTATTCGGGATATAGACACTCAGCCAGAAGGTACTGCAGAGAACAGCGCCAATAGCAAGAGCGACGACGTGTACAGAATTTGCGACATTGTGCGAGCGGCATATTCGATGGTCATCTTCGTGGGACCCTCGCTTGGAAGTAAAATCCAGGGCACACCAGAGACATATAGTCAGGCCATCACAATAGAGTGGCTACAAGCATATGGGGATAGACTTTGGACGCTCCCAGAGATTCTTCTATGTCCATCTGAGCGCCGGATCAAGTTGCACTTTTACGGCAAAGCTGGACCGCCTGAAGAGTTGGCCAAACGCGACTTTCCGGCCCGGGCCGTGTGGAAAGATGCCGATCGTGTAAGAGAACTTGTTGATCATTATGAATCAACAATTGACTTGTCGCCTCTAGAATTGGTCAGCATTGCTCTGGAATGCCTGGCGGAAAGAAACACGCAGAAGTTTAGGGAGGGTGATATCGCATATGCTCTTATGGGGCTTCTGCGGCGAAGACCGATGACTAACGACAAAGATTCTAGCTTCGAGGCATTTGCTAGATTATCAGTCGCTAATGTCAGTGACGCGCTGCTAGAAAGACTAATATGCATGCAGCCACTTCATCGAGATGCTCCGTGGTACGAAATCAAAGACGATTTTGGAGCACGACTCTGGGATATCGAGCCACGGTGCCAGGTAGCAGGTATTGTCGACGACCAAGCTGTTACATTAGATGGTGCAGTCGGAGCCTCGATCCGATGGGATCGAATGGACCAGGTTGCCTTCTTCAAAAGACCGACAACTGCTCGTACTTTTGCAAAGGTTGCGCTTCGCACAATGCCGGGCTACTTGCTTGCGGGTATCGGGATGGTAGGATTTGTCGGTAGTCTGCTCTCCTACGACGGCATTGGTGCAGAGTTAGGGGCCTTGGGAGCGGGTATGCAGGGTCTCCTCGCGGTGGGAATTATCTTCCTCGTGCCGGGGGTGATTGTCTTCTTGCTCGCTCCGTACATGATCTTTGAGCTTTACCGCGGCGAGTTCTGGTCTACGCAGGCCATGTTCATCGGCATCGAGGGTGTGCCAGATGACCTAGGCTGGGTTGAGCGTCACCTCTTCGGGTTGAACCAGGGACGGTTGAAGTGGAGCGTTGCGGGAAGCACATTATCGCAACACAAGCTCTCAACGTATGATGAGTGCGAGGCTCTCCCGCCAAAAGAGAGTACCCCTGCATTAAAATTCGCAAACGAAGCGAAGGGCAGCAACTATACCAATGTGGAGGAGAAACCATTTACACTGATCGATATATATACGCGTACTGCGACAGTATATTACGCCGTGCGACCGCCCACCGCTCTCATCGTTTGCGGACAGGAAGGGGGAATGCAGCGGGCGGTACTTTACTCGTATGACTGGCGGAGAGGTACATTTTCACGGGAGGCCGTAGTTCGAGTGAAAACGATTGTGCTGGAGAGGATGTTTAGGGTTGACCGCTTCCGATTTGCTCTTAACCGAAAGATGTGGGAGAAGCATCCAGAATCGCCAGGTTCTACGTCTGAGACAAGGCTAGAGTAACGCGTCATAATAAGCGAATAGAGCTCAAATCCAAACAGCGGAGCCGGTTCCTATAGGACCAAGGGAATGTTGATTACATTGTTTTTTTTTTTTTTTTTTTTTTCCTTGGACAACTGGGAGGGGAATGAGTTGGATGAGTTGTTGATTGAGTTCTAAGTTTTCGAGTGGATCAACTCTAGCATGTACTGGTTATCTACGAGGTATCTTGGTACCTAGGTAGGTATCTTAGGTACCTCTCCCCCGAGTCCCCCTAAGTTTCAGGTCGAGGTTTACGGCTGCCCGAGTACCTGAAGAGCTAGGGCGAGTCCAAGTCGGGCGGGGTCCTTAGGCCCTAGAGAACCTTAGTGCAATACCTGTAGGTACCTAACTTAACCTACCTGATACCAATGGCCTTATTGCATGTGACTTTCTATTTGATGTCTATAGGAGGTACCAACATGTAAGGCAGGTAGGTCTTTCATGTAGCTACCTCAAATTATGTCATATCTCACATTATGAATACATGAACCTGGGTTAGTGTTGGTATTCTCCACGTTGTGTAACCCCTCAGTGGCTGACGAAAAGAGACAGGCAAGAACAAACGAGTTACCCTGCCCTACACCCAGCCTACCTGCCCTACCTACCTGCCTGCCTGCCTGCCTGCCTGCCTGCCTAATAACCCCTAATAAAACCTAATCTTAATAATACCCAGCTCCCAAAGCCTTTTTTTGCTCTTTCCAACTTTCCAACTTTTCCTTTCCCTTTTCTTTTCCCTTCTCCATCAATTCCATCCCGCCACTTTTTTGTCCCGTCCAAACCTTACTATCGCTTATTATGTCTGGTCGTGGTAGAGGTGATAGAGGCGGAGGCGGTGGTAGAGGTGATAGAGGTGGTGGCGGTGGTAGAGGTGATAGGGGTGGAGGTGGCGGTAGAGGTAGGGGTCGAGGCGGCTCATACCAAGGAGGCCGCGGCGATGGAGGTGGAGGCGGAGGCGGAGGCCGCGGTGGGTTCCGTGGAGGCTCATTTTCAGGCGGTTACGGCGGTGGTGGTGGTGGCGGCGGTTCGGGGGGCTCGGGTCTCCCCGCATACCCGTAAGTGTCACTAATCCTTAGAGGCATACCTACCTAGGTATACGATATATATGACATACTAATTCCTCTGAAGTGGGTTAAATGGAATCCCGGTGCCGGACCCTAACGTTACGAGAACTGAGGATGCCCTTCAAGCCAGCAAAACATCTGTTGACTTGTCCAGCCTTAGCCTTGCTGACAATTTCCCTACTCGGCCGAGCTATGGAACCAAAGGACTTCCTGTCGTACTATGGGCTAATTACTTCACACTCACAGTCTCGCCCAAGCTAGTGCTTCACCGTTATGACATATCAGAAGTGGACCCTGCTGTCACGGGCAGGAAGAGAACTCAAACAATTCGCCTGCTTCTGGAAACCCCCCAGTTATCACCATTCAAGAATGACATTGTAACGGACTTCAAGTCGACTCTCATCTGTCGGCAGAACATCAAAGACCAGGACATTGTGGTTACCTATCGAGGGGAAGGTGAAGATGATCCTCCCGAAAATCCTAAGCTTTACACTGTCAAGATGCGGTTTACAAATACGCTATCCATTTCGGCGTTGAATGATTTCCTCAACTCTACCAACTTCTCCGACAATTATACCGAGAAGTTGCCGACCATACAAGGAATCAATATATTCCTCAATCATTACGCCAAATCGGCTGGGAACCTGGCCACAATAGGTTCATCTAAGACATTTTCCCTGAGCGATAAGTCTGATACATATGATCTTGGTAGTTGTCTGGTGGCTATGCGTGGTTTCTTCGCTAGCGTTCGTGCAGCGACGGCTCGCATCCTCGTCAATGTAAATGTGAGCCACGGAGCATTCTATCCCGAGGGCCCGCTTGATCAGCTTATCATGAAGTTTGGATCCGGAAGAGGCTTGTACAAGTTGGAGCAATTTCTGAAGTCGCTAAGGGTCAAGACAACCCATCTTAAGGAAAGGAAAAACAAGTCTGGTAAGGTTATTGAACGAACCAAGACTATTTGGGGCTTAGCCAACAAGAATGACGGTTACAACAGCCCTCACCCCCCTATAGTGAGGGCGTATGGGGCTGGGGCAAAAGATGTCCAATTTTGGCTGGATGAAAAGCCCTCGTCGAAGTTGCCGTCTGACGCCTCGCCTGCGGGAAAGAAGAAAGGTGGAAAGGGACCGAAACCACAGGGTAAGCCTGCTGCGACTGGGGGAAAGTACATCTCTGTTTATGATCATTTCCTCACGGGTAAGTCTACCGACCGTCTGGAGTAAAGTTAGCAATTCATTGACGGTCTTATAGCCCATGGGATCCGCGTGGACAATCCGAATCTACCAGTTGTCAACGTCGGGAATAGGGAGAATCCGTCGTATTTACCTGCCCAAGTCTGCTATGTCATACAAGGCCAACCAGCTAAGACTAAACTCGATCCGAGCGAGACCCAGAACATGATTCGGTTCGCCGTTCGTAAGCCCGTGGATAACGCCTTGTCTATAGTCAAAAAAGGTCGACAGACGGCGGGGCTATCCCCTGACACGAATCCTTTATTGGTAAGTCGTCGTTACGTGTATTTTGGACCTATTCTAATTAGGACATTTCACATAGGAAAAATACGGCATTTCCGTCTCCTCCGACTTGATAGCCGTCAACAGCCGTGTTCTTCAGGGACCGAAAGTTGTTTACAGGCAAAACCAGCCAGCACAAATGATGGCTGGTAGTTGGAATATGGTGCCGCGCAACGCCGCGAGCCTCAAATTCCATACTGGCACGGTACTGGAAAAATGGTCTTGTTTATATGTTGAAATGCCTGGATACCCAAGAGCCCAGACATTTACCTCCGACAGTCTCAAGCAGCTTGCCGCCAAGCTTCATCTGACCCTGATGGACACGGGCATCATGGCCAAGCCGCCCCTCCCACCACAAAAGCTTTTTCTAAAGGACACTGATGACGACGCCCTCGATAACTTCATGAAAATGGCATCAGCATCCTTAAATCTCCTCTTCATTATTCTGCCATCAACCCCTATTCCTTTGTACTACCGTATCAAACAGCTTGGGGACCTTAAATATGGTCTCCACACCATTTGTAGCGTGGGCTCCAAAATCTCCAAGACTTCGGGGCAAGATCAATACCTTCGCAATGAGGCCCTAAAGGTCAATCTGAAATTAGGCGGCGACAACCAGGTAATAAACCCGATTAATCTAGGTCTAATTGCCGAAAACAAGACTATGGTAGTCGGGATAGATGTAACACACCCGTCTCCCGGTTCAAGCAAGACAGCACCAAGCGTCGCTGGTATGGTAGCAAGCATCGACAACAAGCTCGGACAATGGCCTAGTACGCTACATATCCAGAAGGGTCGGGAGGAGATGGTAAAAGGCCTAAAAGATATGCTCAAGTCACGCCTCCGTTTATGGCGCGAGAAAGGAAAACATACAGGCTTTCCAGAGAATATCCTAGTATATCGTGACGGTGTATCTGAAGGCCAGTATCAGAAGGTCCTCGATGAAGAGCTACCGCTACTACGTGCGGCATGTGCAGAGACGTATCCGCCACCGGACCAGAAAAAGGGCCTCCCGCGTATGACTATTGTCATCGTTGGGAAGCGTCACCACACGCGCTTTTACCCAGTCAAAGAAGGTGACGCGGACCGCTCGGGAAATACAAAGCCGGGGACTGTCGTAGACCGTGGCGTCACCGAAGCCCGCAGTTGGGATTTCTTTTTACAAGCGCACGCAGCACTTCAGGGAACAGCGCGGCCCGGGCATTACTTCGTCATACTTGACGAGATTTTCCGTCAACGATATGGTGTCGCGGGTGGTAAATCCAAAGCACCAGGCCCTGCAAAGAACGTTTCAGACGAGCTACAAGAGTTGACACAGAGCATGTGTTACGTATTTGGCCGTGCTACGAAGGCTGTGAGTTATTGCACGCCTGCGTACTATGCCGACATCTTGTGCGAACGCGCTCGGACTTATCTTCATGATGTGTTCGATAGCCCGGCCAACTCAGCAGCGCCGACGGTAACTAGTGGAACTGGTGTAGGTGCCGGACCTTCGCAGCAGGACGTTAAAGTTCATCCAAGGTTGGAAAATAGTATGTTTTACTTATGATTCTAGACTAGATGGTATAGGCCTTTTTGCTACCTCGAAGTACCATGACGGTACAGGGAATTGTAATTAAAGGAGGTACTTAAGAAGTAAATTGAACACCTATGTTAAAATGTACTTCTAACTTATAAGAGAGTATTGAGTTGGTTTAACTACCTACCTTACCTACCTACCTAGGTAGGTGGGTAATCTCGTAAAACATTGAATTATTCGTTATGGAGGCACCAATCTGTAAATGCGGCATGGTTAATAAATTTTAGCGGTCTTATCTCATATTTATTACCTATTTAAAGCCGAGTCTGGCTCTGGCACTGCATTAGAAGCTTTTTGTAAGTGGTCATAATAAGTTTGGAAGCCCCTCAGCTGAGTTCTGGGCGGGTTAGAAATTAGAACGATGATTGGTAACTGTAGTAGTGTGTTGTACAATACCAAGTTCCTTGAAATGAATGCACACAACTCTACCAGGTAGGTAATTTAACCAACCTTTTCAGGGGACAGTTGAAATCAAATACTGAGATAACTCATGTAAGTTCAATTATGAATAAGGCAATTTAGGAGCCGAAATCACGTCAGACTTGAGACTCGGCGTTGTCAGGACTGTGGATATTTGTTCGACGAAGGAATATCATCTACATATTCCCCGCTCATTGAACCCCTGTCTAGGTCTGACGAAAGCCGACAATTCCAAATTCCCCTAGTCCGTTTATTATTAAATAGAACAGATGCGCACTGATGGTTATGGTAGGATAGAGGCGAGCTGAAGTTCATATTTTGACACATTCACCTTCAGACCGTCGAGATAACCTATTACCATGTCTAAAAATCATGATGTTATAACTGCACTCGCGCCGTCCAGTACCGAGCGGGATTTCATCTGCGACGAGTGCAAGGCAATAGATTTCAACAAAGCATTAGCGGTGCCGGCAGCTCAACTCCGTGACGGGAATGATTCGGAGTGCGGCATACTACTTGATACGAATGCTTCGCGATATGCGTCCTCGCCCAATCCCGCCTGTAAACTATGTCGCATTCTGCGGTCGACGATATGCTGGTACCACGAAGAATGGTGGTCTGACCCTGACGAACAGGCCGATCATGACGCTATAGAAGATTTTGAGCTTTACGCGTTTGCTTCCTCGCGAAACGTTCCATGGGGATTCAGGAAACCGGGGCCCGACCAGGACTATCATATCCTCATCACACTCCCTGCTGGGTTTTTCGCTAGTTTCGGCGACCATTCCCGGCAGTGCGGTCGGGGTGAGGCGGGATATGTATTCTGTTTCGATAAAATCCCCTCCCCGGGTCTTTTTAGGCCCCTGGTCATTCCTAAACAATTCGATTATCAGCGGGCTCGAGTTTGGTTAGAATTTTGTAGGGAACATCATGGCCAGCAATGCTGGATCGCGGAAGAGATAGTACCGGGAATGGAACTGATTGATTGCGAGACTTGGACTGTTGTGGAGGCTAAACCAGGCATGCGGTGGGTGGCTCTCAGCTACATCTGGAAGGCCCGGGGAGATGCAACAGATGCGGATTCAAAAGTTGGCCGTGAATCTTCATCTCCGCGTCTTCCCTCTTCCGTTCCTACCAGTATCAAAGACGCTGCTACAGTGGTAAGACAGCTTGGGTTACGGTACCTTTGGGTCGACCGCTATTGTATCGATCAGAGTAAGGAAGAAGAAAAGGATTTCCATATTTCACGGATGGATGCGATCTATCGTGGAGCAGAGCTGGTCATTATCACTGCGGCGGGCACCGACGAGGACTATGGATTGCCGGGAGTCGGGTCGACCCCTCGTTTACAGCAAGACATAGTTCCGCTTGAGTCCTCTACTATCTTCACCACTGGTCCCGACCCACGTTGGCATGTGCAAGAGCACTCTCGGTGGTGGACGAGGGGGTGGACTTATCAAGAAGGGCTACTGGCTAGTCGACGTCTCGTGTTTACTGACCATCAGGCGTATTTCGAATGCCACGGAGCGACTTGGATGGAGTCAGTAGGCGGTGTCGAATTCGCCCCAAACCAAAAGATACCTGTCAACTTAGCCAGCATGAAAGCGGCACGCAAACGCCTGTTCAAGCCTTTGGGAAGCACCATCTCTACCGATCTAAATATCCCCCCAAGAGTAAGCGACGATGGTTCCACGTCGCGTAACGACTACCTAGTGGCAATCCAAATCAGAGAATGGTGTCAGTTGGTTGGGCAGTACACGTCGCGTACACTGAGCCATGATGTGGATTCTCTTAACGCTTTCGCTGGGATTGCGCGGTTGCTAAGCAAACTAGAGCGCCCTACACTTCATCTCGTCGGCCTTCCGTATGTGCTCACCACGGACGATACCGAGCTTACGGATAGATATTTCTTCGCATCTTTCTGCTGGCATCACTCGAAAGATTGCGCTCCTCGACGGAGGCCGGACTTCCCATCGTGGAGCTGGTCGGGCTGGGCGGGGCCGGTGACTTGGATGGGCGTCTGGGTGCTCGAGCGCAGGGCAGAATGCGACCCGAAGTGGCGGAATGTGCGTATCCAAGATTCGACAGAACAGTCCCGTCCCGTCTCGGAGTATTTGGCGCAACATACTCCGATAGACAACGGTATTCCACCACCCCTCGCCATCTGCTTCGAAGCGAGAGTGGTCCCTTTGTCACTTTTCCAGTTTAACATTAGAACGCCTGACGACGGTCGGGTAAACACCTTTGTGCGTGACGAGGATGAGGATGAGGATGAGGAAAGTAGAGACAATACAGAAGACGACGATAATGAGAATGACGACGAATTTCAGAGTAACAATGAGGATGGTAACGAAGTTGGTAACGAAAACGACAGTCACGGTGAGAACGAGGATGATTCTGATGATGAAGAGGGCGAAGATGAAGCTTCCCCAGAAGATGAACCAGCCGTTCCCGATCCGGATAACTGGGGCCTTTGGACCATTGGGATCCATAGAGTACACAGCGACGCGACAAAGCCTACGAAGACGCCGAACGAGTTACTTGATCATTTGAAGGATGGCACTTGGTCATGTCTTTTGATCGGAGATTACAGCGGAAACGGCGGTTATACGCATGAGCGGTTCCTCTTGGTCGTAAAGTGGTTAGATGAGAAGACGGCGACCAGGGTTGGTGCCCTGGTACTTCAACAGCACTACTATCTGGATCAGGCCTTCCCAGATTTCTTCGACGAGAGTGGTCTAGATTGGCGAAGCGTTCGGTTGGTTTAGCGGCGTTGGGTGTTGGAAAAGGGGTAGTTGCAGTCGTGGTTGTAAAGAGAAGAGTGAAGGCTTTTATACCTACCAGGTACCTATGTTATTTATTACCTAGGACATATATCGCAAAAGTGTGGTTTATTTTTCTATATGTCCACCTTATATTTAGGTCTTTATAATATGAGAAAAAAGAGTCTTTGTAAACTCTCGAGTAGTTCTCTAAGGCATCAAAGTTCGGCTTGCAATAAACAGCTTAAGTCAATACACCAGGATAGAGACTCAAATGAACTAAGACAAAACGTAGTATTACTTTGGATACCCAACTGCCACCCAATATAGCTATGACTATAATTAATAATGCAAATCATAGGAGTAAATAAATAAGGCTAGACATTTGGAAAGTGAAGTTGTGGCTATGCCCTAAGAATGGGAAATATATAGATGCGAAGCCTCCAAAATCTACGAATGACAGTGAAGCCATAGCCCACGTATGACCGTAAGCGGGGTACCTAACTCAGCTTCGCGCTTTTGCAGGGAGCCTCACGTCCTTTTCCTTTCTCAATTATTCATATATCTATTTCGCTTACATCCCTACCTTAGGCAGTAATTGTTGATGATATCCTCGATTTAATATGGAAGCGTTAGCCGCGTTTGGCCTGGCTGCCAATATTGCGCAGTTTGTTGTTATGGCTGGCAAGACTATTGAAAAGACTATACATCTATCCAGAAGAAACCAGTCACTGTTAGCCGAAAACGCGGACCTAGAAATCATAGTTCAGGATTTCATCGGTGCAGTGCCCATAATACGGCGGTTGGACGAAGATGTGCTAAGAAATGACGGAAAACTCAAATCGTTCGCAGAGAGCGGTAAGCGGATAGCAGATGAGATCCAGGAAAAGTTCGACAGAATCAAAGCTCGAAGGGCGAAACGGAGGCGTATCGAGAGTCTGTTCGCAACCTTGAAAGAGTTGAAAATGGCGGGTGAACTAGACTCACTAAGTGCGCGACTGGCTGCTTTTCGAAGTGAAATTACGCTGCACATCAATTTGAAACTCCTGTAAGTTTGACTTTATTGAATCTTGAATGCTCAATATAGGCTAGGCTGGGTATTTATTAAAATAGAGATCACCAGGAGCAGATAAAGCAGAATCTGAACGGACTTACTGAGAGCAACCGTGCATATAAAAGTCGCATCGAGACCCAGTTAGCAGAGCTCACAGGAAAGATAGACAGCCTCACAATTACTGAGTCTCTCGATGATACATATGAGAGAGTTTGGAAAGGCACTCCAAAGCAGTTTACCGAGCTGGTAAACGGGTTTCATTCTTGGTATCCGCAGATATTAGACTTTCAGAAAACCCAGAGAATCATCAATAGCCTCGAGTTCAGCCAGATTGAAGAGCGGCGAAACGCCATTCCAGAAGCGCACAAGAACACCTATAAATGGGTCTTTGATGGCGACGTCGCCAACCTAAAGTCGTGGCTTACGACGGAAGATGCTCCGATATATTGGGTAACTGGGAACGCTGGCTCTGGAAAGTCGACTTTGATGAAATATATCCGCGAACACCCACGACTATCTGCTCGGCTTAGAACATGGGCAGGCAGTCGAAAGCTCTACGTCGCATCTCATTTTTTCTGGAGTGCAGGCACCCCCATGCAGCAGTCTCAAGAAGGACTACTCCGTACACTCCTTTTCCAGATTTTGCTCGAGCGCCCAGACCTGGTCTCCCGAGTATTTTCGAAGGAGTATAACACGCCACAATATCATTTGGGAGGCTCTAGAGCGCTTAGGTGGACTACAAAAGAACTTCTTGACGCTTTAATTTCTCTCCCTACGCTTATGGTCCCGGATTGTCTGTTCATATTTATCGACGGCCTAGATGAATACAGCGGGGAGCACGAAGCACTGCTGCAAATCATCAAATCTCTTGGCAAGCTTCCCAATATCAAACTATGCGTTGCTAGCCGGCCTTGGCTTGATTTCATCGACGCTTTTGAAGATAGCCCCTGGAAACTGTATCTACAACACTTGACAAATTCCGATATCGAGATGTATGTTCGCGATCATCTGGAGCCACATCCACGATTCAAACAACTGCGTATCCGGGATGAGAACGCCGCTCGGGGTCTTGTGGAGAAAATCACTTCGAGAGCACAAGGGGTATTTCTATGGGTCTATCTGGTCGTTAAATCCATGATTAGAGGCCTTGTTAATGCAGACAGTATGAGAGACTTACATCGCAGATTGGACGACTTGCCTCAACAATTGGAAGACTTTTTCGACCGGATACTGGCATCTATCGACGATTTCTATAAAACTCGAACGTCTCGCGTCTTTCTGGTACTAGCCCATTCTCGGACTCCTATGTCTCTCATTTCGTTTTACTTTCTCGATCGTGAGGAAGGACTACCTTTTGATCCGGACTTATTCCTTCTAGACTGGCCGGCAGTGAATGAGACAGAGTTGGAAGTGATAACAACTAAGAAAAGACAGTTGATTGCACAATGCAAGGACCTCATACAAATAATCGAGCGGCCGAAAGATCCCATAATGTTCAACTTCACCGCCAGCTTTCTCCATCGTACGGTTATCGACTTTATCAACCAACCACGAATCCATGAGAATCTCGTCAATGCTGCCGGAGCAAGCTTCAACCCCATAACGACGCTCTTTGAGACAAATGCCAGGCAGTTTCAATCATTGATTCATCTACTCCCAAGGGTTTACCTGAAGCCCTACTTACGAGATTGGTACCTGGCTTCTACATTTTACGCTCGAGAGATAGAGGTCACATTTGGCAAATCAAAAACTCAGCAACTAGATCAGATGAACGAATCGCTCATTAGCTATTTGGAAGAAAGGGGTTTGACAAAATATGCATTTAACGAAGCTCTGTCGAAACTCTTTGACGGCCAACATAGCATTGCAACTATTCCCTCTTTCAGATCCTTTGCCGACCTCGCCATAGATTGTGGGCTACGCCTCTACATTAGCGACAAGGGACTGCGAGCAGAATATGAATTCATGTCGCTCAAGCCAACGCTATGTATTGAACAGACTTCAGGTTTCTCAATCGAGCGAGTTCCAGAAGACCCACAATCACGCCGACGCGTAGCTACAGTTCCCGGCAGACAGCCCTACAGCAACACATTCCACATGTTTACGGAAGCAGAGGAAAAGTTACTTGCCGAACTGGAGAAAATACACCGTTCTGGATCATTCACCCCTCAGCTAGGGGTAAAGCAAGATGCAGAACATCAGATAGAACCAACTGAACCGAGAGTAGAACGGACCTCGGAAATATCGGAGAGTAAAATGACACCAGCTTTCATCCCGCAGAAAGCCAAGCCGAGGGGGATGAAATGGGTGTTATTGAGATTATTACGCCAAACGAAACACTCCGCGTAACATTTCTTCATTGAATGCATATCGCCTTTGCCTGGGCACTCACCATATGGAACATTACAAGGTCATCATCTAGTGAGTCTTCGGTTTTGTTAGGCATGATACCTAGCAAGCAGGCGTTTGGGCATCAGGGCAAATTGTTACTTCTTAGAAACAAGGGTTTCTCATATTACTAGTAGATAGGGGTCATGGCATATATGTGAGTTATAATCATATTGGCGTCTATGATGTTTTTATACCCACAATTGTAGGTTTACTTAAACCATTATAACTATTACGTACCTGTAGGTATGCGCAGGAAGGTCTTCAAATTAGCGACTAACGTACTGACAGGCTATTGGAAATTCGCGCCTGTATGACCTAACAGGAAATAGCAAGGATGGAAGACACCGAGGTGTGGGTGTCATCTCGAAATCTTCATATAGCCTTACGAAACATTTGAGCGTACACCTTAGCACGTCGGCTATATGAATCTGCCAGCCAGTTAAAACACTTTACCCCGGATTAATCGATGAAGCATGGATATTAACCTGGAGAAAGCGGTAGCATTTACATGGTCTCGAACCCTGTACCCCAGGTCTTTTCCGATTGTCCGGGGCTAGATCTGCTGGTTAGCTGTGGAGTAGTAGGTGGGTCGTAGAGAAACAAGTTTCGATTTTCTACATCAGGTTTAAGGGGGGAAATTCCCAATTGGTCCTGGTAATGAATTGCGGCATGTTCAATATAGTTGAACAGTCTTACCCGACACTAACCCCAGAAGTCCACGAGGCTTTCAGGCTAAACATTATCCCCTGTACGGAGAAGTATATAAGGAGTAGGCCACTATTCTATGAGGTAGGAAAGGTAAGATATTCAACCATACTTAGGTACCGAGCTTATCGCCATGTTGCCATCATTTATTCTTACCGCAGCCGCCTTAATCCCAGGGGTCTTCACAGCACCCTCAGGCTTCCTCCCTCAGATTGGAGACCTGTTCCATGGAAGCAACAGCAACTCTATCCAGACTCGACAAGGTGGCTACTTCTGGTCTTCTTGGTCAGAGGGTGGTGGTTCTTTTAGATGCAATAACGGCGGCGGCGGCTCGTATAGCGTAACTTGGCAAAGCAGTGGCGGCTCAAGCGGCTTTGTCTGCGGGAAGGGATGGAGTCCGGGCGGTAATAGGTAAGTCACCACTCAGTACCTACCTTGTTTCAAATGAACTGTGAAGAAGATATTACAAGAAAAAAAATCCTTATTAATTTAATTCACTAGAGCCGTCAAATACTCCGGTACATACACGCCCAAGGGACCTAGCTACCTGGCCGTATATGGCTGGACGCGCAACCCCCTAATCGAGTACTACATCATGGATGCCCATGGAGATCTCCTCCCAAACGAACCTTGGACCTCCAAGGGTAACTTTACCATCGACGAGGGTACATACGAAGTTTTCACCAGCACCCGTGTAAACAAGCCATCCATTATTGGGACAGCGACCTTTCAGCAGTACTGGTCTGTCCGCACCGAACAAAGAGTTGGTGGAACCATTACGACCGGAAAGCACTTCGACCAATGGTCTAAGCTAGGTCTTAGACTAGGAGGCCATGACTACAGTAAGTTAACTTATTTCAGTTGTTCATATTGTTGAATCGAATGAGTACTAAGGCTTTCGGCTTTCCAGTGATTGTCGCTACTGAAGGATACACTAGCGGATCGACTACAAGCAATGGAACCTCCTCAATCACGCTAGGTTAGGTGATGGAAGTATAAAAGAATTTAAACCCAATTTGATATCAAGTTTGGAGATGAATATCGATTGCTCATATCAGGCCTTGGAAGTAATTGCTACTAGGGTAATTAGACAGAAACCTCATTTGACTCGTACAATTTTCTATCTTACATGCTTCACACCGAAGGGACTTGTTACATTACAACTAATACCCCGCCTTATTTATCTTGGCTACCTGACGTAGAATATGCGCAACCTACTTGGCTGTTATACATGGTGAGCCTGATACATGCGTGCCTGCAACATAAGGTAAATAGGGCGCGGGGGATAATGTAGGGGTTCCCACTGAGAGGCGAGGGTTGGCGACATGACAGACTCATACATATGGAGTACTTCATCCCTATTAGTACACTTCAGCGGTTAAAAGGGGTAATTATTCAACCAGGTCCAACTCCTATCCGCATACCTGTCCGCTTGCTTCCGATCCGACCAAATTGCGATCATGTACAAGCACATTAAAGCAGCGAAGAAAAGAGCAAACAATCCTCAGCCAACCAAGTTCGCCACGGTTTGCACGGCGACCTCTATTATTACGTTTCTCCCACAAACCCCTTTATCAGACAGGTACCTAAGGTAGGTACCCAGCTAGGACGTACGGACGGAATTCAGCTCACAGGGGGTCGTTAGTGGCTGGCGAGGAACCCGCTCTGACGCAGCTTTTCCACGTCCACGCCCGCGGCGCGGATCGCCTCGACGTACCTCTCGTTCTTCTCCTGGGCCTCGCGCTCGCGCCGCGCCTTGGTCTTGCTAGACCCGCTCGGCGCCACGCCGTTCATGAGCACCTTCTTGTCGCTCGGCGTGTAATTGCAGAACTCAATCGACATGCCCCCACCTCCGCCTCCCCCTCCGCCGCCGCCGCCGTGGGAGTCGTAGCCCGCGGACCGGCAGGACGACGATCGCACGCGGCCGCTGCTCGGCGTGCGCGGCTCGCCGCCCTTCCGGTGCGGCCGGCTCCAGGAGCGCTGCTTGCGCAGGGCGAGGGAGGAGCTCGAGGACGAGGACAAGGTGCGTTGGCGGGGGACGGGGGTTGGCGACATGGACTCTTCGCGCAGCGTGTAGCATGCTGCTGACGAGGACACCTTGCGCGGAGACGTCATCGGTCCCCCGTAATGGCCGCTGCTGCTGCTGCCGCCGCCGCCGTAGTGTCGCGCGCCGGAGGAGGGGGCGCGCGGTCGCGGCCGCCGGTGCTCGCTGTGGTGTCCGTGGTGGTAGTGCGATGAGGTCGAGGAGTGCCGACGGCCGCTGCTGGGATGGGGAGGGATAGGAGGAGGAGGAGGAGGGTGGTAGTACCCGGACGGCGAGGACATGATGAGGGGGTCGTTCATGTTGGAGCTCAGGACTGCAGCCTGTGGCGCCCGGGGTTGCGGCATGTGAATCATAAGTCCCGACATATCGGGGCCCGCGCCATACTCGTATGGTAATTCCGCTTGTTGGTTGTGCATCGAGAGGTTGAGTGGCATGTTATTGGCGTGAATTGAGCCGCCGTGGCTGCGACTGCGACCACTACCGTGCGGGCGGTGGCCGTTGGTTTGGTGCGGCGAATCCCACCACCCGGGGCTCACTACGGCGCGCCCGGTGTCGGAAATGTACGCTTGTCCCACATTCGGGGAGGATGGTGTATCACAAATGTTATTTCGGTTATCATTGCTCAGAATGCCCTCCATGGGCCACTCTGCCGAGCTTGTGCTTCGCAGTTTGGGTTGTGATTTGTGCGCGCGGAGCGGGGTTCCGTTTGTGCTGAGAATGTCGAGTGTCTGTTGGTAGAATATATCGTCATCCAGGGCTGGAGTTGCCATCGGGGTGCTCAGGTTGATGTCGTGTCCTTTGGTTGTTGCAGGCGGAGCTAGCACATCATCAGAAAATGGATCGTCGAAATGGCCGCGTACGAAGTTCATTATGTCGTCCGAGTTCTGTCCGCCCGGTATCCGGCCAGTCAATGGCGGAGATAAGGGCAAGTTGCTTGGAATAGACGTATCTTCGAGTCTAATGTCGCCCAGGCCGCTGAAATCAAAGTCTACAGGAAGATCGTAACAGGTATCGTCATCCTTCTTCAATGTGTCTCCCATCATTGCCGTGCTTACTCCCATCTGAAGTCCTTGGGGCTTATGTGGCTTTGACCAGCGTGTTGCTCGGCGTAATGCGGAGCAGACCGAGTTTAATACGCGGTTGTGCTTACGTGGGCTTAGGGAAGTTTGGCTTGCGGGAGGTGAACCCGGAGGTGCTGTAGCATTTCCCTTCGGCGAGTCGAGTGACAATCTGGAGATACCTTCCAAGCGAAGCAGTTCCGAATCCGAGATTGAACCACCTGACAAGATAGGGTCTGACACGAGAGGAGCAGCAAGCTCTAGTGGGACAGATTTGCTGGGTTCTGAAGAAGGTACCGATGAGAAATCCAGAGAAACGGATGAGGCGGATGTTTCGCTTCGAGGCTGCCCAGATTGCGTGTCCTGGTCGCTGGACGACGAATTGGGTAGACTCACATCGAGGCTTTCGAGGAGGAGGGATGGACTCGGCGGATCTGTTGGTAAGTCATCACCTCCTCCTGGAGCTGAGGGGTCAGAAGAATCAAAGGCAAGAAACTGCTCAAAGAAGTTGTTATCGCTTGCCACCTCAAGCTCCTCATTTTCAGGCCAATAAGGAACTTGGCTTTGGTCTTTGTCTGTCGGAGAGTGCACTGCGGTGAAGGCCATAACGTCGAAAGGCAGGGAGCGCAGCTCCAAAACTGCGTATGCACACCGAAAAAGTAGAGCTGTTATTATTTGGAGCTTGAAGAAAAAACGTGGAAAGCTTTCTCAAGAAAGAGGTTTGATGGAACAACCGGCGCCCTTGTACTTTGCGATAGGTAAGTCAACAAAACATGAAAGGTCTGGCACAGCAACGACAGGTATGCAAATAATGTAAGCCACGGCAAGGCTGATGAGGCTATCAAGTGATCATCCCCAGCATCAGAAACAACGAGTGGAAAATAGGTGGATGGTATGAAGGAATGTGTTTCGAGCATGAGGCGATTCCAAGCATCTAGCAACCCATTCCACGGGGGGGGGGGGGGGTCCTTTAAAGATGAACAACATCGTACTCAAGTCCCAATTGCTTCAATAGACAAACGAGCCACCCCACTAGGGGGGGTTCCTATACACCATAATGTCCCATCGCGCAAGTAGAGCAACAAAGAAAAGAGCTCAAAGAAAGTAACCATAACCATTATTAATCGATGAATAGCTATAATGAAGCTCAAATCCATCGAGAAGTATACTTCCGCGGGTGGGGCGAACACAAAGAGTCGTTGGAATGTAAGCTCATCTTATGGGGGGGCAAGGTAGGTTACGCCAAAAGAGGCATCGTCAACCATCTAAAACCTCCCTCTTGGCTTGCTTCCCCGCTAGCGCGGAGAAGGCCGACAGGCGTAGTAGAGAGCGCCTCATAAGTGCGTAATAGATCGATGAGGGATCGTATATATACGAGAAATGCGGCTCTAATCTCAGACATTCGAGATGCCGATAATAAGCCCAATTCAGGCACTGCATTCGATGTCTTAGCGCTCATTAATTTACATACTGCTAATTTTTGTAATATGACCGTGTTTACCTACCTGATCAACTTTGCTATACAATCAGTTAGAAGCTGTAGGGCTATGCAGCTATACAGCCTTTGTTTCTATTCTTCTATTCGTGGGTAATTTGAGCGAGAAGATATTCTTTTAGCACAAAGCCGACACATGGTCGAGGGATAAGTGGATTTCCGAAAACAATGCAAACAAAATATGACATACGACAAGACAAGTTCAGCACAGACCACACAAAAAATTAGCCTTCGGCAATGACTTTAGAAATATTTAGACTTCTTATCAAAGAGAATTTTTGTATAATACCAAGCTCCCAGTTTTCTAGCTATGATCAAAGGAGGTATGTACTCAAATATAGCCCATGGAAGTAGCCTCCTGTCAAGGGGATGCTGGATCGAACGGCGCATAAGAATATCGCAAGGTTTTCATTCAAGGTACCAACTATGCGGGGCGACTAATTCCTAGAGCTTCGCTTTTCATTCTTAGTATCACTGTGAACGTCTTCGAGTTCCTAAATTGATTCGTCTCTCTATATCACCTTAAGTCTCATAGTTGCCACAGTCGCATAACTCGCCAGTACGTCCGACTCCACCACGTTGGCCACGTGCGAACATTGCGAGGATTAACAATGTTGCTAAGGAAGCCGTACCTGCTATACAAAGATGTTGCCATAAAGCCCTTTGTGCGGCCATCGTCAACATCAACAAGGAGGTGTACGCCACGAACTCCTCGTTCTCGCTTAAATCCCCTCCATCGTCGTCAATGTTGCCACTCTTAGTCTCGCTAATGGTTCGACCAGTCCTAGCATTTTCTGACGACGTAGACCGGTGCTACCGCGGCTGATTTAGGTAACTATATCGATATAACATAAATTTAATGCTTATCTAGTATCTATGGCCAGAAGTTGACTGCATGTTGCGAGAAACCCTACCGCACGGACCTGCAAGTAAGGTAATATAGGAGGTACTAAGTAAAGATAATTAAACTTTACCTATCTATACCATGCTGTTGGATAAGTGCTGGGTCCTGGTCAAATACATAGTGAGAGCAATAGAAAGGCCATTATTGAAGTATAGTACGATGAACACAAAGGATATCACCGCCTTCAACATCTGGGTTGTTTACACCAGATAAAGCAGGCATAATAGAGATCGCTAACTAAAAACTTTGACTTTCGGGTAATGACTGTAGCTTAGTCACCGTTTGCTTTATCATTGCTGTACGCTTAGTCTGTCTCTTTCGGTAAAATATATGCCTTTACTATGTCTTGCAAAGAATGATCAGATTAGTTATCAAACTCAGCACAATAGCATAATCAATGATATCAGCAAACAACAAAAGCCAAAGAGATTCAGGTGCGGAATACTACATTAATTGGGTCAGAGTAGCTTCCGATATGCCCTTGTGATGAGAGATGCGTCGCAATCGTGGATGAGGTATCCTTTATGAAAAGATATCAAGGGAGGCCAATGATCAAGTAATAAACATCACCATCCTCAAAAATCTGCCCATCATAATTTGTATCTCCGTGGACTTCCGTGCACCGGCTCGAACAACAACCTCTTTCACCTAGCGAGCTCCACAGGCCAAGTCAAATGAAATAGCCGTATGTATTTGGCTCACACAAAACCAAATCGAATAACCTTGAATGTGAGACTTATTTGACTGTATCGCGGGTTTGGCTGGAAAGCCACATTTAGCCACATGTTCAGCCATAGTATTTAAATAACATCACACTCGGATGTTCCTAGCTATTAATCTTTACCTTTATTTAAATACCTATCTCAGTACCGAATAATGTATTGTAAAATTCTTATTCGACTCGGGAAAATATGAAAGAAAACAGGATTTACCCAAGCTAGCTCAACTCAAACCCAAGTCCAAGCTAAATCAAGCTCGGGCTTAATTTGTGGAACTCTGCTATGCGTCGTGAATGCTTGACGCATGCATATTTCAAAATTATTCTTCACATGTAATATATTCAGATACTACCTGGTAGACGTACGTAAATTAAACCTGGTGCCCACTTGGCGGGTCTGGGCAGGCTTACGGATTAGAGCGGGGCGGATTAAGTATAAGCCTTATTTAGCTCCCGTGAAGGTTCTTGCAGTTTCGGCTCTTACCGGGATAACGCTAACGTTAAGCTTATGTAGAACCGGTGTCCCAAAGTTGGAAAGGTTAGGAGGGTCCCAACTTTGGGTCCCGCACTCGTCCCGCATAACTACAACAAGAACAAGCCGACAACAAGTCTATAACGTACATGAAAGCCACCTCATGGCCCACCTTGGAATAATATCAAATTAAAACTACGCGTCTTATTAGCAATACAATTACGCGCTGTTACTGAGCACTCATACTAACTACCTAGGTACCTGATATTCTTCCATTTCATTTTGCAGTATCTTGTCTCTAAACATCAAGATCCACATGGTTGGTGTCGCTGGAAAGTCGCAGGCTTGTAATACCTGCAGACTAAAACGATTGAAGGTAAGCAATGAAAAGGCGCATGACATAATCCAAACCCAGTGTCGATCAGGGTTATGTTGATATTCCAGGGTTGAGTTTTCAATCTATACCATTCCGCGAAAAAAAGAAATTTCTCTTTGTTGCTTGTGCTTGTCAGCATTCACCACTTATTAGTAAAGAGATCTTGCTGACGAGATGAATTGATAGTGTGATATGACCCGACCCTTTTGCTTGAAATGCATCAAGTCGAAACGACAATGCACTGGCTATGGTCGGGATCTCATCTTTGTTAATCGGACTCCCTCGTGTCCCTCGACCACTGCGATGTCGGTGTTGTCCGAGCTCAGAGCACAAGAGGCGCCAAAAAGATCCTTGCCTAATCCAAAAGCAGAAGCCACCCTGCACCAGCTGTTTTCTGAATCACCGCACAGCTGCCATGAGTTTCGCCTGTACGCTGTCGAGCTGCTGGAAGCTACCTATCTGCCGAAAGGGTCTGCCTCTGGTGAGGGAAGCTTTTCATGGGTATATCATATAACCGATCTCAACGAACCTAGCAGATCCCTTGATACTGCTCTCTTCGCATTCTGTCTCGCTCAGCTCCATGTTACCGGTAAGGGTGGTTCCACATTATACCAATGTCTTGACCAATATAATACGGCCTTGCAGCACCTCTACTCTGACTTGGCCGACTCCGAAATGAGGTTTCGAGAAGAGACCTTGGCTGCTATAGTAGTGCTGTCGACATGTGAAGTACGTACTAAGAATCTCATGAAGTGCCCCTTAACTAGACTTTCCTTTGACCTCAGATTCTACCACATATACCTTTCCACCCTTCTCAACTACAACACTGCTAACAAAGATTACAGCTCTTTGTATGCCCGGCAGAAAATGGATGGAGTGTCCATGCACGTGGCATCGCAGAGATCCTTCGGTTGCGTGACCCGGGAACGAAGAGGACTCCAGCATGGCGGCATCTCTTTTCGCGTATGAGGATTGTCTGCGTAAGTATACCCAACGAAGGAAAGCTTGGTTCTTTCTAACCACCTAGCAGACCCTTGAAGCTTTGACGAAGAGACAAGCGCAAATTCTCGAGAACGATATATGGCGACAAATCGTAACGGAGTCCGGTTTGACCGTGGCTCTTGACGAGGTGTATAGAATGGTCGCTGACATTCCTGCCTACCTCGAGCGAGCGGCTACCCTCCCTTCGATCAGTAACCATACAATTCTACTAAAGGAAGCGGCGGCAGTTACACAGTCAATATTGAACATGGTGGACTCCGTAGAATCCTGGCATAATGAATTCTGGAAAGCTTCGTCAACTCCTCGGTCCTGGTCTGTACCGAGCCGCGCAACAAATCCGACCGATGTCGATCCTTCAAACAAGATCTTCCCGTTCTGCTTTGAGTTCGAGTCCCTCGCTGTCGCAGTCCCTGTCGTTATGTGCTGGTCGGTCTCTGCTCAACTCTATAGCACTGTTATTCAGATACATAACCTTGTCCAAGCAAGACTGGGTCGACATATTGACCTGCAGACTATCCTCGATCAGGTTAACATCGGCGCGGTGGATCTAGATAGCCCGTCTGAGTCTTTAAGCCAGAACACTGTTTTACCCAGCACCAACATCTATCGTTCGATACAGGATATTCAGAACGAGGGGGCAACGATGGCGCGATATGTATGTCAGTCTATGGAGTACTTCCATCGGATAGAAATGGGAACATACGGTGGTCACGCAACGACCTATCCATCTTGGAGCGCTCGACAGTATTTCCGATTACACCCAGGGCACGAACGAGAATGGCTATGGATACAAAATATGCATATGATGGAAGGCCCAAATACACGTTGGGGGCTGTCGTTAATGACATTCGCAGATATTGCCGAGCCATTAGGTGGCTGGTCAGGATAAAGGGGGTTTCAGTGCAATGTAGTCCAGCTTTTAACTCGTCGAAGTAGCGCCAATATACCCCTGGGAGATATGAAGCAATGCAGAGTGAAGGAATATTCGTGGATACACGTACCTAGTATATAGGATGTTGACATGAAGATTGAATACAATTGATGTGCACTATTAAGCGACCTCAACATGAAGATAAGGACAATGATACAAAGGAAATGAAAACCGTTTATGATATATAGGCAGGTAACCAGAGCTTTTGATAGAATAAGGAAGTTACTTCCCTATCCTTTTGCCTATTTCATATCACTATACCATCCATGCTAAGGCCCTTGTATGTGGAGATGGTAGCATTAACCTCGCGAGTTGACATTGTCCTAACATTTTGATAGTGTAGCGGTGAGAAAATGATTCTTCCGTACTATTACAACTGCATATAGTTACGCTAACAAGTGGGTAGCAAGTTATGATACGGAAAGAATTACAGATCTTGCTTATAGAATAGAGATAATTCAATTTACACACTTACTAAACTATGTGGCGCAGGGCATTGAAATGAGTGGTCAAGAGAATACATACCACCAGATCCATCATGATCAGATACTGTAGTAGGGAGGCGTGTATGTATGAAACGGTATTCTTTCTCATGAACAAGATAGCAACCTAAACTGGAGAAAGAATTTAATAACCTAATATAAAGTCGTTAGCTTCAACTTTAAAGCGATGTGGTCTATAATATGATGGTAAGGAGGTAGGCATACAGAATCTCACACTAAAGCCGAAAAAAAAACTTAAAATGGAAGAAAAGTGAGAACGGAAGGGCAGAAAAAGAGAAAGAGAGGGGGGGAAGAAGAGACAAAAATAAAGAAAGAATTGTCTGTCTTATACAACTCCAACAGGATGGTAATAGGCGTTAGCAGCTCCCTTGCCCCATACACATTCCGCAAATAATTACTAAGGGGATTTGTTCCTGGCCTTTACTTGCTAATCTCGAATCTTCGAGATATCTTCCTTCGCACAAGCCATAAGACTGAAGAACGTATAAAGTATCTTTTCATATAAATTACCTTGTAAGTTACATACTTGAAAGATAAAGTATGGTACAGTGGAGCCATTAATACGTAGCATCCTGTTAAAAGCGTATAATGTAATCATGCATGGGTGTCTCTCGTGTGTGGTTTAGAGTTTTGCACCATCTCCTACCTTCCCCAGTGCCCCCCATGTGGCACCGCATCTCAAGATTCCTGGTTACACTTTTCGTCCCATGTTCAATCTTGACCCAATCTCTCGTTTACGATATACTTAATACTGAGTCCTTTATTCATTTTAATGTACGTACATTAGGTCACGAAGTAACGCACCTATGAATATAAACTAAGGGAAGACTCAACTACCTGCTACCTATGAGTCTTATGTAGCAAAAGGGGTATTGCATGTTAAAGCTTTAGGTAAACGATCACAACTGAGACATCAACACCGCATATTCGAGACGGTGTGGTAGGTGGATTTTGAGACTTCTGCTAGTCAGCCGTCTAAGTATCCCCTTTCTGTATGTCTTGGTTTATTTATAGGTAAGTCCTCCGGCAAAGTGGGTTTGGATCGCTCTTGTGCAACGCTCATGTGCCGCCGTATCTGCCTCCCCGGCTATGGAACCCGGTCCGGCACTTGTTCTGGAAGAGGATCATTAAAGACCGTGGAGTAATGTACAACTTCGCTTCTGCAGGTAACGGTTCTGCAAGATTGTGGGTTACATGGTAGGATGTATCGTAGGCATGGTACTGGGAGTAGAGACACGAGGAGCCGTAGAGTGTTTCCATGTTTTAAATTACGTGAGAATTGCTCACTAATCAGATTATCTCCATGGAAGACTGTACAGCGTTCAAGATTCGTGCACAGTTGTTTGCCAATGGTGGCTGCTTATGGCGGGATCACGTCTTGAACAAAACCTTCATAGTAGTAACCGCCAGATAATACTGGACCTCATCGTATTATTATGACAGGTAGTTAGCATATATTGTTCTCATACATGTAAGCTTAGCTGTACTCTTTTCATTCCATCCTCGTGTATTGCTATGGGTTCATTATACCAACCTGCTGGTAAAACCATCATACCCAAGTGGCACCGGTCATACCTTGATGAAACTAATTTGCTATATACCTCAGATTTTTGTTAAGAAAACATAATATATTATATTCTAACTAAACTTTTAATGTATCCAGGTTTGCCCAATATTTGAAAGAGTTGAAAATTGCTCTTCAATTTGTCAGCCCCTTTTTGGATTCGGCCTTCGCAACGTCGCGATGCGTCCCGGTGTTTTTTTTTTGTCTTAGTCGCCACACAATGATGTTGTAAGACTCTGGCCTAGCCATTTTTAATTAGCTGTTTCCTGTTTGAGAGTCATTACATATGCGCGGTAAGAAACGATTTTCTAGTTGCTTCGAGAATGAAAGTATTGGCTATTTTGGAATAAGCTTGGATGACCCGCCAATGCATTACTTGGTAAGCGCTGCATTTTTTCGTTCTTTTTGTTTTTCAACTTGCAGTTAGAATTCTTTGAGTTTGCCTGTGTCATTCCACAATTGTCAATTTTTTTTTCTTACTATGGTATAATGGAAACTGAGGATCGTTCGATAACTCAGCAAGGAACCCACTTAGGAGTAGTGCCAACGAAAAATGCGACCAAAAGCGGTAATTAATAGGCTAAAGTAAGCTGCGCAAGTATAGTGAGGTACATAAGCATAATAAGGAGCCGGCCAAGCTGGGTATAAATAATATGCCTTGGCATGGCGAGGACAAAGCACGATAAAGCGCGAATTGACTACCTATCATGGTGGCCAATAAGTGAGTAGAACAGAGGAGATGGTTCGTTAACAGGCAAAGGAATCATATGACGTGGGGGGCAATACAATTCGCCTTCAAGAAGCTGCTACACTTTTAAAACATCAATCTAAGCGGAGTTAAACTGTATAGAATCGTATGGATTACTTTAGGTGCCTACTTGGGTAGCATCTTTTAACAAGTTGGAATATTCTAGTCGCTCTTAGCCGATTGGCCAATTGGATACGACAATCTTAAGAGGCAACGTACGGGAAGCCGTGTAAGGTTGGGTAATTAATTACGCCGACCGTTATTATTTTGTTTTACCATCTAGCTCTTATATTAATTAAAGTGCAACATTTAAACTTCCAATAAGTACCTGATCGAGCCCTCTGCTTGTCAAGGTGTCAATATTTTAAAAATCTGACAGCGTCGTAGGACAAGCAGGGGTGCCACATGGAGTAAAGGAAACGAAAAAAAAAAGCAGTTAGCATAATTGTTGGCAAAATGTTATACCTAACTGCGGCGTAACAATTACGGTTTATTAGCCCTGTCATACCATGCTGTATTATAGCAAATTCTCAAACTCCCCCTTTAGCTAATCTACCCCAACAGCTTATTTATTTTAATTAAGTGCATATATTCTTAGAAGCTATGCTATCAAGTTAGCAGCATTAAGTAAAGCATGAGATACGTACTTAGCTTGATTAAATCTATTCAAAGGCTGCGTAATATAAAGCGTGCATTGAAATTGTGTAAATTGAGGTTAGGTTTTCCGATCGTCTAAGCATGGATCGCAACCTTATTTACAGGTTGGCATCATGTACCTAGGGTACCTAGGTACATAGGTACTAGTAGATTCTGTCAAAGGCCCATGCATTTTTAATCCACCAGTCCCCTTTATCCTGCAGTCCCACCTGCGGGATCCATGTTCTCTCCATTTCCTTTTTCAGTTCACTCCCGCTTACCGATGCGGCTCTTGCATGCGCCAAGCTTTTTCAACGAAAGATGCTACCGTATTCAGGTTAGACGCGATATCGACGCTAATCTGCCGCCAAGCTGCCCATTCGACGAAAGATGGTGCCGAACTAGGCCTAGGGTGGCATCCGAATAGTTACAATTTCTAATCAGGTACAGCTTATAAAAACAAGAGAAAGGCGTCATGCTTGGAATCCCACACTCTGTCGACAATTCACTTCTCGATTGCTTCCCTTACCCTTCACTTGTGAATTCGCTTTCTCGAGATGAAGTCGAACGCGGATATTGAGTCTCAGGCCCCGACTGTCCTAGACGACTCGTCCGAGCGTAAGTCGGAGAAGTCTGGGAACGGCGCGCCCGAAAATGGGTACTCTTCGGATCCTACCTCAGAACGAGCTGAAGACACATCTCCCAAAGGCCCCGATCCTAACGATTTTCCGGATGGCGGCTTCCAGGCTTGGTTTTGCATCGCTGGAGGATTCTGCACTGTTTTCTCGAGTTTTGGTTGGGTGAATTGTAAGGTTACGCTGCAAGTGGAGACAAAAATACGATATGTTGCTGATAAAACATCATAGGCATTGGTGTCTTCCAGGATTACTATCAAGCTCACCAGCTCGCTGCCTACACATCTAGCGATGTGGCATGGATTCCGGCAGCAGAGTCATTCATGTTATTCTTTTTGGTGAGACTACGGTCAAACGTCTTCGTTATTAGTTATCTTTTACTAATCATCTCATAGGGTCTAATTTCAGGCAAAATAGCTGATAGCTATGGTCCGAGATGGCCTATTCTTTTCGGTTCCGTCTTACATGTTTTAGGAATGATGATGATTTCGATCTGCAAGGAATATTACCAGTTCTTCCTCGCCCAGGCCATATGCAGTGGAATTGGAACCAGTTTTCTATTTTATCCTAGTGAGTAACATCCATGCGATCCTTAATAGGCATCTTGTAGCAGTTGGTTAACATTTTATAGCTATCGCTGCGGCTGGAACTTGGTTCAAGAGACATAGGGCCCTAGCGTTCGGTATTATGGTGTCTGGGTCGAGTCTTGGCGGTGTTGTGCTTCCAATTATGGTCCAGCACTTGATCGTAGAAGTCGGTTTCGGATGGGCAATGCGTATTGTTGCCTTCCTTATTCTGGGACTCCTAATTTTCGGCAACATCGCGGTCAAGTCTCGCCTGCCCCCTGTTCGAAAACCCTTCACCATTAAGGAATATCTCGTTCCTTTTACCGAGATACCGTACCTGCTTCTCGCCATTGGTTCGTTCTTTGTTTACTTCGGCGCCTTCTTGCCTTTCAACTTCATAATTGTCGAGGCGAAAGAAGCGGGCATGTCTGCCGACCTTGCGAATTATCTTGTTCCGATAATCAATGCGGCAAGTATTTTCGGAAGAATTTTCCCCGCTCACCTTGGCGATGTATACGGAGTCTTCAACGTTTGCATCATCTTCACTACTTTCTGTGGAGTTGTTACACTTGCGCTCTGGCTCCCAGCGGCTTCAGTTGCCCCCATTATTGTCTATGCGGTCTTGTACGGATTTGGTTCCGGTTTGACACTAGCAATCATCCCCGCGCTGGTAGCTTCGATCTCTGATATCCAGAAGTTGGGCTTCCGGGTGGGTACATTGTACGCTTTCTCCTCATTTGGTGCCCTGTTCGGCAGCCCTATTGCTGGGGCCATTGTGACCTCACAGCATGGCAGCTATTCTGGTCTTAAGATCTTTTGCGGCGTTTCGCTTCTTGTTGTAAGTATTTCCCATGAAACATTCCCTGTAATTATATCGGTTGTTAACATTCTTAGGGTGCGGCCGCCATTATTACTTCGCGTGTCATATTAGTAGGCCCTGGACTGTTGGTCAAGAAATAAGGAGCAAGTCCTTGACGAGGGGATGCGGGTATGTTGGCATGTGGCACGACTATGTGGGGGATATATGGAATAATTCCGTAAAATGCGGGAATGTGGAGACAGTTTAACGATACCCTCTTAACCTAGTATATCTTATAGTATTTTAGCATTTTTGAAGTTGATAAACACAGGTTAGAGCATAATAGGTATGATAGAGGGCCATGCATATAAGGCAGCATAATATATGGTTATTAGGTATGGAAGTTGTTCAGAATCTACCTAAGTTTATACAGCATGTACAAGTCAAATCAAATCAAATCAAATCAAATAACTGTATATATTTGGCTTATACAAAGTAAGTTAAATAATGATGTAAACAACCTTAGGCTTACTTACTTGCTATATTAAAGGCTTGACTTGGTGCTAGACTCGGATAAATAGCCCCCGAGGGCTCCGATTAGCTGGAAACGCCCCGGAAGCTCCAATTAACTAAAAATATAAGCATGGGTATTTCCCCACTTAACAGTCAAATATGAAAAAAAAAAGAGGATTTGCCTAAGTTGAATCAAGTCAAATCCCAAGTCAAGTCAAGTCTCGGCTTGACTTGTTGGACACGCTGAGTTTATATGCTCTATTCAAGCCAACATGTGGGTCTTAACTTATTTTCACTTCATTCCCTTAATGGTTCTAAGAGGATTTAACTCACTACCGAAAGAAAACTTGTTGACGCGATCAACATTCGGATAAATTTGGCCTTACACAAATTTCGTTTGGGGGGGTTATGTGAAACTAATGTTGTTGGGCATGTGCCTAATTAATTAGGACTTACATCAGGTCCTCGGTATGCCAAGTGGTCTAGAACTGTCGAGTGTATGCTATACAGATAGCAAAATAGTTAGGTAGCGCCAGATGTCACGTTGTTAAACCTAGATCAAGACAACTACCTCTGAGGTAGGCTACCTTGCATCCAAAGCTGATTTGTCATTTTCAATGCCGTATCGAGAAATAGCCGTTGGTCCGTTCGTATTCTTTAAATGGATGACAGGTTGCAAGCACCTAGTTTGATAATATGGCCGATTACTCCTTGTCACTGTTTTAAAGTTGTGCGATAATGGGTATTCGGATGCAGGAGTCTAAATCCTACACGTTTATCACTATTAGATAACTCCCTGCCGAGTAGTTCAAGTTGAGTTACCTACCTAGGTACCTAAGGTAGGTTAGGTAGTTACCCTGCTCTTACAATCGCATGTTATGTCAGGGTTAGGATGCATGTAATGCTTTTAGTTTCCTTTTAGTTCCTTGTTAAGTGCTAAGGGTACCGTTCTTCAGGAAGCGAGTTTGGACAGGGTCGGTTCATAGGGCTTGTAGGGATCTACACTGCCGTCAGCCATAGTGGATCCATATAATAGGAAGTAATCATTGTAAGATTTTAAAATGGCCAATTAAATACTATCTAAAGTCCCTTGCCTCAAATCCTACCAGTGTACTAAATAATGTACTATGCATGGGTTAGGCATGGCCCGAAGAAATCCTGCCGAACTTACCAGAACCAAATATTAGACGAACTATGATTTTAGACTTAAATACCAGGTAAGTACCTAGGTAGGTACCTGAGGTATCTAATCATCTATCTCCGATCCTGAGTATATCGTTCCTAAATGCCGATAGAATCCCGGTAGATTAAGCACGTCCTAACAATTGCCATCACACCTTAGACCAATGAGAACTAATATACGTGGCAGAGCGGTTATACCCAAATATTCTACCTTAGGTATACACTATAGTGGATTCTCGAAAGTTCTAACTACTTCGTACCTACGTAAGCTTGTTTTAGAACAGAGTAATACCTTACAACAGGTGCTTGATACTCTCCACTACACCCACGACAGATTCCCTGAACGGCCTATACTTCATGCCGAGAACTTCAATGCTCTTCGTGTTGTCATATCCATTCACCCCTGTTGCCGGTCTCTCGCCAGGTTTCAAGGCCTCGCCAACTGGCATTCTATCCTTGTACTCGGGATATTCCTCGCCTATGATCTGAGCAGCTTCGGCGTTACTGTAGTTTCCGGCAGTAACTAAGAAGCGCTGTCCCGCGGCCTCCGGCTTCTCCAAAGCACGAACGTGAGCGACGGCCAGGTCCCGCACGTCCACGAAAAGATAGTTTACAGTGGGGGGGCATGGGGTAGAGGGGCTGCCTTTGAGCAGGCTGACGAAGCGAGCGTTGCTCGTGTTAATCGAGTCGAGTGAAGACAGCGCGTGGATAACGGGGCCATAGACCATGGGTGGGTTGATGGTGGTAAGAGAGAACCCAGGCTTCTCCTCCTTCACGAAGTCCCAGGCTGCCTTCTCGGAAAAGGTCTTACTTGCTAAGTAAGCGAACGGGGCGCTCGAATAAGCCTGTTCCTCAGTGATTGGGTTCCAATCCGCTTCGGTATAGACATGTGTCATTGGCTTGCCATAGTCGACCATGGCCGCGTATGAAGAGGTGATCACCACACGCTTCACCGTAGGGGCATGAGCCTTGACGGCCTTGAGGATACCGGTTGTTCCGTTGATAGCTGTGCTGAGAAGTTGTTGAATCTCATCACGTGTTTTGGCGTTGAAGTGGTATGGACTGGCGCAATGGACGACTGCATCCAACGGTGGGTCCGATACCACGGCGGAATCGAAAGCTAATTGGTTCTATGTCAGTATATCGTCTATAATACTCATCTGGGAAATCAACGAACCTCCAGGTTTTTCGATATCTTCAACAACGACGAAGTCAAGCTTGTCTTTGCCGTATTGCTTGTGCGAGTCTAAGATCTGTTGACCCTTCTGCGCAGAGCGAACAGTAGTCAACACTGAGTAGCCATGCTCCAGCAAGCTCTCAAGAATGTGAGCGGCAATGAAGCCTGATCCACCAGTTAGAAGTACTCGAGTCATTTTGTTTTCTTGTGTTTTGCCAAGTTGATGTGTGTGTGCCTTGCTGTTTTCTGCTGTCTGATGTTCTGATATCTTAGGCTTTTTAAAATAGTCCATGATGGAAGAGAGAACCTTCACATCAAACTCATCCGGGTACCATCCCTCTGTGATTGGACGCATGGTGCGAACACGGCGCATAGGAAGTCGTCTCAGGACGAGACTGTCTTACGAAATCAGGCCGCTGATTCTGCGCCACTGACCGCAACTTAATCATACTGCAGGTTGTTTAGCGTAGGATCATGCCTGTCTGACAATGCAGAGTAGTATCCATAACCCCTGCAAATATCTAACCATGCTGAATTCGAACGATGCCTCCGGGGAGCCCACCGAGCCCACCGTAAAGTTATACTCAAGTTATAAACGTAATTGAGGCTGATGTTCATCAAAATCCGTCTCTAAAGCACGTCAAGAATAGCATCTTCGCCCCGCATCCATTCATTGCCAACTTAGGTTCACTGTCATAGTTTGGTGCAAGAAACGTAAGCGAGAGGATTCTACCATCTAAATGAATAACTGGGCACGCATTTTCACGAGTTGCTAAATTTTCTAATTTACTGCAGACAATCCAAAGGCCACAGGCCCGCCCCGTAGTTTAAATTTTAGGTACGTTTAAGAGATCCAGACGTAAGCGCTAGGGAGCGCTTCCGAAGAATGTATACTGCCAGGTATGTCATCAAGCTAATCGCGCAACTAGTATACCTAGCAGATGTATCAAGCTTCTGATTCCGAACTAGGGACACGGGAACCGTGGGGGCGTTCGTCATGGTATACCCCTACTATCAACGGGCAAACGGGAAGGAGTTATACAGGACGTAGAACAGAGCTAGCCAAGGCGCTCAAGGTTCACAGACTGCCGTCTTGGCCATACAGGCTCCTAAGCTTGGAAGCAAGCAGTTTATCAGCGGATTTTGACCATCTCAACACAAATGTTCATACTTTGAAGCGACGTTCAGGGCCTAGAGTACGACAACACGAAAGAGAAGACCACTGTATCTAGAATTTGGATAGGACACCGGAGTCGTAACACTCCGGCTTCCCATGCTGTGTCCGAGCCCGCTCGGCTCTATATCGGGACGGAAGAACCTGGGGGGAGCAGACAAGGGAAGCACATGCCGGGTCTACCCAACCCTGTCTAAGGGTTGGGTATGGGCAAGGGCCGCGATTTAAGCTTCTGAAAGGATGCGGCGCAGTATCACAAAACGCCTAGTTGCGAAACATACAACGATCGTCGATATTGTCCCGAGGCTTAGCTATCGGAGTTTGCTACTTAAGACATATGGCCGTAAGAATACAACGAAGTGACGACTAGACGTTATACTCGGTATCAATCAAGGCCAGGGGTCACTTCTGCAGCGACGGATTGGGCGCCGGTAAGGAACCTAATGTAGGTATTTTGTAAATTAGCGTCACAGGTATCGGGAACGATTTACTAAGTACCTACCTAAGATACCTTGCACTTGCACTTCCGTTTGATCCCATCCTTGTACAATACCAGCCTTAGCATTCCACGATTCCGCGTTGTTAGATGTGATTGCAAAGTTATACTAATGTATAGCTCTCGATGAGGTAAAGTTAGGCCAATATGTGTTAGGCCAAGAAATATGACCATGCATAGCTTGGTCATCAAAGACATGTGAATGTAAGGGTAACGCGACCTGCTGGGCTTCTACAATGTTATACATACATGTAACGTAATGTGTATAAGCCCAAAGGATCACATAAGCTACCTAGGTAGGTAAGCACCTAGTTATATAAGCAGCTTACCTCAGGTTAGGTTAGGTAAGTGGTATGATATTACGATGAGGAATACGATGGTATATTGTTATCTGATTCAGGTAAAGCTTTTAAGAATTACCTGGTACCTTAGGTACCTCCTATTAACCCCGATGTATACGACGACTTGGAAATAATTAGCAACTAACCCACATGGTCCATGGTTTCGTTTAAGCTTACTACCTACTTCCACTACTAAAAGTGAGGCCCACTAATCGATTCAGACCCTCAATGCCACGCGGACCTAATGTATAGTCTGAGGTACCTACCAGAGGTAATCTCTCCGAAGTGCCCACCAAAAATGTAAGATTCATGACCCAGTGGCATTCATCTATCAAGATCAACATAAGACTAAGGAGGGTAGTTTATACTCTTTCAGGAACATACCTAGCTGCAGGGTTATCAAATAGGCCCTGACTGTAAAGGTTCCTGCAGCTACTGGCTAAGCTTCGGGAAGATGGGATATCTTGCTGCCGACTCTGACATCAAGTTGATATCAAGTTTCATCCTGGCTCTACCACAATGGCTTGAGGAAAGGATGGGATCATGCATGGCATTCTAGGCCTCATGGTCGTACGCTCACCTTTCCTAGATTGTCTTATCTTCCCCTGTCCATATGTCTGACGTGTGGGACTATCAGACCGTTGTCTGTATCAGTAGGTACTCTTGTCTTCAGCCTTGCAGGTGGAGGCGATATCGCAAGAAGGAAGGCATATAGACTCAAGTCGTGGTAGGACTTGATTATAAAAGGGACGAGACGACTCAATATACTCTCGACATTCACTTCCAAACCATCCGTCTTCATTCACTCTCAGAAAGAACCCGCCCTACAGAAAGGACGAGCGGGCTGATAACTCTACTCCAGGCCTTACTTTGAATCATTGTCTTCATTCACTTCAACAGACGACTTGTCAACCTCTTGTCAAACTATCTTTAAAGCCGACAAAATGAGTCAACCAACTGGACGTTATATTGAGCCTATTGCCATCTGCGGCATGGCTATGCGCCTTCCAGGCGGCGTCAAGACTCCTGAAGACTATTGGGATGTATTGTACAATGGCAAGGACCAGAGGTCCCCAGTACCAATCTCCCGTTACAACATCAAGGGATTCAACAGCGATATGGGCAAAACGAACACCATCTACCAGCAGCAAGCTTATTTCCTAGAAGATGACCTAGCTGCCTTTGACGCTGGTCTGTTCACAATGACCAGGAACGAATTGGAAAAGGCAGACCCGCAACAACGTCTTCTCCTTCTCGTTGTTCGTGAGTGCCTGGAGAGTGCGGGTGTAACTGATTATCGGGGAAGTCTTACGGGCTTCTTCGTTGGCACATTCTCTGAGGATTGGTTACAGACACAATCCAAAGAAGAGCAGCACCCTACCGGATATGTTCTTACAGGTCATCTCGACCCGATGCTGGCTAATCGGGTTGCTTTCGAGTATGATCTTCGTGGCCCTGCGTAAGTTGATCCTTTACCATAAACAGATGAGCTAGTTGCTAACAATATCATATAGCTTCGTCATCAAGACTGCGTGTTCCTCATCTATGATTGCGCTCCACAATGCAGTTCGAGCAGTTCAGAACCGCGACTGCAATGCGGCAATTGTATCCGGATCTAACTTGAACATGGGTCCCACAACTACTGCTTCCATGACACAGGAAGGCATCATGTCCCCAGAGGGTTCGTGTAAGACTTTCGACGCGCGTGCTGACGGATACGGACGTGGTGAGGCAGTAAACGCTATCTACATCAAGCCCCTGTCCGATGCTATCCGAGATGGCAACCCAATCAGGGCAATCATCCGGAATACTGGTGTCAACCAAGACGGTCAAAGTACTGGTCTGTTCGCTACCAGTATCGTGGCCCAGGAGGCTCTCATGAGGAAGGCATATGTCGATGCCGGTCTAGACCCTGCTGAGACTGCTATGGTTGAGGTAAGGAACCATTGCTACTGTTTACTTCGCGATTATCAGGTAATTAACATTCGTTATTTAGTGCCACGGAACTGGAACTCCAGTTGGAGACCCCGTTGAAGCAATCTCGGTTGGAAATGTCTTTGGTCAACCTAATGGTATCTACATTGGATCCGTTAAGCCTAACCTTGGTCACTCGGAAGCTTCAGCGGGTATCTCGAGTTTGATGAAGGCGGTCCTAGCCTTGGAGCACAAGATTATCCCTCCTAACATCAAGTTTGAGGTTCCTAACCCCAGAAGTGAGTTCTTCCTCTACAATATCTTCTAAAGATCTAAGCTAACACGTTCACAGTTCCTTTCGAGGAGAAGAAGATCACCATTCCTGTGAAGCCTATGCCTTGGCCCAAAGGAAAGGCATACAGAATCAGTGTCAACTCATTTGGTATCGGAGGTACCAATGCTCACGTAAGTTTACCTAGGTCCCTAATAAAATATCATTTATACTTATAAGCAACTAGGTTATCGTCGAATCCGCCGAGCAATATCTCAAGGATCTCACTAAGTCTCGTTTTGGCGCCGAGCTTGCGGTTATCTCTGCAAACTCTCAAGATTCCTTGAAGAGTGGAATTGAGAACCTCAAGCAATACGTTGCGAACAACACTGATCGTCTACCTGATATTGCGTACACCCTTGCCAGGCGCAGGGAGCATTTCAAATGGAGGTCATTTGCGGTCCTTTCCGATCCTGCTGCGGCGAGTTTCGCACCCCCAACCAACAAGCCCGCCAAGAAACCCACTGTCGTCATGGTATTCAGTGGCCAAGGTGCGCAATGGCCTCAAATGGGTTACGACTTAATCAACTCTTATCCTGGATTCAAGGAAGATGTCATAGCCATGGACGACATCTTGCAGAGCCTAGGAGACCGCAAGCCAACGTGGAGAGCTATCGAGGAGTTGAGCAAGCCTGCCGGTGAAAGTCAGTTGGGCCGTGCAGAACTAGCCCAGCCACTTTCCACTGTGGTTCAAATCGGTATCGTTAATGCGCTGAAACGTCTTGGTATCCGCCCGCAGGCCGTGGTAGGCCACTCGAGTGGTGAAATTGCCGCCGCATATGCCGCAGAGGCGCTCACACTACGCGAAGCTGTCACTGCGGCTTGGTACCGTGGTCACGTTGCGAAGAAGTCTACCACTCCTGGTGGTATGGCTGCCATTGGCTTGGGGGCTGAGGAGACACGCAAGTTCCTCCCTGAGCGTGTTGTCGTTGCTTGCGAAAACAGCCCTTCGAGCACGACGATCTCCGGTGATGTCGACCAATTACAAACGGCATTGTCTAACATCAAGGGTGCACTGCCTGATGCTTTCGCTCGTGCCCTCAAGGTCGAAATGGCCTATCACTCTCACCACATGGTAGCCTTGGCGGACGCATACAAGTCGTGCTTGAACGATGAGTTTACCAACTTCGCTCAGGATCGGGAAACGCTCGATGTTCCTATGTTTTCTAGTTTGCGCGCCAAGAAGATCACCGAGGCAAAGGCATTCGGACCGCAATACTGGGTTGACAACTTGACTTCCCCAGTTCTCTTTAACTCTGCTGTTCAGATCATCACGGAGGAAGTCAAGAACCCTCTCTTCCTCGAAATTGGTCCTCACTCTACCCTCCAGGGACCGATCCGTGAAATCTGCGCCAGCCGCAATGCCAAGTTTGAGTATGTCCCAACCATGCTGCGAGGCAAGAACTCTACGCACTCTTTTCTTTCTGCACTTGGTCAGCTATACCAGCAAGATGTCAGCGTTGATTTCGCATCTCTGTACCCGACTGGCCAGGTTGTTACCAGCCTTCCGAAGTACCCCTGGTCTCTCAAGGAAACCTACTGGTATGAGCCCAGAATCTCAAAGGAGTGGCGTCTCCGTCCTTATGGTCACCATGAACTCCTTGGTCGCAAGGTTGCTGAGAGTACTCCACTCAATCCCTCTTGGAGGTTGGTGCTTGTTCCCGACCATGTACCATGGATCACCGACCACAAGGTCCGTGAGGACACCGTTATTCCTTTTGCTGCCTACGTTGGCATCGCAGGCGAAGCTATCCGACAGTTAACTGGAGTCGAGACCGGATATGCCATCAAGAATGCCCGAGTTACCACCGCCTTGGTTATCGGTGAGACACCCAAGGAAATGTACACCACTCTCCGACCGATCTCAGGGTCTGACTACTATGATTTCATCATCGCATCTCACAATGGCACAACCTGGATTACCCACTGTGAAGGTTCGGTAAAGGCCATTGATAGTGAGGCACCAGCAGCCGATCAACCTGCTGAACTTCCTCGAACTGCGGATGTCGCTAGATGGTTCGACACCTTTGCCAAGGTCGGCTTCAACTATGGCCCCAAGTTCCAGCTTTTGAACAACCTGTCTGCTGCTACAACCACCGACGCTGCAGCTGCATCGGTCACTACTAGCGAGGAGATCATGAAGGGACCCTTCCTTTTCCACCCGACCACTATGGATGCTTGTTTGCAACTTTCCATCATTGCTGGGTCAAAGGGTCTCCCCCGCAACTACACCGAGCTCAAGGTGCCCACACATATCGAAGAACTCGAGGTATACCGTGGAGCTTCATCCATGCGAGCCGTAGCTCAGAGCACAGCCGATGGCTCATCTATGAATGTAGAGTGCGTGGCGGATGGAAAGGCTCTACTACGTATTCGTGGTCTTCACTTCACACTTCTGCCCGACGAGGACGCTGGCCCTCAGCACCACACTGACGGCGCTTACCTCGAATGGCGTCCTGACTTCGACTTCCGTGATGAGGCTGCTACTCTTGTGAAGCCCCCGTCCGATGAAGCCGCCACCCGCTTATTGGAGGAGTTCACTCTGCTCTCTATCTTGGATTCGGCTGAGCGAATCAAGGGCAAGACGCCTACCAATGCCCACTTTGAGAAATACGGAAAGTGGATTGCGCTCAAGGCTGAGACTGCTGCTAGAGGCAAGTCACCAGTTCTTGGAGACATCTCCAACCTTCTTTCTTTGTCTAAGAGCGAAAGGGCCAACCTTATTGCTGATGACTATGAGAAACTCACCAAGATTCCCTCCAGGGCTGCCTATGCTGTTGCGATCGGACAGATTCGTGAGAACATTGAAGGCCTCTACACTGGTTCCGTGGATGCCGCACAACTCCTAATGGAGAACGACATTCTATCTAATGTCTACACTGCGATCAACTTCGACTATGCTGGATACGTCAGCGCCTTGTCCAACTCCCGACCTGCTCTCCGAATCCTGGAGATCGGCGCTGGAGCAGGTGGCACCACAGAAACGATCCTGTCCCAGGTCGTCCAGGAAGGCAAGCTGCCTCCTTACTCCGTATACACATACAGTGACGTCTCGCCCGGATTCTTCCCTCAGGCCCGCGAGCGCTTCGCCAATGCTCCTAACCTAGAGTACAAGGTCTTCGATGTTAGCAAGGACCCTATCGCACAAGGCCTCGAGGCTCACTCATACGACCTTATCCTGGCGCCTTATGTTGTCCACGCCACTCCTGTCCTCAAGGAGACCCTGAAGAACCTGAACAAAGTGCTGAAACCGGATGGTCGACTTCTGCTCTCTGAGCCCGCCACCATCGGAAGCTCGCCTAACTTCATCTTTGGAACTTTCTCCTCTTGGTGGTCTGGTGAGGCCGATGGTCGTGAGTGGGAGCCCTTCGTTTCCAACGCTCGCTGGGACGAGGAACTCAAGGCTGCTGGATTCACTGGCGCAGACAATGTTGTATACGACGCACCGCTACCATTCCGATACTGGTCGACTATTATCACGCAGCCCAAGGTCACTTCGACCGAGAAGAACGCTCCTGTCGTGCTAGTCACCGAAAACAGCGCAAGCAAATTGACTGCTGAGCTAGCCGATGGACTGTCCAAGTACGGCATTGATGTTATCAAGAAGGGCCTATCGGAGGATGTCGCTGATGAGCACAATGTCATCTTCGCTCTTGACCTAGAGAGGCCATTCTTCGAGGATATCTCCTCTGAGAACTGGACCGTCTTCAAGAACCTGCTCAAGAAGACCGAATCGATCTCGGGACGCAAGTTGCTCTGGCTCCTCCCTCCCGTGCAGAAGAACACCAAGAACCCCAAGGCTGGTCTATCCATTGGTCTTCTACGATCCGTCCGCTCTGAGCTTGACCTCTCCCTCACCACTTTGGAAGTCGACCCGACTGAGTCCGACCTCGCCAGTTACGTCGCTAACGTCTTCAACAAGGTCGTTGATGAGGACCTGTCTCAGTCACTTAACCCTGACAGGGAGTTCTTGGTTGAGAATGGCACTATCAACGTTGGCCGATACGTACCCTTCTCTATCACGTCTGAAGTGGCTAGCAAGGCTCAGAATGTAAGTCTTGAACACCCTCAAGTAAGGAACCATGAACTAATCATCAAACAGGGCGCTGCTGGCGAATTGAGCTTCGACCCTGAGGCTTCCTACATCATCACTGGTGGTCTCGGTGGTCTCGGAAAGGCTATTTCCTCATGGATGGCTGAGCGGGGTGCTCGCTACATCACTGCGATCTCCAGGTCTGCTGGCAAATCGGCAGAGGACAAGGCATTCATCGCTGAGCTGAAGAGCATGGGAACTGTTCTGACCCCAGTTGCTGGTCCCATCCAGGACTTCGAACTTGTCAAGTCTGCTGTTGCGCAATCGCCGAAGCCTGTCAAGGGTGTTATCCACTTGGCCATGGTGCTTCGCGACGCCCTCTTCCCTGAAATGACTCACCAGGAGTGGACTGAAGGCCTCTCGCCCAAGGTCGATGGTGCCTGGAACCTGCACAATGCTCTCAAGGATGCATCGCTAGACTTCTTCGTTGTCACCAGTTCCATCGTCGCAACCATCAACGTCCCCGGCCAGGCTAACTACAACGCCGCCAACACTTTCTTGGAAGCCTTCTGCCAGTACCGAAACGGACAAGGCCTTGCCGCATCTGCTATTGCTGTCAGCCCTATCGACGACATTGGTGTCGTTGTTGGCAACGACAAGGCTCGCCGCAACCTCCGCTCCAACGGTCTCCAGTTCCTTACTGAGCGCGAAGTCCTCGAGTACATCCACCTCGGCATCCTCCACCGCGGATCCTCTCCCATCATCATGGGCCTGCACTCCGACACGCACTTGGAAGACGCCAGCAACCACGTGGCTTGGAAGAAGGACCGACGCATGGGTCTCTACCACAACATCCCCAAGGAGGAGAACGCCGACGCCGGCTCCGGCGAAGGCGATGCACTCCGCGAGTTCATGGCTAACGTTACCGCCAACCCCAGCGAGCTGGACAAGCCCGAGAGTGCCGAGTTCCTCGCGCTGGAGATCGGAAAGCGCGTCTACTCATTCATGCTCAAGCCCATCGAAGAGGTCGACCTCTCCGTCAGCTTGGTGGATGTCGGCCTCGACTCGCTCATGGCGGTCGAACTCCGACGGCTCTGGACCCAGATGTTCGGCACCACGATTAGCGTGCTCGAAATCATGTCCCTGGGCGCATTGGAGAACTTCGGAAAGCTTGCCGCCCAGGGCCTCAAGCAGCGATTATTGGAAGGTTAAGAGAAGCGAGTGGAGAACCTTATGGGGGCGTCAGGGGTGCCTTAAGGTGTTAAAGATTTGTGATTATTTATGAAAGCGTTGTACGAGATAAAGATGTTAACTGGATGTTACGAGCCTTTTTTTCTAGTTTCTTTTTTAGGGGAGGTAGTTAGGTTACTCTTATTTTCAGTTATTTAGATGTATCAATATTACAAAGTTCAAATCAAATTTCTTGCTTGACTTGATCTGTGATAAATGGCCCTTTGACCTCCGCATTATCTGGATGCTGAATATTAAAACGAAGAGTGGTTTCCGACTCAGTTACTACTTGTTCCCCAGAAGTAGAGTCCCACGGAACCGACATAAAGGGTTAAATGTTACTATAAACGGTACTGGCATTTACGAATTATTACAAGCATTTGCTGTCAAGGGAGCTATCCACGGATACGCACGGGATGGACCGTTGCTCCATAATAGTCAAACCCCCTGGTAGGATATATGAGGTAAATTTACACACTTTAGAACGGATGTATTGTACCCGGTGTAGGTACTGCGCCGCCAACTTACACGAAACTGTACCTAAGATGAAATTACAACCCTACCCAAAAATATTAAGCATCAGATTTAAGCACTACGTGTTGTGCCAGTTCGTATTTGAAATGAATTGAGTAAAATTTGCATTTCACTATTTTTGAAAGTAGTTTGGTTGAGGGATCTCTACCAAAGACATTGGGTGTCGACCTTGAGTTGAGCAGGACAAACTCACTTAATCGACATTTGTATGTAAATCGCAGAAATACTATCATAGCATACCTTATATACAGGTAAACCGACATCGTAAGTACCTACCTAGGTACCTATTTAGGTACACGACGGATTCCCAACCCATCCTTTACCCATCCCGTTCTTCAATTAAATCATAGAGGAGCAATTCGTGGTTTAGTTGAACAAACCCATGCAGCCTTTGAATAGCTTGAATCCATATGCCCCCTAACGCCAAACCCAATGCTATTGACAGTCCAACATGGCCCATTCAACCCTACCCAGAAATGAATGGTCCCCGACGTAATATATGCAATACCCTCTTGTTGCCGTAACTCAACCACCAACGCCAGCCTCCAGCCTCGGGGTATATGTGATAAGACCAAAGAAAACCCATGAAACAATGTAAACGTAGAATAACCCGAAATCATGCTGCCGTGGAGCTCGTCGGAGTCGTCGTTGACGCCGGGTCTATCCGAGCATCCCTTTGTTGCGTTTCCTTCGGCTTTGGCCTTCTCCGCATCCTCGGTGCGCTCTTCCTCATATTCTTGCACCGCATAGCCGTCTCCAACGACGTTCTGTATTTAAGGTGTCCCAGCTTCCTAATGCCTTCCGGGCCCCTAGCATCCCTTAGGCTCAGAATGTCACTAGGCGTCTCCTCGTCGGGCTGCGTGCAAATCGCCTCGTCGACCTCTAGAACAGTATTGGTATCGAATGGCAGCGGCCGACCGCTACGTTTGGGAGGACCGGCGGAAGGCACAGGGTCGATTGAAGAAGGAATTCGAGATGCTGGAATTAGAGTTGCTGGTCTCGATATGCGTATATTGCATTGTTCTTCGTTATCGATCATTTTCGCCATTAAATCATACCTGCGCAGGTTGGGAAAGCGATTGTTAAGACTCATTTCAGGCGGATTCCGTTTTTCTTCGGCAACGATACCGGGGGTTAAGGCCCCATCCATAATTGGATCGCTGGGTTGATTGGGTATTCTGTCCAATTGTTGGGGCGGTAATAAATGTGCTACATCCTGGTCGCTCGGGCGTTGAGAGGTGGTTTGGTGACCAGAACTGGACTCATTCGAGAACTCGTTTGAAAACTCGGGTATGTAAGGCGGCGTTTTCATGTCTACTTCAATTGGCTCTGAATTGGTCGAATTCACTGGTAAGGTTGAATTGGCCTCGTAGCCTCGCGACTCCATCGCCGATGCCATTAATGACTCCCGCACGAATGTCTGTTCGCTCATCCGTCGAACAAGACAATCCATGCGCTCTCCTTCTGAACGGGTTGGACTCTGGGATGACGACAACATGGTAGGTGAGGGATGCTGGCATGGTATGTCCGGGATGTTTTCCGGGGACGGAGCCGGATCGTCGTCATCTAGAGAGATGTCGGAGCCCATCTTCTGGTTGGAAGCGAAAGACCCGGGCATGGTTCGACGAGCGAAACATCTGGGAAGCAGAAAGGGTGGATAGAGAAAAAGGCAGGGCCCCCGATTTCCCAGCGAAGAGGTCACTGGGATTTAGTAAATGATACCCAAGCACGATCTGCACGATTCGACGAAGCTTGATCTACCAAGAAGCCGGTTCGCGCGCTAGTGTAAGACCTAAAGCAAACGCCACGGCGTGTTCAGCTCGTGGCCGAATGCTTACCCGGGATCCTTCTCTTCCCTTGTTATCCGATGGTATGTACAGATTAAAACATAGAGCAGACTATGAGCTAGCAACACTTTCAGCACCTGATATCTTCGTAGTTGATCAATGGAAGCAAGGCATATTCCCTTAGATGACGAACATGGCGTAGGCGGTGACTGGAAAGAAAAGAAAAATTCCTACATAACCGACTTGTATTGTACGTGGGTAGCAGCGGGACGGTGGCGAAGGGCGTCAACACAGCTTTGAGCCGGTAAGAAAACGAACCACACCCTTGGGACTTTAGGTACATGGATACTGTAACTTAACCTAGGTGGTGTACATACATGCATAGTAGTATTCCGTTTGTACATGTTGTGCTAGCTGGGCTTTTGGCGATCTGCGTGGGATCACTGCTGTTTGATTGATGCGCGTGTCACCCCTCCTCATACCCGAATGACCTTAGGAACCGCTCAACCGGGCCTAGTCCCCATGTCGTTGAGCATTAGCCTTATTACAAACGCACAATTGGGACAGTTGACCGAAACCGAGCCTACTATGCATCAGGACGGTACAATACTAGGATGTGGAAAGCAGTCCATTCCAAGGCCTCCCCAGCTTGCTAACTTGCCTGATCCCACTTGGTTAGTATAAACAAATCAGCCTAGCACACTTTAGGCAACTCGACATGCTTGCTGCAGAATGGAAGATGGATCCTTGGGATAGTGTGAGAAGACCAGGAGGGGTCGGTAAAGTTGCCTATGAGAGAAATGTGAAAGAACGTTGTATTCGAATAATGGCATGCCTACAACCAAAGATCTCAAGATAGCCCGGCGAATCCATTTTGGAATATTTACTACTTCTTGGGCGCATCATTACGCTATTCGAGACAACAACTCTGAAGACATAACAGTGGACCAATTAGATTATGGCTAAACATCTGATGTGGCGCTTTTCCCGTCCTGCTGGAACTAAGGTGGGGGAAACAAAGAAAAGGGGGGGTGGGGGGGGGGGGGTGAAATGAGCCGAATGACATAAAATCCGACATTTTGATTCAGTCTTCCGTCGGCGATAACTGTGTGTATACGAAGCCTTGTAGTTACGTTTTGGACTTTGAACTTTTGGGATGCTCGTTTAAGCATTACAGGTATACTTAAAGTACCTCGGTAGGATGCGATAACCAGGAGAATTTTGCATGACAGTTGATTAAATATTTAACTACCTCCTAATTACGAAATTTCTTTAAAGTGGTACTCTTTTTTAACTGTTGTTATGAAAATCGAAATTGCTACAAAATCGTCTATAGTGCTATACCGAGCATCATACGTGCCAAACTACAAATTTCCACTCCTTCATCTTAAGCCACTAAAATATGTAGGCTGATACACATGTATTTAGATACGATGCAAACTTGAAAGAAGAGAAATATGACTCTATGTCATAAGATGCTGCCTGCAGCCTGTGGTGGAGGTAATATAATTTGTGATACTCACATTTTAACGGATTGAGCTCTCCGGGCTGGTCCCGAGAAACAATATCTGCATCTGCATACATTACGCATGTGTTATACATTAGGCATGGAGGGTCGTGCAAAACGCGCTTAAATAAAACTTCGATACCTATTATCTTATGACCTGCCCTTTACGTTATACCACCAGAAAACGAAAATATTCGGAACAGCCTCTTTGTTCATATTGCGTAGCTCCTACGTTTCCAGCGTGGACCAAAGAGTAAAATAATGACGTTTCTAACAACCCAGAGGTTGAACTACTAAGCAAACAATTTTAGTTAGAGTACTTCGGGATGCAAATTACATATGATATCCCCTCGTAACCTTTGAAACTGGCTTTAGGATTGGCAAGAAATTGTGGGACATGGTTCTGATTGCTGAAGCCACGTGGATACATTTCGAAATGCGAATAAAAGCTATGATAGTTAGAGGGGAAGAACCGCTATCCCTTCGAAGGAAACAAACCCAATACGAGCTCCAAAGGGACACGAAGGAAACGCGACATATTGGTAGAAAGGCCCGCAAGATTCGAGGAAATAAATTCAAGCTGCAAATACCTATCTAGAATAAATGGAACGCATCTTTCGAAGCTTACCCAGGCATCGGTAACGGATATTCCCCACCAATTTGAGTTGAGTTACAATTTCTCCTCTCTTCAACATCACGGACCATCTCTCCCTTGCACCAACATGCGTTACAGGCGTGGGGATGATGTGTCACAAATACACAATAGCAACAAGAATACAATAACTTGACATTACTCCGTAACCCCGACCGCTAACCTTACCCGCCGTAGCCAATAAACGGTTGACACTAGAATAGTGACCCATTCCGGGGTGCTGGGTCATGGCTCCCTTCTGTTATTATTAACCTTGTATGCGCACGCAACTAAAGTATAGGATTGAACAACAATACCCGAAGACCAACTGTCAAGTGGATGATCACAACACATAGACTACCTTAACAACGTTTGCTCCAGGGCCATGGATACCAACCTGTCAACCACCCCAATGGGTAAACACATCGGATCCAGCACCACAGCTGTGGAAGCCCATTCATAGGTACTGATAGGATGTGGGCAGCTGTTTCAAATTTATTTCATATGCCGGGCGGCAGTGGCTACAGCTTGCTAGCTAACAGGGTCAAGCTCTCAGACTCGCCTACTAGAGCTTGACAAGCCTGCAAGCCCAGATATGGTCCAAGCTCGTTTAGACGTTTGGACCCTTGCGTTAATTGTTTGACAACTCGTCAAAATGTCCATCAATCGATCTTCGATGTCCATAGAAGGGGCGATTTTGCTGTCTTCATTCATGCATTCGCCCCTTTTTCCCGACCGTGTGGTTCGGGACGAACGCCTACAAATTACACAAACTAAGCTGGAGCCAATCCATTCTTTGCTCCAACATCTTGCATATCAATACATCCTTACGTTCTTCCAATGTTCTTTCGGTACCGCACCCCGGTCATGCTCAGTAGTAAGCAAGGAACCGTGCGCCGTTTCGCAATATTTTTCGACGGAATGCCCGATATCTATTGCTACGCTGCGACGTTAAACCTTCCAAAATGCAGTCAATTAATCAATCATTTTCTTGCTCACGCAGTTGCTTGGTTATTATTTGCCCTTAGCTACGGCGTGTTAACTCAGGTAGTATCAGACCGCTTTCGTAGTAGGTAAGGGTATCGTTGTCAAGCCTACACCTATGAAACCATCTTAGCGTCTATTATTTTTAAGATCTCTATTTTATATGGCCTGGTTTACAATAGTATACTACTGTTTGAGTAATCCACATAACTCGTAAAGAGTGCTGTACTTAATAAAAGGGGCAAGTTGAAGATGATGAACACCGCTGCGTCTACTAATTTTCAACTTCATCCTACCGTAGGCTTTCTGTTTCTGCTCGCCTTATTTTGCAATTCGTTTTCAGACATGCTGAAGTCGGCATCCGACTCCTGATAGCCATCTTGGGGCCTGCCATAGTCCGTATCTTTATTCGTCGTTGGCTGTCTCCGTGACCCTTCTTTCCTCTCTTCGGTTCCTTTATTCTCGGTTAACTTGCACCACTCGATATTATCAGAATAATCTCTAACATCCTAGTATCTTCGTCTACTTGTCGCTTCTTTCGTCGTCCACAGATTTGAGAGCATGGATGACAGATCCTTAAACAAGTGGTGTTGATTGGGCTATCGCCGGTATATATGAATATATTATATGCGATAGCTCCGCTTATGGTAGCAATAAAGGACATAATAATTGGAATCTGAACCAAGTTTAGCCAAGCCGTACGAATCCAAACTAAATTTAAATAGATACTCACCCGAGAATAGTTATCAAATGCTGACCACGCATCATCATCATAGCCGAGGATGGTCAGCCAATTCTCCTTGTAACGTCGCGGGCTGGGTTAATCGGCGATCTGCACCCTAGATTAGGTAGTCAGCTAGGTAAAGCCAGATATTATAACTAAAGGATGCTTGCCCAGTCTCCTTATTATTAACTCAGAAAGCTACGAAATAGTTGCAGAGCATTTTCATGACGCGTCAGGAGTCTCGCTTGAGACTCCTTGAGGACAAATGAGATGTTTGTATGTAGCTTTGGCTTCAAAGCCATCCCAGTTAGAGTTCCTCGCAGAACAACGAAGTTGTTTTCCTTACCTAATGCTATTCGTGTACAACGTCACTACCAACATTTGGTTAAGTTCGTCCAGGAACATTTGATGCCCCGAGGTGAAGCAGGTACCTATCCCGAAGTATCCCTAGAATGTGTGACTGACACGGTGGATATGATGGAAGGATGGTTATCCAACGACCTAGGAAGTATCGACTTAAAAATGGCTAATGCTATACGCAAAAATCTACTCTCGATTGTATGCGGCACTACGCCATCACTGCAAATGATGATGCAAAACGGAATGCTCGATGATTTCTACGTAGAAGGTCTTGGATTCCGTGAAGCTACCTAGCCATGATATGTCAGTCTTTACCAGCACCCCAAAATAAGGATCCTCTAAATAGGGGCCGCGGCTAGAGGCGCTACTAGTGATGTCCTACCCCCCATACGAGGCCATTTCGAGTCGTATACATACATCGACATTTCCCCTGGATTTTTTGAAAGCGCCCATCAAATATTCAGCAACTATTCTGACAAAATGGTCTTTAAGATCTTTGCCATTGAAAAGGACGTGTCCATCCAGGGTTACAAGCGCGGATCATATGATTTGGTTATTGCATCTGACATCCTCCATGCGACACAGCGGTTACAAGACACTTACGGAGATGCCGCAGTCTTCTACGTCTAGGTGATTATGTAATGTTAATAGAGACTACTCTTGAATCCCTACGATTCTAGTTCATGGGTACGCTCCCTGGGCGGTTTTTGGGCATCGACGATGGTCGTGTCTGGGCACCGGGCGTCAGTCGAGATCGCTGGGATACTATTTTTTTTTTTAAAAAAAAACAAGATTTTCCAGCGTTGATAGCAGTTCACGCTTTCACTCAGCGTTATGGTATCTCAAGCCGTTGACGATGCCATAACAGTCCTCCGCAAACCCCTGGCAGCCGCCACCAAATCATTGCCTCAGATGAATGACCTTGTTATTATTAGAGGAAATAGCCTATCATCCTCGCAGCTTGCTAACGGCATACGAAATTTCCTTGAATCGAAAGTTAGCAACGTTTCTATTGTTCCTAGGTAGTTTTAAAGACATCGCTGAAAAGCAGATTGAGATTTCACCCCGAGCCATAATGTTCTTGCGGTCTGATCTTGAGTCGGCATTCTTCCACAACATACCTATGAAACGCTTCCAAGGATTACAAAAAATAATACGCAAGAACCCTAAATCTATGCTCTGAGTTACTCACGGGGCAAAATCTAGGAGAAACCCCGTCAATAGTATGATTAACGGATGTGGACGGTGCATCCAAAATGAGAGCCCCGACATCAATCTACAGATTCTAGATTTCGACAAAAGGAGCTCAGTTAACTCTGCATTGGTTGTCGAGGTGCTTCTCCGATTAGTATTAGCTGGTTCCCTAAGGGTACAAGGAATTCAGGGCCTCGATGAGATCTTCCACGACATGGATTTGGAGTTGAGGATAGCTGAAGCTATCATATGTGGCCAACCGGATTCGACACAATCTGCTGATTTGATTATAGGTTTGCAGAAAGTGAACACAGCTGTATGGAAGGATAACCCAAGATTTGGGCTAAACTTCAGAGGAGAAGGGGAGCGTACACAGAGCTCTGACCAGCCAGAAAAGCCAAAATGAGAGAGTGTGGCACCTAAACTATATCAAAATTTGAACTGGTTGAGTGAGAAGAATAACGTTGGTGCTTAGAGTAGATACAGATTAAACACCGATAAATGAGCCGATTCGAAGATACCGTAGCCCATGAGGTTTCGCCCCACATTTAAACCGATCGACCGTACCGGAATCATAGAGGTCCATAGCAGGACTTGCAGGGTTTGATAAACAATTTATCACTAGTTGAATAATAATCAATGATCATTTAACTGTTATATACATATAAATGTTTATAATAGCGTACGTTGAAGCATCCATGCGCTTAATCAGATTTAGTCATTTATACAGGTTAAACGTTTACAGCCTTTTCAATGCTTTATTATCCTAACGTTAAGCGTAAGAAAAGAAGTATATCATTTCGAATTACACGGCAAGTGCTGTGTATACCTCGTAGTCTATTTGAAACAAACGTAAGCCGTAAGAAATATACGTAAAGTTCAATTGTAATCGTACATATAATGTAATGTAATGTGATATAGTATAAAAATATTCCTAGGTGCTGACGCAAGTAAGATGCGATAAATACCTGGTACGAGAATATATTTTTTTCTTTTACATATACTATACCTTATATATAAATGGTCTATTCATAGTTTATACCCTTTAAACGTATAAAACTTTTCAACGCTTAACATTTTCAACGCTTAAAATTTTTTTTAAACGCTTACACATTTCAACGCTTGCGCGCATCAACGTTTATGTCTTTTTCAACGCTTAAACCACTTTTAATATTTATATTTACCAACTCTCGCTCAAGTATTCGCGCCTTTTTCAACGTTGGGAATGGTTAATAGTCAAATGACCGTCGGTTGATGGTTTATCAGACCCTGCAAATCCCGCTATGGGTCCTAGAGATAATTCGGCCGGGTCGGCACCGAAAACGAAAAGAAGCAGCTACCTACTAATGTTAGGTATCCTTGAAGGCGCGGCCGGCAACCACCTGTTAGCTTGTTACTAAAATGTTCAAGGATGCTTATCGATAAGCCATCGGTCTTATTCTCCAAACCGTCAAAATCGAATTTCGAATTTCGAATTTCGAATCGTCGGCGCAACTTTCATTTAATTGGGAACTTCTAAACTGTATAATTGCTAGTATGCCAAGATGTCCCAGAAGAAGAAGGCCTCTGCACTTGCAGACCTTTTCCAGACCTCTCTGAGCTCTCGGACAGTTTATCTCAAATGCATCCCAGCCCCGGCCAGCTTCTCAGAGCGTCGCGCTGTTCTGCGCGCCGTTCAGAAGATCACACACGAGACTGTCCAGACATTCAAGAAGCTTGAAGTATGCGATCTACCTCCCCGTCCTTCTCAAAGTCACAATCCTCCTAACTACAGTGGTTTTAATTAGGACAATTCATCATTCGTCGTTGTCACATCGATACCGGGCACTGCTACTGCTTTGGTGAACGATTCCCCCTTCACTCGTGTCGTTATTGAGCAAGATCCGAATGCTGCCTCATCATCATCGCCGCCCTCGTCTGCATGGGGCTCCCAGTACGATCCCCGAGGAAGTATTACTACACCTATCAACCCACACGCCCCCTCCAAGTTATTATCGAAAGAAACGCCGGCTTTATCCGATCTAGGCGTGTCTTATAAAACCTTTACCTTGCATATGTTTGCTGCGAATAGGACATACAACCATAGGGAAGCAGTTAGAAGAAACCCTCTCCACGGGCCATGGCCATCGAATAATACCAGAGATACCTTCGTATCAGCTGCTTTGCGGAAGTCTTTGCCGCCTAGTCCCATGGCTCCGGCTTTGCGCGACTGGCATACTGCCAATCAGTTATCGCGTGATTCGATAAGTTTTGCGGATGAAGGTGCTGAGGGAGCAGGATCTGTGCTTTTGGGCATAAAACGCCCGTCTCCGAAAGATGTCTATTTTCTAGATCGCATCAGATCACGGATGAATGCGAAGGGAATACCAGCCGTCATGAAAAGTCTAGCTGCGTTTGCCAATGGGGATGCTCAAGATTCACCGTCTAACGCTACCAATCCGACTACAACCTGGCGCAACTTAACATATCGTTCTGATATTAACGCAGATTCCGATTCCTCGCTTGGAAAATCACTTGATGACGCTCCCTTAGATCAAGAGGCTCCCTTGGACCAAGAGGCATCGCCCGCCAGTAAAGATGGTGAGAATAAGGTCAATTGAGCCACAACTCGTAAGAAGCATATGCTTTACAGGGATGTCACTAGAGACTTTTTATTTACATCTCAAAAGCCCTTACAAGCTTGTTCTGCTGTACACCATACAGAAAACAGGTACCTAAACGAAGGCATTGGGTTCTTTTTGTGTTCCCAAGCTTTGAGCTACGTCTTCAAATGCTACAAAAAAACAAAAGCCGAAGCCACGTTTCAGTGGTCGGATACAAAATGGTCCTTACCTCAGAAGGATTTCGATATAGTAGCTCCAATTTGTCCTAATCAGTGTCGGGAATTCTATATCGACTTGATTATTGAATTCGTACTTCACTCTGAAGTTACTAGAAACATCCAGTGTATGTGTATCTACTTCACCTGGCACAGCGACAGTACCTACCCAGGTAATGGATGACGTGTCGTTGGCTTTGACTCGGCCGGGACCGTTGGTACATCTTGGCTGCAGACTGCCGTCATCAGTTAAGCCAAAACAAGGCAACGGGTTAGACAGCCCAGAACCCTGGCTGTTCCCCACCAAGGATGCTCATAAGAATAACTAGGCCCTACCATGCGACCTCCAAAGCCACGACGTCACAGGTTAGATAGCTTCGTTTCCCAGCTGGGCACGTATGGCGGTGTTCATAGATCACGTCCCGTGGGAGGGCACAGCCCAAAAATGGTCTTGCTCTCCATTTGTATGTTTTGCCGATTATCCGTTGCCGATTGTGATTGATTACGGGGATCGTCAGTTTCCCGTATGACGTCGCGACGGCATGCATCAATGAAAGCCAGTTCTCATAGGCGCAGCCGACGTCGGATCGCCACGATTCTGGCTTGAACATCATCGATTGCCCGTTAGGGAAACTTGGATGTGAATAATGCCAGGGTTCTTGAATATTAGAGGAACAGGATTGTTTGCCCAATGGCTTTCGCATATAATTTAAGGTCGTTCCAGCTCTGTACCCTTCGACATGTCAATTCGCATTTATCAATTTTTCCGTTTGTATCTATCTACAGTGAACTGCTACCTATCCAGCTTACTATATTTCGGATTCTTCCCTTGGTGTCTTCCTAAAGTAATAGCAGTCAGTCGAAATGCGGCAGACAGGCTTCTTCCACCACATCGGTTCGTTTCTGCTATTAGCAGCTACGGTGCTGCTGATTATTACCGACATCTCGGCTCCAGTCGTGAACAATATTTCGATGCTAAGAATCAACTTCGATGACCGCAATGTATCCCCAGACCGTCACCCAGCTGTGACTTTCGGCACTTTTGGCTACTGTGTAGTGGATGGGACGGCGTAAGTCAACTTTTACTTGGCTTCTTGTTACCTCATGATGTATTGGCGCCGCTGACAGCAAGTACTAGTTCCGGTCAAGACGCCTGCACACGGTCGCACGTCGGCTACGACCCAGTTCCCCTTATCCAGAGTTATGTCCCGAACGTGGATTTCTCAGACTATGCGGCGGACACATCCAAGGCTTTGACGCGCGTCATGGTCTTACACCCGATCGCGACAGGGTTAGCCTTCATCTCGTTTCTCCTAGCACTCGGCGCCGGTGTCGTCGGCAGCCTTCTCGCGTCGCTATGCTCGCTTCTCACTTTCATCGTCACCCTTGTCGCGCTTATTTGCGACTTTGTATCATTCAGCATTATTCGGTCTCACGTTAACGATGCTGGTAACGGTAGCCACGCCGAGTGGGGTGCCGCGTCTTGGACTATTCTCGTTTCCGCCATCTGCAGCCTCCTCGCTACGTTTGTAGTCTTCTTTACGTGCTGCAGCGCTAGGATGCACAGGCGCCGAGATTCTCGTCGCGCCACCAAGGATGTACCTGACGGCTATGGCGCCCCAGTACGTCGCAGGAGGTGGTGGTAGACCATACTAAGTGGATTTGCCTAGCCTAAAGTACCTAACCTAACTCTTATTACTGTCACATCGACGTAACGCGCAGGCTTCGATCGACAGCCATAAGGCCTAACGATGGACAACAATTAAATGCGGATAAACGAAAATGGACGAAACCATAAGACGACTTTTATTTCATCAAAGAAGACGAATGTATGAATTTACGAACTGTTAAGGGGGATTCCACAATGCGGGGCCCTTGTTGTGGCCTATGATATACCCTTCATATATAATCACTTTTCTTTTACACATGCCCATCACGAGGGTCTGATACCAATATTTATTTTATTATGAGACATGGCGGTTCTGTACGACTAGTGGCGTTAGTCAAGTTCATATTTACATAATATATCTTATCATTCCTTAAAGATTAGCTTGAACAGTCGATTGTTGAACATAATAACGGTGTGCTGAATCCAACGGCGTAATAAGAGGTAATATACCTAACCTAATAGGTATAATCGAGTCGTTAAATGGCTATCCAAATTCGCATTTGGAGTATGTAGTGACCCAATCTTTACCCCGGTGGTGTCTACAATTGTCTATACAGACGCCTTAGCTGGGTTGGTTTCGCTGGATATATCCGTTAGTAAAAGGCTTGATGGACCTGTTATGGAGGATATAGGCCTCATGTTATGGCTGAATTAAAACAAAGTACCTACCTCCAGGTAATGTTGCCATGGAAAAGTAAATCGAAATGCGTGACTATACCTATGCTTCTGGTCATTGCCAAGATCACAATTCAGAGCCTACTGTACCCTACCCCCTGACATCGCGGAGAATGAGAGGTCAAAGTGACCCCTTCCATTGTAGAACAAAATGATTTCTAATTATGTACTCAAACTTTTAAAGTATCTTACAAGGCGCTCCTGATCGGGCTGCAATAATGTAACATACTACACGCATCCACTCAAATAGCTTCAAGGCTATGTATGTGATATATGTTGATTATGGTGGACCGTTCGGACAGATTCCGCGCGGTCGTCCGCCGACTTGGTAGTACCTGTCCACGTCCCCTCGCCAAACAAATCGGCGTTGGACGCTACAGACTCCGGGACCGGCAGTGAGCGCATCTCGTGAGAATCCCAGTCGTCTAACGTTTTGAACGTCTCTAGAATGCTGTCTTGGAAGTGTTTCACCCTCGCTTGAAGTCCCGCTGGCCGAGCTCTATGCTGTGCCCTTTCCCTTTCGTACCCGGCGATTCGTTCTCTCTGGACAAATAGGGAGCGGAACGATACGAGACACGCGACGAGAAATGCTTTCGATGGTTAGCGGACATCTGGGGAGACGGAATGTTCTTCTCGATAACATAATGTCACTTACAGACTACCCATTCAGTAACAATCCAGAACCACACCCATATGACATCCGTAACAGTCTCGCCCGCGCCGCCATAGGCGCTGGTTCTCACTATGGTGACGGCAATGGTGAGAAGTACAAGGCAGAAGATAGTAGAAAGCAGCAGCTTCTTTCGCAGAGATATCTTGGTTCCCCAAAGCACAAAGGCCGGGAAGAATATGACTATCCTACGAGTTAGCCAGTTGCGTAGATGCTTAGCAGAGTTTTATATGCGTGAGTCTTACTCATGCCGTCTGTTATGACATCGAGAGCCACCGAAGCCTTGAATATGGCCTTGGATTTCGACTGGTTCGAAGCTTCGGAGCAGACCTGCAGGATGTATTCAAACGAGCCGAAAAGACAGTCGAATTCCCCGGTGCCCATTATCACGGCGAAACAAGCAAGCGTTAGCACGAGGAATATCCACCACAGTATCCCGAACTTGAGCACGTTATTTCCAAGGCGATAGAAGAAGACGAGAAAGCCGAGCTTGATCAGAAAGATGCCAATGTAGCAAAGTATGAAGAAGATCCCGAAGGTGCGTTGGACCTTTTCTATAATAGAAGTGATATCTGGCCCAGGCGCTTCCTTGCCCCCAAGCACAGCCTTTTCGGTATAGACATAATGAAGAGATATCTGGGCCAATATAGTGGTACTGAGGAGTAATAGTAGAGATATTATCATAAGCCAGTCGTCCAGCAGCAGTTTGCGATGGCAGGATATACGGATATACGCTCGCCCGACGAAGGCGACGGTACAAAGAGCGAATCCGGTCCAGTAGAGCCCCTGTAGTAATAATCAGCTGCGCCATAATATGAGTATAAGAACAACAACGCGATATACGTACAAGAAATGCATCTAGTGACACAATGTTGGGCTTGGCATACGGTTCATACTCCATCGAATGGATGTCTATCTGAATATACAATTGTGAAATAGCGCAAGTATGTTCGTGCTAGAGAGTATGCTAATCCGCACGCGTGAGATCTAATGAAATATCTAATGAAATAGGTTGTTGGATGGCTATTTTCTTTCCACGCGAATCAACAACTGGGGGCATCACATTGATAACGGTAAGAAAATAAGGCTTTGCGATGTAGTATACATGGTAGAGACAGGAAGACAATCCAGTAAGATTACCTAATTGTTTGGGTGAGAAAAGAAAAAAAGAATTTTTCCCTTCCGCTGATATTTTGCTATTTTAATATCGTGGTATGTCTAAACGGACCTATGGAATATTCTTCGGAATTTGCTAATGTTATATCACGTACCACGAGGCTCGTGCAACCACCCCTCGCCCAAAGTTGCTGTTTAAAGCAACAAATACTACCTAGTTACCTGTGCATAGAAGTCTTTTCTACTGGTCTTTGGCGTGCATGGACGGACCTTTCGGCAGCTTACTTGGTGGGCAGCGTCACTATCTACCACTTCACGTATCCGAGAAGAACTTTGTAATCATCGGTACTTATATCCCTTCCAGGATTTAGTCGTACCTACCTTGGTAGATAAGCTCGTAATTCTCAGCTTGAGGATAAAGGCATTTCCTTACTTACTTTTACCTCCCTTTACTCCATACCATGGTTAAGCGAGATGAAAATATAAACAGGGAACTCACTCTTGACTTGAGATACTACCGACGCTTGATAAGGCTCTAGATTAGATCCCTTGCAGTATGATCAACCTGATTCCGCTCCTTCGGAGCCATCTAGCAATACCCTAACCCGGGCGGGGTATCATAAGACCTAGGCTGGAACCTCTCATGATATACTTGCGCTCCCTGAATACCTGGACAGAATACACATCGGTCCTTTCTACTTTAGGACCTGATAGTCTAATTGCGCTTGGCCCCCACTCGTGGCGATGTTGTAAGATTCTCAAGGCTGAGAATCGTATCGTAGGGTACGGGCTTTCCGTCAGTCCCAGCTTCACATGTCGTATACACTTCACCAGGGAGGATAGTCCTACGTTCAAGTGTATATTATAGGCTTTGTTCTCTATAAGATCGACATAGTATTAGTGCATTTTGAGTGCGAAGTGTTAATCTCTACCAAAAGTAATATACAAGTGAATGTAATAACGCATTAGGATATCCTAGTTCAAGCATAATATGAACCCCTTTTCTTGCTGTTATTAGGCAACTCCCCTTCAAGCCGTCTTTTTCTCCTCCTCGACACCTTCTAATTTTGAACGCCTATCCTTTTCCAAACACCACTGTACAGATTGCTTGAGGACCTCGTCGAGGGTATAAAGCGGTTCGTAGCCTAGTAACGTCTTCGCCTTGGTGATGTTGTAGTAACGCGTCATGCAACTGAACGCGACTCTTGTTCTGTTGAAAGTGGCTGGTTTTCGAATCAGTGCGAAGAAAATCTCGCTGAGAAGGCCGAGAAACAAGGCGACTGCTTCTGGGATTACCCAGACGCGACGCATGTCGTAGGAGAACCCGCACGCGATCCATACCGCGCGTGCGAAGTCCCAAAAGTACATAGGGCTATCGTTTGTGATGAAGAAACACTGGCCGTCAACACGACGGTCAGGTCTGGTCTCGGAATCGTCTGTCTTGAGGAGAGCTTCCGCAGCAAGTAAGTGACCGTGCGCCACATTGCCCACGTACGTAAAGTCGAAAAGGTTCTCGTTGCTTCCCACTTGTATGTAAGCGAAGCCTTCCTGATAGATGTTGATAAAACGAGGCAAGATCATCCGGTCACCCTCTCCGATGATACCGGACGGGCGAATAACCGCAGTGAGCAACTTGAACGGTTCTTGACGGTTTGCAGCAATGACAAGATCTTCGGCTTGAGCCTTTGTTCGATTGAAGTACTTCGTTAGCTCATGCAATGAATAAAAGTAATAACTGATAGATCTCACCTTCGATTCGGCATAGTATTCGGGTTGGTCTTGACCTCTTGGACGGGGCCATCTTTCGTCGGCATTGATCAGATTGGAACTATGATCGCTAATGACACTTGCTGAACTCGTGTAGACCAGTGCCTTCACGTCGTACTTTTGACATGCTTCGATGATACATTGGGTACCGCGAACGTTGACCTTGTCATACAATTCCCGGGTTGATTGAACATCGACTTGAGGCAAGGGAGAAGCAGTATGAATTACCACATCTGGAAGACAGTCTCCAAAAACCTCGAAGAGGCGAGGAGTACACGTAATGTCAGCTTCGAAGTACTGCACGCGGTCTGTATCGGGCTGTCGGTTCTGCGAGATACAAAGATCAACGACGAAAATGCCATCCGTCCGATAGCGTTTGAGCAATAAGGCAACAACATGATGACCAAGGAAACCAGTTCCGCCTATCACCATAACCTTTCCCAGGCTAGTTCCTGATGGATTTGGGGGTGCCATGGCTGCTGTAAGTATTCGGATCGGTCGACGTTACTCGTGGAATTGGTGAGAAGGCTAGTAAAGGGAGAAGAAGGGACAGGAGAGATGGATGGTAGAAGCAGTCTCAAGATGGTCAGTGCTCTCGGATATTGGCCTGTTGGCATAAGCTCAACAGGGTCTCGGGAAAGGCACTATGTAGCGTTAATGTACACGAGCAAGGGCATTGAAGGGGTAGTAAAGGGTGGTGAAGGTCGTGAAGGTCGTGAAGGTCGTATGGTGGGCTAGGTTGCATATTAGACTAGTTACACAACATAGATTCATTAACCACTTATACGTAAGGTCGTTAAACCGTTGAAAGCTCTCTGTCACATCTCATATGGGTACTCCATATTGCGAGCGGGTTAGAGAATTACTATTCGCCGTCGGGGTTCTTTGGGATGCCGTGTAAGACCCGAGATCTATGCAGCGTAGTATGTCCAATTCTAGCTAATCGAGTATTCGTAAGTTCCATCTAAGCCAAGGGATGGCCATTTTTTAGATGCTTTACTGCCGAGCCTCAGTAACTCTAGCTGTAGAGAAATAAAGTAGTAGGCCAAGGCCGAATATGTGCCCAAACGTCACTGTGTCTTATCGTAATCGAGGCAACTCGAGACAGACAATGAACTCAGTAATAACTTGCGAGTGCAAGGTAAAACAGGTGAATAAATAACAGGAAGCGACATCACTCCTCCGGCTGGAGAACGCGAGAACATTCACCGTATGTAGCCCTCGTTGAATCCATTCCTTGGAGCTTTCTATGCTCCTGTCAGTCGCATCTATGTATGACCAGATTCGCTCCACAACGCTTTATGCGTCATCCCTGTTAGGAGACGTTCAAATTCTGCGTATATTTTCATTCAGCCTCCTATTGGTATTCGGCGGATGGTGGATTCGGTCTCTATCCGTCCAACTTGACCCTCGCGAGCCTCCAGCGCTTAATCCTAAGATTCCAATTGTAGGGCATGTCTGGGGATTAATGAGGCATGCCCATGGCTACATCAACTCACTCCAGTATAATTCACCTACAATATATCTTTCTATCAAATTATGCTGATATCTCCCAGCCGCCAGTCGGGTCTATCAATATATACGCTTCCCCTGCTTCACCGAAAAGTATACGTTATCAACTCTCCGACGCTGGTACAAGCAGCATTCGCGAACAGAAGACTCAGTTTCATGCCGTTTGTTGTCGACTTCGTCAAGCGCATGGATGAGCTTTCACCTTCTGCCAGGGGAATCTATGCTGAAATACACCCCCAAGTTATGCAGAGTATTTCAACACACATGACAGGGAAACAACTGAAGCGGAAGAATTCGGTGCAGTTGAAAGAGTTCTTCCCATATTTACCTGAGGATGGCGTTGCACTGGAAGTAGACAATCTCTGGTTCTGGCTGAGGGACATATTAACTGTAGGAACGACGAGTATGCTCTTTGGTCCAAAGGATAACCCTTGGAAGAAACATCCTTCTCTTGTCAAGGCGTACTGGTAACTCGCTTTTTTCTCTATACCTTCAATATACCATCAAGCACCTAAACTAACAATTGCATTTATCCGATTCAGGAACTTCGAGGCCGGTGACCCCTCCCGACGCTTTAATCTTACAGCTGTTGGCAATCGGCGAACGTCAATGTATCACGCGACTATGCATGCCGCCCTAATTAAATACTTTGCGACATGTTATGATTCTTCAATTGCCTCGGAGGATAATGGTGTCGCCGAGATGATACGTGACGCAGTGGCGTTGCAGCGCAGAAGTGGCTTCAACGTCCAGGATGTGGCCGCGTCCCAACTCGCTATAGTCCACGGATCTATCGTTAGCACGGTTCCAACAGCTTTCTGGGCAATAGCTTATGCCTTCAGTCAACCTGAACTTCTAGCTAAGCTTAGAGAAGACGCTCTCGCTGCAGTCACCTTTGAGGATATTGAGGGTACGGGCATGCGTCGGGCAATTGTGTTGAATGACCAAATTGATGTTGTTTGTCCGTTGCTAGTGGCCACCTTACATGAAACTCAGCGGTTAGTCAGTATTGGTCTGTTACATCGTCGCGTCCTTGAGGATACGCAAGTCTCGGAAGGTGCGGGAGAAGCCAAGAGGACCTATCTTCTTAAGAAGGGCACAGCTATCTTTCTTGCTTCGGGACCTAGTCATCGCAATGAGCAAATATGGGGAGAGACATCGGATGAATTCCGGCTTGATCGGCTTCAGGAGAGCGCGGTTGATCGGGCTTATCAGAATGGTCAAGAAAAGGCCAGGCAGGTTGTACGGTCACGTAATAAGGCATATTTCCCGTTCGGGGGCGGTAAGGAGTTATGCCCCGGTCGTAATTTCGCAGCTTCTGAGGCGTTGAGCACACTTTTGGTAATGGTATTAGGGTTTGATATGTTCACACCGGATGGAACACCATTAAAGATTCCACCTTTTAGCCCCCCTAAAATGACGGCGTCAGTTGCAAGACCCCATAAGAACGCTGATTTAAGGGCTAACATAAAGAGAAGGGTAGGTTGGGAAAAAGTAATTTGGGGAGTTAGTCCTGATTAAAAGAGTTGCCAGAATATTGTTTTCCTCGAAACAAGCAAACAAGCTAATTACCTCTTTATATGAGGTACACGTGGGTTATATGTACCTATAACACAGTTCCTCTGGAAGCTTGCAAGTTTGAGCAATACACAATGCGATTTGAGAATCGGGTATACTTTCTCAATATTCTTGCATTTACCTATCATAAATATGGATGGAAAGAAACTGGGAAAAAAACCTTGAAAAGATAAGGTATGGAGGAAAAGGAGGTCAAGCTGTATGGTACATATACCTTATACACACACTTAATCTAATACCTAACAACTCCAACTGTCCGTTATTTTATTGGTTTACCGCGTAACACAGTAGGTACCTCTTGGCATTATCTCTCAGTCCCCTGGGAATATTTATAGAACAATCAATGCCTACCTCATCCAACCCCTCAAAGAGATACCTAATGTTTTTCCCTTCTTCCCTCAACCACTACCAGCACCACTACCTCTTCAATCCAGAAAGATGTCGGGTATCACGCAAACCGTTCTATCTTCCACTATATTTAATGTTATCGGAGTGTGCACCGCTGCCACCATACTAGTCAAATTTTCTTCATTAATTAGAAAATACACCCGTTCATCCAAGCTATACAAGTTTGCGCATCCATCCCAAACTGGAGATTCGCCGTGGGCCTTGGTCACGGGCGCATCAGATGGCATAGGCCGCACTCTGGCTGAAGAATTGGCTGCCAATGGATTCAATGTCATAATACATGGGCGGAACAGCAACAAGCTTGCTAAAGTCTCGTCTGAGCTTCAAGCTGCATTTCCTCAGAGGTCATTCAGATTTCTCGTTGCAGATGCCAACAACGTGCGCTGTGCGAACTGCGTTAAGGCTTCGCAGGATGACGGGTCGGATAAGCTAGCAGGCGTAGACTTCGAGGCGATTAAGCATGAAGTGGAAGGTCTGAATCTCACCGTGCTCATCAACAACGTTGGAGGAAATCCGGTCGACCCAATTTTCATGCCCCTGAAAGATAAGGGGGAGCTCAAAACCACCGAGAACATCAGCCTCAACGCTCTGTTTCCGATACATCTAACTCGCACTCTTCTCCCGAACCTCATCCAAAACGCGCCAGCACTCGTCATCAATATCAGCACCATGACTGAGGATTTCCTACCACTTCTCGCAACGTACGGCGCTAGTAAGCGATTCCTCTTGAGTATAGGAAACAGCATTCGCCTAGAGCTGGCTATGGAAGGCAAAGAAGACGACGTCGAAATCTTGGGCGTCCGGACGGGAAGAGTCACAGATGTTGTGGGTTGGAAAGAGCCTCCAACCTTTTTCATACCGACCGCGAAGAGATACGCCAAGGCCGTACTGTCCCACGCCGGCCACGGACACGGAATCGTAGTTGGGTATTGGGCACACGCGCTACAAGACGTAATGTCGCTCCTGATGCCATCAAAGGTGAAGGATAAAGTTATCATAGATATCATGCGCCGGACCAAAGAATGGGATGACAAGGCTAAGAAACAATTGTGAGTTACTTCGTTGTAGTGAAGCGGATTCGAGAGTTCACGCCCCTGATTGGAGATCCAACCCCACTCCCCCTTCTCCCTGTCCTCATGTTCCTTCTTAGGCACACCTGCATTTTCGCTTCGTTACAGTGAACGGTGGAAGGGTAAAAGGGGCTTATTTAGAATCAATGATTCATAGTTCTGGGGAACCTTGATTCTCCATTAATGGTATCCCTACGAGTTAGCAGTATGAAAAAATAATAATTTAAAAAAAGCCTAAATTGTTCTACTAAAATCACACCTCTCTGAGTGTTAACCTTAATCAGCCCTAATTCCTTCTCATGCCACATTTTCTAGGCACCGTCGGCTTAGGAGGTAGATGGGAAGGGGTGATAGCTTCTTGCATCAAGCTGTGTTGCAGTGGCTGTTGACGTGCTGTTGATCCCCGATGTAAAAAGCGAAGGGTATTACGCTTGCGAAGACAAGGAGTGCATAACAACATAATAACGGGCAAGATTGTCACTTAACAACTACCTCAAGTAGGTAATATTAGAAGACATTCATTTTGAAGATTCAGTAATAAAATACTTCTAGTATACTTTTCCTTACATTGACATGGTGTTGAATTGCAAGGTTCAGTATTGGTACCATAACCATAGCCTGACTCATAGAGGCTGTGCAGCTACTTTGCATGCATTCTTCAGCTCGCTGCCCAGCCTGACGATAAAGCGCCTATTTGGCCATTACTTAACAAATATCCACGAATGAAATAGCATTAGTAACCCTCCAAGTTGTACTGTAGTGAATAGATCGCCCGAAAATGTTCAATTGTGAATATTTATATCGGTGAAAGTGTATAATCAGGCTGGCTCTAGTCATATCCCCCAGGCATGAATGGCCGGTTTTGTCGCCATGTGGCATTGTTGAAGCCCAATAAACCAAGTGTATATCGCCACGGGAAAGAGCCTCATCTCTTATACAGGGGAAATCTTTGAGGAGCAGTGTGATATTTATGAGATGTATCGTCGATTAATACACTAGGTGCCTGCGAGGGTGTTTCACCTCCCCTTTCAGATCTTCAGAGCATCCTCAATATGTCGACCACAATCCCTTACCACCCAGGCAAGTTTTGTCTGTTTATTTCATTGCTACTTCTTACCCTTAAATATGGATGGGTGGAATTCACGATCATCTTGATTTTCTTGGCGTGTTATTTCATATGGAACGGTCTATCAGTTCCACCATCCCGCCCGCCCAATGGTGATGACAAGATGACAACCAACTCGATTACTTTTCTACACGCTTCTGAGAGCCCTTTCGACACCAGCTTGAGTCATGGACGTTCATTCGACAGGGACATATATACGGCAAAGCAGATTGCAGATTTTGTCTTGTCCATTTCACAACTGACGGACGATGACATCGAGAACGCTCAGAATCTTGCCAGAAACCATGGAATCTTAGATAATTGGGAAGTTCCAAGCTATGTCCCGAGCTACGACGAAATTTATTCGTTTGGCTGTGTTATTGCCATCGCACATTTCTACAATGAACTCTCCAACCATAATTTCCGCAATGAAGACATCCCCAAGATCTACGAAAAGTGTGTTCGCGCCATCAACTCTCTCACCCATTTCCTCCAAACACCGCATGATAAAAGTGCTCGACTTCCAAGTCCGGTGAAGCTATCAATGCGCGAGCGATGGAAGCTGGACCGCACTTGGGACATCTCCGTATGCCTCTTGGGCGCTATCAAGGCTCGATGTGGCTTCCAACGACGGACCCATCTCGGCAGCATACCGATTGTGCATAATATCCACTACCGTAAGGCTGCGAGGCTGGCATTTGACGAGAATAAAAGATTTGGGAAAGGTCGAATTTGTCAGAAGACTCTGGGACTTCTCACCCGAGAGGATATCGAACCTTTCGTCCAACCCATGTGTTTGGTTAAGAAACTCCAATATAAGCAGGATATCAATGATCCTGACAGTAATCATTTTAAACATTCTGGTTGCACACCGGAGTCCTGTACGTTCGATGTCGAGCCCCCCAATGGGGATTACCATATTCCGGGTTGCCCTGGTTGTGGGAAGTCAAAGCCCCAAAACGAGGCATCTGCCAACTTGCGGTTTCGAGAGATCGCGAATAATGGTATGCCGGCGGTGAGCATCTCTGATCCGTCGAACTACTGGGTAGCGGCCGACCACGATACTCTAGTTGTTTCTCACGTATGGAGGGACGGCATATGGGGAACAAAAGAGGACGGGATAAATAAGTGCGTCCACGATCAGCTTGTTCGAATTGCTCAAGACAATGGCTGTACAAGCTACTGGATAGACTGCGCTATAATTCCAGGTGAAGACCAAGCGACGCGGGAAAGAATGATCATGATGATCAATTGGACCTTCACGAACGCAAGGCTAGTTCTGTGTTGGGATAGAAATATTGCCAGTTTGGGTTCAGATACCGAAACAATACTATTGTCGTTAATCGTCTCCTCTTGGCATCGGCGGGCATGGACCCTTCTTGAAGGCAACAGGGGTCAGCAAAAAAGAATAACGTTCCTCAGATGGGTGGACACAAGCAAGCCAACATATGAGCTCTTCCGTCTGAGCGACGTACTTAATGCTGTCTTCCGCAAGCCAAATATCCGACTATGGATCCTTTCAGCACTGGTTGAGCTTCTTCCATATAGCGACATGCCTCTGTCGGTCGATGCAGCAGGGCTACTCCTATCCGGACGTCACGCTAGTCGTCAAGGCGACTCTGAAGTCATCTGGGGCTTACTCCGACCTATTGAAGCCAGAAATGGAGCTGATGACTTCAGTTACAAGGATCCGTACATATATGCAAATAAGAAGGTTGACGTCGCATTCATCAGCTCCAACGCAGAAAGGTTCAAGATTCGGGGAACGCCGTCCTGGAGGCCTGGTAAAACCAACGCTACTACCTGGGTCCGGACAGCGTACGGTGGCATCAAAGCTGACATCGTCGACGGGAATTACGGGAAGAAGTACCTGCACGGAAAATGGTGGATGAAGACGGATGTGAATATCAAAAAACGACATGTAGACTGGGCGGAAAGCTCAATATTCGAGCGGAACGAAATAGGAACCAATCCCAATGACTGCGCGTTCATCTGCCCTATTTTGATGGGGGATCCACGGAGTGATACCAGCGGGGGACATTCAGCAGAGCCGATAGAGGGATTTTTCCGAACTAGCGTTGTTATGGAGTGTAAACGAGCGATCTTTATTACGCGGGGGGAGGACGATGTTTGGCTATGGCGAGGTATGGTGAAGTTTGAGAATGGACACTCTTTATTCTTTACTACAGGTGAAGCCAAGGAGATCACGATCGGTGGTCCCATACCAGATTGAATACCTAAGGTATGACGATCTAGGAAGAGAAATGGGTGAGTACCTAGGTGTGATGTATTTTGGATTTCTTTCTTTTTCTTTTTCTTTTTTTCCTAGAATGGACATGAGTTAATTTGCGCCATACAGGTAGCCTATTCATCTCATATGTAATAAGATCCGTATGGTATAAGTGTAATAATCCACCAGCCCAGTCAGCTTAGCAGTTAACAGGGTTGAGAACGACTTGGCCAATCGGACTTGCATCTCCTGCTCCTCAGATATACTACTTATGCAACTTTACCTTGCTGCCATTTGTTAGGCGTTTTTTGTATCACATAAAATACATAATGAAGGGGTTTAAATTGTATCCTAATTCTCAATAGTAATTATCTAAGCTCTGGATTGTCTTCCTCTTACAATATATTTTTACTTCAACCTCTTTTTTCCCCGAAGACTTATAAGCGCGTCTCGTTTCCGATCATCATCCACCAATCGTGAAATTCATTATGCCTGTTACTTCGGATGAGTTACGTTCTCAATGGGATAAGCCCAGTGAGGTTTTCAGTGTGCTACTTATCCTCGGCGGCGATGTGATTGGTCGGGCGCTCGCGCAACTGGCCGGCTCTGGGCTTGCACCTGTTACTTTCTCCTTTGGTTGGTCTCGATCTATCATCCGAACATAACGCTGCAGTGGTATAGGCTGACCATATCTCTTGTAGGATGGGTAGCTTATTCTGTTTCGGCTCTCCTCTCTGCTATTGGGGAGAACAAGCTCATGCCTCCTAAGCCAGATTGCGTATGCAAGGTTATTAATGGCCGTAATGGAAACAGTAGAGAAAACACTAGCTGGATTCTAGGAAGAATTATTCGGGATCATGAATTCTGGATGGATGCGAAGGTAAAAGAAAGGACGGATCAGATACTTACTGAGAAGATGGTGCAACTAGGATCATCAAAAAAGCCTACGATAGCAGGCCTCGTCGTGTCAATCTATAAGCCCGATGACACGAAGCAACAAAAAACTGCCACGAGGGACATGGTTTACTGGAGCGGACTTGTCTCAATCGCACTGCAGCTTGGTATTGCAATTATACCCCTTGGCATACACGGCGATTGGGGTGTCTTGATCGTCACCGCGGCTGGGACTTGTCTTGCCATAGCAACAGGCCTGTTGCCGCAGTGGAGAAGAGAGAAATGGGCGTGTCGCGAAAACTCCAAGGACTCCTATATTTTGACCCGGGGCAATGGATCCCAACACGCTATCGTTATCCTTGGGAACAGGAACGGCCTCAATTTAGAGGACCTTGCGTCGGGCCAGACCAATGTTTCGACCAACGCTACATACTTCACTTGTGTGGCTCTCTTAATACTCTGCGTGCTTTGGATCCCGCTTCTCATAACGGCAGCTGGGATATCTGAGAATACATGGTATCTTTTTGCGACCGGTATTATTGGAATTATTCAGAACATGTTTGCTGCGGGTGCGCCGCGGAAACCGAGCAACTTTGGCATTCATCTTCAATTCGAAGAGGTAATAGGCGAGACGAAGGTTATGGAGACACTGTATGCCACTGAAACGAAATATCCAGGCATCGGTCGAAGACTGAGAGATGAGTTCTTCTCTGGTGAGATGCGTCCTGCAGAAATTGAGAAATGGGAGAAATTCGAGAATTTACGGGGTTAAAATACGTTCATTACCGTTTTTATTACTGTTATAAGATGATATAAACGCCTATTTAACGTTGCCTTAGGTACCTCCTATATCTATAATAGAGGATACCTTCATTGCGCATTTGGTGGGAACTTGTCAAGCCAGTACTAAATGTACATAACAGTGCTGACATTTTTAGCCGGGCCCGTCCGATTTACAGCTAGTGTCATCTTATTATTGGCGAGGCTTTTATTATCGATGGCTATCGTCGATCACGAAGCTCTGCAAATTCTACCCGAATAACTCCTAGGAGACTCTATGAGACTCTAGGAGCCGGTCAACCTCGCAAGTTACTATGACAGATACAGTATGTGGTGACTTGATCAGCTATGATAATCACATACTTAGCAGACACTCCAGTGCAGATACGGCGCGCTCTCTAGTGTGCAACGACTGTTGGAATGGTCTCTTTGCACGCGGCAATTTTCGAGATATATGGGAAAACCTAGGCTTTTTCTCCAGTAGTCCGAAGGCTAGACTTTATACCTACACCTCCACTTGGAATCAAATAGAACAATCGAGCCAAGGCGGGTGCAACTGGTGCACCTTGCTGGTGAGCACTGCTAAATCCGATAAACGATACAACTACCCCCACGACGAGGACGCATTCTTCCGCTCATTTACCCAAACTTTTACTGTATCATTCAAACCACCGAGTTATGACGGAAAAGCCTTGGTCGGCGCTCAGCTTATTTGTGTTCGCGTCGGGGACTATGAGCTCATCTCTTTTCCCTTGTACACGTCGCCAGGTTCGTGCTGGTGTACATGTCCTTTCGGTTTGCTGTATGGTTCACTGATGCATCGCGAGCGCAGATGATCCATGTGCCGACGAAGTACTAGCTCGAGATAGGATTTATCGAATGAAATCGACAGAAACGTGTCGTCTGGCGCTTGAACATTTATCGCACTGCATCAATGATCACAGCGCGTGCCCCAAGCCAAGCCAGGTTCGACCGCTTCCTACTCGTGTCATCGATTGCACCGACCCGGAACGACCGAGACTATACATCACCGGCGGCAATGTTAATGGGTCTTACGTTGCGCTTAGTTATGTATGGGGTGAGAGTCAGCCGCACAAAACAACCCAGAACAACCTCGATGCGTACACTCGCGAGATCCCTACCGATCTACTTCCTCAGACTTCTCGAGATGCGATTTGGGCGACAAAGGCGTTCGGGGAGAAATATCTTTGGATTGACGCTTTATGCATCATCCAGGATTCTAAAGTGGACAAGCGACAAGAAATTTCCAAAATACCAGCGATCTTCTCTAATGCTGCATTCACCATAATTGCGGCGCGGTCGTCCAAGGTTAGCGATGGATTCCTGCAGGACTGCCCACCACCCTCAATCCCCATACGACCTCTACCATTTCCGTGCAAAGGCGATCCTACCCGCTTCGGTACCATGTACGTCGAGCAAAACTCACTTGGCGGCTTCGACGACAACGGCGACGTGCACGATCCGGTAAACAAACGAGCCTGGTGTCTTGAAGAACGCCTACTTTCCACACATGCGTTTGCGTACACTTCGACCACTCTTCGCTTTTATTGCCCGATGACCCGTATCAGCATTAACGACGCCGTGCGCGAACTACATGACCTTCCAACCCACCGTCTTAACATCGAGTGGATGCCTGCGCCTGAGGAAGAACACTTTGATCCGAAGGAAGAAACAGCATTCGACTATAACAGAAGGACGACTCTATGGGATAACATCATCCATAACTATACTGGCCGAACGGTCACGCAAGTTGAGGACAAACTCATTGCCCTCGCAGGTGTAGCCAGCCGCTTTAGCACGCGGTGGAAAAAGGGAAAGTATATGGCGGGGCTATGGCTCGACAACTTTCAGCACGACCTCCTATGGCATGTGGCCGATGGCAACCAGTTACCACGACTGGAGTCCTTCAGAGCACCCTCCTGGTCGTGGGCGGCCGTGGACAGTCAGGTAGAAGCCACAAAGCTTCAGCCCTTCGACCCGCCCCTATACGAGCTAGATAAGCACGTAGTGCAACTTGAATCTGATATACTTCCTTTTGGCGGAGTAACAGCGGCTTCGCTAGAAATGCGCGTGCGCTTACTCAAGGCCGAATGGCGCAACGACGGCCTGTATGCCTACCAGCCCCAGGTAACTGGCAGTAATAAGTCCGAGAATGAGTCGAAGATCTACTACGCATGGCGGGATACGATAGAGGTATGTCATGGAAACGTCTGGTTGTTACCTGTCGCCTGGAGCACGAGGTCACTTGACCTCTGGGGTCTGGTTGTGGTTCCAGGAGAAAAGCCAAGGGAGTACAGACGCGTAGGTTGCTTCCGAGATTTCCCCAAGTGGATATCCAAAAGCAATGTTTTGGAGTTAAGGTTAGAACCTATCACGTTTATATGACTTCGGTGACTTCTCAGTAATTAGTAAGTAACAGGTAATTTATATGAGCGGCCAACTAACAAGTGATAATGGTACATATTAACAAGGTACCTGATAGAAGGTATAAGGTATTTTAAACAATTTCCAACGTATGAGACTCTACTCCTGAGAACTCGGATTTTGTCAAAAGCCGTTCCACGGCATCTCGCCGGATCGGGCACCATACACCGACGACTTTGAATGTCGATTTCCCAGATTTATTACTTCCCTGGACCACTTCATACAAGACGTCTCCAGGCGATGAAGCATGAGAGTCCTTATTCCCCAGACTAATTGTATGAACTCTCCCACTACACTCTGGATGGTCGTTCTTCCACTTCCAAAACCGGCTGTTCATAAAACCTATTGCCGTGGGTGCACCAACTGCGACCACCAGCACCATGCGCTGTTTTTGGCAGATTTCGTAGTTGAAACCCATCAAAGTAGCCACCATTCCAGATACATGTGAAGCCATATCTAGCTCCGGGTACCACGGAGCCCAGCTGCGAGTCTTGTATGGACTTAATGGCCTTTTTGCTAGGACGCACTCTATGATCATCCCTTCGAACATGTGTCGCTCGTCAACATCCTCGTCTGCCATCCTATTTAGCCGTGCGTGTAGGTATTTGTCAAACGTTTGTGATGGACATTGTTCAAATACTCCTCGAGTGAATGCGAATACATCAGCAGTTTTCCGGCCTATGCATATTTCAGAAAACGGCTGAGCCCTGTTCGAGATGGGCGTTGGGAGGCGAGCGCTGAAAGAAATCGACTCGGCTCTACGTAGGGGTACAGCAGAGAACGGGTGAACCAAAGGGCCATATATCTCGTAACAGCTGGTAACAGCAGTCGAATTGAGATACCTGGACGGCCTCCATAAACCCGTTGCGCGGGTCGCCTCGAATAGCCCGGATGGTACAGTCGTGATAGGGGATACCCCACGGTTTTGCTCCAGCTGGTTTATTGCATCTTCCAGCAAATCTCCCAGTTGCATTGCCTTATATTTCACCGGCAAAACATAGCCTGGGCAATCAATCCACACAGAAGCGACATAGTCCCGCGCGTGAGTAGCCGACCGTAGTGAGGCTGACAGTGACCCCATTTCGGAAAGGAAACGTTCCAATTCAGTTAGCTGGCGGTCCATCTTCCTCATCGGAATTCCTGCGAGAAATCGTAGGGAATTCAGGACTTGATGACCCTCGCCAATGCCGGAGGAATCACCATATCCCGTGTAATCGCCGATGCTTAGCCTGGCTGCATTGAAAAAGCTTCCGGCTGCCTGATGCCATCGCGCGAATGCATTACGATATGAGTCGGTTTCGAACCTAGATTTTCTGAACAGTTGTTGCAGATACGGGCATAAATGAGGGAACGCCGCTTCCATTTCCCGTTCATCGGCTTCATCGTTTCTCTGTCTTATCACAGCCTCCACTCCCTCGTCGCCAGGCAGTCTGACCGGCACACACGGGGGCTCATCGTCTGACGTCCACACCACTCGTATCGTGCTGGAATACATCAGTTCCTGTCGCGTCCATATTCTGCTAAACCAAGAATTGATCCCATAGCTATTATAACAGGACCTCAATGCTCTATCCGCTTGCATGGCTTGTACAGGATTTCCTACTGGGGTGGCGCGCTCCAGCTTGTCAAGCTCGCGGTGCAGACACTTGCATGGCCGCCCAGGCATTAAGGCCACGACAGGCAACGTCCTGTAGATGGTTGGAATACTAGCTAGCGTAAGCCTGATCATCTCCTCTTCCTGCGGGATGCATAGCTGGTCCATCCAACACGCTTGGTGCTCCATGGTCAGGCATGCGAGCTTCACAATCAAGTCCTGAAGCACCCATTCGCTGCCCAGTTCAAACAATACCGGATCATTACTCTTGGTGTGGCCGACGGCTCTTTTTTCTCGGAAGAATTCACCCCAGGTGTAGCTGCGCGAGTCAGCAATGGATTATAACAACGAAAGGGCAAGGTGGAGGTTGATGTGAACACTCACCTGATGGCAACGGCATTTTCAGGGGCAAGCTCGGTCTCGCAAGTCTCAACTAGGAGATGAATGTCACTCGAGAATGCACATTCTAGATCATGACAGAATTGAAATTTGGCAACTTTGACCTTCTGTGTGGACAGGCTGTTTCGCACCGACATCTTCACTAGAAGTTAAACTTCTGAGGTAATCAGGGGTAGAATTGTCCCTAGGAAAGTCGACATAGTTTCGGCACAATTATCAACAGCAGCTTTTATGGCATACCTCAAGTGCCTAAATTAGGTACCTTAGGAGGTAGGCATCTAACGTAGATTCATTTTCTTTGCTTCAGGTACCTGATTTGAGCCGCATTCGTGAATGCGCAACTCGTTGCGTAGAATAAGCTAGCCAGTTGTTCGCATATCATAGGTGCTGGTTTGATTCAGCTGGCCAAGGATTATTCTCGCCCTGTTTTATCAACGCAATAAGGATCGCGAATAAACTGCGCTAGCAACAACTTCGCAGGCTTCACACGCAGAAAGATAACTCAGCCTACATGTTAGGTACCTATTATTCATATTTTACCATCCTCCCATCCAATTCCTTGAGGAAACTCAAGATGATCGGCCACCTTACTACGCGCCAAATAGTGGATAATTGGCTTCTCTCGCAGCGTCCGTCTTGAAAAGTCAATAGTAAGGCTGTGAGCAACGTGGCATATTAGTTGACCATTGAATACGAAAATATAAAGGCTGATGAAATTATAGCTTCGAGGCTGTAAACCATTTATGCAGCCAGCTAATCAAGCCGGGGAGCTCTCATTTCATAGTTTTATTTTCAAATAATACCTGGGTAGTCGGACGGATACAATCGAGGCCAATCGTTTGCCAGGTGTTAGCATCTGGCTCTCCTTATACTTGGGCCAGTCATTTTTGAAGCGCGAACTCGTTCGCCTTTCTTTTCGGGCTGACAATGTGTTGGTCAAGTTGTCTTCGACGTCGGCGTAAGCAGGCATCAAAGCCCATCTCTCACGACGACACTAGTCAAGATACGCAGGTACACAAATTGGATGATGATGATTGATACACGACTAACAAGTCTCTATATTAGCCATTACCTAGACCGATTTCATCTTCGGTAGAACAAGATGGTGGGAGACCTACGACAGAATCCTCAGCGACGTGTCTTCAAGGTGTAATGATATCACAAAATCATGAGAGACAAGCTACAGCCGTGCTCCAGTCTGACACTTCACGGCAGGTGTACAGCTCCTCACTAGACTCTCTACCCAACGCTGTGATCGATATTTCGTTAGCTGCCAAGCCTGGTCACTACCGCCTTATCGACTGCTCTTATTTCATCCAGCACCAGCAGCTTGTTATCTATGAATTTGATGGCTCTATCAGCGATGTGCCCTACGCTGCTATTTCGTATATCTGGCACGGCAACGAGTTCGACCCCGCCACCGCCGAGTCAGATAAGGGCGCTTTCACCGTCCGAGGTGCTAAAGACGGCGACCAGGTTGGCATTGACGTCATCCACCATGCGTGCTCTGTCGCAATCCAAGAGGGTGCACAGTACCTCTGGCTTGACCGGCTCTGTATCATACAGACAAGTCGGGCAGATAAGGACTGGCAGATCGTACAAATGTACGGTATCTACCTACACTGCAAAGCCTGTCTAGTACTTCCAGGTGGAATTAGACAGCTCGTCGCCGTGGAAGATGAGACTATGTGGATCACTCGTGCGTGGACCCTGCAGGAAGTCATGGCCCCAAAGCGGATCTTGGTTCTCTTCAAGTGGGAACGAGGATCTGGCTCATGGCAAGGTTCCAAGGGCGGTGCCAAGGCTATTATCAGCGAAGTCATTCCTAAAGAATCAGCTACAACCGGGCTACGCGAGATCCTCGAGGCCAGCCGTTACGCTGAGACGCTGGATTGGACGCCCGCCGGCAGTTCTGCACCAACTGCAGACGATATTTCGGTCTACATAACAGGCGATTCGATGGGTGTCGATACTATGCTAACCGAGTCGCTCTCCCGTATCATAGGAGTAGATGCCCGTCTGCCAGAGGGAGCTCTCCCAGCCTGGCAGAACGCTTTCTGGAGGGCATCTTCACGTCCAGTGGACATGGTACTAAGCATCATGGGTGTGTTTGGCGTTTCTTTGAACCCTAGTTCCTTCCATAAGGATGATCGGATCGGCGCCACAATCGCACTTGCCCAGGAGATATTGCGAGGTGGAGGAAAGCCTGCATGGCTTGTTATGGCCTTTGACCTTCCGCCGAGTCCCTTTCTCTCTTCTTTTCCAGAATTCCCCGAGACCGACGTCACAGGCAGGGTTGAGATAAAGACAGCAACTGATGAGCAATGCTTCGATTTGACTCTATGGTACGTCGCCGATTTACCGGACGGTAGTATGGACGATGACGGATACTTGAGTATCTCGGCCAAAGCCGCCCAAGTGGTTTATACAGGCGAGAATGTGCAGAAGTTGAATTTCTCTTCCAGGCAGAATGATGATACTAACGATATCTGTGCCGACTATATTCGCGTGGTGGCAAGGGACGGGGGAATTTGGAACATTTACCGTCCAAACCACGCGAGTTCCGCCCAGGATGGCCGGTCATTTGTTGCCTTCGTAGGTCATGCTCAAAATTATGAGAGGGCAGAAAATTCTGCGACAAACAAGGGTCCTTATACACTCCCTACCCTAAGTCCACTTCGAGCGGTAATACTAGAGGAGCATGGGCCAGGAAAATTCCATCGAGCCGCTAACCTAACCTTGGGTGAGGTTTTTGAACCAATTATCCATAGTGAATGGCAACCCCACGATTTCGCTATTGGAGGGCCGCTTCCACTCCCTCTTAGGAAATAGGTCACCCGATTATATCTGAGTTTCGCAAAGTTGTCTACTTACCTAATCTATATTAAATGTATGGCTTGATGTTGCATCTATAATTAATTGGCTACCGCAATATAGAGCATTGAACAATTTCAGGCGATTTTGCAAGACTTGGCGGAGAAAGAAGTCACGCCAGCAGTTATCGCAGACCGATTTCTTAATTTTTAGATCCATTAAGAGCTTGATAAGAAAAGGGTCTCCTCAGATGAGGTAATAGTGAAATATTACCTGCCTACGTTGACTTAAGTTATTTATCCCGAACTTGCAGTTATGAATTTGGAAGGTACCCAACGTAACGGTAAAGATTTGTAGCTCCGAATCTCCGCCGTAACCTTTGGAGCTCCGGTCCGAGAGCCGATAAAGTGGGGTCGCCGAGCCCCCTAACACAGCCCCACTACTCCGCCAATCATGCGGCAGCGAGTATGACTTGGGCGTTAGCGTCGGGAGCCCCGAACAAAGCCTAAGCTACCTTAGGTACCTAGGTATCTATTGCACCGCTCTACATTTGCATGAACATCATGGCTGGAGAAATCATATGCAAGATTTCTCTGGAGACTATCGTAAAAACTAAATCACTGGATATTACAGAAAGTGCTACCCCCTGCCGGTACCGCCTCCTCAGCTGCAACGACTTCATCGAGCATAAGCAGGTGACCGTTCTCGAATTTGATGATTTTCCACAAGTCCCGTATACGGCCTTGTCGTATGTCTGGAAGGGCAACACTCTCGATGCGGATTGTGCCGATCCAGTATTCAATGTACCCGTCCCGGAGGGACAGGAGCCAGGCGACGACATTGGGGTTGAAGTGCTGCGAGAGACATGCGTGGCGTCCACAGCCCGAGGCATCAACCATCTCTGGATCGATCGTCTGTGTGTCATGCAAATGAGCAAGGAGGATAAGAAATGGCAGATACCTCGAATGCACGATATTTATCGCCGTTGTCAAATATGCATCGTCGCGCCTGGGGGCCTCCAGCGCCTTGTTCGCCTCGACGAAGTGACCCAATGGATCCACCGGGGCTGGACACTACAGGAGGCCGTGGCGCCTCCAGCCGTTTTCGTCTTATTTTCTTGGAGATCAGGCTCGCGCAGAGCCCATGCGGGCGATACGCAAGGGAATATCGACGAAGTTACTCCGGCTAGGTCTGCAACGACGCCCCTGTCACTCATCATCGATGCGTGCACTGCCGGAATGTTGTCCATTGAAAACGGCGAGAAGCGCTTGATGCTGGAAGTCAAGCTGTTCAGCTCACATCCCGCCGATCGGTCCTACAGGGACTTCCCGTTCTGGAACGTAACTCGGCGAATCCTTTCCCCTAATGTTGGTGCTCTCGCCCGTATCATGTCGCCGGATCTCGACCGAGACATGAAGGACTACTCAATCTGGCAGAGCGCGCTTATGCGCACTTCATCACGGCCCGTTGACATGGTCTTCAGTATTATGGGGCTCTTTGGCGTTACGCTGGATACATCACAATTCGGCAAAAACGACCGTGTGCAAGCCACCATAGCGCTTGCGCAGGCTATCATGGAAAAGGGAGGGCAAGCCACCTGGCTCGCAGCTGCTTTCCGTGTTCAGCCATCACGACAAATCTCAACCTTCCCCATATTCCCTCGTACTTCCGTGTCTGGGAAAGCATATGTAAAAGTAAGCGATGAGAAAGGAATGCAGGAGGTGTCATTGTTGATAGAAAATGACTATCCTGTTGCAGATGCTCTCGTCCCGCTGCCTAAAGGCTCAATGGATCAGGACGGATATCTTAAATTCTCCTCCAAGGCTATCCCTATCCGGCCTCATCTATCGGACCCTGCAGAGACCTCTCCTGACTCCGCCAGGCCGACTTATTTCCAAGCTGTTAACCAGTCGTGGTGGGAGGTAGAAGAAGATAACATTGTTAACATGCAAGGGGAAACATTCGCAGTGCTCATAGGCTTCTTCGTAGGATATTATCCCGGGAGCACCCCCGCCGTCAACGACAACACCATTCGCGCCGCAGTCATTAAAAAGCACGCGGTAGATAGATTTCACGTACAGACATACCTGGGGCTTAGCCACAAAGCCCGGGCCTGGGTTAGAACGTGGCCCGAGCGGATATTCTGTGTTGGGGGGCCGGAAGTGGATGCTGTCGAGGACCTTGGAGAAGAACTGCCGGTAATATCTAATCCGAAAGAGCAGTATCTAAACAATCCCCAAAGTTCGCAGCCTAGCGGTGTCGTGCCTTTGGAAGATATGCTGTCGCGTCGTGCTCGATGGGCTATGTCGCAGAAGGTATTGGAACAGCATGTGAAACCGAGATGATTTTTTTTTTCTCATGTTATATGATTTGTTCTTTTTGACTAGTGGCACTTCCTTGGGTGGCGATATTATCACACGGGCTTTTCAGATGAACTTTGCGTTACGCGTTTAACTTTAATATATAAGCCTCAATGATCGTAGGTATTCCTATCGCCCTTATTTTTGAAACATCACACTATTCTACTCTAAGATACTTTTCATAAATGTTTAAACAACTTCCGCTAAACTCAGCATATGTTGCTTGATAAGCCGAACTGCCTCTCTGGCCATGACAACATCTCGTTTGACTCTCTGCTCATCAAACTCGTTTAGTTCTTTGGGGCATGGCGCAGAATGGTCTTCTGGTAGCATTAGCGACTCGAGCCAGAAATCACGTCTGGGATGGGGTATTATGATGCTGTCCATCCAATGGTCAATTTTTGTTCCACTCAATATTTGGATTGCGCCCATGACCGCATGTCGACCTGACAACTCGAAGCTACCAACCTTCACTTCGATCTCCTCCCGCTCCATCCAGTTACTTACTAGCGCGTCGCGGCCACAGAGCCAACAGAAGATGTAATGAGCGGCCAACAGGATGATCAAGCAGACACCGTCCCATCCCTTCTGGGCCGCAACAAATGTCATGGCTATAAGCTGGCCGCCATGTGCGCATCGGAACCATAAGGCGGCCATGCGTGCCATCCTCCCCTCCGGAGGTACGATCATCGGTTTGTTTAACAGGGTGTCAACGATTCCCCGGTCACCAACGTAAAGATGCCACTCCATGGCGTTTTCGTGCGCTGCTACGAGCATACAGGCATCATGAGTTTCGTTGTTTTTCAGGTATCCCACCGGTCGGTGAATTGTTATTGAGTGGATAAATATCTCAGATATCACACGAATGAGAACTATAGCCGCAGTGCCAAATGCACCGGAAATGATGAAAAAGACGCATAGTCCGATCAGAACAAGGACCTGCAGCGCCTGGAATATCCTAAGTGCTCTGATTTGGCTGAGCATATATCTCAGCAGTTGGCGTTTCTGTCTCTTTTCATCTACTCTGTCAAAATTGTAGATATTCAAAACCTGCGGTCGGTATTTTATGTTGCTTGCCTTTTCGGCCTCCTGAGTGCTTCGGACGGACGACGCCGGAGAGGAAGGGGTCGGATTGGCCAATGCGTCTATTTTCACGGTTGCTGGTCTGCGCTTTTTCGTCAGGAACGAGATAATCGATGCGCTGGCGGCGCCATTGGCCACGGGAAAGGCGCTGCCCCAATTCACGTCCCAGGCCTTCTGACTAAATCCACCCTTCATGCTGGCATAATCCAGATATCCGGCCCCCTGCTCGAGGAAGCGCACAAGATTGGAGAACGTGCCCAAGGCTGGGAATAAACTGGCGGGGAGTCTCCCCAGCAGAGAAATATTGCCAGTCGTGATATAGTCATCTTGGTAGCTGGCGAGATGAATGGCTAGAGGTATGAGAGCTACCCACTCCGCCACAATCGTTGGTAGACATGGGATGGTAATTATACCAAGAGAGACATCCAATATCCCGAAGAATGCGTTATTTGAGGCCATTGAAAATTGTTGTATATTGATTATGATGAATTGTTCACTCTGGTGTGTTTCTAAGAGGCCAATCAACGTGAATTAGTGGCACCTATGTGTTGTCCATGTGGAAGGATATTTTCATGTTAAATACCTTGAATTTTCGGACTTTACCTTTGTATAGCCCTCTGAGGCGGTCTAGGATCTGCTTATGTGGATTAACTCATGTAATATTTTCGATCTGTAAGGCATTCAATAATACCTAGGTACCTAGGTATGCTCGAATCTGCAGTTCTTTGTGGCGGTGCTATTATTATTATAATTCGATTAAAGCTTCAGAGAGGGGCTGGATTGCCACTACTACAACAATTTTTGCAATGTTACCTACTGGCGTTTTTTTACGCCTTCTATTGATCTCTTTTTGTTCATATAGAGCGATCCTAGGTAATTCAGCAGCAAAAGGTGAGGGGAAACAGGAGAAATAGGGGGCGGTGCAGAGGGACTAGATCGGCAATAAGTCAGCCTCCTCAGCACATGCGGGAAACAGTCCTAAGCGGATGTGGCGGCAGGTTAACTTCTACGCCAACTACGCCTAATTTGATAATAAATTTCAATCGTTGAATACCATTCGATATAATACGCTTTTTAGTTGTTCCGAGTGCATCGCAGATAATCTTGTTCGTAAATTGATGGGCTTTTCCTTAGTAAGTCCCTTGAAAAGTTTCGGCTATCTCTTACTCTAGGAAAAGCCAAGGTTATTATGTACAGAAACTATTATTTCAAGATAATTAGAAAACCAAGCTTCCTTGAACTTCGTATACGTTTCTCCGTATATTTTTGAATCTAAAGTCTTTCACCTACAAGTAAATTACTCTGTAGAGTGTTACGTAAGCACGGGTGTTCCCAAGATCTTGAGGCCTTGGCCAGCATTTAGAAACTTAAGAATCAACATCATTTATACCAACTAGTGCTATCTATAAGACTTATATTTGGGGTTCTTTGGTTCAACTGCCTTTAGGATCCGTTGAATGGCATTTAGGCCAAAGTCTATAAAATATGCCAAGGTACTTCCTACTTAATATGACAGCATTTCTACAGTTGGCAAAATATTCTGATATAGGAGAATACGCTGTGCTTGGGAAGATACGCAACTAAAGGCCAGTAACAAAATCCAGCACAGAATATATAGGTAGGTACCTAAATAAGATATTCTATTAACATGAAAGTTTTGTTTACTTGAGTTGAACTGTACGTGTTACTACCTAGGTAGCTAGGTATCATTATGGCAAAAGAGGTAGCTATAACAATATGACAGCGACTATAGGTATCAGACGAATGAGTGTTAGTTAGAGAAACGAGGTTTTCTCTTCTTTTGATGGTCTACAAAGAATAGAACTAACTACCTCAGTTTGCCACGCCTATGAAATAAGGGAACTACCTAGAGAAAGGAATGTATACACGTGTCGCGCCACACATATTTCGGCAAGAATCGATATTACCACAAGCCACGTCTCGGTCTACTTGAGCACCACGACTCAAATTACGCGTCGGTGCCGAAACTTTCACAATTTCGCAGCCCCCGATTCCGAGCTCCGAGCCGATCTCGGATTCAGCTCGGAATCGGTCTAGGAGCCCACATAACCACAATATGGAATATCGAGACCAATTAGCGCGTCAGCCTGGGGTCAAGCTAAATTTAGCGTGACTAGTATGGAACGAAGATCTAATCTTATCAGATCCGAGAGGGAAAGGATATAAGTCATCGGCCCCCCTGAGTCTCTCGGTAATTACGGGTTTACTTGTAAGCCTCATTGACGCTCCCTTGTTTTTTTTATATTTATCTCCTTTTTTCATTTTGTTTCCATTTCTCTTTACTTAGACCTATCTTTAATATCAAATGTTATAAGAATTATCCTACTCTTTTCCCTTGGATTTACAGCAGCTAAACCAAGCAGCCAGTCTAATAGATTCTCCGTCTTTCGGCTTCAACATTAAACAAGAAAGACCCTGAGGTATAACCTGCCAGATCTCATTTAAAATGTTAGAAAAACCACTACTCATAGTCGATGCCGGCGGCTTCGCCGTGTCCATGTTCATCATGGTACTTCGTCACTCCTTAGCCTTCCGCCTCAAATCGATACGGCACTCGATATTTCCTTCGTCCCCATCATCCACAGACTCAAAGGGGCCTCGTAATATTGTCATCATAGGTGCCTCCATCGCAGGGTACTCGGCCGCCAGCAACATCGCGAAGTTCCTATTACCAGATTCGGAATACCGAGTTATTGTTATCGAACCCCGCGAGCATTTCCAGTTCACCTGGGTTCTCCCACGATTCTGCGTCGCGGAGGGCCACGAGCATAAGGCGTTTATTCCTTACGGGGGACTACTCCCCCGCGGTGCGCTCGATGCCGACGGAGGCAAAGTCTCGTGGATCAAGGATCGCGCCGCTAGTATCTCGCGAGACAGTGTACGCTTGGCTGGGACCGGCGAGGAGATACCATATGAGTTCTTAGTCGTGGCTACCGGCGCCGGTGCTACTGATACTCTACCAAGTCGCGTGGGGGCTGACGACAAAACCGAAGGAATGAAACTGATGAGAGAGATTCAGAGGCAGATTCGCGAGTCGAAGAATCTAGTTGTTGTTGGCGGAGGCGCTGCTGGTGTAGAGCTGGCTACGGACGCGAAGGCGAAATATCCAGAGAAGCACGTCACCTTGGTACACTCGAGACCCTCAGTAATGCACCGGTTTGGGCCGAAGCTACAGGCTGCTGCGACTGATGGGATCAAGGACCTAGGAATTGAGCTCATCACAGGGGACAGAGTAGTGAGTGAAGACAGGGAGAAGGGCATTGCTGTATTAAGGAGCGGAAAAGAGATTGCATGCGACTACCTGGTTTGTCTACCATCGTTGCCTTTTTTATCGTCAAGACTAATAAGTTCTAAAGGTCAACTGCACCGGCCAACGGCCTGATTCCAAGCTCATTGCAGAACTGAGCCCGTCATCCATATCCGAGTCAGGCCATATCCTGACCAAACCAACTCTACAGATCCAGGACGACTCACTGCCTAACGTATATATATGCGGTGATGTCTCTGAGACTAATACGACGCATCCGAATTCGAGATCTGCCATGCGCCAGGCTACGATCGTGGCTTTCAACGTGTTATCCGCCACGGAAGGCAAGAAGCCCAGAGACAAGTACGTGCCACATTGGCTTGACGGAGTTATTAAATTGACTCTGGGACTGGTAAGTATAATATAAAATCGCTATATTTCTTGCGCGTGTATCGATGCTAAAGATGGTCTTCAACCATAGGATAAATCAGTCTCTACCGTGGGTGACGAGAAAACCGAGTTCCTATTCCCGGCCAAAGAGAAGAACGAGGCTCTCATGGCGGCTGGAGCCTGGCATAGGCTAGGGGCCAAGCCTTTCGAAGATGACGGGGAATTCCTAAGGAAGATTAAACCAAAGATGTAAATGGGCCATTTATGTTATCGTTAACTAGCGTACAAGCTAGACCTCTATCCCGGAAGCATATAAGTTGATAACTGTCGACTCACAGTTAATTGTATGGAATAAGCGTAGGATTGGTATTTGCAGGATTGGTAGAATAGGATATCTCAGTCAGTCATGGTTTCGTTTTCACAGCACCTTACATAGAACTACATCCATACCCCAGGTAAAGTTACAGGTACGATATTAGATACCCTTAAACCATTTCAGCAATTGGCAACTCAAAGTTGGTAGCCCTACGTTAAGACCCGGCGTCCCAAACATATAGTAGACAAGTGATGCATCATTAGAAGACAGTCATTAAGGAAGATTTTAAACGGTGAGCTATTGAGTACCACATGTCCTAAGTAAGCAGAATAACAAACCATATGACCGGGCACCACAAGGGCACACGTCGGACGAACGGGCGTCTTGGATACCAAAAAAAAGGATATAGGTATATGATCCTCAAGATAGGAGTCACTTACAAATTATAAGCATCACCATGCAATTTTTCTCATCCCAAGCAGCCACGAACACCGCATCAATACGCCGTGCCCGGATAATATCGCAGCCGCTCCATTGGTCGGATCCCCTTGCCGAGCAGACCTTCTCATTTAACATCCGGGTATTTTAACCACGCCTCAAATTAACCTCCAGCATCAGACTAGTCCATGGGGTTCATATCTGGGGAAGTAACAGCAGCACCACTATTGGCTGGTCCGATAGCGCATCTTCTTGGCGATAACCCGTTCCCCCGGTATTTGACATGTGTTCTCCGTGGCGGTATACACCATGGCAGCCTGGTTGGGTATATGAGCAGACGCATCTTTCCCATTTCCCACAGCCGGCAGCTTCTCCCACCGGAAATCGATAACTCGTCCAACTCGCTTTCTCGACATCCACAGCAAGCAAGCAAGCAAGCAAGCAAGCATGAAGCCCATCACGTTCCTGGCGCTGGCAGCCACTGCCCAAGCCCACTGTGAGTTGACGGCGGCCCCCATTCTTACCAAACTTATACCAGCTGTTTAACGAAGATAACTTACACAATGGCTACCTAACTAACGATTGCCGACACCAGACCGCTTCTCGAAACTAGTCATCGGCGGGGTCCAAGAAGCGGCGGAATGGACGTCGATCCGGATGACGAAGAACTACCAGAGCAACGGCGGGGTGACGAGCGTCGACAGCCCGGACATGCGGTGCTACCAGGCGCGCGCGGGGACGGGGACCGCGACCGTCGCGGCGGGGGATGTCCTGGGCTTCGCCGCCAACGCCGCCGTCACCCACTTCGGCCCCGTCCAGTTCTACATGGCCCGGGTCCCCGATTCCGCCGACATCAACACCTGGGAGCCCGCCGGAAACGTCTGGTTCAAGGTCGGCAGCATTTCCGCCGTCCCGCCCCTGGGCTCCAGCGAGGCGACCTGGCCTGCTTATAGTTAGTGTTCTTACCCATCACCCATTCCCATTCCCATATCCATATACCCATACCTCAGACTTCTACATCGTACTCCTATTTCCCCTATTCCTAGTCTCTAGACTAAAAGGTGCCTAATGTATGTACGTCTAACTAACGTGACACCCTCTCCTAGACAAGAAAGTCGTCAACGTAACAATCCCCAAGAACGTCCCGAGCGGGAACTACCTCGTGCGCGTGGAATCCATCGCGCTGCACCAAGCGCAATCCGTCGGCGGCGCCCAGATGTCAGTTTTATCCCCCTTTCCCCTTCCTCCCTTTTCCTTTCCCCAACTACCCAATCTAGCCAGTAGTAACCATACTTATGATGAGCCGACAGGTATCTCTCGTGCGCGCAAGTCAAGGTGACAGGCGGCGGCAACGGCGCTCCCGGCCCGCTCGTCGCCTTCCCCGGCGCTTACAAGGCTAACGACCCCGGCTTGCTCTGGTCTTACTACCCCGTCCCGACTACCTATACTGCTCCCGGCCCGGCCGTCTGGAAAGGTTGAGGTACTAGATTAGGTAGGTTTACGTGTTAGCACGCATAGATGTCGAGGATCGGATTGTGGTAAAGGTAAAAGATTAGTTGATGGTTGTGCACCAAACCAACCTATCATGTACCTAATGTATAAGATACCTCCTTTATAAACCAATGAGGTACAAATTTGCGAGTCCATACGTTGTTATGAGAATATGTGAGTGGTAATACCCACTCATAGGTCAGATAGACAATTGTGCTATCAAAAAATACACTTTTGGCTCAGCGGTGTATTTGTCAATCAAGAGTCTCATATGCTTGAACCCGTTTAATGCAAACCAAATCAGAACACCTTGGTCCACAAAAAGTTGCAAACGAGTACGCACAAGAGCATCTTAAACCTTAGGGTTCGATTTTAAGAGCTTACAGAGATCAAGAAGCCCAGAGATCTAAGAATCCAGTGGCTCGAGATATCCAGCTTTGCCCAGAATCGTCCCACTTGAGGTGTGTCGATTCTGACCAAACCTGAGGGGGTGTATGAGTGGTAATACCACTCATATCAGATAGACTGTAATAGCAATTGTGCTATTAAGAAATATACTTTTGGCTCAGCTGTTTGTGTCTGTCAGAATATAACAGCTCATTCGCCAATATCAAATTCCGCGTAGTTATTTCGTATTACGACCATAATCCACACATTTTGGCATCTCACTTCCACCCCTAGCAAGTAAAGCAAATAAGCACTTTCCACCTAGTAGCATGGGCTGGGTACTTCATATGAATTAAGTCAATAATAGGTAGATACCCTATGAGGGTCAATTTTGCATTACAGTACATGTGCTCTTCGTAGAGCAAAACCACCGAGAATTAACGGAAAGCAGACGCAATTTCGCCTCCATCTCATCTTACCATCGCCCTGTTTTTAAGCGGTGGAATCAAAACTCGCAAACCATCTGACCAGTGGCTCAACGCAAGAACTAGCTAAATAATAAGCATTCCGTACAACCTCAACTCCAGATGGTCCCTATCGCCCTGAGGAACCGCACCTTCAGAACTTGTTTCCCGATCCTCGAATACGCATCCCTAGGCTAGGTAGTTAGAAGGATCTGCATATTTTAGGCGAAGGTTCTAGTGACGTCGCTTCTTATTACGACTTCGGTCTTCCTCGTCAAGGCCGCTCTCTCGGTCCTTTCGCTTCGCTTTCTTCTCCAATTCATCCCAATCCTCGCCTTCCTCGTCCTCCTCTTCTTCCGAGCCTTCCTCGCTAGCGTCATCGGATGCATTGCTATCGTATTCCGAATCATCCTCACTAGACTCACTAGCTTCCTCGAGCTCAGATTCGTCAATCTCAAAATTCGACTCCTCTTCTTCTTCTTGGTCATCTTCGTCGTCGCTTTCATTCTGTAGGAATGACCATCCGCCATCGACAAAGAATTGATGGGTGTCGGCTGTGACAGTCTTCATGATCGTAGGCCAGTTCAGATTCAAAGGACCTTCACTAAACGCGATGTCGCTGCTGTCAAGCCATTCTTTTACCTCTTCCAACGACTCAACGGGAATCGTATTGATGTGAACTGGGGGCCTAGTGAAGTCCTTGAACACAAACACCAAATCGAAATTCTTCAGTCCGAACTGAACACGCTCTAGATGAGCAATTTCGATATCCTCTAGCGTGATGACTAGGAAGGGCGGCTCTGTGATCTGAATAAGACAATCTGTGGTCGGTTGGATCACAACATTGCTTCGGAATGGAACGCCGTTGAAGCCAAGCTCTCTGAGCGGCATATCCACTTCGACACCCTCGTTCTTGCCAGCCTCTGCAATCTTGTCAGCAAAGCTCTTGAATTGGCGATCCAGCTCAGCCCTGTGTCGACGGTCTTCTTGTTCTTGCTCGAACTCATCCTCGTCGCCGTGTCGATATTTCCGTTTTCGATTACCGGTTTCATCGAACTGAATATCTGTTGCTTCTCGGTAGAATTGCACATCTTTTGTCTTTTTCTTGTTGCCGATGATAATGGGATCTTTGAGATGCAGATGGATAATCACGATAAGCTCATGAGCACAAGGCTGGAAGAACAAATGACGGATGTTGGAGAAGAGCACATCGACTCTCTGCTGCGGGTTGAGAGGTGACTGGTATCGGATACCATTCTGATGGATCTCAACCTTGCCAGGAACTCGCTTTCCTTCCATCGCAGGGCGTATGAACACGTTGTCCATAACAGGGGGTCGTCGATCTAGCCGATGGTTAGTATAGAGATATAGGCAAAGTATATATGTATATCAGCTTACTTCTAATCTCAATGAGCTTATCCTGTTCGACAACATCCTCCATGTCCTTCTTCTCTTGTTCTTTCTTAGTAGCCTCTTTCTTCATGGCAGAAATCTGCGCTGTAATCTCTTCGTAACGATCACCATCGCGAGAACGGAACGTCAGGCTCCTAACGAACTGTGCTGAGGCGTCCTCAAATGGCTGATCATCCTTTCTGCCGACTCCCTGACCCGGAGAAAGGAAGTTTATACGCAAATAAGACCAGTCCCCTTCATCGTTCTTGCTAACATTTTTTATAGTGTGGATGTGGAAAGGGACCGGTCTCCCCATGACTGGTAGTACGAGGGTGTGGTTCTTTTGGTCGACCAAAATCTCAAGATTCTTGACTTTCAGTGGCATCTGATTGTCTCTCTTGTACGACTCGAATTTCTTGAACTTCTTCACCTCCGCCCCGTCTTGGCCGCTTGTCGACTCGGCAAATCTAGCCAATCCCTCTTTCTGTTTCTTAAGAGAAAGCTCTTTCTGGTGCTCACGGCGCCGTTTCTCTTGATCCTCATCTACCTGGGTGGTTCGCTCAGATCGTAGGCGGGTACTCGTGATGTTCTTAGTAGCCACTGCACCCACACGAGAGTCCTTCTTCTCTTTCTTGGGGGTGGGTTGCATTTCCTCGTCGTCCTTGAAGAAGAAAGAGGTTGCGTCGAGATCGGTAGGAGCGTCCCCAGTAAATACAACAGGATCGCTATTGGTGACACGGATGGTATCAGTAAGGACCAAGGAATAGGTCTTGCTGAGCTTATCCTTCGGGGAAGGGTTCTCAACGTCAGTAAAACCAGTCGTTATGCATAAGGTCATTCCGTCCTTCAAGGTTCGTCCGTTCTTGGCATTGAGCACCAGGGTAGGATCTTTACTCTCGATGCCAATACCTGCTCCGACGTTCTTGAGGAAATGCTTTTCTAAGTCAGGCTTCCTGGATCGGATATAGCTCAAAGCCTTGCTATAAACGTCTTTGGCAACAGCGCCATCCTTGATCTCTTTCAAGACTAGGTTGTGTACCGAGTAGAGAAATTTGTAGGTACTTTCTTGCGTCTTATTTGGGTCGACTAGGTAGGTTCGCGCAATGGAAGAGCAGTACGTCTTGTATCGGAGACCCATGCCAGCGATAATAACGCCGGGATGGAGATTGTCGCCGGTTGGCTCTGCCTGGAGCTTCAAGTCATATGTACCACCACTCTGGACTGCCGGTCCTAAGTACCAATCCAACGAGGAGGGGTCGAAATCCGAAGGTAATCTCTGTTTGTTAGGCAATTCGACCGTCTTCCACCACTTCTCATCGTCAAGCTTTCGGTCCACCTTGTCGGCAAGCGCACTGTGCTTCACTTTTTTCTCTTGGTCCAAGATGTCCGACATCTGGTCCAGAAAGAATGGTGTCATCAGTGCGACACATGCTTTCGACGCCGCTCGCATAGAACGCAATTCTGTCTCATCTTTGACGGCGAAGGCGGCAGTGGATAAGGCAACGGAAATATCGACCTCTTCAAGATCCTTGCACTTCTCGGTAAAGACCTTCTTCCATTCGTCGACAAAAGGGCCATTTGATCTGTCCTTGGTAAGAACGCCGACTTTTTTCTATTCGCCGAAACATGTCAGCTATAGGATAGCAACTACGTAGTCAATCGGAAGGTAATATGACTCACTCCTGCGTTGGTGATCGTTTCGGCAATTTTGAAGAACTGCTTCTCATTCGCAGCCGCATCCTTGCCTCTAACCAAAACTTCAATCGGGAATCGGCCGCCCTTCAATTGTTCTAGGTGTTTCGCTACATAAAAGTTAGTCGCCTAATCGCGCAATAGCGGTAGGTTGGGATTGCCGCTACCTTTTTTAGCCGTCGTAAGTATGTAGAGAGTGTCGGTAGTAAAAAGCATCAGCGTGGTCGGGAACTCGTAGCCTAGCAACCAGAACTAAACAAAAGAGAAAAAATAAAAAAAGTCAGTCTCTTTTCCAAATGTGATATCATTAAATTCATAAAAGCATAAATATGGTAAAGTGCGACATACGTGCATAGCATTGTTCTTCTGGAATTCGGGATTCTCCTCGACTTTACCCATCATGATGAGGATGGAAGATACACCGCCGAAAACAGCGTCACCGGCGCGTTTATCAGCCTTCCAGGCATTAATGAAATGATTAATGCGCTCCTGGAAGAGCTTTCCATCGATCTTGATGTCTGCCATCTTCGTAGATGACTCGAAAGTCGTTGGCGAAAAGATGGCAGATGGAAGAGGTGATTGATGGAGGTAGGAATGGGGAGAAAAAAATAGGGAAATATATAAAAAAAAAGAGGGATGAAAGAAGGCTGAAGGTTATCAAACTTTGCCCCAGAAAATTGGTATGTGAGGTGACGCGAGCTTGGAGTGTTTCCCCACTTTATTTCGCGACGCGGTTTAATGGGATTACAGGTACCTGGGTACCTGGGTATCTTCGGGAGTCTCTTGAGTCTCATCTAGCAAAGAGCGCATACCCCCAAGTAAACGAAAGCAAATTTAATTAAGAATACTAAGAGGGCTAAAAAAAGAAAAACACGTAAGATAGAAGTCGATATTACCAATAAAAGAACAATAAAAACTAGCAAGCAGTTACGGAACTTCTTGCTGCACTCTTCAGATACCATCTTGGATAAAAGTTCTCAGATATCTTGGTGTTTAGGGGTTGGGATAGGGGTAGGTAGAGGTAGAGGTAGGTAGACACGAAACCAGGAAAAAGGGGCTTGGACTGACGATGATTTTCCAGATTCCACCAAGAGCCGTACAGCATTGCTACAAGGCCTTATATATATATAAAAGTACCAACTCGAGAACAAAGTCGGCGGAGAAATTATGAGGCTACCTAAGTTCACTAAACAACCAAGTGGCGAGGTCCTAACCGTAATGCTAGATACCAGAAAGATTCCGTATGGTAGACTCGTCATCGAAACTTTGACGATCTCGAAACTCTAGTTACTCGAAGCTAGCAATTACGAGCACGTAGGCCAGGACATTAGGTTAGGTGGCAAATCAACGGTAGAGAACAAATTCGCAATCGGGAGACCAGTCACGTAAGCCCCTTTTCATCCAAGTAACTAACACCTCGACGACAATATTAAGTTTCCCGCCTCGTTCTCAATCATGGGTACAGCACAGTCGATACTCCGTCGAACTTTATTCCTTCGGGCAAAACAAAACTAACAAATGAGGCAAGTATTTGGTTCTATAGGCTAGAGATAGGTTAGGTAGCCAATGAGGATATCACCGCCCAAACGCCCCAACCACCCACACACCTATGCGGACTAAATAGCGACTTTAAAAGCGAAACCACCAGCTTCTCTCATCAGGCGCCCCGGCATAGGTATAAACCAGGTAGCTTAGTCTACCAAGGTGGCGACAGCACCACCGCAACCACAACGATCATGCGGGCCCTCTAGAAGTTACAGCAGCAATTACCATCTCCATCCTTCCCATCTTTGAAGCAGCAACAGCAATTGCAGCAATTGCAGCCACAGCTCTGCCCAACGAGCTGATGGGGTATGAAACACGAGAGCAGTTTGGTCTGTTTCTCGTATTCGCGTTGTGCCTCCTCCGAACACGACTGATTCATCTGTTGCGGAGGCCCGGAAATCGGACGATTATCTATGAAAATGTCCAGCGGGGATGGCGGTGTCTTCGGAGGCTCGGGCCCTAGGGGATACGAAGGACCTTGGCTGATTTTATTGTTGTCCTCTATGTTATTGATGATATCTTTGCTATCATCATGGTAGTTGTTATTGCCGCCGTTCTTGCTGTCGTCCTTGTCGTTCTTGTTGTCGTTGCGGTTGTTGCTCGACGACGAGCTTGAAGATGAGCTGCTGTCCATTTTCGGGCAAGGTACATATGTACAAGAGGAGGCGTGCTGCAGGGGACGAGGACGAAAGCAAAGTAGATATACTTTGATATTAGTCAGAGAGCTGAAGTTATATGGACTGGAGTGTATCTTGGGTGCGTTGTACTAAGTTAGATTGCAGGAAGGATGGCCTGGATATAAGTAATTTATGAGAAAATGTGATGGTCAAAGCACCAAAGACTCGAATCCAGTGGCACAATACAGATATTGAGTATGATTGCCCATGTGTATTCTCATACGTGGTATAGGAGTTCGGGAAGATACCTACTATCAAACCGCTACACTACCAAAAGGTAGAATGATGCCAGCCCGAGGGGTTGACGTTGCTATCTATAAGGACCGTACTGTGACACGCGGCCTACTAACCTAGCTGAAGTCTGTGACTGAGCCGGCATCTTCAGCCTCCATTGTGGGTGGATGATTCGTCACAAAAGCAAAACAGGGGGTTTCGAAATATATGTAGTTTGGTAAATGCTAGATAGGTGCCTATAGTTTGAGGATGTTGGGCTTTGGAAGCTACCTAGACCCAGGTAGGTATGTTATTAGTAGAATACATGTATATTAACCGGAATACAAGTATTGTACACATGAGAGAGTAATTCGTTTTGAAAAGTAGTCTCGTAATAGAGTGTCTAACAGTTAGTATGATAAGAAACACTAATGGTGCAAGACAAAATTCTAATTTTTCACGATATACTTCATAGAGAGCTACTAGTATGAAATCGAAAAACTTACGTACCTTGAAAGCAACCTAATGTTTCCCCAAGTCAGGGCTAGACTAGCTTGCCTTGTACGCCATTTCAGCTTCACGCATAGCGCCAAGCAAAACTGGAATTCATAGTTTATATTCGTATGTCTGAAGTCCTCATGCAATGGCAAGGACTGAATCAAGCTGATCCGTGCACTGAACAAAACCATGTAACTCGTCAGGAATACACTTATTGTCAGAAATACACTTATTCCATACACGCCGGCATCCGAGCGCTCGTCATTTCGCCCCCTGGTTGTCATAAAAAGAAATACCGCTGTAAAACATGATCCTGCGGTATCGAGCGCCGAAACACGCTCTTCAACATTAACATGTCCATAACGCCAAAAATTCGTACACCTGTTTGTGCTGTCTTGTTGAAGACACCGTGAACCTGGCTCCTTAACCCGAAAACACGGACCGTCTATCCATTCAATATCCGCAATTACTCCTTGGATTCTCATACCCACCCCCACCTCCATTCCATCCTTGAACGCCGAAAAGAAATGGAACAATGGAAAGGGAGCGGAACTCAACCGCTGGAGTAAGAGCACACCTACTTTTACATCTCCATTCTCGCCGCAATGTCTTCACTCATACCCCTAACCGAATGTGCGACATGTTTGTATTCAATTTTCTCCTCGTCCTCGTCGTCCTCATCATATTCATCGCTCTCCTCATTAGACGTGGGATCATGTAACGGATCGATTTCAACATCCTCGTCTGGATCATATAGAATCATATCGTCATCGTCATACTCGTCGTCATCATCGTACTCACTATCGGTGATAATACGACTCGCGAGTTGATCTCCTAACCAGAACTTAGCGCGCTTGTTTGCGCCCAGGCTACCGGGTAAGGGTGTCGCATGGCGTTTGGATAGGCCATTACTTGCACGCCTATGAGGCGCAAGCGCAGGCGAGTTAACTAAGTTCGGCAAACCCCGAATATAAAGGTATGCAACTCGCTTTTTATTCTTGTTGAAGAAGAAATAATGCAAGCGCCAGATAGCGGATTCGTCACCGTCAAAAGGATCTTCTTGTGGTTGATACGAGAATACTGTGCAATCCTTCAGAGCCATTTCCTTATCAATCATGGTCCACATGTGTGGGTTCCAAGCGGGACTGATCGAATCACCTCCCGAGGCCAGATTAGGCGAAGGAGAACTACTATAAGAACGATACGAAGTGTTTGCGTTGGGCGAAAGGAGCGAGGAACCTAGTGGCCGAACGCTATTCAGCGTATTATCGATGTTCGCCATTACATGTTGCAGGTTACGCTCACGACGGAAGTCCGTCGGGCGCAATACATGAGAGAAGTCATAATCGGGATGGCTTGCATTTAGCGTTGCAATTAGATAGGCGAAGGTGCGACGACTCGAGATCTCACTGAGATTACCAAAAGGGCTGGAACGCGACAGATTAAGTGATGCGGCCATCTCCTTCCGTTGTGGCGGTGAGAGAGAAGCACCGAATTTAAGGAGAGCGGCATGTTGAGTTTCGAGAGATGTTTCAATTGATTTGTATAGCTTCTTGTCGGAACCGGCGGCTTTTGTCGTATAAAGGTCGCATCCTCCTTTGACGCGACATTCGGCCGTGTCGAAATTTAGCGCCGAGGTGATGACGTCGAAATCGCGAAGTGGGAGAAACTACGTCGAGTATCGTCGTTAGCAAACGGCCTGCGATGCTTCCAATTTCAAATCCCCAAAGAGTCCAAAATTAATGCGACGACCGTACGAACCTTCATCTTTGCGTCGGTGATGTTTTCGCAATTGCATAAATCGATATATCATATGATGCGACGGGATTGATGGTCGGGTTATGTTAACCGAGAAGTTGAGACTAAGGAGAGCTCGAAGTTGATGAGAAATAGCTTGGTATGGCTTCGGAGGATCGTTAAGAAGATCGGAGGCGACCAGTAAACGGCTGACACTTGGTCTGGAGTGGTGAATTGCTGGTTAAAGGGTAGGTAATTATCGTCCTGACGATGGGTGCGTAGATGCAGCAGCCCGTAAGCTGATAAAGAAAGACAGCCAATGCGCACTTCGATCCCTACCTAGGTACACAGTCGATTCAAATAAAATAAACTAGATCATATACTGTCTAGTAAATGTAGAGAAAGTAAGACATCACGAATTATACGCGTATTGGAAGTTGGTGGATAGTCGGTGTCACAGTGGTCGAATGTATAATTGAAGCCTTTTGAAGGTGGAGGAGGTAAGTTGCGACGGTTCTCGGATTGGGAGTGCCGGAGGGGGGGAAGATAATGATGTGTTGCGGTGATTGCCCAGGTGATCAGGTGTTTTGGCTGCTTGTCTGACATGGCTGACAAGGGCCTTGAGACCAACTCGCAAGGAAGCCGGGAGTTTGCCGTGTGGCCGTTTCCTTGTCTTCTCAAATCCGGGCATAGTTCGCAGGTCGCAGGAAAGTTTAGGGGGGAACTAAAGTACCTATCGAACCAGTAAACTTGGAGGGGTGTGGCTTGATAACAGGTAGGTACACCTAGCATAGCAAGCTAAGGGGTTGGCAACCTCCCACCATTGCCCGAAGCGACCAATAGTGATTAACGGGCCCAGCCAGAGGCTAAACGAATAGGATAACGTCAAGATCCCACGAGCGTAAACGGCGCTCTTTGAGCTAAAACATACCTAACACCTAGCATATTGACCATGCAATAGCTTCGTCACCGATGGACGCTTAATTAGCCATTCGGATAAATCTCGTGTAGTTGAATAAAAAGAGCGCGCGCGAATATATGCCGGAACACGTCCTAGAACTTGCTGATAAGCTCGTAGCAGAAAACTATTCCGAAGTGCTGTCTGTTGGGCGATAGGCTGAAGAAAGATACGGCACTGAGACTGCGTCACTTCAAAAGCGACCGTCACACGTTTAATAAATGCGACACGGCTCATCCAAGGCGGATAACACTGCAACTGTGGGATCATAAGAGGCCGACTTCCTTTAACGCGTCCCTAATTTCTTGAGATTCCTGTGAAAAACAATTGAATATAAGCAGACTTGTAAATGTAAAGCGTATAATACTGTAATTTGAAACCCGTTGCGCCGTGCCCTGAGGGAACCATTCTTAGACTGCAATCCGCTCGGAAAAAAATACATTGTAACTTGTTACATGATTTTCGTAACCTCGTCCTCGACCTGGATCGAAGAAAAAGTTATGTCAGTGGGACTGAGGATTTCCAGGGAGGGTCTTAATGTTTGTGTAGGTGGCCGAGACGGTGATTTGAAGCGAGGAGAACAAGTATTAACAAAAGCCCGAATGAGTTAGCTTACCTCCATATCTTCGAGCGAGTCCTGCTGCCCTATGCAGCGGAGTACATTCTTTTTACTGCTTTCCTGTAGTTCTCCCGCCAGTAATATCTCATCTAAAATATAGTATGCCTTTGTGAAGGAGAATATAATGTCGAGCTCGCAGACGTTGCCGTAGTATTTATCCATCTGTTCGACGTATCGGTGAATAATCTCGAGGGTAATTAACTCGTTGTCGTCGGAAGAGCATCCGGCAATGAAGAATAGCGAAGCATAACGACGGTATACGATTTTGGTATCTTGTTCGGTTGGTCGTCAGCAGCCTTGTCTAATATTAGTAGTCGATAAAGGGGCGAACCTTTATATTCGAGAAAGTTGCACATGCGAGTTCGTCTGGCGAGGACTAGTTGAGAGACGTCCTTGACAATCTTCGCCTTGTCCTTGGGAGACAAGGTGGTAAACCATTTGGCCAGGCGCTGGTTTTACAATTAGTTTTGATAGAGATGCGGCCTAAGAAGAGTTTCATAACATACCACCTTGCCCTGCCGAGACAGCAGGATCAAGTAGCTATCATGTCAATGGTTAGCTGGTAGCCTTATGTTAACGGTGATAAATTCGATGGCATACTTGATAGCCATTTTGACGTCTTTCACATTAACATGGCAGGATGAGAAAGGAAGAGGGTTCGTCGGGAATCAGATGCGTTTTGCTGTGTTGGTGTATTGGTATGTTTGGTATGTTGGCAGTGGTAAATTGCTCTAATGAATTGAGAACAGCAGAAACAGAAGCAGAAGCAATTTCTTAGTAGATAGTAGTGGGGTCGGGCACGAGCTTGTCCAGGTACTAGGTACCTCTAAGGTATGCGACCGCATTAGGTAAGGCACCTAGGTACATCGTACATAGGTACTAGGTATGTATCGCGACCAGCCGACATAAGATTTGCCGGTCCGATTCCATGGACCCCCCCACGGTCTTAGTCGACACGGGTTTTCACGGCTACAAATCAACCTACAAATGTTTTCCTATGTATAATCTAGCGATTCCTTACCTTACACTACAATATTTACATATGCTGGACATGTGCTGGACATATGGTCTCTACTAAATTCTCGAGTGGGTTGAGCCGGGGTGACAGGGTAAGTGACCTATCCATGACAGTTTGATTTCAAATGACAGGCTATGACCTACGCCCTATGCTCGTAGCTTTAGCTTACTCTATGAGGTAACTACATAATTCCTCTCCTACCAATTTTATATATACTTTAGGTATGATCTAGCTTCCATAAGGGTAGGTAGTTGTATCACGGTATCACCACCACATGCGACGGATCCCGCGATTTCAATCCATTAATCCATACCCCCGCTTCGATTTATAAAGCTTCAGTTTTTTTTTCTATCCACTCACCCACCCCTACCCCTACATTACCTACCTAGTATTAACATTATTAGCATTATGTACCAACCTCTCATGCATCGCATGAAATACGATTGGTAATACCTAGACCTACCTTATACGGTATCTACTTACCTATCTAGAAGATTCATCCACACCTATTGGTTCTTATTGCTTATATTATATCTACCTTTACCTACTCTGTTTTCTCTCTTCTTATTTACATCTTGGTTGTTGGCAAGTCTTTCTTATCCAACACATTACATATTTACTCCCTATCACCATGACGCGAATAATCTTATCTACGGGTAACGTCATCTTAGACGGCCCCTCTATCATTCGAAAACCGGGTACTTCTCGATCCAATCTTGAACTCACCAATTCCCTCCGGAACAACATTTTGGCTGCGCAAAAAGAATACGCATCCGCACTTCATAATGGCAATGGCAATGGCAACGGTAATGGCCATGACCATGCCTCCTCTCATGCGGGACAAAATGGACACAGCAGCCGACCGGCGCCAGAGCTGTGGACAGAGAGGGAGGATTCTACGTTATATGTGCCCCGCATTGACTGGGAATCAGCTGGACTGCAAGAGAGTCGCTCCCGATATGAGATAACCGTGAAGCTATTCTTCCTGCCGACAGCGCCTCCGGAGAAGAGATTCGACTATATTAAGGAGGCATTGCGATTAGTGAAGAAGGAGCTGGGCGTGGATGACGTCGACCTCCTCATAGCCTCGTTCCCCGGCTTAGCGTTCGAGGGAGACTGCGAATGGGAAGCCGACAGAAAAAATGCGACGATGGGCAACGACGATGAAGAGGTTACCACGTGGGGTTTTCTGGAGAAATTATACCACCAGGGCCAGATCAAACAACTTGGGATCGCCGAATTTGGCACCGAAAAGCTAAAGCGCTTTTTAGACAAGGTCAAAGTCCGACCTACCGTTAACCAGATCAATATTAGGAATTGCTGCAACGTACCTCCGCCTCTGGCAAAGTTAGCTAAGGAGAAAGGTATAGAATTATTCACCCACCACGACTCTACAAACGTGTTGCCTAGCGGCACTCTACGAGAGCTTCTGGGCCAAGGACCGCAGGGCGCTGGCGTCCTGGCAGATGGGGATCTTAACAGCAGTGGAATTAAGGGTGAAATCATCCCCGAATGGGTTGTCAAGTACACAGCATTTGTCAGGGATCGGGGAGTTATTGAGAATAAAGGCTACTTTGCGAGCGCGGAGACGGTGGAAGAGGCATGAGAACAGCTATAGTGTTTTATCTATTCCTTGTGCATTTTTCGGCCAACAATAGCATTTGGTGGTCAGGGATTACCAGCATTATTAGATCAATGAATACAGAAGAACCATACAAAGTTTTGCTTCCATGATATCATTTTTAATAGGAGTAGTTAACATTGAATTATCCTATCATGCTCCTCTTGCGCCCTCTCATCCTAACCTCCTCGAGCTTTTTCAAGACTACAGGCGCCTGCTTGAAGGTCTCCCTGTACGAACTCTCCAGCGTAGCAGTAAACAAATCTTCGGCGCGGGAGTGCGTGCTAGCAAAGGCCCTCTCCAAAACATACAAATCGACAGCGCGATCCTCGTCAGACGTGCTCTGGCTCGCGAGGCCAAAATCGATAATAACAATATCGCCATCCAGCAACCCATCTCCATCCCCTTCTCCCGCGCGCCCATTCGATTCCTCCTTCTCCCACGGCCGCAACATCATATTGCTCGTCGTCAAGTCGCCATGCACGACGCCGACGCCATGCATACGCCCGATCGCCCCACCTATCCTGCGCATCAGCGCCACGAGCTCCTTATCCTCCTCCAGCTGCCCCGTCACCGGACCCCCGTTCCCCTCTTTCCTGCGCCGCAACCACTCGTTGATCGCCGCGCGCGCGGGCTTCCCCGCGATCCACTCCATCGCCATCCAGCCCGCGCTCTCGTCGACGGCGTACACGGCGGGGACCGGGACGCCCGCGCGGCGGCAGCGCGCGAGCACGCGGGCTTCGGCGAGGATGCGGTGGCGGGTCAGGCGGGCGTCGAGGGACGGGTGGCGCCATTTCTTAGGGGGGCGGTACTTGAGGGCGGCCGGGAGGGAGGGCAGGAGGTAGGTCGTCTTGTAGAGGCGCGCTTCGGCGCCTTGGGTGATGAGGGTTGGCGGGGTGGAGGAGGGGTACGTCAGGACGGCGGGGAGGGGGAATTGCTCTGTTTCGCGCGGTTTGTCGCTTTGTTGTGTTTGTTGTTGTTGCTGCTGCGCGGGGGGCTGGATCGGTGGTGTGTCTGCTGCCATTTTTGCTGGATTTTATTTATTTTATTCCGTAGACACTTTCGCTGAGCTTTATTTGGGAAATTGTTGCTGGTTTGAAGCTCTAATTGTGTTATTAATGGATTTGGTGTAAGTTCCAAGGTACCAGATTTCGTTTTGCTGCTTATCGGTATGTTATACAGATTGCCCCGCGATTGTCGGTTAGCAGGTTAGGTACCTCTTGATATGATTGATATGCGATATGCGCCGTAGGCTGCTGCACCCTTGTATTCCCCGACCTTTCCCCTGTATTAGTTCCCAAGTCCCACTTCGTCGTGAAGAAACCCGAAAGACTGGAAAACAGCAGCAAGGCTCATGCACCTAAACCTCGTTCCAGAAAATGCTTACCTCTTATCCCTTCTTCGCTTGATCTTCGTTCTACCGTTTCATTGCAAGGATATCTGCGAGGCACGTCGCTATCCAACGAGATGCTTAGCCGGGATCTCTGACCCGCTCGCCCTTCTTTCAGCTCCTCCCGCTCTTATACTTCAGCTCTATACAGCTATCTAAATACTTTGAACAATTAGAGGTTTAACTTTTGGTTTCTAAGTTATAATTCTTGGCGAGTTAAAACTAGTTTCGGATATAAATGATATAGGTGTGAGTGTTTAACTTAGACACGGGGGCGAGGGAATACTAACTCCCAGTTCAATATCTCAACGTTCTCAGGACCTTCTAAAATAATTAAACCACAACTCAAAGTAGACCTAGTAATTCCGTGCATTATTTGACTTAAAATATCCCCTAGGAACCTTGAAAGATGGTATAAATATTTGCCTATGATAGAAGAGCATCCAAGTCCGTAATACACCGTACATCTCAAGCTTCTTCTACCGGAGTTATATTTTTTATCAAGTTACATCTATTATGCATATGTAGAGCTAGGAAAAGGGCTGATATCCCAGAGAATAAATACTAAAGTGAGATTATGATATTGTATTTTCTAGACAAATAAGGTCGGCGTGTGGTTCTTGAATATTCCCCTATTATTTGAAGTTTTGCAAGAGATGTTATAAATTTCATATTCTCTTCGTTCTCACACTTATACAGCTCCTGTCCTCTAACAATGTTACCGGTTCTTAGGATATAGTAATAAGTGAGAATAGCGTACCACTATTTTAGATTATCTTCTATTAGTACCCTTAAAACTTGCGCCGAGAATTAATTCCCATGGCCGAATATTTATTCTATGGTGTGTACCTAATCTAACATGTCCTATGGCGGTGTATAAGTCCCAATATGTCAGACGATAACATGTGATTATAGGAGTTAGATAAAGCGCTATAGAACAATAAACTCCATCCTCGGCTCGCTAGAATAAAAGCTTCCTAAGCTCTCGTCCTACAATAAGCTGTCGTATGATAAGACCACCCCTATTTCCTCCCCGTCTAATGCTTAAGGGGAGGATCGGCTCTACTGTAGGTACCACTGCGCCACCTGTTCCGCGGCGTCCGCTATTGGGTAACATTAGGACATTTACTACAACCCTAGCCGCTGAGTACGGAGTCGTGCATACATGTAATTAATCAGGTACTATAGTAGCAATCAGCAGCCTGATTTCTTGAAGTATTTCTTGAAGTAGCTTCTCCAAGTAGAAATACCCCCTCAACAAATCAAACCCAGCATCTCCCCAGGCGATTCTTCTTATTACACATTATTTTTACAATCAGGTACCAACCACATACAACAACAAAAAACGGAAGGGAAAACTAGAAAAACTAGAAAAAATAAGGGAAAGTCGAGGAGAAAGTCGAGGGAAGGTCAAGGGACCTTCATGCAGACGTCACCACTCTCTACACCCTCCATTAAGACAATATATCCCAAGATTCATCCCATTCGCTATTCACCTTTCAACTCGCAGCAAAAACCTACGAACCATGAATTTATAACTAGTCCAAAACTCGCTTCCCTCTCTATGGTCCCCTCCCCCCTCCGCATCCACATCTCCATCTGCCACGCAGCAACAACTCATCATGCTTGACCCCCCCTCTTCACCGCTGCTGTGGACCCTGTTGCTCCTAGTCACCGCCCTTTGTCTTGCTCTTCTTCTGGTCGTCGCCTACACCTCCTATACGACAGCCTACTTAGCCGCGCCCCACGAGATAACCACCTTTCTCGAAGCTGTGGACTCTTCCATACAGGAGAACGAAGGATACGATGGGGACATCGCAAAGGTCCAGAAGCTAGAGGACAAGCTACGATTGGGTAGATTGCTGAGCGAGATCCGGAAGAGCGGCGATGATCTGCGCGAGGAGCTGGACCGCCTCGTCCTGACCGAGGGCTCTCGGACGTTGCGTCCCGGCGCGCGGTTCCTTTGGGCGGGTCATAGAAGACAATTAGAAGAGAGGGTACGGCGACTCGACATGTTGCGCATGCGATTCTTAGTTGTTTATATGGGTATCGTCGCAGCCACGGCGGGGGACCGTGCGAAGCAGGCTGAGAGGACAACACCGAAAGATCCGGAGAAGGCGGCTCTGCATTTCCAACACCAGATGCCTACCAGGCCGTTTCTTCCAAAGGGACTGGTCGATAGCATCAAGCAGAGACCAGCGCTGAAAAAGTTGACGACGCAGACAACAGCGACGACAGAACAACACAAAGACAATGAGACCCCGCATCAACTGTCCCACCACGCGTCCCACCAGACACCGCACAGGACACCGCATAAACCACCGCCCCAGATAAACTGGATGGGCGTCGTGCAGGAGCTACAGCGCTCCCCGCTGATGCACAGGCGCCACGCCTCGATAGAGATGGCGATGCGATCAACGCCCCCCGCGTCGCCGCTAAGCACCCCGGTGTCGCTATCGCCCGAAATGGACAACGGACGATTTCGCAACGCCATAGACCCTATCCCGGAAGATAGAGATAAAGATGAAGATGAAGACAAGACCTGATTTGACTTTTTGAGTTGTTTTTTTAAAATACTGAGAGCGATTTTGAGACGACCCCCCCTCCCCCCCTGACGGAACACACAGTACAAATAGGAGAGCACGGACACAAGCATGGCAATCAATACACACATCGCTTGAATAATACGACGATGACGACGACGGCAATGACGATGTATAACGAACGAAAGCCTTTTACGACCCTTCGAGATTTCGGTGAGCCTGTTTACGAGCATGTACACCTCATTATTATTACTCTAATTACCACTACTACTACTACTATTCCATTCCACGCGGAGTTTTGGCCACTTCACGAGATACCCCATTTATTTATTTCTTTTATTTTACTTGACGGCATGTTACCTTTGCTTTTGCACTTGGCTGCACACTTCACGGGGTATATTTCTTGGTTATTCTTTTAATATATCTTCGCAGATCGGGATATTAGGTAGATACTACATCTCATACCCGATTTATATTGTTTGGTTAGGTTAGGTTAGGTACTTACCTAGGTACCTTTTGAATATGCTCATATGTATTGAATTAGATTGGATTCAGTATAGGGTTTGGAGGGATGTAAACCGACTGGGGTTAATTGATGAACTGGGAAAAGAAGTCGACTATATTGTCGATGGTGTATATCTAGCGGTTAATCCGAGCGTTTCAATATTGAAATTTGTCTTCGCATTCAGAACACAGTTATAAACATAAGTCCATCTGCCGGAGTGATGGTGTATATAAGTAATTCATACGAAAACAGTTAACTGCCTTGAAGACATACGAAAATAGTCAAACCCATCATTTTGGTTGGTAGTTCCCAAGTCCCTCAGAAGTAACCGTGATTTTTCTCAGTGTTTAGTACCATCAGGTCCGGTACCGTTTTTCTCGCCGACTACATTACTGTTAGTTAAGACTTATCTCAACCCATCTCATTCGACACCCTTTATATGCTATACCGACCATCCAATATATATAAAACTCCGAAGACAAATAGCCAAAGCAAAGGGGGGGTGACTTACCGTCCAACGCGACTAGAAAACGACTAACGCAGTTATACGCCGCAACCTATTTAGATATCATCATCAGTACAGGTTCCTGCTTAGACAGGATATGGAAGAAAAAAAAAAGTTACACCATCTCAATATCCAACATCCTTATTTTATAGGCGAAGCCACGTCTCTCGCCCTCTTCTCCCTTCTCTGCAACTCAACTCAACTCACCCAAACCCAACCAAGCAAAAGCAAAGAGTACAAAACAAACAGAAAGCGTAGGAGAAGGAAACGTAACCCACAGTAGCCGTAATCTCAACAACCTCCCTCTCGCTGCACAGCTCCCTCAGCGCCTCGAACGTCTGATCCGACACCTTGACATTCCTCGTCATCTCGTCCGCGTACCTCAACACAGCCCACTCCTTGTCCGACAAATCCCCTTTATCAATCTCCCCCTCCCTCTCCGCCACCAAAACCTCCCTCCCCACAACCCCCATCCCCACCTCGCTCACGCCCGCCGCCCTCGCCAGCGGCTCGTGGTGGGCCCACTCGTACCACGCCCCGTTGCACGCGGCGACCCTGCATATCGCGATCTCGCGCTCGCGCGCCCCCACCGCCGCCGCCCGCGTCCGGATCGCCCCCAGGAAGCTGTTCCACCCGTCCGCCACCGCCGGCGAGTGCAGCAGCGCCAGGTCCAGCGGCTGCAGCGGCCGCGGCGCCCGCCGCGCCGAGATCCGCGCTACGATCGCTGCTTCGTCCTCCGTCGTCGGCTGCGGCGGGTTCGGGACGTAGGGGATGCGCATTGCTGCTGTTGTGGGGGGTTTTTTATCTTATTTATATATACCTAGGTAGGTATAAAAAAATATTATGCGCTGCGTGAGAGGTACCTTGGGTAGGTAGGTTAGGTAACATTAGAGGTTGGTAACTTTAATCGTAAGCGTATAGTGTTTGTTAAGCCCCTAAATATACCTACCTGGTAATAACCTAAACTCGCTCTCCACTATAATCAACCCCACAGTTTCGTTCTCCGCACCCCGAACATCTCGGCAAGTTAGCCGGCACTAGGATGAGAAAATGGTTCAACCACCGAAACATAGCATCGTATTGATGGAATCAAGTACATTGAATCAAGTACGTAAATGATAGCTTCAAGAGCATATACCACCTATATATCAAAGTTGCTATACATTTATGAGGTGCTAAAAATACCCCTTATATACTTCCATAAAATATTTACATTGCATCAAATTAGCAATCTCATTAATCGCCATGTTGTAGCTCTTGAATCTTTGGCCTAGATGGCATTTGTATCGTGTTTCATAAAAAATTCAGTTACTGCCTTTCTTAAATTGATATGCAGAACGTTCTCCATACGCATTTTGAGAACGCGTAATACAAACCTCCGACGAGGCCTAAAGAAGCCGAAAAACTCACGCCGTCGCTCCTATCTTTTCTACAAGAGATTCGGTATCCATAGGCAAAATATAATAGCCGTAACGCCTTCGCCATCCCTTTAGTCATATTCGCCAGATGCTTTTGTGTCCCTGCTCCCGGTTCGCCGTTTTCATAGGCATTCCCTTTCGAATGCCCTTCCAGAATATAATTGTTGCAGATATGCCGTAGAAAAATGCTGTGATACACCAGCGTGGTATAAAAAAATAGTGTAACAATAGAGTTAGCAGTCATTAAAGATGAGTCAAAGATTGTATATATAGAAGAATGTTAGAGCTACGTGTGTAGCATGGTATCAGTAATATGCGAAAAAGAATGAGGTGATTGATGATTATTGGTGAGATCATTTTGGTATATTCGTAGTTGGATGAGCCCCATTTGTAATGACCTGCCCCTTAGGGTTTGAGATTGAATTTGAGGTAGCGGAAATATCTCCATTTGGTACTTGACATGTGATAGGTCGGTTGCCCTTCTCTGGGGTACTCTTCCTCGTCAGTTGAGATGCCGTCTCTGGTTCCTCGGGGATTGTTGCAAATTTCTTAAGGACTTGCTTGAGCGCCGGCCGACGGATGGGTTTGCTCAGGAATTCGTTCATCCCGGATTCCATGCAGTCTTTAATATTGCTCTCTTCCGAGAACGCTGTCAATGCCACAATAGGTGCTGAGTATCCCATCTTCCGGATGAGACGGGTGCTTTGTAAGCCGTCGAGGTTAGGCATTTGAATGTCCATGAATATTAAATCAAAATAAAGATTGTTCTCCATGTTGGCCTTCACAAGCTCGTACGCTTCCTGGCCATCTTTGGCGATGGTCACATCATACACATCTTCCAGTTTCAACATCCTGCTAACAACCTCGATATTTGTAGGATTGTCCTCAGCAACAAGAACTCGCAGTCTTCCATCGCCTTTGGTTGCTTTCGCCATCTCGATGGCTTTCATTTGGTCGTCGGGAGTTGGGCGCGTCCCTGCCTTAGAATTGGGAGTGGTAGCAAAGAAAGGCTGGCTGAGTCCGACAAGGCGCGGTTTCTGATCAAGTACATTGGCTTTTGCTTCTGCCGTAGTCTGCGTTAGTGTCATAGAATTCTTCCTTGTATCCCCCTCAGCGGAACTACTGATACTATTTGGGCGTGACTTGATACTACTTGAGGCTGTACTAGAAGGCCTACATATGAACTTGTCAGTAGGGTGCCCAGATAGTTGAATGATATTTTCTCACCTGTCTTTAGTGTACTTCAGCGGGATTTGCATAGTGAAGACAGTCCCGACGCCGACAGTACTCCGCAAAGAGATACTTCCTCCCATTAGATTTGCCAGCTGCTGGCAAATGCTCAACCCCAAACCAGTTCCTCCAAATTTCTTGCTTAAGCCCAGGTCACCCTGGACAAAAGGTTCGAAAACCCGCTGCTGCATGTGCTCCGGAATGCCGGGACCAGTGTCCTCAACTTCGAATTCGAAAAGGAATGACTTTGCATTTGGTGGAGGTGGAGTTGGAGATCTCTCGCGTGTGCGTACGTATGGTGCTGCTTTAGGGTCCAGGGGATTGATGGACAAGGCTGTGCCTCCTCCCTTGTACTGGGACTGAGGAGTTGAAATTTCGTTTGAGCTCTTGGATTTATTCGAACCCGAACCCATCCTATGCCTGGACCTACCTGGACGACCAGAGCCACTTTTAGATAAAGACGAGGACCTGCTCACATCGAAAGGGGTTTCGATTTCGCGTAGACATCTTATCCTTACTGATACTTTTCCCCCGGCTGGCGTGAACTTCAGACTATTGCTGACGAGATTAATGAGCACCTGCAGAATTCGATGCTGGTCGCCCCAGAGGCACATGTCCTTCAATCTACCAGTCCCAAGGGGACCGATAGCGGGGAGTCTCTCGTCGACTTCTGCCTGCTCAGGACCGGGACTCGCATCGGGCTGGGTACCTAAGAACGCAACCGAAAAATCTATCGAACCTTCGCGAACTTGTTTGTCAAAAATGGTCGCAACTTGCGACCGGATATCGCCCAACCGAAATTCCTTCTCTTCTAGGCTTAGTTGTTGGCCGATCTGGTTCTTCGAGAAGCTCAGAAGATCTTCAAGGAGATGTAAGAGTAGATCTCCAGACTTGTAAAGAGTCTTCAGAGATTGCTTGATTTTGGTCAGATCATCTTCCTCCATACAGATAGCACACATGCCCAAGATCCCGTTTAGGGGCGTCTTAAGCTCGTGAGAGATGTTCGCAATGAATAGCGTCTTGCTTTCGTTGGCGGCCTCGGCTGCTTTCTTGCTAATTTCGAGTTCGCGTGTTCGCTCCGCGACTTTGTCCTCCAAGGAAGTATATTGCCTTAGTAATTCCTCGCTCATCTCGTTAAAAGTTGTAGTCAACTCCGTAAGCTCATCGGTTATGACGTGTTTTCGGTCGTTAACTTTGCCAGGAATCTTGAAAATCCTCCTTCGCGGCTCGCTATCATACGTCGAGGGTGCTATCTTCAGCCGCGTAGAGTTTCGAATCAGCCTTTTCAGCCGAATTATAACTCCATTAGCAGATTTTCGACTGCCACTTCCTGATCCATTATGGTCGTCATCGTCATCATAATCCAGGTCGTCCATATACGCTTCAGCATAGCCAGGAGGAGCGATAGATTTTTCAGTAGCGGCCTTCAACCTTCGAATAGGCATAACACTCATATGCGCACATGGTATCACCAAGAGTAGAGTAAGACCAACGGTTCCGAAAACGCAGGCAAGAAGTATACGCCGAAGTGTATCGATGGGAATATAAGCTTCGGCCTTGTCCTGTTCGACGATGAGCGTCCAATTTACCAAAGTAGTGGGCGGCCGAGCATATCCGACGGCAACATCAATACCCTGTTCGTTTTTGGTGGAAAGCATGCTGCTAGCATTGTTAATCGAGGGATTTCGAACAGTAAAGGCCTTGTACACTGCATTATAACCTGAGACTTTAAAAGGCTTGTTGAAGTTTCCAGACCTATAGTTATGCAGCGTATGCCTATCGGGCTGACCAGACATCGCACGCGGCGGTAAGACAAAGTTGACGTCGGCATTCGAGAAGTTAGACGCGGCTTCGTGGCTCGCGTTCGCAGGTAAGTTATACTTGCTAAACCGATTCCATCCTGTCGAGGGACCGACAACTAGCACAGTACCGCTATCACCCAGTCCTTCTTTAGAAGCGGCGATCTTTATGAGCGATGTAGCATCGGCAATCGTGGTCATGTAGCCAAGTATTATATCATCATTTCGATTATAGCGGATCGGAATGGTCAACGAGACAAGGGCGTATGTTTCATTGATCACAAGGGGGCCTAATACCATGCCATCGACGCTCGAGTCAATTCGTATGTCTGGGAACGGCCTAGCTACAACAGCGGTGTGGTTAGGATAAGCTGGGTCGGGATCTGCTGAACTATAATATGTGATATTTGGATACAGTGATGGCGGATAACCCGAAGGGTTGTCACCCAAGATGGCTTGGGAACCATCAGGCGCATTATAGGGTAGTCTAACTTCAGAGATGTTACTACTGGTTGCGCTAATCAGTCCACGGGGACGATCTGCGCCAGTTTGGTTCCGCGAATAGACTCTTGCTTGTAGAAGATTTGTCGAAACACCCGGCGGAGTAATCAAGGCGCTGATAATATCGGCGGTTGCAGAGTCCCAGAGAGCATCGGATTCGTTACCACGATAAAAGGACAGAAGAGCGCTTTGAAGAAGCAACCTCGTCGCTATATGATTGCACGTCGTCTGGATCAGTTCGATTTCGGAGGCAACACGGGCGGCCTTAAGAGACGCGGTTAGGGCGAGCCCATCAGTCTCTACTCCAACAACGAAGCGGTTTACGTATATCCAGGTGGGTATAGCGACAATAGCGAGCGCGACTAGCACAGCAAGCAGCACGAGGGCAGCCAACTGCTCCCGAATCGCAACTCTCATTATTCCAGCCTATAATAGGAAAGCCGGTGGGGATCGTGACCTATGCATCCTCCAAACCTCGGTTGTTTTCGTCGAGTTCGATCGCAAGTTGGGAAGAAGGGGGGAAAAACTGAGGTGGTGATGGAAGACGGAATGTTGTCAAATCTCAACTAGTTTTGTTTTGTCTCTTCTTACCTACAACACCACACATGTAGGTATATAGACAGGCAGGTCTGACAAAGATAAAGAAATGTAATAACTATGATTATACAAGATGTAAAATAATATAATATTATACAACGGTTGTCCACCCTGTCGTGTCTAAGAATGTCGTGCTAGTGCAACGAAGGGGGAGGGAAGAAGAAGAATAACGGTGGTGTGGTTGCTTGGTAAGGCAAAGAAGAAAAAAAAAGTTGTAAGCTTGTCTATCTTCAGATAGTGACACCAAGTGTGGAATTGGAGGGAGAAGAACTTTGGGGGGGAGAGAGAGAAAACTGTAGGTCGCGGTTCACAGCTTACAGGTAACTTCGGTAGGTTCGGTAGGTTCAGTAAGTTCAGTACCTCGTTCAGTACCTAGGTAGGTACCTGTCCAGTATCTTATCTTGTCCAGGTTAAGTTTTAACTAAGGTAGTCCAGGTACATAAGGTTCCACGCAAAAGGTGTAAAAGGTTCCAGATGACAATAATGAAATCAATTGGAAGGGAAGAAGCTTGCAGATTCCAACGGCAAATAGATTTAGGGTGCTTGTCTACCTGTATTCTGCCACGCTGCATACATGGATATTGCCTGGGTATTGCCTGGGTATAGCTTGTGCTAGCTACCTAGGTAGGTACCTAGACTAGCAAGGACTTGAGTAATAGAACGCGGTGCTACCACACGAACTGAACCACACAAGAGGTACCTAGTGGCAGTCGTTCATTCCTTCGTTTTTTTTTTCCTCTTATCCATACAACCATGTACACTTATTAAATTGCCAAGCTAAAAAGACTTCATCTCAACCAATTCTAGTTAGACCCGTATTAACTTATTGACTCCGTTATATCCGCTTGGATAATTGGTATAATTGGTACCTATCTGGGTTATCTGGCAGTTCTGGGTTTTTGGTAACGAACGATCTGTTGTCTTTTATTTTTGATTGATATAAAGGCCTATGTGCATGTAAAAAGTCGCCAGTAAATTTTATAGCCTGCTGATCGACAAGAAAAATGTTGATCATGCCATGCCATGTGTATTCGCAAGATCTCAGATATTAAAAACGGCAACGGATTGACCGCGGCATAAGCTTCTAGACCCTCACCGTTCGGGATACAGTATATACGGTATAGAATAGGAAGTTCTTATAAGGGAAAAGCAATTTTATGCGGTATCCATGAAATGTAAGCCCGCCAAGGGTTGCCAAGGACGGACAAGAAATATAAGAGAGAAAGAGACATGCTCAGGTAGTAGGTTAGGTACTTAACCTAATACAATATGAATTTGATAAGTAAAGACTTTTGTATTAGGTAAAATGACAACTTAGTAAAAACAGCACCATGGCTTCATCCTCTCTTAATATGTAGAGACTACATGTAATATATTATGCCCTATGTATAGAATAAGGTTGTACAGGTGCTAAATCGTACTGTACGGGGAAGCATGCGGCAGCGCCAAATCTGCTGTATTATCTGCTGTTCTATGCAATATGAACAATACCTAGGAAATAAAAAGATAAAAAATAAAAAATGGTACTAACAGCGAAACTTTGGGACGGATCTTCCAGTTGGGGTTAAGCCAAGTTGGGGTTTAACCCCCGTAAGCTCATGCAGCCTATTGCATGATCTAGACCAGATCGACCCACCAATCGATTCCGCTGGGTTGTCTTGTACTCCGCAACCTTTTCTCATTTCTCCAGCCTTTCCTTGACGAGATTGGACGAGACGGTAGGAAAGGGCCGCGCCTCGAAACAACTCTGTTATCCACTTTTGATGGAATTCGAAGCCCACGATACCTTCTTCGGCGCTTCATTTCGGCTTTTAGTGGATACCATCTGCCTTAATACTTATTATACAGAGCATAATATTTACAATTGTCAGTTTAATTTTTAATCCATTTTATTCCACTTCATTCATACTTCGGGTCCTTCCTAGGTAGAAGTCATGAGGTCGCCAAGATAGTCTGGCATGATTTATTCAACTTGGTCGCGCGTATCTTGCTTAATTATTCAACTTAACTTCTCAGCGTAGTGATCGGAAACGACTATGTGTACACTATATAATGGTAAAGCTGAGTAAGTATCGCATCTATAGCTTTGGATATTAGATATTAATGGCGTTAATAACAGTCTAATCTTCTCAGCTTAATTCACCCCTGACTAGCTCGATTTTATACAATTTCGTAAAGCTGGGTAGCTAAAACATGTATAGGGTGCGAATAGTCGTTTGAAATATCTGATATACTATTTAGCAACACAATTAAGCAACGTGGGCAATGGCTTTGCTAAAATTCAGGGGTGTCCTTACAATACATGGTAAGCATATACGTGGTATATTCTAAACCAGTCCTGACTACGAGTAGTTACACATTAATACCCGAGGTAGTTTCTAATGGTCAACCATCCGATCTATAATCTAAGTGGGCTTTGAAACCCAAAATAGAGGGCAAATATCCTCTAGCCTCCGAACTGACTCGTGCCACCGACTGCCACCTTTGCCAAACCCACATACCCCGGGGGCGTATTTGGAACAGCAAACCCGGGGACGTGAACTTACAAGTCTAGAGAGCAAACACTTCTCCATTCATGGCGCAAAACTCTTCGGTGTAAAACGGTCTAGAAGCGTCTAGTGGAAGTTAGTTAAGGTGTGAGATGGGCAAACCCAATGCCATCGCCAACTTCGGAGATACATTTGACACCTCGCGCAGACAGGGCCGCACGAAACCAAGGGCGTCTAACCGGATCGCACGACGGCAGAATCGTTCCTTATTATCAGCGGCCCACCCTTCATGAGGAGGACCAGGAAGACGAGGAAACTCATTTTCCCTGCCCTCGGCCTTTCCAGCTCTGGTGGGTCTTGCTACTAGCAAGTTTCCTTAGCTGGCTCTTCAGCTGCTCGTCTCTCATACTTGGGAGAAGTCCTCTTCGGTACGCTCAACTAGCGATTTCTTCGAGAACATCGATTGTCATGTTGAGTTATGGGTCGTGGTGGAGGAGAGCATGGGGGTGAGATTCTACATCGATCTTGCTGTTCCCGTTACACTCATCAATACAAGGTTCGTCTGTGACAAGGCCGCGAAAGATCGAATTGCGATGACGCTAGCGAGTCAACGAAGAATGATCTTTCGGGGGAGGTGGCAGCATATGATAAGCTCGAAATGTGGCATGTAGTAGATGGCGCAGGGGAGTTACTCTCAACAACTACCATATTCGAGGGGAGTTTTTCTTCAGGCTTAGAATTGCTAGCGACAAGATCAGGGGGCATGAGACCACTAACATAACTATGAACAGTAACTTGGAAGCTGGTAAGTTTGATAAGTTGTTGCGAGATAGTAGTGGTATAAATTTATTACCTCCAATCGATAGAACGAGATAAACAGTATCTTAGAGTCACTAGTCAAGGAATACACTGGTAGTATAAGGGGTCGATATGACAGACCCTGTCGACGTTATTTACAAGGCAATATCCCACCGATGGATCCGTCGCTCTTGGCTAGTGTATAGACCCGATGTTAGTGTACTACCCGTCTATACGATCCAAGACGATAAACGATGGAGATTTGCATTAGGTACTCGATACCTTACTATGCAAATACGCCCTTCGGACTCATAATAACATTCAAAATCAATACTTGTGTATAATTACGGAACTCGGTGGTTGATATTTGCTTTTGGTGAAACTCTGTTTTAGTTGGAGGGAAGCGTTTGTAAACCCCAATTGAAGATTCTCACGTAAGACGGGTATTGGAAGTATGGTCATCGGTTAGCATTAACGTTGGTTGTACTAGATCGAATTACTCTGTATAACCTCCATCAACCATCAACTGGAACTTCATAGAACATTACATAGGTACCTACTCAGGTACCTGTGTATAGCGCGCTCATGAACCGTCGTAGCATCTGATATAAACGCCGTACTGACAACATGTCATAAAATCGCCTAAATCCAATCCCTAGAAATCACGGTTATTCAAGGCTTGCCGGTAAGGCATCTTGCCTTGATTACACTGTTCTGGGTATATAACAGAATTCAGTCGTCTTGTCCCCAGACTTCATCCAACCGGAAGACCTAGAGTCCGTATCAGCAACCTGCCATATGCACCAACAATTGATAGAAGGCGAAGAGTAAAGATCCTTTCAGACAAGTTTGAGAAGATATAATAATTACACGGTTTTTGTCGGCATGCACCATCATGGATCTGGATTTCCAGACTAGATAGCACTTCGCTGGCCCCGTGCTCGTCATCATTTAGGAAGAATAGGGTGGGTAAGGTTGGTAGAAAGGGGTCTTACCTGGAATAAGTCTGGATGAGGATTGGTGGGAACGCGTTGAAACAGCGCAAGGGCTAGCCAAGTAGATAATCGTTGAGATAAGCTGGGAATACAGCTTTACTCTACCGATTTGATTTCATGTTTCAGGCCTAAACTTCCCTCGCTTCTCTTTCATAGCTTGTACTTTCTTCTTATCTTCTTCGAACCTCTGCAGCATTTCAACTTGTTCGGCCTTCTTCTTCTCGCGCATCTGGAATCTGTAGAAGTTTGTCATTTCTTCCTTCTTCTTCTGCTCCCTCTCCATCATCTTCTGCTTAGCCTCTTCGGCCTCGTCTCTCCTAGCAGGCGCTGCACGGCCGCCTCGCGTGACCGTCACGAAACCATCCTCGTCCGGCTCGTTGCGGAGCCTCTTGGCGAGCTGGCGCGCCTCTTTCTCCATCTTATTAAATAGAGTAAAATAGGCGTCTGTCGAGGCTTGAACTTCACTCTTGTTCGGGAAGGCCAATTTATTATGTTCGGTCAACCATTGAGAACCTAGAGGCGTAATATCGATATCTCTAACACCTTTACCCCAAACGGGATAATGTTTTGGCTTTTTCAGTTTCTTGGCAGCTTTCAGAACCAACCCAGCGCTTTTCTCGTCTGCGAACAAGGCGACGGCAGAACTACCACTCGGGTATACTTTTCGCGACCATGTTGGAGGTAGGGCAGCTCGGACTTTTATCTCGAAGTGCTGCGTCTCTTCCTCCTCTCTCTTCCTCTTCCCGTGCGCGGCTAATCTCGTGGCCTGCGCCGGTTCATGGATAGACCACGAGGGTTTCTTGTCGTCATGTTTGAAGGTGATAGTCTCGAATTTACCTGGTCCGACTAGACTGGCGAATAAAGCTCGAAAATGCTCCACGGTGCTGTCGCAGGGAATGTTGGCGATGAAAAGACTTCGGGAATCATCTGGGGTGGGCACCTTAGGGGAATTTCGTCGTAGGTAGGTCCAGTGTACTGCCTCGACTGGAAAGGATGGAAGTGGAGGGATCGAGATGGGAAGTTCGGTAAATTCTTCGGATGGGGTAGATGTTTTCAGCATTTTGAATAAAGTGACGCAGAGCTGCAGACCTTTAATTTGCGACGTTTGTTGATGAGTATCAGCCTTGCAGGGGCGGCGCATTGAGCTCGGATCGATTGTTGAAAAGAAAACAGAGAAAAAGTTTTAGTGGGTCCAACGAGAAAAAACGAGTAGGGATTGGGCGGCGCATGCATTTTAAAAGATTACTATATAATATGCAAATAAACACGATAACAGGTACCTTTAACTATAACAATGCAGCTCGTCGTCCACCGACATTTCCTAGATTCTATTATGGGACTACGGTACCTTAAGTAATAAGGTAAGGTTAATACGAAAACGAAATCCCCCCCCCCTTTTCACCATTTAAACTATCACGTCAACATAAAAGCATTTACCTCTATTGACTGCTGAACAGGGGTCCTAAAATTTATCCACATGACCAATGTAAAGTAGGTCTATTATACGATCTGATCTTGGTTGATATAGATACTGTGGATAAAATCGTACAAAAAGGTATGGATTTCTTTCTGTTTTCTTTGGTAAGCAACCCCTGATATCGTGATTCTCTAGGTTTATCGAGTGTATTTGTATGGATATTTTTAAGGATCCCTGTTCAGCGGTCTATGGGACAGGCTGATAGGCAAGAAAATACGTTAGTTATGAGTCATTCTCGTCTGATCGAGACCAACATATTTTTATGTTGGTTCGATGTTTACCTCACATGTCGTGTCGAATGTCTGGGACTAACCATCCTAGCCATCTCAATTCCATACAACGGGTTCAACCGACTTCTCATTTTCGGTGTAATTCAGTATCAAAAGTCAAATTATAAAAAGATAGAATATTTACTATGAAGATGTCTTTCGCTATACAGCAATCTGAAATCCGATGTTAGGTAGGTACCTAATGTATGATACAATACATTTTATTATGTAGTATTAATAACTAATGCTTTTCGGTCAACTACCTCCAGGACGGGCCCCGCGGAATCCAAATAACTTTAGGCCTCGGCCGCGAAACCTGCGTTCTTGTCCTGATGTCACTTGACTTAGCCGGACGGCAATGCAAACTTCTACTTTACTACTGCTGAGGCACAATATTCCTCTTTCCGAGATTTTGATCTTGAAAGTAATAAGGTTTCCTCGTTTAGCAGATGCCGGCTTCTATGAACACACGGCGGTTGGAGGGAGGGTTCAAAATGAAAATATTCACTAGCGCTCGGCAGTTCCTATCAGGGACGAAGAACGATTCAAAGTCTAAACCTCCCTATCTCCTTTCGATACGATCCTCAACGACCCTAATTATACTCACCGGTTCGTGCACCTAGATACTAAGTTCAAATAAATAAACTTGCTGCTAACAGATGGCGAAAAGTGAGCTTGGCGATCTTCACCGATATTTTTTACTACGCCTTGATCGTCCCAGTCATCCCATTCTCTCTCACGGTCCAAGTTGGAATCGCCGAGGACCAAGTGCAAAGTTGGACGTCGATTCTTATAGCTTGCTACAGCGTAGCCTTGTTCATCGGCAGCCCTGCAGCTGGAATTTATGCCGACCACACGTCGTCGCGGCGATGGCCTCTGCTGCTTGGTCTAGTCGCGCTTGCTGCGTCGACTTTGCTCCTGTGTTTTGGGAATTCGATAGGTCTTCTGGTTGTGGGCCGGATCCTCCAAGGGCTTAGTGCAGCTATTGTCTGGAGTGTGGGGTGTGCGCTGCTCGTCGATACCATGAAGAGCAATGTAGGTGTCGCTATGGGGTACGTCAGCGTAGCGATGAGTGTCGGGTTGCTTATCGCCCCCGTCATTGGCGGTTCGGTTTACGCCGCAGCAGGATATTATGCTGTTTACTACATCGCCTTCGGCGTTGTTGTATTAGACGTCCTACTACGACTAGTGATGATTGAGAAAAAAGTCGCTAGACAGTGGATCGAAGAGGATGAATCATCCAGTCCTTCAGAAGCAGGGACTGGCAGGGTCGACATAGAGGCGGGCACCTCGCCCACCACCACGACGAGCCGTGAAGGCTACCAGAATTCCGTTAAAGCGAGTGAAATACATAATCCCACGGAGCCGAGTCCAACGGATTATAACCAGCTTCAACAGGGCAATAATGAAGAAAAACGGATAGAAACAGCAAGCATGACAAATCATGATTCGGCAGCACACTCAGAGGGTATCAGCATGTGGTGCGCTGCGAAAAGCCTCTTAAAATCCACGAGGTTATTCGCTGCGCTATATTGCCTTGTCGTCGAGTCTGGTCTCATGTGAGTCTGCATCATTACAGTTTCTAAGTTTATATCTAAATTACAGTCTGCGCTGACACCCGACAGGATGGGATTCGATGCTACGTTAGCTTTATTCGTTCAACGCACCTTCCAGTGGAATTCCACTGCTGCTGGAATCATGTTTCTAGCAATATTTGTCCCCGGTTTCATCTCTCCACTGGTTGGTTGGCTGGCGGATAAGTATGGTGCCAGGTGGCTGTGTGTCTTTGGGTTCTGCCTTCTAATACCACTGCTCGTATGTCTCCGTTTCGTCACGGAGAACAGTATTGGGCATAAGGTACTTCTTTGCGTTTTGCTTGCCATTTCAGGCATTGCGCTTGCATTTGCAAATGTCCCTCTTATGGCTGAGATTACCTACGTTATTGAGGCTAAGGACGCTGAGAAACCGGGAATATTTGGAGAAAAGGGTGTTTATGGGCTTGGCTACGGGCTTTTCAACATGGCTTTCTCGCTCGGGGGCGTAATAGGACCGTTATGGGCTGGTTATCTTGTGGAGTCGGCAGGATGGGGAACACTGACTTGGAGCTTTGCTGTCTGGGCAGCATCAGGGGCAGTGGTATCTTTTTTCTGGCTTGGTGATAAAGATAAAAAGACAGGGGAGACGAATACAAGCCAACAAAGGGAGGCAACAAGCTGATGATACATACCTCTTACGATTCATACGATGAAAATTTGATACGCTCGCCCACTTCACTCTGAGTTATAATTATCAATAGATGGATACCTTGAATATGTCCTCTTCACCCCAGACTTCATGCTTACAGTTTAGGACATAACGATGACCACGGCGGGAACGTTCCAGCAGCGGCTATAAGGCTAAGAATAGGATAACACAGTACAAAAGCGTATGATCAAGTGACTTCATACTCTGCCCCATAGGTGCTAGAACTAACTTTCGTCCTGTTAACCGCCAGCCTTAGGGTCCAAAAGATTTCTCTTTTCATAAGGCCTTTAGTTACGACCTATATCCGCTGTATTTACATTCATCTTTAGTACTCGAGGAGGGGAGACATCACCATGTACTTTTTCTAGACTTTGAGATATGCTCAACAAGTAAAATATTGAACCGTGACTAGTATGATGCAGTTTTTCACTTTCATCACATAAAGTGTGGAGCTGTATCCCTGCTATACGCAACTCCTATTAGGTTTAGTATGACAGCGGGGATTTTCCGTGAGATCTGTGTACGGTATAGCGTCCCAGAGTCCTCCTCTTTCTGGTTGGTTTCGTGATGACTTTCCTAAAAGCGCAATGCAGCGTTTACCAGCGCTAATGAAATCGGCAGAGCCTTTCGTAGGTAACCTACAATGCATTGGTTAAACGACATGAGCTGGATGAGATGCCGGGAGCGTTTGGCGCCTTCATGTTGTCCTAGAATACGCCTCGGACCGATAATGAAGAGCTTCAGCCTCGGAAACTCCTGGCGGCATGAGCCTCAAACTGAAATGACCAACATCTGGGGTCTTCTTGCCGACCTCCGTTGCAGGCGTCTGTAGCGAGCTATGGCGCTTGTTTTAGCCAATCAAGCAACGAACCAGCGTCGTATGAGGCCCTGATGGTGATTGGCACAGACATATACGCAGCGCATTTTATAGCATCTACCTATGAGATAAGTGTTCTGTCATAGTTCAGCTTTGCCATCAAACATTACAATGCTCATCGATCCTATTTTTAGTTGTCTGCCGCGTAGGGCTGTAATTTTGGGTATTGTACAAGATAGCCGCCGTCTTACTAGACAAGTGTACTAGGAGGTAGCCTACATACGACGATATTCTACCATTATAAAACGAAAGCTGCAACGACAACTGAGTTTTTTGCCTGGACAACCAAATTCTTCACTCTTCAACACAATACTTATACGAATACCATCTGTTCATTATGCCTCAAGCTTACGAATACACCGTTGGCTGGGTCTGTGTCTTGCAAGACGAGTATCTGGCCGCGTGTCACATGCTTGACGAGAGATACGATGGTCGTGATGTGGTAAATGAGAACGACAACAATATCTACACTTTGGGTCGCATATCTGAACATAAAGTTGTCATTACATGTCTCCCCAAAGGTCGAACTGGCATGACTGCCGCAGCTGCTGTTGCGCAGAATATGATCCGCTCTTTTCTCGCTCTAAAATTCATTTTGTTGGTGGGCACCGCCGGAGGTGCTCCAATGCCAGACAGAGACATTCGCCTCGGTGATGTGGTTGTTAGTGTACCACAGGGTCAACTAGGAGGTGTTGTGCAGTACGACTCTGGGAAGATCATACAAGGAGGTCAATTCGAACGAATCGGCCATCTGAACTCTCCCCCAACCATCTTGTTGGGGCTGCTCCAGGACATGCAGCGCCGATACAACGATCCCAGAAAGCCAGACAAGATACAGGAACACATCAAGAGAATGGATTATAAGCCTGGATTTCGGCGCCCCACAGAAGACAGACTATACCGCGCGGATTACGAGCACCAGGGTGGAAAGACATGCAGCAATTGTATCGCAGCCAAGCTCGAGCAGCGACCACCCAGGGTCAGCGACCGGGTAATCAATGTTCATTACGGGACCATTGGATCAGCCAATTCAGTTATGAAAAACCCCCAGCAAAGGGATCGACTTGCTCGAGATCCCAACCTCAAAATTTTGTGCTTTGACATGGAAGCTGCGGGCTTGATGAACACGGTCCCTACTTTAGTGATCCGAGGGATTTGCAATTACGCCGATTCACACAAGAATGATGAATGGAACAAATATGCGGCGGTCACGGCGGCCGCGTATACAAAGGAACTTCTTACTATACTGGAACCTGAAGAGGAAGCAATGCCATTTCGGGGGGGAGGAAACCCGAAGAGCAATATATAAGCTTGGTTCGTTATGTTTCATTTTGTCACCTTGATGTATACTATTATGTCTGAATATCCAATGTATTATAGAGTTCTAACAATGTTACAAGGCGAGTTTCAAGCTATAATAGAAGTTTAATGCGATAATTCGTTGTCAATAGACTCGTGAACGTAGAGAAACTGGGTCGGCTGAATCTAGGTAGTCAACTACGACTCTTGGTAAAATCGTAGTTTGGCACATTGACGGGTTTGAAATTGCCCTGCAAAAGGTATAAGGGCAAGCAGTTGAGACCCTCGATAGACCATAGATGAAAGAAATAATATAGAGCACCGTCCAATGTAGGTCGAAGTATTTTAAGGGGTAATCAGCGGAAGTTCCTCGATGAGAAATTTGCTCTTCAAGCCAAGTATGCGGTCAACAGGTATTTTCGCAACATCAAGACTTATATAGTATATAATTGGAATCTCTGCTGAAGAAAGGGGTCTGACAAAAAACATCCTTGGGGATTGCGTATATACTAACACGCTAGAATTGCCACGGTCTATCCTTCCCTCAGGTAGCTACTCAACACAGAAGGATAGTACAATCGAATATATTAGATTGGATAGTCACAGCAGATCGCTTATGTGTCGTCATACCAATAAGAGATCTCAAGCCCCTGACTTCATACCCTCTTAGATCTTTGTAAGGGGATTGGTAGGATTGCTATTAACACAACTCAACATCGCATCCTTCCTCTCCTCCTCCATCTGCGTCATGCCCCTATAATCCACGCGCCCACTCCTCAACACCACCTTCCACGTCCCACAGTTCCCTACCGCGCAGCTAGACGGTACGTCCTCGTCTGCGAAATGCTTCTTCAAAACCTCCAGCAGCGTCTCCTCCTCGCCCACCTTTAAAACTTCACTACTACTCTTCTTCGTTCCCCGAGCAGACGTGACCTCGACCTCGGACGGGTCGCCGCTCGTATCCGCGCCGAAAGCCTCGAAATACACCTCGTCCTCCCCGAGCCCGCGCGCTTTCGCCTCCCGCACGCGTACACGTGGGAGTTCCACGGCGGATCCTCGAAGATGGCCGGGATATCCATCCTCTGGCCCTTTGCGCGGTCGTATATCTTCGTCGCGACGTTTCCCTCAGAAGACATTCCCAGTAAAAAGGGTATAGCCACCGCTCTCTGTGTTTTAAACCATACAAAAACACCCTACCGTAGTCCTTCTACCTTCCTTGCCGCTACTATACATATATATTTAATTCCAAGTGGCTATCAATCAGCCCAGCCCAGCCCCACAGTCAAGGACGATACGTGGTATAAAGCTGAATTGAGCCCAGCTGCATGTCAAACATGATGCTGTGGTCCAAAAAAGATCCTTATAGTCGGCCAAAGGACATGAAATCAAGAAAAGAATCAATGCGTCGGAAACGCCACTTGGACCTGAACCACCAAGCGCCCAGACCGACAAAAACATGGTGGCTACGAAGGCGATGCCCCTCTTCGACTCGGAGACGAGCATGGGCCAGCCAATAGTGGCACCCCACTTCTTAACGTAGTTGTGGTGCTCCCAGGCCTGAGGATCGATCGGATAGGGGAGTCTGACACGAGCTGGGGACCCAATGAGGAATGTCAAGGAATAAGACGCGGTCACACCAACTAGGCCATCGGAGCCATTTGCTTGACCGCCCGACATCGGCCCTTGCTCCTCCTTAAACTCAAGTTTGTAGGTAGGGGGAAAGGTAATGTCAGCTTTGCTCAGGGCCGTGCAATGTCCAGCCAGCGGTCATTTCCGTCGTGAGCTGGCCCTGGGCGAGAAAGCGTGTAGTTCCAAAAGACAGAGATGCGCTAGTACAATCATTGTTTTTCAAATTCACGCCATGTTATCCCGCCAATAAGTCCAAAAAGCTTTTTTACAATAGCTTCGTGCTCCCATTATGGAGTGTCTTGATTCTTTTGACATCAGGATCAGGGGCAGTATTCGGTTCTTCGGAAGCCGTGCGTTTGGAGACATGTTGGTTCTCCTTGTGGTCGTTTGAAAAAAGCCTGCGCCTCGTCTCTGTCCATCTGAACCTAGTATCGGAAAGTCGTGGAACGTGGCTTCACTCTCTGTATTAGGGTCCGTACCAGAGAATGATACGGAGTGTAGGTTGGCGTCACATGATATAAAGGGGAGACCATGAATAACGTACTGTCACGTGACAGTTCTATTAAATCTCATTGGTTCCCAACATTGTGGACATCTTCCTAGCTGCTACCTGGTACACGTTATAAATAAGTACGGATGCTTACAGGTAGACATAGCAGAGAGCATCTAGCTACTGTACGTATTTTAATCATCAAATTCTTCAATTGGGTCTCCGTCGAAGTCCGGAAGTCGTCGAATATCTGTCCTTCCATCCGAAGTCCTTTTTTTAGGCCGGCCTCTCCTTTTTTTACTGTGGGAAAGAAAAGGTGACACTTCTACCGCGGCACCATTTAAACCAGCGAGCTTCCCTATGAAAGTCCTTGGCTGCACGAAGCGAAACCGTGGTTCCGATTCGATTATACTTGTTGAGCCCGCTGTCGCTATATTGCTAGGTGCCGATTCCGAGGCCGCAGTACCATGCATCGCTATTTGACTTCCATCCGAGTATCCAGAGGGAATGCTCTCATCTTGGTCCGCATTGCTAACGAATGAATTATCCCCGTAAGTGGCGAGAGTTTCAGTCGTATCGTTAGAATTCGGAGGCGTGTCAGAAGGAAGTAATTCTGCAGCAGCTTGATGTACGGCCTCCGCGAACACTTGTGCTTCTAACTCATCGCTATCACAGCTAAATGCAAATTTCATCCAAATATCGTTATCGTCTGATGATTGAGCTTTTCTCTGGTGATCCCCTGATTTTCTTTGAGGCGATAGGTGACCATTTTCATGAATTGAAGATTGTGGTTCTTGGCCATCTGTATTAGGCACGGGATCGAGGTAATTCGTGTTTATTTCTGCCTCGCTTGATATGTCGTAGCTTGGCAGTCTTCTCTGTAAATGAGAGGGTAAGCCGCTGGTTCTTGAGCTGACGGATGATATTGCGATTGGAGACTTGGCCGAGCTGCTAACAGGCTGAACTATCGGGGAGGTAGAAACCCAATTCTTCCACACTTCCTGATCTGCTTCTTGGGACGATGGAAGTGATCTCGCCGGGCGTTCAATCTCCACCTGCATGCTGTCCTGATCCTCGGAACCCGAGGGAGTCCATCGAAGTACTGTAAAACAATCAGCTCGAAGTGGGGTTGGTTCGTGAATTATCGAGGAGGAATATACGATATGGGTTGGCTCCTCGGGTGATACGGCTTTCTCAATTGGCGCAAGGTATGTGGTGCCTTGCTCTCTTGCTTTTCCATTTCGTTCATCCTTTGGTATTTGTAACGGCTGGTTGCCTTTTGGTACTACGTACGGCTGCTTGGTTTGGCTAAGCTCCGGGCTCGATGCTATATCCGATCTTCTTCGTGGTAAACTGGTTGCAGGCTGTGCCACGGGGTTGTATCTCTTTGTTCCTGACTGTGATAATGTACCAACGCTTGGAAGTATTTCTTGGCTCCCAATTTGGATCTTTAGGGGCGGTCCATTTAAGTCATAAGAAGCCCCTAACTGGGATGCGTCTGAATACTCGCGGCGCTTTCGAGTCGTATAGGCCCGAGGGTGTCCTACTTTGCTCCATCTTGAACCTGTAGACGCTTGGACCTGCCCGGGGAAAGTAATATCAATAGGTTGCTGCAGGCTTAATCCGACCCAATCTTCCTTGTCTAGTAGGCTTTTTCTTTTCTCGCGGGAGGGAACTTGATAACCCTGATCACTAGGGGAGCCCCGAAATCGCTTGCGTTTCTCCTTTAAAAGGGGACTTGAGGGTAGTTTATATGCTACACTACCTGAGCCATCTCGGCGTCCTAAGTCTCGCGAATGCTGGGCTCCAAGGAAGGATATAGATACCGGGCTGTGTGTGTGACCGCTTTTCAGGTGATTATTGCGAACCTTCGCGAAATGCTGTTTCTGTCTCGTAAGTAACTCATTGCGCTGTCTGCCCCTAGAATGGCGGGAGAGATTGCCTTCAGTCCAATTCATAACTGAGTTAAAACCTTGAATATAACTATGGTTATTAAAGGTATATCCATATCCATATCCATATGATAACATGAGAATATCGAACTAGATGTATGGGAGATAACGACAATCATGCATTATACCTTTACCCCCTTGTGGACTGTAGGATGATCGAGTGTACGTATAAGTGTAAGTGCAAGTGTACATGGACATGTATTATGAAGATGGAACTACCTAAAGTTGCCATCCATAAATGAATGGAACATATATGTAGCTGCCGTTTGTTGCTATAATTCCAAGCTAGCAACTGCTGATTATAGAGTTGACTAAGTGCCTTACTCTTTCCTCTCGCAAGCAGCAGAACCATTCGTAATTCAACCTACCTTAGGTACCTTATGTAGGTACCTCCTTAAGGCCTATACCTTAAAACCTGTAAGGTGCTTTCCTTCGTGTGCCACGCATGCTGTTGAGGTAGGTGATATCCGTGTAACTGCCTTAGGTACATAACCCCCAAGATCTGTCATCTCTTGTGTTACAGATGAGAACTTTACCTGTCTTAGGTAAATATATCTCATCATAAATAACTGGCTTCTACCACTAACTCCAATGCTTGCACTGGTGGTAATCGATTGCAGATTGGGGTCAGAAGGTCAGAAGGTCAGGACAAGCCGGGACAACCAATCTATAATTATTGTTGAAAACGGCCGTACCTACCAAGTAAGTAAGGTAGTAAAATTGATGCAGCGTCAGCTGTTTTGGGAGAATTGGAGAATGGAACAGCTGATTGAAGCCACCGCATCGAATTTGATTGCTTTGCGTAAGGGAGAAAGAGAGTTAGTTGGTTAAAGATTTAACTATGGTAAGTATAAAAAAGGGGTGTAAAAAAGACAAGTCCAGACGGAAGATGTGCAATACCAGGGTGAAAGAAAAAAGAAGACAATTCCAAAAGTATAATTCCTAGACGATCTCGAATGACAAGCAAGAACAAACGGTGAGGGATTAATAAAGTTGAAAAAAAATTCAGCGTCCAAAAATAAAGTTGGAGGGATCTAATTGCTCTCATTGCACCAATTGCAGACCTTGTTCACCCTGAATACTTACGTACTGTGTACTAGATGGAATTTAGCAATGGAAAGGTCAAGGAGCCAATCGCATGCGGACGATAACAAGGGACGCCGGCGACGACGCTAGACGCTCTGGCGTTGCACCAACCCCGCAATCTACCTTGATACAAAAAGTTTGGGGTCAACTAGGTGGTATTTTACACCTTTTTTTCATGTATATACCGACTAGGGCTGCTAGGTACTATGATATACATGAATAGGTACTTTTGATACTTGGTAAGCTGAAAGGAGGATTTCGTGGTTGGACGATGAAAGGTTCCATTGGAAAGGAATCATATCATACCTTTGCTATCCAATAGATGTAACGTGAATGCATACAGCCCTGTGGGTGTTGAAAAATCCATTTGTCAAGACTTTGAATTGGTCAATGGGGGTTTCGGTCTGGGGCCTAATGGTACATAAGTATCTAGGTACTTACATGAAGAGTTCTGAGTTGAGCGAATTACATTATACAAAATTTGCAGTTGTTACCTAATAATAGGTACCTAAGGTAAGATATCGGCTGAATTTTTATTTTTTTAGGTACTCACCTCTCAGTACATAAGATAACGATAGAATCATAACCAAACAACAAAATGGAGAAGCAAAAGTTCAAATAGACGGGAAACGAGAACTAGACCAAATTAATATAATTCAAAAGCAAGTTATTAATAAAAATGTATCTAAGTGATATTATTTACGCCTCTTGCCTCTACTTATGGACAACTGCATGCACGTATAGTTCGGGTGGTACATACTACCGAAAAAAAGAATTGGACCTTTTAATATACCGCCTCAATGCTGGTCTCCAGCTTGTCAAAACTAATAAGCAAACAAAGTACTCGAATCTAAAGTGATGCAACTCAAGACGGACTGAGTAAAAGAAATTCAAAACAGCACGAAGTACCGTAATTGATGACTCAAAACCCCAGGGTCCGAATGGCGGTCCTTAGTCTTGGCTATGTACATAATTAAGTACCTATATTCTTATATTCCCCACAGATTATTGCTTTTGTTCGTAAGAATATCCACAATATCAAATGGTTTTAGATTGAAACATAGCGGCGGCGGCAATTCGGGTTCAGAATTGTCATCGTCGTCTCCGGGTTCCAGTACGTAGTACGTACAACTCGATTATAGGTACCTAAGGTATATACGTTTTCTGAGGAAAGTCTCCAGAGGTAGTGAAGTGCACTTATGTGTACTAAGGTGACGAAATCACTCCCGTCTTTTCTACATACTTACCTAACCTAATGTACTACACAATACCTAGGTAGGTAACTAGCAACAAGGCAGTTAAGTGAATAGACATCCAAAGTTGTTAGTTACCTAGGTAACTTATTCTAATCCTTTTGTTTCAACTGCATGTCTTAGAACTCGCAACAAGTTTTGTTATGATCGACCACAAAGCTTCTCTTTTAATAAAATATACAGAAACCCTAGTGCATATGCCGCGTAGTCCGTAACTCACAACCCGTAACCCGCAGCCCGCTCCGGCACTAAGATCAGCACAATTGATCTCATATTCACAAATTCTTCAAGTTGAGAATCCAGGGCCGTAAGTACGGTGCGTTATAGATGCAAACGTTTAGTAAAAAAATAAAATTAGATTGCTCTTTGACTTCCAATGTCGAATACCTAATTGTGAAGCTAGGCTATTCATAGAGCTCGGGACCGTTCCAGATGCCCGCTCCGCAAGGGATAGGTTCAGCATGACAACATGTTGAACGCTCGAGGCGGGTTCCACGACATCGGATCCCGTGTTCCAGGCACAGGCGGTGCAGGCAACGCAGGCGGTGTTAGTTGAACCGGATAATTGCAGCGGTTGGGGGGTCGGAATGTTGGCACGAGTTCTAGAAGACCACCAAAAAAAAGGTATCAGGGGTATCAATCAATGCCCTTAGGTACCTAGATAGCTTTATCCAATCTGGTAACAGCTATAAAAATCTGACCATGGATTATCACAAGTTACCTAGGCAGCTAAGTTAGTTCAAGTTGAGATATCCGGGCTGACCTCCATAATATTGATAAGTGGTGGCGTGTAAAGTCAAGTCGCAGAGGCCTAAGATGCATAATCATGTCGGGTGCCCCCAATTCACCCCACCGCCCGTACCTAAGGTAGGTACCTAAGGGGTTAAGTCAAAGAGGGCTAATGGGAAGCGACAGATCACCGTAGGTACCTTTCAGGTGCAGTGACGGTGCACAATGGGACGGTTTTGGGGTGGGTCCCTAAGCCCCAAACTTCAGAAACCTAACCTGGCAGCCTGGCTAATAGCGTTGGCAGCTTCAACCCGATATCAGTACCCGTATACATGTATACATTCGTCATCCTAGCAACTCACGTATAATTTGGTACTGTAGATGTACCTAAGTGGTTTTCAGCGCCACGAGCTAGAACAACGCGCCTTATCTTTTACATCTGGTCTTAAGTTGTACCTGCCTTGGGTACAAAGTTAAAAGGACTGTTTGGTTGACGGAAATTTCCATATAAAAGCCTCAGTGTCCCCCCGCAGTCGACTCCTCTGATTTTCTTCTATCGCCTCCCTTTTTAAACTTCCATTCCTCTCCTTCGTCGATAAGGATACTTTCTTTCGTTCTACGTTTGTCTTTCGAGAACACACCATTTGCGAATTTGTTATCGGAAAAAGAAAAAGTAAAAAAAAAGGCTTACCTTATATCGAGTTAATACTCCAATACCGCAAAGATGGTGAGCCTTGCCCTGCATCGAAACCCCACCGACCTGCCATCCTCAGCCAATTACCCCTCAGTTTACGAGAAGATTTGCTAACAGAATCCCTCTGCTAGGCCGACAACCATTATGTCTCGTACACCGAGAATGTGAGCACGCGATTAACCCCTAAACACACGGATGGAACGCTCTATTGGCAACCAGCGTTGCGATTGCAGCTGCGGCTGTCCGCCTTAACAGCAATGGTGCTGACTTAATTGTAATAGTTGATGAAGTACATGAAGCTCGACCAGAAGGGAAACGCCATGGCGGAGTACATCTGGATCGATGCCCATGGCCATGTTCGGTCTAAGAGCAAGGTACGTAATCTACATTCTCACCACCTTATCTCGGTCGAATCACCTGTGTTCCTGTTACTTGATCCCTCGTGTGAAGCCCCTTCTCGGCGCATTGCTAGTCGTGCGCGGGAACTGGGCCGGAACCTATATACGAGTACACCCTGATATTCCTGATAAATGTCCATGAGATTCAATTCGTGGGCTGTTGTCAGTTTGGGTGGCTTTCTAGGCTCGAAGATCCCTGTTTTAGGCCCTGACGGGTTCGAACTCGATCGAGAATAGAACCGGCTTGCTCCGACCTCGCCCACTTGGCACTTGTCTGTTATCCCTCGTGTTGCCGAGAATAACCTCGACCCACACAATGCTTCGCGTTGTAATTCTTTGTCGACCGGTGCCCTTTCCGGCACACGCTTAACCGTGGCGCAAGTGGCCAAGTGGGCATTATTCGTACCCTGCGCCTAGTGGCGACCGCCATTATTATTCAGTTCCATTCGTACCGCCTCTTTCGCGCCCTTGCGCTAGTGGTTCATTCGCGTTTCGGTACTTTGTGGCTACGGGACTTGCGCTAACTGTACTCCCGCGTATCTAGACCATCACCCAGATTCCTGAGGACGGTAAATTCAAGCCTGAAGATCTCCCCGTCTGGAACTTTGACGGTTCCTCTACCGACCAGGCCCCGGGTGACAACAGCGATGTCTACCTACGACCCGTTGCTGTTTATCCCGACCCCATGCGAGGTGTTCCCAACATCCTGGTCCTTGCCGAATGCTGGAACGCCGATGGCACGCCCAACAAGTACAACCACCGCCACGAGTGCGCCAAGCTGATGGAAGCCCACGCTGAACACGTTCCGTGGTTCGGTCTCGAGCAAGAATACACTCTTTTCGATATGGAGGACAGGCCCTATGGATGGCCCAAGAACGGTTACCCTGCTCCTCAGGGACCCTACTACTGCGGTGTTGGCGCTGGCAGGGTGATGTGCCGCGACATCGTCGATGCCCACTACAAGGCCTGCCTGTACGCCGGCATTAAGATATCGGGTACTAACGCTGAAGTCATGCCCGCCCAGTGGGAGTTCCAAGTCGGCCCCTGCGAGGGAATTGAGATGGGCGACCAGCTCTGGATGGCTCGTTTCCTCCTTCACCGTGTTGCTGAAGAATTCGGCGCCAAGATTTCAGTCCAGCCTAAACCCATCCCTGGCGACTGGAACGGAGCGGGTCTCCACACCAACTTCTCCACCAAGGATATGCGTGTCGAGGGTGGCATGAAGGTAAGGCTAAAAATACTCACCGGTCGTTTGTATCATGTATTAACAAGTGATATAGCACATCGAAGAAGCCATCAAGAAGCTCGAAGGCCGACACAAGGAACACATTGCCGTCTACGGCGAAGGCAACGAGATGCGTCTGACTGGCAGACATGAGACCGGCACCATCGACCAGTTCAGCTACGGTATCGCCAACCGAGGTGCATCAATCCGCATTCCCCGAGAATGTGCCGCCAAAGGCTACGGTTATTTCGAGGACCGACGTCCGGCGTCAAACGCTGACCCGTACCAAATTACGGGCATAATAATGGAAACAATTTTTGGCGCAGCAAGCTAGGCAGGAGGATACCCCTTTGGTAGTAATGATTTTACTTTTACGCGGAGCCTTATTTCAACATAGAACGGAGTCTCGAAAGACATGAATTGATACGAATATACTTAATTTCTCACAATAACTTCAGCTGTCTGGCTCCTAGGTATTGTGTGATTTAATTACCTTGAACAGTTGAGGTAGTCTACAGACGACCGATTTTGCTGTCTAAACCTCGTGATCGAATTATGCAAACTCAGTCATAGCTACCTAAATATAATTTCTCTGCTAGGCAATTGAGTACCTAGGTACAGCAATTGAATGCAATTGCATTGAATCATCAATGCATTACGAAGCAAACTTGTAAAGCAACCATCCTTGCGAACCTCGAGCAACACATGCCAATGTACGATGTAAGGACATGGCCGAGGCTTCAATGTTTGCCAGTAAATTATCTACGTAATCGAGCATGTCTCTTTACGACTTACAGCATAAATGCAAACTTTGTTTGGTGGAATGATGCTACTGTGTAATTGATTCATTGATTCTTTTTAAGGTCTTTTAAAGGTGAAGCCTGCCTACAAGACAGGGTACGTATGATAGAGCCATGGATTGGGTAAGCAAGTGGCCAATAGGATGGCACGGTTGGGGTGTCCTGTTGCCTATTTCGTACGTGCCCGCTTGCAACCTGCGCATGCCGCTGGCAACCGATCGGCGCAGCTTGACGCGGGATCATCATATGGACCGTGCTATCTGACGTCACACAGGTTTTGCCCTCGCTTTCCCACTAACTAGGCAGCTAGGTTAACCTAGTTGTTTCGTTCAGTACTGTGTTTTGTTTGGCTTGTTACATTACCTATCCCATTAGGCACCTCCTGTTCCTAGCTTAGTGACTAGGTACCTCACTGTCGACGTATACGCCAGTATTGTTTTTTGAGATCGTGGAGATTGAGGTTGAGCTTGTCTATACGTAGATCGTCTAAGATCATTTACTTCATAGATGCCTATATGAGTTAGGAACTCTATACCTAGGTATGTAGGTATCGTGAGGGTCATCTCGATTCTCTACAGATGGGGAGTAGGTAGGTAATAGGTATCCACTTGTCTTCAGGATCCCGAGGAGGAAAGGAAAGGAATATGTGGGGACCGGTAGTATGGGTCTGTTCTAACTTCTGGGTACTGGGTGGGAAGTTCGGTGTTGACATCACGGCGGGGAGAGTTACTGCCGAAAGTGTACACGTATTGGAGCTCGAGTGTAGGTCATAGATGGAAGATTCGTTGGGAACTTTGTTACTGTAACAGGCTGACAGGTAGGTAGGTGATCGTGCAATGTAACGATGTAGTCGCATACCTCTTGACGACCAAGCCATCTGTTGTTTCACTGTCTTAAGGGGATCCGTATCAGCTTTTGTATGCACTAAGAACGATAGGCTGATATAACGAAATTAACACGGATCTAGTCCAGCTAAAAGGAGCTTTCATTTGGAACCAGAACTCATTTCACCTCTGCTTAACCCTGAATACTTGGTAGACCTATCTCTTGGTGTTGTCATAAATATGAGAAGGCATTAGTACGTTTTGGTCGTCAATGATATATACTTAGGCAGATGCTAGAACTATTGCTTGGGATTGAAAGGCACCTGTTGGGGTATTTGTCCAACACCGATTCTTTCCAAGGTCTGACTATAGGACATCACTATAGGTTCGTATACAGTTCGACCTTGGGGATCTCCGTGATGACGGGGGCTATTCCTTCTGTCACGTCGCAGAGCAAGAGGTAGGAAAACAGCTTCGTTGTTCGGCAAGGAACTCTAACTACAGTATCTTTGAAGCCAAAGCTATATACAGAACAACTCGCTTGTTCCAAGGAGTCTCAAGTGAGACTCCTGACACCTTCGCATTAGCGACCTCCTCGCGAGCTTAAGATAGCGAGGCATCCGTGGCGGTATTGCAATGATGAGGAGATTTGTCTATGCACGTACTACCTAGATCAGAACCCAGATGAAAAGTTCCGCCTATTTCGAGAGATCTATGAAGACTATCAGTCCTCGAGCTAGGTATTATTGGACATATTCTATCCAAACTAAATTAAGCAGAAGTTGTTTGAAACCTCGGGATTACCTAGACCATGCACTGTTAGAGTGACTAAAAACTTGAGTCACAAGACTACCTAAGGGGGTAATTGTTGTAACCAAAACACGATTGATATATTGACGTAGGTCTCCCGCCGTTCCAACAGTTACCGAAGTCATAGTCATAATCTAATGTCTTTCTACGAGGTAGGTAAACTAAGTCTAGGATATTTGCCAATAAGACTATATGGCTTAATCGCGTACCGGATAAACGGGATTACCCCCTTTTTTATTTTTCCCTGATTCGCAGATGTCACTTGTAACAAGATTCTATCCGTAAACTGCACGGTTGATTCTTTAGCAGGCATTTGGAGGAAGGAGATAAAGGTAAGGTATCTATCACGTGGGTTAAGGAAATCAGATAAATCAGCAATCTTTTAACAGTTATTGCCCGCTCTGGGACTTACAGAATGTCTTGCAAGTGGAAACCATAGGTACTAGTCTATAGTGCACTACAACTTGTGAGCGCGCCTATGATATATGTGATACGACTATCGTTATATTAAGAGGTGTGAAGAGGCAAAGGCAGCCCTGTGATACTGGTTGTTGGGGTACTTGGGCATCATTCTTTCTCTGGGTTCTAACAGTCTATAGCATATATATAGTGTATTTTTCTTCGTTAGTGTCATTAGGATTATCGTTAGCGAAGTCATAGGGATGCTTTGTCTTATGCGCAACTCTTGACGCTCCCGTTGGCCTTGATGCAGAACTACTGTCGATTTCTACTAATCACTAAGACATAAATCTATGGTTATTAAAGACTTGTACTGCTATGAAGCGGCTAGAGATTAGTAGTATACGAGAGACAGATAAGATTTCACTAACTGTTGCATCATCCGACGAATCTAAGCCCAGTTGGTAAGCAAGGGTACGGTTATCCAGTCAGGCTTGAACCGCCATCGCCCCTTTTTTTCCCATTGTAAGGTCGATTAGGTAGTGGCGTCAAGACAGACCAATTTCCATTCCGTCTATGCCGGTATCCAAGGTTGCGGTTGCTAGATAAATATCAACTAAATCGGTTGTCGAACGCAGTTTCATCTTGCTTTGCTGCCATGCATGAACGGTATCGGGTTTACCACGCCGGTACCGTCTTTTTGTAAGTGATTTGGTACTTTATTAGTGTCGAGGCGCCACGGCTATACGTATATCAACGAGACAAGAGCTTCTTCAGTGATAATCCTTTGCGAGGTACGCGATGCAGATGAATATACCTGCTAAGTGGACAGAAAATAGCAGGGTACTTATGGAAAATGTCACAGATAGGGCTCGTGGACGACTGGGCTTGTTTCGCATGGCATGAAGCTGGCAACCTACCTTTTTAAATACTTGATACTAAGTTACCAAGGTTGCCACAAAAAACAAGATGTGATTCTTAGATTTGTCACGGAATTGGCCAGTATATAGGATAAGTCCAAAGATACCTAGGTACATACATATGACAATATTGACAAATCATGTTAAGCAGCTGGAAAGTTCGTGGGATGCGCACCGGACTATCCGCTTGGCCTACATCGAGGGCGGCAAGACTATGCCCTTTCAGCTGGCTCACCTCATCTCAGGTGCACAGCTAATAAGGCGGCAGCTCAGGTCCCAGAATGAAATACTTCGAGAAGAATGTCGATACTTAGTATACGTACGTCAACTATGACGGATGGAAGGATAACATCGCGTGTGACAAAGGAAGAGAGACGAAAAGAGATAGAGAGGTGAACTCTGCCGAGAGATTGTCCAGAGGAGATAGCAGTTGGTTTACGGCTTCTGCTGGGTTGGAGCGCTTAAGCTACGAATAAATTGCCCGGCATGAGTCCTACGGGAGTAGATAGATAGGGCAGGACGGGACATTCATCGGATACTTCAGTCATACTCTGTGGTTGGATGTAATGCTTCTCGGTGTCTAGAGATCTAGGGATTCCAAGAGCATATTGATTGCCCACCCTAACTAACTACCACATGGTAAAGCAGCCCAGGATACCGGGGAGTTTGCCCTGCATCTCGTTTTCGATATATAAACGTACCTAATGTAGATAATAAAGCGTTCTGAATACGGTCTTATTCTATAAAACCTTTTGAGATATTTTTGGCCGACGAGCCTTCACATTCATGCCCTGAAGCGCGTTAAGGTTGATTCCACGTAGCATCCCACGTAAAGCTAATGGATTGCCCGTGGCAACGAAAGGTACCTGTCTCATAAACCTGCCTACGAATAAGCCAAATATATTTGTTTCACGCTCGTATTTGATACTAGAGCCAGAAAGGGGGCGTTAAAGCTACAGCGTTCAATACGCGAGATGCTTGAAATGAATGACCTACCAAACAATCACGACAATTGATATATTTATGTCATGGGCTCGTAGGCTACGACCTTTACTGACATTAAAAGTACCTAGGATATCAAATCGGCGAGCATGTTCGAGCATAAGAAGTTCTACTTTGCGGTGCGGTCCTAGTCGCTGATCCTCATATGGAAAAGAAGGAGGGGAAGTGTGATTATGATTATAACGCCAAAAATTGATAGAGACGGTTACAAAGACATTAGCTTGATATTTTGCTATCAAAGCACCCAAGGAAGATCCAACCTACCCTCTTCTACATTAACCGAAGCATTGGGAGCTTGGCTTGTCAAGTCTAAACCTGCCTAAGGTACCTGGGTAATAGGTAAACAATCCTCACCGTCTCCCGCCCTTAAAAATCGGTATTCCCATAGGATGCAACGAAATACTCCACGCCGGTGGATATACCTCATACACTTCATATAGAACAAGTGATAAATGCATGAATAAAATGCACATTTACATAAGACAGACGCTGAAACTATAGGCTTCTAGGTAAGTATTGTGTCTCTCATGGCGACATACCTACTATCTACGAGACTAATATAACAACAACTAACCATTAAGACAACTATTAGTTAGGCAAAGCCCAAAAAGCCCTATATCAGTTTAAGTTATATCCGAAGATTACCTGACAGACACATGGCATGGCGGGATCCAGATCTATCATCCCATCGAATAGATCCACCGCCGACTCCGCATGCCCCTCAATCCCCATCGCGTCGAAGCGGATCTAGAATCCGTAGCAGAACAAGCTAAGGTTAAACCACTAGGTTTGGGGGCCACGGTCCAAGCTAACACACCCGCACTCCGTCGTGTGAAACTCAAATAGCGGAACTTTCGTAGTGCCCCCCTCCCCTCCCCCCCTAATAATGTGTAAACGTGTGGGTGCGCCAAGACGTCGCAATACTGCCCTTAAATTATTATCGGGTTAAGCTTATTTGGACTCGCATCGCCTGGGCCAGCCAACCAGCGCGGGCGACAGTACCCGGAATGGCAAAACTGCTGGTCGACGGTGACATTTCCGTCTGTATTGAGGGTTATGGAGGGTAATAAGGGGTGGTATTCGATGGCAACTACTCAACTATACCGCTGGTTTGCATTGCTTAAGAACATTGACAGGAACTTTGGGATAAAACTAGGTGCTTTCAACGAAGACAGAGGACTGAGGAACAATTCTATTTTAGTATCCAGCGTTCAAGTATTGCCTCAAGACAACGAACAGCGGCCCCTTTTTGTCTTCCGCCAAAGTCTCCATCAAAAAGCTCGTACCGAAACGACGCCGTGCTAGCAGCTGTCTGTTGGTTCGAGACAATGGAAATATCCTCATCGAAAGCACGCAATGCCAACCTAAGCAAAAGCTTGTATGATCCTATATGCCTCGCGGATTCTATAAGGGGTGCTCCCTGAGCCCCCGCCCGCGAAAAGCCAAGAACGCCATGTTGTGATATCCTCATTCAGACCTGACCGCCGGAAACCGTCCTTATTTTATAAATGCAGGCCATGATTAAACCTCTCCGGTTCCGATCTTCTATTAATTTCGTCATATTGCAAATGTGTGGGAAATTGTTTACTCCCTTCTGATTCCAGGAGTCGTCCTTAAACGAATACGATGATCAAGGCTCTGGTGTTTTCCATGCAGGCTTCTTACACTCTCCTATCGCGTCAATCCAGTCGTTGATGCCCTTCAAGTGCCAACCACTGACCCATTTTGCCCTAGAATCGCCATTATCGGGCGGCATCTTAGGCGCACCCAATTTAAAGCTCTTCGCGGTACAACACACTTCATCGTGCCAACGGTATTGGAAGCAAGTCCGATTTCGCTTCTTCTCATTCATGGCTCTTTCCCACGCTTCCCGGGCTGCAGCATCGCTGGGTGAACTATCTTCGGCAACCTCCGTGTCGTTGGTGGTGCTTAATTCCTCTTCGCGTGTTGTTATTCCCCGTATAACCCGTCCTTCATCTGGAATATCCTGAGACTCGCAGACCTTCGCACAATTCTCCCATGATTTCCATGCCTCCTTTTCAATATCGTTCATCTCTTCTCCTTTCTTCTGTCTGTCGCGCAAATGTCCATCGGCACGTTGTTGAGCGTCGGGATCTGGGTTGAGATAGCATACATCATCTGACAAGTTATCCCAATTTTCTCGTGATACCTGCATTTTGGGTCGGATCAAGCCATCGTATAAGTCCCTTATCAAGAGAACGCGCTATGAAGCGGTTAAGTTCAAAAACGTCGTTGTGATTTACCCGAGATTAGGTAGGAGGAGTTAGGGTGATCAGTGGAGAGGTGAGATAACACAGCACTTACATCAGTCTTGCGCGTCTGTTCGAATTGCCATACGTTACTGATTTCCTCCGCATTCATGTGATGCATAGTGAAAATCGGCTCGCACCAATGACCAGGTCCATAGGGAAGTGTACTCGGCTTTTCACCGTTGATCATAGGCCAAACCTGTTGGATTTTAACCTTCTCATACTCTTCCAAGGCTTGTGCCAACATTAGGTCACCGCAACATTCATGAGCCCCCTTAACATTATACTGCTTGACCACGCCCGGGTGATATTCAATCAGGTGCCTCAATAGCGTACCGCTGAGTATATATCCAGAACCTCCATGGGCGAATGGGGTGCCTCCGATAAAGCTTCGACTGCCAAGATAGAGCTTCTCGCGAGGGTTGAGGCCAGATTGGTTCTTCAACCAATGTACAATGTTGGCCCAAAAGATATAGGTATCAGCCTCTGCGAATATGTACCAGTCTCGACCTGGGCGCATTCTCCATGTCTGTTCCATCATTGGCAGGAACTTGTACTTATCCAAATTCCACGCCTTTTGACCGTCCCTCTTCGCATCGACACATGACTTTTGCGATACGGGGCATTCCTTCTGGTCGCGGTAAAGATCGAAGTCGGCATTATGAGCCTTCGCAGATTCGTCGAACTCGGCAAGGGCATCGTGGATATGATATGGCCCAACTTGTTGTTCCTACGGTAAGATTAGTATCTCCGAATATTCCAAATCGAAACGTCGCTCTATTTTCGATACCAAGAAGAGAGCGGGATAGGTTGTTATCGCACCATGTCAGAAAAGATGAGAAAATCAGGAAGACAGGTCATGGTGGTCAGCAGGTGGACAGGCATTTTATCGAAGGTTTCTGTCGCGCCCGTCTTCATTATTAGGAGTATGCCGTCGGTATCGGGGAAGTTTTTGCAAGGACTGCTGGAATTGTAATATTGGTTGACCATTTCCTCGTTCCCTTCGAAATACAACGTGTTGTTATATACCGGGCCACCGAAGTAGCTTGTGACGCTCTTGTAATAATTACGAGCATATCCAAACGAGACCTCATTCCATTGTGAACGAACATGTATGTAGGTCGCAATTAAGGTGACGATGGTGACCCCACCGAAGACTCTAAGTCGGCGAGAACTGGGTGATACGATCATTATTACCGCGGAGATGTCGAATGTTGGAAGAGGTGTGGTATTAAGAGGGGAATTCTCGGAGCAAGTGACAAGAGGGACACATTGGTAAGGTAAGTCCCAATTTCACTTGAACAAGTTGAAGAGAATGAAGGTAGAATTTTTAGGTAAGTACTACGAGGAACGAAGAACAACAGGGTCGAGAAAAGCCCAAAAAGAAGTGTGGTCCCAGATGGGATAGAAATAATCTAGGAATCATAACCACAAGTCAAAGGAGAGAGGTTTTGAAAGAGGACAGCGCAAAAGAAAAAAAAAAGATTTAGATGTTTGGATAACTAAGGCACCTTACAAGTGGAGGTTTGCGCTTACTTACATGTGTATAAGAATGTAGTGTATGAATGTGTGGAGGTACATACCTCCTACATACCAATACCTACCTAAGTAGTACATACCTACAGATATACATACCATGGGTAACTTCCCCCTGGGGATTGACTCCTCGCTGCCGGAAACGACTTGAGAATCGAGATACGGCAAGTGCAGCCAGTTACTGCAGCAATACTGCATACCTAGACCTACCTAGCGTGTAGCTTAGCGTGTTGAAAAAAAAATACTATGGTAGTGATGTCAAGGAAGACCTGGCGACAAGTATTTATTAGCTCAGGCTACACGGTCGGTATCTGCTCTGAAAGTGGAGTACGAACGGATTAACAATGCCTGAGTAGGTTAGTTATAATATCGGTGTCAGCTCGTATCGTTTTTCGAATACCTAACACGAAGTCCATTTGGTCTTGAACAATGATACATTCGGTGGTTTTCTTCATTTAATGCACTTGCGTACCTAGTGTAGGTATATAATTTACCAAGCAACGCTGATATATGCGGATTTAGGAAGCTGGTGTGAAATTGATCTGCTTCTACATTTTCTACTCCCGTTATTCCAAGTAGTAAGTACTAATTAAAGAAGCAAAAGCAACGGGGCGGGAAGGACGGATGGGATTTATTGCGCTAATGCCGTGATACCCATGGTCTCAGTACCTAGAGGCTAGTCCCCCCAGTCGTTCCCCGTATCGTCTACATAGTACTCCATTTATCAGGCACACACCCCTTGGCAGTTGCAAGATCTTATGTCATACTCTGTTTATTTGCGCCTTCAGGGTCTCACAATCGGACCATCTACATAGTACTATGTATGTATATCAACGGGAAAGGGGCGCATACAACAAACAGATACTATGTAGAAAGTTGGAAATAATAAATATATCTGCTACTATCCTAAGTACCTCATATAGTGTTTATTATCTAGATTATATTACTTTATCTTCTTAATAATGATTGACCTGTCATCGAGGATTAACTTTGACGTTGTCAAGGTTTATATTTCAATCCGAACCATGCTCAGGTAACATAAATAGCATCTTACAAATCGGATGCAAAGAATGGGACGAACTTCGTTATCTGTGCGTTCGTCATTACGTATTTCCAACGCCAAGCGCTTAGTTTGATGACACACTTATCATATACCTACGAGACTTCCAATCGATGATAGCCTATACATTTCTCAAAGTTTTACGAAAACTTGGGTTAATGTATTTTATTCGTTGTCGCATTGCATAACTTGAGCATTAAATGAACTTTAGAAACTCGAATGAAAAACGAAGATATTCACATTACAGGGCACATTATATAGTACATTGGATGAGTGCGTTCGAGTTGAGGCGCGTGAGGATGGATTGTCAGAGTTACAATCACAAATCCTCATGGTTTCAACTTGCTCCGCTTCTTTAAGCGAATTGAACAGAGATCTACATAGTAGTATCTTGTCTTGATCTAAATCTGAAATTTGGCAGTGTCACGTGGATCATGGTATCCCTCAGATCTCTACAATCCCTACACCTAACAGGTACCTAGGCAGTACAGTGACGTACATGTAGGTAATCAGGTCTGTCCAGTGTAAAGCTACCTAACTTAATGTGGTCCAAGCTCCACGGAAGCCCCGTCTATCCGCCCCGTAACTTCCAAGACGCGGTTCACGCTGTAGGTAGCTTCAAATGCTCTCTATCCTCGTGGCTCGTGGGCAGGTCTGCATGCGGTAATCGCGTCACTCTCCCGCACCTCACCTACCACGCCACCAGAAGAAAAAAAAAAAAACAACCACCACATCTATTGGCGCAACATCAAACCATCCATTCTAAGTCGCATTGTCCTCTATAACTTAACTCTACACACTTATAATTGGCAGGGTATTATCGTATAAGCTCTCCACTTTGCGACACCTTCAATTCAGACAAAGCTCCATCATAACAATTCTAACATTATAATAATTTCATCCGTATATACAATCTCTATCGCAATGGCGGAACCAACCCCAAATGATACTACGACTTTGTCTGCCATTCCATCTGCCGTCACATCAGCTGTTCCGTCAGCCGCAGGCACTCCCCAATCTCTACCTCCCATGGATCCTGAAGAGCGCGCCAAGTCCTTACACGTGTCGCTAGCCGACTTAACGGCTAGAGCTAATGCGCTATACGCGCAAAAGAAGTATGAGGAGGCAGCCGAGGTATTCTCTCAAGCTACCGAGATGCAGGCCGAGATTAATGGCGAGATGGCCCCCGAAAATGCGGATATCCTATTCCTCTACGGACGCAGCCTCTTCAAGGTCGGTCAGAGCAAAAGTGACGTCCTAGGCGGGAAGCCAACGGGCGAAAAGAAGTCGAAGGGAAAGAAGTCCCAAGCCGAATCATCGACTGCCAATGCGACCAACGATAAGAAGGCTGAAGCAGAGAAAGACGCGGAGGAAGAAGTCGCAATTGTTGCGAAGGATGGGGCCGATAATGAAAAGGTGCCCGATGCTAAGAAACCGCTATTCCAATTCACAGGCGATGAGAACTTTGAAGACTCGGATGAAGAAGAGGAGGCTGAAGGTGAAGAGGAAGAGGAAGAAGACGACGATTTAGCCGTTGCCTTCGAGATTTTGGACTTAGCACGCCTTCTTTTCGAAAAGTCTTTAGAACGAGAAAATGAAGATACTTCAGAAGGGAAAGGAAAAGAGAAGGCCGAAGAGGACAGTCCTACCGTCAAACATATCAAGGAACGCCTTGCCGATACACACGACCTTCTGGCAGAGATCTCCCTCGAGAACGAGAAGTATGATAGCTCGCAGATTTTATCAACAATAGCGTTCATCTACGACTTCTAACAGCAGCGCAGGTACCCATTAGCAATTAACGATTGCCGTGCCTCTCTGAAGTACAAGGAGGGACTTTACTCCCAGGACTCGGAGATAATCGCCGAAGCGCATTTCAAACTTTCCCTAGCCCTCGAGTTCGCATCCGTCACCACGAGCGCCGAAGACGAAGCTGGCGCAGGAGGACCGAAACCGGTTGACGAAGCATTACGGAAGGAAGCGGCTGAAGAGCTAGAAAAGGCTATCGTGAGCACGAAGCTCAAGCTCGATGCTAAGGAGGTCGACCTCGCGATGCTTCACGCGCCCGAGGACAACGAAGCGACGCGGAAGCAGATCGCCGAGGTCAAGGAGCTGATCGCGGACATGGAGCAACGGGTGAGTCTTCCGCTTCCCCGTTACACTCCCTGTTGTCGCGGTGTAATCGTGCGATAGTATAATGAATGGCCAAGAACAAGAAGAAAAGAATGAGATGAACTAACTACCGATTTTAAAAAACAAAAAAGCTTGTGGAACTCCGAAAACCCCCCATGGACGTCAACTCGGTCCTCGCGGCCGACGACACCGTACTCGGCGTGCTCGGCAGCGCTCTCGGCGAGTCGGCCGCGAATAAGGAAGCGAGACTCGAGGAGGCGAAGAAGAGCGCCAAGGACGTGTCCGGTCTCGTGCGCAAGAAGGCCAAGGACGACCACCCGAAGCCCGAGACCGAAGCCGAAACCGAGCAGAAACAGCAGCAGCAGCCGAAGGAGGAGACTAACGGGAAACGCAAGGCCGAGGATGCCGCGCCCGGCGAGGAAGAGACTAAAAAAGCCAAGGTCGAAGAAGAGCCTGCGCAGTCCTAATCTAGCCTCGAAGGGACAAATCAAGCGTGAAGGAAGGGGCGGGTAGTGGAATGTGCTGTGCTCTCTAGATGGGACTGGACTTCCTGAGATCATGGATAGTTGCTTGTGGGGCAATCGACGGGAACTGTATACTATCATGTAAAAATAAAAAAATAAAAAAGGCAAACCGGGCTTCGACGAATGGAGTAACCTACTGGGTGGAAGAAGCAAAAGCAGAAGCAGAAGCAGACATACCCGGTTCTATAGTATCGGAGATCGAGAGCTGCGGGGGAAGAAAAGAGAAGGTGCTGTTTACCTTAGCTACCTAGGTAGCTTACCTTGAGTAGGAAGGGAGGCGAATCGCATGGTGTGCTACGAATTTCCTTTACGGCACCGTAACGCATTTATCAAACTTTTTTTTTTCTTAATTCCGTGATGTCCTATAGTGTATGGTGTATGGTGTATGAAGAAATACATGATAACACTGACGTTAATGTTGACGCTGTCACTATCACTATCACGGACATAAACATAATAAATATCCTATATACAGTTAATAGATTTTTTTTGTTTTCTTCATTCCTATCAAGTTCCCCGCAGGAAGCCCCAAGTATCGGAACTCGCGACTCTGTTCTGGCAATCAGAATTAGGTATCTGTCCAGCTCGAGTCGAATCGAATTGAATCGAAGAAACTTGAAGGGAAAAAAAAAAAAAAGAAAAGGGACAAATTCAGCACCAAACGCAACCGAAAACGCCGTCAAACTCCTAGACAATCCTTGCTGCATTGCTTCTTGCTAGCCGCCCCGTTGGGAAGAGAAAAAAAAAATAGAGGCGGTCGCAGCATGCTAAACGTACTCGTACAAGTAGTAGGTAAGGTACCTAAGGTAGCTAGGTAGGAAAGGGCCTTGTCCTTCATCCGCATATATGCCTGTCTTCCAGAATACCGTTGACAAAAAAATGAAAAGAGATAATAAAAGAGAAACAAGTGACGTGACCCCCAGTGTCATATCCGCCAAACTTTCTTCTCAGAAAATGGCCTTTTTCCCCCCCTTTTCACCTTAGACCCAATCCGAACCCCACCCCTCTTCGTGAGGATTCGCCATCCGTCTCACCGCCGTAAATTCGTTGATACCGCGATGCGGAAAGATACGGCCACGGGAGCTCAGATCTTGATAAGGCAACCTGGTCTCCTGGGGGAATATCAAACTCGGGCGTTGCTATCGATAATTCCCTGAGTGGCTCCTGTGCTGTTGGCACAGCTATCCCACTTCGACCCTGTCGTGCGTCGCTTTTAACAGGCGTCGGCCTGCGCAGATTCGTCCCCTACGACAGATCGCGACCAGTCGCCATACCTATCGCTGGGCCGGATGCCTTCCCCTTGCCCTTTGCGGCCGCCGAAGATGGGGTGTTGTTCCAGGATAGATAGGTATGATCGCCGAGCTTCCGGGGCTTGATGAGGTTGGTGATAAGGAACACTAGCGCCAATGCGATACAAAAGCCGCCAACAACTAGCCAGAGAATACCTAAAAAGTTATTCTTACCGCCCATGACGGATATCGTGGTGATGACGATGCTCTTCCTGCCCTGGTACTGGTCTGTGCGGAAATCTGTTTTGTTGCGTTAGTTAATTCACATGGAGTTACGGTTTAAAACACGCGCGGATGGCTTACTGTCGTAAATATCCATAGAATAGATACCCGCTTTCATCGGGCTCGTATCATTCCGCATGTACAGTTTGCTGAAGGTCGGTAGACCTGCTGTACGCATCCAGACGATGAAGTGTTCGTCTTCGTGCAGGTTTGGCGGGGGATTCTCGGCCGAGTAGTTACCGCCGGGATATCGGACCTGCCAGTTGGGGGGCGGGACGATGTTGTCGTAGTTGTTGCTCACTCTCGGTTTATACAGATCTTTATCCGACTCCCAGGCAATCGAAGTGTTCTTCATATAATAGGTCTCGTTAGGCGGGGCTCCATCTTGGCCGACTGAACCTGGCGGATTCAAGAGTAGGGGGCTGCTGAAAGAGTCGTTGAATATCGAGTTGGCAATCAGGCCGCAGGGATAGTACATTCTCGAGTCCGGGTGTGTACCATTAGTTGTTGCTAAGGGTTGACAGTTGGAGTTGGAAACCTCGGTAATTGTGACATCATCGCCCGCAAGCTGTTTATCAAAGAATGACTGGACATAGCGACGATGATTCTGGTAGAAGTTCTCAAGGCGATAATAGAGAAGGACAGGTGGCTTCATCTCTTCAGGTATCGCAAAGGTCAAAGTGCACATGGTGACATTCTCAACTACATGGGTGCCAAAAGTTTGATTGGTTATGGAATGTTTCCACATGGCGTTGATAGTGTTGTTGTCTTTGAAGGACGGAAAGACTAAGCTCGTATCCATCAGTTCAGAGTCGTCGGTGGTGGGAGAATCCCGAAAGCAGTCGGTATAATCGATGCGCAATTCCTTAACCTGCAAGACTAACTATCAGCAATTATCCAGCCGGTCGCGAAACAAAGAAACATAGCCATACTGTAGAACTGGCATAGATTAATAACCCACCGATTGGGGCACATATGATTCCTATGACGAAGAAGAGCGGGATAACCGTCTTCGGTGTGAGGATGGGTTGCCATGCTTTCAACCTTTGCTGACGAAACGCGGTATTGGCGGGTCTTCTGCTCTTCTTCTTTTCCTTGTTGTTGTCGATACTCTCGGGAGGTGAGGAGTCGTCCATTTCTCAGTATCAGAAGAACTTTGTTTCTATGGAATACCGAGGCGCGATGCGGGTTAGGAAATGGGGTCGAGGGGATCCTGATAGGGCTGTGATCGGGAGGGCCTCAGGACCCGGGGCAGCCGGGAAGATCGGTTACTTCTGGTGGTTTCGAAAATTGACGGTCAATTAGACATTGAGTCAATTCGATAATATGGTAAAAACCCGTTGCGCCAACGGGAATACCAAATGTTAATGATGGGGTAGTTATCTCAGTAATTTAGGTTAGGTATGTATAGAACAAAAAAAGATGTCGCAGATTGAATTAAACCATGAATCTAATTGACAAGTACAATTACTTAACCTATGCATCTCCTTAGGTAAGGTTAGGTACATTTGTACAATTACGTGGCTTAGCGGTACACAGCCACTCTCCGTAATTCCAAAAAGTGCTTCAATTTGACTGATGTACAATTTATGTATGTACCTTAGGTACCTAAGCAGAATGCCGTAAAATAAGTGCTTAACACCAATGTTCCTTCCACCAACCCTTTTCAGCGAATATAAAGACAAATTAAATTCAAAAAATTGTTTCCATAAAGAGCAAAACTTTTATAATTATTCTAGTAGTCATTTTGATAGCCTACGAGACGATTTGGTAAAGTTATGTGTATAGCAAAATAACCTGCTTGGTAATGGACTAGGCACTTTTTTTGACGCCATTCTGCTAAGGTACTTAGATGTCAGCACGTGATTACCCCTGAAGGCTCATCACAGTTTTCCTACACTACAAGTTCATCCGACAGTGCTCTCTCTGCGTATACTTGACGATGCACCCCTAAGAAAATTGTTGTGGTTTAGGTTAGGTACCTGTTGAGGAACTAGCTAGTAATTAGGCTAGCGTACCAAACTTAAAGCACCAGTAAGAGGTTATTCCCACCCTTATTGCCTTCTAGAAGAGGCAACTACCCGACAGCACTTTTCTTAGCGGTGCATCGTCGAATTGTTGCGAGCTAGGTAGTAACTATCATCGCGCAAGCGATTTGTATGAAGAATTCCTTTCTTCGTATATCGAAGGGCATGGCGGTAAATAGCCGCCAAAGGTGTATCTAGAACTCAACCGTATAAGCTAGTCATTTCCAATACACCATCTAATTCAACGTAGAAAATGTTAAAAATGTCAAAGATTCCGTACAGATTTAATAATAACTTCTTTCCCGATATGCTATGCTACCTTGTACCTACCTAAATCGTAACGTTTTCCCACTTATAGGTAGCATTATAACATACCTAACCTACCTCTCTATATGGCTTCCCCCGAAACCCAAAACCCGCATCCAGAATACGGGCTCTGCTGTCCCTCCGGAGGCTCCTTTTACATTTGCCTATCGATCCTGCTCCGCTTCCTCGGGTGCAGCGAACCGGCCCCGTGTTCCAACGGAGGCCAATGTCCCGTTATCGAGCTCCGCCCAGTCAGCTATGACACTTGCCCGGATAGTCACCAACACGACGACAACGAGGGCCTCGCAGAGCAATTCCTCTCCCCGGCACATAACAGCTATTCAGAGCGGACTGGGTTCGTAGTTGGGCTTAGTGCCACGGGACTCGTTCTACTTGTCCTAGGAATCGCGGCTTTGATATGGAGGAAGAAGATAAAGAACGCAGTGCAGTCCTATATGAGACCTCGTCATTCTGCCAAGAACCAAAGCGACGGTTCGCGTACTAATCGGCAGACAGGCAGGTTTACTTTCGTCAGCTTTCAACGTGTTGAAACCTGTTTCTATACCAGGTATTTACCTAACGAATCGATTAACTTGCATGTTTTAGGTCGTAGACCTATACTAGAGTCGGAGAATTCGTCGGCCGCATCTAATGGCACTGCTCACTCTTACAAGATGCACAAGCGACGGGGAGTTACGAACTTGCGGTCCTCTGTTTATCTGAAAGCTTGATATTGCCTTTTTCCAACGTACGAACTTAGGAAAGTCTTCGAACAAGTTGATTCTCCTGGTTACCTAGAAGGTACTTACCCATGTATCAATACTTCAACGAAATCGGGTAGTCAACGTGCTTCATTTCAAGGTAGTTAATAGTACTGGTATTCACGTAGTGATAGTCTATGTATCTAGGAACTTTTAAGATACAAGTGGCTCTAGTCTTTACTCGTGCTTACGCTTGGTGGTATATCGTCATCGGCTGTACCCCAAGCGGTGCTCTCCTTATCGCCCAACGTGAGTTCCAACGTCCCACCCTCGAGGAAGAAGCTGTGCGTAAGGTAACTCTTGGTGTATTCCTCCCCGTTGAGCTTGGCGCTTTGGATGTAGATGTTCTTGTACGCGGTGTCGAAGTTACTGGTCTTGATCGTGGCCGTCTTGCCTGTTATGCGGTTGGTGATCGAGACAGAAGGGAAGAAAGGGGCTGTGATGAAATAGACGTCCTGCCCGGGATTGGGAAATATTCCCATCATCGCCAAGGCTACGAACGACCCCATGGCGCCTGAGTCGTCATTCCCTGGGATACCCGCCGTTGTGGTGTTGAACTGGCTGGGAATATAGTAGTGGACTCGCTCGGTAGATTTACCAGGACGGCCTGCGTAATGGTATTGGAATATGGTTAAGAATGCCTGTTCGTCACCAACATAGAGGATACCGCTCTCGTGAAGATAGTCTAAGCGGCTGACAAATGCATCGTTTCCGCCCAGAGTAGAGATTAAGGTGGCCATATCGTGAGGTGCAAAGAAAGTGTAAAGCCAGGGACTGCCCTCGTATGTCTCGTGGCCACCCGGGTTGAGGTAGCAAGAGTCAAACGATGAAAGGGGAGAGCAGAGCGCCGCATCCTGGTATCCAAAAGTGCCATTTAAATATCGTGGCTGTAGGAAGCCGGTGAATCCAGTGTCCCTACCATTTATTTCCGAAGTCTGGTCGGCATTGTATAAGTTAATCCAATTCTCAGATCGTTTAACATACTTCTCGTAATCATCCTGCTTGCCAAGCGACTTTGCCATTTCGGCGATGCAGAAGTCGTTATAAGCATATTCAACGGTTCTGGATACACTTCTCGTGAATAGACCAGTGCCGTACGGATCATAGTCGTCTGCGGGGATGTAACCATACTTCTTCCAACTATATAAGCCGCCACGACCCTCGTAGTCCCAAACCGGCGGTTCGTCTTCTGCATCCTTGATTAATGCCTCGTACCCTGTGACCCAGTCGACACCCTCGGTGATGTTCTTGAGATACGCATCCACCAGCACGATATCGGCATTAGATCCTCCTTGAGTCCACCCTTTACAAAGCGACATTCGGCAGTCTGGTAACCACCCCTCGTGTCGGTAGATATCGATGAGAGAGCGGATCATCAGAGTTTGGGAATACGGGTCTACTAGAGTAATGAAAGGATGAATGCTTCGGAATGAGTCCCAGATACAGTACCATGAGTCGTAGTAGGGCTCGTCGCTTTCCCAGAGATAGTTTTCACCCGTGTAATCTTGAGGACTCAGCATTGCCCTGTACACACCACTCCAGAAGATTGTCTGCCAAGCAGTGTCTTCGAAGCCGGTGGTATCAATACTCAAAACAGAAAGCTTGTCTTTCCAAATACCCTCTGCTGCAGCCAAAGTTTTCGAGAAGCTGAAGTCCGGCACTTCCGCCTCGGCAGACCCGCAAGCTTGCTCAACACTCTTGAATGAAAGTCCGACGCGAACAGTAATTTTGGTACCGGTTTCAACCTCATTAAACCAAGTGTAGGCCCCCCCTGGTAGAGGAGGGGAATTATTGTCTCGTCCCAGGACAATATTCTTAGGATCACTGCCAGCCCTCGTGTTCGCGAACACACCTGTTTCGCGTATAGAAGGTCCTTGAGCAAAGTCGGCACAGAAGTGCAGTGTATATGTGCCAGTTCCAAAACTTGGCTGAAAAGTGCCGCTGCCGGAAATCCTACCGGTCTCTGGGTCTACAGATGCATTGCCATCGAGACGGGTATCTGGCAGATCGGTCAAGTCGAAAAAGAATAGAGGGCTCAAGGGCGCGTCTGCGGTAGCATTTTTCGTAGCGTTACCGAAGAATGTAAAGTCGTAAAGAGCTGTGTGGTTTGTAGCCGTAATCTCGGCCCTTATACCAGAGACGAGGTCAATGGTGAAATAACCAGGGCGCGCAGAAACACTCCCATCGACGACTTCGACGCTGCGCTGGGTTTTAGGAAAAACACATCCGTTTATCTCATCGTTTGCGCAGCCTGGATAAACGAAGACAGGAAAGTTTCCAAGCGATGAAGCACCACCAGTACCCGAGTCGTGCATATGAGAGAAGCCTGTAACAGGACTTCCATTTGAGGCATATCCTCCCTGATTATCGCTCGTGACATCCGCTACCGCTTTCGCCATTCCTAAAGACGTATTAGAAATTCTTAATTCTTGCTCTAGGTATATAGACATTACGGTTGCTTATCGTACGTACCAAATGGCAGGGTCGCCCCGGCGAAAACATGACCTATAGCAACGTTCAGTTAGGATATCTCGGTCTCTCTAGATAATATATTGTAAGTGAGCTCACCTCCGTTACGAGTACCGATGAGAGGATCTACGAAGTCATAACCACTGACAGAGCTGTTGGTATCCCGACGGAATAGATTTGCAGAGGTTTCTCGGCATAATACAGCCACAATGAGAGACCGTCTAAGTAATTGAATGCTCATCTTGGGTATCTATTCTGTCATTGAGCCCTTAAACATGACGGAAATATTATAATACCTTAGGAGGTAGGTATTTACTTTTAGCTGTGTAAGTGAGGAGGTAAAAGAAGCTCGGCACCTTAAAGGAGAGCAGCCGAGCGGTATGTAGAGGGTATGTCATAAGATAGACCCAAGTAACATTGCATATTTTCAAGGCGGGGGCGTAAATACCCCGGATTCAGAATAGCATTCTCGTATACTCGGTTATAATTAGAACAGGCTGGAGATTTATCGCTGGCCACAACGGCATGGCAAAGTCCTTCAGGATCAACATCCCTTCGATTGGATTAAACCTTTTCCGTTGCAGCTAGGAATTGTACCTGCTAAAATAAAGACTTGATAGCGGCCTGGTATTATTGGATCAACAAGTTGGGTAACTTCCAAGACTACCTACTAAGGTAGTTACGATTAAAGCAGAGTTTGGATTGGCAGTAACTTGAATTTCCCAAGAAGTCATGAGTGTAAGTTGGGTGAAGGTGCAACTATTGCGGCTTAAGTCAATTCGGATTGAGCTTGCACATAGTAAGACGATTGCTGATGGTGTATAGCTTCAATTGTCTTGAGAACAAACGGGACTAGGCGATATTTCAACTGTAGAAAAGGCTCAATGTATAATTCCAGATGTTCATTTCGTAACATTAAAACATACAATTTATCACAGACAGATGAAATAGGATGAAAATATATATAGAGATAGTCTAGAAAGTGCACTGGGGCCATTAGCTGACTATCCGTTATGGAGGATAAAGTTGTTTGATTTTTGGAGGTTGAATGAAGGCTAAAAAGACGGGACTCAAAGGAGTAAAGAAGAAGCAAGCTCCAAACTAATGGCTTAGCTCCACCGCATGTACTAAGCCCCTGTCGATTGGAGACTAAAGCGGGAATACCCCATCGCACCGAAGCTTCTGATTGGTTAAATTCACTCCCCGCGAAAAGTTGCTAAGATTTCCTTTCCTATCCAGTCAGGAAAAATTTCCAGCTCGAATTTTTTTTTTTTTTAACTGATCGGTCAATTGATACGATTCGAAAATTGATCCGTTGAGATCCAACGTCCACCCACGCCAACAAAAACCCCCCATACCGCCTTGACTATCGAACCACGTGTATTTTACGTTCCCATATTCGTCAAGCACAACAAATAGACAAGATGGGGTCGACGAAGCCAGAGAAGGAGAAGAAGGACAAGAAGGACAAGAAGCGCAGCGAGGCCGACGGCGTGACGAAGTCGAAGAAGGACAAGAAGGAGAAGAAGGATAAGAAGGAGAAGCTTAAGACCGCCGTCAATGCCGCCCTCGACGAGCAATTAGATGCCGACACCTCGGTCTCCGTCGCCGTCGTCAAGGGCGGCGAGGAGAAGGTCGCTACTAAGGTCCTAGTCCCCGTAGTCGGTGCTCTGGTACCCTTCGCGAAGCCATTGGCGGACGAGAAGGGCACCAAGAAGATCATGAAGACCGTGCGGAAGGGTATGTCTCTATCACTCCTCCTCCCCCTTCACCCCTCCCCTCAAAAAATATCGTTCGTTTGCACGGCGGTAGCTCCATGTCTTTTTTTTTTTTTCTTCCCCACGCATTTCCTACCAGTTCAACCCACACACAAGCGCTAACGTTGATTTCTCTCTAACTATAGCCGCGAAGCACAAGATGCTGAAGCGCGGCGTGAAGGAAGTTGTCAAGTCGCTGCGCAAGTCCCCGGCTAGCGGACCGGGCAACACGTCGTTCCCGGGCGTCGTGATCCTGGCCGGCGACATCAGCCCGATGGACGTGATCAGCCACATCCCCGTGCTGTGCGAGGACGTCAACGTGCCGTACATCTTCGTCGCGTCGCGCGCCGAGCTCGGCGCCGCCGGCAGCACCAAGCGGCCCACCAGCGTTGTCATGGTGACCGAGAAGCGGACGGGGGGCAAGAAGGACACCAAGGCCGAGAAGATCGACGAGGAGGACGCCGAGGACTTCGCGGAGGCGTACAAGGACTTGGTCAAGCTGGTCGAGAAGGAGAGCAAGCAACAACTCAAGTTCACGTAAAGTAAGCTTCTCCGTTTTTATTACTTGCGGGGCGTTATCTACCTCCTGTCCCTCTTGCTATGAAAAAGAGAGAAATACAGAGAGAGAGAGTATTTTGTATAGGAGATCAAAACCATTCGACTCGACGTGGCTTATTTACTACCTAGCCTAGGAATTTCGGCTTCCGGGTGGCTCGTGAGTCGCGGGCGTTTTTTTCTTCGCTTGTCCTTTGCAAAAGCATCCAGAGGTACCTAACTTAGGTAGGTATCTATCTTCGGATCAAAAATGTACGTACTCGTTTCGGTTGGCTACATATAGGCGTAGCCTCTGGCGTTGGGGGGAAACAACTCATGTTTGCGTTGGCGGATCAATTAATCACATTGATTCAAAAAGAAAAAGAGAAAAAAATCGACTTCTCGTCCGAGTCCAGAATCAAAGTGCGCCTTACATGTGTCAAATACTACTTACCGTTCCACAGTCAGTAGTTCATAGTTCAAGATATGAAAACAGATGGGGTCAATCGATACACACAGAAAGATGATCAGGTTTAACAGGTACCTAACCTTGATTAGGCAGTTATTCATCATGAAACATTTATTATTCATTTATTTATTACCCTGGCCCGAGGACAGCTCGCGAACCTGCATGCGGGGGCTTTCCTGGCAAAATACATCCATCATCATCAAACCCGTACCGCAGGGAAATAAGAAGAAAAACTAATACACGTAAAGGTCCTTCGAAATATTTTTGCAGCTAGGTATTAATTTAGTCGAAAGGGTTGGTTCGAGTACCCCACCAGGTCAGGAATAGAGACAGACCGACGGTCTCTAGGATCTTTGCCGTGGCGCCGACGGCGACGGTGTCGAGAGGTCGCTTTTCGGTGAAGAGCTGGGTGAGGTACTGCTACGATGTTAGCTTTTATTTATTTTTGACCTTTCTCTCTTCTTTATATATATAGGAACAGGTATGGATGAATGGGTACGTACCGTAGGAGCGGATGTGGCCGCGAAGATAAGAGCGCCTAGGTAAGCGGCGCCCTTGTAGCTCAGAGTGCCGGTAGCGTTGATAAGCGCGCCGACGCCGTACGACTGCAGGGCGGAGCCGACCAGGGAGGTGCCCAGCGCCGCGGCGGCGGAGGAGGCTTCTCTCGACCGGAGGAACTCCTCCTTGGTGTTGGCGGCCTTGGCTCGCTGGTAGGTCTGGCCGAACAGCGGCGACAGGACCGCCAGCTCGATGCCGTGGTTGAAGATGGTGCCGAGGGCGATGGCCGAAGGCTTGACGGGGGGGAGATCTGTAATAAGAGGTTGGTGCGCGTCAGCTTTTACAAGTCCATAGCTAACAGCTAGTTGATGGCCGCGCCTCAGAGATCTGAAGACTCGAGAGACGGTTATGAGGCTGGCAACTGTTTCTTTTCAGAAAGCAAAAGGAGGTGTTTTGTACTTACATTGAAGAGACATGATGACGACGGTGGTTGTGGTGGTGTTTAGTGTATAGGTTAGGTAGGCTTAGATAGTTATTAGGGATAGATGATTATAATTGAAGATTAATTCGAACCAGTGAACCAGTGTCTGTAGATAGTATATCCGCTGATGATGAAATTCTTAATGGTGTTGTGAGATCATAGAAGAAGGGAGGAGGTTGAGAAAAGGTCTTCTTATAACGTCAAAGGTACGGCACTGATGACGAAAACAACATCCAGATTCAGATGGCGTAGGAACTTGGTATAATCCGAGGCTTTAGGTACTTACACACTGCCAGACTTACCTCTTGCAATGAGCTTACAACGAATTGGGACTACATAGATCCCGGTTTCGTAACGTGCAGAGTAAGTATTGCAGCCTCTTCAGCAACAAGGTCTCGGCTCGTAGCTCAACGTGACGTAATAGACATCTTTAGATGTAGGTATCTTAGATACATACCTCTATGTAGGCATCACGGTATCACGGTATCACTAACCTAGGTATTGATTGGGTCGTGGGGCTTAAATGGGCTATGAGTCGTTGATCTCAAAACGGGTTCCCGTCTACCAAGCAGCCAAGGTAAAGTTGAGTTTATTTCTTATGAATTGTGGTTGGAGCTGTTACTTACTTACTTCATTAGGTACTTACGGGTAGATGCGGTTATATTCTACTTGGGCATATATCAACGTAGATGTTAAGGTACATGTTACTCGTTAACTAGGTGCAGGTGCTAAATGCAGAAAACCTAATTGGAAGGTTGCGACTACATTCCGGACCCACGAGGTGACATTCCACGGCCGTGGATACTAGGTATATCTCCTTGGCAGCTCAGGTGAAACATGAGCAAGGCCCACTTTTTTCGAATGTGGCTTGAATGTTACCGGAAGCAAATACTAGACTTAACCGTCATAGCTTTGGTAGCTCACGAAATGATGACGATGTGAAATTGTACGAATACCCCCATTTTGCAAAACAAGGTAAAGTCCCAATTTTTGAATAACAACTGGCATTTACTTCCCTTTTCACCTTTTCATCATTTCCCCGCTGACGACTGTATCGTTATAACTGCATCGGACTTAAGATACGTCTCTCTCGTACGCTTCAAGTGTTCTCACGGTTTACCTTGCTGCAGGACCCCAACCTCTTCCGCAGTTTACCGCTTCCGCTCCCATTGACAAAAAAAGTACGTACAATACACAATATTATATTAACGCCATAACGTAAGTAACGTAGACCTGTACAACGAAGCATGTAATGGTGTGTAAAAATAGAGCTCCTTGGAATGCTAACTCGGTATAACGAGTCCTTCTCCCACCAATACCAATTAACACCCGCTATGTTCTTTTGCCTTTCAAAAAGTTTTTTTTCTTTTTTCTTTTTGATTTCGTTGTCTTCACGTCATCATATGCTGTCCGTCTTCTCCGCCCCGCAATGCAAGTAAAGCTCTAACATCAGAAACGTACTGCAATCCCTCTAGGAGAGGCACCAGGTGCAATAAATCGTTATCCGTAGGGTCACTGATCCAGCCTTGGATGGGAATCGCATTATCTGCACGTGTACATTCTCTAGTTAGCAGACTGAAAATCAAGCAAACTTAATATGGGGATAGATATTCAGAGGATATCCTCCTACCTTGGTGGAACATGTAGCTTAAAGGACTATTGTCCAGTATCATGACTTTGCTCAGGTCTGGTTCTATTGAGCTCAGATCCTTAATAAATGCGCCGTGCCTGAATGTGCAATGCTGTCGGTAGTATCTCCCAGAAAAGAACTTCCTCTCCGATTCCAGCCAGTCGATAACGGGGTCGGCGTATTCCTGTACCGAAGCAGTGAATACAACGAGATTGAACCATTTGCAAACCTTCATAGCCCATGATTAGCAGAATAGTCCAGAACCCTATTAATATTGATTGTCGTCCTCACCTTTCGAAGAAACTCGTCGCAGTGCGGCCGCTTATGAACATAGTACAGGATAGGATGTTGAGGTCCTAGGGCCTGCTGGCCTCCGTTTCCGACATACGTTGTATTGAGCCGCACTTCAACCATGTGCCCCGAGCCCATTCGGCCTCCTTTCGACATGCTGTGTATCAGAGTCTCGTCAAGATCCAATATCAGTGTTTTCAGTTGTTTCGGGTCGAGAGGTTCGTAGGGAACGTAAGAAGGTTGCCGACGAGGAATTAACGGTCTAGGAGGAGCAGGAGTTTTGGGGTACTTTGTCAAACCACCGATAGGCGACGTAGGGGACTTCAGTTGAGCCGACAAATCTGTTGAGGTATCGCCGCTGTTGGTGCTACCACTAGTACTTGTAGACTGAGCCTTCCTGTGTTTTCGCTGCCGCATAGCCTCGTCGTTGTTCAACTTAATTCTTATCGATCTCCTTGTCGACGAACCTTCTTCGGGGGGATCGAGAGACTTAGACCGTGCATGGCGACCGGAAGAAGCGGAGCTACGGCGGACACCTTGATTTCTGCTAACCATATCCGATTCCGATTCCGACGATAGACCAGAGGATGACGTCCCCGAAGAGGGCGTCGGCCGGGAGGCCGCGAAAGCATGCTTTCCTCGTAACCCTTGATGAGAACGTTTAGAAGAGACTTGCTTCTCTTCATTGAGCGCGACGCTCTCGTGGTAGTCAGCTGCTAGTTTGCGCGCGTCGCCGTCGTAGATACCAAAAAGTGTTCCGAATTGTCGCAAGGGAGCGAAGTTCCCTCGTTCGTCATAGAAGCAAGCAACAAGGTAAACTCCAGGTGCGGCGATAGTAGACAGAACCAAACGGATAGAATTTATGACGTTATTTGCTATGCGCCCCGGGATAACGTGCCACGCATAATAACGGATATTCGCCTCCTTAACATCGCTTTTATCTAACAATGGAGTCTTCTCGTCTACGCTGAGAAAATTGGTTACGTCGCCGTCCCTGTTATATGTGCCATCGTTTGGTTGGGTATTAGGTGCGCGGTTCTCGCTAGGCGATGTTTCCTCGGGGGGCGTTGGGTTGTCATCAGACTGAGCGACAGCCAAGCCTATATGACTTAGGGAGTTTGATCGCGAAGGGGCGGGACTCGAGGTCGGGGAGACGCGCGCGGATATTATATTGAGGGAGTTCATCTTCCGGTCGACCTGCAAGCCATGAAGAACCGATTATGCCCGCTAGATAACAAGCACAAGATTCGCGAGAATTATTATTGACGGTTAAAAATATTTGGTGGAGGGCGACGGGGGAAGGTTGGAGAAAAAAAAGAAACAAGACAATTCTAATTCAAGGTCGGTTCCAGGACGGGTTGAATTACCCGAGTCGCGTTTGCTCCCGTGCTGAGGCTGGTGAACGAATTGTTCTGTATGGGTTTGGTTTTGTATGATCTAGAAATTTGGCGATGTATTGTACAAAAAAAAAAAATAAAAATAAAAATAAAAAGAATAAAAAATAAAAAAAAACTCTTTTTTTTGGTTTTCCCTTTTCAAACCTCGGTTGGAATAGGATCGCCGAAAGCTACGCGCAATAGTGATGGTGGAATCTACTTGCGTTTTCCAAATATTTCATTCCTGCTAGTGGTATAATAAGATAGTGGTATAATAAGAATAAGCGTATGGTATGGTATGGCAAGGTGGTTTTAACAAGCTTTGTCGCTGCTGTTGGACAGATTCAAGAAATATGCAAGTCGCGAAATGTTGCTGATGTTACAGAGTGCAAGTCTTTATTTGGTCTAAAGAGAGCTTTATTAGAAGCCTCACTTCTTGAAGATTAGGGGAAGTAAGTAGGGCAAGTTTAGGGAGTTTAATCCGTATTGCGATAGAGTTGCTGAGCACCTGGGCATTACAGCTGCGCCGGGGCCCAACAGAATAGAACTATTGGAGCCAAGACAACCCACAAGGGCCACCGCCGTACCACTGGAAATTAGCGACATAGTCCCGCTTTTTGCACTATCCCTCGTATGTACACCTACCTTCTCTAGGTTAGGTAGTGGAGGTATGTAGATAATACTTAGGTACCTCTTAGATAACCCTTCTTTCAAAGAGCAAATTGGTCATCACGTGTTGAATGCCTGCGCCCGCAATGTAACCGACCCCGCCATGCAACGGAGATACCCTAGTAAAATATCCTGCACGTACGGAAGGTACATTCAATTCGTATGTATTATGTAGATCCGGTTCATCTTTGTACCTTTTTTTTTTCTCTTACAATTATTTGACTTGACTCACAATTCTCGCAAAACCTCCATACCTTCGACAAATCTGCAAATATTTTGCAATTATCGTCCATTACGGAGGCACTAAACTAACTTGATACGAACGTCTGTTCTAGTTGGTTCTACAATACCATCTACACCATCTAGGCGCTGCTTACCTCGCTCTATTTGCGCCGACCAATACTATCTTCAAGATCGTCGCACTAGTTGTCGAAGCTCTCCCTACACAACCAAATACCCCTCCAAAGAGATACTCTCGCTCCCCCGCAAAGAAACCTCTCGGCTACGAGAAATGGCACCTCCTAAGGGGGGCTATGCGCCCGACTTAGACAAGTTTCTCGACACATTAAAGAGTCGACCGGTAGATGCTTCAGTGGAATTTCTTATATCGTAAGCGAGAGATTTATGTGTCGGTGCTGTTAAAAAGCTGGGACTGACATGGGTGCGGTATAGCCTCTTGAAGCGACGACAAATCCGAGGCTCTGAATCTTGCGCGATAGCTACAGCACATATCCTACTTCAAGTTGCCGCCAAGGACAAATGGTCCGACGTAGATCAATTAATTGGGCGCGTACAGTTAGTCGGCAGGAAACTTGTAGCAGCGCAGCCTTATGAGCTGGTTATCGGCAACATCGTGAAGCGAGTTCTGGGATTAATACGAGATGAAGCCTCAGAAGATAGAAACGACACGGGCAGCGATTCGCCTACCGACAGAACTCCTACTTTGCCTCCCGCCATAACGCCTATTCCCCTCTCGAAACAAACTCGCCTTCCCTCGTTGCTTGCCCTCGGGTCCTTTGCCCGCACTCAATCCATGTTCAATCTTCTCTCGGATCCAGATTTCGTCCCCTCGCCAGGCTCCACGCCCAAGCTAGGGTCGGGTGCCTCAACACCACAGGGATATCCCCAATCTACAAATATACAGGCACTCAGGTCAGAAGTGATTGACGGGATCGAAGAAATTATGGATGAGATCAGGCAAGTTGACGAACAGGTCCAAGCCTACGCCGAGATTGTCATCCACCCAGGAGATTATGTTTTAGTTCACCAACCCTCAAGAACGGTTCAGAAGTTTCTCTCGCGGGCTGCCTCGAAGAGGAAGTTTACCGTGTTTCTAGTTGTCGATCCTTCCGCAGCCTCCACCGAAGATGATCCGTACAGCTCCCTACGGAAAACTTTGTCATCCTCTGGATCGACCGTAGTAAACATTATGAACGTTGGCCTCATGGCTTATATGTCAAAGGTCAACAAGGTCATCCTCGGAGCTCGAGCAATCACAAAGAAAGGTGGAGTTATTGTTGACTCCGGTGCTGCGGTTATCGCTCGAGCTGCTCGAGAGCAAGGCCGGACAGTTATCGTGTTAGCTGGTGTGTATAAGCTCAGTCCTGATAGTCGGTTTCACGACGAAGGCCTCGTGGAATGGGGTGACCCCTCCAAGTACGTCAATTTTGCAGACGGAGAAATGGTGGGGCAGGTAAGAGTTAAAAATGCCATCGCTGAATTTATTCCTACCGACCTTGTTAATACCTATATTACGAACTTGTAAGTGATTGCTTCAGAGCATGAGTTATTACAAGCTTAGGTAGCCATTGCTAACCTTCCATTATAGGGGCGCACACTCTAGAGACCACCTGCATGGTCTTATAGCTGATCATTATAAGGAGGAGGATATTAACTTTGATCTCTTTGGTAAAATCCAGAGATGATTTACTAGATAGCACAGCGTCATGTGTACCATCATGTCTAATTGCGACGCTCTATGGTAGTCATGTAGGCAATGTGAAGGTGGATATTTTCTCGTAGTAGGAGATATTCCTCCGAGTAGGACCGGCAACTACCTAGGTACCTAGGTTAGGTACATTCCAGCGATACAAAGCTCGTTCGAATACCCCGGTACCTAGTTTTGACTCATATTTGAGGCAGCCTTGCGTAGGCAAGGGTGTTGTAATCGTGGTGGCCGCGTCACCTACTACAATAGCAGGTGGCTTCGCATGCAAGTGCGGGGGTTATTTTCGAACAAACCGCTGACAGAGTACTATTAGTAGGTCAATAGAACGTGGGGTGGGTTGATTGACAGAAGCTTAGCTATCCCTCCACTCGGAATCGAACGAATCTCATTCGGGGGATGTTGCCTCCAGGGCTGAAGAGAGAGGTAACCTTCCCTAGAGGTACCCGCACAAGCCGCGGACCGGGTCTGATTGTCTCAACAAGAGAGTTGAAATAGCTCAGTCCCTCATAATTAAAAAGCGGTCCTAAACCACATCGAGTGTCTCGATCTATTTTCGTGTTCAAATGCATACAAATCCATTTCTTATAATCACATAACCTAACTTAAAAAGTACCTACCTACCTCCTTTTACACTTGACATCGGAGTTCCGAGGTTGTTACTGGTGAATAAGGTACCACCAAGCTCATCTTTCACAAGTACATAAGATACCAGGCAGCCATCAAAGATTCAGTATACTACCTCCTCTCTTCCTTCACAACAGCAACATCATCGTCATATTTCTATATCAACAAAGGCACGATGGACGATATTCCGCCGCCACCGTATACCGAAACGGACATCCGCTCGCATTCAAGTCGGCCGCCAGTTACTCAACCTGGCGTAAACGATGACGATGCCTCTGTTACTACATCATCTCATGGCACTACAATCTACACTCCACCGGAAACCCCACGAGAATCTCATTTCAACTTCCCTAGCAATGATGATCATCATACAACAGCTTCTGCTCATTCCTACTTTGAATTACGCCATACTCTTCGAAGTGCGACCGGCGAAAACTTTGTAATCTCGCTAGCAATCACGGAGAACGCGTCTCCAGAAGACTTCCCCTACCCGGACTGGGCAAGGGAACACGATACCACCGAGCAAGATTGGCAGACATTTCTTAATTACCTCTTGCCAGACCATGCCTCGCGAGCGAACTCACATGTTGTCGAGCGTAAATTGCAGGCTGAAGATGAAAATTCATCGTCTACGACCGAGAGAAGCATTGCCGAGGCGCAACTAGGCCAGATCAAGTCATCTACTAATTTAGCGGCGCAGTCTTCGCATGATCTCGATGCCATGATCCACGAGTGGAATGATGGCTTCTTTGGCCCTAGGGGCGTGACTATAGAGAGAACTACGCCTCAACCCACCAGCACATCGCAAGAACCAGGTACCCAACAAACCCCCCCTGTTGAACCCCAGCCTCAACCTCAACCCCAACCCCAGGGGCAATCTTCCAGATCATGGTGGAACCCCTTCAGGCCTTTCGAGGCGAACAACCGAGGCATCCGCATGGGGGGTCTCACTATCGACAACGACCGCGTATCTTTCGGAGATTCGTTCGAAGTAGATCGCAATGGCGTACGTTGGGGCGGTCAACAATCCGCCAGCCCTGGAACCCGTGGCTTTCCTCCCGGTCCCGATTCTTTTGGTAGCTTCCCGGAAGGAAGAGGTTTTGGTGAACACGGGACTGCACGTGGCCGCAGACGTTGGCGGCAAGATCACCATAGCCACCATGGCCACCAGGGATCGCGCGACCGCTCACGCAGCTCGAGCTCTGGCGCTTCATCCTCGTCAGACTCAGATTCATCTTCCAGCATTGGCAGTATTCCCAATTGCGACGACTTAAATGATTCCCAACTTCCTGTTGCCAAGCAATCGATACACTCATGGCTCGACCATCCAGAGCAACCTGTGACCAAGAAGATGCTCAAGGCGCTGCGCTCCGACATTAAGGCCGCTAAAAATGCTCCTCCTCCAGTCGACGATTCGGCATCGGGGTTCAATAGGGAGGTGACGCGCCAGGAGGTGCGACAGCTACTCGCGAAATTCAAAGTTCTAAAGCGGGAGCAAAAGCGAAAGGCGAAGGCTTTGCGTAAAGAGAAAAGAGTCCAGAAGAAAGAGCTCAAGCGCGAGCGCCGAGAGCGTCGCAGAGCCGAAAAGCGAGAACGGCGGAACGTACGCCACGATGTCAGAAGTGCCGAGCGCGAGATGGAAGGGCATCCCAGACGGGACCCCGACGAGCCCAGACCTTTTAACCCTTTCCGAGCGGCGGACATGCCTAGTTTCACGATGCCCAGCGCGTCTGCCCCCCACGACCCGGTGGTCGCACCGAGCTTTCCGTTCGGCCGACCCGGGTTTCCCTTCGGTCGCGGCGGCCGGGGGCGAGGCGGTCCTTTCGGCGGTCCCCACCTGCGACACTGGGAATCGCACATCCGCGACGCACAGCAGCAAGCCCACCAGGCGAGGAGTCACGCCCGTCAGCAAGCCGAATTGGCAAGAATCAATGCGCAGCAGCAGGCCGAACAAGCAAGAAACCTCGCGCATCAGCAAGCGGATCGAGAGAGAACCAACGCACAGGCGCAGGCGAGCACGGCGCGAGCCGAAGCGCAGCGGGTAGCAGAAGCGGCCTGGGCCCAGGCCGCACTCGCCACGCGAGCCGCCATCCCGCCCTGGGGCCCGACGCTGCGCCGTGCGGTCCTGCCGACGAACGACAAGCTCCGGGCCGCGGACTCGCTGGACGCGCAGATCACGGGCAAAGCGCACTCGCTGAGGGCGCTGCGCGAGGCGATGGAGCGGGAGCGCACGGAGGCCGCGATGCGTGGGGGCGCAGCAGCAGCAGCAGCAGAAGAAGAAGAAGAAGAAGGAGAAGGAAGCGAGGATAAGAAGGGCTCGAGCAAGGAGATGCAGGCCGAGGCCCTCGAGAGCGAGATCGAGAGGATGCAGTTGGAGATGGAGAGGTTGAGGTTGGAAGGCTTGCAGCTGCAGACTGACGAGCAGCTTGCGAGGACGCTGCAGATGCATGAGAACCAGCGTATCGTATAGATGGGGCCATAGAGTTTTGCATCGTCGGATTAGGCGAAGTGATACTCAGGGGGGGCTGGGTTTTTTCATCAACGGTCATTACAATTTTCCCCTTGCCTCAGGTAGGTACCTGGGATGAACGGGACGGGACGGGACGGGACGGAACTACAGGTTATATCGGCACGAGAATGAGGATAGGGAACTAAGCCGTTAATGAAAGGAGTCGGGAGTTTGCTGGCTATGGCTATGATTTGCTTCCCCCGAGAGACTGAGTGAGAGACAAAAGGGGGAAAGGGGAATATACGCGAGCTTACAGTCAAGTTATGACATCTAAGTAACCTCTACCTCCTAGATAGGTTTTTATAAAGACGATGATTTCACCAAGAAAATGAATACCTACCTATACCTTAGGTAGATATAAATCTCATAAAATACTTTTCTTTCTGCTTCCATGCCCGTAAAAAAAAACACGACGAGTCTTCTGGGAATATGTACACGCAACAGACTTCTTGAAGGGGAATCTGATCTGATCAGATCTATGCTGACTGACCCCTTTCTTTTTTCCGGGGCCCCGGTGTGCAAATGCTATTCAAACTGATCGCCACACTACCACCTCAAGACAACCAATCCTAGAACCACGCGGTATGGTTCCCTCCAGAGAGCTGAGCTATCTTCCACCCTTCCACCCTCCCCCCCCTTTCCGCGGCACAGCCTAGGTTAAGTAGGTTCGGTACGGTACGGCGCTTAACCTAACCTCTCTTCTTCCTATGACAAGTCCACCCTCGTTCCTTACCTCCACCCACACCTATCCTCTCTCCTCCCTTAGGAATGCTTACTCTCGTCCTTCTCGACGAGAGCCTGCACGCCCAACGCGCGGCCAACCTTAACCTTGCGCTTGGTCTCCTTGGGCCTACTCGGCAGCTGGTCCTTCTTCCCATTCTCCGCCTTGCCCACGTCTCCGACGGGGTCGCCCTCGTCCGCGTTAGCATTTTCTTCTCCTCCATCCTCGGCATTGCTATTATTATTATTGTTGTTAATGTTGTTGTTGCTCTCGGCATCGGCATCGTCGTCCTCGGCGTCGAGCTGGGCCTCGCGGATCTGCTCGCGGATGGACGACAGGTCGAGCCGCATGCAGTGGGCGTCCTCGCCGTCGGCGTAGTACTTGGGCTCCGTCTTCTCCTGGTCGAACCCCAGCGTCTTCGTGTACAGGTGGATGGCGGCCTTGTTGGACACGCGCACGTGCAGGCTGACGTATTGCGCGCCGAAGGTCTCGACCATGGCGAGTTCTGTTTTCCTGGCACGTTAGCAAATTTATACGTCTTTTTTTTTTCATTCTTCTAGGAAGAAAAAGAGAGAGAGAGAGAGAAAGAAAGAAGAAGACTCACGGCTCTGCCTCATGAGCTTCTCGGCGATGCCTAGCCGGCGGTGGGTGCGCATGACGGACAGCGAGGTGATGTGGCCGTGCTGGACGCCGTCGGCAGGCTCCTCCTCCATCTTGGCGAGTACGTAGCCGACGATCTTGGGGTAGTCGTAGGCGGTCTTCTTGGGGCGCGAGACGTCGACGGCGACGTAGCTCAGCTGCGGCCACGACAGGGCGTGGTACAGGTAGTATTTCATGAAGTAGTTCTCGGGCAGGTTCTCCAGGTTCGCGTGCTGGATTAGCGGGATGTCCCGCGGCTCGAGGCGCCTGATATCCATTGTCTGTTGTCTGCTGTCTTGCCTTTCTTCTTCCTACTTCTTGTCGACTTAATTGGTTGGTTTTGTTTCTCCCCCCTTGCTTCCTGCTACAGAGAAAAAAGGGCTTTGAAGTTTCGACTGGTTGATATTTGTTGTAAGGTAGTTAGTTTGTACGTAGTTAATGGTAAAGGTAAAATAAGCTGTAGCTTATGACGGCTTTGGTAGCTTTAGGTAATGTTCTTATGTCCTTATCCCAAAGACGCACAGCACAATTAAACCTTGGGGCATTATCGATAATATAGACTTTTGGCGGGGTTACTTCCGCTTGTATTGGGTGCTCTTATTAGAAATACAAGGTACCTTATTCTCTTTCTATTGAATAAGATCTTTAACTGCATATGAGATAACTTTATTTTGCCCCACGTACGAGATACCTAAGGTTCTGTACCTGATGTAAATTGTATATTCTGCCCCTCCATTTCGTTCATTTCCTTGATTCCGATTCAACCATCTCTCCAGTCTTGAAGTTAAAATACCTATCTCCTAACTTTACCACTTCAAACTTGATACTTGCAGCTAGTAGTAATCTATTGTCGGCGACATAAGATAAGGTACCTATTAGTCAGTCATAAGAAAAGATTTTAAAAAGGCGTTCTCATACGAAATACCAGGTACCTACCTAAAAATAATAGTCTACGACTTTCAACCAAATTTCAGCACCTGAAAAATGGATGACTTATTTGATGATATTCTTAACCTGGAAGAGCAATACTACAAACAAGGCTACGACGAGGGCTATAGAGATGGCGCCGAAGCCGGCCGGGTCGAGGGCCGCTCCGTCGGGATGAAGACAGGGTTTGAGAAGTTCCTCGAGGCCGGCCGGCTGCAAGGGAGAGCCATAGTCTGGCAAAGCCGGTTACCCAATCGACAGAAATCATCTTCATCCACCGCCACCGCCAGCATCAACATCAACAACAATTCACAGCAAAAGGAAGAGACCGCACAGGAAGGACAACAATCAGCTACTACTTCTCAAGATGAGAAAGAGAAAGAAGACTCGGAACAGAGAAGACTGCCACCGCTTAGTAGTAACCCGCGGCTGGAAAAGAATATCACCATGCTGTACGGCATACTGGAGCCCGGGACGCTGTCGACTCAAAACGACGACGAGTCGGTCAACGACTTCGATAGCAGGTTGAAGGGCGCGCAATCCCGGGTCAAGATGATCGAGAGGGCCATCGGCGAAGGCGCTGGTGACAAGGGCTCGGCGAATAGAAACCGCCAGCCGGGCCAGAAAAACGAGAACATCGAGGATATCGGGAGGATACCCCAAAGGACAGATGCGGTAATGGGAACGGTATAATTCGCTTTAATTCGGCAACTAGAAAAAAAGGGGGGAGGGAGATGTGTAACGATGTCGTGATAAATGATACCTACCTAGAATGAGGCACACGCCAACGAAGCAATTATAATATAAAGCCAGGCCATATAAACTCGACTAATCTACAATCTTCATCTCGAAATCATCATCACCGCTGAAGAATCTGCTAGGTACCTGTAACTGCAAAGAGAACCTGATATTAAGAGCTGGCTTTTCTCATATTTATTTACAACCAGAGCCATCGTATATGGCATGACATGTCTAAGTCTATTTGAAACTTCGGCAAGGGTATCTGCGTTGCACATTAGCATCTTCCTTTCTCTCTCTCTCTCTCTCTCTATATATATATTCCATCATCCCTCATCACAATCCACAGAAAACGTATATAACCATCCGGTCGATAGGCCAAAAGGGAGTTGTGTAGTAACTTACTTTTCGGGGTACGAGCTCTCCGTCAGCGCGTAGTCATGTACCTTCCAGGTACCGTCGCTCTCCCTCCTCTCCCCGCTCGGCACCGGGGGCAGCCCGTTCACAAACAGCGTCTCCTTGGCGGCAGCGACGGCGGCGGCCTTGCTCTTCTCGAAATACGCGGCGAGCCCGCCGGCGCTCCCCTCCTCGCGCGCGGCCACGAGCTGCTTCTCGCCCGCCTCGCCGACGAGCTCCTGCCTGGGGGCGGCGGCGCTGCCCACGGCCAGCAGGGCCACAGCGTCCGCCTGGGTCACGAAGCTCAGCTTCGGGTACGCGCGCCGCGCGTCCCGGCGCCAGTACGCGTTGTCGGCGATGTCGCCCGCGGGGATCGTCACCGGGTCGTCGTAGGTCGCCGGGTCCAGCGCGCCCGGCGGCGGGTTGCGGTAGTACGGGTTCAGCGGGATGCCGTTCGACCGGTTCGGGTCCACGGCTAGCGCGCGCCGGATGCGCTCCCATATACCGACGGATTGGAGGGTTTGCTTCTAAACGGGGTGGGAAGAAAGACAATGGCCTCGCGTTAGCGGGATGATCTTCTAGGTTAGGGTCTTCGGGGTTGCTAGGTAATGGCCGTGAATTCGGACGGGGGAAATTGGGCGGGGGGAGGATTTACGCACTTGGGTGATGCTCACTACGCCGCCTGCAGCGCTGCTTGCAGCTTTGGCGACTGCTTTGGAGGCCATTGTGGCTAATTTTTTTTCGGAGAGGAGAGAGGTCTACTCGGGATGTTGTCGCTTGGGTTGTTGAAGTGAGCTAGGTTCCAATTTCGAGGCCGAGACGGGTTCTGGTTAAAGATTTGCCGAAGAAATACCGGTCCGATTACCTTTACGTCAATTCTGCTTGGTCGGTACCTAGGTACGAAGTACAATACTGACGCATGTATCTTGGTACCCTGTTCCTGAGGTAGAAGCAACAGCCGGACTGAACCTTCCAGTTAGCACGAGAGTCTTATACTCTTTTACCTTAGTTATAGGAATTAGGTTTCATTGAATAGGCATATAGTGGAATACATCTCTTTACTAGTTACTACTAGGTACCTTATTCACCCACAGCCATGGTTCTAAGGTACGTAATTAATTAGAACACACTACCTAGGTAGCCATAAAAGAGGTAGGCACATCAGATTTCAGGGTATTAATAAAGGGAAAAAATAAAAAATAAAAATAAAACAGAATTTGGATATTCGTAGGCTCTTGCGCTCTAGTCTATTGGTATAGCAGGTATACAAGGTCTTTGTCTACACGCGACAGATGAACCTCCGTCATTTATGAGGTATCTATAAGAAATTCCCCCCATCTATTTATTCGGCAAACTCCTTACGACCGGCCTTGGAGTTGAGGTAGTGGTTTCTACGACGGCTGTTAGCTTGGCTCAAACAACACTTCTCTCCATTCGTATCTAGTGTTAAGATCATACCGTTCGGTGGCCCACGACATGGCGTAGTAGAAGAAGATCATGGGGGGAGCGAAGTACAGGACCTGGGCGCTGAATCGGCGCCAGGTGTTGAAGATGGCGGCGTGCGCAGCGCCCGCTAATGGGTTCTGCCTGTTTGCGCTCACCGTGTAGCTGATGATGCCCTTCTGCGGCATGCCACCTATAATTCCCTCCTCGTTAGTATGTATACTGTTGCGATATCTGTAATTTGTATAGTATCCGATCGATATTCGATAGCTAGATCGTTCGTCCCAATGATATCATCTATCTTTTATCGCAGGCGTATTCCAATCCAACTCTTTCCAACATTTGCACCAACCCCGATTCCAAGTTGAAAAATCGTTGTACTCACCGAAGTTACCCCAGTTGCCTAGGAACCTATAACAGTAAAGTTAATGCATGTGCGAGAGATAAGGTAGTTTAAATACAATGTGCATTGGCTAGCTCGCTGCCAAAAAGCAGAATTCGTAGGAAAAAAAAAGACGCAGCTCGGTCCTGAGGAAAACTCACTTTCCATGCCTGCCGACGGGGGCGTCACCACCGCCCATAAGAGCCTGAGTAGGTCGCATCGTGGATATCGGGTTCAATTGATACGCGAGTGGATCAATTTACGGTAGGTGGAAGGTTGAGGAAATAGGGAGGGTCTCGGGTGTGTGAAATTTCACGACGTCAAAATTGAAGATGGTTACCGAAACCGAGTTTCTCTAGTTGATGAGCAGTTCAACATCGGGCTGAGCTAAAAGTTGGATTGGACTTGGACCTGGAAATGGCATCGCCCCATGTGGCTTGACTTCCATTTCTCGGATAACCTTAACCTTGCGGGGATCTTATATAGGTACCTAGGTACCTAGGTAGGTACTACCTTAATGTACAACCTAAGTTTAGGTACCTACCTTAGGTAGCTTCAATTAGATAATCACCCTGTCAGAACCCCTCCAAGCTCCAAAGATATCCCTCTTAGCGCACAGACCACACATATCCTTTCTCCATCTTTGTCCGTCCAATCCGCTTGCACCGTTCAACGATTTCTCAAAAAGTCCCGGGAGCTCCATCTGATAGCATCTACCAGAACCTCGGGGGGAGAGCTCAGAAGCTGTTAGCGGACCAAACGACAACGACAACGACAACGACAACGACACGGAACGGAACGGAACGCGAGTAGTTAAAAAAAGAAAAAAGACGCTTCGAAATCCCCCAACAACACAAGATGGAAGCCGGATTCAGGCAAATATACCGCCTAGCCGTGCCGGCGGCGGGCGCCCTGGCGCTCGCGCAAGCGTCGATGTACGACGTGCGCGGGGGCACGCGGGCCGTGATCTTCGACCGGCTGCAGGGCGTCAAGGAGACGGTCGTCAACGAGGGCACGCACTTCCTGATCCCCTGGCTGCAGCGCAGCATCATCTTCGACGTCCGCACCAAGCCCCGCAACATCGCCACCACCACCGGCAGCAAGGACCTCCAGATGGTCAGCTTGACCCTCCGCGTCCTGCATCGGCCCGACGTCAAGGCCCTGCCTAAGATCTACCAGGTACGTAGAAGAAATACCATAGCAAAGTAAACCAAAAACTAACACAACTACCTTCCTTCCCCCCAGAACCTCGGCACCGACTACGACGAGCGCGTGCTCCCCTCGATCGGCAACGAAGTCCTGAAGTCGATCGTGGCGCAGTTCGACGCGGCGGAGCTGATCACGCAGCGGGAGGCGGTGTCGCAGCGGATCCGGGCGGACCTGATGAAGCGGGCGTCCGAGTTCAACATCGCGCTCGAGGACGTGTCCATCACCCACATGACCTTCGGCCGGGAGTTCACCAAGGCCGTCGAGCAGAAGCAGATCGCCCAGCAGGACGCCGAGCGCGCCCGCTTCATCGTCGAGAAGGCCGAGCAGGAGCGCCAGGCCAACGTCATCCGCGCCGAGGGCGAGGCCGAGTCCGCCGAGACCATCTCCCGCGCCATCGCCAAGGCCGGCGACGGCCTCATCCAGATCCGCAAGATCGAGGCCAGCCGCGAGATCGCCCAGACCTTGTCCTCCAATCCCAACGTCTCCTATCTCCCGGGCGGAAGCAAGCAGGGCGGCAACGGGCAATTCTTACTTTCGGTCGGCAGGGCATAAGGGAAAGGGGTTATTTATTATTATTGGGAGGCAGATAACCAGAAAAAAGAACAAGAAAAAGAAAAAGGGGCCCATGTGTATATTAACAATGAACTGCCCGATTTCTCCACTTCGGGATATGATTAATGTGTGTTACTACTAGTAAAAGCCGGAGGTTCTTGTTGACTGAATATTATTTCATGCCTGCCATTTCTCCTATCTAGACGGATCCTCCAACACCACGCAATGCGTCCTCGGCAAATAGCCTTTAGAGATGACACATTAAAACAAGGCATGCGGTGTCCTTCTCCATTAAATGCCTTACTTCTCTGCTCACTTCTTTGCTCCCGCCACCGTCCATGCTTCATCCGGTGCTACAATCTTTCCATCTTCAAGAGACCAACCCTTCATCCTAAGATCCTTCCATTCGTCCCGCACCTTCAGTCTAACCAGTTCCCCCGCAGCTCGGGCATCCTCTGCACTGTCGTGTCCCTCTGGCGCAGTCTCGTCTGCTTCCTTCTGGATCTTCTGGTTTAACAGAGTTTCCATCAACATTCGAAGACCATTTCTGTGCGGCAGCCCTCGTCTATGTGGGAATAGAAGAACCGAGTCGATGCAGGCGTGGTGAATAATTCGGGCAGCATTCAAATCGTTCTCAAGACCATGTCCAACGAGTGGGGTCTCGGGAGAAATCAGCGAGAATAGGAGATCCCTAGCTACTTTTGGAGATGGCACAAGCTTGAGCTTTGGCTTCTCGGGACGCTTTGTAGAATCGGTAGGGGAAACATTAACAGGTTTGCAGTCGTCTCCCGGAGACCACCGTTCAGCAGAGACCATGTCTTCGGGGGTTACGCCAGAATAACGAGTATTCAAATCCAAAACTTCCCCAAAGGGCTGAACGAGGATATCTAGCAGTAGTTCGTAATTAGGCCAAGATAATGCCGTTAGTCTGATAAGTTCGAGGCCATAAACGGTATAACCCATCTCGCAATCGAAGCATATAGCTCGATCCGTGGGGATATTCGGATTAGGAGGCGTCTCGGCGAAATTAAGCAGGCTCGCAAGCCGGTTGGGATCCGTTGTCTTGAAGACGTGAGTAGGTGCTGTGGTACACCCACCCGAGTCATCATCCACATTCTGATGACAGCAACGGTATTTCTTTTGGGACTTTGATAGTTTTCCGGGCCCCCGTTCTGTGAAGTAAACCTTGCCCGGGTGATATGTGCAGGAACCATTAGATGTTAGAGCCCCATCCTCTCCCCTACGGCCGGGAAAGACCTGGAACCGTCGTGTACATCTATCGCAAACTTCTACATTACCAGAAGCTTCAACGCTTTCTTTGGCTTTTTCGATGTCTTCGACTGACGGGATGGAAGCTACGTAGCCATACTTCTCAAGACCGTTGAGTGGCCAGACAAGTCTGTGCAAGAAATCGACTTCTTGGGGCGGCGTTAAGCCAGTAACGATAGGTTCAGGTGCAGCTGGCGGATCCCCTTCATTATCCGCCTTGTCATCTTTAGTGGCCAGGATCCGTTCTTCCTTCCATTGGGCAATATTCATTCGCTTATATGCCATAATCTTGTTCCTGATGGCATTTGCATATATCTGGAACAGCTTAATCGCTACCTCCTGTTCGTCATCCAGTGTCTTTACAATAAGCTCTTGATCGGAAAGAACCAGCTTCGATGCGCCTTTATCGGTATCCTTCTTCAACTCGTTGTTCAAGCGGACGTATTGTTCATGTAGAGCTTTAACCAGTTTCAAGCGAGTATCGTGCTTAGCTGGTGACGACTTAAGGAGACGAGGGTTTAGTGCCTCTGGCTTCTTAGGTTCCGCTTTGGGTGCCGTTTTAGGTGCTGCTTTAGGTGCTGCTTTAGGTATTGACTTGGATGGTTGTCCAGTGGAGGAAGACGCTAAGGTGTTGCGTGCCTGGGCAGAACCTGGGGAACTCCTGGATACTTGAGTTTTAGAAGTATAGCTACTGGCTCTAGTATCGGTCTGGTTGGTTTCCCTGACTGATATATGTTGCTTCCGTTCTGCGGTGAGCACAGGTTCGGATGCCTTCCTAGTTGCCGTTTCACGTTGAAGAGACATAGCTGTTGGGCTGTCCTTAACCTGAGACCGTACTAACAACGCAGGTCTTCCGGAACCTGCAGGTGGCTGTCCTGTTGTTTCCAGAGGCGACGATGAGGACAATTTTGAATCCAGTTTAATTCTCTTCCTCGGCGAGCCTTGATCCGAAGATGGTATAGCGGTAGTTGTTGGATTGATGAGCGGCTGCTCCGAGCTTTCGGCAGTGGTATTTATGTTGACATCTTTATTATGTTTGAAAAGACACTGGAAAGCGTTACAATTATCTCCAGCCGGGCAAGGTAAGCTCTTTAGCGCCGCCAGAGAGCTAGCCATAGTCAAAAGCACGGTAGAATTCTACACGTAAGGTGGTCGGATGAAGAGACTTGAGGTCGAAATGATGATATGGCGAGGCAAAGTTATAAAGTGAATGAATGGAGTTAAGGATCAAAAATAAGGCCGGTGATTCTCGAGGTAGTTGAAGTATAAATATGGAATCAACAAGGTTTTATTCGTCACTTGTAGGCTGTAACTGCTGCTCTGTCGGAGTCTCGAAACAACCGTTGCGTTGAACGTTAAACGCGAGAAATCCCCTGAAGAACGAGAACGAGACCTAGACCTAGACCACACACGTGTCCTAGGTTTAGAGAATGAATATTTCCGTCAGGTATTTTTTTGTTAAAAAAAAGAAACTTATGATTATCACTCATAAGACGATTAGTTCTACGTATCGTATCTAGCCAGTAGGACGGATGCATGCATGTATACCTAGGTCTAGGTCAGGTAGGTATTCAATTCAATTTTGGGAGGAATTGAAACTTGAATGTTGTTAGTGGAATATCCACGATAGCAAGCAGCACGAAGTACGTCGTTGCCTTTAAGGAAAAGATGGGGCATCTTATGTAAAGTAGCAGGGTTGATTAGAGCCAATAAAAGGCGGGCAAACACTGCAGGTGCCGGCGTCCTCTACCTTAGGTACCTATCTTGGTACTCTTGGTACCCAGGCAGCCAAGGTACGTGCAATGTACCTAATTGTCCAGATCGGACGGATTCAAGGTCGGGATTAAGACATGCGCAACTACGGAGGTTCTCAGCTGACCGAAGCGGTTTCCTAATTTCGTTATTTAATTACTTGTTTATAGCTTAGACTTTGTTCTCATTTACTATTGTATAATTGTTTATTCTTTCTTTTATTATTCGCAAGTTGTAGACGATACCAATACATCCTAAGTACCTCTAGCCTAAATCAACATGGAATATACCGGTGGTAGTTTTAAAGCAAATCATCTCTGCGTGCTCGTTCATGGGGTACGTCGGTATCACCGGATCCCTGCCAAGCTTCGTGTACTACAATTAGGTTGGGTACCTGCTATGCTATGCACGTCATTACTGACTATTTTATTTTATCCAACTTTCTAGCTATGGGGAAACCCGGACCACATGAGATCGGTCGCGAAAGCGCTGAGAGACGCCTATTCCGAAGAGAAACTCTACCTCCTGGTCGCTAAGCGGAATACTGGTAGCTTCACTTACGATGGCATCGAACTCGGCGGGGAGCGCGTGTGCCTCGAGATCGAAGAGGAACTGGAAAAGATAAAGAGTAACGGTGGTAAAATAACCAAGATCAGCATTGTTGGATATTCCTTAGGAGGTCTTGTTTCCCGTTATGCCGTTGGACTACTCGAGATGAGGGGCTTGTTTAACGGGATCGAGCCGATGGTACGTACGATCGATCTTCTTACATAGTAGTTAACTACGTTTAAGACTAGTTATCTTTCTCTCCCTTACTTACTAACTATCCATATCTTCTAGAACTTTGTAACATTCGCTTCGCCGCATCTCGGTGTCCGCTCTCCTCTAAAAGGGTGGGCCAACCAAGTTTGGAACGTCCTGGGCGCACGTATGCTGTGCATGTCTGGGAGACAGTTGTTCATAATTGACAAGTTCCGCGATACTGGCCGACCGTTACTTGAGGTGCTTGCCGACCCGGAGTCCATCTTCATATCCGGTTTAAGGAAATTCAAGCGACGAACGCTCTATGCCAATATCACTAACGATCGAAGCGCAGTCTATTACACTACATGCATAGCTAAGACAGACCCTTATACAGACCTTAGTAAAGTTAAGGCCAACTTCGTTGAGGGCTATGACAGCGTCATTCTAGACCCTTTAAATCCGGTCACGCCCTTGGTTTCTCATGGTGATGATAAACCGATGGCCGACATTATTGCAGGGGCTCCAAGGGATCTACGGTTGACCATATTTCTAGCTACGGTAATTGCTATTCTCCCTCTTGGTATTGTTGCGTTAGTGGCCAACTCGATCATACAAACTTTCCGCAGTGCGAAGCGTATCAGGCTCCATGAATCGGGACTTGCAGGCATCCAGGTTACGAACTACCGAAGTCCCATCTGGATAAAGGACATCCGCGGTACAGTAGAAGATATATATGAAAGTCTGAACAACTCACAGAGAGAGTCGTACCTACGAGCATCAGACGGCGAGCAACATTCCAAGCAACTCAACAAGGCCGAGGCGGGGATCATAGCTATGGAACGAAAGAAATCACACCCCCAGTTTCCAACCCTGGCTCTAGCGCCTTCTCAGTTCGTGATGATCAATGAGCTGGACAAGGTCGGTTGGCGCAAATATCCCGTGTGGATTCATCATGATAATCACAGCCATGCTGCTATAATTGTGCGATCCGACACCCCACGGTTTAAAGACGGTCTTGTTGTACTTCGACACTGGATCACTGAGGAATTCCTAATCTAACTTGTGGTTCATGTTATGTTCAAGCATATAGACTGCCGGGTCAGTCTGCGGCGTTAGATGGAGACTTGGAGTTAAGAGCGGAAATTATACGGACTAGAATTGACTTTCAGTAGATATAGATGAAGCGTTACGTTAGTCTTTTCAATAGACAGTATATAGAATTTTCGACTTGACCATTAGGCTTATGAAGCCTTAATCAATGTCTCTTTGTATGATAAATATTGTACATGAGTTAGAGAAGTGTACAAGGATAAGTAGAAACCACAGGATATACACCTCTTAAAGAGTCTGCCCCCCCCACCTTACACTTAGGTTTTCCTTTTCATCAAATCGTGATCGTGATTATTATAAAGCTACAATGACCAACCCAACGAGACCATAATATGTCGATATATCCATCTCCCCTGCGGATCCGGCATTAAACCCGAGTCGCTTACTTTCCTATGTATGGTGATGTCGATCCCTAGGCGCTCAGATTCTGGTGTATCGTAAATACGGCTTGACCTCCCTCACGTCACCGAACTTCTTCTTGGCGTCTTCGGTGCTCACACTAGGCGGCACAATGACGTCGTCCTCAAGATGCCAATCGACAGGCGTCGTGACACCCTTCTTGTCGACAGTCTGCAGCGAGTCGATGACGCGCAGGACCTCGGCAGTGTTGCGACCCGTGCTAGCGGGGTACATCATGGCAAGTCTGATTTTCTTCTGGGGGTCGATGATGAACACGGAGCGGATGGTGAAGGCGATGCCCTTCTCGTCGATGTTGCTCAGGTCCTGGGCGTCCACCATGTCGTACAGAAAGGCGACGCGGCGGTCGGCGTCGGCGATGATGGGGAACTGGAGGTTCGTAGACGACACCTCGTTGATGTCGGCGATCCAGCGCTCGTGCGACGACAGGTCGTTGGCGCTGAGGCCGATCATCTTGACACCACGCCGTTCGAACTCCGGGGCGAGCCGGGCGAATGCTCCGAGCTCGGTCGTGCATACCGGCGTGAAATCAGCCGGATGCGAAAATAGGATGGCCCAGGAACCGCCGAGCCATTGGTGAAAATCGATATCGCCGTGCGTTGTCTTGGCTTGGAAGTTGGGAGCCTCGCTACCGAGTCGTAGACGGGGCTGCTCTGAGGGGATAGAAGATGACGACGACGACGAGGCTAAGAAACGGCGCGAGGCCGGACCTTGTCCTTGAGCCGAGGACTTCAAGGCGATTGGAGAAGTGGTAGCTTTAGGGAAAGCTTTAGGAAAAGCTAGACGTGGGGTGTGAGAAACAGCGCGGAATGCGCTACGGGCCAGGAAAGTTGCCATGATGCTAATGAATGATTCAGTGATAGCTGTTGACTTGTAATTAATTACCCTAGATACCTATTGTTGAAGGTAAAGTGAGAGGTGGAGGAAGAGTAAATCCACAATTATTTTTTCAAGTTTCTTGATCATAACGAGGTCTTGATGACTTAATGCTTAGACGAAAGTACTATGTACCGTATCGCCAATAAGGTTACGCAATGGAGGGGCCGCGGGGCACTGGGCAGCCGGGCAGCCGGGGCGTCCAGCTAAGGTAAGGTGGGTTTTTAGTCTTTGCCTGATATGAGCTAGCGTTGAGCTGAAATGCAGGGACCAACCTGTGAGCCGGCAAAAGCTACCGAACTTCTTAGGTCTTTGCAGCCTATTGCAGGAACTACGGATTACCTCAACTAATAAATACAACAACAACACCCTGCACGACCCTTAAAAACGATTTTGATATCAATATATACCTACCTTAGGTACCTTCTAATCTTATTGAGAGTACAGAACTACATTTTGCCAACGGCATGGGAATACATCAAATATTTCCAAATACATCCTCAACATTCTCATACAATTACAATGCCTCCTCGCCCGGTAGTATCGCCACCGCGACGGATTACGAGATCTCTCGCGCGCTTTAGGCATAGCAACAACAGTCCTGGTACCAAGGAGAACTCCACTCCTCCCGCCGCAGATATCGAGGATATAATCCCAAATACGACGGCTGTCCGTAAGCGGAAGCGCACCACTACCACTCTCCTCGAAGCCTCGTCAACGTCTCCACCTCGACGCACCGTTAAGACAGAAGAGGAAGTCGATACAAAAGTAACAGTAACAGCACCCCCGGCAAGCAGACGTCAGCGAAAGCCAGCTCGGAAGACCGTCGACGCGCATACCGGCGAAGCAAAGGTCAGCGCGCCCTCGGATTGGGAGGAGATATACGATGCCGTCAAGGCCATGCGCTCCCCGGGCGGTGTGGCGGCCAATGCGGCCGTCGATACCATGGGATGTGAGCGACTTGCGGATACCACCACCAGCCCGCGCGATCAACGCTTCCAGACTCTAATCGCATTGATGCTGTCGTCGCAGACCAAGGACACCGTCAACGCCGTCGCCATGAAGCGCCTGCAAACCGAGCTCCCCCCACACGCTCCCGGCGCTGCCCCGGGCCTCACCCTCGAGAACGTGCTCGCGGCCGACGCGGAGCTGATCAACAAGTTGATCTGGGCCGTCGGCTTCCACAACAATAAGACCAAGTATATCAAACAGGCCGCGGTGATCCTTCGCGATCAGTGGGGCGGCGACATCCCCGATACGATCGAGGGCTTGGTCGCGCTACCCGGCGTCGGCCCCAAGATGGGGTATCTCTGCCTGTCGGCGGCGTGGGATCGCACCGAGGGCATTGGCGTGGACGTCCACGTCCATCGCATCACCAACCTGTGGGGGTGGCACACGACCAAGAACCCCGAGGAGACACGGCTCGCGCTGCAGAGCTGGCTGCCGCGCGATCGCTGGCGCGAGATAAACTGGCTGCTCGTCGGGTTCGGGCAGACGGTCTGTCTGCCCGTCGGGCGGCGGTGCGGCGACTGCGACCTCGGTCTGCGCGGTCTGTGTAAAGCCGCCGAGAAGAAGAAAGTCCTCGAAGGGAGGAAGATGCGGGAAAGCACCCAAGTCAAGAAGCTTGAGGATGACGGATCTGTGGTCAAGATCGAAGAGTTGAAGGAGGAGGAAGAAGCAATTGAGAGAGACGTCGTTGTAAATGAGGTTGTGAACGATGAAGACAAGGAATTACTAACTGCGGATCAGGTCAAAGGTAGCCCGGAAACCAGTCTGGAACAAAGAGAGACTGTGCCAAAACGGCAACGTAAGTCGAACAAGCCATAGCATCTTGTATTATAATGTAAGTCGGTTATAGCGGGTTACAGCATAGGATATCACGAGGCACGCAGGGTAAACGAACGTAATTATGATGGGTGGAAATCAAGGTTTCGTCAGGTCCAAATCTCCATTATAAAGAGATCAGCTTCATAATTGCTTAATCATGTTAGGTATGTATGTATGTACAAATATTCGCTGAAATCTGGGGAAGATAAAAAAAATATTGGGCTTTCATTGCGGAAGGCCGTTTCGTGGCATTCATACAAGCCAACAACTCCTTCTTCTGTGTAAAGAAGACAAGCAAGCAAGCAAAACAAGACAAACATCATCTCGAGACGAACTCGGAGGAGTCCGATTCTCTTCTTCTTCTCCCTTGTTCCGCCTACGCCGTCGCAGGCTGTTAAAAATGAAATGAAATATACAAACAAATCTGCCCTAAGCCAATGCCCGGACGCCGTGCTCGTAGAAGAGTAGTAATAGTAATGGTAATGGATAATAAATAAAAATTGATGTTGATGTAGACACCAAGCCCCCCTCCCTCTTCCTTCCTTCCTTCCTTCTCCCCCTCTCCAATTGCAGAGGGCACGTCTGTCTGTTTGTTTGTTTGTTTATTTATAGGGCACAGCTAACGGGTGTAGAAGCGTAAACGGGGCCACGGACTCGCGGAGGGGAAGAACGACGACGGCGTCGCTGTCTAGCTGTCACGCCGGAAGACGATCGGGGAGCGAGGGGCCGGCTCGCATTGGGCTCGGCGAGGTTGTTGTTGTGGTAGTGGTGATTATACGCCCCGGATGACTTGCGTGCGCTCGGCCTCGAGCTGCGCGGCGTTTCGCGCGTGCGATTCCTTCTTGCACTGCAGATGTCACGGGGAGTTGTTAGCACGCCTGAACCAGAACCGGAACGGGAACATGAACATGAACCACCATCCGAACCACTACTGTGCTGCTGCTCCTGTTGCTCTTGCTCCTCGAGAAGAAGACCCGAGTCCTCGAGATACTCGGCCAGCCCGACTTGCCACCACTCTGCGGCCCAGTCGTCGCTGCTGCCATTGCTATTGCTATTGTTCTCGCTGGGACAGGGACAGGGGCTGGGTTCTGAGGGGTTGGGGCTCATGCTTACGTCTTCTAATCCGCTGCACTTGTGGTCCTCGAGTAATCGGTGCTTCGCGCAGAAGTGTCCGTCGCAGAAACCGCAGTCGCCGACGATTCGTTGGGCGGCGGACTTGCATTCCTTGAAGGTGCAGCGGGGCTTCTGGGGCGCCATATTTGATTATTATTATTATTTTTCTTGGGGGTTGTTGATGGTATCAGTCGGTGATGATGCTGATGATGAAGATGATGGCAACAAGATGTCTAGGTAGGATCGGAACGAGCCGGAAAAGGAGGTTCAAGATTGTTATTTCCTCGTCTTTGTTGATGTTGTTGTTATTGTGTTGGGTTCTGCTGATCAAGGCGGGTTGCCGAGTTGGGAATAGGCGGGAATGAAGAACCAAAGAGAGAGAGAAACAGGGCTGTTCGGTCGAAATGTTAGAAAAGATGATCCCTTTTAAATAAGTGTAGTGTAGAGAAAACCCCAACGCGGATGACGGCAATCTAGTGGAGAAGAACGCCTTGGCCAGGCGAAAAGGAGGAAAGGATACGATAGAGGCTGAATTGGATAGGTTCGGGTGTACACGAGTGTGTGTGATGTGTGATGTGTGATGTGTAAATGGATTTGTGTATTGGAGGTGAATGAACCTCGGGCCGTGATGGATCAACGTACAGAAAGTCGGGCTCAGATCGCAAAAGCTTGGCGCCTATCAGAGAGATGGTCCCTGGTTGGTATTTTCCGAGTGATTGAGTTGGGACGGAAAGTGAATGTAGATGTAGATACAGATACAGATACAGATACGGTTACAGATGTAGATGTAGGACGGGAAGAGAGGGAAAAGACCTAAGATGATGATATAATATCAAAGGGAGAACGGGGTTTTCTAACACGGAAACAGATACCCTTTTCCTTACTTACACTACGAGTGAATGACTCCTTACTTGGGGCGGCGAGAATGGAACCGTTTAGAATGAGCTAGGGAAAGTGGAAAGACGAAAAAAGGATGAGGCGAACGGGTTCCTTGTTGGATTTGTGATCGTCAGTTTGCCTGGTCATAAGCCAACGAACCAGGGACTCCAGTCACTAGCGGGCAGGTAGACAGCAGGAGGTAGCAGGTAGCAGTTCTGATGACGACTATGTATTCCGCGCAAGGCTCCGAAAGCGGGAGGCAAGCCGATTAGGTATTAAATCTAAGCAAGTCTAAGTGGGATATGCCGTAGGGATGCACGTATCAGCGAAATACCGGGGACAAGGGTGGTGGGCTTTTAGACGGACAAGGGAACAGGGAGACAAGGACCGGGGGGTCCATTTTGGAGATGGAGAAAGCAGACAGAACATGCCCATTCTGGATTACACAGACAAGTCATCAAAGTGCCTTAATCCGGGAATTCGGCGTGAAAGGATAGACCACGACAACTCGTACATACACACATACATAAAGTGGTGATGACCGCCTTTTCCAACTAATAAGTTAATAAGTTTGAAACTTTCTGTTAGACACGCTGAAACGTTGAGCCACGGCCGATATTATACTGCAGTTGTTGTTATTAATATTAAAGTATTTAGAGTAACGCAGATAAATTCAACAACATCTAGTTAACTAGGTACCTAGGTACCTAATCAAGAAACCAAGGGAGGGACAATACATGAGGTAGATATGAAAAAGAAGTACTGTCAGATGTTCTCGTTTACGAATGTAGTTCAGGAGAAGAAGGATATTAGTTGTTAGTATCTCACGCCATACCGGGCCACAAACCCACCGAGAAATCCGCCGGCTATCGGGCAACTTGGGCGCACGAGGCGGCTGGGACATCGATAACTATCTCTACCTTGGCTATCTGGCGTAGCACGCCGCCTCCGGGATCTACAACATCTACATACCATATATATACACGTACGTACATACATGCATGGGTTCAGGAACATAACATGTAGACAGACGTCGTCAACTGAAACCTTTTCATCTACGTGATCAGACGAGGAATAAGATAAAATATGCACCCCATCCGCCGCAATTCTTACTAGGTAGATTAAAAGCGACAAGTCCCATTCGTCGACAGGCTTGTTTCTCGAGGAGCTCGCCTCTCAGACTGCCACATGTCCGCCCATCTACCTATACCTTTTTGTTCTCTTGTCAACTTTTTTTTTCTTTTCCTCCCCTTGAATTGTGGTTAAAGTTACCTCAAAACTCAGCACGGGTCGGGTTTTGCAGCTTGTTGTCGTGTCAGAGTGGAACAAACATGCAATGCGCGCTTAATCAACTTGGCAGCTAAAATCTAACCAGACGCATTGGATTGCCTGCTTGCTCGCGAGGAATCGCAACAAAACCCTCCCCTCCCAAAAACGCCGGGAAAAAATTGAAGAGCTGAGTTGACAACGAGTCGCCTAGGTTAGTGTGGACTGCGACGACGTTGGCCGCTGGCGTCGGTTGATGAACTCTATTGACTCGTATCGTCAGTCAGTCGTATTAAAGGGGGGGGAGTGAGGCTGGGATAAGCGACTACAAATGTACAATACCACATCACTCTAACTAGACCCTTACCTAGTTCCATGTCGCTAACTAAATACGAACAACAACGCGAGGCTAAAAACTTCGTGGCGACAGGACTGCCGTTATCGTCTGCAGTGAAACTAGTAGTATAGGAGGTACACATACCTACCTGTTAGTAGGAATCATCATAAAGTGTTTTCACGCCACAAAGACGTCGAAATGACTACCTACTTCTAGGGAGGTATGGATTATGCTGACTGGCTTGACTCAATTTGACTGAGCTTGACCATATCTCGTGTACACTAACTACTACTGCATACGTCCGTATATGTATGATGCCGATCCCAGATCACCCAACCGGTTCCCGGCCTGAGGAGTAAGACAAAAAAAAAGAATTGGCCACCAATACTACTTCCTACATATCAACAGACACAGACCTTTATCGACCTAATGATTTGAATAGATCGCTTCCGCATATCTACTGCCTATACCAATACTATTATATGCATACTCCTCGTTTCGTTGTCCCGTACGTACCTAACCTAGGTATGTATGGATGAATCTCTGCAGCTCAGGCGCGCCTTCAGCGGGACCCCAATCGATCATGTGGTGGATGTTGTTGCGGAGAATTGGAGCCCCCTCTGCGATGCAAGCAGGGTCTCGAATGATGACGGCGCAGGGGTCCTTTTTTTTGCTTCTTTACACTGCATAAACACATGTTACATTCATTAGGTTAGGTACATATGGCATTTTAAAGGGGGGTGGTGTTCTCGATGAATATCAAATACCTGACTCGGTTTGGAGCGCATGCATGATGGCTTCTTTGACCTACCTACCTTGGATACTCTAGCCTTCTCTAGACTCTGGAATCTAGACCGCCTATCTAAACCTACCCGAGATACGTGTGTATATAGTAGTTGTGGCTTCTTTTAGTATCCGTCGTGCGTCAACGATTTTCTTGACAAAATAATGTTTCTTCATGGGAATACATACCTAGTACCGCCTCTTCGAGGAGATCTTCTAGAGACTACCAAATGACGAATCTGCAAATATCGTAATAACCTAGCACAACGCCAAGGGACTTGGCGAGGAACTTGTTACACTCTGGTAAATATGCTTCATTGTTAACCGAGTGTAGAAAGCAAGCGGATTATTCACTAGTAGGTATCAACGGACAATATTCATAAACTGTTTAGTTACACTAAAAGCTAAGGGTACACTTTGCGACTTATTTTTCATGACTCGTCAGCTCGTCGTTTTCGTAGAATTCCGAGTCGGCTCCATTAGAGATAGGTATGATATTTGACTCGTATTATTACTTTTTTATTTCTTCATATTCACGACGCAACGAATGCAATCGCCCGCCTTCATCGCGTCAAACGCGGCGTTAATGTCATCTAAATCTTGGCGGTGAGTAATGAGCTCGTCCACCTTTAGCCTGCCTTCTAAATAATCAGTGACGAGGCCGGGAAGTTGAGAACGGCCCTTGACACCGCCGAAAGCACAACCTTTCCATACACGGCCGGTGACTAGCTGGAATGCTGCTCATGGTGTCAGTTTCTGGGCAAATAGGCAAATAGGCAAATGGGCAAAATTGATGCAAGGAAGGATTGAGACTTACGTCGAGTTGAGATCTCTTGGCCGGCTGCAGCAACACCGATGATGATGCTCTGACCCCAACCCTTATGGCAAGCCTCCAAAGCTGCCCGCATTACAGCGACGTTACCGGTACAGTCAAAAGTGTAGTCACAGCCACCATCGGTCATTTCGACGAGCACTTCTTGGACCGGTTGTCCGCCCAATTTGCTAGCGTTTACGAAGTCAGTGGCTCCAAACTTCTTGGCCCATGCCTCTTTAGCTAGGTTTACATCGACAACGATGATTCTACCCGCCTTTTGAGCGACAGCACCTTGAACAACCGAAAGACCGACACAGCCAGCTCCGAAGACGGCGACGGTGGATCCCTCTTCGATGTTGGCCGTGATTCTTGCGGCACCATAACCGGTAGTAATACCACAACCCAGCAGGCAGGTTCGGTCCATAGGAGCAGCTAGCGGCACAGCGACGACGGAGATATCGGCTACCACAGTGAACTGAGAGAAAGTTGATGTTCCCATAAAGTGAAGAAGCGACTGCCCCTGGCAGGTGAAACGAGAGGTACCATCTGGAAGAACACCTCTACCCTGGGTCGCCCGAATCTTGCCGCAAAGGTTTGTCTTGCCAGACTTGCAGAACTTGCATTCCTTACATTCGGGAGTGCTTTTGAAGGACATTAGCCTAAGAAACAACAGACATAAGGATGGTCATAAGGATGGTATAGGGTTATGCGTACTATAGTGCAATAACATGGTCGCCAGGCTTTACGGTGGTGACGCCTTCGCCGATGGATTCAACAACACCGGCGCCCTCATGCCCCAAGACCACAGGGAATGCGCCTTCAGGATCTTTGCCGGATAATGTGAAGGCATCTGCTCCACTGATTAGCGGGATATTCGGACTTGGTTCGGGATTAAGACTTTTAAGACTTGGCAAGAAATTACCTGTGTGACAGACTCCGGTGTAGAGGATCTGAATGCGGACCTCGTGGGCCTTAGGGGGTGCAACTTCGATCTCCTCGATGCTGAGGGGTTTGCCGGCTTCCCAGGCAACGGCGGCCTTACACTTGATGGTCTATCGTGCAGAAGAAAGCAATTAGCTTTGTGTGATCTCTGCTATAATAATAACATTGGACCGCATAGATTGTATAGGTAACTAGTATATCAATTCCTGGTTGTCGCATACTGAGTAGTATGCTACATACGTAGGATATATATATATACTACGCGTATTGGCGCGGGGTAAAGGAAGCGCACTCATAAAAGAGCTCAGATCGAACATTGGGGGAAGGGGAGGGGATAACAGGTACTAACCTTGCCAACGGTAGCAGCCATGATGAGGTTATATTACACTGGAAAAACAAAGAATAGATGTAGATTGTGATTGAATCTTTGGGGGGTTTTGGTTTTGAAGAAACTGCGGGATAAGGAAAAAGACCTTGAGATATCAACTTTTATAAAAGAGTTGATAATAGATTGTAATCGATTGTAATCGATTGCTCAGCTAATTCTTGGGTTGCTTGTCTGATGCGGAGATTTTACACAAAGCCTCGTTTGACCCCACCACTGGTTATTTCTTCAGGTGGGGGAGACGGCACGGCAGTGAGGAGAGAGAGAGAAGCTAGTCCCGGGTAGAAGAGATGAGGATAAACCTAAAAGATAAAAAAAAAAGGATACCTAACTACATCCTGATGTCACTCCTGCGATCATTACAGGTAGGTATGACAGGTATGACAGGTATAAAATGTCAATATCAGAAGAAGACTCTAGATATCCCCAATCTATTAGGTTAATTAGTATAAGTCTATTTAGGTCTATTAATTATCGCATTGATATAATAGACTCCCAACTCCGCATCAGTGTATTCCCGGACGCATCCGAGTTCTTCTTTATCGAGGCTGGTGATAGGAGGATCTATCATACGCTCTCCAACTTATTCCGCGTTGAGATTGTTGAGATTATGCGATATCGTCAACCGGCATGATGGGAAAAGGGGGAACCGGAGCAATGATGGACAAAACTCGGCATGTTCACCATAACCTTGAAGAAAGGCGTTAGTTCGATCTTGTGTTATCTGGCAAAAGATAAAATGAGTCATTCGGTTTGGGCATGTTTTTGAGCTTCTGTAATTAAGTGGTGCATCGAGGTCTGCGCTGGCTGCATTGCGGTAAGTGAAATCAGATATCGAGTAATTAGTTTAAAAACCCCTTCTAGTTTGATGCAACTCGTAGGTTACTATGTATGAATTTCTAATATTCAATATCGGTAAGGCTGATAGAAAAAAAAAGCAGCACAGGTGAAGACAATAATAGATGGCACGGAGAGGTGCCGTGCCATTTATATGAAAGATCTCCAGGTGAGAACCCGGAGGACTCTGCGGTGCTACGAACGAGGTATATACAGTGTTGAAAGCACAGTTGCATACGTATTGAACACTGTATGGATTAGACCTAACCTAACCTTATGCATTCTTTACGCAAGTTACCCACTTATCTACCTACCTCTGGCATGTATGGTCCGTGCTTAAACAGCGGGCAGCTCTGGATGCTTGCTCAAGGTTTGTATGCTAGGTACCTAAGGTTAGGTACCTGGTATGCGCTACGGTAACCGCTACGTACCGCGTTTTTCGAAGCTTCAGCGTCGCGACGTAAATTTTTGTTTGGCTCACAGCCTTCCCATAGCAGCATTCACAACTTCTAACAGAAACCCCCCAACACGTCAACCTGGAATTTTCTAATTCAAGTTATAGACTAGCAGCGCTCATATACCCCATGGGGCATCTTCACCAGACTTAATAATATTTATTTGCGGTGCTATCCTGAAGGCATTTCGAAGTAATTGTCCAGCAGCCAGCTAACACATCCGCTTAATATGGCTTTTAAATTCGGGAACTTGAATTCATTGCCCTCTACGCCCGAAAGGGGCTCTCGAAAGCCTTCATCTGGCTTCGAGTTCTCTGTAGATCATCCATCAACTACTCCAATCGGCCCTCCTCCACCTTCGTCTACCGCTTCCTTTACCCCTGCCGGCGAACCCTCTCCCTCGTTTCTACAGAGTTCCATTGGGGCCATGTCAAACATTTCGAGCACGTCAAGCAGGCCCAAGGCTCCGAATTTTGGAAGACCGAACCTCACTCAATCCAAGTCCAGCTCTAAAAAGCGTACCAATGCGCCTTTAGGAAGATCAATCCAGGGTTCTACTTCGAGGCTACCGTCTAACCTGAGCAAAGAATATCACGGGGAGGAGGAAGACGATTACGACGAAGATAACCATGACGAAGAGGGAGACGAAAAACAGAAGAACAAGCGAGGAAATATAGGAAAGACTTACGGTTTGCTATTTGATGATTCGTCTGACGGCGAAGACAACGAACCTAATAACGCAAATCCGCTGGAGGACGACGATGAGGGCTCGGAAGGAAACGCTATGGAGGAAGGCGAAAGTGAAGGAGAAGGCGAGGGCGAAGACGAATACGAAGACGAAGATGATTACGATGTGGAAGAGGACCTGCTGAGAGAAATAGCCGGCACTGGACCTTATGGCAATTTATCTGATGGCGACGGCGATATGATGATGCTCACAACAGCTGCTGCGGATGAGCGCATCAGTAGAGAAGCTGATGACATCTTTCGCGCTTCCTCTATGCGCTCTATTAGTGCTCGAAAGCAAGAGTCCAAGTTTGCGACACTCGCAAACGACCTCTATAGTCAAGCGCCATTTGCAGAAGTATCCGAACCGGACAACGTTATCATACAAACTGAAGAGCTCATGAATCGTCTCTATGATGAAGGTGTCGGTCCTGAAGACGACGAAGAGAGGCTGGACGAGACCTTGGCTCAGGCTTGCGTCAGATTGGTTCATGAGATATGGGGCCCTCACGTACAAGAGCTCCCGAAATCCGACGACGAGCATACAGCCAAGGTAGGACCAAGCCCTCACGCCCCGAATTTTGAGAAAGCCTTTTACCTGGCTGTACTGGTTCTCCAGATTCATCATACGCCGGCAAGGAGAGACGATTTTGGAGATATCAAAAATATAGCCTTGCCTGCTGTTCTTTTTGAGTGGCAGCGCGCGGAACACAACTTCGACCCTGACCAGGTAAATAACGTCCTACAGCATCGCCCTGCGCCTGCGACCCACGGGCTTTTCTGGCAAGTCGTTTTTAATGCTCTCGTGCGAGGTGACATACCTGGGGTAGTGCAACTTCTCAGAAAGGCCGGCTGGGAGTCAGTCAAGAAGTCACCTCGGGGTGAACCCGTCTACAGTGGCCAAGTATTATCCAATATCAAACGCGTTGTCGAAGATTTATGCGTAGTCATGGAAATATGTCCTGCGACAAGCAACGACAGCTGGGATATATATAGCAGTGACTGGACCTTGTTTCGTCTCAAGGCTAAAGCAGCTAAGGAAGCGCTCATCGGTTTCACCGAAGGCAAAGAACGCGCACTCTCCTCGAGTCGATTCGGTGAATCCGATTTTGCCGATTCTGTAGCTGGACGACAATCGCTCTCAGGCCTTGCTCGAAGGGCAGAAAGCAGAATTCCTTGGGATATCTATGAAAATCTGCAGTCCCTTTATGCAATCCTCATCGGAGAACCGGACGCTATCCTTGCAGCCGCGCAAGACTGGTGTGAGGCTACGATTGGCTTATTCGCGTGGTGGGATAACGGCCACAACAAGCGGAACCTTGGACTGTCTCATTCAAGATCCCTTCAATTACCTGGCGAGCCCGAGTCGGGTGACGATTTCCTTGACCGTCTTTCGCTTTCCCTGCAAACTGCTACACGGGCTGATTTCCACTTCAACTCGGCTGATCCTGTTGAAGTAGCCGTTGCCTGTGCATTTGAGAGTAACATCGAAGGCGTCATCGGATTTCTGAGATTATGGTCACTCCCAATAGCGTCAACAGTGGCCGAGATCGCCTCGTTAGGCCGATGGCTCCCTCCTCAAGAGCCTCAAAATCTTATTAACATGCAAGATTTCGACATGGAGGAGTTGGAAGTTTTAGGGATGAAACAGAACACAGAAACCGACGAGAAAGATGGAATCAAGGATACTACACTAATCCATTATGCGCGCAGCTTGAAGGATCGCAAATATATAGCAGGCACTGGTCTACATGGTAAAGTCTCTCGGGATGGATGGGAAATGGGTGTCCAAGTTGTTGGTCGAATGGACTCCCCCGAGCGGTCTGAGCAATTAGTACAGGAATTGCTGCAGAGCGTCCTCAGTACCATCGATGAATTTTCTCGTGAGACCGTCGACAAGATATGGCGCCTGCTAAACGAACTTGGCATGATCAATTTTGCTGAAGATACAGCCGAGGTATGTACGCGCCGCTAATACACCGATGGCGATATTCTACTTACACGTTCTAGACTTTCGGAGATATCTTAGCAAAAGATACTTTCCGCTTTGGAGAAGCCCTATGGTATTACTCTTTGGCTCACCGGCCTGGTAAAGTTCGCGATGTCCTGAATACACTGATGTCCATTTCACTCGTGGAATCTACAACTTATCCGCCGGAGAGCGAATTAGACAGCACCCTAAAGCAATTACTGAAGGAGCGAACAGCGACGTTAGAGAAGTTTGCGAAGCAGGATCTCGAAGCGGCGGAACTCCTTGGTAAGATGCTCAGCGGGTACGCTACACTCAGAAAATTCTACGAGCTTCGTGATGGAGACAGCAAAACAAACCCCAAATCGTTGGTGCGTCGCCAACAGGCTGCCACTGCTCTGGTAGCTGTCATTGCTAGTGCCGATGACAATATTCGAGGAGGCTTATACGATGACTCGCGCGACGCAGTTGTCAGTGAAGATTTCTTATTAGCACTGCTTGGGGAAGCATCCGTCTTCGTGGGTCAATCACCACCTGTGATTACTCTTGACCAGATCGATACGCTTCTCAAAGCGATCGAAGATATTCAGACTGTTGGCTCGCGGGTCTACGATGCTGCTGATGAGTTCTTCAAACTAGTCCTCGCATCTGGACATGGAAAAGGGTCCACGCCTGCAGACCTTCTCAAGCAATCTACGTCTTCCTTGGGTGGCAGTTTTATGATGACTGGCAGTTCCATGATAGCATCTCAGCTTCATCAGTCGGTAATGAAAAGCGGGGTCATCAAGGGTCCCATCAAACGGACGTGGGATTGGAGAACAGGAGTGTTCTCTGCGAGCAGCTCCGGAGACGTGCTGAAGCAGATCAGACTGGGTTTAACAAGAGATCTGGCTAACCTGTGGTTAGAACAGGCGGATAGCGTCATCTTTTAATGGGTTTTCACGAGATGATTTGTCGTAATAGGGATCGTCATATCATAATTGGCAAGGCATGTAGGTTGGCCGCTCGGAGGCGTTAGGAAAACATAGTTGATTAGCGAAAGGGGATAACACCACCACCACCACAACAAGAGAAATGGCGAATGAAAGAATTAATCAATCTACCTTGCGAGCAGGAATTCCGAATAATGCATATAGTCTGTATATTTTTTTTTTCAACCGAGAACGTGTCCACGCCAGGAAGGTTTAGGTACCTAGGTTAAGTAGAGGTGGATATGTTGTTGAAAGCACCGAACACCGTTGACAGCCACGGTGGTATTGTACACCCATGATAATATGATAACTTGGATGTAACCTTTCCCTCGCGTTCCCAAAGGAACCCCGCACGCATAAAGCAATAGATTTGACGAAAGGGTGAGGGTGGTTGGTAGCACTATTGGACAATATGCATTTTGCAACGACGCCTCTATGCATATCACTCCGCACTGATATTGGGAGATGGGGGGTAAAATAGGGTAAAGGGTGTCTCGGCCATATGCTTTTTTCGGAGTTATCCTTTGGGATTATTTGGTAGCTCTCAAATACCCCCCTAGCTACCTAGGTAGGTACCTATATATTGCCCTTGTTGAGCTGCTTTCTTTGTCGTGCTTGTGTTACGGTATGTCGAGAACCAATGTATCATAAGTTACGTCCCTTGCTTGAATCCCAGTCGAAATAAAGGAGAGACGACCAGAACAGTCTGCACTTTAACCCCGAATAAATCATAGGCTTGATATATCGTCAATTAAGACGAAGCAATGGGGCTCTCAGAGGCGGCGATTGGTGAGTTGCGCTCTATCGTAGAGCAGACGATCGCCATTAGCGGCGCGTCAACCGCCTCCCAACTTCCAGGGACGGTCGTCGTCGTCGTGGACAAGCAGGGCAACGAGCTGTTCGCCCACGCCGCCGGCAAGCGAGGCATCATGTCCAAGGAACCTATGACGCTCGACAGCGTGTTTTACCTGGCGAGCTGCACGAAGCTCGTCGCGGGGATTGCCTGCATGCAGCTGGTCGAGAAGGGCGAGCTCCGGCTGGACGACGCCGCGCAGGTCGAGGAACTGTGTCCGGAGCTGAGGGACATCAAGGTTCTCAAGGACGACGGGACCTTCGAGGAGAAGAAGCACGGGATCACTCTCAAGATGCTGCTGACTCACACCGCGGGCTTCTGCTACTCGTTCTTCGACGAGACGTTGAGGGATTGGAGCCATCCCATCGGTATCGACGAATTCTCCGGCGATATCAAGGATATGCTGAAGGTACCGCTGCGGTTCCAGCCAGGAACGAAATGGAATTACGGAGTAAGCATAGCATTAACCTTTCTTTAGAAGACAAGGGGGAGAAAAGAAAAATAGAAAGAAAGTCAAATGAATAAGGGAATAGATACTAGGTAGATACTAACCTGTGTTAGATCGGCATCGACTGGGCCGGAATAGTCTTGCAGAGGAAGACCGGGTTGAGCCTGAACGAGTACATCCAAAAGAACATATGCGAGCCGCTCGGGCTGAAGAACGTCAACATGATCCCGACGCAGTCGATGAAAGACAACTTGGCGTACATGCACCAGAGGCTACACGACGGCAAGCTCATTCCCCGAGACCATCTGCTCCGCCGACCCCTGGTCGTCGAGACGCCCGCCGAGATCGCCGACACGTTCAACAGCGGCGGAGCCGGGCTCTTCGCTAAGCCGCAGGAATACGCCCGTGAGCCGACCCCTTTACCCCCCCAATCCTCAACCCCCAACCAACGCGCGGGGAGTGGACGGACTGACTGACTGACTGGCTGGCTGACCGTCTCTCCCTACCCAACACGCACAGGCATCCTCGCAACGCTCCTCAACGACGGCACATGCCCGCAGACCAGCGCGCAGATCCTCTCCCAACGCACCGTCGAGCAGATGTTCACGAACCAGATCCCGCAGTTCCCAGACTTCGGGCGGCAGGGTCTCGGGGCGGCGAAGCCGGACCTGACACGCGCGGCGGCGGAGCTGTACCCGGTGCCGGGCCGGCCGCCGCCGGCGCAGGGCTGGGGGCTGACTTTCATGCTGAGCGGGGCGAGCGCGGCGACGGGGCGCTCAGCGCGGACGGGCCACTGGGCGGGCCTGCCGAACCTGTACTGGTGGGCGGACCGCGGGCGCGGCGTCGCGGGCTTCGTGTGCGCGCAGATCATGCCCGCGTTCGATCCCGCGGTCGTGGGGCTGTGGGGCGCCGTCGAGGCTACTGTGAATAAGCATCTGAAGCTCGCTGAGGCGTAGGGGCCTATGTACCTAGGTACCTAATGTAAGTGGAAGTGGAAGAAGAAGAAAGAATAATAAATACACTAGCCCTTCGGAAGGTTCTTTGGCCCTATGGTGCGTGCTGGTTAGGTTAGGTTAGATTAGGTAGGTCATAGGAACTGGATAGAAAGAATGAGGAGGGGAGGGGGAAGGGGGGAAGAGATAGTAAAATAAAGCTAACTGCAACTGCTCGTTCTATATGATAAAGAGGGGGCGGTTATGCTTAGTGACTGCACTAAAACCATTAGTTTTACGAGTTGCCTTTTTTTAATAGATTCTTTCCTTCAAGGTCGAAATGGAATACCGATTTACACACGAATTTGTTAGTGCCTATCGTAGTCTTCATACATTTATCGGAGTAGCATTTCTACCTAGAGGTAGGTATGTACAGAGTTGGTAGAGACGTATTCAATGGTGTGCATTATAAAGTCACAATAACAATAACAACTTGGGCCCAAGAAGATGGAAATTTCTTAAAAAAGGTGGCTTATGTTTAATTGAGTCGCAAGTCTAGACTAAAAGTCGTAACGAAGGTTTCCCCCTTTACGCGAGGGTTCTTTGGCGAGTATTCCACCTCCATATGTGCCGGGGAGAACACGCCGAGGCGTGTAAGCTGCTGTGGATGAAATGATGTGCCAAAGGTTAAAGGTTAGGTACTTGGTATCCATAAGTCGAGATAATAACCGATGATAGCCGAGTTGACGCCGTGATTCCAATATCTATCAAGATTTGGTAGATATCACCGAAATCATGGTCCGTTTTTTTGATAGCATTCCAATGGCATTAGTCCCCCCTATCTCCCTCCCTCCTCAACCTCCTTTGAAGTGTGTGCCTTAACTGCCTCTATAAGTCGTATAGCTATAAGGAGACAGCAGTAGCGGTACGTGGTAGTGCTGGCCCTTCTCGACGGTGAACGTGACTAGGACCTCGGGGAAGAACGTGTTTCCCTCGCCAAAATAACTTCCCGTGTCAAAACGAAGAGTCCACGTGGATTTGGTTTCCACCTCGCTCAGCACGTCGTCTAGAGTGTAGGTGGGTACATCTCCCGAAGAGTGGATGCCGGAATACGGTAGCCACGCCTTGACACGACCGTCGTCATCGGTCTGAGATTCGAAGGTCTTGAGCGGAGCGTGGCCACCTTCCAGCTTGACGCGGACCCCCTTGGCCGGCTTGCCTACGGAGGTGTCCAGAATGTGGCAGGTGATCATATCCTTATCGTTAGCCATCGGGGTGGTGGAGTGGGGTGTATGATGATGATGACTTGGCTTAGACTTATATCGGATCCAGATGCTCGGACTGGGATGGGATGGGATGGGGTGGAATGGGATGAATTTGATGTGTTTTGCTGTCCAAAGCTTGACCGCAGGTGAAATGTGCCTACTTCTTGTATTCGAGAGCCACGAAACCCAGGGAGGTCCTGTTAGACGGTGAGTCTAGTCTACAGATAGGGGGTAGGACAAACGGGGCGAAGCCGTTCTGAGTGGCTGTGCGAATGCGGGCCTCTTTCTCCTCCAAACCGAGCAAATCTAAAGTATGCCCGACTTTGTATGAGGTATGTATAATACCCAGAATGGCGAAAAGAGGCGTCTCAGAACAGTGAGAATGAGGTATGTGAATTAGAGGTACCTACCTAGTACTCAGGGGGGGTGTGAAGGTAATTGGACGTAAGGCAAGGTCAATATGTAAGGTGTAAGGTAACAGCAGGGGTTGTTGAAGATTGGAAAGATTGTGAAGATTGTGATGTGAAGATTATGAGGGGTGATTGTTAATGCAACGCTATCAAGTAACGCTATCAAGGCTGGAATTCCTAATGCAGCTTTGTATTTGGGAGCTGATTGCTTCTGGGAACCTCAATTGTTCAGGTGTGCCAGGTGTACCCCGCTAGCAGCAGCCCCCACCGTGGGGTGAGATACGTACTGCGGTCATTGTGCTATAGTAAACCAACATTGCACAATATTATAAACCGATATTCTTTATTTAGAAACAATAGTTATACAATACGTAATACAGTGTACAAATACAGTTTGTGCACATTGTATATCTCCCCCCCATATCATCTTCGGTTGGTATTTAATCTTTTACATAGTAAAAAAGGAGTTGCCCACATGACTAGCTGCATATTCTTCTACATATAAAAAGAGTCAAATAAGAAGGCTGAAGCCTCAAGTGCAACCTCACATGCCTCTTAGAGAATGATAGAGATCTAATTATAGCCCGACGAGACATTTTAAGCAGTGTAACGCTTTCTGCACAAAGCACATGTAAGTAAGACAAGACAAGACACGACCGCATTCTCCTATTTCTCCTACCTACTTACATCTCATGTTTTCTTTAGGTAGGTACCCAAGGTATACTAGGTAGATCTTAAGTTTCGGGACTTATAAGTCTAGTAGCATTGTGGAATGTGGCATAAAGAGGGCAGTGCAAACTCATCATGAAAAAATATTAGACAAGATCAAGCGGTGAAGAGTATTATACTCTCAACGTTTATGATATTCTTCAGACGTTGTTACCCGAGCAAATGAGAGTTGCATCCCTAATCTGATTCAACTTACGCCAAGCGACATTCCATAATCCCCAAGCTGCTTCTGCATTCCCACACCTTCACCATTTCCAGTCCTGCTCTTCCGAACAGGTCTCGGAATTCCGAAGGCGTCCGCTCTTTGCCGTTCATCAAAGACATCATGGCTATGTCGTAGGCGAATCCGTGGTGAACCTGGACGCCGTAATTGGCTAGCAGGGGCTTCGGCGCTGGCTTGATGTACGGGTCTCCTATTGTTTCGATCAGAGTAATATCGGCAACGAGTAGCCGCGAGTCTGGTCCCATCGACTTGGCGGTATTCGAAAGAATTTCAACGCAAGCCTCGTCTTCCCAGTCGTGTCTATTTCTGTATCAGCCATGTCTTTAACGTTGAGTAGGCACCTTAGGTAATCTAAGGTATACAGGTTGTCTTACAGGACGTGACGCATCCAGTATACGTCGGCTTCCTTGACAGGATTCGGCTTGAAAAAGTCGTGCGCCATGAGTCGTGCTCGTCCCGACTCTAGAGCTTCGGGAAATTCCTTCTGCCATATCGAAACCCCTTGCTCAACCACCGTCGGTTGGTCTTGTACGACGAAACGCAATTCTGGATAGAGCCGAGCTAGCTGAAGGTCGAAACTACCTAGGTACGTAGACGTGCCATGTTAACCGACTCTATATACCGAGAGATCGTGTGCAATAGTTTGATTTTCAGAGGAAACTTACCGACACCACCTCCAACGTCAACAACTAGGCTGTTTCCCAATTCCTTCCACGGGAAGTCGTATAACGTCGCACTACCTAAGCTCTTACTGTTACCAGCCAAGTACAAATTGTAGATTTGCGCGTCGTCCTTCGGAACCAGCTCCTCGTCGGGCGATACTTCTACTTTCTGATACGGTCCCCTCGCGGCGCCGGGACTTGCTTTCTCCAGCGCTGCGCGCGAACGGGGCACTTTCTCGTTCATCCACGTGAAGAACGGCAGTTCTGTGCCCACAGCCAACGTCCAGGCCGCGAGTTCGGGCTCGTGGCTTGGTCCTCGGATAGGGTCCTTCAACGCTTCTGGCAACGCCGAAGTGGCCGCGTATCCCATGGAACTACGGGTTCTTAGTTTCGTTTCGGACAAATTATTAATTAACACCTGCTTACCCGCATCTGGCTTGCGCTTGCAGCTTTTCGTCGTTGACTAAAGCCTGCGATATCCTGTTATTTGCGAACTTGCCCGGAGCAACCTCGCGAAAGATATGCTGCGTAGCTAGGGCTCGCAGAATACGACCTGCTCCTGTTAATGGCGCCGGTCGCAAGGCAAGCATGGCAATAGAAGGATCAGATATTTCCTGCAAAGCTCACCTAGCTTGTTCTTCTCGAGCCCAGTTGACTTGGCTAGATCCTCGACAGGTACTCCATCCGCACCACCCTTATCTAATAGGGCCGCGATGTTATGTTCAACTGCTACGTGAAGTGCCCGGATCTCAAAATACAGCTCGACAAAGTCTACAATGCGTAGATGAGGCTCCGCGACGAGCTCTTCGATTGAGCCCAGTGCTGCAATGATGGTTCGTTGCGCGTCATAAGCTTTGCGCCCGGGTATCGCGAAAGTAGTCTCGGAGGCCGGTATGGCGTCCGGTGCCGGTTTTTCCCACTCGGCAATTAGTGTTTCTGATGCGCCTTGGATGAGCTTCACTAGCTGTCGGAGAGCTGTCGCTCGCGAGGATACATCGTCGTAAGACATCGTGTGAAGGTACTTGATTCGTGCTTATTTGCTTGTTAGGAGCTGGCGTCGCTATTGGCCTTTTCCTCTACCATGAAACGGTGTGTAAAATGACATATAAGCCTTTATGCACCGTAACATAAGCGTGGGGACAGCCCCCCTTAACTATGTACCAGCAGCTCCAAAATGCTGTTGGTGAGAAGCCATCGAATTGCCGATGGAGATGCTGGATGACTGCGTCTATCGCATGCATCATTTCTACCACACCCAAATCCTAATTGAGGTCAAAGTGAGCGCCATAATGGATGGTTACATGGCAGTGATTGTCTGGAATGGGCTGTTCTTCTCCCCTCAGCATAATCGGACGTGGGGAAATCCTACCGCTTAGAGCTGGGTAAGGATAATACAACGAGATACATGAGAGGGTAGTTTTGCCTATTATAGTTATATGGAGATCGCGTAGTATTTCTCCCATATGGCTATCTGACATGTTTAGTACCTACAGATAGCATGTGTGAGGTTTCAATATACACGGGAATAATATACTGGCATTTTAATGAGATATCGTTCTACCAGCTTGTCGAGTGTTGATCTACGAGCAAAAGCCACAAATTGCTAGCATAGCTCTATTAATATAAAAAGCAGCAGTAGAGCAGCATTTCCTAGTGTCCAAAAATAAATCACCCTCGTCGGGCTCGTATCCGAATCACCTTCGGTTGCATAGACTCCAAGGGAACGGACAACTTCTGGATGAAAGTCGCCAAGATGTCTTGTCTCTCCTCGAACATCCACTTCAGAATCTCAAACCCAACAGCTGCTCGATACGCCCATACGAAGTTAGGACTCGGTACTAGTATATTTTCCCACTTTATGCCATGGGCGATATCCGGAAGGCGAGCTTCCAGGTTCTTGAGGGCGATGGAATCCCTTCCAGGGTAATCAGTGCCGATCGATTCCCGAATCTTGTCGTCGATATCAGCGGACAGGCGTGCAAAGGTATTCTCCCCCATTGCGTTGGTGATGAGGTGGGCGAAGTCGATGCTGATCAGGGGTCGGTGACTTTTGGGTTTGGGAGGATATGCACTCTCGAATGCTCGAATGATCTCCGTTATTGTAGACCTAAAGATGACTTCAGTTTCGAGCAGACGGGCCTCCTCATTGCATTGTAGGGCCTGAAGGGCGCGGACCGCGTTCCAGCATTTGATAGTGTTGGTTTTATCACGCTGCAACGGCCGTGACGAGGGTATCATGACAGTTAATAGTTCTTCGAGGTCTTCCCAGCAACGTCCAGTGATTCCCTCTCCTTCTGATCCAATTCGCAATCCTCCAGATCCAATATCTCTAGGTAGATTCTCAAGCCGGAAACCGGTCCTCTTCCAGTAATCGAGTTTCTCCTTGTTAAAACTTTCAAAGTCCTTCTTAGCTCTTTCCAGCCGCGATCTTCTTCTAACAGTGATAAAGGAGCGGGCATGGCCTAGCGAATACGAAGAAATAACACGTTGATTCTTTTCTGTAAGTTGTCCGATATTGACCCGCCACATCGTAGTTGCCGGCCAGCTCTTCTTCCCCTTTTTATGTTTAGGTATATCCTTCAAGGTGATATCTTTATGCGGCGCGTCTTGAAGAAGACTATTTTCGGGAAACGGAATGCCAGCTCGGTGCATGATTTCGGCAACGGGGGAATCCCAGCACCGGGCCTCGTTACAGAAAATGACAGCGACCTCCGGGCTGACGGGCAGCATTATGTGGATAGGGTCCTCTGTCGTCATGTACACCAATTCTGGCCCGGTTTCCTTCGACTCGACACATAATCGGGACTGGGTATCGCCTTCGAAATCGACGAAACGCTCGTTGAGAAAGAATTCGTGGCCGGTTGCTGCCCTCCATATTTGCAGCGCGAATTTTTCAAAGAAGAACGCATAACTCTGTGCCTCCTTTCTAGGATCGTCCTCTTTAGAGTCGCTGAGGAGCTCTTCGTGAGACCTTTCAAGTATGTATACCAGTTTCCTTAACCAGACCTGATGAGGATCAGTCGACAAGCCGTCCTTCTCCGCAGTTTCGAATTCTCGTTGGAAGGCAAAGTCATTATCGCGCAATGGGTTGCCAAATTGGTCTGCAAGGCTTAAGACGCGCACAATCGAAACATACATGAATTTGAACAGGATATTTACGTGATTTTGGAATATTTCGATGGTGTCCAGATTTTGAGAAACGGCTTCTCGAATCTTGGCTAAAACGGAGCTTGCTCTGGACTCTAGGTCGCCGAATAACTTCTCCACGCGCATAGGATCAGGTTCATGGCAGTTCATATAGAGGTCGATCTTGCCACAAGTTTTGCTGACATCTTCTATTTGGAACTGGTGGTCGGAATTCATAACATGAAGCAGAAAGTTCTCCTGCTTCTTCCCACTAGTTAAGCATTAGTGCTCGTTACGTAGAATATGGAAATTAGAAGAAGGTATTACGGACGATTTATTGAAGTTTTCGAAAGTATCGAAAGCAAACTGCTTCAGAATGAAGCGTGGGATATAGTGATGGTACTGTGACTTGGGTTGTGCCATCTTAGATGCCACTAAGACATGGCAACTTAGTTTAATAACCTTTCCCTTTCTCACATATAGAAGAAACCATGGATAGGTAGACAAGATAATTACATTTTCCTGTCGGAGAATATAATATGTTCTCTTTCTTGCTGACCCCGCGGCCAGGCAGCCACTGGCCGTTAGTGTGACACTCCCGTCATATTATATCAAATATATTACCTTAATATAAAGAAGCCCATTGACTTCAAGGTGACACTCTTTCAAAAAATAAAAACCGGCTACTTCTTAAGGCTTAGGATACTAGATGGAAATTATGGAGTAAACGACCGTAGAAATAGAAAAAGGGGTACCTAGGTTGATTCAATACCAACAATTGTCGTAACTAGCCAATCGGAGACTACTATTTTCTTCGGTCCCGGTCACTTTTCGGTACCGCTAAACATTACTCGGGACCGACGATATACTTCGTACATATTTTCCCGACGAACCAGCAGTTACAATGACTACTACCTAGGTATCTACGGCACCATCTTCTGAGGCATGGTCTTGTGGTAATGTTTAATAGATCTTGTTTCTTTCTAGTGATGTATTTCGGCATGGTACAATCAGCCTCTTCTCCATGTATCTCCCATCTAATGAGTGGGCTGAGACAGTATTTCCGTAGCTTCCGTCAATGGGCGAATCTAAAGTCTTTTCTTTTACTTCCTTGGTCTGTCGTAGTTTCTAGATAACGTATTTGCTCCTATGATCATATTAGTTAGTTTCTTCTTCGTGTTAGGTATTCTCATCCGCATCACTCTTACCTCACGGCTCATCGCATTCCAATCCCTATCCCTCTGCTTGTTACGGTATATGTAATAGACTTTTATAAGTCCATATATGACTATGTTCGCAGCGCAAATTGCGACGAGCTGCTTATTTCCACGGCGGTCTATCGATGTTCAGTCGGTGCGTGCCTAGATTAAGGGGCTGAAGGGGGGAAGGTGTGGTGGTATACGCACATTCAGGTTTGTCATCGGCACGGTAGATGTTTGAATAGGCAATACCAGATACCTGGACGAACATGCTGTCATTATGGTTAGCTTATAAAATATCTAGTAGATAATATGATGATACCTACTTGTAGGCTGCAGCAGAGACGGTGCGTGCCCTGACGGTATTGGAATTGCGGCTACACCAACCGACCTGTATAGCATGGGCTATGGGACTTGTTAGCAAGCTTTAGATACCTATATAATAAAGATAATATATACGTACGATATGGGTATGAGAGTAAGATCGTCACTATAACGTATCTCACCCATGGAGAAGTGCTGCTCGGTATCACAGCTAAGGCAATGATGTTGGGAAGAATCCAAATCTGCGCAAACATGCCCATCAACGACCTTTCATTCCACATCTCGGAGAGGTAGGTCAGGGTAAGCATCTTCATGAACAATTAGCTTCTTTGAAACCATGAGGCTTTTGTTTTAAAACAGGGTCACGTACGGTTACGATACCCAAAACTTGACTAGGAATCGAAAGTAGGTTAGAGTTGAACGTATCGAATCCAAGTCCTCGCAGTGTTAGCGTTAGGTATTGATCCGGAGGACCAACTGGGATTCCGAAGACAAGTCCGGCAATGTAAATCGGCCAAAGGTCGTAGTCGCATAAGGATTTCCATAACCTTTTGAAGTCGACCGCTTGACGGTTATGCATGTCGCCTTTGGAAGGATCATCCCTCAATATGCGATTGACCATTATGACCTCTTCACGTTCGTTGAACCAGCCTTTGGGTCGGTACCATGCTTTGGTCTGTGTAGGCGATGGTGCCATCATAAACCAGGACCACAGGCCCACAGAGAGGGTAAAGAGCCCTTCAATAAGGAATAGCCATCTCCATCCTTCTTGTCCACGGTGGCCACGGAGTCGTAAGATGCCAAAGGCAAGAATGGGCGCAACGATATCGACTACCTTGAGGGTTGTCCAAAATAGAGCCAAGCGAAAGGGTAGTTCGCTTCCCTTAAAGAAGTAAGACTAAATTCGAGCTGTGTTAGATTCTGCTACGTTGCTTCCTTTCTAAGAGGTAAGAAGGACTACTCACGAGATATAAAACGATGTCCGGGATGAAGCCGCCTTGTAATAACCCAAGTAGAACACGACATGTAAAAAAAGTTGCCCTGCTGTTCAGCCAAAACTGAGAGGCTGCCACAATAGACCATAATACCATGATTGTGGGTATCCACCGATCAGGACCTGCACAAGATATTAATAGGGGTTACAAGTTAAAACGAGCGTAAGCCTTGTACTAACCTACTTTCTTGCTCACCAACTGTGAAGGGAGCTCAGCGCACAAGAATGCGAGTTTGAAAACGGTGTTTCCTAGATTATAATCTTATATCATTAAATGTGAGAATGAGATTCCCAGATGCCAATGGAAAACAGTCCTCACCATTCGTGGATAAGCCCAAGTCCTCTAAGAAATTGTCCGTATTCGCTTGTGACAAGTTTCCACGGTCAAGGTCCAGGGCAAAGAATGCAATGCACGCCCACAACGTGATCTTCCAGTCAAGCTTATTGATGAGCGGCAACTCCTCAGCCCACGTCCATCTCGCGTTCGGGTCGAACCGATGTAAGTTCTCATACTTTTCAGTTGGCTGGAAGTACTTTGCTTTCTCCGGGTCGTCGAAAACTGAAGGCTGTGTCGCGATCTCGTCCAAATTGCGCTGCTGTTTTCTGCGAAACAGAGTCATAATAGGGAGCACTGGAGGCTCTGTCTTTTGCAGCTCCTGGTGTATGAGAATATGCTCCTTTACTGCATCTGGGTCTTCGCCATGCTTTTTCTCGGAGCCCGACAGCGACTCAGGCCGGATCATGGCCACGTCCTTTAGATCTGTCATGGTATCTGGATAAGTTGGCGACCAGTGCTGCTCAGGTCTGGGTTAAGCTCAGAGACTCATAAGCTCAGTGGTACATCACGAATATCAGCCATCTTTATATTGCGTCTGGTACTTCAAGCTGAACGGTGGACGAGACCTTGGCATGATCTCGCCATCCGCCATCTTCCTCTTTTAGGAATTCCTGACCGTCGTATTGGCCGACTCGGCTGATAGTTGCGACGCAGCACATGAATATTTGGAGACATATGAGGAAAGTTTCCAGGGTAGATTTGGAAAACGCGAGCACGTCATGTATAGGTTCCGATCACGAATGTGGCTAAAACTTGCCAATACAACTACAACTGCGACATGCAAGACGCCAACAACCAACCACCAACCACCCTTCACCTTGTTAGATCATTTAAGGATTCAGTGTAGTAACATCTCCGTTCTGCTAAGCATATCCAGCTCCTTGGAATCGGGTTGATGGAGGAGTTAAGTTCGAATTAGCAAATAGAAATATTCCCGAGGATATTCGCCGCATCTGCATAGATATCAGTTTCCGCGAACCTGAATAAGCCCCTCACCTTCTTTGAATTCGTCATTCGTGTGGTAATGATATGGATTTTGAAACAGATAAGGTGAAATAATACGAGCAAGTTACGCTCCTTAAAGCGTAGTTTGTATAAGAAAGCAACCTATCCAGAAAGCTATTCGTAACCGTACTATCCACTATGGAGATACTTAGTGCGTACTGTAGGCCCGACTGCATGTGGAGTTGACTGGGCGTGAGCTCCATAACGAAATTAATTATCGTAGAGATATGAGAACCCAGAAGTAGACATTTGATATTGCATGGAACGACCAAGTTGAGGTAGATTTCTAGTTTCATCGAAATAGACTTTGGAGTACACTTGCAGCCTATGCCATCATCGTGTGTGAGAGCTACGTGTCTTATACTTCAACACGTTTATACGAAACAGAAAGTAAACGTTTTCGATAAGGATAAAATAGTCAATTCAAAATATGGCAAATGTAGATGTAGGGAGTTGGTTCTAAGTCCTAAGATGTTGTCTCGGAAAGTCTCTTATTAACTCTCATTGAAGTTAACTAGTATAAACCGGTACTTAGTCTTCACTTTGAACACTTTGTGCCGACGAAAAGACAATTTGAATACTCAATATTTCAGGCATAGACGAGTCGCATTCGATGTTTAAAATCCGACGAGGGGGATGAATGAGATCAGTAAGTAGTGCGAATATGTTAGCTTATGCGGGTTGTTACTATATTATCCTCTCGTAATACCTAAGATGGATTTAATTAATTAACATATATACATATTATAGAGTTGCAGTTCCTAGTTAAGTATAACTATATCAGGTATCCATGTTATCTTGGAGATGTTCATTCAGAAGGTATCCAGCCATAAACCACTAGTTATAGTCTTATTGAAGAATTTAATCGTTTCTTAAATCGTAATACCAACCAATTGGAAATTCAAACTCAATTACCTTAGGAGGTACCTTAGCCCGCCAGGTACCTTAGACTTCTTTATCTGATCAAGTGCGTTAGTAGTTACTGCACTCTGCTTCCAGGCTACTCCGACTTCGTCATCGCTAGAATACTCGGAAGAAGCGGGGAAACCTCCAAGATCATAGTGGGGGTTGACTCTCCAAGATGTAACTGTATTATGCCAGGTAGAAGAGGAGAGGTGCGCAAGTAGGTTAGTACCCACGTAATATAGCTAGCTACCTCAGGTAGATATTTGGTATATAATACTCGGTAGCACCAGTAGTACAGCGTGCCTCTTTTGTGTCTCTACCTGATACTAGATAACCAAAGCATACGTCCCACCATCGTTAACTACCAATTATTGCTTAAGATATCCAACCAACCAAGATGTCGGCTCCTCCGAACCTCCCGAAGATGACCTATCGGTTCCTGGGCCGATCGGGTCTGCAGGTCTCGGCCATCTCCCTAGGCGGCTGGCTCACCTACGGCGGGCACGTGGAAAAGGGTATTTCAGTTTAGAGAGGCACGTATAAAATGGCACAGTACTGATTGAAGTCGTAGAAAAAACATTCGCCTGCATGAAAGCCGCGTATGATAGCGGCGTCAATTTCTTCGACTGTGCCGAGGCCTACGCCGGTAAGGAGACGCTACCCCCCATATGTTCGACAACTGAAGGAAGGCCCCTGGGCTGACGTAGTATGCTAGAGGGCAAGTCGGAAGAAGTGATGGGTGAAGCGATCAGGAAGTTCGGCTGGAAGCGTAACGACCTTGTCATATCGACGAAGGTAACTGCCATGTTTTCCTAAGGAACGCCACCAAACCATCGCGGCCAGCTGCTAACAACATCCCAAAGCTATACTGGGGCAGTGCGTTTGGTGACAACCCCGTTAATAACAAAGGGCTAAGCCGGAAGCACATCGTCGAGGGCGCGAACGCCGCGCTGTCGCGCCTGGGGCTCGAATACGTAGATCTCATCTACGCGCATCGTCCGGATAGACGCACACCCATGGAGGAGATAGTGCGCGCCTTTAACCATTTGATCGACACCGGGAAAGCGTTCTACTGGGGCACATCGGAATGGAACGCCGACGAGATCGCCCAGGCGTGGCGTTACGCTGACAAGTTGAACCTCATAGGTCCGGTTATGGAACAGCCGCAATACAACATGCTGGATCGCGAGAAGGTAGAGAAGGAGTACGCTCATCTGTACCGAGAAGTCGGGCTCGGATTGACGGTATTTTCGCCGCTGAAAACGGGCGTCCTCTCTGGCAAGTATAGGGACGGAATTCCCCCGGACTCGAGATATGCTCAAGACAAGGTTGAGTTTATCGCGGGGTTCTGGAAGCGCACAGGCAAGGAATTGTGGGATGGCATCATCGAGCAGGTGAAGAAGCTAGAGCCCATCGCGGAGGAACTTGGAGTCAAGCAAAGCCAGCTAGCTTTGGCATGGGTGCTCAAAAATCCAAACGTGAGCTCCGCCATTACCGGCGCGAGTAGTCCTGAGCAGGTGTACGAGAACGTACAAGCTCTCGAGGTCGTGGACAAGCTGACCCCAGAGATTATGGCCAAAATCGACGAAATCCTACAAAACAAGCCACCTGCGATTGTTGACAGATTTTAAGGGTTAACTTAGATGCTGGCAGCTATTAGAAACGTTAGATATAATCTAGAAGAGCAATGAAGAGAGATATTGGTCTTACTAGGATGTAGCGGATATCCCCAGCATCACTAGGCTGTGAGTAGCTCATCGTGCATATCGACAATGTCATCTTGAATGACTCGGCCGAGGTAGATAAACATTAATATTCATTAAGAGCAAAATGTAGAACGCCTCTGATACGGCTGTCGCTAGTCCCAAGCAGGCACCGATGCAGATTCCAGTCCTTCCTAACCGTAACGCATCACCCATATGTCCCATACCGTCCAATATTCTATACAACCAGCTATACCAGCGTGATGAGCTACGGTCTAATATATCTCTTTCATAACCACCATAATTTCGTCAGATAGCCTAGGTGACCCATATGCGCCCCCGAAACTCCGTTTTTTCCTACACAGAAATAGTATCCTTCTAGACCTTCCATTCTTTAATATGAGGGTTTAATGTGGAGGTAAGACCGCTCTCTGAGGCGGTTCTGGTATGCTAGAGATCGGAACAGGTGCCGTAGGATGGGTCTGATCCGTCCCTAGTTGTATTTCTTCGTATGTTGGTGGCCCGCTAGTACCAGCTCCGTTGGTAGCTACAGCATTCGGTAATGGTTGCGGCTGCGGTTGCAAGGGGTTTAATTCCACGTCGTCCGTGTTATCAGGTCGTTTCTGGGTGGGGGTGTAGGCTGGTGGCGCTTCGCCCAACTCATTTAGACCTTCTTCTCTACTATCATAGGCTGACCCTAATCGACGTCTCCCTCCTCTTGCCCGTCCCTCCACCGGTGCCCTCGATCTCGACCGATTACCCATAGCTTCTAAATCCCGTTCCAAAGCATTAGTGCCGTATAGCATGCGGAGCTTTCGGCGGCGGCGATAACGGTAACACATGAGGAGCAACCCGATACCAATAAATATAATGATCGGGACAAGTACCCAGGAAAAGGGGTACGTTGAGAATATATTATGTGAATCTCTGTCTTCTATATCCATTTTCGGGACCTGTCTGGGCGTGCCGCGTAACTTAGATGGGAAGCTGCTTTAGCTCGAGGTTCAAAATCAATTAGGTATGACTTCGATTAGGCGTTAGTGTAGATGGGAACTTCAGAAGACGACATTTAAAAGATCGGCTGGAGTTGGCGAAATATTCGTATTTCAAGTGCAACGCAAAGAGCGGAGAATCTCTCTGTGATACCGAGGGGTTATAGGAGGGGATGGAGAGGGTGGTGAATCGTGATTTCATCTAGGATCCATCGGATTGAGAGGTGTCGTGCGGTGTCGGCTTCGCAACGCTGTGCTTGCGAATGCATCACATGGGAGAAAGACCTGCAAAGGCGAGCCTCGTACCGTTCACGGTGGCTCGAACTTCTCTGATATTTTGCCAAGTATTGTATTGTACAATACAACGTGAACCAGGGCGTGATAAAGAGAATAGCGGTCCGAGTGGTGAGGGGAAGAATCCTCCTGGTGAACCCCTGAGATACGCAACTAAGTTTCTTTCGAAGAGGTTGGAAATATTTCAAGATAGGTTGGCGCGAGGTGCGAATACCTACCTAGGTAGGTAACGGGAGATGAAAAGTTGAACTTTATAAATAGTCCGATGTGTGAACCGGTAAGTTCGGATCATGGAGCTGCTGACAATCGGCGTTTCCAGGTACTAAATTCTGTAGGCTTTGTCCTACATAGTACGTAAACGTTTGTAAACGTCAAGCTAAAATCCACGCTAATCCTCTAAGCTCCCCCGCGTCTTTCTAGCTTACTAGGTATTCCAGGTATTGTAAAGTTACTACTGACATGTCCCCGCGTAGTGAGGATGTGCCTGCCCAGAACCGCCCTAAACTTTATTTATTTAGTGAACTGAGGTCATGTCAGACCTGAAGTTGTGTGTGGGTCTTTATTTTGCAGCCGGAAGTTTCATCCATTCCATCTACACTTTTAATAGAGCCCTGGTATCATCAATAAGCACGGGAAACATTATCCTCTTTTCGGAATCCATCATTTCAAATATTCTTGCATATTACGTATCATATCGCATCGTAGCAAGGCAACAGTGTTAGCAACTTAGATATCGAGTTAGCAGCGTAGTGCTTTCGGGGCGCTGCGATAATTATAATAAACCCCCCCCAACCCCCCCCCCCCCCCCCCAAAAAAAAAAAAAAAAAAAAACAGAAGAGCTTCAGCCGGGGAGCGCGACTCTCTAACCACGCCAACGACAAGCAAGAGAACTCGGGAGACACCATGGTCCGCGCTATTAAAGGTAACTTTTTACTTTACCGTACGATGTCCTTTTGATGCTAATATATAGGTACTTAGGGACTTTGGTTGAATGCGAGCCCTCAATCAAATCCATCATTATCAGTATCGACAGCGTAAACAATGAGTACATAATCGAGGACCTCGACGAAAATCACCTCGTAGTTAAAGATAATATGGTGAAGCAGTTGAAGATAGAGCTGGAAAAGGTATAATCAAGTCTCCCCCAATCGAAATTCTTAGCTTGTGATATGTTATACTAACATATACACCTAACATTAGCGATTGAAAGAAAACGTTCCTGAGGTGGATGACGACTCCGATTCAGACCAAGACGTTAATAAATAAAAGGAACTTGATAGCACTCTAGGTAGACACCTCATACTAAGAAGTATCAACAAACGTAAATTCTTATATAACTTGCTTCGTACACAAACATTCTATCAATTTAAAGGGACATCAAGTCTCTTTCGGCCACTCGTAATGGGGGGTCCATAAGCGGTGCGCTTTAATACCCATCCGAAGCACCTGTCAATATCATCCATCTATAGCTTCTCAAACCTGGGCCTGGTCCTTCTCAGCCCAGATAGCAACGCAGTCTTAAAGTCGTTGGACTGAAGCATCGCCTGATTCCACAGGCTTGTGTATCTTAAGTCTATTTCAGTTAGTTATTATAGCATTTACCCTATGTTTTGATGTTGTACTTACTATCCGCCACTGTGTTGTCCCTAGCGTGGTTCAGCAGCTCTTTCGTGCCCTGGACGGCAACTGGACTCTTGGATGCTATGAAAGATGCAAGCATGCTGGCAGCCTCGATGGCTTTTGCCTTGGTCTCTAGCACCTGGCTCACGAATCCGACAGCAAGGGCTTCTTCGGCACCGAAGCCTCGAGCTGTCAAGCAGACGTCCTTCACCCACGAGAAGCTCGAGACGATCTTCGGTAGCCTCGCAAGAGTACCTATGTCTGCGGCCATGCCAATATCCACTTCTTTAACAGAGAATCTGGTGTCTCGAGAACAGATTCTCACGTCTGCACAGCAGGCTATATCGATGGCCAAGCCGATAGATACACCATTCATAACACAGATAACAGCTAGGGGTTTATTGTCAGCCCGAGAAGAGTTCAACTTGACAAGATAAATAAGTAAATAAATAAAATAAAATTCGTGTTTACTCACGCTTCTCGCATTTCTCTATCTGGTTTATGCAGTCTTGAAACTCCAAAATCTGACGGCGAAGTTTCGTGGCCTGTCTCGCGGGGTCTGGTTGTTGATCACGGTTGCCTAGGAGGCCTTGTTGATCCACGGCTTGGACATCTAAACCAGCGGTAAATGCCCGGTCGCCGACGGCAGAGAGTATTATAGCACGAACACCCGGATCACGAGATAACTTGGCGAATATCCTTCCAATCTCCACCCACATATCTGGTGTGAATGCATTTAGCTTGGATGGGCGATTGATCTCGACGTGGGCCACATATTCGGACGGCGACGAGATGATGAAGTGCCTAAAGTCCGAATAGCTTTCTCTTTCTGATTGGCCCATGATTTATTTCATGTGATTTCAGAAGTTGGTGTTTATTATATAGAAGGGGAGTCGATATAAGTTTTATAAGGCTTTTAAATAAAAGGCTTAGGCGATATTAAGAAAAAGGTGTCTCTAGAAATTGTGAGGAGTTGAAACTGATTCTTTTCTACCTACTTACATATCTCTTATGTAAATCGTCCCAGCTTATGACTTGGTCATACCTTGCCGAGGCACTCTTCTTATGGGGACCTTTGTTTTGAATTGCATATGCACCTGTCACGAGTCACCCAGCCACATTTCTACCTAGCCATCTCTACCTGCCCAGCTGCCCAGCTGGTTTGCCGCCCTGCTACGTCTTATCAGTCTTATCAATATCAGTACGTTCTTATCGCACTAGGCTAAGGTACAACTTGGTTTAGATCGTCGGTGGGAAATGGTTTAATTGACCGATATCTAAGAAAAAAAAAAGTTGATTGGCTTCTCGACTTCAATTAATTATTTCTTTTTTTTTTTCTTCTTCTTTCCTTCACGGAAATCACACGACAAAGCATATAATCACACCAGGTTGACGATGGCGGCAGAGGTCGCACCACTTCCGCAGTTGAAGCTTCCTTCGGGGCCTTCTCAAATTACTGCAGAACAGCGATATTGGAAGTCGTTTAAAAATCAACTTGTGATCCCGTCGCCGACGCAATACCCCATCACTCACATCACCGTTCCTGCAACCAATCCCGCCGCCATTGGATCTTCCAATAATGATTATTTCGCTGTGACAACTGGCACCCGCGTCCAGATCTACTCGATAAGAACGAGGAAGCTGGTCAAGACCATCACCCGTTTCGGAGACATTGCGCGGAGCGGAGACGTGCGGCGGGATGGTCGTATATTGGTAGCTGGAGACGATACGGGCAAGATTCAAGTCTTCGATGTCGGGTCGCGAGCCATCCTCAAGACATGGGCCCAGCATAAGCAGCCGGTATGGACAACGAAATTCTCCCCGGCCGATCTTACCACCCTCATGAGCACGAGCGACGATAAAACGGTCAGATTATGGGATCTACCTAGCCAGGAGAGCACTTCCACCTTTGTAGGCCATGCCGATTATGTGCGCAGCGGTAGCTTCATGCCCGGAACCATGTCAAACATGCTCGTGTCTGGTAGTTACGATTCCACCGTCAAACTCTGGGATCCCCGAACACCAGGCACCGCCGTCATGACCTTTAAGCACGCCGCGCCTATCGAAGACGTGCTACCTCTACCTTCCGGGACTACCGTTCTCGCGTCTTCCGAGAACCAGATCTCCGTCCTCGACCTCGTGGCTGCGAAACCGCAGCATATAATAGCTAATCACCAGAAGACCGTCACGTCGCTATCTCTCGCCTCGAACGGCCGCCGCTTGGTATCCGGAGGACTGGACGGCCACGTCAAGATCTTCGAGACGACGGGGTGGAACGTCGTGGCTGGCGCCAAGTATCCCTCGCCCATCCTCGCCGTCAGGGTCATCACCGCCGGCGCTAACAACGATGACCGACACCTGGCGGTCGGCATGCAGTCCGGCGTGCTGTCGCTGCGCACGCGGCTCACGGGGCCCGAAGCCACGCGCGAGCGCGAGCGCGAGAAGGAGATGGCCGCGCTGCTGTCGGGGACCATCGACGCGCACGACAAGGCGAAGAGCAAGCGGAAGCGGCGCCACGGCGCCGCCAAGCACCTGGACATGGTCGGGGAGGGCGCGGACGTCGTCATCGCCAATGACCTGTCGCGGCCGAAGCGCGAGACCCCCTGGCAGAAGGACCTGCGGCACGGGCGGTTCGCGGCCGCCTTGGACCGGGTGCTGGACCGCAGCGCCAAGGACCACAGCCCGCTGACGGTGCTCACGCTGCTCGTCGCGCTGCGCCACCGCTCCGCGCTGCGCGAGGCCCTCGAGGGCCGCGACGAGGCCACCGTCCAGCCCGTCCTCCGCTGGGTGCAGACGCACGTCGTCGACCCGCGCTACGTCGGCGTGTGCACCGACGTCGCCCTGCACCTCCTCGACCTGTACGCCGAGTTCGTCGGCGGCAGCGCCGAGCTCCAGGCCGCCTTCAAGACGCTGCACCGCCGGGTCCGGCTTGAGGTCGAGAGGGCCCAGGTCGCGACCCAGACGAGCGGCATGTTGGGCACTTTGTTGGTGAGCAGCTTGGATTAATAATACCTTGTGCTGGGTACCTACCTAAGGTACCTACCTACCTCCCTTCTATTCGTAGGGCTCAGTGCTCCCTCCAATGTGGAAGAGGGAACAGACCGGTTGGAGAGAAAGAAGGTGGGGGTTAAAAAAGGGGGGAGGGGTAGTAGTAGCCCTGAGACGGTTGTGCTTTTTTTTAGCATGGCGATGGCGTTTTCGGGTCGGAAAACTTGAGGGTATTTTATATGTTTCTTCGATCGGTAAGGCCAGGCCTTTTTCAGGATCGGACTTGACTGGTTGATTGATTGATCGATATCTGGGTACGAACGAAGCTCGCCGCTGGGCGTTGTAAACATTTGCGTAGTACAAGCAAAAAGAAATATAGCCTCACATTACTGGTTCTATACTACGTACCTAAGGTACCTACCTACCTAACCGTGGATCAAGACTGATTGCGTAGTTCAATTGTACAGCGAAGGTTGAAAATAACACAAGTATAAGCTGAGTCCTGGTCGATTCCCATGGGCATTAGGTGACATTAATTGTACTAAACGCCATACGTGAAATAAACAGGCGAAAAAAAAAAAAACAAAACAACAAAAAATGTTTCAAACCCCTTTGTATATTTTCAGGGGTTACCTATCAAAACCAGACATACCAAACGGAAGCTACCGCTGAACTTCCCAGCCTCTAGTAAATCACATAGACTGGGATATGCCATACGAGTCCAAACCGAGATTCAGACCGTTTTCCAATTCCAGGCCCTGCGCAAGTAATGTTTTTTTCTCCACACGCCAAATTCCCTCCTTACGTCTCGTCTATATGTTCACGACCAAACGTGATTAACCCTCCCAAGATACCGGACGGAGAGACAAGAAAGGGAAATACAAAAGGGCAAAAAGCAAGTAACCGGTACCTACCCAACCTCCTTGGCTTCAAACACATTATACATATAATACAACGTCTTCTTTCGAATTCGTAAAGCTTCGTGCGTCATTAATAGCCCCCGTGACGTCGTGCTCGGCCCGTGCCGATATCAATCCTGCTCATTTCTTCCATGAGCGCCCACTCTTCGTCTCCTCGTGCCGGACTTGGTCCCAAGCCACCACTCATCATCGGTATTTTGGCTGGAATGGGCGGCCCGACGCCAAATCCTGAGCGGGGCGCACCTGGGCCATGATTTTCATAATCGAAGGTGCCAGCACGAACAAGCGCTCGGGGGGGAGTACTATTCCGCTGATGAGGCGTTGAAGGGCCAAGAGGATTAGGCCCCGAGGAGATTGGCGCTGGTAAGGCTGATGCACGATGTGCCTTTTTCTGCAAACGGTTTCGCCCCGTGCTCACAGGGGGAGAAGGTGTGGGATCGGGAGGGATGTATGTCGGTGGTGCAGCTATTGCCGACTGAGGTCGAGTACTTGTACGGGGTGCTCGCCGCGTAGAGGGTGGCATCGGCTGCGCCCCGGCAGGCACTGGACGTGACCGAGTTTCTGTGGGCTCGATGGGCTTCTTTGGCTCTGGTTCCGGCGCCCAGGTGTCCATGGGTAAGTGATCTGAGGGGTCCACTTCTCGTCCATCTGGTGTCACTATCTTTCCGTCTGCATTTGTATACTCTCCATCCTTCGTCGACGCCGCCACGGTAGGGTTCAGAGCGTCATAGGAGTCTGGACCGAAAGGTATCCCTGACAGTCTCCGACCATCAGATGGGGGAGGTGCTGGACTGACTGATTTTCGTTTGATCGTGTGAGTAGCATTCGGTGATGGAGAGACTCCCCGAGGCCTCGAAACTGATGCTGGTACAGAAGGAGTAGTAGATCCGCCAGCATAATTCATTGGACTTCTGTCACGGGCTCTTGAGCTGCTTGGATGGGGGTTGGGAGAATGTTGAATGGCATAATTCGAAGGAGGCTCACTATGCTGTCTTCCTCGAGTTGGAGCGGTCGTGGGAGGCGGCTGGGTATATCGACGTGCTTGCTTCCTCTCTTGCTGGGCGCGATCCGAAATCTCACGTGCCATAGCTGGATCGACTCCTGGAACCAGCGTTGCAGGTACAGACGGTAGGTCAAAGTCGCTTGGCGCGTGCACTTGAGTATTTTCTAATTCATTTGGATAATTTAGAGTATGATCTATCCGCCTCGAAGATCGAGGCACTAGAGCGAGTGCCTGTGAGTAATCCTCGGCGACCATGGGTGATGGTGATTTGTTATACCCGCTGGAATCGTACTGGTCTTGAGATGAGATGGGAGAGGGGCTATAATGCCCAGACGGCGCGGGACTCGAAGTTTGATGATAGCCCTGTTCATCATACTGATACGTTCTAGATCCACTACCTCGTGGCCTACTACTTGGTGGTGTCCATGATTCTGGTACATCCTCTACCGTCGGTTGCATGGATCGGTGGTGAGGACCATACGTCGGGTCGTAAGAGTAATGGTGTGCTGATTGACGGTAAGCATCAGCCTCGCGATATGGCACCATGCTTTGCATATCCGGAGCTGACTCATAAGGGCGGTACGTAGGTCGACCTGGATAAGATGATGGTGCCGCCGAAGGTACTGAATATCGATGGGCTTCACTCCGTAGGACGTCGTGTCTCATATGTGGAGGAGCTTTATGCTGTAACATATCGAAGCTGCCACGAGTTACTAGTTCCTGTGAACCTAGGCTCGAGTTCCTAACTCGATGAGCTGGGGGGGGCGGAGGACAGTCGTCAAGTTCAAGCGATTGCCGAGGATGGTGGACTGGTGGGGCGGATTCGTAAAAAGACGATCTAGTTTCTTGCTCATACGCCCGGCCATAAGCGGGATCAGAATAACGTGACTGTTCGATATCTTGTGGGGGAAGCTTGTAGGCTCTATCTGACTGCCGGTGTTGTGAATGCTCTGCTCGGTGGGATGCCGCCGGGTACTGACTCCCGCTGGGATGTGTTAAAGAATACTGATCAGGCTGGCTACTGGGTCTGTTTGAGGGTGATGTACCGTATTCGGCAATCTGTAAAGGCGCGTGACTCGGAACGAAGGAAGATGAAATTGGCTGGGGTCGGGATGAGGTATGCATTTGGTCTGCCACCGCTGGCGAAGGTACCTGACCAGTGACAGGATCAGAGGGTAGCGGTCGTCGCTTCACCACCGCCTTTTGAGGTATGCTGGTGGGTTCTACGTCAGGATTTGTAGTTACGCCGTTTGACTTTGGTATTGGCTTCTCTGTCTTTGGGCGGCTGTCGTAGTAGGTAATCTCGATTCTAACCTCGCCCGCATATTTCCCTTTACAATTCAAGCTATGCCACTGGTCACTCTGTCCACCCCCGCGTATAATGATATCTCGTAGGTCGATCCATGTTTCGCCTATCAGCTCTGTCTTCCTATCATCGTTGAATACGGATAGCTTTAACTGATAATAGTCAGGCGAGTCGTGAACTATAAATCGAAGCTCCTGGTCCCTGTATAGCGAGTATAAAGGTTAGAAAAGAAATACCCTTAGCTATTCAAACGTTAGACACGTACCATTTGGGAGTCTGGCCACCTCGAATATCCGTAGTGGTCTTTTTGGCTTCTTTTGCAAGCCGAGCTGCGCAGTAGGGATCTTGCTTCCCAATAGTCTTCCTATTCGGGAGATTCTTTGCACGATCAACAATCAGGACAAGCGTTCCAATCTCAGGACCATCGATGCTCATATCGGAGAAGATACCGGCCGTATGCATCCCATTTAATGGGTTGGGCATTTTCGGTTTGGTAGCCATCTTTCAAGAGGTTGAACTTATCGAGTAGCTCTCATTGGAAGGCTATCGCCGAATAAATATAAATATTCCGAACACGAACCAAATTGACACAATCGACGTTACCAGATAATAGGTTTTCAAGGTTACCAGTTGCCAGTTGCAACTATCTCGGTTGCTCGGCGGATGTCTTTGTTGACTTTTTTGCCAACAGGATCTCGTATACCACTTAGATTGCTGGTGAAAGAAAACGAAAGCGAGAAGTCGGTGTTGAACGACTGAAAGAAGAAGAGGTAAGAGAAAAAAAATAAAAAATAAAAAAGGAATAGTTAGTTCTTGAGACCAATTAACGATAGAATAAGGTGAGCATCCAATATTTTGAAGTTAGAGACCCAATTAGACTGAGAGCGGAAGCAGGAGAATGCAGAAGAGGATAATGACTTGCAGGTTTGCAGCCGGGCTAGAATATACCCATACCCAATACCCAGTTCCAAGTGGGGCAGCGACCTGCAATTGGAGTGGCTGGTGACGAAAAAAACAATGAGGTTGGGGTCTATGGTTGGTCAAACAAGCCTGGACCGTCTCCTGCTCTTGCTGCTGTAGCAGTTCTAACAATTCTCGTGCTGCCGGGGAACTCCACAGCTGAGGAAAACCCCGCCTCCCTAAAAAGGATACCCCTGTGCTAAGACTTCAGGGCTCACAAGATGACAGGGGCCTTGTTTAGTGGACCTCTGGCCAATAGGCGTGCTAGATTCGAGTAACGTGTGTCAGGGACGTGTTTCCTCGGCTCAATTGTCTCACTTCTTATTCGTCAACTCTTCCTTATGAATCGAGCGATTAAAGAAAATAAAAAGGAAATAATAAAATAAAAATAAGAGAAGAAATGAGAGAAGATATCTTATGGCCTAACGCTGTATCACTTTGGTTCATAAACAAGTTCTCTGAACTAGGTACTTAGGTATCTTACGGAATACGACGTTGGCTTATTCTCCGTCTTTAGGAAATATTGATGCCTACCCTGCACAGCCCAGACGCGCAATCGACGAGGCTCTGCACTGTGCCGAGGCGCCTAAATGACGCGACCGTAAAGTATTTTCCGACGGCTCAGATTCAATCCCGCATCCATAGGTAGTCCATAGTTGATGGTCGATGGTCGAGTATCATATCAGCTGATCTTATGAATGCTTCGTGCATACTCCTTACATTACCTGGTATGAAACCCAAAATCAATTCCATCAGTTCAGTTTGCATGCAGGATGTTGATTGATGTATTTCTTTTATACATCCGTCCTTGTTGTTACCTACCTCAGCTCTTGTTAATGTTCCCGCCCAATAAGTGGTACGCACGTCGCACACTATTTTCCGATCTTCCACTAGAGCTACGTCAGAATGCGTACTATGTAATAGTTGCTATGCTAGTTGGAATTTAGATCGCGCGTCAAATACTTTTTTTTGGAATGCTGTTGGCTGTGTTAACCAATCAACCTTGTCTGACAGTTTACACTAAAAATCCACGGACCGCACTTGGAAGTTGAAACTTGAGTGCATAACTCAATGCACAAAAGTAACTTGTCCATGTCACTGCAATATTATATGTGTTGGCACAATTCGAAGTCGATCCAATCTTTCGATTCGATTTTAACTAATACTAAAGCCAATACACACTCGTATACTCCACACAACTTCTTAACCGCTTAACCGTTACAAGGTTCCATCTCTTCTTTCTTTCATGACTAGCCACGACATTTTCATTACATATCATTGAGACGCTCCTTTGCGCTCTGCTTGGCCTCTTCAGAGACGTTTGGGTTTTTGATTGCTCTTCAGTCATAGTTAGTAGCTGACCGCCATAATAGACCAAATCACTTACGCCTTCAAACCACCGGCAACATTCCCAGGGTTCTTATTATCATCATCACCGCTAGACTTAGGTACTGCAAGTTATTAGAAATTTGTCCGAGTTAAGTGAGGTTAAGTGGGTGGTGGACAAGACGCATACCGTCTCCGCCGTTGAACTCGTTCTCCAGAACTTGCTTGGAATGTTCCTTAGCCTCCTGGCTGGTGTTAGGGTTGTTCAAGTTGGCTTTGTGGCCGCCGGCAATCTGCGCTTCAGTAGGCATTGTGGATAATTGAAACTAAGTTCAAAGTTTGAAAAGATGTTGATTACGGATTGAAGAGAGTGATGTTTGTTGGTTTGTTGAGTGGGTGCGTTCTTGCTGATGAATAGGTTACAGGACGAGAATTGAAGGCCTCTTTATACATGTCTTTTTGCAATTTTACTTGAGCCTGTTTTATATATCCTCTATGGCATATCAAGCCGCTGATGCTCATATTCTAGTTGTTGTCGATTTCTATTACCGCATAGATGGTTAGTCATGACGATATTGACGACCTATGACTTAGAGTCATATAATCATCAGTCAAGCCACTTTTAAGTTATTAGGCTGCCTAAGCCTATGTCGGAAAGATTATCCTGATCCGCACTCTGGAATGATCGGTCAGAAGATTCTCAAAGCCAAATCTGGGATCCAACATACGTACATAACGGCATAAATCGAGAACCCCAAAGTTTGTGACATCGACCAGATATATCAAACATTGGGCGGTATCTAGGTACGAGAACTAATCACGACATGAGGCTCGTCCGCCCCGAAAAAATTATCGTCAGGGACAACGGGCGGTCTACGTACTCCGTTACAAGTCTAGAAGCCTAACGATTGGGTTACCTACCTAACCTATATCTATCTTCATTAGCAAGCCTTACCGTCTACATAGTAGTACGGTCAAATATCGGGTAGGACCACATTGACCTCCACAGTGCGTCTTAAATCGCGATTCAGCCTCAAGCATTAGTGACAACAACATTACCCAGGAATAATTCTACCAGGCACTTGAAAAGGTGGTGAAGCATTTGTAATAATTCAGCGGTGTCGACATGGCATTATATGAAGGTTTACAAGGGCCTAACCGATCCAAGATTTAGTTTCCCTTTAAGGTCGCCCTAATCCCCACTATCTAAACACGACGCTGAGCGACCCCTGAGAAGAAGTGGACTGCAACGAATCGTGAATACACTAAGATCGGTTACTCTCCAATCATTGCCGGAGCCCCATATGGTTATTAAACCGAACCCATTCTCCCAGAAATACGATACGGGGCGGGATAGAAGTTCCGAGTTAGGATGCAGGATATGTGCTAGTTAATTGAACAAGAAGCAAATCAGCTGCGGTGACCTACATAACATCAATTTTGGGACTGCATAGTAGGTAGGTTACGCTACTTGGCTACCATTAATCATAAAAACCTGCTTAGTCGGACGGCGGTCTAGATTGTTATGTATTTAATTCGTATACCCGCTCATGATGCATGGCTGAGATGCCTGTTGGATGAGAGTAAATAGAAAATCAAATCAATATACTTCGTAGAAAGGACTAAAGTGGTTATACCGATTAGTCGAGCTCATATAGCCCCTAAATTGTAGCCTTTGTCCTTTTTATGAAAACTGATGACGATGGTCGAGGAGGGAATTATAGGTAGTAACACGAAGAAATTCAATTGTGAGATGTTCAATGAGTTGTTATACCTAACTCAAGCCTCTGCAATGTACCAATATCAATATTTTGCTGAGTTACGGTGTGGCTAAGTGTGGAACGCGTCCCGCTTTTAGCCTCAAAGAATGTGCCATCTGATTGGTAGATGTACTTAACCCGCCAAAGGACCTTTTAAGCAACAATTCATGCACGAAGCCTATCGTTTGACTACTACATACCAAAGGTACCGAACCAAGTAGGTTTAGGTAATTAGCTGGCTAGGTACTACCCATATTCAATTCCATATTAGCCATACATATATCAGTATGTCAACTTCCCAATCTTCATCCCAGCCGGCTACTATCAACTACGTGGCTGGCTTCCTACTCGTCGGGCTTGCATGGGGATTCACGACGCCCTTCATCCGCCGTGCAGCTAAAGACCATAATCCGCCGGCTCATCCGACCCTAGCAAGAGCCGACGTAAAAGCCAGCTGGGTAAAGAGTAAACTTTACGGCGCATTTTTTGCTATTCTCGACCTGTTGAAAAATCCAAGATATGCTATCCCGCTGCTGATTAACCTGACCGGGAGTGTTTGGTTCTTCCTCCTCATCGGCCAAGCAGGTACGTTAACTGATACCCCCGTCTTCAACCCACCGAGAGCCTTGAAATACTTACTCATATCTCCTCATAGAACTAAGCTTGACGGTCCCAATCGTAAATACGCTAGCATTCCTATTCACAGTACTTGGCGATTGGTGGGTTGACAAGAAAGTTATAAGCAGGGGTAAGTCACTGCTGCTGTATCATTCAGATAACTACTTGCTGACTGGGCTTTTCAGATACTTGGATTGGAATGATCTTGTCGTTATGTGGCATCGCGTTATGTGTCCAGAGTAAATCCGCTTGGTAGTTTCTGTTGAGCGTGATACTATCGATAGTTACGAAGTGATGATGATATTAGAGGGCCCTAGAAAGATATCGGATCGGAACTAGGAGTACGGGAATAACCCATCACTGGGCAACATCGCACATCTACAGATATTCATATGAATTATGAATACAGGTGTCTATCATACGGACGGACTCTTGATGATTCTCAACTTGATACTAAAAATAGAGGCCTATTGTCTCTAAGAACACGTACGTGAGCTTACTCTTATCCTTGTTTCACGCGAGCATTCGATATGGATGTTGTGTTACGGGGAGAATATATCGCACGCTATCGGTATTTACCCTGGTAACACGATAGCTGGTTAAAAGATCACTGTAGGTTAAAACATGGCGTTTCGTGTAAAACATGCTTACGCAGGACACAGGGTATCTCAGATCGTCCCTTGCCACAATAGCCCTTTGGGGGGGGGGGGGGGGGGGGGGGGTGTTGGGAAAAAAATGCACCCGAAAAGCAACAGAAATTGGAATTTTCGGCATTTCAAAAATTACTATTTATAAAAAAAAA